GTACAGTGTACACAGTATAGGTACCACACTCCGTACCTCAACCTCGTATGTGTATGCCATGCATACGCACCGAGGGCTATTTTTACTCCAGAGTACGTAAGTAAGTAAGTAAGTATGTATGTATGTGAAAAGCAGGTAAACAAAAGAAGCCTAGCCCGGAAGCAATCTAAGTATATACCACTAGGTCTAGATACTTTGAGTAGTAGTGGTAGGTAGGTAGGTACTCCGTAGATAGTAGAGCGAATACGGGATTTGAACCAAGGAAAGGGATCGGATGGCGGGCGGATATGCTTCTCGGGTGTCTGCCTACACTATCTACGCCTCGCTGGCTGGTGGCGGTGGGTGGTGGTGGTGGTGTGCTCGGCTCGGCTGTGCTGGGCCTGGTTGGGACTATCGGTCTATCTAATATCTATTATTATTGTTTATTGTTGTTCACAGTTCGGCACTAGTGGTACGTACCACTGTTCATCATCCAACCGTCCACATCCACATCCACATCCACATCGGCACGGTTCAAAGTATGGAGTACCTAGATACTAGATATCTATTATGTAGACTTCTTTGGGAAATTAGAGATGGATGAATGGATAGATGGATGGATAACACGGCAACGCAACCGACTACGTATACGTATGTGTATTGTGTGCTACTTAGGATCTACCTAGATAGTGCTAGTGTCGCCTTACCATATCATATGTTGGGAACTGGAGGATGGAACTTGGGGTAGTTAGATACTAAGTAGACACCGCCAGAGATCTTCAGATCCTCAGTTAACCGAACCCTGCTACCGTACTTTCGTACCGTACCCAAGTTTGAGGGCGAAGTCTCACCATCGCATCGCATGGTTATCGATTGGAGATTGGGAATTGGGGATTCAAGATAGGGGGTGGGTGAGGGTGGGAGGGGGATAAATCTCGGCCCCGGCTGGAAGGCTGGGCTGGCTGGTGGTTCGCTGGCTGGCATGTTCCCAGCCTTCGACGGGCGTTCGATGAGATTGCTGTTTCGGGGATGAGATCGACAGAGAGGGGAATGGATCCGGCGCGGTTGGGACGTGAACCGTGGTTCAGGGCCGGGCTGTGGCTCACCACCATTTACTCTTCACTATTCTACTGGTTCGGGTTTTCTGGCTTTACTTTTATTTTTACATTTTTTTTGCCATTCTGGTAGGTTTGGACGGCTGGGTCGGTCGGGGACTGGGAGCAGAGACGTCGGTCGGGTGTCGTGTCGTGTCGGGACGAGGGGAAGGTTTGGGTGGAAGTTTGGAAAGTTTGGAGACGGATGGGACAGGACTCCAGGAGGGAGGGATGGACTGAACTCTGAACTCTGATCTGAGCCTGGGAAGGTTCCGAGACCGAGCGAGAGTTGGGCCTTTCTGCGGTTCTGGTTCAGTTCATCGAGGACTCCTCCTGTTCCAGACAGGATATTCGATCGTCAGGGTTCTGATTGGTCCTGCACCCCGGGGTTCACGATGTGAACCGCAGGTGGAATGAAGGATAGGGGTTGTTTTGGTTTTACTTCGTTGGTAGTGGTTGTTGTTGCTGTGGTCGGAAGCTTAAAAGTACTGTACATACGACTGTATGTGTCTCTGCTGCAATCTGCAGAGTCGGCGGATGGACATTGGACAGGGCTGGGATCGCCCTGGTCGTTGATTCTTAGTTTCGTCCAGAATCTGATGGATCGACTGTCGCGAGGCTTGGCCTGGCGCCTCCTCGTCCTGCGACTCCGTCCTAGTCCTCCAGGCTCCGATCTATCTCCCGGTCGTGGTCTGCCGCGGCGCCACTCTGCGAACGCAGGTGCCTGCGCGTCTTGGGGGCAGAGTAGAGTAACACTTGTGTTTGATGATAATGGTATGCTCTCTAGCGGGCGATCCGGGACAGCGCTTAAGCGGTTGGAATCTCATTCCTCTCCATCCCGGGCTGGGTTGTGCATTGCATCCCGCTTGCCTGAAATTGAGGTCTTGGCGGTTATTATTGTCCTCTCCTCTCCAGCCATACCATCAATCTCCGACATAGATACCACTTAGCTACTCCGTATAGATCCGGCGAGTATAGTAGTTCCCGTCGGAAGACGTCCCTGGCCGAACGCCATTGTCGTCATTTTACGTCCGCGACTAGCCACCCGGGAGTCCTGGGGGACATCCTGGAGGATGAGAGGCTTGCTGGGGAGCCAGGTACACTGTACATCAGGAGTAGAGATAGTGCTTAGTTCGCAGTAGTATAGGGGAAAACGACAGGGATGTTGGCGAGATGTCTTACAGTCCTACAGCCAATCAGCCACGGCGCTGCAACCCTGGCGCGTCTGCACCAACCAGCGGGCGGCCTGTCAGTAGTGGGATCCTGAACAATTTAGACTCACCGTAGCGCCAGCGCGGGCGACTAGAATATTCGAAGCGGACGAGGGGGACGAGGGGACGGGGACTGGGACTGGGACTGGGAGACGGTCGACCCCCCCAACTGCGGACACCGGCCAGCTGCCTCGGTGAGAGAAGTGACAGCCACGACAGCCACGGTATACCCAATCACGCGGGCAGTAATCGTCAGGAGGCGAGGGTTTTCGAGTCAGTTACAGCTGCGAAGTGTGAAAATGCCCCAGCCAGGAGTGGAGGATTTGGGGTCAGTATTCGCGGACAGCGGCAAGTCAAAAGCTCAACGGCCGAGTTGCACGGGGGAGGCTAACCGCATGCGGCACCGAGGCGGGCGACCCGCGCCAAGCTGCTCAAGGTGTTACATAATCCTGAGCAGGCGTTTGCCCGAAGATGCCCCCGGGAGAGGCGACACCGCGACTGGGCTCGGGGTCTGTCCGTGCTGGCCGTGGGCACTGGCCAATGGCAACGTGGCAGCCCCCACTGCACCAATCACCGTGCCGCGATAACGAGCTGCAGGAGGGCTCCAATCCGGAGGGGACGTTCGATGGATCCACCGCTTTGGGAAACGCTGCTCGCGCCTGTCATTGGTTCCCGGTGTCTGGGACTGGGCAGAGCGCTGAGAGCAGAGGCCAAGGACCCGTCCAAGCTAGTCCGACTCCATCGTAGCTGGCCAGCTTCCGACGACTCCCCATGCTGCTGCTTCCGTTCCTTCCATCCTGAGACCTGAAGATGGATGGACGATGGATGGCCCTTATCCGATCCGGTTGATTGGCACGGGAGCGTAGGACGGGCGGTCGGTCACCGCCAGACGAGTTAATATCGATGATACATCCATCCTCGGCCTACAAGAGGGAATATTCCCGGCGGCGTGCAAGGGAGACGAGGCGGTGGGCATCCACTGCATCGGCTGTCGATTATTGGGGTCATCGTAGTAGACTGACTGTAATAATAAGCATCTGCCGAGGTTGGAGCAACAGCAGGACGTCTACTGGGTGGTCTCGTGAACTCTTCCTAACAGAGCAAGTCAAAAGGTGGGCCTGAGTCACGGACGGCGTCCGCTCGCCAATAAGCGGCGGCAGGATTGTGATTTGATGGGAGGGCCGGTTGGGCGTTCCGTGGGCAGCAGCCGGCGCGCACCGCATAGGCGATTATGTACGGGCGGGCGTATATCGATGCTCTGTGTTCGGTGTTCGGTTTCAGCGCGACTGCTTCATACATACTTCATCGTGACCGACGCGGTTGGAGTAGCAGCGATCGTGAGGAGGAGTGGAGAGGCTGGAGATCGCCCAAAGGGGAAAGTTATCATGCTGCTAGCCAGCCCCGGGGCGGCAGGCCAATTGATGGCTTGCCACCCGACCGGGATGCATACCTGCTTCCAGCGCAGGCCATCCCGCGATGGATGGGCTGCTGCTGGCGACCGCTCCAAACTTCCAAGAGGCGGTCAAGCTGCGAAGGCAGGGGGTGTTGTCATCATGACTTTGGACTACTACTTGGGGCGATAATCATTCCCTGGAATTCACATTCACTTGTCGATGCAGACGGGTCAGGAGTAACACCTCTCTCCAATCATACCACCTCCTCTCTCATCCATACTACTATCTACATACCACGGTGTTGGACGGACGGGGTCTGACGGGGGAGATGAGACTGGAGATATTCGGTGCAGAGTAACACCCCGGAGTGGTATCCGAGACTCGAGTAGAGGAGAGCAGGGCTGGGGCTGGCCATCCGCCATCCTCGGTAAACGGCCGTGCTGGGATGGGTTAGTCTGTTAGCCTGTTAGCCTGTTAGCCTGTAACAGGATGGTAAATTGGTAAATTGGAAACGAGCGTGCCCGGCCTTTGCCCGGTCCGGATCTGGTCACGATACGGTATTCTCCGTATTTCGTGCTGCGGGTTCTTCAGGGGCGCAGGCGGCGAGACTCGCTGTATCCATCCATCCCTCTAACAGTCCAGACATGCATGCGAGCAATGGGGGGGGGGATGGGGAGGGAGGGGTTGTGTTGGGTGTTATTGTCCGAGCAGCAGAACAAGGGGCCAGCAGCAGCAAGTCATCTCGTCATGATCTTACAGGAGTTGCTAGGTTGCTTGCTGTTGCCTCCGATCCTCCAACGGCTCCACCGGCTGCGTTTCTTCGGGACTTTCTAGGGTCGCCCTCGCCGCGGATTCCGTCCATGTTTTCCATCCATCCATCCACCCCTCGTCTAATTTATTATTATTATCATTATTATTATTATTATTTTTTTTTCTCGGGGCGTCTCCATCGGTCCATCCACTAGCGCCTCTCCACAACGCATGGCAAAAATCGCCCTCCTTCCATCCATTCATTCATTCATTACACAGTTTACACAGTAATCCATTCATCTCGGTAGGCCCGCTAGTAGTGGTTATAGTTATTAGAAGCAGACATCCTCCTCCCCTCCTCTCCTCTCCTCCCCTCCACTGCTCCATCCGCGGCCGTACTTTCTTGTACACTCTTAAGCCCGCTCCTCCCCCCCACGCCAATCTGCATCTGATTCCCTGGATCACTGCTATCTCTATCTATCAGATACTATATCAACTCAACTCCCCACCGCCTCGCCTCCGTTTCCCAGCGTCATCGCGAACCTTAACCCACCCCTTCCCGCTTGCCACTTGCGATGCTTCTCTGGTTTCGTCCTACGCTCTCAATGGCCATTCACTCGATCTAAACCTACCACTGTCTACTACCGTCAACTGCTGCCATCCATCTCCATCCCATCATTCCATCTGCACCCAGCCGATCTCACTTAACCCCTTCGCTCCCTCGCCGCGTCTCTCCTTCCACACCTCCCTCCTCACCACTCACCTCACCACTTTCTTACTCTACCACCACTACTACTACACCTCACTTCAACTACTCTTCATCAAACATCACATCCAACATGGCTACCCACGTTATCACTGCGACCGCGGCCAAGCCGATCTCCGTCTACGGCCACCCGTCTCCGGTTAACTCAGCCGAGACCACTCCCACCAGCAATTCTCCGACCTCTCCTCGCTATCAGCACCTGCCCCTGCAGTCGAAGCAGCTCCGTCCCCTCAAGGGCCCTCTCTACGTGCCGGCTGCTCTCCGTCCGAATGAGCGTCCCCAGAAGTCCTCTCCTCCCACTCCTCCCCGCAGCGTCCACGGCTCCCTGGACAGCCTCAGCGAGGGAGAGATCAGTGCGCCCGCCAGCCGTCGGTCGACCATGGAGAGTTACAACAGCGGCGCGGCGGTCAGCAAGCTGGCGGAGGACGAGTGGATGAAGAACGAGCACCTTGGCGCAGTGACTGGCCTGCCTACCCGCGACCACTGGAAAGTAAGTAAATCTGGACACTCCCCATACCCCTGATTGTGTGGGTGGTGCGCACACTTTTATAGTTGTGGGCATTACGCAAGCCGAGCCTCAGGTCGCGTGCGCTACCATGACGCGATCTCGCGTGATGGCATGACGACATCCGCCAACCCTCTCACAACACTACGTGCGACAGTGATGCTAACAGACTTTACCTTCAGGCTGACTCTGCGTCTCCCAACTGCGACTCCCCGACCTGCCGCTCCTCCTTCGGCCTCTTCCTGCGTCGCCACCACTGCCGCCATTGCGGACATGTGTTCTGCGCCTCCCACACCCCCTACGTCGTGCCTCTCGACCAGAATGCTCGCTTCCACCCCGACGGTGTGTCCTCCCGGGCCTGCGACCTCTGCTGGCATGCCTACCAGCGCTGGGAAGAGTCTCGCGCCGACCGCCTTACTCGCATCCAGAGCCTGATCGATGCGCAGAAGGCCACCGAGGGCGTCGAGCAGATCGAGACCGTCTCCGAGCACTCGGATGCCTCGCCGGACGAGGGACCCAAGTCCGCCCTCGCCGGCGTCATGGGCCAGAGCACCGAGATCGCCGCCAGCGTCCCCCGTGGCTGGAACTGGAGCACCTTCTAAACAACACGAACACAAACACAAACAATCTTACGACAACACTACTACGCGCCGATGAAATGTCCATACAACCCGCGTCGCCTTCACTTCGTACATACATGTTTTAGAACATACTTTCGCCGTCGCTTTCTTCAGCTTTCGCTTTCGCTTTACTTACACGGTTTCGGTCATCGCTTGGAGTTCGGATGATAACTGATAATGGATGGAATGGTTAATGGCCTTGTTTCTACTATGGGCGTTTCTTTTTTTTTTTTTTTTTTTTCCTTTGCTTTTCTTTCTAATGTGCTGTGACGGATCGTCCAGATGGAGGGTTGTTTCTCTTAATTGCTTTCTCCTTTACTACCAGGATACCCCCGTCATGCTTGTTTATGATCGGCGATCTCTTTGTTGGTTGTTTTATGGCGCAGACAGACAGACAGCTACGGCTGATAGAACGATTATTTTTTTTATCCTTATCTTTGTGTCTCTACCGTAGTCGTGGTACTCTATATTCATCAGCGTGAACTTTAGTTATGCTTTGTGATCATTGTATCTATTAGTCTTTGTACCCTGTAGATTTTAGTTTTACGGTGTGTCTATCGCTGTATCCCATTCAACATGCGGGAGTATTCATCATCCATCATCTTCTCCCATCAGACAGACACTCTTCGGCATCCTCACATACACCCCCATCTATCCACTTTTTTCTATCCACCCATCTACCCATTAATCCATAATCCATCCACCTCACGCACACACCTCATCTATCCGACATCCGACAAAAAAATCTAAGAAGAAAGAACAGAAACCCTTCTCCACATCCCCAAATGCTCAATCCCCTCCTCATCCCACCTCCCCAGCGCCTCATCCGTCTCAAACCCCAATCGCGCATACATCCCCTCCACGCTCGTCTGCGCATGCACCAGCACCAGCCCCTTCCACTCTGCTTCCCCTTCCAGCCCCGGCCCCGTCCCCTTCTGACCAACTAACCCACCCGCACCACCCCGTCTCCCCGCCATCTGTATCTCCCTCGGATTCCTCGCCGCCCACCCCAGCGCCTCCTCCACCAGTCGTCGGCCGAGTCCGTGTCCCCGCCACGGCTTTCGCACTGCCACGCGGGTGAGCTTTATGTATGGTTCGTGGGATTTGCTCTCCGGGATGTAGTCGGCTGGGTTGAGGCCTGCCGGGGGGGTGGCTAGGTCGGGAGTGGGATGCGTGCCGTGAGGGGGTGGGACGAGCCGGATTGTTGCGATGGGGATGGGGAGGGGGAGGGGGAGGGGGAGGGGAAGATCTTTTTCTTCTTTCATGGTGGGCGACTCGTTGGTGCTGCTGCTGGTGCTGCTGGTGCTGCTAGTGCTGCTAGTACTGGGTGAGGTGGTGATGGTGGTGTTGGTGCTGCTGCCGCTGCTAGTGCTGGGTGTGGTGGTGGTGGTGTTGGTGGTGGTGTTGGTGTTGGTGCTACCGGTACCGGTGCCAGTACCAGTAGATCCCTCCTCAACATAAACAACCCACGACCAGCTGCGTCCCTCGTCCTCGTCGATTTCTCCCTCCGGCGTGCAGTGCTGCTCGTCGATGAAGACTTCGCGGCGGATAGTGAGGGCGTCGTTGTGGAAGGGCGGGTTGGAGGGGGGGTGTGGGGTTGATGCCGTTGGGAGGGTGAGGGGGATGGAACCTGGTGGTGGGAGGGGGAGGGTTGTGAAGGTTGGTTTGGGGGTTGGTGGCATTTTTGGTTCTGGGTTTTGGGTTTGGTGGTGGTGGTGGGGATATAGATGAATGGGGTGGGTGACCAGGTTGATTGGGCTGGGGATGAAGATGGAGCTGGAGCTGAGACGGGAGGAATTAGATGGTTGGATTGGTTATGCAGAATAGATGATAGATGGGGCTTGGCTTACTTGAGAATATTTGCAGAGAGTGGGTGGTGGATCTGGAGAGGAGGGTAACTGAAGGTGCATGATAGGCGGGGATGGGGAGGGTTTTATATCTAAATGCCTGGTCTGGCTGGCTGGGGCTGTCGATCCGCGGAGATGCGGAGATAAGAAGGTGGTAACTACTAGTAATCTCGTTGTAGTCAACACTTGACAGTGAGTCACAGTCACAGCAATGCAGAATAAAAACAAGCTTATGAAAGATATACTTTACTACAGTTAAAAAATACCCAAAAGCAATCTCCAACCCATCACTCAATTCCAAACCCAGCACCAACCATATATCATCCCCATCCCACTCGATCACTATCACTATCACTATCTCCGCACACAACCAAACAATGCAAACAGCAAGTTTTCTCCAACCCATCCCTCCATCACCATCACCACCACCACCTCCTCCTCCTCCTCCTCTTCTTCCATCCCCCTCACCGCCAAAATGTCCCTCTACTACGACGCTGTCACCATCCTGACGGCCCCAGCAGCAGGCGGCTCCTTCAAATCGCGCATCTACAACTCGCGCACCCTGAAAGCCTCCCCGGCGCAAGTCTACGCCCTGATCATCGAAGCCTCGAAATGGGATCTCCTGCTGAAAGAAGTCATCGAGCATGCGGGGATACTTAAGCTTGAGCCGAAGGTAGACAGCCAGGCCCGCCCCAACCATCAGCCCTCATCCCACATCCCTCATCCATCATCCATCAACAACCCCCCCCCCCCCAAAAACCGAATACTGACTAACCAAGCCCGCCTAACGGCCCCCTCCCCCTCCCCGGGGACAGGCCAGGGCACAAACCAAACACACAGCTGACCCCGCTCCTCGCAACCCTCCTCGTGCACGACCACCTGCTCTCCAAATCCGGCATCGCGGCCAAAACCAGCCACCCCTTCCGGCAAGCGATCGAGCGACACAAAGCGCGCCTACGGGGGGAATTCACCAAAGCGCGGGTCCGACGCGGCTGCGCCACCATCGAGGACCTGAAGTCCGTCGTGCGGAAGGAGAAACTTGCCCTCTTGGGGCCGGCGGCTGCGGCGCTGGCTGGCGCGGTGCATCCGCGCTGGGTGAGGGTTAATAACCTGAAGAGTTGTCTGCAGGAGCAGCTGGATACGACGTTTCGGGGGTTTGAGAGGGTGGAGGATTTGAGGGAGTTGGGGACCGGGAAGGAGAAGGGTACGGAGAGTAAGAAGGTGTGGGTTGATCCTCATGTACCGGATTTAGTGGCGATCGCGCAGGGCGTGGAGATTTCGTCGTCGGCGGCGTACAGGGAGGGGAAGGTCATTTTGCAGGATAAGGCGTCGTGTTTTCCGGCGTATTTGTTGCTGGGGGATGAGGGGGTGGATGGGGATTTGCTGGATGGGTGTGCCGCGCCGGGGAATAAGACTACGCATATGGCGTCGTTGGTTGTTAAGGTGGATGCTACTGCTGCTGATGTCGATTCTTCTGCTGAGGGAAAGAAGCAGAGGAAGATGATGAAGGAGAAGAAAGAGAAGGGAGGGGTTAAGCGCCGCGTCTACTCGATGGACCAGTCGCCCGTCCGCGCCAAGATCCTCCAGAAGATGGTCACCACGGCCGGCGCAGATTCACTGGTGACTGTGCTCCCGGGCCAGGACTTCCTGGCGCTGGACCCAGAGGACGAGCGCTTCGAGGGCGTCACAGGGCTCCTACTCGACCCGAGTTGTTCGGGCAGCGGCATCGTGGGCCGCGACGACGTGCCCAAGCTGATCCTCCCGGAGATTGCCACGCCGGGCCAACAGACGGGGAAGAAGCGGAAGAGGAATAAAGCGGATGGTCATGGCGATGACGAGGGAAAGAAGAGTAAGAAGAAGGAGTCGGAGTCAGAGTCGGAGTCAGCCGTGCAGACCCCCTCCGCGACAGACGAGAACGATGTCGCCGTGTCGGGCATGGACGCCGAGCGGCTGGTCAAGTTGTCGAACCTGCAGACGAGGATCGTGGAGCACGCGCTCGGTTTCCCGGCTGCCACCCGCGTCACGTATAGTACGTGCTCGGTGCATTTGCTCGAGAATGAGGCCGTCGTGCAGCGGATTTTGGCGTCTGAGGTCGCGAGGGAGCGCGGGTGGAGGGTGCTGAGGCGCGATGAGCAGCCGGAGGGGATGAGGAAGTGGGGGTATCGGGGCGTGAGAGAGGAGAGGGTGCTTGGCGATGGGGATGGGGATATGGCTGGGAAGATGGATATTACCCTGTCCGAAGAGGAGTTGGAGGGGTGTCTTCGCTGTTGGCCTGGCGATGATCAGGGAACGGGTGGGTTCTTTGTGGCTGGCTTTGTGAGGGACGGCGCTGTTGAGGCTGTGGAGCGTGCTGGGGGTGCAAAGAAGGCGAAGAAACAGAAGCAGGAGCAGAAGCCGAAGGAAGAGAAGCGGACGCAGAAGGAAAAGCAGAAGGAGAAGCGGGAGGATGAGGAAGAAGACGAATGGGATGGATTCTCGGATTGATCATAGACAGATCCCGACATGTACAGATACAAAGCGCGCAGTATGTATAGACCGCATGTATGCATTAGAAGATATAGACCGGCTACGAACCCAGAAACACGCGGGCGCGATTCCGCGCCCTCTGCTGGGTAAAGACATCCAACTTGACCGCCACCAAGATAAAGTCCAGCCCGTCCCCATTCTGCCTCGGCTGGAGACAGATGCGCCACTGACCGTTCCGCACGATCCACGGCCTCGTGATAGCCGCCTCCTCAATACGTCGCCGTTTCGCCTGCGGCTCCTCCGACGATTGCCTCGAGCTGGCGATATCCCGGAAGATGTCGGGAAAAGACGTGGACTCGCCATCCACGGTGAGGTCCGTGTCGGCCGTCAGGTTCGCCCAGATGCGGTCCTCCGAGACCACAGTCGGGGTCTCCGACTTGGTCTGCTCGGCCTTCTTGCTGGCGATGATCTGCAGAAGACTGGTGATGCGGGCCTTTGTCAGATTCAGGAACGATGGCCGTTTGCCCGCCAGGTCGAGGATCGTGCTCTCGTCGCCGATCTCGACGACGAGATCGTATTTCTTGTCGTCGACGAACGGCCGCGAGTAGGTCACCCAGCCCGCGGCGGATAGGTCACTGGGATACGGCCCCCCGGGCCGAGGCATCTCCTCGACGTGTACCCCGGAGCGACGCACATCCTCGAGCCGGATGATAATCTCGTCGCGTTTGCGGATCGGGTTGAAGCTGATGTGGTGCGGTATGAGCTTCTGCTCGAGCCCCCGCAGGTGGAAGTAGCGACAGTCGCGGAGCAGCTCCGCGCGATGTGTTTCGTTCCGGATGTGCAGCGGGTATCCGCGCACGAGATGGAGGAGCTGCGCGAAGACGGCCCCCGAGCGGTTCGGCACGGTGGGTGGTGTGATGGCTGGCGGGCGCAGGAGGCCCTGGCGGTCCAGTCCGGGGAAGACTTCGATCGGGGAGGCGAAGAAGGCCGCGAAGCCCAGGGAGAAGAAGTTGGGGGAGTCGCCGGGTCCGGAGAAGAAATCGCGCGGGATGCTGAAGTCACGGTCGCCGATCTGGACGAAGATCTCCGATTCGAAGAGCTGCGAGATTAATCGCGGCACTGTCAGACGTCAGTCGCGGGTGGTGTGAAGGCTGGTGGGTTCAGCAGGGCGGGCAGGCAGGCGGGCAGGCGTACAGCGATAGAATTGCGCGTCTGCGAAGAACTTCACGAACTGCGAGCCGTCCTTGGGCTCGATGAAGTAGCCTGTGCGGAATCCAATGGTCAACTCAACTGGGTACAGTTGGCCGGCATATATCAACCCATGGTGTTGTCACCCACCCTGCAGATGTTTCACGATCTCCTTGAATGTCGTCGGGTCCCGGTCGATGTAGAGCGTGCGAACGTTCGACGTGTCCCCGCCATGGCGCAGCTGGTCCTCAAAGAAGCGGGAGAAGTACGACGGGGCTCCAGAACGTTTAGTGATAGTCCGTCAGAGAGGCGACTGGGTCGACTGACCATCGGAGGCAAGAGAGGCTCCCGAGAGACGGAAGAGCTCTGTGCCTATCTGGATCGAGAAGACCTTCTCCGGGGGGAGGGTGCACTTGGGATCGCGGTTGGGTGGGCCCGACTGGCCTGGTTCACCCGCCATGCTGGGTTGTTTCGGTCGCGATTGTGGCCGGGCAATCGAGGATGGGTGTGAAAGCTCCAGGTCGACAGCGACCGGATTGATCAGGTCAGGTCGAGTCCTCGGACCGTCATCTCATCGGGCGAAACACTGGATGAGGGAGGAGGGAGGAGCGCGCAATGCGACGGCGCCAGCAGCCGCGGCGGTCGCAACGGTCGCGACGGTCACGGGCCGGAGCTCCGGAGCCAGCATTCCGGGAGTTTCACCACCAGCTTAACTACTAACTAGTAACTTAGTGTCAATATCAAGGAGGCAGACACACACACTCTGCTCCACCCCCCACCCTTAAGACCCGGAAACCTCCTGCTCATCTGGACCTAGCTATAGTTCCCAAAATGGCAAGGCAAGTACATGGATGGATACATAGGAGGAGGGTATCAGGATTGAAGTCATTGGAAGCACGGGCTGATATACAACCAGGCGGCGAAAGAAGAGTTTGGGGGGTGGGTGGGCGATAGTGAGGTGACTGACAAGGTGACTGACAATAAAGGAAGAAGCAACCGATCAATATCCATCCGTTTCACATGGACTCCTTTTTTGCCTCGGCGGGTCCGCACTGCATGATCGTCGGCTCGGTCCACTCTCTGCATCCGGCTTCAGCTTTCATGGTTCGCCGCGGGAGCCTCGACCGCCCCAAAATGGAGTCAACCGTGCCTGCCATGCAACCATTGGTGTGGTTTCCTTATTTCCCAGTCAGTAGCAGCTTCCCCGCTTCTCGCAAGCCATGCTGATCTGCTGGTCCGGGAAGGGGCAGGCGCATCCACTGTTCTTCACGCATGGCACTGCCTCCTCCACCGCTTCTTCTCCTCGATCCGCCATAGCCATGATCTATCTCTGCATGCCCTTCTACTTATAGCTATCGTTAAGCCCATCCGCACTTGTTTGACAATACCTATCCTTAGTGCAGCCATCAACTGCCATGGCTTACGTGCCCTTGGACGTGCCTCTCCCCCCCGTCTCCTCCACCCCCATCTTCACCGGTCACCAATGGGTGACTCTCATGGCCCTGGCCGATACGGTCATCCCCTCCATCCGCGGCCCTACCGCCTACAAGTCCGCCTCAACCAAGGTGATCCCGCATTCTGAGTTGAACAGGAATATCTCCACCTTGGCCAGGAGCGCGTCCGGCCCTGGCTCAGATGCGACCACCATCGCGATCCAGTATCTGGAGGAGGACGCCTCGTCCAACCCGCACTTCCGCGAAGCCCTTCAGCGTGTCTTCTCCGACTTCGTCCCCGAGGAGGGCAGATATGGCTTGAGCTCTGTCTTGACGGCTCTCAAGTAGGTCACCCCCCCTCAGCAGCCGCCTCGTCCTGCAGGCAGCGAAGCTAACTGCCAGCAGTTCCCGAGCCGGCTCACTTCTTCTGACTGGATCGGTCACTCTGATTCAAGACCAACCTATCTACATGCGAGAGAGAATATTCCGCGGGTGGGAGACTTCACGCCTGAGGCCGATGCGCGCGGTGTACCGGGCTCTCTCGGGCCTCTTCAAACGAACATGGGTGACAAATAGCCCCACGCTGTGTCCCGTCCTCGGTTTCCCACGGGTGCCCGTCCACGGCAAGCCAGCCGATGGCTTCAAGTTCTCCTTCGTCCAACTCCCTCCCGCCGAGGAAACGGAGATCATCGAGACTGACGTCGTCATCATCGGCAGCGGCTGCGGCGGCAGTGTGGCCGCGAAGAATCTCGCCGAAGCCGGCCACAAGGTCCTGGTGGTGGACAAGTCGTATCACTACGCGTCAAACCAGTTCCCCATGAATGCCAACGAGGGGTTTATCAACATGTTCGAAGCAGGTGGCGCGGTGTCCACCGATGACGGCTGCATGGCCGTTCTGGCAGGGTCGACCTGGGGTGGCGGCGGTACCATCAACTGGTCCGCGTCCCTGCAGCCCCAACGATTCGTGCGGGAGGAATGGGCCAACAGCGGCTTGCCCTTCTTTACGACGATGGAATTCCAACGGTCCCTGGACCGCGTCTCGGAGCGGATGGGCGTGAGCAGCGAGCATATCAAGCACAACAAAGGGAATCGCATGCTGCTCGAAGGATCTCGGCGGTTGGGATACGCGGCGAAGGCCGTCCCGCAAAACACGGGGGGCAATGAACACTACTGTGGCTATTGTACATTGGGCTGCCACTCGGCCGGCAAGAAAGGCCCCACGGAGACGTTTCTGGCCGATGCGGCCACGGCGGGCGCGGTCTTCATGGAGGGCTTCCGTGCCGACAGGGTTATATTCGCCGAGACAGAGGGCGGCAAAGCGGCGTCGGGCGTGGAGGGAACGTGGACGTCTCGAGACTCTTACCTGGGCGAGACCGGCCTGGGAGCGGTGAAGCGGAAGGTGATCATCAAGGCTCAGCAGGTCGTCGTGTCCTGCGGTACGCTGCAGAGCCCTCTGCTGCTTCTTCGCAGCGGGCTGCGGAATCCCCACATCGGCCGCCATCTGCATCTGCATCCAGGTAAGTCATGTTTGTCGTGTTGTTTGCAGCCAGCTAACTCGATCAGTGGCCATTGCCGCCGCGGTGTTCGACCACAAGACCCGCCCCTGGGAAGGCGCCGCCTTGACATCCGTCGTCAACGAGTTCGAGAACCTGGACGGCCACGGCCACGGGGCCAAGATCGAGGCTCTGTCCATGCTTCCGGCTGCCTTCCTGCCGCTGTTCCCGTGGCGCGATGGCCTAGACTTCAAGCTGTGGGCGCACAAGCTGACGCGCATGGCCGGTCTCATCATGTTGGCCCGGGACCGTGATACCGGGCGAGTGTACCCCGATCCGGTCGACGGACGATGCCGCATCGCCTACACGGTGTCCCCCTTCGACCGTAAGCACATCGTTGAGGCTCTCGCCGCCAGCGCCAAGATCATGTTTGTGTCCGGCGCCCGGGAGATTCATACCACGTCGCGCGAGATTCCTCCGTTTATCCGGTCGTCGGCCTCGGACGCGGAGGATGCGGAAGGGGTCAACAACGCGGGACTCCAGGCGTGGATCGCGGAGCTGCGGCACAAGCGTCCATTGAACCCAGAGCGGACGATGTTCGCTAGCGCGCACCAGATGGGGACGTGCCGCATGGGCAAGTCGCCGAAGACGAGCGTGGTGGATTCGGATTGCGGGGTCTGGGGGACGCAGGGCCTGTACGTCGTGGACGCGTCGGTGTTCCCCAGCGCCAGCGGCGTCAACCCGATGATCACGAACATGGCGATCGCAGACTGGGCGAGTCGCAACATTGCCCGATCGATGCGGCGGCAGGAGGAGCGGGCCCGTTTGTAAGGGTCTATCTTTACGCTGTCTCATATCCTAATTGTACATTGATACCAGTCGGTCGTGGCCGGATCCACGGGGGTTTATATTGTTAGCATGCCAATGAATGCATTGATTCTTCATTCGGTTATAGGCAGTCATGAGTGAGAAGTCTAGTTGCCGCCCTCCTTCCTCTTCTCGATGTAGTTCTTGGGCCGAGGGCCTCCCTGACCCCGTCGCTCTCGATGGTCCGCTCGTACCAGGCGATCACATTGGGATAGCTCCTGCGCATCTCAGCATCAACAACCATGGAGAACCCCCAGACCAGAGCACTCGCCACCGAGATATCCGCCAAGCTCAACTTCTCCGTCCCCGCCACCCAGGTCTTCCCCGCCAAGTGCTTGTCCAGATACCCCAGACTGCGCCCCAACTTCTCCAACGCGAGCTTCTCGACCGCCTCCTCGTACGCCTTGAAGCCCACCCGCCACAGGATCAACGGAATCAAATGCCCCAGGATCTCGGCCTCCGCGTAGCAGATCCACTGTCTGATGGTGGCGCGTTCCGCGGCGGCTGTTCCGAGCAGCTGGGCCGCGGCCGGACCGCTCTCCGCGACGTATTGCGTGATGGCGTCGGATTCGACCAGCAGGGTGCCGTCGGTGGCTTCGAACGCGGGGACTTTTCCGAGAGGGAATTTGCTGAGGAAGGCCGGGGTTTGGTTTGTGACGCGCATTTCGAACGCGGGGTATTCGAGTTTGAGGTTGTTGAGGTTGGCTGCTGCTTGGGTCTGGGGGGTTGTTTTTTTTGGGTTAGTTGGTTGGTTGGTTGGTGTGGTTTGTGGTTTGTGGTGTGGTGTGTGGTGTGTGGTGGGCTGGTTGAAGGGGGGGGTTGGGGAGGTATTTGGGGATAGATTGGGGGGTTAGATTTGGGGGATAGATTTGGGGGATAGATTTGGGGGACAATTGGGGGGGGTTGGATTGAGGTCGGAGCAGACGCACCTTCATAACCCGGGGGTTGTTGGGATAGGTCCAGATGGTTCCGATGGTGGTCATTTTGGCGGTTGGGATGTGATGTGTTGTTGGGGAGGGATTGGTTTTAGGAGGAAGAGGAGGAACTTAGAGAATAGGAGTGGAAGTGGAAGTGGATAAGAGGAAGAAGAAAAGAAAATGGGAGGGGAAGGACAGGGCAGAAGGGTCTGTTAACTATGTGAGTTGAGCTGGGTTGAATTGGATTGAGTTGAGTTAAGAGGAGTGAGTGATTCAAGGGGACCCCAGCCTTTCTTTATAACCTGGCAACGTCAAATGTAAAGTGTCACTTCACTTCACTCACTCACTGTCATCCAATAATGCACCCCATCGAAGGGATTAGAACCTAGAACCACACACACACCCCACTCCACCGCCCACTATGCCAGGCATGCTGCACTGCACTGCACTTCTGCTCCTGCTCTGCTGCTGGCCGTGGTTGATTCCTAAGACTCTCCCCCCGATGACAAATCGGCAGAAATAGCGGTGGACCCCGGCGACGGCGGCGGCGGCGGAGCGGAGTATAAGCTTTTTTTGCAATTCGATGGCGATCGAAGGCGATCGAAGGGTCGTTTCATCTTGGTTTGTCATGTTCGTGGTTCTGCGGTGGAACCAGCTAGTTACCTAGTATCTACCTGCATCTCATCCCATCCATCCTGTCTGCATGTTTGCTTTTTTTTTTTTTGGCAGGGTGTGGTGCGGTGATCTTTGCCTTGTTTAGGTGGGGACTCGGGGATATTTTTCAGGATGAGGGTGGGGGATGGATGATCCGTCTGGTGGGAATTTGGATAGAGTTGATAGATACTATACCTGGGTACAGGGGATGGATGGCACATGCATGGATGGAGATTGAAAGTATGATCTACTTTCGATTTGGCATTGTCGTCCACGGTTGATAAGTATGTTGATATGGCGCCATCCCGACTAAGAGGCGGCGGGGGGTCTGATTGGGGCTTCGGGTGTTGGACCGGTCGCGCCGAGCTGCCCCGGCGATCTTGACGCGGGGAGGTCAGCACTCTATTCTGCCTTCTCTCGAGGTCACTTTGGAGGGTGTATCTTGATGATTAGGGATTGGTGGAGTTTTTATTTAAGACTTGCTCTTGCTCTATGCTTTGGGTTCTATATAAATTGTTCCACCCTGTAAAATGGAGGATGGAGGAGCGGCTTCTTGGCCCCCCCCCCCCCCCCCCCCCGGGAACTTATATCCGCGGGCTGTGAGTGTGTGTTACTGATGCTTGTTTATATGTCTTCGAGTGATGGGTGGGAAAGATAATGTTGGGCTTCATTTTTATTTTTAGAGTAGTATTGAAGTAGCTGTCTGGTGCATATTTAACAGGGCTTATTCTGCTTGTGAATGGTAAATAACATTTCATGAACGCCCGTCACAGATATACAATCTTGGCATGGCATGGTAGACACCGAGTCAAATCCTTAGATACTATACCATATCATTCACTTACAATGAAAACCACCCATTCACTTAGTTAGGCTACAGTGGTATCATGGCAACCTCAAAAATGTTTCACCCATCAGAGAGTGCCGTCGTCGGACAAACCACCTCACCATCTTCAAACTTGCTATCCAACGGCTGATATCCAGCAGCTATGGATCCAGTAATGAAGATCATCGGCGCTTATCCAGAAGACGACGACTCGACTGCGCTCATCGTCAGGAACAAGCGCCTATCCGTCCTGAAAGAGGAAGCACCGAGATTGATGAGAGATGCCCGCGCCACTCGTAAGCCGGGATCCGGCATCTCTCACCTGAATCTGATGTCGCTCATATACAGGAGTTGGCTCTTCCAGCTCCTCGAGTATATCGCTGTCACCATAGGCTTACTCGTGTCGCTGCTGCGATCGAGGTATCAGCATTTCCAGCATCCGAGGTAAATCTTCTTCTCATCTTCAATCGATCCCATCGGTGCTAAGCTAACGTCATTCTGTGTTTCATATAGCACCACCCATCCTCCTCCACCCCTGAACCGCAAAACCACCACCCAAGCACTCCAGCCCTTGATCCTCTTCCTCGCAGCACTCGACGCCGCACATGCCTTCTCCAACACAGCAAAACCCGACATCCCCACCGACCAGATCACCGTCCACGGCGCCGCAGAACTCAGTACCCACATCGACATCCTCCCGCAGCAACACCCTATCCCTATCCCCCTATCTCAGACACCGTATCGGGTATACGATAAATTCGACCAGACGGTCGAGATCCTCACCGGGGCAGTCAGTCTACTTCGTGACCCGTAAGACATCATCAACCATCCCTCCCCCATCTCCTGCTCATGCTCACAGCTGACATGTCACAGAGCCATCTGCACCGCCGCCGTCTCTCTGCTCATCGAATGCATCACCGCCATAAAGTACAGCGGCCACGCATACGAGATCTCAGTTCTGCTGGGCCTTTCACTCATCGGCGTGCTCTCTGCGGCGGCCGGGTATATTTGGAATCGGAGTGCACCGAGAACCGACGTATCAGGATCTGGTGGCTTATGCGTTGGAGGAGAGCGGGATGGAATACGGTAGAGTGGGAAATGGCGCTGGACCCTGCGAATCAGTTCGATGATGAGACGCCCGAGGAACTCGTGCAGTTCGGTATCCTGGATTTGGTGGCGCCCGCGGGAACAGTGCACGATATGTACGTGACGCGGTATCGCAGGAATGGGATTGTGGTCAGGGGGTCGGTGGAGGGGAGGGCTGCGAGCATGGTCCCGGGGGGGGGTAGATCATACCGGATATAAGATATCGTATGGCGTTGGACAGACGGACGAGATAGACACGGCGGATCAAGACATGCTGGTCGCTGCGATTTGCCGTTCCTGGGCTCGTCTGGGCGAAGGGGATCCCGCCCCCATTCAACTGATCTCAATCGAGACCTTCAGGGAGTCGGACTCATCGACCTTTTCTTCGGTCTGGACCGAGACATCCAGCTCGAAAACATCGAGGTTGTCGGCCTTATGAAGGGATGTTTATAAAAATGAAAAAAAAAAAAGCCAACAGCCTCGGCATCAACCGAGCTCATTCATTCAACCAACCCAGAAACAGAAGGATATTTCCATTCCCCGTCCCCCCTTCCCCACCTCCTCCAAACCACAACCCCCCTGCACCCCCACAAACCACCATCTCGCCGTCCCCGTCCGTCGCCCCTACAACTCTCCTCGCCTCCCCCAACCCCCCACACCACCCGCAAAAGACAAACTGCACGCCCCCAACCCTCACCAGGTCCCCCAGCGCATACCGCGCCTCAGAGCCCCCCTCGCGCGGCTTCACCCCACACTCCAGACAGAACCGATTCCCTTGCTTCCGGCCGTATCGGCCCCGTCCGTGTCGGAGCATCCGGTCCGCGAAGGTGTGTCCTGGTCGCAGTCGCAGACAGTACCGGCAGGCGTAGAGGTTGTGGGCGATCGCGAAGGGGCTCGTTTCGGCGGCGAGGAGTTCGGTGTGTGTTGGGGGTGGGAGGAGGGTGTGGAAGTAGTGGTTTGTTTGTCTGAGGTGGTAGAGGGTCGGGAGGAGGGGGAGGGATTGCGCGATCAGGAGGTGCAGCTCTGGGGGGAGGGTGAGGAGGGGGCATTGCCTTTGAGTTGGATGTGGATTTGGATTTTGGCTTGGGGATGGGCATGGGCATGGGCATGGGCTCGGGCAGGTGCTGGGCATTGGGATTGTGTTTGTCTCTGTCTTTGTTTCTTTGCGTTGGGGTTGCGTATGGAGATGACGGATGGTGTTTGCTCACGAACCAGGATATCGAGTTGTTGGCTCCGAGGGCGTTGACTTGCCATTGTTGATGCGTTGCGCTGCGTTGCGCCGAGGGGGGGGGGGGGGGGGTGATGTCATAAGCGGAGCGGGGAAGAAGAGGAAGAAAGAATGCGGAGGGGAAAAAGAGGGGGGGGTTTATACCGGCCACGTGCCCGCGTCCTGATTTTCGAGGCTTCGCTTGCATGCCTGTATATCGAGGCAATTAACGCCAGGCGTGCCCTGCCCCATCGTTCCCTCCTCCTTCAATTCAGCCGAATACAGTTGCTAAGCATCATTCATTATGTCTATTTTGCTCGTCCACAGTACACACTCTAATCCTGTCTCGCAGGATCCTGCCCCGGCTTGTTCTGGAGATACTCATCAATCTCAGCCATCACCTCCGGCGTCAGCTTCGGGAGCAGCTTCAAGCTCTCCACGTTATCCACGACCTGCTCCGGCCTCGACGCTCCGGTGATCACCGCCGACACGTTCTCGTTCTTCAGGCACCACGCCAGCGCGAGCTGCGAGAGCTTGACTCCCAACTTCTCCGCGATGGTCTGTATGAAAGAACCCCATTAGCTTTCCATCCAAGACATGTTCCCACTTTAACCGTCATCACGACGACCAAGAAGGGAGGGAAAATAACATACCGACAACCCTCTAATCTTCCTAATATTCCCCGCCCACTGCTCATTCTCCCAATCGCCGCGCACGCTACTGGCAAACCGATCCTGACTCTCCGCGAACCGCGACCCGGGCGGCGGCTGCGTCGTCGCATCATTATACTTCCCGCTGAGCAGCCCCATCTTCAAGGGCGAGAACGTGGTCAACCCGATCCCGCACCGCGTGTACAGCCGCTGGTACTGGCCCTCGACCTTCTCGCGATCCAGCATGTTGTACAGCGGCTGCTCGACGATGGGCGCAATCAGACCCAGCGTCTTCGCGATCCCGCACGCCTCCGTGATCTCGTCCGCAGACCACTCCGACGTGCCCCAGTAGAACGCCCACCCCTTCTCGATGACGTGGTTGAACGCCCGCACCGTCTCCTCCATGGGCGTGAGACGGTCCGGCCGGTGCGCGTAGATGATGTCGACGTATTCGAGTTGTAGTCGCGACAGCGAGGCTCGTGTGCCTTCGACGATGTGTTTGCGCGAGAGCCCGTGGTTGTTGATTAGGATCTCGCCGTTCGCGAGACCCCAGTTTAGCTGCGAGGGTTAGTTGCGATGGTCTCTTTGCTGGTAACGATGTAAAGATGTAGGGAGAGAAAGGAATAGGCGGGTTGCCAACCTTGGTGGTGATGACCAGGTCGCTGCGCGCCCAGCCGAACTTCTTGATCGCTTGTCCCATCACGATCTCCGATTGACCGCCCGCGTAGCTCTCGGCGGTGTCGAAGAAGTTGATTCCGAGGTCGTAGGCTTGTTTCATGCAGTTGAAGGTGATTTCTGCGATGGTTAGTTATGGCTTGTAGTTGTGTGTTGGCGACAAGTCGTACCGTTTTCCACGTGGCCTCCGAATCTATCCAACAAAAGATGATGTGAGCTGTTATTCCGTACACATCTGACCGACCACTTGACAGCTGGAAAGTACTCACGTCAACCATCCCCCCAACCCCAGCGCCGAAACATGCAGACCCGAGTTCCCGACCCGGCGGTAGAGCATATCCTTGTTCTTGTTCGGCCACGCCATGGTTATGGTTTGCACGCAGCACAATCCAATAATTGTCGACAATTGTTGGATTTGTAGAAGGAAGGGGATGGAGGGGCACCGGCCAATTTATCTCACTGCACTGCGACAACGCGTCAGAGAGCAGGGGCATGTTGGCGATCGATCGGCCCCGACGCGAACCCCGGTCCTTCTGCTGGTGTGAGTGGCCCGGAGAGGGGCTCGGGGGAATACTCGGAGGGGCTGCTGTTAGGCTGGCGCTAGTGAGGAGGGGGCCTGGAATTGGCTGTGCTGGCACTGGGCAGCCGTGGGAATGGATCAGGGTCTGGCTTCATTTTCGGAGGAATAACTCCGTGTACAGAAGATGGGTGTGGTGAGGGTGGTATTTACTATTTAAAGGGGGAGGAGCAGTTGGGTATAAAGGGAGCTTGGGGACGTCGGAGGGTGGCAGATTTTTCTTTGAGCGACTTTTTGGTCTGGTGTGGTGTTTTTTTTTTTTTTTTTTTTTTGCTTTTACTTTGGCCAGTTTGTCAACCTTGGGCGATGGGCGATGGGCGGAAATGTCCATTGAAGTGTGGTGAGCCAGAGGAAGTCCCCAGGTGCATTCCATACCGAGTCCCTAAGTTCTAGCACTGTTAGTTTGTTTGTCTATGTGTCTTGTGTGGTATGTTGAATTCATCAAACTACACCAGCATACATGATTGTGTCTCTGTCTATCTCCGTGATTTGATTCCGCATTTATTCCGACTCACAATGCCTAGATAGCTAGCTAGATACCTCGGATGGCCCAGGCACGGGTGGGTCCGACAATGGCGTGCCCCGTGGAGAAGAAGACGCCATCCCTCGCATCGTTATCAGTGGACATTCGCTTCACCACCACCACCACCACCACCTCCGTTTTTCCTGCAGGATCGTAAGACCCTCCGCCAATGGTCTCCTCACTTCACTGCACTCGCGGCCACGCTCGAGTCAACCCGCGGATACGCCACGCTGCAGTGTCTCGCCTTGAGCTGCGCTCCAACCGACCCTTGCTCTGCCCCGCAATGCCCTCGGGATGATCGTCTCTCTTTGGATGCGCCCCCGTTGCTTTGGACCATGCAACGTCACGCTACTGCATACAATTCGCAGCAATTGACACTCCTCACCGCAAATTTTCTTGCCATCGCAGTTCTGCAACCTGTCATGCATTCAGCTGGATTTCCCTGCGATACTTCCACAACATAATCCCCGCGAGATGGCCTCCAGATCGAGCATCACGAAAAAGGCCTGCGACGGCTGCAAGATTCGCAAGATTCGCTGCGGAGGCGGCCAACCCTGCCAGTCTTGCTTCAACGCGCGCATCAAGTGCACCTACATTCGGGTTCAGCAGCCCCGTGGCCCTCAGAAACTGCGTGCGACAACAAAGTACCTCATCGATCAGGCGCAACGGGGGCTCGAACCGCAGACTCTACCCTCGGCTTTGTCGAGCGGAGTGGTCGATGACACCCCGCCACCGGTACCGCAGAGATGCGCAAAGGCAGAAAGGTGCGCTCATGTGTCTCCAAGGAAATATGCTGTCCTCTGGCACGATGTTGTGTGTTGCCCGATGGACTAATCTTTACTACGAAGCAGATCTCGGATCCCCACGAATATCCTCGCCGCCCCGCTCTATATCTACCACGTTCGGATGTACCCCGTCTGGCCCATTGTGGACGTTGAGACCGTCATGTCCATCCTGCAACAGGATACCGAGGAGCAAGACCATGAAACCTATGCGCTGGCCACCGCGGTGGCAGCAGCGACAATTGCGCAGCTCAGACTCGGACAGAATTCGCTCCCCGACAAGTCGATAACTGCCGAGACGTTTGCGACCGAGTGTATGAAAGCGCGTAGGTTATGCGATTACCGCTCGAAGCTCAATCTGAACAACGTGAGGACCGCGTTCTTCCTGCATGTCTACTACGAGAACCAACAGTCAGGGGCCAGCGAGTCCCTGCTGTACTTGAGGGAGGCCATAACACTGGCACAGATGATGTGCCTCCATCGAGAAGCCTCATACAGCAGCCTTCCACCGGACGAGCAGCAGATGCGCCGTCGTGTGCTGTGGTTGCTCTTCGTCACAGAACGGTAAGAAGAATGAATGTCTTTGATGCACGGGCGAGTCTAACTGGCCAGCGGCGTTTGCATCCTCCATAAACTTCCGGTAGTCTTGAGGACCGACATATCCACTCCGGAGCTCGATGCCAACGACGAACCTCAGGTCTTGCCCGCATTTCTGAAACTCCTCAATCTCTTCCGCCTCTTTGAGCAGTCCAAGATGTTCGATATCATCGAGGACGATGGTGGAATAGACACAATCTCCAACGAGGTCAAAAACCTAGATAGGCGGTTCCTCCGGCTGTTGCAGGATAACCTGCAGGACGGCTCCGCTCTGCTGGACCACATCTCAGACGTGCAGAAAGCGGACCTGTGCGTCACCAGACACTGGATGCGCATGATCCTGTGGAAGGTCTCGTCCAAGAAAAGTGGCGGCTCCCCCTCGTCCTACTCGTCGTCCCCGTCATTCCCCATCATGGTCGCCAAAGAGCTCCTGAATATAGTCTCCCAACTACCTAGAACGGCCATCGAGGCACATGGTCTCGGCATGGTAGGCACTCTCCTCCGACACACCCTCTCAAAGGGACGTATTAACCCAAAAACAGGAGTTAAAGCTGTACGAGATCGCCAGCTCTCTCGCCGACGCCGTAATAGACCTAGCCATGCTGCCGCGAGCCCCCGCATGGGACGGGGAAAGCCGCCCCAGCAGCATCCTGGCGCGCTTGCATTCGATCCTCTCCACCTTCCGGGGCGGGGGAAACAAAGAGCTAGCGGAGCTACTGTATAAGAAGATGGCAGACGCCCAAGCTAGCAGCGGTCCTGCATTGGCGGCGCCCATAAGAGACACCCACCCACCAGTCAGGAGTAAATTGCCAGCTGAAACGACCCATCCAGCTTCTGGTGGAGAACGACTAGCCCGGAAGAGGCCTCCAGCGGTAGACGCTGCGGGCCATGCTAATGCGATCAGCAATTGGGCTGATGCGCTCCAACCGTCTGCCCTGCAGCCTATTGGCCATGAGCCCGTGCACGGTAGTACCAGTTTGAACCCCAGTGAGGGGGCCCGGTACGATGATCTCCAGCCACTGGAGGATACTTCTATGTTCTTCTCGGGCTTTCTGGGTGGCATCGGGATCCCAGAGACGGACCTTGCGTGTGGATACCCTGCCACCTCCACGCCATACCCTTTTCTGGAGGATACCACGACTACGACCCCCTGGAGCATATCGCTGTCCCCTTCTCTTCCCTCTGGCTCTGTCGAGATGTTGATCAGCGACTTCATCTCCCAGATCCCGGAAGCACATAGTATACCATCTGCACCGTACATCTCCAGCAACGACTTTCTAGACCCTTCTCTCCTTAACGAGGGCTTTCTCGCTTGACCCCTCCAGCTAATATACCGGCACGAAAGTTTGGTCCTGGTGAGAATTATGCATATTATATACCCATAGCCGGTTCGGTTCATCAGCCCATCAATTATGAAATGATTACACGTCAAAATGTCACATATCAGACCCATTAGCATCGGAGCGCATCGCATGACACCGTCAAGATCAGTCCCTCTCTTCTCTCTTCTCTTCTCTTCTTCTCATTATTACCCACTCCGCCCAGTATCAGTATCAGTACTTAAAGCGGAAATCCAGCCGCTGGTTCCCCTCCTTATCGCGCGCCGCCTGGTCAGACTGGTACAGCACGCGTTCTTCGGTGGTCATAGCATTCCACTTGCGTTCCTTTTGTCTGTTCAAATGGCGGAGCCATTCCCGCTGCCCGATGAAGACGAACAGCGTCAGCACGCAGATCGAGATAAGCACTTTGTTGCCGGTGTAGTAGTACGGTTGGTCGCTTGTGCGGTAGATTTCTGGGAAGGGTTCGTTAGAATTTTACCGGCCCCAATCAGAATATTCATAACCCCTTTCCCCCGGGGAAGGGGAAAAGAAAGAAAGAAAGAAATGAAAGAAAGAAAAGAGGGAAAGGGGCAAACTCACGACTCGAAATCACCGACCCCACCTGCACCACGACATTATACGTGGCCGCGGTAATGGCCCTCTTCTTGACATCGAACGAATTCTCCGAGATCCACGCCGACACAATCGGATGGAAGTACGGATATCCGGAGATCAGTGTACTGATGGTGAACCGGGCCCAGTCGCGTCCACCGGCCGGCATCGTGAGCAGGACCGCCAGCAGCGGCAGCGCCCAGATCTCGCCGAAGAAGCAGTGGAACGTCCGCTCGCCGAAGTAGTCGCTGCTTTTGGAGAGCGCGAGCATGAGGATGATCTGTAGGGCGGCGTACGGGATGCTGAGCATGTTGGCGTCGAAGGTGCTGAAGCCCAGCCGTTTCAGGGTCAGGGAGAGGTAGCTGGAGACGGGCGATTGGGGGATGTAGGCGATGAGACCGATTAGGTACAGGCCCCACATTGAGGGGTCGCGCCAGGCTTCGAGGATGTCGCGCATTGTGGCGTGCGAGTTGATGTGCGTGAGACCTTTGGAGGGGTCGTCGCGGAGGAGGCGCTATATGATTGTGATTGGGGTAGGGTTAGTTGGGTTGGGTTGCGGGGGATGGGGATGGGGATGGGGATGGGGATGGGGATGGGGATGGGGATGGGGATGGGGATGGGGATGGGGATGGGGATGGGGTTATGGGGAAGAGGAGGGCGTACGTTGATCATGATGACTTCTTCGCGCTCCGTGTACCATGGCCGCGGGCACAGGACGCTCTTGGTGTTGGTGGGAGAGCTGGGGAGGTAGAAGACGCTCTGGAGGCTGTTAGAGGTGATTTCTGGAAGAGGGATTGGTTTATGAAAGGGAAAGAAGACATACGATCAATCCGATAACAAACGTAAGCAGTCCATCAATAAGGAACAGCCAGAACCAGCCACTCTTTCCCTGGACGCCGCGCATCTCGAGGATTCCGGCCGCGAGAAGGGAGGAGATGATGCGCGCGACCTGGAAGCAATGTTAACTGTGACCCACCCCTGCGGACGAGAGAAAAGATGGGGACATACGTTCAGCGTAGACCAGAAGAACGACAACCGCACAGACAGCTCCTTCGTCTTGTAAAAGTAGGTCGCGAACAGAATCGTACCCGGGATGAACCCGCCCTCGAAGGCCCCGATCAACGCCCGCGTAATATAGTAGCCTGCCCGGCTGGTCATCCAGGCCTGGGTCCACGAGACCAAGCTCCAGCAGAGCATCATGATGGGCAGCACGCGCTTGAAGCCGTAGCGCTTGATGAGCAGCTGCACGGGGAACTCGGCAGCCAGGAAGCAGATCAGTTGGATGGTGGAGCCCTAGTTTTCTTTTTTAGCCATGCTATGCCATGTGTGTGTGTGTATGTGTGTGTATAGCCCAGGGCTGGGAGAGGGTACGTACGTTGTTGTAGTCGTCCGTCGTCATGCCCAGATCCTCGAGGAAGTTGTCGGTCAGCGCGTTGGACAGATTTCCTCGGTCGAGTTGGAGGCCGAAGAACTGCGAGTGTTAGTATTGTGTTTCTTTATGGAGGGGTTGGATTGCACACCATGACACAGATCCAGGTCATCAGCATCAGATCGGTCTTCATCACCAGCTTCCGCTCCTCCTGTGGCGTCCAGGATGCCGTCGGATCGAACCGATGATATCCCTCGTAGGACTCATGGGGGGCAATGACACCCGCGAGATGTTCCTGACCAACCTCGATCGACACCTTAGAGGACTGCGTATCCTCCGCAGTCTGGGTCTTGATCGAGCCCTTGTAGCCCAGCTCGGCGTCCGACATGGCTGCTCTTCTTCTTCTTCTTCTTCTTCTTCTTCTTCTTCTTCTTTCACGCCCGCAAACAACAGAAGAGGTGAAAACCAGAAAAGAAGAAAAGCCCAACGGTCAAATTCTGGTAACCTCCCGGGCTAGACATATACAGATACTTATAAGAATGAATCAGTAAGCATGGCCAGCCTCCACGCCACAACGACCGGTGTGTGCTAGACAAACACCACAGTCAATATTCGCCATCACGGAGATGACAGCTTGTCTCGCCCAGCCAACCATAGCCATGGCGTTTGAGTGTGTCGCTGCCCGCCATGAATACCTTCAACCCGGAAAACGAGACTAACTGGATGGCACAAGACGGATCACCGAGCACATCATCGCCTAGAAGCCCAACCCACCAATGCCTGGCCAATGGCCCTGGGCTGCCCCGGAAAATTCCCTTGGGTCGTGGCATGGGTCTGACGGGGCTAGTTAATTTTTATTGTTATTTTTTTTGTTTTGTTTTCGTCGATCCTGTAGTAGCGGATTAAATGCAGTGCTGCTTGAAGGTCGCTTCCCCGGAATTCCTCTGTTCGATGCATCTCGGCAGTCGTAGTCCCCCCATTTCTTCTGGGATCGAAGGGCAGGCTTCCCCGGGCTCGCACCGTCGGCGATAGGATTATTATCATCGCATTTAATGAGCCAGCACTGGCAGGTGTATCTCGAGCCGGGCGGCCACTTGCCCGCAAGAAGGAGATGTGCCGGGTTAGGGCGGGCGCTAGAAGAGAGGACGGCTGGCAGGCGTTGCAGCTCCTGCCGAGAATTTCGCCGACGCCCCGCCGACCGCATGCCCGTCGGCCTGTGACTGCGTCGTGTGCGATGGATAGTTGGTATCTATCTACGAACAGGGTCTCTCCCTCCGTGCGTGATGCGGGGAAGCCCTTCCTCCCATCGGACGACGAACCTCCCGAGTCGGTCGTTGCAGGCGATGGTCGAGACTCGAGACTCCAGGCTTGCTCATGCTGTAGCGTAGTCAGCATGTCGGGTGGTCTGTTCTCGTCTGCTCTGCGTCCCGAAGTGTATGTCGCTCTTGTCTGATTGATACTGCCGAAGTGGAGAATCTCTCATTCGTGGACGCTGTCGTGATCGTGAGGCCACCTTATACGTCCCCTTGTCGAACCCTACCGGGTATATAACCCGTCAGTCGTCCCGCTAGACGCGTCGTCGAGGACCAGGACCGCATCAGACAACATCAACATCGCCACTTCATAATCGCAGTCATACTGTCGTCCGTGATAGTCATCATCAGCCATCATGCCATCCGTCGTTGAGAACGCGTCGTCTACAATCCGCGGAGGAAACGAGCAGTCGCGCCCCCGCATCTCACAGCCCCTGCAGTACTCCGGGTCGTTAGACTCGTACGCCCACCAGGACCTGACCCCCGTCATCGGGAGAGAGTATGAGGGCCTGCAGGTGGCCGAGATTCTGAAAGCCGAGAACGGCGACCAGGTGATCAAAGATCTTGCGGCCACGAGTATGTCCATTCCATCCTCCCACACAGCATCATCCAACTCGCTAACACCCCGCAGTCTCGAGCCGAGGTGTCGTCTTCCTGCGCAACCAAGACGTGTCGCCCCAGCAAATGCGTGAATTTGGCGAAAAGCTCACCCTGTTGGCGGGATGCGTATGGCCTCCTTTCCTTTCCTTTTCCTCTCCGCAATGAATCACGCCAGTTGACTAATACTCCCCACCCAGCCCGAATCCTCCGGTCTGCACGTCCACCCCCTCACAGAAGAAGGCAGCGAGCTGGGCGACCAGATCAGCGTGATCAGCAGCGAGAAGCAGAAGAAGGGCGGCGGTCTCACGCACCAGCTCAGCGACACCAGCCGATTCGCCTCCGTGGGATGGCACACCGACATCAGTTTCGAGCGTGTGCCCTCCGACTACGCCATGCTCAAGATTCACACCCTGCCTGAAACCGGCGGCGACACGCTCTGGGCCTCCGGTTACGAGATCTATGATCGGCTGTCGCCGGGGATGGCGGCGTTTTTGGAGGGTTTGACCGCAACTCATGATGCGACGTTCTTCCACGAGGAGGCGCGGAGGCTGGGTAATCCGCTGAGAAAGGGCATCAGGGGGTCGCCGCTGAATGAGGGGGATGATTTGAGGGCCGTGCATCCGGTCATCAGGACGAATCGTATGTCTTTCTTGGTTTCCTTCCTCTGGGGTTGTTGTTTGTGATTGGGACTGACTGACTGACTGACTTTCGATAATAGCGGTGACCGGATGGAAGTCCGTGTATGTGAACAAGGGCTTCACGAAGCGGATCAACGGGGTAACCAAAGACGAGTCGGACATTCTGCTGCAGTATCTGTTCAATGTAAGTGTTTCCGCGCGTGGAGTATTTGCTAGAGCCCGGCAAATTGACCTCCATCCTCCATAGCTCGTCACCCAGAACCACGACGCGCAGGTTCGCTTCAAGTGGAGGAAGAATGACATGGCTGTCTGGGATAACCGGTCTACCTGGCACTGCGCCACGTATGACTATGTTGAGGCCCGCGCTGGAGACCGTGTCTGCAGTCTGGGCGAGGCGCCGTATCTCGATCTGCAGTCCAAGTCCAGGAAGCAGGCGCTGGCGGAGATATAAGTCTTGAGAAGGAGTCTGGTGGCGGGACCACAGAGATTCGTTAATTAGAATATTGTTGGGTGGGGGTCAGGATGAGTCTTCTTTGTATGATATTGAATGAAAATACCAACAACAAGCGTGATTGATATCGATATATTATGCCCGATTGGGGACGGTCAGATTTCAGACTTATACGGTAGACAGTCTTCATCCAGCTTGTAAAAGAAGCATAAGAGAGTAAATGAGGGGGGGATATGATATAAACTTCGATTATATTGCACACTAATATTCAATGATATGATATGACACGATCAGAGAGAGACCCACCGCGCCAGCAAATTTCAAGTACCGTTCGATATATATCCTCACAGCCGATTCCTCTACCATTCACTCAGACCAGGTCCAGACTGCACCCGCAAATCCAGTGAATACCCCAGATAACCATGCCGAGTAATGAGCCCAGTATCCGCATCCCAGTCGACAAATACCCGCTTCGTCGAACTCGAACTCGAACACAGACCTACCTATATACTTACCCACCACCCACCCTCAACACCTCACCTCACCTCACCTCACCTCACCTCACCTCACTCACTCACTCACGCCTTCCACGGCTCCCCCAACTTCATATAATTCCAACAAACTGTCCCCAGCTATTAGCATTCCCTCCTTTTTATCCCACCAACAAACTCCAACTCCAACTCCAAAGGGAGGGAGGGGAGGAGGGGAGGGGGGAAACACTTACTGCTATACCCCATATCCTTCCCAAACCAAAGCTCGTGCTCACTTTCTCCATCCCTCGTCCCCTGGTCAGCAGTATACGTCACGGCGGTCTTCCCCAGAGCTAGACCCATGCACGGCGGCGATTTCTCAAGGGTTATATACTCTGGCTTGTCGGCCGACAGCATCAGCTGGTGCGCGTTGCTGGCCGCGTGGTACGCCATGTGCATTGCGCCGCCGCAGCGCTTGATCGCGGACCAGGATGCCAGGTCGCCGATTGCGAAGTGCTGGGTTGCGTTGGGGACTGTGGGGGGGAATTGTGTACTGCGTTCACAGACGACGACTATTAGTTTCCGGATGGAAAAAAAAAAAAAAAAAAAAAAAGGGAAAGGGTGGGGCGCTCACGAGGGCAAAATAGGCACATAACCCTCCTGATCCAGCGCTTCCTGGGGAAGATACGACGACGTAGGCACGGACTTCGAAACGGCATTCATGACATGACCCGCGTAGATACTTCTACCGTTGGTTAGAGTGAGATGCCAGATCTTTCGTCCGCCTTCGGTCTCGATGGTTGCCGTGCTGATGACCCGTTGTCCGAGGATCAGCTTCACGCCGGAATCGCGGACCACGGATGCCACCCGGTCTTGGAAGTCGGTTGGTAGCGGTTCTGCGGAGAGGAGGCGGTCGCGAGAGTGGATGAGGGTGATTTTCTGGGTCGGGTAGAGGGTCCGTAGCTCGGTTGCGATTTCGACGCCCACTGCGCCTGTGAGATCGAATTTGGGTTTGGTTAGTGATGTATCCAGCGCAGTCACTGGAGAGGTGTGGGATTAGGAGACATACCGCCACCAATAACGACCACGCCATCTTGAGCGTGGCGGATTGCGTCGACATTCGTCCTCGTCTCCGAAAGAAACTCCTCCCGTCGCAGCGACTGCGGCACTGTCGGGAACCCCCGTCGTAATCCAGAGCTCGCGATCAGGAAATCGTACTTCTCCTTCCGGGTTTCCTGGGTCTCGGTGTCGAGGATCTGCGCGATTTTGGTCTGGCAGTCCACGGAGCTCACGCTCCCCTGTACGAAGCGCACGCTCGGGCTCTGTAGGGCGGGGATGTCTGCGAATTTTGTCCATGTCTTGGAGGCGTATTCCTCGCTGGCGAGGGCTTGGGGGGAGCCGATAAGGTGGTCTGTTCATCGATGCCGGATGTTAGAGGTGATTTTGTCAAGTTGCGGGGGATTCGGACAGATGGATGGCTGGGGAGAGGGATGGAGGGGATAAACTGACAGAATCCATCCCGTTCATCCACGACCGTAATCTGCATCGGGATCTGGCGCGCCGGGGGCTGAGCATTCTCGGTGAAGTTGAAACGGGCGACTTTGCCGTGAGACAGGTCCAGGAGGGTCAGGGCTGCGCATAACCCGCCGTATGAGCCGCCGACAATCAGGACGCGGTATTCTGGTGAGGGTGAGGGCGGGGGTGTGGTCGCGGAGGGCATCTTGAGGGGTTGTTGTTGTTGGCGGAGGGGAGTGCAGTGGATTCGACGGTAGGATTGGGATGGTCTATTCAGGATGGGTGTGGTAGAGACAGGTGGGATGATGTGGTGACCGGAGAAGGAGAGTGAAAATGCTGCAAAGGATTTGGATCTCGAGGGAAGAGCCACTTTTAAGGACCAGGACCAGGACCATGCCGGGAATGCCATGATTAAATCACGACGGACGACCCGAAACCGGGGCAGGGGCAGGGCAAGGGGCACTAGCAGTGGCACGGGGATGCTGGCGGTGGAGCCGATCGCGACAGCCGTTCTGGTCCTGGGGGATCGCGAATAACTTCATTGTGTTTTTATGGTCGGATGAGCAGGCAGCAACGTGTCAATGACTCGGATGTGGATGGATCTTTGGTCCACCTTGGGGGGATATATATGGAACCTATGGAGTCGGGTTCTGGGCGGAATGTCGCGGAGGACGAGAAGAGGCTTTCTGTTGGGACGTTCTTCCTGCTAAGATCAATATTACACGCTCGTCTGGTCTGGACTGTGGACACTGGACACTACTACTGCTGGTCCTCGCATGGCGCGATTCCGGATATTGCCAGAGCCGACCCGCCGATATCCACTTTGGGGCATCGTTCATCTTATCAGATGGGAATGGCCGAGATCGGCGGTTGCTGGTCGGGGGATCGGTCTCGATGACGACGTAGAAAAAGCGGTTGCAAGCCTAGATTCAGCATGATAGGTGTGTATAGGCGGAAAGTGTAATCATCCGACATTGCATAGAGGTAGAAAGAATTGCATCCCCTCAGTTGACGCGACATCCGTTGTTTGTGTTTCCGTTGTCGGCTCTCATTATCTGATCCGCTTCGGAAACCCGCGGGTTGAAATCCCCGGTGACTTGCCCCTTTCGGGGTAGCGCTCCTCGCGTCCATGGTCTTGCCCCTCCTTTTCTGCCCATTAGAGTTATCAGATGGGAGGTGCCATGGTGGTTACAAGTCTGGTTCAACATCCAAACTTCGTCAGACAAAAAATCAGATCAATTTTGGTAGACACGCTGATAGGTTTTCTTGACAGTTCCCAGCAGGATGTTTGATCTAAGGATGATACGAATTCTCGCGAAAGTCCATCCCGGGATGCAAAGCCCATAATCAACTCATTGGCAGGGGTTCAAACCGAAACATGCCTGGGAGATGCCTGTGGGAAACCAGTCAGCTGTCACATGCCACATACATTTTCTAACCCACTGCACGTGGATCCTTTCAGATAGCTAGCTGAGCTGGAGATCATGGCGCCGATCGGGCGCCGCCTATCCCACAGGCTACTGTAGAGCAAGGGACCCTGCAGAAGAGCCTTAGACCCATCGAGATACTGCAGTCAATCATGTTTGAGCAGGGAGCGAAAAAAGCAATGAGTCCTGCGGAGGTGCAGGGATCTTCGAAGCAGGTTAGCAAACGATGGGTACGAAGTACCGAGTACCGCGTACCGTGCATCAGGTACCTTAGGCCGATGGGGGCGTGGTTAGTCCACGCTACCTACTCCGTATGCACGTCTGCAATCCGTTGGCTTGGAAAGTAATGTGGGACTTTGACAGTTGGTTAAATATTTACGGTTTCTAAGACATAGAACATTTATTGGTAACTTGGTGAGTGTATATCGAGTCTGGAACATTGAACTCGGAACTTTGCCTCCATCGGTTTTCTTTCCCGTTTCCCTTTGTCTCCGGAGCCATGGTTGGCGGGTGTGAATGTGCCATGGCGCAGAGGAAATTAAATTGCGTCGAACTAAATCATTTTATTTGTCCAAGAGGGCAAAGAACAGGGGGGAGATTTGGAACCGGTGAACAGGTGGCGATCATTGCCTGTTTTGGATGGATACACTGAGTAAGGATATGGTACGGTTTTGGAAATACAAGTAATGATCATAGTTTACAAGAGTGGCTGGAAATAGTATATCTCACTAGAGGTTGCTTTCAATATGTGGGAAGAGTATAGTTTGAGTCGCTCATATCGCGGTCAAGTTTGCATCATTGCTCAGTTAGAGCACCATGATAGCCTATAAATGGTGAACAGTATGGTGATGCTGGTCCAGATTCCAGTGAACGGTAATAGAATATCCTGTAATCCAGCTGACCTGACCAAACCGTACTGATCTAATCAGATGATCTAATCAGATAATGGGGCCGAGGATCGGAGAAACCATGCACCGGGCGGTCAGGCCATGGGGGTGTCGGTCGCGCGCCGACTCTTGCCCAAAGCCCGCCTGGCAGCTGCACATCGGAATACCGCCAATCAAGCCAGACGCCCTGCGGTGGCCCAAGCCTTGAATCTTGTCCCCCCACTCCTCATCCCCTCGTCCAATGGCCGTGCACTTATATCCTTCAGGATCCACTGCCAATGACGCTGAATGGTCGTGAGCTGGAAGTTCCTGCGTGCGAAAATGCCTTTGTGCCTTTCTGCCCTTGTGCTACGGTCGCTAACGATCCCAATCCTCTCCTGAATGTCAGTCAGTGACAGCGACGTCTACTCCATCACGACGTCGACTGTTGGTGTTGTGTCCGTCCTGCTGTCGAGCAAGTCCAGATCGCAGCCTCCATCGCAGGTCCGCGACGACCCCGCTCGAGAATCACTAACGCAATGGCTGCCGGAACCCCGACAAAAGAGGGGCACAAAAGGTCGGCCCATTCCACAGGCAAGACTGTTGCTCACTTCCATTCTCCCCGCCAGCAGTCCACGATGGCCACTCTTCTCCCAGCCACGAGAGTCCCGCCGCTGGACACCATCGATCAATATGCAGTGGAGAAGCCTCTGGGGAGCTCTGCGGCGATCAGTTCGCCACTCGAGCTTGTTTGCGGCGCGGACCTCCGGGACGTCGCGAGCAGCTTGATCCAAGGCTATGCTCGTTTTGTTTCCCGCTTCACGGGACTGGAGGATGTTGCTTTCTTCGTTTCCCGTTCCTCGAGCTTCACGATCGGGTCGCAGCCAACGCGCGCGGTGGCTTCGGCTTCCGTCGTTGCGGAGAACGGGCAGCCAAGTTGCGTGGTTCGTGAACTCGGTGAGCAGCACGGAGACAGAGACGAAATACAGTTTTATCTGGACCTGGGATTGTCTGCCGAGCCTGAAAATGGCGAGCGACATGCCTCTGGTGCTCAACAAACTGTCAGTTCTCCCCAACGATAGCCCCCGATGTGCCCACTGACTGACAGGCCAAGACCTTCACAACGTTTATTAGGCCGGCTACCACGAACGGCGCCCTGGAAATCAGATTCGCCTATCCCGGACACCTAATCCCCTTGCCCGCGGTGGAACAGCTGCTCAGAACCCTTGCGACGCATCTGGCGGACTCTGCTCCCTCGCTCCCCCTCAAGGCCCCTCCTCCCGACCTCTCGATCGTCAACTTCCCCCCACTTATGATACCCCCGTCGCGAGAGACCGAGCATAACGAAACTGCCGACTCCGATGACCCTCAACAATTCCTTCTTCATGCTTCTTTCGAGGGCTGGGCCCATCGAAAACCTAATGCTATTGCGCTTGATTTTGTTCATTCCTTGCCCTCTGTAACAGCTGCGGCGGAGCACAGCGTTCTTACTTACGCCGCGCTTAATCAAGCAGCCACCAATTTGGCTGTGCATGTTAGAACTCTTTTGTCCGATTCAGGCCATGCGGATTACGGTCGCATCATCCCTGTTTACATGACAACATCGCCAGAACTCTATATCTCATACCTTGCTATTCTCAAGGCGGGTTTCGCCTTCTCTCCCATTCCCCAGGATGCGCCGGTGCAAAGAGTACGGGAAATCCTGCAAGATATTGCCTGTCCCATAATACTGGGCAATACTCCGGAGCCCTCTTCCGGGCCGTGGCGCACAGATGGTAGTGACAGTGATGGGACCCGACATCATTGGGTTGATGTGGCGGAGGTCTCCAAATGGAGGGAGCTGAGGGACGGCCATCTCGAACCCTCTCCCGCGGACGAACAATTGGAACAGTTACACATTAAGCATGACCAAACAGCCTATCTGCTGTTCACAAGCGGCTCGACTGGAAAACCGAAAGGTGTCCAAGTCAGTCATCTGGCGGTCGCCTGCTCCATCGCGTCCCACGCTACAGCCATTCCACTCCCAGGGGACTCTGTAGGCGACTTCCGCTGGTTCCAATTCGCGTCTCCGACCTTCGATCCGTCACTCATGGAAATATTCGTGACCTTGAGCAGCGGTGCTACGCTCTGTTCGGCTCTGCGCCACCTGACCTTGACAGACCTCGAAGCGACCGTGAACGAAGCTAGAGCGACTGTCATGATGGCTACACCCAGCTTGGCCGCACTTCTCCGCCCATCTCGGTTGACTACTTTGCAGTCTCTCTGGACCATGGGTGAAAAGCTGAACAGGACCGTCATCGAAAGCTTCTCTACAAAATCTCCCGATCAAACGCTTTCAATTCCGGAGCCATCACGGATGCTGGTCAATGCCTACGGGCCCACCGAGGGAGCTATCAACTGCACCTTCCTCGCGCCATTCGGATATAACGTCCGTGGCTCAATCATCGGCGAAGCCCTGCCGACCTGTGCAATGTTTGTTCTTGACCCAAACAGCCACACCCCCAAACCGTTCCCAGCTGGCCTTGCTGGCGAGCTAGCAATAGGAGGCCCTCAAGTCAGCAAAGGATACTTAAATCGTCCCAAAGAAACCGCAAAGTCCTTTGTTCACAGTGACGAGTTTGGTTATCTATATCGGACGGGAGATATGGCGCGCATTGTCTGGGATGAGTCCGGATCTCAGGTAATCGAATTCCTCGGCCGTATTACCTCCGACCAGGTCAAGATCAGTGGCCGTCGCCTTGAATTAGGCGAGATTGAATCCGCCCTTGCGACAGTGCAAGGGGTCACAGAGGTTGTGGCTATTGTCTCAAAACGCGACGTTAATGTGCAGGGAAGCGAGCAGATTGTCGCGTGCTTGGTGGCAAGTGATAGTAGCGAGGAGGGAAAGCAGCGACTCGTTCAAGAAGCACAACGGAGCACGCAACAACACCTCTCTTCTTATATGTGCCCATCGTCTTACATATTCTTCGAGGCACTTCCTAGGTCTAGCTCCGGCAAGGTCGATCGCAAGGCCATAACAGCGACACTGGAAAGAGATGACGGCAATTTGAAGTTTTACTCTGCTTCTAAATCAAAGCCCAGTCAGACAAACGGAGTCCATGATGATGAGTGGGAGACGCCAGACGACGAGAATCTCCAATCTTTTCAGCACCTCGTGATTGGTATTATCGCAGAATCAACGGATGAGGACGTATCTGCCATCAAACCCGGGACTGACTTGTTTTCGCTCGGCGTTGATAGCCTCGGTGCGATGCGGCTGCTGCAAAGGCTAAGAGACCATTCTCTCGAGGGACTATCTGTTGGGGATGTTTTGCAGGCCGGAACACCGAAAGGGCTGGTCGCGGCCGTCTCTCAGCATCGCCAAGTTAACGGGACTCAAGCCAACGGTTCTGATGAAGCCTTGCAATACAACCTCATAGCATTCAGTGATCGAAACCGCTTAGTTTGCGCAGAGAGACTGAGCGTCAGCCCTGAACAGATCCAACGCGTGCTTCCGACCACCGCTACACAATCCGGCATGTTGACAAGCTTCCTACGTAGTACGTCTGACAAGTCTTTTGCAAATCGCTCGTATATTTATCACTCTGTTCTTCCACTCGAACCACATGTCAACATTAATCAAATGAAAAGGGCCTGGGAAACCGTTATCGCAAGCTACGACTCGTTCCGGACAGTCTTTTGCTGGCTTGATGATGACATGGCACCGTTTGCGCAATGCATACTGGCCGATGCAGTCTCCGCGGAGTGGGGGGTCTACCCTACGACAGAGGAAGCATCCGAAGAAACTTTGCGTATAGCTCTTCGACGCGCAGAAGAGTCAATAGAGCTCACTAATCCGCCTTGGAAGTTGTCCCTGATTACATCCTCTCAATCATCTCGGATCGTTCTGAGCATGTTTCATGGAATCTTTGATGGGGGCTCTCTGCAGCTCTTGCTGGAAGATGTGGCTTCGGTGTATTTGGGGAAGCTCCTGGCATCACGAATCCCACTGGAGCACATCGTGAAACATCACTTTCAGGCCGACCATTCGGGAACCGCTCGTTTTTGGGAGAAGCATTTGGAAGGTTATTCGCCAGTCGTGTTCCCTTCTGTCACCTCTTACCGCTCGCGCCCGACGAAGCAGACCGGCTGTGTCGAGATCACTGCTCGCACGAGCTACGACAGCCTGAAGAGACGATCCAGGAGTATGGGGTCGACACCGCTTTCTATTCTTCAAGCTGCTTGGGGATCGGTTCTGCTGGCTTACACTGGGACACTGGATCAGGACGTAGTCATGGGCAGTGTCGTGTCTGGACGACTTGATCGTGACTCGGAAGCCTGTGTTGGTCCGACATTTACAACTGTCCCAATTAGGCTTTCCCTGAGTCAAATCGAAAAGGACCATGGAGAACTGTGGACTAACCGATCCGTTGCGCGCCACCTGACAACCTTCAACGCGCAAACGTTGTCTCATTTGCAACCTCGTTTGGGGTCACTGGTAACGGCAGAGGGCCGCCTTCCATACGACACCCTCATCGCCTACCAGGACTTCAACGCAGGGTCCAGCGACAGTGGTCTATGGAGCTCAATCGACCACCCGGCCATGGCAAATGACTTCGCGGTCATGATTGAAGTATGGCCTGGCGTCGACTCGTCCTTGACCTTCCGTGCCAGCTTTAATGACGCTCAACTTGACCATACCTCAGCGGAGATGATGCTCCGGCAGATGTCTGATATTGTCTCGTTTATACTAAACCAACCTGATGGGAACTTCTTGAATGCTTCATCATGCACAGCACCGGATTTGAGGTCAAGCTTTAACCCAGATCCGTCTTTCGGCTCAAATGAAGCTTTGCTGCATTCCCAGTTCGAAGAACATGCCGCTTCCCATCCTGATGACCCTGCATTGATATTCAAGCATGACTTGGACGATGATAGCAACCCGCACAATATAATATGGTCGTACTCAGAGCTCAACGCTCTTGCCAACTATCTCGCGGATTCTCTGCTTCAAACAGGTGCTCAGCTGACAAACTCGCCGATTCCAATTTGCATCGAGAAAAGCCCCGCCATGTATGTTGCCATCCTTGGTATTCTGAAGGCTGGCGGTGCGTGGTGTCCGATCGATACTCTTTCCCCTCCGCAACGCCGCCATGACCTTATTGCACGCACTGCATCGAAGATACTTCTCGTCTCTGGCGCAGATGGCCCGCTACCGGAAGGCTCAATTCCCACCGGTGTTGACGTGATTGACGTCAGCAAGTTTACCACCCGTGAGGTCACAGCAAACGGAGTGGCACAGAGATCCCAACACAGAGCTACGCCTGATGGTATGGCCTATCTCATCTGGACCAGCGGTACGACAGGCGCGCCGAAGGGTGTTCCAATCAAACACTCCTCTGCCGTATCAAGTATGAAATCCCTTCAGAAAGATATCCCGACTGATGTCGCAGGTGGTGTCCGCTGCTTGCAATTCTCGCAGTATACATTCGATGTTTCAATCCAAGACATCTTCTACACCTGGGGCGTAGGCGGCGTGCTTATCTCTGCCTCGAGGGAAATCATGCTCGGTTCATTCTCGAGGCTAGCAAATATCACCAAGGCGACCCACGCTCATCTGACCCCCGCCTTTGCAGCCGGCGTCTCACGGAAGTCGTGTGAGACGCTTCAAGTAATCACCATGATCGGCGAAAAGCTGACGCAGCCGGTCGCTGACGACTGGGGCACCAATATGAGAGCTTTCAACACGTACGGTCCTGCCGAGGTGACCGTAGTCTCGACAATACGAGAGTTCGGAAACGAGCACAAGAACATCAAAAGCGCAAACATTGGGTGGCCGATGGATACTGTGTCTGTGTTCGTGACTAAGGATCAGCGTCTGGTCATGAAGAATGCCATTGGCGAGCTAGCGCTGGGTGGGCCTCAGCTTTCTCCTGGCTATCTCAACCAGGAGGATGTCAACAAGATCAAATACGTCTGGAATGAGGAGGCTGGACAGGTGGTTTACTATACCGGCGACTTGGTCCGTATGCTTGCGGATGGTTCCCTTGAGTACATCAATCGTGCAGATGATCTGGTCAAGCTCGGTGGCATCAGAGTGGAGCTGAGCGAGATTAGCTTCTCTCTTGCACAGTGTCATCCCCTGGCTGAGAGTATTGAGACGATGATCCTCAACCGACCAGATCGGCCCAATAAAGTCGTGGTTGCGTTTATCTCTGCATCGAAGGCTGCAAATACGGACGACGAGCAGATCCTGGTGCTTGGTGCTACGGCACTTGAGATTGCCCGTGCGGCCAGCAATAAGGCCCAAAGCGTCCTGCCTGACCACATGATACCGTCCGTTTATTTGGTGGTGTCACGCATCCCAAGAACGTCGTCGGCGAAAACAGACCGCAGAGCACTGCAGGCTGCCTATGCCTGTGTGGACATCGATAGCTGGGAAAGGGAGCTGAACCCAGAGGCAGATGGTTTTGTTGATCCCGAGGATCAGGCTAATGCGTCCATGGCCAACCAGATAATGGATATGATCGCTTCCCTGGCTAAAATCTCAAAATCAATCGTGACGAAATCCAGCCGAATGGGAAGTCTAGGCATTGATTCTATTCGCGCGATCCGGTTAGCTTCTAGGCTGAAAGAGGCTGGCCATCAGCTGTCAGTTGTGGAGGTTTTGAATTGTGTGACTATCCAGGACCTTGTCAGGTTGGTTTCAGCTTCTGGTGCCACTGAGAAATCCACGTTTGAGACCTTCGACGTGGGCACATTTAACGAGACCTGGCACCCTGCCGCAGCGACTAGAGTCCTGGAGGAGTTTGTCACCGTCCGGGCGACCACGATCCAGGAAAGTCTGCTTAGTGAGACCATGGGCACATACAACATGTATTGGAGCAATCATTTCTTTGCACTTGATACTTCAGTGGATGTGACGCGGCTGAAGCAAGCTTGGCTTGCAACTAGCCAGAAAGTCGAGGCCTTGAGAACAGGGTTTATTCCTGTTGCTGAAGTCGACAATAAGAACGTCCAATCTCGCGACTTCTCGATCTTGCAGATCATATATACACTTCCCGATTTGGACTGGGAATATGTCAATTGTTCTGCGCAGGAATTGGTAGAGCTCCGCGATAACCGAATCGAGGATATCATGACAAGACACCAAAAGAACTACTTCAGACACTCGCCCTGGGCAGTTACTGTGTTTGATACCGGTGATGCAAGACTTATGGTTCTGACCATCCACCACTCTATCCACGACGGGCCTTCACTAGGACTGATCATGAACGATGTGCGATCCGCGTACGCGTACAAACCGCCCCGCAGACATCAACTCACCGATGCACTTTCGATTATACTTCCTGGAGAGAAGCGCAGTGTGGCTACTAGAAACTTCTGGGAAGCCGAGTTGAAGAGATTCTCCGAACTGGACGCTCCTGTGTGGCCCGATCTCACCGGGAAGCGACTGCAACCGGGCGAAGCACCTAGGCACGAGTTCATTGCGGAGGAGTTATTAGTGACCCATCCAACCGCCAAGCTGCAGTCTTTCGCTGCGCAGCTTGGAGTTTCATCCATTGCCTCTGTCGTTCGGGCAGCCTGGGCCTATGTTTCCCTCGGCTATCTTGGCATTCCGGCGACAGTCTTCGCCGAGACCCTGTCTGACCGAGTCCTGCACGCGGATCTGGAAGACTGCATCGGGCCACTGATTTCCGTAGTCCCGATCCCGTTCCATCCAACAGGAAGCACCCGCGAGTTGCTCGCAGAACAGCATCGGCTTTCTGTTCAGGCCTGGCAGCATCGTCATATCCATGCCCGTGAGGTCCGGAAGATGCTTAAACGGCCGAGGGGAGAGGCGCTTTATCCGGCCGTGTTTAACTTTCATGTTGCGAGAGAGTCAGATTCTATCGTTCAACCTGGTGTCTGGCGCGAACTGGAAGATGAAGTCGGTCTTCATGTTGAGCACCCAATGGCGCTGAATGTGTTCCAAGGTGCGGATGGCTCCATTGTCCTGGAAGCGTCTGCGGACAGCAGTATGATGTGTCGGGAACAGCTGTCTATTTTTGTCCGTCAGATTGATGGGCTTATCAGCTCGATGCTCGAATCTCCTGATGAACCTCTGGCTAGCCTCGTCACCCGTCTTCCAGCAACGTTACGCTCGGTCTCGTATCAGCCGGTCAGCGAAGAGGTGGCCAACTCAGTTCACCTGAGTCCAACATACTGGTTGGAGGTTTACGCTGCGAAGCGCCCGGAACTGACAGCCGTTGAAGTTGCGAGTAGTATTTCGTCGAGTGGAGTCGAAAAGGAGACCATGACGTACGGAACGTTGAACGCTGCTGCAAACCGTGTTGCGGCATTTATTGCTTCCCACGGTCACAAGAACACGATGATTGCCGTTTGCTCCGGGCGGAACCTACCATCCTACCCGATAATTATCGGTATCTTCAAATCAGGAAATACCTATCTGCCCATCGAAGAGGGTCTTCCGATGGATCGCAAGACGTTCTTGGTTGAGGATGCTGAATGTCCTATTGTGTTCACGGAAACATCACTCTCGGCCGCATTTGCGAATGTTCCGAAGAGTTGTCGCGTGTTGTGCATTGATGATCCGGAGCTTGCGAACTCGTTTGCCACAATGCCGTCCGACGACAGAGATTACCAATCTGATCCCGATGACCTGGCTTACCTCTTATTCACCTCGGGATCGACCGGTAAGCCCAAGGGTGTGATGGTGACTCGCGGCAATCTCTCATCCTTTATCGAGTCCTTTTCCGAATTCACATGCCGGCAGGCTCCTGTAACGTTAGAGCTAGCCGGTACGGGGAAGTATCTCGCACAAGCGAGCCGAGCTTTCGACCCCCATCTCCTGGAGATGTTCTTCCCATGGCGCCATGGAATGGCGACAGCCACGGCTCCGAGAACGATGATCCTGGACGATCTCGGCCTGACGCTCTCCAAATGGGATATCACACACGCAAGTCTCGTGCCGTCTTTAGTCGACCAGACAAGCATTGTGCCCGAACAATGTCCCACGCTGAAATACATGACCGTTGGCGGAGAAAAGATCTCGCAGAAGGTGTTGGACACGTGGGCTACCGCGCCGCAGATGGCTCTGGTCAACGCCTATGGTCCAACAGAGGTGACAATCGGCTGTACCTTCGCCCGTGTTGGCAAGGACACCAACCTGCGTAACATTGGACCGCCGCTCGCGGCCTGTGTCGGCCATGTCCTTGTTCCTGGGACATTTGACTACGCGTTGCGGGGCCAAACCGGCGAACTGTGCTTCAGTGGGGACCTGGTCGCGAAAGGATACCTCAACCGACCAGATGCGACTGGGTTCGTCACCGGTCCCGGTGGCGAGAGGATGTATCGCACTGGCGATATCGGACGACTGATGCCCGACGACTCGGTCGAGTATCTGGGGCGTGGCGATGACCAGACCAAGATCCGTGGCCAGAGACTTGAACTTGGGGAAGTGTCGGAGGTGGTTCGTTCGTCGTCGCCGGTCAGAATCGATGTCGTTACTACCGTTGCCAAACACCCTGGTTTGTCGAGGATGCAGCTGATCTGCTTCATCGCGCGGTCAGATACTAGGCAGCGGGAGAAGGGCGGAGATGTTGTCTTCCTTCAATCGGATTTTGGGACCCTGGGAAAGGAGCTTCAGGATGTCTGCAAGAAGCAGCTGCCTAGTTACATGGTTCCTGAGCTTATTCTGCCGATCACATATATTCCGCTCGCGCCGATGTCGGGAAAGGCGAATGTCAAGGAGCTGCAGGGTCTGTTTTCGAACCTTCCTCTTCCTACTGTTCTTCAGGGGAATAGGCTGGCGAATAAAGATGGGACTGTCGTTACTCGGTCTTTGACTGCGGATGAGGAGGCTGTGGTGAAGGAGATCTGCGCTATCATCTCGGTGGATTCTGCTACTGTTGGACCCCTGACCAATATCTTTGAAATCGGGCTGGATAGTCTGAGCGCTATAGGGCTGTCGATAAAGCTCCGCAATATCGGCTACGAAGCTACGGTGGCTATTGTTATGGGCAACCCGGTGGTCGAACAGCTTGCACGTTTGCCTAGGAGTTCCTCTTCGTTGGAGACGGATGTTTCGAAGACGCGCGAGGCTTTTCAAAGGATTGAAATGCTTTACAGGCTCAACCCATCACCGGGAGTTGACGTGTCGGAGGTCACTGTAGTGCGACCCTGTTTGCCACTTCAGGAAGGTCTCGTTGCCCGCTCAATAAATGGTGAGGGAAAGCAGCTTTATGTCAACCATGTTATCCTCCGTCTGGAGTCCCGTATGGATGTCGATAAGCTGAAGTCTGCCTGGCAGGCCGTGGTTCGTGACACCGAGATTTTGAGAACATCGTTTGCACCCTTGGACAAACAGGTGGTACAAGTGGTCTTTTCGGCCGACTCCCACCGAGCTCAGTGGAAGGAGGAGGAGTACGCCAGTTTGGATGACTCGATCGAGCAGAACAAAGCGCAACGGGGTCTTGTCTCTCAGGACATCATCTCGAATATCTCCAAGGACCCTCCCGTGCGCTTCCTGCTAGCCAGAAATTCAGAAACCAAGGAGTCGCTGGCTCTTTTTATCAACATCCACCACGCGCTCTATGACGGCGAGTCTTTCTCCATGCTAATGGAAGATGTTGCTGCACACTATGCGGCTCAGCCGACTCCGCAGAGAGGCTCACCATCGGCTTTCATTGAACATGCCCTTACCCAGGGTCTGGAAAAGGCTAAGCGCCATTGGTCTCGGTTTCTGGAAGGATGCTATCCCACGCTCTTCCGAGCGGACACTAATATCATGGAGCTCCCGACCTCCATTCACAGGAAGTTCAGTAGCAAGCTGTCGGAACTGGAGCACCGCTCTGCGAGCCTGCAGACCACGGTCCCATCGTTAGTACAGGCAATCTTTGCTCTTCTACTCGCTGATACTGTCGGCGTGGCGGACGTGACATATGGCCTGGTACTTTCCGGTAGGGCCGTGTCTGTGCCAGGGGCATCCTCGGTTCTCCTTCCATGCATCACTACCATTCCCGGTCGCCTGAATACCGCCAACCTAGGTACTGTAGCTGAAGTGGTAGAGGACGTACAGAAGTCCACTGTCCGGTCGCTGGATTTCCAGCACACGTCTCTACGACACATACAAAGATGGGTCAGAGCAGACACGCCTCTTTTTGACTGTCTATTCTCCTACATTCGGACTGCTTCGCCCCCGCAACACGGTCTCTGGCAGGAATTGGACAGCCACATGCCCGCTGAGTATCCGCTAGCCGTGGAGGTCGAAGCAAACCACTCCGCAGACACCATTCAGCTCAACTGCGTCTTCTCGTCTGCATTCGGATCGGTTTACAACGCAGACGAATTCCTGGAAAAAATGGACGCTGTGCTCTCGAGCGTTGTGTCGGGCGAGAGTCTTTCGTTGGATAATTTCAACATCTCTGGCTCATCGGCACCCGGCTCGCGCCCTGCAGCCGTGCAATGGGACGATACCGCTTGGTCCACCACGGAAACAGCAATCCAGGAAATTACGATTGCATTTTGTGGGTTAACTTCGGTGGAGGTTACCAAGGGCGCGTCGTTTCTCAGCTTGGGCGTCGACTCGGTGACGGCAATTCAGTTTGCGCGCAAGCTGCGCGAGGCAGGGCTCGGGGTTTCCTCGGCGGATGTTATGCGATTTTCGTGCGTGGGTGCGCTGGCGAAGCATGTTGAGGAAGATTCGACTCGGGGTTTGGATAATGAGGTTAATGGGGATGGGGATGTTACGGCAATTCCTGTCGAGCAGTATGGGAAGCATGTTCGCCTTCTTGGTGAGACTGACTCGGTTACCGCAATGTTTGAAACCACCCCGTTGCAGTCTGGGATGATAACGCAGACCCTTGGGTCAGGACAAGTTTATGTTCACCCTCATCCCGTCCGGCTGAGGGACTCAGTAGATTCTACTCGACTCAAAGCGGCTCTTCGCAAGGTCATTGAGACGAATGATATTCTACGCACGTCTTTCCACCTCATTGAGGAACTTGGACCATCGTGGATTGGGGCCGTGCATTCAAGTCCGCCTTTCGAGTGGAAGGAGGTCAATCTGTCGTCGGGCGTTGATGTTCTCTCTGAAGTGAACGCTCTGTACTCGTTCAGTGAAGAGTCTTCGTTCGAAACTCCTCCCATTCGGTCTATTCTAGTCACCCAACCAGAAGCCCGTCTTCTTGTCATTGTCTTGCATCATGCACTGTATGACGGCGCTTCCATACCCTTTCTGTTTGAGGACCTTGCGGTCATCTACGACGGTGGCTCTCCGGAACGCCCACAGTTCTCGGACACCGTCAAACATGTTGTGAGCGGGCAAAACGAAGCATGCGATTTCTGGACTCGAAACCTGCTCGGATACGAAGTCTCGGAGGTTCCTGAACTTCCTGTCTCTGAGTCATCTGACCGCATGTTTCTTTCTGAGCGCCGAGTGGACCTTGATTTGTCGAGTGTTATCGAGGCATGCAAGGCAATGGAGGTCACCGTGCAAAGCGTGGCGCTTCTGGCTTATTCGAAGGTGATAGCTGGTGTGATGGGGAAGCGTGATGTTGTCTTCGGACAAGTCCTCGCCGGTCGCTCTCTGCCTGTTGCTGGTGCGGAAAGGACTCTGGGGCCTTTGTTCAACACCGTTGCTCAGAGAGTGACTTTCGAGCCCAAGTTCCTGAGCAACAGGGCTATGGCCCAGCGTCTGCAACAGCTCACGATTGACTCACAGACCTACCAACACGCGCCCTTGAGGATTGTGCAGAACGCTCTTAGACAGGCCAACATGACTACTTCTGTCTTCTTTGATACTCTTTTCGTTTTCCAGAAGAGCGCGGACTTTGCTGGCAGCATCATTGAAGAGCAGCAAATCTGGATGCCCTACGAGACAGACGAATACGCGGCGGAGGCCGAATACAAGCTCAACATTGAGGTCGATCATGCCCGCGATGGAATTGTTGCCCGTGCCAATTGCAACGGACGGTATATCTCGCAGGAGAAGCTGAACTGTCTCCTGGACGAGTTTGTCTCGGCTTTCCGCGATGTCATTGAACATCCCGCCAGATGCGTCACGATTGTGCCTGACGGACTGGGTGAGCTGCCGGTCAAATTACCCCGGGAACAGTCTCCTGCCTCCGAGGCCGATTCCGAAGCACCTTCTCACGAATCTATTGTTCTGTCTGTACTTGCCGAAATTGCCGGTGTGTCTGTGGACAACATCACACCCACTACCAGCATCTTCAACATTGGACTGGATTCGCTGTCGGCAATCCGCATCGCTGCGATCTGTCGATCAAAAGGCCTGAAGACCAGCGTGGCCGATATCCTCCAGGGAAATACTGTGCGTGGCATTAGCCAGCGCATTCAGCCAATGCCGGAGCAAACTGTCGAGCCCCAGGGCGCACTCATCAAGAACTACGACGAGGTGGAGAAGACCGCACTCCAACGACTCAACCTGAGCAAGGACTCCGTCGAAGCAATTCTCCCCTGTCTCGGCGGCCAACTCTACCATCTCATCGGCTGGCTGAAATCCGGCCGGAAGCTCTTCGAGCCCGCCTGGCCATACTTTTCCTCGGAGCGCATCGACAGCACCAGACTGGAGGAAGCGTGGTATCAGCTCCGCCAGCGCCACCCCATCCTGCGCACCTGCTTCGCGGCCATCTCACCATCCGAGGCCGTCCAGGTCGTCCTTAAACACGCGACGCGCGACCCCAGCATCTTCAAAGTCATCAAGTCCTCCGCGTCCATTACCAAAGCCGCCCAAGCCCAAGCCAGAGAAGAAGCACTTCACCCTTCCACCCTATTTACACCCCCCGTCCGCCTGCGCCTTCTGAAAGCCACCGACCGCGACGGAATCCTCATCCTCATCAACCACGCCGCCTACGACGCCTGGACCATGCCCATGTTCGCCACCGAACTCGCCCAGCTCTACCGCGGCCAAACCCCCAGCACGAACCCGGACTTCCCCTCCTTCGTCGACTTCTCTCTCCGCTCGCTCCGTCCTCTCGACGAGGAGCAATACTGGTCTTCTGCCCTCCAACCCGCCTCTCCCACACTCATCCGCAAATCCCCCACTCCATCCTCCTCAAAGTCACTCTCCAGCGCCTGGAAGAAAGTCAAGTCTCTCCTCCGCCATCGCCCCCGTCGAGAAGACCCCAATAAGCAACTCTTCGTCAGCGCCTGGGAGCAGGTCAAGAACCTCGCTGAGCTAGAGCGCAAGTGCCGCTCTGCGGGACTGAGTCTTCAAACCATCGTTCTCCTCGCCGTCGCCCGCTGCATCGCCCGCCTGACGGGGGTCTCGAGCCCAACCATCGGGCTGTACCAGACCGGTCGCTCGGCCTCTTTCAACGATATCGAGAATCTCTCTGGGCCGTGTCTGAACGTGAACCCGTTTACTATTCCCGATATCTTTCCTACGAGCAGCAGCGGGAGTGGTAATGATAACCTGCTCACTCAAGCCCTTACCATCCAATCCGCCCTCGCTGCCCGCGTTCCCTACGAGCAGAGCTCCCTCCGCGACGTCCTCGTCTGGGCCCAATCCAGCCGTACCAAAGCTCCGCTGTTCAACACATGGATCAACCTCCTCTGGATGCAAAACGGCATTCCCTCAGCTACCGACCCCTCCCCGTCATCAACCACCGAAACCAACAACAACAATAACAAAAATAAAGAGAACGAAAATCTCTTCCACCCACTCCGCATCGGCGTCCCAACGGACTTCCTTCCCACAAAGCCGTTACGGGATACTCGTACCGCGGTGTCAGACCTGGATACATCGTTCCTGAGCAGCGAGAACGTGTTCATCGATGTCGGGCCGGACGCGAGCACCGATAGTATTGGGTTTGGGGTGAGGGTCGAGGGCGGGGTGTTGGGGGAGAGAGAGGTTAGGGCGTTGGTGGGGGAGATGGGGAGGGAGGTGGAGCGGTTGGTTCATGATTTGGATAGGTGTTTGTGAAGAGAAGAAGATCGGATTGGAAGGAGACAGAGAGAAGGGGTTATATGAAGTTGGTTGGAAGTGAGGATATGAGTGTGTGGATGTCGGGATGATATATATAGATTGCAGTTTAGATTGATGGGTGGGTGTGTTTCATGTCTAGTACTTATAGAGTGTTGTTTTTCTTTCTTTGGTTTGTTATTTGTTGTATACAGCGCGTTTAAACTGCCTTGCTTTTTCAACTACACTCACTTACTACCCACTCCCTGTAGTATGCGACCGACAAATCCAGCACTAGAATTATACGGCGACGAAAGAAAAGCATCGTGGGTTATGATGGATGGATTTCCACACTGCTCTGTACTGCTCATCAGATATCTTCATTTCAGTTATTCCAGATCAAATCCCATCAAATCAAACCAAATCATGATAAGCTACTGGTCCGTCCACTCCCACATGGCACGCTCCCAGACCTTTTTGACTAATCCTAATCCCAATCCTAATTCCATCCAGGCTACATAACCAACACCAACACGATAGTTACTACACAAGACTACAAAGACCCTTTATTGGCCCCACCTCTACACCACGCCACGAACAGGATACCATTCCTAGTAATCTCCGCGGCTTCCGACATCCAGCGGCAGCCAGACATGCAGACAGCGCTTGAACCACATCCATATCCACCTCAACCTCCACCTCCACCTCCAGCCGAACAGACAAACCGTGCCATGTGATCCACGTGAGAAATCAGACGGAGGCTGTGCGTAAACTGTAAACTGTGAAGAAGCGCAGAACCAAACCGAGAACCAAGAACCCGTGGGGGCCGTCAGCCATCAGCCCTAACGGCCCCATGCCTTCCTTCACGTGGCGTGGCCTGCGCCTGCGCCCTCCCAGCCACCTTTCCGCCCCCATACTAATGCTTTTTGGCCCCTGGTGAAGGTGGGGTTTGACGAGTTGGCGAATGGGGTGGGAGATGGGTGAGGGAGTGTGGAGTGGAGTGGAGTGCTGAGCCTGGGTTGTTCTGGCTGAGCCTGTCCTGCCTTGTCCTCGCTGGCTGTCGAGTGGTATCGAGTCGAGTCGAGTCTAGTCGGGTTCAACCGGGTTGCTGGGCTGACTGGGTTGGTACGGTGCGGTGGAGTCGTTGCGGGCAGGGGAGAGTGGTCTGATCGTGTATTTTCTGATATCTGTCCGAAGAAAGACAGTGTGATGCGTGGTGCATGGTGCATGGTGTGTAGTGACGATGGGGATGGTGGTGGTAATGGTGATGCGATAGGGTTTTGGGCTTGCGGTGGGTTGGTTTTGTCTCTGCTGCGGGCATGTTGTCTGTCGGGAGCGTGGTTGATCTGGTTATTCGAAGGGACGAGGATCAGATCCGGCTGTGATTTGATGTCGATGATACTTTGTAGCGATCAGCGACATCATGGAATCATTATCTCTGCATTATACAGGACTGCACTCTGATTGTAGAAAACCACGCCACACTGACGCTGCAAACCAGACCGACCGACCGGCTGTCAGTTCGCAGGATCTGGGTGCGTTCTGCCCATTTCGCTTATCGGTTTGTCATGGACAGACGAAGGATCAATCTAGCCCGTGGATTGAATTGCACGGGAAATCTCGCACATCTGTCTGGATATTTGGGAAGAGGGCCAAAATGCGGTGCCCAGTGTTGTCTTGGAGGGAGGCAAGTGTTCGGCGTCTCCGGTCGCAGTGAAGGTGTTTGTTAGTCTCCGGCCCACTATGATTGAACAGTTGGTCGTAGTGCTGCGGGTAGTCGATCCTGCGATCGAACCAGTCCGACGACGAGGTCGGTAAACCCTTTGGTCGACTCTGCCTTGCAAGGTGAGGACCAAAAGGGGGAACAAACCAAATGCATGGCCATCTGCATCACGATGTCACTGATCTTACCGAGTCTAGACTACTGTTGTCAGCTGCTGCTGTTACTGCTGCTGTTGCCATTGCATCCGAATCCGAGCCAGAGGATTCCGACGCCCCACACCCGGAATTCTTCAGTCAGCCGGCCAATGGGGATTTTGTCGACGGTCGAGGGATTCCAGAATGAATCAGCCACCTCGCAGCCAAGCGGATCCGTGGAAGAATCCGCATTCTGCAGACTCAGACTCGGACTCGGACTCAACGGTTTCAGATGCCGGCCAGCGACCCCTGTCGCCCACGTTGCTTTTGCCCATCCGCGTGGCAATCCTGCGTGGCATGCACAGGTGAAACAAAGGCGGGGGAGAACCAGGGTGGGTGGCGGGCGCATGTCTGACCCGGTCGCTGGGACGGATAAGGTTGGGATGGATGTCTCAGCTGGCGATTGACTCAAGGGAGGTAGGTAGTGGGATTATGATCTGTAGTATAGGAGAACAGCCGTCGGTGTCAGTGTCAGAAGTACATATTCCGTGGAACGGGAGGAATCAGGAATGGGTGCCAGTGGATGATGGCGTTTACCTCCTGGGAGTCATCCCGATTGGCCCGGGGAGGATTCCAGCAGGATTTCAGAGGAAAGCACTAAACAGTCAACAGCCAATCCACACCGGAGGATTTCTCTTCTCCAGGTCATGTCATGGTATTATTCTGGCACTGGGTGGGTGGGTGTTCCGTTCCGGTTCCGTCGTTGGCATTTGTCTAGTAGGTAGACATCGGGTGCGTGTACTCCGTTAAAGTAACCCGGTGTATATTGTTCTGTTGCCTACGAAATAGGAGCAGTGCGACCGGATAAATAATAGCCATATATTGGATGAATGAATGAATGGATGGATGGCAGAGATTGACCGGTGCCTGGCAACGGAGATTGCAGGGGGGACGAAGCCAGTTGCGGGTGTGCACGATAAAGTGCCAGTACGGGAAAGCCGATCGACCAGGGATCGTGGACGGTGGAATTGACTATGTATCTATGTATCTAGGTATGCTGTCTAAGAGGAAAGAGGAAAGAAGGAGGAGAAGATAGATGAATACGCAGATGCTCCGAGCCTAGATTAACACACACCCAGAGTGTAGTTAGTTACTTATTTATTACAAGGGCTTCTAACCCAGCCAGGACTAGGGCAAAGGTCGGAATGGCGGTTTCTGGTTGGCTACATTGTTTTCGTGCCTCCACTGGCTCTCCTGTTTTCTGTTCTCCAACTGCTTTAATCCCATTCATTCACTGCCTCCTTTTGCCGCCTGTCCATCGTCGATGGAGTCATCATTGTATCGAGTACTCCGTACTCTACTCGGATCCACGACTGCTGCTGATTTGCCGAATGATCCGCAACCAGTGCTCCCCCCCGATCGCCCGTTTGGGCAGATCCCGATCCCCCGAGGGAACCCATCGCAATCCCTCTTTAATCCTCCCATCTCCGACCCAGGATCGCCCGACGCGTCGGCACATCCGTGGTCTGGCCACCCCTGCCCTGTGTCGGCGGTTTTCGGCCTCCTCAATGATCCATCTCAACGCCCAGTCCCATCAGGGGTTGAGTAGTTAGCTAGACTGCTAGCACCCTGGGTCGCTGGTCACCGGTCACCCTCTCGGTTTAGGGAGTTCCCCCGGGCCTAGCGGGTCCCGGCCAGCACCTTAATATTTGGAGTATGCTTAATTTCGCCCATTCTCCATTTCCCTCCGCCAGGCGTCTGTCCGGTTCCCAGGTCCAGTGCCCACCCAGTTTGCGTTCCCAGCTGGCACTGGCAGTCGACCTGCCTGGGAGCCTGATGCGCAGCGCCGCAGTCAGATCACCGCTTGGGCCACGTGCGGACGGGGAGGGAGGGGAGCTTGGGTGAGAATGATCATCGGAAGCTGCCCATTCACCACTGTCCAGCCCCGACGTTGGGGCCATGAACCTGGCAGGCAGGCACTGCTGCAGCCTTCCTGCGGTGCTGACGCTGAGTCGCTGACATGCCGGCAGGCGCCCCCTGCCCCCTCTTGTCGGCTGCCGTGTCCGGGCTGGCTGCTTGCCCTATCTGGATATCCCCACGCTACACGGTACACCTCGTCTCGCAGTACGCGGCAAGACCCCCTGTGGCGGTTGACCAGTCTGCCGCCCAGATCCCGTGGATGGCCAGGCAGTGAAAAGCCAGGGCGACCGAGACGGCTAATATCCGGGAATGGTTAGCCAGGCACCCGAAGTTGCACTCAAATTCTGACAGGCCCGGTGGGGACCGTCAATGCGCCCCCACCCAGGCTAAGCCGCTTGGCCGGGCAGAGCATAGCCAGCCTGGTCGTCCAAGACTGAGAGTCAAAGGCAAGTACGAAGTAAGTCAGTGCGGATTCTAGAATGCCTGCCGCGCGGATGGAAGGATGGGAACCCGCCCCCAGCAATGCATCCATCCCTCATGGCCCGATTACATCACTAGTATCTCTCTAGCCAGAGTAGCCAGCAGGGCCAGCGGGCTCTAATATGACTATATGATTATAATATTACCGGGACCTGCCCACTCCTGGCCCCTAACCCTCCGATCCATGAAAAACCCTGACGCGCCCCCGGACGCTCGTCTGTCTGTGTCTGCACTCTGCCACCTCGTCCCGGTCCCTCCTCTTATTACGCCATGCGTCTGCGCCGATCCGAACATCTGTAGACCCCGGATATGTCGCTGTCGAGTCTTGTGGGCGAGCCGCCCAGCAACATCGATCTGTCCGCCAACAGTACCGCCCGCAACGATGCCGTCGTCGTCTCCATGTATGCCCTGGCCTTCATCACCATCTGCTTCCGCCTGTACTCGCGCACCAAAGTGCAACAGGCGCGCATCGCCCTCGATGACTGGCTGATCGTCGCCGCCCTGGTACGTACAGTCACATCGCTGCTAGACCCTCCACTCATCGGAAGCACAGGTATCAGGGACAGCAAACATGGCCTGTGCCATTGCCGGTGCGTACCACCGGATCTGACCGCATCGCATACTGACCTCCGCAGGCGGATACTATGGACTAGGAAGACATGTGTGGGTGGTCAATCTGAATGAGATCATCCACATGGTGCGCGTACGTATCCCAACTCAACCACCACCCTCAATCCCCAAGTACCCTCTCCCCAACCCCATAATCACCCCCCCCCCTCTCTAACACAACGACCAAACACCACAGATCCTCTTCGCCAACTTCCTCCTCTACATCCTCACCGTCCCCCTCATCAAAATCAGCATCATCCTCTCCTACCGACGGCTCTTCGGCATGCAATGGACCATGTGGGCATGCATCATCCTATCCCTCGCCTACTGGGTCGGCTGCACCGCGGCCTTCCTCAGCGCCTGCCAGCCCATCTCCTACTACTGGTCCGAATACGAGGACCCATGGGGCGGCTACAAGCGTTACAACCTATACCCGTTCTATATCGGCCACGCGGTGGCCAACCTAGCCGGCGACGTGCTGATCCTCCTGGTCCCCATCCCGCTCGTCTGGCGCTTGCAGCTGCGCGTCGCGCAGAAGATTCAGATTCTGAGTATATTTTTGCTGGGGGGATTGTACGTTTCTTCCCTTCCAATATTCCCCCCCCACTACCCAACCCTACATCTACCACCCATCCCACCCATCATCTCATCTCATCTCATCTCATCTCATCCCGCACCACACCCTATCCTATCAATCCACTCACTCACGGACTCACCGACTCACTCGGTCATAAATAATATAGTGTATGCGTCGCCTCCGCCATCCGAATCTACTACTTCACATTCATCACCGACGTCGACGTGACCTGGAACCTGGGCAACGTGTTCATCTGGTCCAGCATCGAGCCGTCCATCGGCATCGTCTGCGCCTGTCTCCCCGTCCTGCAGCCGCTCTTTCGCACCATCATCAACCGCGCCGGCGCCGGCCCCGGCCCCAAACCACCCCCCAACCCGAAGACGAACGCGTCCAAGGGCGTGCGCTTCGCCCCAGACCTGATGAGCAAGTTCCACCCCGTCGATGAGAGTCGCCAACGCCGCGATAGTGAGGCCATCCTCACCACTACTTCCGTTCATGTCGAGTTGGACAGTATGGGTAAGGAGGGCAGGCTGAGCGATGAGGAGGAGTGTCTCGGCTATGATTTGATGAGTATTAAGGTGCATAAGGATTTTCAGATGAGGGAGGAACATCGATGAGATGAGATGGTTTGGGCTTTCATTCTGCTGTTCTTTTCGGGTTTCTATTTTTGTTTGTCTTTGTGTTTGTGTTTGTGGTTTGGTGGTTGTCATGCGGAAAAAGTTAGGTGTTTTATTGGGGTTTATTTTTATTTTTATCTTTTATTTTTGTTTCGATCTGGGTCGGTTTGGCTTTCTCTGCTCTTAGGAGTTAGGGGGTTGTTTGATCTTTTTTTTTTTTTTTTTTTTCGTCTTTTTCTCCATTTCTTTCATTTCATGTTCCCTATTTCTTTTTCTCTTCCCTCCATTCATTCCCAAAGAGGTCCGTCCCTTCATGTACATACTTAATCACCCACACACACCCACATATACCTTCACCACCCACCTACATAAATTAATCCCACAGATTGACGATTCCCTCCTGATCCACAACTAACGACCCACAAACACACTCGCCGCGGCAATCTTCTCCGCCAACGCCCTCACAGGTAACGAACCCAGGAACTCAAAGGAAGAAAGCTCCGCCCCGAGCTCGCGGGCCACCCAGTTCTGCACTTCGGTTGCTTTGAGGGAGTCCACTGTACCATCACAATCAGAATCATAATCAGAAGCACAAACACATCCAAATAACCAACCCAACAAAGAATACCATAATGAAAGGAGGGAGGGAGACGGGGGGGGGAAACATAAACATACCACCCAACGCCGACAACGGCAATTCCGGATCCACGATGTCAGCATCCGCATCCGCGGCCATCGCTTTGGCGAGATACGTCCTCATGGCGAGTAACACGACAGGGACCGCCTCATCCATGGACCCTACTTTCTTGAGCAACGTCTTGGTCGACACGCCTCCGCCGCCCTCCCCTTCCCCATCCCTTCCCCCGACAGGCCACGCAACGCGATGCTCGAATTTCCGGTCCCCGCGCCACGACGCCTCGCCATCCCCTCTCGCCAAATCATCGCGCATCCCCGCCACAACCTGGCCTGGAACATCGACCTCACCCTGCAATAGGACCCGCACCAGCGTCTGCACCTCCGCCACTGAGACCTCCGTGCCAGAGAGATGGCTGTACCTCTTCCGCCGGTTCTCCGGCGTCTCCGCCACGTCCGTGAGGCCGCTGCCATCCGGCACAAGACCGATGTTGATACTATATCCCGCGAGACCCTGCCTCCTCCGCCAGAGCATCAAAGCATCTAGGAACGCGTTCCCGGCGGAGTAATTTGCCTGGCCCATGTTGCCGATGACGCTGGCGACGGAGGAGAGGGCGATGAAGGTGGAGACGGTCGGGAAGTAGGTGTGGAGGTTCAAGGTTCCGCGGATCTTGGGGGATGTGGATTGTGTCCACTGGTTGTGGGACATGTTGGTGAACATGCTGTCTTGGAGGTTGGTGGCGCATTGGATTATGGCTGTGATGGAGTGGGACTGGCTGTGGAGGTGCTGGGCGAGGCGGTGGACGTCCGGTTCGGAGGTGATGTCGCAGGTGAGGATGTCTGTTGTGCAGTTGTGGGATTGCAGGCGCCGTAGGCTGTCTTGTTGGGCGGGGTTGATGGTGCCGGACCGACTGAGGAAGACGAGGTGCCGCGCACCGCAGTCGACGAGAGTCGAGGCGAGGGCGAGGCCCAGTGTTCCTAATCCACCGACGAGGAGGTAGGTCTTCCCTTCTGGGAGGGAGACGGGGGCGGGTGGTGGGGGGATGATGGGGACTGGGTCGGGGGTGTCGAGGGATAGGGTTACGCGCGTGTTTGCGTCCCGGGCGTGAGACAGGGCGTGGTTCAGGTGAGCGACAGGGTAGGTCGGGTAGGCATGCACCGTTGCGAGCAGTTTCTCTTTCTCCGTGGCAAGGAGACGGAGGGCAGCGTGCATGCGGTCGGGCTTGTCGCGCAGGATGCGGGCCATCGGTAACGACGAGAACGTGCACCCGCGATCCGTGAAGCTATCTGGCAATGCAGCGGCCTTCATCTCCCCACTCGTGTCGACGTAGTGTCCTCCAGCGGCGAGACAGCGCGCGGCAGCCCGGCCGGCGGATCCTCCCCGGCTGCAGATTGCGGCGCGGACGCCCTGGCCGTGCGTGAGACGGGCGATGGTGGATTCGCATGCGGAATGCAGCAGGAGGACCCGGTCCTGGTCCTGGTCCTCGAGGGAGGGATACTGGGCCAGAATGGCGTCTTTGTCGCCGTTGGTCTCGACTGCGACGTACACCCGCAGGTCGGCGGCGAGGGCACAGCCCACTGTGGCCCGGAGGGTCTGACTGAGTGGTCCGGCCACGAGCACAGATTCTCCCGCCTCTAGACGGGCGGTGTCGAATAGGCTGCTGTAGGCCAGGGTGTATGATAGAGGCATGGAGACGGCGTGGGGGGGATCTATCCCCCGTGGGAGCTTGAGGGCTGCATGGCGGGGAACCCGGATATGCGTGGCGATGCGGTCTCCCTCCAGCATCACAATGGCCGCGTCGCCCTCTGCTAGACCTTCCACGGAGGGTCCAACCTGCCGTATGGTCCCCACGGCCTCCATCCACGACACCCGTGCTTCCGGGGCAGAAGTAGAGGCCGAGACGGACAGTAGTTGGAGCTGCACCTCAACGTGGTGCGCAGGGAGAGGAACCCCAACTATGCCCTCATCCGCCTCCCACTGACCCTCCTGCGTGAGCCGCAGGGGTCTGGGGTCCTCCGCCAGCCGGGCCATCGTCGCCCGCGCTCCATGCAGCAGAGTCTGCATGCCCTCATCAACCGCCTCCGAGGCCATGAGCCGCGGCACCAGCAGGCGACTCCCTTCGAGGCGGAACTCGTGGTCCGGGGCCCGCGATCCTTCCTGCTGCCGGGTGAGCTGCATGACCTGCTCGATGCCGCACGCAAGACGGGCTGCGTCTAGTCGATCCGCCTCAGCGAGCTGGAGCTGCGGGAGGGCCACACCGCGAACCTCGTTGCGCAGGGTACGGAGCAGCCCTGTAGTGGCACCAAAGGCCGCCTGCGCGGCGCTGCCTTCCTCCGGGACGGGGGACAGCCAGAGGACGTATCTCGCGTCGAGCAAAGCGCGGAACTGCTCCATTTCCGGGGCCGTCCAGGTCGATACCCAGGGCTGATGGAACTCGAGCAGCGAGATGACGGTTTGGTTGGCGACGGTGGAGACCTCATCCAGGCCGATGCAGCGGATGGCGGATTTGAAGACCGCCTCTAGCTGGCCGACCAGGGAGGCAGGGATCTGGTCAGGGTGTAGGGCTAGCACGTTGATGACGGAGTCCCAGTGTGTGGGCAGGGGCTGTCGCCGCGTCAGGAGGAAGGCTGCGTCCTCGGTCAGATGTTTCAGCTGCCATTCCACGCTTTCACTCGGGCACTCGACAGAGGGCTGTGGCATGCGGGCCACGGCTGCGAGGGGGTCTCCCGGGGGTGCTCGCACTGCCAACCATCCTTCCGGCCTGGTGATGGTACGTAGAGAGGCGAGTGTGGCAGGGAGAGCATTGCCATCCCATAGAGTGGGATGATCGAGGAGGACCACATCGTAGAGGCCATCTCCGAGGGAGGACGAGTCAAACTCGTCCAACGAGGACACCACCTGGACCTGCGCGCCGGGAAGGGTTTTGACCAGCCGGGCCTTCTCCTTCTCCTGCTCCTGCTCCTGTTCCCCTGGGCCCGTCAACACCACCGTCAGCTGCTGCAGACAGGGTCGATGACCGACAATGGGCGCCACCCCCTCCAGACTCCGGAAGATATCACTCGCGGCGGAGGATGCCACGACGAGAGCTCGCGCGTCGCCATGCGTATAGCACACCTGCGCCATCCACTTGTGCAGGAGACCCGACTGCAGGGCCGCGGAATCCAGATGCTCCCCCCAGACGACGGACGAGTACCGACTTGCACGATCGTCACCCTCCACCGCAGTCGCGGTCTTTTTCTGGACGGGCACGCGGCCCAGCCAAACGCCCTGGAGGAACACCCCCGGCTCGGACCAGCCCGGATCTGAGGCCAGACAATCAGATCGAGACTCGCCATTTTCCCAGCGAGTCTCGGTGTAGACAGCAAATTGGTCTCCAGCCTCCCAGGAGAGAGTCGTGGGCAGGTACAGCCGCTCCACGCCGACGGGGATATTGGCGATCTGTTTCGACAGGGCCTCGGAGCAGCACAGCACCGCCGCCTGGAACAGCGCGTCCAGGGCTGTGGGATGCAGGAAGCAGGGAGACTCGCGCTCATAGGGCATAATCCGCTGGGTGTCCGGCACAACGCCGCCGAGGCAGAGACGCTGTCCATCCCGGGTGAAAGCCGCGCTGGCAATGGAGCGAAATGTAGGGCCCAGGTTGACCCCCCCTGTCTGGGACAGCCATTCGTAGACAGCCTGGACTTCTTTCTCCTGCGCAGCCCCCTGGGCTTCCTGCACTCGCTCGACAGTGTGTTCCCATCCCACCGGATCACGGGTCTCATCGCCATCCCCATAATGCAGGCTCACCAGCCCGGCGGCATGCTGGATCCAGGAGGCGCCCTCGGGCAGGGAGAAGATGCCAAACTCGTACCACCCGGGCAGGCCCGCACGCGACGCCACATGCACCGTTGTCTCCAGCCCCCGGGCATCCGGGGGAATGACCATGCCTCGCCGGAACGCAATGTCCTGGAATTCGATGCCGGCGAGCCTTTGCGAGGGATCAGCCAGCTGCCGCGCGGCCTCGGCCACCATGCCCACCATTCCGGCGGCGGGATACACGATGGAGCCGGCGACGACGTGGTCCGCGAGCCAGGGCATCTCGGCCACGCGCAGGAAGTTGCGCCAGCGCGGCTCGAAGGGGTTGTGATAGTCGAGGGCGGCGCCGAGGAGGTCGTGGCGCGGCTCGCGACGCCGGCGCAGCTGGGCCGATTCCACCGGCTCGTGCCAGAAGGATGTCTGGTGGTTCCAGGGGTATGTCGGGAGGTCTGAAATCACCTCCACGGGCGGAGCCGTGCCATCGACGCCCCCGTTGACGGCGGCGAGGTCGATGGCCGCGCCGATGCTCCATATCGACCCCGCGACCTGCAGGGCCGTCTGCACGCCGTCCTCCTTTCGGCGGACGAGGGCATGGTAGGGCACGGCGGCCAGACCAGCGTTCACAGCCTGCAGGGTCTGCATGAACGGGCCCTTCAAGGCCTCGTGAGGGCCGATCTCGAGGAAACACCCCCATTTGACCGGCACTGGGCGACGGCGGGCCTTGCTGGCGTCGGGGAGGGTGGCCAGCTGCGACACAGCAGCCGCGAACTCCACGGGGCTGGTCAGGTTGCGCACCCAGTACGCGGCGCCCAGGTCGGCTGAGTGCACGCGCTCCTTGGTGACGGACGAGAGCATGACGATGGTATCCTGGCGGCGGTTCTGCGGCTGCACGGGCTGGATGGCCTGCTCGTAGGTCTCGGCTAGGGCTTGCATGTGTGGCGAGTGGTAGGCCGTGGTGACGCGCAATTTGCGGGCGAAATGCCCGTCGGCCTGCAACCGGTCCGCCAGGCGGTCGATCTGGTCGGCGTCGCCTGAGAGAGTGACGCTGGAGGGGCTGTTAACGCAGGCCACCACCACCGACTGCGCGGGCAGGGGGTCCAGGTAGCCCTGGGCTTCCGAGGCCGAGAGTCCGGCTGCCAGCATGCCTCCGCGGCGGCCATGATCGGCGATCTGCTGCGAGCAGACTCCCCGGAAGTGCGAAACTCGGATGGCGTCGTCGTGGCTCAGATACCCTGCCGCATAGGCCGCGCCTGTTCCATGTCCCTCTGGTTAACTTGCGCCGGTGGGGGAAGCCCTAGACAATGGGATGGGAACTTACCGATCTCGCCGCTGGAATGGCCCACGGTGGCCCGCGGATACACGCCCCAGCTGGCCAGTAGATCCACCAGAGCAATCTGCAGCGCACAGCAGATTGGCTGGCTGCGACTCGGCTGGTTGATGTGCGAGTCGGCCGCGTCGGCCGTGATCTCTGCGAGCAGGTCCCACGGGCAGTCAAGGCTCGCGAGTATCTGCTGGCTGCGCGCCATGCTCTCCGCGAAGACGGGCATGCCCAGCAGCTCCGCGCCCATCCCGGCCCACTGCGCGCCCTGTCCGGTGAAGACAAACGCGAGGGGGGTGAGGTTCGTGCGACTGGCGCGGGGGAAGCCGGGCAGGCCATGGGCCAGGGAGTCGCGCAGATTCTCGGCGGAGTCAGCCACCGCGAAGCTGCGGAAGGCCAGTTGTGAGCGGCGCATGGCCAGAGTATAGGCGACGGCAGACAGAGGGAGAGGCTTTCCAGCGGCAATGCGGGCATCGAGGAAGGCAGCCCATTTCTCGGCCGTCCGATCGATGCCGGCTTTGTCGTGGGTCGAAAACACCACCAGCTGGGGGGTGCGTGTGGCAGTGGCCGGGGAGGCCCGCGTTGAGGTCTGCCACAGATACTGCGAGGTGCTTTCAACGATAGCGTGGGCATTTGCGCCCCCAAAGCCGAAGGAGTTGATGCTGGCACGCTGAGGCAGGTGCGACGGCCAGGGCATGGCGGTCTCGTTCAGGCGAAGACGCCACTCATCCAGACGGATCTTCGGGTTCAGCTCCGTCACTCCGACTGTGGGCACCAGCATGCCCTTCTCCAGACAAAGCACCGTCTTGATCAGACTGGCTACGCCTGCGGCGCCTTCCGTGTGTCCGATATTGGGTTTCACGGAGCCCACGTAGACCGGTTCGTCGGCGGGCGTTCGTGCCGCTCCCAGGGTTTCCCCGATGGCGGTCAGTTCGATGGGATCCTACACATATCAGCAATCCTTCTGCCTTCCGGTGGGACCTTGGAGGACAGGGAGGGAGAGCGAGGGACATACACCGACGGGAGTCCCGGTCCCGTGGGCCTCGAAGAACGGGGTGTCCCGCATCGAGGGCAGACCAGGCCCATATACAGTCCTGATCAGATCGGCCTGGGCGACAGGATTGGGCATGGTGATGCCGGGGGTGCGTCCGTCTTGGTTGATGCCGGTGGCACGAACGACAGCGCGGATGGCATCGCCATCAGCCAGGGCCTGGGCCAGGGGTTTAAGCAACACGGCTCCCAGGCCTTCGCCGCGGCCATACCCGTTGGCTTGGATGTCGAACGAATGGCTGATCCCGTCCGCACTCAGCATGTGCATGTAAGACAGTCTTTGCGTGAAGTTGGGGTGAAGGATCAGACTGGCACCAGTGATCAGAGCCTAGACAGTGCGTAGTCAGACTTGTCAGAAATGCACAGCCCAGGAGATGTATGAACAGACAGACCATGCGACACTCGCCGGCCCGCAGCGCCTGCGCGGCCAGATGCAAGGCCGTCAGGCTCGAGGAGCACGCCGTGTCCAGCATCACGCTGGGCCCACGGAGATCGAAGAACCACGACAGCCGGTTAGCCAGCATAGTGCGCCCGTTTCCTGTGGCGGAGTTATGCGGCATGTCATAGATGTCGCGCGTCGACAGCAGCTCGTAGTCATTTGTCATGCAGCCCGAGAACACGGCCGTGCTGCTGCCAGGCAGAGACTCCATTGGCACACCCCCTATCGGTGTAAGATTATCGTCCAGACTAGCTGTAGCATCGTGGAAGCTCACCGTTCTCGAACGCTTCGTAGGCCACCTCAAGCAGGAGACGCTGTGCCGGGTCCATCCCTGCGGCCTCTTTGGCCGTGATGGAGAAGAACGGGGCGTCGAATCGCGCGGGATCCTCGTCTAAGAAGAAGCCGCTATCGTGGTTGATCTATAATATGCAGATGGAGATCAGTGGCAGACCATGCTGAAGCGCCAGGAGTTCAGAGTGGGCATACGGCTCCTTTCCGTTCATGGCTCGGATGATGCCAGGCCGACGCCTCGTACCGGGAGGCAGGCACTCGGCCATGCCCCGTACGGCCCTGTCGCAGCATCTCCCAGAACCCCTCGACCGACGAGGCTTCCCCAGAGAAGCGACAGCTCATGCCGATGACCGCGATGGGCTCGGGAGGTGTCCCTTGAGGGAGTCTTTTCGCTGGCATGTTGGATCGGGTGAGTCTGGACGAGTGGACACGGATGTGGATGGAAAGTAGAATTCTTTTTTATTGAAAAAAAAAAATAAAATAAAATAAAATAAAATAAAATAAAGATAAAACAAGGACACAACCGACACACAGGATCGTATCAGTAACTTCTGCTCTCCGTGCTCTGGTATCAGCCGCGTTGCGTTGTCTAGTTTATATGAATTAGGGTTGTCGCGGTGATATCATCCTCGGCGTCATCCGGCAGCTCGGAGACTCCCCAGCTGACAGCCTCATGCACGAGTGTCTATTTTAGGTCATTCTGGATGTCGGAAGCCTGGTATGATAGTGTTTAGCTAGATGCAAGGTTGCACAAGTGGATCATGAAGATCTCGGTCCCACCCAGCAAGAATGCTGAGGATAGAGAGTGAAATCATGCTCGCATGCGACCGTAGCCTATAAACAGGAGTCTTGAGACCGGCAGATTTGCATCGTAAGAGCCTTGCTAGCATCATCATGACTATTACCACTCAACATGCTATTGTCGTTCAGGGCCGGGGCCATGCCCTCCTGACCAGCCAGGTCCCTCTGCCCGCATTGCCGGAAGACTCGGTGCTTGTCAAGGTCAAAGCCGGTGCTTGAGCATTCCCTGCGATATGTGCTGCACCCCCCCACTGACCCATACTTGCAGTGGCCTTGAACCCGACGGACTGGAAGCATCTCGACTTCGAAGACTGCACCGGGGCCATCGTGGGCTGTGACTATGCGGGAGTCGTCGAGGCCGTCGGCTCCAAGGTCCAGAAGGCCTTGCACCCTGGAGACCGCGTAGCCGGGTTTGTTCACGGCTGCAATGCGATGCGTCCCGATGTCGGGGCATTTGCTCAGTATGTGATTGCCAAGGGGGACCTGCAGATACGTGTGCCCGATAGCATGGGTTTCGAGGCAGCGTCGACCCTGGGGGTCGGCCTCGCCACTGTTGGCCAAAACCTGTATCAGTCGCTGCAGCTCCCTGACCCCTGTTATGGACAAGGCCCAAGTCAGGATGCAGAAGGGGACTGCCCCCAACTGCTAATCTACGGGGGGGCGACAGCCACCGGCACCCTGGCCATCCAGTTCGGGAAGCTTTCCGGCGCCCGCGTCGTTACCACCTGCTCGGAGGCCAATCGCGCCGCCATGTATGAGCTGGGGGCGGATCTGGTCTTCGACTACCACGATCCCCGGGTGGGTGAGCAGATCCGCGAGGCCACCGATGACGCGCTCGAGTTGGTGCTGGATGCGGTTTCCACCGTCCAGTCCGCAGGGATCTGTGCCGCCGCGATCTCCTCCGACGGAGGGTGCTACAATGCCCTGCTGTATGTGCGGTGCCCCCGAACGGATGTCGACTCGCACGTCTCCATGGCGTATGACTTGCTGGGCGAGCCCTACCAGCAGGGGGCGAAGGAGGTGGCGATGGATCCGGCCAGCCTCGAGTTCGGGATTCGGTGGTGCGAGCAGATTGAGCGATTGCTGCAGGATCGGCGCATTATGCCGCATCGGTTCCAGGTCAAGGGGGGTGGGCTTGGAGGGATCGTGAATGGGCTGCAGTTGCTGCGGGAGGGCAAGGTGCGGGCATGCAAGTTGGTCTATCGAGTGGATGAGACGCCGTGGAATGCTGCAGCCGGCGCACTTTACATAGACGGCACCGAGTAGCACCGTGCAAGAATCCCCTCAGATAGGGTGGCTGAAATCTCCGCTCCAATCGTCAGGAAAGGGATATCATGCGTAACTGATGAATTCTGCAGAGAGCCAGATTTGGAAAGAAGGGGTGTTATCTGTGCAACATTCCAGACGATTTACTCCGTAGTCGGACTCGGGTATAAGTATGTATGCTCTCTACGGAGTAGATGTCGCCCTGTATCGGGTCGACCCCTGTGCAAGCCCTCGTCGTGACCATGAAGATCCTCTGTCTCCACGGCCACGGCACGAATGCTGCCATCCTGCAGTATCAGCTCTCCGGTGTCATCAACTTGGCTGATCCCAGCTGGGAATTCCACTACTTGACTGGGGAAGTGGACTGCCCTCCAGCTCCAGGTGAGCCACCCTCCCTTCCCAGTGGAGGACCCCAGGCCCAGCATTCTTACCACGGAATCTTTTTCCATCAGGCATCACAGACAACTTCCCTGGCCCCTACCGCTGCTACACGCGTCGGTTCGACCCGGCGAGCGAGGGCGCCGCACATGACCTGATCGACGACACAATCGACGAGCAGGGCCCCTTCGACGGGGTCCTCGGGTTTAGCCAGGGGGCAGCCATCGCCGTCTCGTATCTCCTAGAGCACCAGGCCCAACAGCCAGACAAGCCACTCCCATTCCGTTTTGCGGTGTTCTGCTCAAGCACGGTCCCCTGTGCCGCGGATCGTGTTTACAGCCAGACGGTCCTGGGATGCCTATCGCCCGAGGAGGAGCAGCATCTTCGATCCGGCCAGGACGAGAGGATCGCGCAACTCCCCAAGCATGCGCGCACCGCCATCAGCACGCTGATTGAAACTCTTGATCAGACGGCGCCCATAACCCAGCAGCATCGGTCGTTCTATCTGGATCGGCCTCTGGCGGAGATTCCCTGTGTGCGGCATCCGGAGCTGTGCGCCACCCGCCTGGCTATCCCTACCCTGCATGTTCGCGGGAAGACGGAACAGCCGGAGATCAAGCATATGGGCCAGCTCGTGGAGGCATTCTGTCTGACTGGGAAGCGGCGGTCATGGGAGCATTCGGCGGGGCATGATTTGCCTCGCTCGGGGGGAGAGGCAGGCCATTTCCTCTCGGGGGTGGAGTGGGTGGTAGGCCAGAGTCAGTTGCCGACGCAGTGAGACTATTTGTCGATACAAGGAGTAATAAACATTAGATAGACATTCTGACCGTCACATGGCGATATTTCGCAATGTCCAACGTACTAGTGAACGAAGGAGTGGCTCCTGATCTCGATGGCTCGGCCTGGGAATTCCAGCTTCCAGCCAGTCGCAGGCTTGATGTCACCTCTTGCCCTGTTGGAACATGCAAGAACCACTGAAGGTTCCTTGTGGTCGATCCCTGTGGGGTTGACCCATGCAGGGCGCCCAATTTGCCAATTCTAGAATACCATAATGCCAGCTGACTACCTTTAAACAATGCATATAAAGCCGTTTCCCACCAGATGACTGCCCCATTCCCTCTAATCTGGTACACACACATTGAACCATGGCATCCACTGAGCCACCCGGTCGTCTTCTCACGCAACTGGTGGACGAACAGGCTCAGTCTCGGCCTGGCGCTCTCTACTGCCTCCATGCCGTCTCGCAAGACCCCAGCCAGGGGTGGCGTCCGATCTCCATCCAGCAGCTGGCCCAGGCCGTCAATCGGCTGGCCTGGTGGCTGGACGACCGACTGGCCGGGAAGAAGAACCAGGTCCTGGCGTATGTTGGGACAAACGACCTGCGGTATGCGGCGTTCATGCTGGCTTGTATGAAGACAGGCCATGCGGTACGCGTGCCCCTCCCACCTCCTCCCCTCATCCAGACGTGCTGATCGACGCAGACGTTGTTGCTCTCGACGCGGAACTCGCAGGCTGCCTCCCGACATCTGCTCCAGGCGACCAACTGCTCCGTGCTAGTCGATGGGAGCGAGAGACCGCAGCTGCGACGTGCCCTCGACGAGCTGGAAACCAACTGCGCTGATGTGCCGGTGGCGCGATGGCCTATGGCGGCTGTGTGGGAGGTGTTCTCCTCGGGCTCCGTCCAGCCCTATCCGCACCGCGAGCACTTCGTTGACATCGAGGATCGCGCGGCCTTGATCATCCACAGCTCGGGCACCACCGGCCTGCCCAAGCCGGTGGTCGTCAGCCACGGATACCTGGCCACCCTCGACCACATGGCCTCCCTCCCAGTTCCTCCGGGCCGCCAGACCGCACAGCTCTTCCTGCGATGCCAGGGCCAGCTGCGCTTGCTCCATGGGCCCCTCTTCCATTTCATCGGTCTGGTCTGTCTTTCCGAGTGCATCTTCTTCCAGACCCCATTCCTGCTGCCCCCGGACCGCCCGTTGACTCCGGACCTGTTCGTGACCATCATGGCCATGGACTCGCCGCCAGAGTGGGGGCTCGTCGCCCCCTACCTGCTGGAGGGCCTGGCGGCGTCCGAGCCCGGGCGACAAGCCCTAGCTCGTCTGTCGGCCCTGAACTACGGCGGGGCCCCCATCGCCTCCACCACAGCCGAAACCGTCGCCTCGCTCCTTTCACTTCAGACCATGATGGGCAGCAGCGAGACGGGCTACACGCCGACCCTGCTGTGCGAGGACCCGGCTGACTGGGGGTACATGGAGTGGAACCCGGCATTCCAGCTGCGGATGGAGGAGGTGGGCGAGGGTCTGTGGGAGCTGGTGCTCCCTCGCCCGGCCTCGCGTCACTACCACGCCATCTTCCACACATATCCCCATCTCACCGAGTATCGCACGGGGGATCTATTCCGGCCGCATCCCCACAAGCCCGGGCTGTGGCGCTACGACGGCCGTGGGGACGACATTATCGTCCTGAGCAATGGGGAGAAGTTCAACCCGATTGACGCGGAGAAACGGTTGGAGTCCCATCCCCTCGTGGCGCACGCGGCCATCTTCGGCCAAGACCGATTCCAGGCTGCCTTGCTGGTCGAGCCTCAGTGGGATGAGTTGCCTGCTGCGTGGACCCCCGACTCTCTGCGGCAGACCCTGGGCTCGCTGATCGACCAGGCCAACTCGCTTCTTCCGGCGCATGGTCAGATCCTTCAGTCGCATGTTGCATTCAGCTCGAATGATCGCCCGTTTGCCCTGTCCCCCAAGGGTACTCTACGGCGTCGGGAGACGGCCGAGATGTATCACGCAGTCCTGGATGGTCTGTACGCCCAGCCTCCTCGCAACCCTCTTTCATCGCCCACTCCGGTCCAACCACCTGGATCAAGCCTGGAGGCGATCCAGCATTGGGTCCAGCAAGTGGTGGCCGGGATTCTGGACAGCAGTGCCGTCAGCCCTCACGACGATATCGTTGCCCTGGGGATGGACTCGCTGCAGGTCGTCCGCCTCTCCCAGCGGCTTCAGGATGCGGCCACGAGCCTTCATCCAGCCCAGCAGCCTCTGTCCTGGACCAGCACCACCATCTACGAGATGGGTACCGTCCAGCGACTCGCCACCGGCCTGTACCAGCATTTCCACCCCCAAACCCGACGAAGATCCTGGACCCGCGACGACCAACTCACGCACACCATCTGGCAGCACGCACGGTTCATGCGCGGCTCGGGCCTCACCGTCGCCCTAACCGGCTCAACCGGCTCACTAGGAAGCTACCTGCTGCACCAACTCCTCCAGAGCCCGTTCATCTCACAGATCTACTGCCTCAATCGATCGCCCGACGCTGCCGATCGACAATCATCCAGCTTCCACGAGAAACAGCTCGCCCAGGACTGGCTGACACGCGCCACACCCGTCCAATTCTGGGAAGCGCATCTGGAAGACGAGCACCTCGGGCTATCCGCACACCGCTACCACACCCTACAACACACCATGGACGTGCTCATCCACAACGCCTGGCCCGTGAACTTCAACCGGCCCCTGGACAGCTTCAATCCCTCGCTGACCGGCACCCGTTGACTCCTGGACCTGGTCTCTGGCTCTCCCCGCCATCCCGCATTCCACTTCATCTCCTCCATCGCCACCATCAGCGCCCCGTCCATGTCTGAGACTACCAGCACCCCCATCCCGGAGACCCTGCATCCCGCCACCAGGGTCCTGCCCCAGGGCTACGCGGAATCGAAGTTCGTCGCCGAAGCCCTCTGCGGCATCGCGGCCGAGAGCCAGCCCACCACCGCGCGAATCGCCATCCACCGCGTCGGCCAGCTGGGAGGGCCATCCACCCCGGAAAAAGGCATGTGGAATCCCCGCGACTGGGTGCCTGCGTTGGTCCGCTCGTCGCAGACAATGGGCTTGCTGCCGGATAGTCTGGGGGGGTTGCGCGTCGATTGGTTGCCTATCGTAAGCTTGTCTCCTTCTCCTTCTCCTTCTCCTTCTCCTTCTCCTTCTCCTTCTCCTTCTCCTTCTCCTTCTCCTTCTCCTTCTCCTTCTCCTTCTCCTTCTCCTTCTCCTTCTCCTTCTCCTTCTCCTTCTCCTTCCTCCTTCTCTCACCCCACAGCAGAAACTGACACCGATGAAAGGACATCGCCGCCCAAGCCATCGTCCAAATCGTACACACCCATATGAAACCATCCCTCCCCTCAACACCAGCATCACCAACACCAAACCCCCTGACAATCTACCACATCACAAACCCCCACCCGCAGCCCTGGCGCGCACTATCCCAACTCATCGCGGATACCATCTCCGCGAAGATCGTCCCGCTAGCCGAGTGGGTAGCGGATTTGCGGGGGAGGGTATCAGTATCAGAGCAAAGCAATACTGACAAAGATACAAATACTCCGCATGGAAATAAACATGGGAAGGGAAATGAGCTAGAGGATCTCCCTGCCGCCCCACTGTTGGGATTCTTCGCCGTGTTGGACGAGAGCGAGAAATCGAGGCAGACACTAGGTGTGGTGGAGGTGGAGGTGGTAAATGCGAGGAGAGATAGTCGAGTGATGCGGGAGGTCGGGGGTGTGGATCGGGGGTTGGTGAGGACGTGGTTGGAGCAGTGGGTGGAGGGGGGGTGGATTGTGAGAGGGAATTAGATATATTGGTGTTGGTTGGAGGGGGAGGGGGTTGAATGTGGTTGATTAGATTTTATTTGGTTGGAAGGTCTTGGGGGCTGGGGTGGGTTAAAGCTGAGGTGAGGGGGAAATAGTGAATGGTTCCAAGGGCTGCTTACTACCTATGGTTGTAGTCCCTCTGTCTGTGTATAGTTGAATGAATCAATGATCCTTGATGACTGGACTTGGGATGTGGAGATATATGTATATAGATGGTATTTAGAGGAAAAGCTCTCAGCTGCTAGAGGCAAGTGGTATCAACAATAAATAATCCATTAAAGAAATCTAATCTTTTATAAATAGCTGAGACTTTAGCTTTTTATAGTCTTATTATTATATAGCTTTAACTTAACTTTTTTATTTAAAATAGTTTTTTTCCACTCTATTAAGATAATATAATACCGGCAGTCAGGGCCGCTAAAGAATCGATGTCTACAAGAATTAATTACTGACACATTGCGCTGCTCTGACACAAATTGATGGGGTGGAGGGGAAAGCTGAGGGAACAAGCACTTACATGGCCCACGCCCAACCGACAAATCACGTCGTTTGCCATACCATAATCCAATTGTTGTATCAGGACCAATGCAGAAATGACGCTTGCTGGTCGGCAAAGTGCTTGAAATGTCAATCCAACTGGATTTGTCTTGCGAATATTTGCAGTAATAAAGGCTCCCACCTGCTGGGAAACGTAGAGAAAGGAGTCGAGACTCCATCTGCACAATTTGGAGCACCAAATTTATCCTCTCCTTTTCCGATAATTGAGACCAAATATCACCTAAATTATTTCCCTGTACGAGCTCCATGAATATGTATTCTGTTCCCGCAGCGTTGTCCGACCTGGCAGAGTACCCGAAGACCTTCGGAACAGGTATACCTTGAGATCGGAGGAAATCCATCGTGGCAACTTCGCTCGCGATGACGAAGAATTTTGGCTCGGTGACAGGCTAAGGGATGCGTGCAACAAGTTGGAAGCCATCATTCATAGTAACAAGGAAACTTCGATTGAACCCCCCCTCAGCTAGTTTCTCGAAAGTGGAGACGTCTTCTTCCTTCCGGTGAACTGATACTGCTGCAAGTCGCTTGAGTTCAAGGACGTTGAAAGCCCGTCTTCTTTCATATTGCCGTAGATGGTCATTGTAGCTTAACCTGATCGTTAGTCAATGAATCCTTGATCAAAGCAAAAGGGCGAGGTGGAAGAGGAAGGCAAAGCAAGGCCATGGCAATCCTACATACATCCATCTCCCGGACGTATATTCAAATAAATGGGAGTCTGGCATCTTTCCGTGAGTATAAAAATGATGTACAGCGCCCGGACTCACTTTGCGGATCGTGATAAAAAAACCTAGACCAGCGGGAAAGGCGATTGATATATTGGGAGATTCTCATTTCTTGATGAAAGCAAAAAGGGTTTTCGCGTGTCCGGTAGTGTTCTTTTATAGAATTCTTTCCTACAGACCAGAGTAAAAGGCGTCATCTCGAGAGCAATGATAAAGGTTGAGGGGGAAACAGGACGGAGGGCGGCGCAGATTGTTATTGCGGGATCGCAGGAGAGTCGACGAGTTACACGGGAAGGGGGTGGCGGAGCTCAGGAGCTCGGTGATCCGGATTGATAGCAAAAATGCCTCACCTGTAAGGCCTAGGGATGGCCGAGAGACGAGGGCGAAAAGAAAAACGACCTGGGTTGTTGGGTTGGGGAGGGGAAACAGGGGACTAGATAGAACCACGCACGGGTATGCGCAAAGCCAAGTGCGCTAAACTAAAGGGGTCATAACTATACCAAACCCGACTTTTATTATAGTAGTCCGATATGGTGTAGTGGCTAACATCGCCGTCTCTCACACGGCAGCCGGGGGTTCGATTCCCCCTATCGGAGTCCAATTCTTCTTTTTGGTTTTTTTTGAAGTTCTGTGGGGTGGGTGGATGGGTGGGTGAGTGGTTAGGTTAGTGGGTCTACCTACCCTAAGGCGGAGCCAGTGTATCTAGAGTTTGCTGTGGAATGTTAACTTTCTGTGTAGTTGATATGTTTTAAAAGTACCTTTTCTGTCACTGTTTTTAGAAGGGGTTAGTTTCTCGCATCCCTCAGCTGTCAGTATATCATCCAACTTGAATGAAAGAAGCAGTCAATATTATGCTCAACTCTCCTTTGACCTTACTGTACTCGTCACCGCCGCATCAATCGCCACCCCCATCCGCTGATATGGCTTGCTTTCCACCGATGTTCCCGATATATATACCGCAGCATCAATCCTTCCTGATCAACAAACAACAAAGTCCCGGCAAGAGCAGCGCTCCAAGCAGGGGGACGATGGTCAAATAATATGGCAGGTACCTGTCAGCAGCACAGTCATTTAACCGTGACATTGACAATGTGTCTGGTTCCTGGGTTACTTACACCTCCGATAGGAAAGTTTTAGGTTATGTAACACTAAAACGAGGCAAAATATATCAATCGGGTCCCATAGCTCAGTTGGTTAGAGCGTAACGCTAATAACGTTAAAGTCGAGGGTTCGACCCCCTCTGGGACCATTTCCTTTTTGCTTTTTATTTTTCTGCCTCGGACACACTTTTATGCGCAGTCCCTCTCCGCCATTCGTCTGCTGAGTCCACCCGCAGGCTGTGTAACCAGTCACCGTCATCCACTGGCAGCTGCAGAGAACCTTATTACGATCACCCCGGACTCTTCCCAAACCGGCCTCGTGCCTAATAATGGCAGTTGGTGGGTGGACCGGGACATGTGATTCCCACAGCATCCGGGCAGGGATCATGGCGGTGCGCGTCGACCTGCCTTGCAAACCGGGCTTAGCGTGGGCCCCTTCGCCAATGGGATCAGCAACGTGACATCATGACCGGGTCAGGGTCCGAGCGGTGCCGGCCAACCAGAGCGCAGCTACTGTGGCTGGTGTGGCTGATGACTGCTGTCCGCCCCGCCCGGGGACCCCGGTGACCAATCGTGTCATCCGACAATGACACTGCTATTGTCGTCATCCGTGGATCGTCCCGAAGGCGCGCACGCGGGTGGACTGACTGCGTTCTCGCCCACTGATCGTCTCTCCCCGACACTCCACCATTTTACCTCCCCCAACACCACTGCAATTCTGCTGCCTTCCTCCCGCAAACTCTGTCCTCCCAGCCATCCTTATAGCCCGGCCATCCGTCCTGAGCTAGGCCCTACGTTTGTTTCATCAACAATAACACTCACTACCTCCCCCCACTCCCACTTACCACCTAACCACACCACCTATACACACCACTCATCCCAACAGAGGACCACACAACCATGGGCTTCGGCGGAGCCTTCCTCCGCATCCTGAACCTCTCGATCCGCGTCCTGCAATTCCTCGACGCGGCCGTCATCCTCGGAATCTTCTCGTACTTCCTCGCCGAACTCGCCCGCCATGACCAGTCGATTGCGCAGTGGATCAAGGCCGTCGAGGGGCTTGCTGGCGCAGCGGCCCTGTACGGCATCTTCGGGATGCTCTTGACCTGCTGCTTGGGGGGTGTCGCCTTCTTCGCGTTCCTGGCCATCGTGCTGGACGTGTGCTTCATCGGCGCCATGATCGCCATCGCGATCATGACCAGACACGGGGCCCAGTCGTGCTCCGGGACCGTGAATACCCCGCTAGGCACGGGCGCGAGCACCAGCAAGTCGGTCGGGGGGACGAGCTTCCACTATGCGTGTGAGCTGCAGAAAGCGGCGTTTGCGGTGTCGATTATTGGGATGTATGTTCCTTCCTCTCTCCTTCCCTCTCCCTCCCTCTCCTTCTTTTCCATTCCAACGCCATATTTGTCAATGATTAAAGCACTAATCATGATAATGATCTAGTTTCTTCTTCCTCATCTCGATCCTCCTCCAAGTCCTGTACGCCCGCTACCACAAGCGCGAGAAGCGTTTCGGCCCGTCCCCCGCAAACGGCTACACATCCGGCACGACGCGGGGCTTTGCCTTCTGGCGCAGAAACAAGCGGAGTCCCGACTCTGGCACCGAAGACGACATGCTGCCGACTCATCCCACGCCCCACGATATGGAGTTGGGGACGACCAGCGTGGGTCCGGGTGGTCTTGCCGCCGAGAAGGAGGACGGGATGAATGGCGCCGGCAATAATGGTTACTTTTCCAGAAAGAAGAGGGAGAGTACGGCTGGGTTGAATGTGAATACGGCGACCCCGACGCCGAATGCCGGGTATGGATATGGGAACTCGGCCTATACCGGGAATTATTAGATGATTTGCTTTCCAGAGAAGGGGGTGTAAGGCGGCCTCCTGGTGCGGATGCATGGAAGGATGAATGATGAATGAACTCGCACGGCCTAAAAGATACCATGGATTTGAAATGGGTTGATTGATTGATTTTTGGATGGATAGGACTGGTTTCTTATTTTGTTCCTTGGTGTATCATATTAGGGTATATATATGTTTAATGATTACTTTGATATTTACTCGTCGCCTGCGCCTTCGAACCTTTCAGGGTTAGTTGGGTTGGCCGGCCCTCTGATCCATAACCCGCCACAGCTTAATACTAGATATGTATATCTTTTATATGTGATTCCCGTATAGAAGGTAGTACACAAAAATGCTAAAGAAACCAATGATATCCGGAGAGAGACCATCATGACTGGGATAATATTATGATTGATGTAATAGATAAGTTCATGTCATAGAAGTGACATCGTCTCCTTCATCCAAGCCCGGGGATGGTGAGACGTTTATGTGATGTGGATGGGGATGGGGATGGAGACGCATCAAGAAATGTACACACCCACCGGGTTGCTATGTGCACATACCAACCACTACAGTCACCTGCCTTCCTAAATGGGGCTTTAAGCAGACATTATCTTCTGCGCACCGCCTTCATCACATGCTGATAGTTTCTGCCTGCGACTTCAGGCTCCAGCTCGCTACTTGTACACCCCGCAGCCAGCCATCCTTTCTTTCCTCCATCACCACCTAGCTAGCAGAGCCATCTAAGCATCTTCGTATTTTTACATAAAATTCGAATTGGTAGTTGCCTCTGTAATGAGTCCTCTCCACCATGAGTCTCCTCCATCACCAGACATATGACGGCGAAGATGTCAAATCATGCGGGGCTAGCGATCCAGTGGCGCTGTAGCGTCTCCCTGTTGAGCATGTATCTTTGTCGCTATTCGTGTCTGACTGCTAGTGTGCTTACCCATGCTGATGCCAACCTATCATGCATTTATCGCCCCGACATGAACACATTCTTCGAACTTGAAGCCAGAAATCCCATCTTCTCTAGGATGATCACAGAGGCAGAAGGAAGAAAAGGGGCACCTGGGAGCCAGTTTCTCGACTGAAACGAATCCTCTCGCCGACTCCAGTCCCGATACATATGCAAGGTCAACCACATAATCGGATTCCACGCGATACTTTGCCATAACTTCAAACTCTAAAGAGTCAAACGGCAAGCGTCATGTTGGAGCTTCTGCATCTCAACCTGGCACTAGCAATAATGAGCATGATGGTATAGTGGTCGTGGGAGCAGGAGCTGACTACGCGTGGGATGTAGTAGGCGATCCGACACTCATACCAGCAACAGTAACTGCTTCTTTCTTCGGCTCCGCAGATTCTACATCTAATCCAATCCATGGACATGAGAATATGTGCTTCAACAGCTCTAGAAATAGTTCCGCAACCTTTCTCACAAAGCCCAACCCCAACAGTCCGATCCAGACGGCTTAGGGCTCCAAGGATAGCAGTGCTTCTGGCCGCCACCCCAGCCTCCTCGACAGCGACTGTTGAAAGTTGTTGCAGCAGCGATCTTCACGGGCTCGGGATAGAGGTCATCATCTGCGCACGGCATTTCTGGAGTTTCTGAAGTATGTTTGATAAAAGTATATAATTCAGATACTAACATGTTGATTATTGCTTATCAATAATATGAATTACTTAGACTCTCGGGAACTGGAATATTCCTGCTTCCAGCTCAGTTGATAGTCTACGTATGTGCTCTTGCAAAAAAGTGAAACAAAACCCCTCGAGTAAAAAGGTGTCCAGCCCTAGATGGGTGTGCTAGCGCCACATCCACCAAATAAAATATCCCCTCATTCACCGCCCGGACTATCAATAATGCCGGCAGAAATCACGTCTCCGGGCCGCGGAATGCCGCCATCGCGGGGTTTCCCGCTCCCTCCAATTTTCCATACTGGGATTATTTCCCTCTTGCTCCTCTTCCTCTTCCTCTTGCAATCTCCAACTCCAGTCCCATCTCATTCGACACCGCCACCACCACCACCACCAACAACGACAACGACAACTACAATGCCCCTCCTCACCAAATGTCAAATACCCACCTCAGCCGACCAGCTCGAGTTCCCCCCGAACGCCAACGTCCTGTTTGTTGTATTCGTGACCTCCGACGACCCAGCGACGGGTCAATCATGGTGTCCGGATGTCCGTGCCGCCTGGCCCGTTCTCGAGGCCACGTTCTCCCCCGCGGATGCGCCCCAGCTGGCTGTTGTAGAGGTTGGACAGAAGCCTGAGTATGTCGTCTGTTTGTTTGTTTTCTTGCCTCTGTTTGCTGTTGCTGTTGCTGCTTGTTTGAATAAATAAACAACCCCCGACCCCCCCTTTTTTTTTGTTTGGTAAAAAGTGGCTGACATAGAAACGAAACAACTACCTATCATCTGTAGATGGAAAGATCCCCAGAACATCTACCGGACTACGTGGAAGGTTCCGTGCATTCCGGCGTTGATGCGGTTTGAGCGCGTCCACGGAGAGACGGTGGAGACGGGGAGACTACTTGAGGGGGAGATTCTGGATCGGGAGAAGCTGGGGGAGTTTGTGGGGTTGTCTGTTGTATGATAGATAGGTTCTTCTACTATCTGGGTGAATTTGGTTTCTTTTTATGCTCGGACTACTCCGTAACTACTAAGGTCGAGGTTGTGTGATGGATGCGCAATGTAATCAATACGAAGTACAGCCTGTGGCATGTATGGCTTCTGGGGCTATTGGGCGGAGCGGACGCGATATATGCACACCCCCAAAGGGCACACCCCAGCTAATCACAAACCGTGGGAATTAATTATCAGTTTATATAACCCGGAACATATGATGTTCTGAGGGCAATTAAGCAAAATCTGGGGGCTGCTATGTATGTATAAATGTGTTCGGCCCGTGCCGTCAACCATCGCCGGGTGGAGAGAGAGCATCGGTCGGTATTTAGCATGCCGTCGTCGTATAGTATCGACACCCCATTTAGATGTAAGGGGGGCTAAGGGCTATGACAAATCAAATGTCATGCATGGAGTGTATCCCTGTGGTTAGTTAGGGTAAAGAGGAAACGGAAGATTGTCCTAATTTTAAGAGCTGTCTTGGAATGAGACTAGGTGTAGCTAGTTGAGGGTCTCGAGATTTTGTCAACCGATGATCATTTTATTATGAGGAAGTTATGAAAATCAAATTAGCACGACTCAAACGTCCCGTCAAACTCCAGAGAAGCATCATTAATACCATCCAATTCAGGTAGAGACCGTAGCCATTCTTCTAATACGCAAACGGGCTTATCCTTGCAGTCCGAAGAAAAGGCTGTCGGAGCTGAGATTGTAGTATTATCCACTTACCCATCACTTCCAGATCGATGCAGATAAAAGCCCAAATATAAAAGATTCTCACAGCACACAGATCTTTTCCCGTAGGTGTCCAGTTACTTCAGTCAGTGTACAATGGACAGCTTTTGTCCAGGGGCCAAGCTGTAATCGACAGCGCTGCGATTCGCAGTCTTGCTGCTATCTTGTTTTTCTTCCTTCCGTCTCCACCTCCTTCTTGAAGCACCGTGGATCTTGGAGACGTTTGATCAAGGCTTTTGATAAATTCGGATACTGCAAGGCTAGTACTATAAAGCGGAATCCCCCCTCCCTGCAGATAGTCGTAAGGATCAAGCAACATCTATTCTCTTGGACAATACGCTCGACTTCCGAAGTCTATCACACATTTTTCTTCTTTAATAAAAACGATACAAAGGGTTGTCTTATGGATGAGCCTGGGGCATAAATATTGCTATTGCTGAGCTATACTCAATGACGATCAGCCTGACAACGCGGGTCGCTGACTGTGGGACTGAGATTTCTCCACGATCACATGCCATTCACCTTGGGAAGCGAACCAGTGACCTCATTTGCCACTCCTGCCTGCTTCACATATTCGTCGACGTTCTTGTCACTGATCATGTAAACGGCCTGCGTGAGTTTATCGCGTCTTCCTTCCACAATTTCAGTGTTGATATCGGCCTCCACGATGACATAGTCCATATAGAAGGTGAATGTATCCTTAGTACTCTCCTTCAGGCACGTCTTGGTCGTTTCCTTGTACGACTCGCTGTCGATTTTCATGTACAACAGTTGGCACCTGGGCTGCATTACCCAGTACTTATTATCATCGTCGCCCACGTTGACTTTCAATATCTGGTGTATCTGCTTGGAGAAGGCGTTCCGGAAGCCTGTTGATTTCGTGTCGGTTTTCACCTGCGCGATCGCCGAGATATACTGCTCGATAAACCCCGATATCTCGGCCAGCGTTCTTTCGGAGAAGTCAAATGGTTGGAAGATATCCTTTGAAAATTCGATCTTCAGGTCCGAATGCGTGACCTCCTTCTTATAGGTGCGAGTGTACATGTTGATGCTGTCGTAGTAGCCCCCCAGCCCTCCATGTATGACTTCGTACGCGATGTCGGCATTCTCCTTCATCGCCAGGTTGGCCTCCTCGGGATCGGTAATGCCGTATGGTTGCTTCCGGTCTGTCGTACTCATTCTCTTGAGCCGCAGGATCTCTTGGAACAGGGTCGCCAGTCCAGTCACCAGCTTGACGTCTTTGTAGTAGTCTAAGACCTTTGGATCTTCGTCCGTCGGCTTGACATTGGTGATTGGTGGCTTGGGCAGCTTGTTCTCGGACACTTGCTGCCTTGGCGGCTTGCCATTGTCTGTTAGAAGGTTCATGAGTGCATCCAAATCCCCTTTTTTGGGTGCGGGTTCAGGCGCCAACGGAGCAGAACCGGGCTTCGGGGGTGCAGACTCGGGCTGCAGGGAAACAGAATTGCGCATCAAGGGAGCGGCTGCAACTCCATCGATCTTTTCATCCCCGGAAATCTTCATCGCCGCAAAATCATCACAAGCCCCGCGCGAGACTGCCTCACGGGGCGCCAGCCCCTTTGCTCGGGATGGATGATCAGCCAGGCCCACCAGTTTGTCAAAAAGGTCGTGGGCCGCGCTATTGGTAACATGCGCTAATTCCAGGTCGGGTTCTTCCTGCACCGGGCTCCTGACAGACTCCAGTGAGATTTTCTGCGCATGTTCAGGCGTCTCGGCAGAGTAGTGGTGAACAGATGGGAGGCTGTCGTCGTCCGAAACTTTCAGAACAATGACCCCCCCCTTGTTCAGGGTGACGTTGTTGGGGACAGCGAAGAATTTTCCACAATCGCCGCGAGGCTGGATGAAGAACCATTTGATCTCCAGGCTGAAGTTGAGGGTTTCGTTGCGAGGGTGCAGAGTGATGAAGTGCTCCTCGCTGATAAAGGCCGCGGCGAGAATATCCTCGCCGAGCCGGTTGACGAGGGTCGATTGGGTGAGGGAAATGATGGGGAGGGAGTCACCCATGATGGTCATCGTGAACGGATTGATTTGAGAAACTTTGAGTGAGTCTAGATATCGCGACTTTGTTGTCCTTTTCTGTTTGGTATGGATTCAGCGGACTAACCACGAGTCTGGGATGGTAGGTAACATGTTCATTTCGCAGCGCCGGAACCATGTATTTGTAGGCGACTCTTTCTCAAACGTCCTGCCGATTCCTACATGCTTTGCTGGGAATCAGCTGATGACAGACTCTCTTTCCACCATGATCGATCACTCCACTTGTCACTTCTTACCCCTCCCCCTCCTGCACCTCATACATGCTGACGTGTCGTGAGGTATTAAGAAGATGACTTTATGATAGAATCAGTATGCAATTGGTACGATGCATGGATTGATGCAGATCTGTTTCCGAATGAAACCCTTCCTGGAAGGAACATCGGTGTAGCTAGCAGAACCTTCAGGTAGGTGTGTTTGGTATGCACTGCATGTCCTGTGCATTGACAACGGGGACCTACAGCATAAAATCGAGGCTGTAGGACGGTGGGATTCATGCGATCTAGGTGGCGGTGAGTAACCGGCCGGTAGAAAGAGTGAAGGAAGTAAGTGGCTAGAGGGCAGTTACTGGCAGGCGCTACGCTAACCTCAGGCACCACCCCCGCTGATATGCATATATATACCTTGCTCCCATGATTCCTACTTCGGATCTAATATGAGATTTGGTGCGAAGATATAGCCTGTTATATCTGAAATGCTCAGAGTGTGATAACCGAATTGACAGATACATCTACACTCTAGGGGAGTATCTTAGTTTATTCCCGGCAGAATCATCCCCTGCCCATGGGGCGGCCCGCGCTGGGTGGGGCGGATCGGGTCGGGTCGAGGGTCCGGACGGTCACCCGCAGATCCGTGCCGGGTTCAGCAAGAAAAATGCCTCACCAGAAAGGTACCAAAATCGCCAGACCGACAGGCGACCAGGCACACCTATCATATGCAAGATGAACCCCGGAGCTTGGCCATACGTGGCAAAGGGGCCCTACCACATATCATATGTTATTGGAAGATGACAGTATCATCTATGAGCACTCAGGCATTCTTTTTTATTTTTTATTTATTTTTTTTTTGCTTCCATTTTCCTGACCCTTTTTCCGTTGCGAGGTATAGTGTACGGAGTAGGTAGTAAGCTACGGTGCTGCCTTTCTTATATACTTACTAGACATCTAGCCGGCTATGATCCAGCATCAAGACCCATTTTCCTGGACATGAGAAATCCTTCGAACTTCCAATTTACAATCTACTGAAGAAAAAGTTGAACCTGCCCGACAGAATGTCAATCCCGCCCAATAACCCCCAAAACCCACGATGGCTTCTTGACTTGAGTGAATGGGAGGTGAAACCCTTTACCGATGTCCCGCGGAGCATACTAGATGAGGAGGGCTATGGAATTGTCTCTTACACCTGGGGTTATATTGCTGATTATAGAAATCTGTCCACGGACACCCCTCGCGGGATCTTATGGGACGTGCCCGGGACAAAGAAATGGACCCTTTCCGAGGCAAGAAGAATCATGGGCACCATCGGGACCCGGTATGTGTGGTGGGATTGGATGTGTGTCCCGCAGGGCGGTAGGGGGGTTATGAAAGACTTGAGCCCGGAGATGCGGGAAGTCCAGGGCCAGGAAATTGGGAAGCAGATGTGAGAAATATCCCCGGTATCAGGGGCACGGCTGGGGCTAACGAAGCATGTAGGCATATCTACCGAAACGCGAAGAAAAGCATTGTCTGGCTGCATTCGACTTTCTGGCAGGATGAATCGGCGCTCAAGGCACTGCTTCTCTCCAGACCACAGGACGGGAATGCAGAGCCTACGACGGCTGTGGGGTATGTCGAGCAGGTGGGGAGGCAGCTGCGCGCAGCCCAGGACGGAGAATGGTGGCTGCGATCGGGCTGGACGCTCCAGGAAGGAGTCCTTCTCGCCCAGACGCACTTGGTGGATGTCAATGGCGAGAAACTTAGAGATGACAGATTCATCCACGGGGGTTGTGCGAGTGTGCTCGACATCACGGCGCGCATCACCCGTCTGACGGTCGAGTTGGCCCGCGCCTTCGTCATCCATGCGGAGGGCCAGGAACAGGACGGGGGCTCTCCGAGCGGCCAGTTGGCGGAAGCACTGGCCAGCCCGGACTCGGCGCTGACGCTCCGCCAGTCCCTCAAGTCGCTGATCAAATCGGGGCTTGTGGCGTACACAGAATACTCCCCGCTGTACATTCTCGCTGGGAAGCAAAGTCGCACCTTTGGAGTGCCCCAGGATGCGTGCTGGGCGCTAATAGGCGCGATGGGGCTGGAAAATGTCACAGTCAACTATGACGCTCCCATGGACGAGATCAAGAGGGTGTTCCTGAGGGCGCTGATCGAGCGGTATCAATGGACGATGCTGTTGCTGCCATTGCCAGATATTCGAATCAAATACATGCGCGGTCAAGCTACGCTGTCGAGGGACTTCGATTGGATCGACATCATCGACGGGGTTTTGCTACCCATTGGGGTGTTCGTGGATACGCTGATCCGGCCCAGGTCTCCGCCCACCAACCCGACGCCCCCACGGGACCCCAACAAGGACCCTGAAGAGCGGCTGCGACAGAGTCTGCCGATTCTCGCATATACGGACGCGCTTCACATCTGGCCACGCGAGGCTGCGGGCAGGAAACTGGTCGTTTACAGCGGAAAGAAAGAGGAGATCCGGTGGTTCCGCCACTATCGCCAGAGTCCAGACGGGTTGCGCATCGTGTCTCCGAGGGTGGCTATCCCGGAAGAAGAAGATCTGATACACGGGGCGTGGTTTCTTCCGCTGGAGGACCTGGAAGTGCGCAGTGGCGTCCAGGGGAAAAGGTGTCTGGTGTTGCTCCGATTCAACAGCCAGCCGCCAGGGGGTCAGCCTGCGTATGGTGATTTTGGCGGCATTGGGGATATCTGGGGGATAGGGCCAGAGAAGGCGGAAGTCGATGAGATTACGCTGGACCCAGGGCTCTGATGCGGATTGCCTGAAATGCCGCCGTGTTACTTATTTTTCTCATTGCCTGAACCAATGTCTCTGGAATCAGAGTCAACTGGAGTAAACCTGAGACAAACGGAGAACTCCCCGCTCATGGCTTCCTGGGAGGCCCTCATAGGCCTCCCGACACCCACACTGATATACTGATGATGGTCGAATTATACCCCTCCGACTACCGAGCACGCAGAACTCGACAGTGAAGCGTTTCTGAATTTCAGATAGTCACCCCACCTCTCCGTCTTTCAGCACTAGTATAAGGTTCTTTATTACTATCAGGATGGAACTTTATTATATTAGACATCAATATCGGGCATGACTCTAGCATAAATTCCTCCCAGTACTCTCATCAATCAACCATTTACTTGGGCTTCGTGGCCTGGTAGATAGGAAATATGTCTTCTGAGCCTTGTAGCATAGCGTTCTAGTCTTTCACCAAGCCTAGCAGATTTAGAGGCATACCTGAGGGGTAAGTCTGTGATAATAGATTCCCTAGTCTGAAGTACCCATCTTTGCGCGCCATGCGTGTTGAAATGCATAATATAATTTCCAACAAATGGCATAAATACCTCACTCCTAGTGAAGCGGTGTATAGTAATATGAATCAGAAGTGTGACACAGGTGCAGTAACTAATAAGGCAACTAACCATGTTATTAATTACTGAGTTATAGCCGTACCTGAGATACAAGATATCCTTGAAGAGATACTAAAAGAGACAGGCCTAGACCATGAATGCTAGTTCTTTTAGTATGTTCCAAATACTCTTCTGCACGAGAATAAGTTTTGTTGGAGATTACCAGCTGTTCTTGTCACTTCTTGCTACTTTCATCAGGCTGTACACAGAATTTTTCAGTCTCCCATAGATAGCAGGCTGTCGTGATGAGAATGTGTCAGGAGTGCCTATGGTGGCCTCACAGGATGACCAGAGCGGCGGGCTCTCCTTTTGCCCTAGCGGTCACCCTTCCGTCAGACTGTGCGTGTAAAAGATAAGGGCTCCTGTTCTTCCCTCCAAGCTGCGGGGTTCAACCTGCAGCTTTCGGTGGACAAAGTCCTGGCGTCTGAACAGGCAGCTAGTCAGCCAGTCAGCATTTCATCAGTATCTAATAGTGCTGGTAAATATGTCAGCGGCGCTGCCCCGGGTGGCCGCTCGGGGGGTCATATGCCCGCACCTCGCGTACGAGTGCTCCGCGGCCACGAGGGTTGCCTCCAGGAATCAACCACTTCATGGTCTCTCCTTCCGCCAAAATATGATGTATCTTATGTTAGATGGGAATCCAGAACAACCGAATGTATTCTGGCCTATACTAGCTTTTGAGAATTGTGTAATCCAGTGTAGCTGGGTATTAGATCCGCCTAAACCAATACCCCGCGGTGGAGCTGCTTAAGCTTGTCGCGGCCTGTTTATAGGTTGTTCTGTGATGTTATAGTACCACCTGCAAGTCATCTCTGTTAGCCCCGCATCTTAATTATTATTCTAGGTGGCTTGGACCTACTGGACCTTTGCACGCATTTCATAAGTACCTAGACTGACGTTTCCTGCGCATTAATATCCGCACATGGAGGCAACCAGGCTAGCCGACCCACCTGGCCTGACAACGCACCCAGTCACGCCGATCAGCCTGTCATGCCCTGTTAACGGGCCTATACCTGATGCTAGCACCTGCAAGTGACTGCATGCGCGGCCCTGCGTGTCTCCTAGCGAGCCATTCAGATCACCTAGTTTTCTCGCTGCTGCAGGCTCCCGTTGTCGTATCTTTGCTTGTGCCGCGAGTCCCGACTATACTGTTATTTTTCCAATTCACTGAATTGTCATCAAAAGGTGGCGATACAGTATCATTGGGAGGTAGGGAGAGTCACGACCCGATCCCTGCACCGGATAGCCTTCCTGATTCGGAGGCCCCCTTCATGGCACCCAGGCTATAGCTATAAGATCGAGCCAGAAACCATACACTCGAAAAGCAAATGAATTCTTCATATCCCAGTCCCGATTACCAGATCTGCCCCCAGCCTATCTCTCTCCCCGACATGGCACCAGAATTCAGCCGCGCTTGCTTCTACGGCTTCGAGGATGGTGTCGATGATCACAAGGCCATTCACAAGGCCATTGACGAAAACCCCCGTAATGCATCCACCACGATCCCGCTCTGCGACGACGATGGCGGGCCCGACTCGGGCCCTCTAGAGCTGGCCATGTTTACCAGCACCTTCTGGAAGCCCGGCCGGGAGCTGAAGATCGGCTTTCACTCGGGGACATCCTGGCAACACGACAAAGTCAAACAATACGCCCCGGAGTGGACCAGACATGCCAATCTAACCTTCACCTTTGTGGACACCCCCGACGCCACGACGGACATTCTGATCGACTTCGACGGCACAAAGGGGTCCTGGTCCCGATTGGGAGTCAAATCCGGCATATACAGCGGGAGGGGAGAGCCGTCCATGAACCTGGGATGGATCACCGACAGCCAGCCTGACAGCGAGATCCGGGGCGTGATCCTGCACGAGTTCGGCCATGCCCTTGGCGCGGTGCATGAACACCAAAGCCCCCGGGCGTCGATTCCATGGAACAGGGAAACCATCTATGAGGATCTGGGCGGGGAACCGAACAGATGGACCAGAGAAAAGGTCGATCAAAACATGTTCGCGCACTATAGCCAGGATCGGGTCCAGGCCACAGACTTCGACATGGCGTCGATCATGCTGTATTACTACCCAGCGAGCTGGACCACGGATGGGAAAGGCACCCCCTACAACACCGAGCTCTCCCAGTCCGATAAAGACTACATTCGCTTCTGCTACCCCGCCGACGGGCTGGACGCCGGTCAATTCAGCACCCTGGAGCTCCGCGAATGGAACCAGCCCACCCAAAACAACGAAAAGGTCAAGCACTACCACGAACGATACCCCAGTACGCCGGGGATAGTCACCGGGTTGAACTGGCTGGATATAGACGCCGGGGCCAACATCCGCGCCAAAGCCGAAGTGCTGCACGCGGACCAGAAGAAATTCACCGCCAGCATCAAGGCCTGGGAAAACACCGTACTTTACGCCGCAGGCATGACCTGGTTGGAAATGGGGCCGCGGTTTCAATTCGCACAGCATGGTGGGTTCAGCACCGAGGAGCTTCGGGGCGAGGACAGCCAGAGCCACAGCCCCCGACTGGAGAACTCCAAGGCTGTCCGGTTTGACCCGCCCTTCTCGGCCCGCCGAAGATCGTCTGCTTCCTCACGGGCCTCGACATCGATAAGGGAACCAATTTCCGTGTGAAGACCTATCCGTCGCATGTCACTGCGGATGGCTTCACGGTCAACATCGACTCGTGGGCCGATACGGTTCTGTACGGCGCGAGTGTCTCCTGGATGGCCTACCCGGCGGACCAGCCCGGTGTCACCAGCGGCCGGTTCTCCACCTCTGATATCCGACGCTGGGATCGGCCTCAGCAGGATAATTCCTCGTCGGTCGCATTTGACAGGCCCTTTTCCAAAGTGCCCAAGGTGTTTATGGCTCTCGATGAGATTGACTATCAGGCCGGTCACAACTTACGGCTTCGCGTCAGTACATCCTTGGTGACCCCGAATACGATGAACTGGCATTTGCAGGCCTGGGGAGACTCGGTCATGTACAAGGCTGCAGCGAGTTACTTTGCGTGGGAAAATTGAACCGGGGCACCACGTTTTTCCCTCCATGGCTTTTTTCAATGGACTTTTGTTTTTATTGCAGCTTCACGGCCTGGAGAATGGGTGAGTTATAACCTGTCTAACAGAGAAAAATAAACTCGGTCCCCTCAGAATGCTGGCTATATACCATCCACCCATCTGATTATACAGTTAACAAGATTGAAGTTCTTTCCATATTTTGAAAACAAGTAAAAGTCACTGAGTATACAGTAATTACTTGAATAAGCTGAGTTCTATGTGCGACCTAAGTGAGTAAGGTTGGGACCGTATGATGTGCACTACCAAATAGTTATACTTACGATAGTGATACATACACACCTCCTATCTCCACACCCCATTTCGCCACTTTTATTTCCTAATAAAGAAGTCTTAGGGCAGAATACATACAGGTGGCTATCTCTCTCCTCCAGGCAGCAGTTCGCGCTAAACCCCACGCTATATAATCCTGGTCCCTTTAGAATCGGAGATAGGGCATTGCGAGACCCCCTTACTGGCTACTGCTTACTGAAGCTCTTGCGTGATAGGGCGATTACCAAATCAATCGTTGCGGACGCTAGTTTCGTATCCTTAGTGACTTATTATCTTGTCTTCTGCCTTCCCCCTTCTTATCTTTCCCCGTATGTCTCAGACTCAGACACTCATCCTCAACCCACCACCAACGGCACCATGAAGGAAGAACTGCCGCCACCCACGGCGCAGCCTTCATCGCGGCGCACCAGCAAGTTCTCATTGATCGTCGCCCTTGTTTTAATCTACGGCGTCGGTCTCAGCAAGGTCTTCCACCCCACCGACCTTCTCCGACACCTCTTTCGCAAACCCTCGTGTCATCAGCACCACGATCTCCATCACCCCTACGGCCTCTTCCCGCAGCCCGACGACCCCTTCCGCTTCCTACCCTGCACGCGCGCAACCGTCCCACCCGCGCTCGACGACCCCGATGCAGCCGCCACCTGGGCGTCTCGATTCGACCCCGACCATGAGAACTGGAACTGGGGGGGCCCGAATGGCGACGGCATCTTTCTCTGTGGGTACCTCGATGTGCCACTCGACTACACCAACCAGTCGGACCCGCGAATCGCCCGGCTGGCGGTGACCAAATTCCAAGTCTCCGGCCCCCACGGGGGAAAGTCCGAACGCACGCTCGTAGTGAACCCCGGGGGGCCCGGGGGCAGCGGCACGGGGCTGGTCTGGCGCGCCACAGACGAATTTTCGCAGCGCTTCACGAACGGACAGTACGACGTGCTGGGGTGGGATCCGCGCGGTGTCAACACCTCCCTGCCCCGGGCAGCCTGCTTCCCGTTCGACGCCAATCGCGACCGCTGGGCCCTGCTGCGCGGGCAGTACCGCGAGGTAGCCGGGCCCGGCCACCTGGAGCTCGCGGATGCGCTAAACGAGGCGATCTTCCAGGCGTGCTATGAGCAATTGGGTGACCTGGGGCGGTTTCTCAGCACGACGTTCGTGGCGCGCGACGTCGAGGAGATCCGGAAGGCGCTCGGGGAGAAAGACCTGACGGGATACTTTGTCAGTTATGGCACGGGCATCGGGCAGACCTGGGCCAATATGTTCCCGAGCAGCGTGGGGAGACTGATTCTCGATGGCACGGAATACGTGCGCGACCATCGCAAGGTCGGTGGGTTCGGGTACACCGCGCTTGATAATGCCACGGATGCCTGGCACGACGGGTTCCTGGGCGAGTGTCTCCACGCCGGACCTGAGCACTGCGCCCTGGCTAGCCCTAAGAATGGCACGGCGGGCCCCGTCCGGCTTGCTGATCTTGACGCCCGCATGCACGATCTCGTCTCCTCGCTCATCCACCGCCCTATTCCCGGCTACACTCCGTCCAGCGGCCCCTCGATCATCACCTACTCCGCCCTCGTCTCGAGCATCTACGGCGCCATGTACAACGCCGTCAGCTGGCCAGCGCTGGCGCAGATGCTCTCCGAGCTGGAGGACGGCAACACAACCCTAGCCGCGCACTTCATCGAAGCATGGGAATACGATCCACGAGACCCAGCCTCATGCCCCTCCTCCTCCTCCTCCTCCCGATCCTCCCCCTCTCTATCCCCAAGCACCGACGAACTCACCTACCTGGTCATCTGCGCCGACAGCGCCGACTCCCCGGAATGGCTCACCCCAGACGGCCCGCAAGAGCTAAGCTGGTGGACCTCCCTCTGGGAATCAATGACCAACCAAGCCTGGATTTCCGGAAACTCGCGGTTCTACAACGTGTTTCCGTGTCGGCAGTTCAACAGGTTCTGGGGCCAGCCGGCGGAGTTGTACCGGGGAGATCTCAACCAAAGCCTGGCGAACCCGATCCTGCTGATCGCGGAGACGTATGACCCGGCGACGCCGCTGCGGAACGGACGGAGGTTGTTGACGGAGATGGGGCACGCGAATGCCAGGTTGGTGGTCCACCATGGATATGGCCATAGTTCGAGGGATGGGTCGGCTTGTACGGATGGGATTGCGAGGGGGTATTTGCTCACGGGCCAGGTTCCGGAGGAGGGAGAGACGGATTGTTTTGCGGATGAGAGGCCGTATTTGTATGGTGTTAAGAAGGTGGATGGGGAGGAGGTGATGAATGGGTTGAGTAGAGCAGGAGAAACTACGGGAAAGAGGGATGATCCTGTGGCGCTGTGGAAGGCTCATCTGGAGACGTTGACTGCTTTCGGGGGGAGGAGATTTGGGTTCTAGTGTACCTTTGTAGCTGGAAGTGGATTGGAGTAGACTATTGCTATTATTGGTGTTTGGCCGGGCGGAGTGGTTGAGTTAGGACCGGTAAGTACATCCTGGTCTTGATAGCAGCCTTGCACATATCATATGGATTCCTAGTTGCAGGTTATGATTAATTGACATGTACATCTACCGTTGCTCACTAAATAAACATGCCTGTGTTGTGCTTTTGAGGGAATTGATCACCCGGCAGTTCTACGGCTTCAAAGCTTTCAACACCGTATATCCCAAACGTCCCACGTTCTCTGAGCATCGAATAATCATTCGAGTCAAGTCACATTTCGGCGATCACTTAGATACCTAATCTAGTACCCATCCCCCGTGTAATGGGGATAACAGACAGAACCAGTCTAAATCAGAGTCGGATCCCTCGCGCCCGCCGCTTTGCCATGCGTGGCCGACCACAAAGGCTGATACTTCTCCATGGTCAACGAGAGAGGAGCAGGGCTATCCTCCGTGCCCTGGGGGATACGCGCAATGGCGTGCTGGACGGTGACCTTCAGACCCGGCATGTCACCGGGGTCATACTCATTACCCTCATACTGTGCGTGGGTCTGCATTAGTACTCATTCGGCAGCCAGAAAGAATCTCACAGGGGACACTGACCGAAACAACAGACCACTGGAGCTGATCCTTCAACAGCTCCTCCACAACACCAGGCTCGATACTTGGCTGAGAGTTTGCAGGAAGGCCGCTTGCATACCCCAATGACTGTTCCGTCAACAGGGTAAACAGCTGAACGGTTATAGGTACTTGGGCTCGGGAGAGTAATCCGGCGTCTTTTTGCGACTTGCAGTTGCCGCAGGAGACCGATCCGGCCTCTTCCAGCGGAGCACTGAATGTGTACACGTCGTCGAGGTTCCATTTCTTTCCGGCAGCATCTTCCAGGTAAAGATGAATGGCATATGAATGGCCGTCCAGGGCATATCTGGAACAGACCGTTAGCATGAAACTGGGGCAATTGGAAGATAGTGTGTGTGTGTGTGTGTGTGTGTGTCCATACCGATCGTAATCGACATTAACAATATAGTCGTAGTGTCCATTTCTGCCAACACCAAGGACCTTGCCCGCTGCGTGCTGCAGGTTTTTTGTGACGTTGTATGTGGATTCGATGAACGTTTTCAACCCATCCGAGCCAAGGTCACATTCGGCATACGTGTAGCCGAGAGTGTGCCAGTCTTGAACATCCGCAGAGGTCCAGGCCGTTTGCAATGTGTCCTTGTAGAACGGGTACAAGGGGTCCCCGAGCGTGTTGGGTCCAGTAACCTGGACATCGTCGTAAGACGCCTGGATCCACTTACCGGGGTTGAGCACCTGCCACATGGCCAGGATCCGATCCACGTTGCTGTCAGGCGATATTAAGCTGGGGTAGACTTCGCCTCTTGTTCAAGATGAACGCACCTGTGATGGAGGAAAAAGATCGGGTCAAAACCCGCTACTTCGGGTAGGGACATGTGGCCATTACTGTTGGAACCACCACCCGAGCCCGTCCGGAACTGCGATTTCTGTTAGCTGGCCCGGGTATTACAAGATTAAAAAGGACAGAAGTACATGGATGTTGTTGTGAATAGACTCCAAGGACAGATAATCCCCGGGATTTGTGTCCGGGTTATAGTTGAGGGTGGACGAAAATGACTCATAAGACTGATCCTTGGTAGGCAAGAGAAGTCTATAAAGGTTTGTGGCGACCGTAGCATCCGTGAAGTTCTCGTCAGGAATACCTGGGATGTATGCATTGTCTTTAAAAGTCTGGCCCACCAAATCGTCGTTCTCAACCCCATTTACCCATTCTGGTGAACTAGGGTCTCCGTGGCGGCTTGTGCCGTAGCATTCGTTGAAAATATCCTTGACGTAGTTCGTTTATCAGTGTTGAAGCACAATAAAAACATGTGGATACTAACCTTGATGCCGGCGGGTCCGTCCTCGTTGACTAACTCGAGCTTATAATCTCCCATTCTGTCATCGTTCATCGCCAACTTAACCAGCTGGCCCTGACCCGGCTTAACGGGGTTGAGGTGTCCGTCCACCCAGACTTTGTTCGTGAACTTGTGAAGGGGATTTGGATGAATGGTTTCATAGTCGGTCGTGCTGCCTGGTAGTAAAACCGAGACACGGGCATCTCTCACGAGCTGGGGTACGATGTCCATGGGATCAACCTTGGGATCGGCCCAGTCCCAGTAGGGATGTCTCCACAACTTGGCCGCATCCTTCCAAGCCTGTATATCAACACCGGGCTCATCTTGAATTCCAGCCACAATGCTAGACATAACATCATAGAGTGCTTTCTATTCAGCCTGTCAGCGACTCGATGTTTTGCCGGCGTGGTCGTGATTCCTACCTCATAGACGATCACGTACACCCTATGCCATGTCGGGAAGGCATAAGTTGCATGCGCACAGTAACCCCCAGCATCTTTGTTATATTTCGGGTCTGAGTTCCACGCAACAAACGGTTTCCAGTGAATTGCTATACCAATCAGTCAGCCAGGCTCCTCCTAGCAGGTACAGTCTACCACATACTACCAAGTTGAAAGAACGAGAACGGGTCATTCAGATTATCTCGCTCCTGCAACTCCTTCAAGGCCCGAATATACAAGGACTTTTGAATTTGGTCCTCAATCTTGGTCGACTGGGACCATTCGCGGATATCCCGTCGCTTGGGAATTGGCTGCCCTGGATCAACAGGGATGCCGCCCACGGGGTTGGAGAGCACATCGGCCTTTTGCTGCGGCTTCGGCTTCGGCTTAGGTCTTGTTTCAAGTTTGGGGGCCATTATGTCGCAGGATTACTTGAGCTTGCAAGGTAAGCGGCTATCGGGGCGGTTGTCTCACTTGCCCTCCAGATCTCAGTGTCATCTTGCCCTCCTTATACTATGTGCTCTATGTGGCCATGGCAATAGAAACGCGGGATTATTGACCTCATCACCCGAAAACGTTGCTTAGACAGCAATGCCATATTGTCTGTGTCCCTTTTGAACGTTGCGCTCGGGCTCTAGGAGGTCAGCGGGATGCAACATAGTGTGAAGTGGTGGATTTTATGGTAGTGGTGGAGAAGTGCACCGTAGTTGTGTGAGATGGATCGCTGAGCCTGATGACATCGTCGTGGTGCGCATCAGATACTACTGTTGTGTTTCGAAAACAGAGAACCGTGGGTCGGGGAATATGTCCGTCTCTAGGACTCCGTTCAATGGGCGAATACTCATACTCGTTTGCAGCGCTGTCGGTTAGGAAACGATTGGGGAAACTGGGATGGCACATTGAGGCAGTCGGAGGACCGCTGTGACATGTATTATCAGGAGGGGAGAACGAGTAGATCCAACATGATTAGCTGACTAGTCAGACGTCGGGCAAAAGAAGATCCAGGAGATGGCTCGGAAGTATACTCCTTCGTCCCGGCGTCCGTATCCGGTTGCAGTTGTCAGAAGCAAGACCGATTCGATGCTTGTCTTATTTCTGCTGATGCCTCACTACCATCAATTACAGGCAGTGAGACAACCTAGGCTTGCAGATAGATGTGGGCCTGGGCTGAATCCATCGGGTATGCAAGGGATAGAACTCCCGTACCTCCCGACTGCTATTATTCAGGAATGAGGGTCTTCTCCGACATGGGTGAAGAATTAAATCTGCATGCTTTGGCTTTAGCTGCAGTTAAGGCGCCGAATCCAGCGGAATTAACACCACCAGGGGTCTTTCACGACAGCTACCGTCTTCGATTCCTGCTTTAGATGCTCGCAAATTGGGATTGAGGTTGCACTGGCTCTTTCTTCGAGGTTCCTTCCGCGTCATAGAGCGAACATTGGCCCGTGGGCGTTGAAGCACAGTGACACCCTTGTCAAGGCATCCAATGAGCTGGTGAATTTGGCATGACAACTGTGTAAAGCCCCACCTTATCTCCACCCCGAGCGTTGCAGTCCGCATACAGGGTGTGAAGTAGTACAAAGTAGCAGCGGGAATGTAGGTGGACCGGGCCTTGCGGTCTCGGGTATGCTGCTCCCGCGTCCCCGAAAGATGTTTTCAGAATAGAAGCCCATAATAGAGGACAGTCGGAAGAGCATGAGAATCTGTCAGCCCCACCTGAGAAGGCCAAGACGGAGAATTCTCTTTTTCGGTGGTCTTCCGTTGTCAAATACTGACTATATACCCTGGTCTAGAACTCAACTGCATCGGTCATTCTCTGCCTTGCATATGAATTATAGGGGGATATTGTATCAAATGTGCGCCTGCAGCAGGGAATTAAGACGTAGGATGGTTGAATAAGTCATAAATGAGCTAACCAACTGAGGAAGATGGAGGACGAGGTGCCCAAGCCCTCCAAAAACATGTCAATGGCCTAGCGGCCCGTTTGGGTCTAGCGCCCAGGCAGACCTCGGTTCCTCGTAGCTGACACGCACTTTGTTCTCGACGATTCTCGGATGGAAGTGTCGTAGTTCGTTAGAAGACAAGTACTACATAGATGAAAGAGTTTGATGGAAGCTTAAAGAGGAAGCAGTGGTGTGGGTGAGAAGGTAGGTGGAGAGCAAGCCGAGACTGTAATCCGTAGTTGTTTGCGAGGAAGAAGCGGAAAGGGGGGAAAGAGAGCAGAAAAGCTTCTTCACTCGGTGGTCACATGACTGGGAGCTTTCAACATACAAGATACGAGCATACCGGGACAGAAAATTTGCAAAGTAAAGATAAAACAATATGTGATTGTGAAATTAAATGCAAAGTCTAAAGTGACAAAAGAAAAATCTACAAAAAACCGCATCTGAAAGCCCCCGAGATTATATGATATATGATACCCATATACCGGATTGATATATAGAGCACCACAATACAGAAACTGGGTAGATATATATGCACCCCTCGTTCGGCATAGCATCTACAAGAGGGAAACTTACGATACCCACCCTCTTCCAGAAAAACTTTCCAGATCAAAGGCCTTCTGTAACGGTAATGGCTGGCAATCTCTGCTCCTCCAGCTAGGGCAGATTAGCTCAGAATCAACAAAAGAGCGCAAGACAAGTACTTACCCAATCTTTCAAATGCAGTTGCACCTGTATTTTTTCCAAAGTCAGCAATTCTTTCTCCTTCTCAGTACAGAAGGCAGCTGGGATAATGCGAGCCCACGTGAAACCAATCCAAACGGTCCTGCCAGTGCCATCCTGAACCATCATGTGTCGCGGACAAGGGCTTCCATGGGCAATTTCGACGTCATGGATGTGCTTCAAGGCGCACGCGAACTCGTTGAATTTATCTCGGATGGGAAACTTGGTCTGTAACTTGATGGGCTGGATGTTGGGCACGTATTCGATTAGAACAGCGCCGGGATGCAGCCTCTTTCCAAGGAAGTCTTGTAGGTGAGGCAGGTGGTCCGCGGAATTGATGTCTTCGATCACGCCGTAGAAATCGGGAACGTAACCTAGGCGACACACGCCCTTGACTTTGAGTTTCTTATAGGCTTGGCTTTCTGACTCGAATGGATCGTGGTGGGGTATAATTTGATGGGGGATTGGGGGGTTTTCAGTGCGGTTAAGCTAGGAGGATATGTTAGATCATCGATTAGCATAACTGGACTATCTGGGTACATACCACTCTCAAGACGCACAGCTTATCACTCCAGTTAACAAGAAAAGTGGAAACGCAGGAAGCTTGCTTGATCTCGCGGACAAAAGTGATCTCGGACATTTGGATCTTCATTGTGTCGGCAGCTTCTTCAAATCGGAAGGGCTCTTCAAAAATTGGATGGGGAAACTTTGATTCTCAGATATCTGCTGAAAGCAAAGAGGGGAGTTTGGGAATTTATAACAAAGACGGGCATGAAGAAGTGATAAAAGAAGGGCATGTCAGTACAAAGGAGAAGAACGGTACGAAGGGAGCTTTCCATTATATCCAAACAAAGACATTGTACGGCAATCTTCGTGGACGGGAAGCTTCATTAGACATATTGCAAGAGGGAACTCTTCGCTCAAGCTAGCTAGTCAATTTAGTGACATGCCAGCTAGCCGTTTTCTGGGTCTCGAATCACACCCATTCATACCATGGCAATCCACCCCTAAAGAACCAGCTGGCGGCGTCTTCCTTTCTGTTTATTGAGTCAAACTGGGGGCCCTCCGCCTCAAGAAGGTAACCTCGGACACACTCCTCGAAGTGGACTTTTGTAGTCTGCTCCACCTCGTAGAAGTGGTCGTACCGCGCATCTAACGCCCCTTTCAGCGTGCTGACCCCGCCATGGGGATGTAGCGCGTTCCATGGCTTGACGCATACTTGGCCCTTACAGGACTTGAGGACGAGGAGCAGAGAATCAAGTCTAGGTACAACTTTGGAAATGCTGAGGTTTAATATTGTATGGGAAGTCTGGGTGTTTTGCTTGTCTGTCGAGAGGAGGTTATGGAGTTGGTGGGGGTCCGTCTGTTAGAGTTAGTCGGGTCAGAGCGGTGACAGCCGAAACAGAAAGCGCAAAGGATAAAAGAAAATGGAGAATTTTAAAGGTGAATAGAGGGAAAAGAAAAAGCTAACGGTTGACTTACCGCCATGTCATAGAGCTCGTGCTCATTGTTGCACCAAACCGAGTAGTAAAGGTTATATCCCTTTCCTCGGATACGGAGAGCTTTGTATGTGTTGTTATAGGCGGATAGATCAACTATCCAAGGGTTATTCTCATGAATTCACACATTAAAAAAAGGCAGGAACTTCTCACAGTCGTATATTCCCTCTCCAGCCGCAAACCCCCAATACTCAACGGTGACATGCTCCTGTCTCTCTGTTTTGGCTACTTCAATCTGTCTCTGCGTCAGGGGGATGGGATCACCATCAAAGTCACGTCGGAGTGGAATATCCAGCAATTGAAGGAAGGTAGGAGCCAGGTCGGTATGTGTCGTAACGATGTCTGTGGAGGCATTTTCCGCAATCCCAGGACCGCGAACAATCAATGGAACGTTGATGTCTTCCTCGTACCCACATGACTTACCCGGCTGAAGTCTATGCTGACCAATGTGGTAGCCATTGTCGCTGCTGTAGACAATGTAGGTGTTGTCAAGGATGTCATGTTCGTACAAGCGGGCAAATATGCCATCAACCAGCTCGTCGACGGCCTGAAGAGCACGCAGACGGGTACGATAGAAGTGGTCGTTGTAATCCACATTCGTCTCGTTCTGGCGCTTCAAACCCTTGATCCAGTTTGCTCCGGAGGGTTGCTCTGGATTGAAAGATGGTGTACGAGGTACTTGGACATCCTCGAAAAGATTTTCATGACGCTTTGCAGGGATGGGTGCACTGAAGCTGAAAACTGGATTGTCATCCAGTCCCGTTCCGTTCATGAAGACGTTACAGTGAGGTGCCATTGGGGCGACCGTGAGAAAGAAAGGCCTTTGAGCTCCGACAGCCTCATCTAGGAGGCGATAAGCCTTCTGCGCAAGAATATCTGTACTGTAAGCGCCCTCGTAACTCTGGGGGAGTTCGCGATCTCGTTGGAATGTGCTGTTCAGATAATCATACGTGAAAGGATCGAGAAGAAAATCCTATTCCATCAAACGTTAGACTAACGTTACCGACATAAATCTTCTATATTACCTACATGGCCCGTAAATCCAGCAGGAAATGGTGCGTTGTAGTTATCGACCGTATGGACGTTGAAAAGCTTGCCGGTGTAGTAGGTGTTATACTGCGCTTCTTGCAGCCAGACAGGAAGATAATTCTCATTCAAGCCTTGCGAGATAAATTTCGGATATCCACCTGCCACAGAATTAGCACCGATGTAGACCTCAATGCTTCAGACGCACCGTATGGAGGATTAACATCGGTCACGTTTGTGTTATGTGCCAGTTTCCCCGTCCACAGGGTCACTCGCGACGGACAACAAACGCTAGTTGTGCAGTAGTGGCTGCGATAATGGGTTCCTTTTTCTAGAAGATGTTTCTGGACAAAAGGCATGTAGTCCAGAGAATCGAGATGAGCATCTTGATCGTCGGTGAGTATGAAGATGACATTGGGCTTGGAGGGGGGGTAGAGTGGCTTTTGGACCGGCGATTCGGTAGCAGCCAGACCAGCTAGCGCAAGCAGACATGCCAGTCCACGCATATTGATGGAGGTACTGGTATGGGCTTTGTCTGAGATGGAATTATGTGGACGGTCGATACGAAACGATGGATTGTCGGTGTGCCGCTGGGTTGCAGGGTGGACTGATGATTGCTTATTGACCCCACGGATGACGCAATCAGTCCAGGATCCGGCATCTCAGGTCCTGCCACGACCAGGTAAGTGTACTGTAGGGAATACAGCGGGGTCAGATAACATGGGTCAAAATATGGTACACATCGTAGGAAATGATGGATTGAGGCGGGGAAGTTGACAGCGACCGACACGTGGTGATGGCTGTGGCCGGAGCCGCTACGGACACACCTGCACACCCCGCCTTCTTCATCCGGCCTGATAGGTATTCTACCAGATCACGTGCTCATTGTCTTGCTGCCTGTATGTTGAGGTATCAGACCAAACAGACCACTCAACTAAAAAGGTGTCCAGACATCTAAGTAGGTGTGATACTGAATAATACTAGGTTTGACACACCCCCCTAGGCTTGCAGGTAATGACAGTTTTCTGATAGCCTATTCTTGGCTTAATCTCAGCAGTATGTGTCCCAACTGTCAAGAACTCCTTATGCACGTGATTTTTTTAGCCTTGATCTTCTTTTTCAGTATATCTATAATTCAAACCTGCAGTCTTTAAATATATCAAGACAATACATGTCTTCTATGCTCAGGAATAGGCGGGCCGGGCTCATAACTATCAGACCAAACAGATCACTCGACTAAAAAGGTATCCAGACACCTAAGTAGGTGTGATACTGAATGATACTAGGTTTGACATGAGGCTATAAGCTGTAGCCTGGGTATCAGTATCAGATTGACCCGTAGTCACAGCATGAGACTCCCGCACAAGGTAAGATATCGAGTAGTGTCTGAGGCCGTTGTCATTGGTCCGCGGAAGCGCGGACGCGAGAAGGAGATATTCTTAGGTATTCTTGGAAATGAATCTCACATTCCACATTGTAGGCTGCGGAGAAAGTTTCCACCAATCAAGCATTCAAAAAGGTAACCGGGATGGCACTGTTTGGCTTCATTTGAGAGAATGTAATTCAGTTGCTTAAGTTAGAGTGGATATATCATCGCCAGTATCGTTCGCTTGCTTGACCCTTAGACCTTTCGAAATAGAGCCCAGCATACGCAATGATTCAACCTGTTTTATCAGAGTTAAGTATAAGTTGATCTTCAATAATTGGCTTCTTGCATGAGTAGCATGGCTGGGTGGTTAGATGCAGAGGAAATGGCTAAAATATTCACATGATATGGGTCTATAGTGAATTATTATTTTATTCACCTAGTCATCCTAGTATTGACTCAGGATATATTTCCTTGCGCCTTCCGCACCCGGTGAGTAGGACAGAGAGACATTCGAAAAGGAAATACAATGATACGTCACGCCTCTATCTGACCTGATATGCTTTCTTCGGCCTCTTTTTCAGCAAGGTTTTATTTTTTTATTTTTAGAAGATAGATTGCTCGTCGCCCAACGCTTCAGCACTCTCGCCACCACACCTTTTTTCCTCTTTTCATCAATCACCCACCATCGTCTCAGAGACCTAGGGTTAATAAGCGGGCCGGGCCGTTTAACCCAAAAGGGTGAGTGTCCTTGGCGGTGCTTCCATGCAGTTAGCTGAAGAGACAAGGTCGGTGGGGGGGACCAGCCTTCCAAGCCAGATCCTGCTGTGACCAAATGGGTTATCTCGAGGGACAGACGATCCACATGTCTCATACCATTACCTTTATCCAGTGCAACTGTCTAGTCATGACCAAGGCTTTTTGGAATGCTGCATGCCGTCCACCAAGGATGCTGGGGAATTGGCGAGTAGTATGTCCATGCGGGCTCCACTGAACCCCGGCATAAGTGGAGAGTCCATACAAGTACTTTCGGGCTTTGACAAGGCCGGGATCAAGGCGCAAGATGCATGCAGAACATACCCACCCGCAATAAAGGCCGTACTGTACAAGAGGCTTGGTTGGTGGCACGGGCGTATGTTTTCGGGTATTAACTTACGGGCACCCATTATACGAGTCATATGCGTAAGGATGTGTGTAAGTGCATGGATCAAGTCGGTGTGAATTGACCGCTATCGGGTCAACAGTTGCCAATTGCAGACGATGGATTCGAAATGGAGTTCAAAGGCGCAACGATACAAAGATAAAAAAGGGTCGCATTGTAGGTTGCTGGTGTGACAGACCGTTTGCTTCACCAATTGATCTGACCTAAACCAGGGCACTATGGTCCTCACCGAGCATTCCTGGCTCATGTGGCAGATCCTATTAGCCTTGCCACTGCTCGTTGGCTTCATTCTGCTTTCGAATCAACTCCTGTGCCCATCTCCTAGCAAAAAGGTGGGCCTATTTATCCACTGAGATCTTTGTAAACTATTCATCTTTGGCAATTAACCTAGAAATATAGACCAATTCAACTATCCCGGCCGTTGGGGTCTCTCCTGGTCCGCTTGGTTCTTGGACGGCAGGGATCAGGTTTGTGAAACATTCCGCCTCTATTATTCAATATGGATATGAAAAGGTATTTTCCCGCCGCTTGCTAGGGCTGAGAGCTTCCAAGTCTGACCGCAAGAGGGATATAGTACGCACCAGATCAAAAGGCATTCAAGATATCAACTCTACCACGCTGGGTAGTCGTAGCCACCCACGATGCGGCGATCAAGCAGTTGCAAGACTCCGACGAACAATTTCTATCCATGCAAGAAGCTGCCAACGAGCGAAACTCCATCTCCTATGTTCTCGGGAAATACATCCACGAGAACCCGTATCATATGTCCATCGTCCAGAGAAGACTCACGCCCCGCCTATCCCAGATTTTACCAGAAGTGATCGAGGACTTGGACCTCATATTTGGTGATTTTCAAACGACCGCTACAGAGTGGGCAGCTCTGGATCATCACAAGATCGCAGAAAGGTGTATCTCAGCCATCACGAACCGGGCGCTGCTGGGTCCAACCCTCGCCGGGGACCTAGAATTCCTCGACAGCGTGCTTGAGCTGTCGAACGTCATTTCACGCGCGGGTCTAGTCATAGATCTAACTCCACGATCTCTCAAGTCCCTCATGGCTCGTTTTCTGGTGCATAGACATGCAGCGTTTAAGATCTATCTCTCAAAGGTGATCCCTCTGTTCAAAGACCGACGCCGAGCGTACCGAGAAAACGGCGATCAGGTGGAAAGACCCGTATGCACAGCCGCCCCACCCATGGTTTCCATTCATCGATACTAAAATAGCCAGAATGATGCAATTCAATGGTTTCTCGAAGCCGCACCGGCAACCCAATCAGAATACGATCTCGCTCTCTACATTCTCTATATCCAATTCTCCGCAATTCACACCTCATCCGCAAGTCTCGTCAATGTGCTACATGATCTAGCAGCTTCGCCCGGGTTCCAAAATCCGATCAAAGATGAAGTAAACGCCGTGCTGCAAAAAGACGGCAACTGGACCAAGCAGTCGCTTGCAAAAATGGGGAAACTGGATAGCTCGGTCCGGGAAAGCCAGAGACTTCACCCCGTTACGACCGGTAGGTTTCTCGCAGCTACCTAAGGAGTGAGACTCGAACGCTGTCAATACTCATTGGTGATTCTAGCAACGATGATGAGAAAGGTGCTGCAGCCTTATACCCTAGTCGACGGAACTCACCTCTCCCCGGGCCAATGGGTCGTTGCGCCCGCCTGGGCGATCAATCGCTCGCTCCAGAAATACGACCATCCCACGGAGTTCAACGCATTTAGGTATGCCAATATGGAGAAAGTAGCGGGGGAAGGGCATCTATCTTTCGGAATAGGCAGACACGCATGGTAAGATATGGCACCCAGTCTAAGCTTTTTGTGTTTAGCTGTTCGATGTCTCTCCGTATTTACTAACACTTTGTCCAGTCCAGGGCGGTTCTTTGCGATGATGGAATTGAAGCTTGTAACGGCTTATATCGTGCAAAAATTTGAGTTCAGACTTGGAACGGAGAGCGAAGGAGTGAGACCTCAGAACGGATTCTTCTGCTTTTCATGTGTACCGGACTCGGAGTCTCGGCTGTTGTTTAAGATGAGGTAATTACGAATGAGTTTGGAGACAAAGGAAATTATTTCCCGGAGAGATAATGTAAATGGTTTATAAGGACCATTGTCTAGTATCCTGACTGGAAAGTACCCAGAGTTGTATCAATACGGTGCAATTGGCCTTTTGTTTTCGTTCAATGTCTATCCTTATAATTCTGGATCGTGGTTGTAGTATCTTCGCTATCTACCAAGTTCAATTTTACCCTCTGGCCGCATATCGATAATTTTTCTTGTCGAGAAGGATGGGGCGGTGGTTGAGCTTAGGAGGGACGGGATTTAGATTTGGATTCATGATGGAGTGGGTGTTAGTATTTTTCAGGTAGGGAGGGATTATATCCCTTGCATACATTCTAAGGAGTGAGTTTTGAAAATGGTCCGGATGATTATTAACTTATCTATGTGGAATCATTACTATCGAGGAATATATTACTGGAGGAACTAGTATACAACCAGTTTGATATTGAATATATTCTAAGTATAAGCCTTACAATAAAAGCATGTGATTGGGTACAAGCCCAAGAACACCGGCACTGCACAACCAGGTGAGACAGATCGGCATGGGGCCCATGCATCCGAGGAATGCAGAACACCTCCATCACCATCCCCACAACAATGTATCCTTCCCAAGGGGCTCAATACAGCCGACTGGCATGAAAGAATGTCTCAGAGTTTGTTTCTAGTACATATGTGTTCGTTCTGCCCGTTCCAACACCCAAGTCACCATCTTATCTCCTCCATTGATTATCCAGATTCATAATGACCACCACCACTTATACTAGCGAGGATGGTTTATTCCCGTGGCAGGTACTGCTACCATTACCGCTGGCCGTGACTCTCCTCCTACTTGGTAATCAGCTTTTGGGGATATATTCTGAAAGAGAGGTTGGTGAAAAAAATCTGGTATTTTAATGCAATTTAGCGGTTAGTAACCCTCAAATATAGGTCAAACCAGCGGTTGTCCCGAGCGAGGGGAAAGATAAATAGTGTTGTTGGATGGTCTATGGGATTATGAATCGGTGCCAACTTCGTTTTTTCTGGGAGAGGGGGGTTGTCGGACAATTGTTTTGTTGTCATGAAGTCAAAAAAAAAAGTGGTTGTCGCTCTGAATTCTGTTTCAAGGAGAGTTGTACATACCGCACATCATTTCCTCCCGCCTCAAATTTCTCTTGCCCAAGAATACATTGCGTGCAGTCTTCTCATAGATCGAATCTATAGATCTTGAAAATAAATACCTCTTCAATCACGATAATTGGCAATGCTCTCGGAAAATACGAATTACCCACTTGGTAGTAATATCCACCACAGCAACTCCCACTAAAGAGTAGACGCCACAGCTTACTCTTCCTCACCACTGACCTCAAAGTCGTATACGACTCCTCCCCAACGACAAGATGACTGTTCCTCTTCATCACCCCCTCCCACTCCCTCTCCAATCCCCTATACCTCTCTATCTCCTCAATCTAAGCCAAATAGATAACTAGCGAGTGCTGATCTACTGGTCCCCAGTGGAGCCAATCATGTAATACAGAATTTGAGCACTTGCGATACACAAGACCATGATGACCTGGTAGCCCCTATAATGAGACTGAGATATTAACATCTTCCTAAACAGATGATCGCATATCCATTGAACAACCTCGGCACGTGATCAGATCCCACTATCTCATTAGAAAGAGAAAAGACAAATATACAGCATCACTACTCAGATAACCAAACGGTACTATACAATCAATGCCACCAGAATAATCACAATATTCAATTTCTCTACAAACACGACAAAATCCGAAAAAAAAAAAAAAAAGCTTCAATTAAACCCCAAACCTAAACTCGCGGACCTTCTTCTGGTAATAGTAAGAAGCCAACAGACCCGTCGCACCAAGCGCCAAGGGGACTGGAGCCTTGGCCCCGGTCTTGATAATCCTGGGGATGGCGGAGCCGAGCAGGAGAACACTGTTTCCCAACGCGAGCTCGGTGCCGTAGTCCTTGTTTTCCTTGATCAGGTACCCTGGCAATGTGTCAGCTCTTGCTTGAGTAATATACTCCTTGAATGTATGGTAGTTGGAATTGATCGAGCTTACCGGCACATGCATAAGAAACTCCCAGCCCAACACCGGCGATCAAAGAGGGCGTGGAGCGCGTCCGCAGAAATCCCGCGACTCCGCCCACGGGCACTGTTTTGGTCGCGTCAATGACACATTATGATTGAGGGTTGGTGCAGTTGTTGGGGGTTTGGACATACGGAGAGCAGCGAGGGTAAATGAAGGGTGTTCGGCCATGATGGTGGAAGCTTAAGGGGTGGAGAAGCGTGGAATGGGTTCTGGATACGCGAAGTTGGTGTCGGTGGTGGCGGAGGCGAGGTGTCCGGCCGGGTACCGCCGGAATCAACTCGCCCGAAATGTTAAAATGATGGTTAATTCCGACCCACTTGGCGGATCGGTTGGGATTGACACCAACAACACCCGTAGAAGTTGCAGGTGATTTCAGGGCTCTGTTCATACTTCCACCCCTTATTGAATCGCGTTGGTGAGTGATGCTTTAGGTTAGTAATGACTTATTTCAAATGGTACATTTCGCTTGTTCTTGAGGAGGTGTTGATTTAGTAACGGCGGGTATGCTCTCATGCTAAACGTGGTAACGGTCTAAGCTATTTCGGGAATAAGAATTGCATCATGTGACTATGGTATGGCGAGTTTGTACAAAGGGGTGTGGTGTTAGTGAAGCACACCACGCGACAACCAGTGCAAGTATTGGAAGTCAAGATATCCATCAAATGAGGACAAGCTTCTTATCTTCATTTCCTTACAGAAAGGGCGAGCAACGGTCATGTCGATGAAGAGACGTTACCAGCAAGAATTGCAGGAATAGACTGGCAATAACTTAAATCAACCCATTGATGGGTGAATGTGACTCCAGTTGAATATATTACCAATACAGCATTCTCGAACAGCAGAGCAGATCACTCATGGCATAGTAATCAATCAATCGACCCCATCCCATCCACATCCACAAATGTCATCCAACACGCGACGTCTGACGTAGTTTTTGCATCCACCTCCATCGCAACTCAACTATCGCATGGTCGCATATCCTCGTCGTCCCCCCCGCTCCCATCCTCCCAGTATTCCGAACTCCTGTCTGGAAGTTGGTCATAGGTGCCATCCTCTTTCGCCTTTTTTTCGATTTCCACGGCACGTTTCCAGGGCCTTTCTCGCTTGTCTGACTCGTCTGCATGTTCGAGGGCTCGAGCCCAAGGGCTAAGCCCGCTGTCGCTGCTTGGATGGTTCTCCATTGCAATGAGAATTTGATGATAGTGGGATGATATGGGTGGGCTTTATGGGAGCTCTGATTACCCTTTGAGAGTTTAACTGGAAGAAACAGTGCCAGTTGCTTTAGCGGATTATGGCTCCTGGAATGAGTAATCGTCAATGGACTGCGGACGTGTAGTTTGTGGGCATAGTAGTGCCTCCTTATTATTCAATGGGGTTCCTCGGTATGCCCATACACACGACCCTCATTAAGGTGGGCAGTCTAAACCCCCCCCCCCCTCCTCTTCCTTCTTCAGGCAGCGACCAACCAGCTAAATTATCAGCATATACTCCGCACTGAAAACCAAATCCAGTGGTACAATGGTGATACAGTTACAAATTAGGCCACTTTCTCCAGTTTTCCCTTCGTCAGCTCGCAAAGCTTTATGCCGGTCCATCTTCCTATATTGCCTTTCCCGCGCATACAACACCCACACATCTTGCGGTAGAACCCTAGAAGCACTTGCATGATAATTCTTCAGTGTAACAGTATACCGCCTGACATTATTCAATGGGCGAGGGATCGCACCACCCCTCTTAGCGGGATCCTACCCCTCATTCTTGAAAGCATAGACTGTGTGGAAAAGGCATCAGGGTTCTCGTGTTTCAAATTACGGCATTCCAAGGTATACAACCAGAGAGGCTGCACTATCACTCATACATACTCGACTAAGTAGTCATCAAGCCAACAACCCAACAGAAAAACCTTGATTTCTCTTCCACAAACGCAATGACAAAGCCTCCCACCATGAACCTCCACACAAGATTCTACTATCTTAGCGACTCTCCCCTCCTCAAAAAGCAGAAACCATACATGGTCCGCGCCGGGGTCCTGAAAACCATCCCCACCTGCAACTACCGCCTCAAACTCGGCCCAGAGCAACTAGTCGAAGATGTTCGCGGCTCAACCGAGAAGTTTACGCTCTCGGACCACGGCTTTAAATTTCGATCGTGGTCTCCTACAGAAATTGACTGGGACGACGAAAACCAGATCTTGCAGACTTTTTTGCCTGAGGCAAAAGCACTCCTTAGGGAAGAGCTCGGGCTGGGGGATGCGTTTAAGCGGTGCGAGGTGTTTGATTGGCGGGTGAGTTGAGTTGAGTTGAATTGTAATGATGCGACATGATGCTATCGATCTGTGGTCCATAAGTACAAGCACGGGCATGATTTCTGACAGAAACAGATGCGGAACACGGACTCTTCGACCCGGATTAAAAGCGTTGACAAGGGTCGGATGACCAAGATCCGTCAGGCAAATGTCGTCCATATCGGTATGTACACAGGTCTACATAAATAGATGTCACCCATCCATATCATCCCAATTCCAGCGCTAACCCAAAGTATCACCACCAGACCAAAGCCCAGCCGGCGCCTTCGACCGTCTGCACCGCCTCCTCCCGAAGGAAGAAGTAGAGGAACTGGCCACAAAATACCGGGTGCAGATCTTCAAGTAAGAAAAAAAAAGCACCTCCACACCACCTCCACAACAAGCATTAGAACTAACATGCCAATACCAAATTAAACCTCCAGCGTCTGGCGCCCCCTCAAAGGAGTAATCTCACAATGGCCCCTCGCCATCTGCGACGCGCGCACATCCACAATGTCCGACCTCGATGAAATGGAACACATCACCGAAGAATTCGTCCGCACTAGCTACCTGGCGAAATATAACCCGCAGCATCGGTTCTACTATCTCAGTCGGATGACGAATCAGGAGGTCTGCATTTTTAAGATTTTTGACTCTGCTTATCTTAATCCGAAAGATGATCGACAAGAAACTGGTGAGTTGGGAAATGCATTTAAGTGAGAGAGGGTTGAGGCTAACGTGTGTTCGTTGTGGCAGTGGGCTGTCCGCATACAGCGTTTAAGATCGAGGAATTTACGGCGTCAGCGCCGAGGGAGAGTATTGAGGCGAGAATTTTTGTGTTTTCGGAGTATTGATCTGATTTATACCAGATGATTGCGTTGCTGCCTGTATAGGCTGACTTTGCATGTCCGCGTTGGATCTGGTTTATGTTGTTTTGGTTATCAAGTTGTATACAAAATCTGCAAATTATTTATTTGGTCAAGACTCCACGCAACCCGGATTGCTACACACAACACCTTGGCAGAGCCTTGCGACCAAGATCATAGCACATCAGCGCATATACAACCATGCTCTACTCAAACCCCATCCCTCCCATCCACACAACCGGACACAGTCCCACCCCTCCCAAACATAGCCCTCACATCCCCCACAATCTCCGTCGGACATTCCCACGCGGCGAAATGCCCACCTCTCGCATACTCACTCTCAGACACAACCCTCCCCAGCGTCTGATTCCACAACCTCGGCAACAGAACCAGATCCTTCGCAAACCGCGCAATCCCCAACGGAACATCCACATACTTCTGCGCCTCCACAAGCGCACCAGGACTGCTATGCTCCATAGCATAGTAGACCGAACCCGGGGCAGCCGCCCCCGCCGTCGAGAAATAGTGGATAGTCACACAAGTCAGAATCTCGTCATCCGTCCAGGGATAGTTATCTGTCCAGTCATGCAGTTTCTCGTGGATCCAGGCTAGAATACCAACGGGGCTGTCTGTCAGACTGTACCCGAGGGTCTGTGGGCGGGTGGAGAGTTGCTGGTAGTAGGTCATTCCGTCTTTGGAGATGGTGGCGGTGCGGATGATGGATTCTTTTTCGGAGTCGGTGAGGGGGGTGTTCTGGATTTTGGCGTGGAGTTCGGGGTGGGATTCTGCAGTTGGCTCGGCGGGGAGGGCGGAGTTGGTGTGTAGGGCTTTGCAGTGCGGGTTGTAGTTGGAGGCCATGGTTCGGGCTATCAGGTGGCCGATGTCGCCGGCTTGGATTACTGCGGATGTTTAGTGGGGGTGGGAGTGATGTTGGGGTGGAGGTTGATTACTGTATTCGGAGTATCCCAGTGTGAGCATTAATTTGTGGTATGCTTCTGCGTGTTGGTCGTGCCATATACAGAGTAAATAGAGAGCAACCCTCAGATCAGGTATTATCGGATCAAGCCGAAACCGCGAAGAAGCTCGGAGATCAAGCAGTCGCTGCTGTTCAATCTTTGGCGAACTGCCAAGAAGAGGCCGTCTTATTAACCTTGCTGAACAGGCCCTACGGGAGGCCGTCTTCTTATCTTGCAACTAATCTACAGGAGGCAGTATTCTTAAAGGCCTACCTACAGAAGACATTCTTGACTGGATAGCATTTGAAGACAAAAATTATATGCCAGCTTAGCTTAATTATACTAACAGCGTGATATATAGAGTCTCAAGAAATAAGCTCGCATCTCAACTATACAGTCCTAGAGTCTAGTAGCCTTGTCTTCCGCAGATAGATAAAGCCAAGCCGAGCTGACAGACCAAACAGACCACTCGACTAAAAAGGTCTCCAGACACCTAAGTAGGCGTGATACGAGCTCTTTTTTATCTTGTTTCTTTTGATATATCTTATAGACTGTCCAGTTAAGACATCCGTCTGGCAAGATTCCTGTTCTTTATCTAGTCTAGAGTAGTCAATATAGTACAATTTTGCTTCTGTTCTTATATACTTCAGTAAACGCAAGTTTAATAGCTGTTCTGATGCCACTCGCCCTCTACGCAGTTGATACCATGCATAGGTCATTGTTGATGCCCGATATGACATGGGATTTCAAGTTAGCAATTCTTGATACCGTTTTGAATCCTGTCATGATTCTGCAGCCCGTCTAGACAACCAAACAACAAGAATATTCGAAAGGATCTTCGGGGCAAGCCCGGTTGATAGGCAAGATTTACCTCATATTGTTATAATCCGAGAGCTTTCCATCACAACAGGTGCTGTGGTCTAGTGGTATGACGTCACGTTGTGGCCGTGCCAGCCCCGGTTCGATTCCGGGCAGCGCCAATCATTATTTCTTTTTTCACATTCTCCGATTCGGATCGGAGGGGACTCTTTTCTTTTTTGGTTATGGATGGACGGCTATGACTCATTGATCTCTTGGGGATTTGGGGCGTTGGGGGGTTGAAATATTAATTCAAGTTGAATTGATCAAGTGAACAAGTTGCGTTGTTATATCATCTCAAATGATCATCCAAAGCTCTTCTATCCCGTTCGATCTGTAATACTGGGCTGGATTGTTAGTCTGCAAAGGGGGGGGGGTTATGTTGGGGGCCCGTATATTGAACACCAATATGCGCGCCCTATGCCGTGGACTGCGATGACATAGAGTATTGGGTGAGAGAGATGAGCGGGGGCTGCAAGCATGTCGTAAGCTGCGGACGTTCATTTCTCCCATCCAATCTCCATCTCGGAAGAGCGAGATCAACCTGCCCAATCCAATGAATGTTTGTACAGACTTTCTTTTGTTCCCGGTGGCCGTCCAATCCATTCAATCCTCCAAAAAAAGGTAACCTTATCTCCCCCAGGGTATCAATCTAGATCCATGGAATCGGGGATCGGAAAGTTTCGCTGGAGTTTGCGTTTAAGGTTGGATATCCGCGGGCCCAAACTCAAGACCATCATTAACCCCGGAATTTCAAGTATCGATTCGCTGATTATCTCCAACAAACACGGGCAAATCCGACGATATCCCAGGGGCCGAGCTGCAGGAATGCGGGTCCAAGGCAGCCTAGTGGTCGGCATTTGGGTTCCAGGAATGCGCAGGTATATGTCACAATGTTCATTCTACTGTAATCGGCGAAAACATGGCCCGTGGAAATGTGGAGCATCATTTTTACTGTTCCTAAACATTCAGGGGACCTTTCAATAATTCTGTAAGTTTTTTGGTTGTTTTGTTTTCTTCTGCTGGTTTTTGTAGTTAATGCTAAGCATTTTGGCTCCACTGGATTCGGTTGAAAAACGGCTAGAGAGCATCAGGTGAGCTACGCGCTAATTGTCGAGCTATTTATGTCCCAACCGCGCATGTCAGGGGCTCCAATGACGGGATTTCTCGTTGCACAGAACCATTGCCTCCACAACACACCATCTACCCACTCACACTACGGAGTATTGAACCAGGCTGCTGTATCACAGCAGAGCAATAATCTGACAACAAATTCGCGTCTCGTCCCGCACGGACCATGAAGCGTACCAGCCACTTCGATGTTCACGGACAGGTACTTAATCTTGAACCGGCCACTCCACTGCCAATGCCCCGCTCACCCCAGATGTACTCCAGACGGTCCTCATCGCGGGGGGCTCCAAAGGCCTCGGACGCGAGCTCGCCCTCCAGCTAACCGCCGAAGGTTCTCCCCTCCCCCTTCCTCCTCCGTTTTCCCTCCTCTGACCCCAGCTAACACTCCCAGGTGCCAATGTGACCATCCTCGCGCGCTCCTCGGGCCCCCTCGAAGAAACCCGCCGTGAAATGCTCACCCGCGTCCAACACCCGGACCAAGCCATCGCTGCCCACCCCGTGGACCTCACCGACGCAACCGAGGTCGAGTCCCTCATCGCGACCCTCAAACCCCTCCCCACCATCCTCTTCTGCGTCGCTGGCGGCACCGCCGAAGAGATCGGCTTCTTCGCCGACATCTCCTCCCAGCACATCAAAACCTGCATGGACCGCAACTACCTCTCCGCCGCGTACATTGCGCACGCCCTGCTCTGCCGCTGGCTCGCCGAGCCCCCCAAATCTGCAGACGAGAAATCGCACCCCCGCCATCTCATCTTCACTGCCTCCACCGCCGCCTTCCTCGGCCTCCCAGGCTACGTCGCCTACACGCCCACCAAAGCTGCGACGCGCGCCCTCGCCGATACCCTCCGCCAGGAAGTCCTCCTCTACCGCTCACAGCAGGAAATCCGCGTCCATTGCTCGTTCCCTGGCACGATCTACACGGAGGCGTACGTGGAGGAACAGCGGGGGAAGCCGGAGCTGTTGAAGGAGTTGGAGGGCGATGGGAGTGGGTTGTCGCCCGCCAAGGTGGCGGAGAAGACAATCCATGGGTTGAAACAGGGGAGATTTTTTATTACTATGGACTTTGATACGGAGTTGTTGTTGAATAATATGCGTGGTCCGAGTCCGAGATTTTGGGCCGTATGGGATTGGAGCTTGGGACTTGTGGGGAGCTTGGCTTGGCCGTTTTATCGGTGGTGGTTTGATCGGAGGACAGGAGCTTATGGGAGGGAGATGCTGGGTGGGAGGTCTGATAGGTAGGGACTCAGTTCCTGGCTGGGGTGGATGTGGATTGAGGATGTGGTGACACCCCTCTCTAGTTAAGCTACATTGGCTAACTTTGATAGGGATAGTCAGTAGGATATAATGTCATGTCACGTGGCTTTCCTTGTCCACATCGGGAATTGTAGGGTGTCGCCAAACCTCGAGATCGACGTGTGACCCAAAGCGGCTCAGCGGCTGCAGGAACGGACTAGCGCCGATCGGCCTCGATCGCGTCGCGTGTTGCATCATCTTCTTTTTCTCTCCGCGCCCTTTTCTCCCTCCCACCAACAATCACCATGCATCGCTCCCCCCAGGCTGATCCCCTTCCCTAGCTCCGATCCGCCTTGCTCTCTACCCGCCTCCCTCCCGGTTTGCTGGATGTCTCTGCGGCCCATTGCGTCCACGCAGACGGTCCAGCGCGCCCTTCTCCCCGCCCAGCATGTCCCTCGTTTCCATGGCCGCCAGAAATCTGGCTCCTTCCGTCCCGTTCGCCACTGCTCGTTCATGCGGATAACTTCTCAACTCGCTGTGGCAATCTTTCCCTCTCCCTCCTTGCCAACGCATCGCCACCGCGCTCCAACTTTGATCTCTACCAGATTATCCCGCCTACATTCCTGGTCATCCCGACCAGTGACACCCGTTCGGTCCTTCCAGCTGTCCGCAACACGCAGTGTCTCGAACGCTACCCCGGCCGTGATGCCAGCCATTGAGGTCATTTCCGGCGCCCAAGATGCCGATGTGAAAGAGGCCCCGCCGGCCAGGGAATCACACAAGGATGCAATGGATCCAGAGTCGGACGAGGACGTTCCAGTCGGAGCGGAGGAGCTTCAGGACGCCCTGTCGCGCCCCCCGCCCGTCTACAGCAGCTACCTGCCCCTCCCTTGGAAAGGGCGATTAGGCTATGTGAGTCGGATCGGCTCCTCTCCCGTGCAATTCCTCATTATGAACAGGCCTGCTTGAACACCTATCTGCGGTACGCGAACCCGCCCGTGTTCTGCTCCCGGACCTGCCGCATCGCCTCCATCCTCGAGAATCGACACCCCCTCTCCGATCCGTCGCAGCCGCCCCATCCGACCAAGAACCGTCCAGACCGGACCAAGCCCCCCCAGATCGCCCTCGGAAAGGCGTACGTCGAGAACTTGGGCCTCACCAATGCCAAGGATCTCCTGAAAATACTGCGGTGGAATGACCGGTATGGGATCAAGTTCATGCGTCTGAGTAGTGAAATGTTCCCCTTCGCGAGCCACAAAGTTTACGGCTACCAGCTGGCCCCTTTTGCGGCGGACGTGCTGGCAGATGCGGGTCGCCTTGTTGCGGAGCTGGGCCATCGGGTGACTGTCCATCCTGGTCAATTCACCCAGCTCGGTTCGCCCCGAGAAGAAGTGGCGGAGAACTCCATCCGAGATCTCGAGTACCACTCCGAGATGCTCCAGCTCCTCCGGCTACCTCCGCAGCAGGATCGGGATGCGGTCATGATCCTGCACATGGGAGGTGTCTTTGGAGACAAACAGGCTACGCTCGATCGCTTTCGAGAAAACTACAAGGACCTCTCACAGGACATCAAGAACCGGCTCGTCCTTGAGAATGATGACGTCAGCTGGTCGGTCCACGATCTCCTGCCCATCTGCGAGGAGCTGAACATCCCACTGGTGCTGGACTTCCATCATCACAATATCATCTTCGATGACAGTCAGGTTCGTGAGGGCACGCTGGACATCATGAACTTCTTCGATCGCATCAAGGCGACTTGGACTCGCAAGAACATCACGCAGAAGATGCACTACTCCGAGCCGACTCCGGCCGCCATCACCAATCGCCAGCGTCGGAAGCACAGCCCTCGAGTGGCCACCCTGCCCCCGTGCGATCCGACCATGGACTTGATGATTGAAGCCAAGGACAAGGAGCAGGCCGTCTTCGAATTGATGCGGACATTCAAGCTTCCCGGTCATGAGTTGGTGAACGCCATGATCCCTCATATGCGCAACGACGAGAATCAACCTTTCAAACCACCCAGGAAGACCAAGAAGGATGGCGCGTTTGTGAACCTTGAGGGCCAGGTCCCGCCGGTGCGGACAGTCACGGAAGAAGAGATTGGGATGGGTGGTCCCGACGGTCGGGTCTATTGGCCTCCCACCATGGAGGAATGGCTTCGACCTAAGAAGATTGTTCGCACCAAAGCTGCTCCAAGCCCCCGCCGCACTCCCGCGAAGGTGGCGAGCGAGAAGGCGGCCCCATTGACGGACGGGCCAGACGGCAACGCACCGGCCACGCCGGTCTCCAAGGCTCGACGGGTGCAGAAAGCCTCGAGCGTGAAAAAGTCGGTTTCGAGGAAGCGGAAGGCTTCTCCGGACCTTTCCTTCCCGTCTACCACGGATGAAGATGTTCCCGACCATGCCCCTGATGCCCCCGAGACCCCAGTGAAGCAGTCCGAGGGCCGTACTCGTCGCAGTCAACGAGCGAAGAAAGTGAACTATACCGAAGACCAGGATTCTGCGTGAACGCCGATTGGGTTCATGCCCTTCACGGCTACTTCTCTGATCCTCAAGTCGAAACGGGACTGGTTCTCGGTGAAATCCATGCAGCGCCAGGCCCTCCGGCGTCTACCGTCGGTGGTTCCTGCATGGATCGATGTTCCCTGCGTGATGCTTGGAGAAGCGTCAAGCATTTTTCTAACAATGCCCGATCATTCGACCTTCTTTTGTGGCAACTATTTAGAGCTTCGTATCTGATATACCATAGACACCGCAGGCTCACCAACCAAGGGTAGAGTGAGCCATGCCCCGTATATAAATGTATATGGGAGATAATAAGGCCAATAATATCTTTAAGTTAATTGAAATAATTGTGATGAATTATGATTCTATCTTTGATGGCAGTAAAGCCTTCGCATTCGATAACCCGCCCAGCCTTCCCGATCGGGCGGCGATCGGCCCCACTGCAAGTTGCTTTGGTTTCTTCCCGCCGTCAACCTGACGCTGTCTTCGCCATGCGCCTGCAGCCATCCATTTACTTACAATTAATTCACTTGAAACACCACCCAATCTAGCTGCACGACGGTCCTGCACCTAGCCTGAATTCCCACCTTCGTCCACACCATGATTGGCCGTCCCTCGGATGACTGAGCCTCCCGATCCCCGACTTCGTCATCATCTCCACTAACGCTCTCACACACAAACAAGAAACAAGGCAGCTGACCATTCCTCCTCCATTAAATCACCATCAGCACCGCTGCCACCACTTACACCTCCCATAAATATCCTCACAAAAACCAAATCGTGGCTCCGAAACTCCCTCCCCGAATAACTCGCTGGCGCCCGCCCCGGTCCCTCGTCCGGCCACCACCACCACCACCACCACCACAGCCGCAACCGCTCCCCCTTCCCTCCCCCCTCCGCATCCTCCCCAATCGCCTCCGCACAACAGGGAACCTCCTCCGTCTCGTCCGCTTCCTCTTCGGCCCCCAGAATACCCGTCGCGCGCAGTCCCGTCTCTGGAGTCTTCGCCACGAGACCCTCCCCGCCTGGCGCCACCGCGCGCAAGCTAGAGTCTACCGTGCTATCGTCCGGCGGCAGCAGGCACGGCTTGCCCGGCGCCGGGGAGTAGGGTCAGGGAAACGGGGGGTTCTGGGGTATTTGGTTGGGAAGGGAAGACGGTTGGTTGCGCCTACCTCCGGGAATACTGGACCGGTTCAGCGGTGGTTACGGGCTGGCAGCAGCAACAGCAAGGATAGCACCAATACCAATACCAATACCAATACCAATACCAAGGGCAAGGGCAAGTCAAACGACAGCGGCGCGCCAGAGACAATGTCGCAGTACGAATGGACGCCCGGAACCCGCCGCAAGAAGGTCTACGGGTACCTGAAAGCGGCAAACGAGCTCCGACAGACGTATGCGGCGCAGTGGTCGGCACAAATAAACGGGAGTGGGGGCCAGCAGCGCGAGTATGAGAATTATGGGAATACGCCAGGGGCGTTTCCCGATGTGGAGATTGCGAGGTCGGAGTTTGAGGAGATGGTTATTTTTCCGAGTTATGCGAGACGGTTGGTGAAGAGGGATGGGATGGGGGATGGGAACGGGAGGGGGAGCTTGTATGGTGGGAGGAGAGGCTCGAATGATACCATTGAGGAGTATAGGGGGGAGACTGGGGCGTTGGGGTCCGGGTGGGATGAGATGGAGGATGAGAATGCTGTTGTTGCGGTGGATGTTCGGGGCTGGGTGTATTCGCCTCATCGCGGGCCGATGACGCGGAAGCATCGGTTGATGGTTGCGCTGGCGAGGAAGTTGAGTGGCGTGCCGGCTCCGGCTAATAATGTGAATGAGGGGGGCGGCGGAGGTGGAGGTCCAGGTGGAAATGGGGGGTATCAGAGGACGAGTGACAAAGGGGAGGAGGAGTTGGTGGATACGGAGGCTCAGTCGATTATCAAGAACGCGGAGGGGAGGGCAGATTCGGCGTGGAAGGACAGCGCGGAGAATCAGTCGTCCCCTGGACGGCCTCTGCAGCGAGTCTCGACTGATACTACGCAGCTGACCAAGGATGAGATAACGGTGGCTAATGCGCATCTGATGGAGCGGCTGCGTCCGTTCCTCACGAATCCGGTCACAGAGGTGCCTATCACGGTGTTCTTTTTCAACGATGGCAAGAGTCAGTCGAGGAGCGTCATGACTGACGAGTCGGGTCACTTTCAGCTACGCGCGGCGTTGACGTTCGTTCCGACTCATATCCGCGTCTTGGCTTCGGAGGACCTCTCTGTTATGAAGGAGGTCCAGGTTATCGAGCCGACGGGCGTCAGCTTGATCAGTGATATCGACGATACGGTGAAACATTCGGCTATCACGAGTGGAGCGAAGGAGATGTTCCGCAATACATTCGTGCGCGAGCTGAACGAGTTGACCGTCGACGGAGTCACCGAATGGTATGGCAAGCTGGCCAAGATGGGAGTGGACATGCATTACGTCTCCAATGCGCCGTGGCAGCTCTATCCGCTTCTCGAACGCTACTTCAAGCTTGCGGGTCTCCCCCGGGGGTCTTTCCACCTGAAGCAGTACAGCGGTATGCTCCAGGGCATATTTGAACCAACAGCGGAGCGGAAGAGGGGCTCATTGGAGCAAATTCTCAGAGACTTTCCGTCCCGCAAGTTCATCCTTGTCGGTGATAGCGGCGAGGCGGACCTGGAGGTCTACACCGACATCGTCCTGGCGAACCCCGGACGAATTCTAGGGATCTTCATCCGCGACGTGACAACTTCGGACCGGAGAAAGTTCTTCGAGAAGTCGGTCGATCATCTGGAGCACGATCTGTCGCGGAGCCGCAGCACCCCTCAACTCGTGGACGATGCAGACACGGCATCGAACCGGCCTGCGTTGCCCCCTCGTCGGCCCACGAGGCCTGATCTATCAGATACCGTCAGCTTGGACAACGCCGACCTGATTGATCTCAGTGACGAGGCAGAGCAAAAAGTGCCACTGGTTGATATGAAAAAGCCCACCGCGCGTACGCCACCCACGAAACCCTCCAAACCATCCGCCCTCCGCTCCGTTTCGAACAACCCAGATCTGGGGAGAGATACAACCCCTCTGCAGGACACCATCAAACGCAAACCCATGCCCCCGCTCCCGCCACGCCGTTCCTCGACTAAACCAGACATCTCGACAGATCAAGACCTATACTGGATAACTTCCAACGTTAACGAACGCAATCCTTCCCAATTATCCCTCCGCCCTAGACCAGGTGCCCAAGGTCAAGAAACCGACCCAAGACCTACACGAAAACAACCCCCTCCACCCCCTCCCCCCCGTCGAGCAAACACCAACTCGTCAACAACAGGCTCCATCTCCTCCCAGAGCACCCAGAGCACACAACAGAGCACCAACCGCCTCCCGCCGCAAAAACAATCTTACCCCGCCGCCGCAGCAACAGCGGCCACTTCCGCCCTCCAATACGCCTCCGACCGTCTCCCCTGGTCTGCCTCCCCGTCTAATATCCTCCGTTCCACACAATCCAATTCCTCACTGAGCAGGACCAACACCAATACCAACTCTGGCAGCAACAACGGCAGCTCGAGCTATGCTCCAGCAGCTCCGCTTCCCAATAAACGGGAAGAGCTGTGGCGGAGGCGATGGGCACGTGCGGAGGAGTTGTTGGATAAGAAGGGCGTCGTGCTCGGGAGCTGGAGGGTCGGACGGGATGCGCAGGATGTTACGGTTTGGTTGGTTGAGGAGGCGATGAGGGATGCGAGGAGGCGGTAGGGTATTAGGAAACGGGGATGGGGGTGTATTAGATGGTAAGATGGTAGAAAGTATTATGGTTAGATAGCGTGGCATGACATTGGATTGCTGGGTTCCGATGCCGGCTTGTATGTATGTGTGGTATGTATATATGAATAACCTGCTAGAATATTTATGATGATTCTACACTCTTATGGATGGACGGACGTATTGGGCGATTATCAAATAATGGGAAGAAGTAGTGACACCTGGGGAGGAGGTTCTCGAGACAGCTGTTGGTCGAGCGATGATATGTCAAAGGAGGTGGTGGGTAAATAAATAATGATGCCGTCAGAATAAGCTGCTTCCACGCACACACCCACCGTGGTAGAACCAAATCACAAAAAGTTAATTCAGATTCCTTCCTTCCTTCCTTCCTTCCTTCCTCCCTCCCCATATCATATATATATATATTCAATCATACTATCCTATCTCATCTATCCATCCATTGTAAGGTGGGGCGGAACAGAGAATCAAAAAGCAAAAAGAGATGGTCCCAGAGGGGGTCGAACCCTCGACTTTAACGTTATTAGCGTTACGCTCTAACCAACTGAGCTATGGGACCCGGTTGATATATTCTGCCCAGGTTTGTTGTTATACAAGCCAGCTTAAATGTATAGGGAAGATTTGGCCTTGTAGTGCTTGTGTATATAGTTGGTGGGTAGAGAGAGACTGACTGTATCAGGTAGGTCTTTTGGTGGGGTGGAGGGTTGTGCTTTTTCTTTTTTTTTTCTTTTTTTTTTCTTTTTTTATAAAGGATAAATCTTGAGAGGGATTCCCGATTTGTGTTTAATGCTATTCAACCCGTGGGAGTCTGAGTGGATTGGTGTTCTGGACAGGTGTATATCGTCTGTGGGGGGGGCTGCGGTAGTGGCTTGATTTCGGGGGATCTGAGATTCAGTACCTCTTGGGCTGAAAGAGAGGGATTACAGTTGAGTATTTCTGCAGTATGTAGTGGGGATTTAATAGCGTTTGGCAAAGGATTAAATATGCCGTTAATGGTTGGGACATGGGATTTTCGCAATTATCTGTAAGGGGATGGGGGTATCAGCCTCTTGACTTTGAAAAGAGACCATGGGGGGGTTCATGCTATGGCTGGGCGATATTGGTGACGTTATATCAGGCAGGGTATTGTTGCTATGGTATGATATCACCAAGCGGGGTGCAATGAAAAGGAGGGGGGGGGATAGTTAGGTGGGTGGTACTTTTTTGTGATTCAGATAAGCTGGATTAATTTGATTTTTTTTTTAGATGTTGGATGCTGGTGAATGTTCCGTCATATACTTATTCGTCTCACGAATCCAAGTCCAGAAACAGGTACTCTTCGCGAAGCAAATCGAAACATGCCGGAGTAAAAGTAAGCGTTTAATTCAATTGATAATTCAAATTATCGAGTCAAGGTGAACTCGAACCCTGGAAGATCGCTACCTACACTTTTGTCTCAGAATCCATATTGTCTCTACTAAACCACAATCTAGGGTTGTGTAGCGCTAAACCAGCCGACCTCCACATCAACTGGGTCCCATAGCTCAGTTGGTTAGAGCGTAACGCTAATAACGTTAAAGTCGAGGGTTCGACCCCCTCTGGGACCATCTCTTTTTGCTCTTTGCCAGACACAACTATGTATGTATGGGTTGGTAACTCCGTACATTTTGCATCGCATGCTTTTTTTTCGTCGAGGCCGGTCGAATATTCAATTGAGTTGTCGGGCCGCTGGGGGCCTGCCACAGTGCCATGGTTGCCTGGGCATAATGCATGTTCCGTTGAAATGATGACTTCACTGCGCATAGTTAATGAGGCTCATCATATCTGCGAATGCCGAGGATACTTTGTCTAGTCAGACATTGGATTCTCATCGGATTATCATATCAGTGTCACAGTCACCCGCACAAGGATCCGAGAGCAGGTCCTCTCGGCCCTGAAGATGAGGCTTGGATGTGTGAGCAGATCGAACGGTTCGCTGAACTTGGCTTCCCCTGCGGCGCTGACATAGTCGGACGCATGACGAAGCCATCTACGATTTCATCCGCCTGTATCATGCGACAATGGGGCAATATACGTCCCCCCTCCCAAAAACATGTGGTCGGTTGTTGCTGAAAGGGGTTTTCTGATGGGCCTTCCTCAGAGGCGCCAGTCTCTCCTGCTCCATCTCTCGCTGCTGCATGAAAAATCGGCTGGCAAAACAATCCATGGGCAAGACTGGGCATCTGTGATGGAGTGTGCCAATGCCCAAGCATATGTCATGCCCCCCCACTTATCGTTCTCAAGGGGAGACAGGTCCGTCCATCAGGAGCTGGCTCCGCACTTGGATGAGGATGATGAGATGGTCCGCATCGACCCATACGGGCACACCAATGAAATGCATCTGATGCAATGGCTGACCGAAATTTTCATACCGCATGCAAAAGGTGGTGATGATTTAATGCCTCCTACGATGCGAACGCAGCTACTATTGATAGAGGGCTGGCATATTATGGTCCCATTCGACTTCTTTGTCACTTGCCCTGAACAGAACATCATACCCCTCTGCCCTCCCGGAATAGCATCACAAAATGTCCAGCCGCTCGATGTCGGTCTATTCCCCTCGGTGCTTCGAGAATACACTTCTAGGATGTATTCAACCCAACCCAGCTTCCCCCTCACAACGCTCACGAGGGAGGAATTCATCGAACATTACGAAGCCTCGCGCCTTGATATGGGCGGACCCAGTCTCCTGGTAGGGTGGATGGCAACCGGGCTTCGACCGTTTTCATAGAACAAGACCGCCAGTATAAAGTCGCCTACTGAAACGTTCCCGTAAGCTATACAGCACTGTCATCACGGAGTCTGAACTCACCGGGCAGGAAATCAGCTGTTGTTTCGATCTTGTGCGGAATGGATCCCCGGACACTTCAGCAGACGCTGCAGATGCCCTCGTGGAGTATCATGAGGGCAATCTCCAGACCACTGCCCGACTGCGCCGCGCCATGCAGGGACTTGAAGTGATGAGGGTAAAAAGCGCTCGCACGGGGTCGGAGTAGATGTACCTTGCATGAGAAGGGCTTGGAGTTTTGGAGTGGCGAAAATGCGGGAAGAATATATGAGAGAGGGGGGGGGGGGGGGGGGGGATACGAGCGAGGCACTTACTTAGTTACTCTGCTCATCGGAAATATGTACATATAGTAGTTTTCCGGGCTAGAGTCAACTAGTAACTATGTTGAATAGACGAGTAATCAATTGAATTGATTCCGTCTCCCTGGACATAGTTCAACCGTCTGGGCCTTCGGACTTGCATTCCACCCCCCCATCTCTTCCATCATTTACCCCAAGAAAATGCCTGACATGCACTTCTCCTTAGCCAACCGCCCTCCCTCCCCACCCCCCAGCACTTAATCCCCAGGGATCAATCAAGCACATAGACCTATAGTACATACTACTTTACAATTATCCCCCCCCTCACAAAAGCACCGGCCCAAACCCCTCCCCAACGCATACATACCCACCCACCAACACCATATATCCAAGCACGACCCCATGCCTCCCCCCTTTCAAAAACAAATTCTAGAATCAAACTAATTTTTGGCTTATAAGACATTAAAATGAGGCGGAATATATCAACCGGGTCCCATAGCTCAGTTGGTTAGAGCGTAACGCTAATAACGTTAAAGTCGAGGGTTCGACCCCCTCTGGGACCATTTCTTTTTGTTTTTTTTTGCCAGTACAACTAATTAACACCCCTGGTTATCAGCAGTAGTATCCTTTTTCATCCAGACCAAAAGCCTGTGTTGTCAGTCCACTTGAAAATACAAATTTGGTGGTGATGACGCAATCATGCGTGCGGTTCATTTCAGTTATATCTACATCGATTGATGACGAGGGGGTGATGGCGATGTTTTAAACAAACGCGAACCAACAACCCCGATTTATCATTATTCGGTGTAGATGGAACATGCACAACATGTTCTTATGACATTAAATAACATTTCAGCTGGATGGTAATGAATAGATGAGATGAGATGGTCAAACACTGACTCGGAATTTCTACCTTTTGACTTCTTCCAAATGCGCTGTCATGAATATATAAATAATCTCCAGGTAGCAGTTTTCATTCTAGTACTTGGTTAACTTGCGATAGACGGTATCATTGCTAATTACATATTAGCCCCCCAATCGGACATTAAGGCAGCAGAACGCCAGCTAATTACCACCAAACCCAACAGCCATCCTGCCTGCCAAATACTCCCAAAGCAATAGCATTCAAAGCCATACAAGAAAAAAGAAAGAAAAAAAAAGCATCCCATAACCCCAATCCCTCACCATCCTCCAACCCCCCACCATAACGACTAAAAACCCACAACAGCAGCAACAGCAAGAAACACTCACATAACCACTCTATCCACCACCCCACATTACAATGCCCCGAATCCTGTTCCTCAACCCCAGCAATTTCACCCCCCTTTCATCCATCCGGGCCGTCTTCTCATGCACCCACTCCCCAGCCTTCTCTCTCATCAAATCCCAAATATCCCTTGTACTGGCACACCGCTCTTCCAGATGAGCAATCACCAGAAGGGTAGCAAGGACCGTGGCATCGTCTCCCTGTGGGAAGTCCGCTGACACGAACTGACCTTCCTCGGTGAGCCACTGTGCTAGCTGCGTACGGGTCTTTTCTTGGTCCAGTTCCAGGGAAGCGAAAAGTGCGGGTGACCAGAGCCAGGTTCCATCGAAGGTTTGCTGGACGATCAGTGCGTGGAGCGGCGACGATGGTGGTGATGGGGACTCTTTTGCCGGACGGGCTGGACCAGCCGCGAGTCGCCGCGCCGGAGGGCCTGCCAATTGTTCGCGACATATTCGTGGGCTTGTGGTATGTGGAAGTGTATCCGGACTTCTGGAGGGAGGGGATGGCAGGAACGAAAACCCCTCTTCTCCAGTAGACATATATCTTGCCTCTCCTCCAGTAGATGTATACCTCAAAGACCTATGTTCGGAATTAGAACGCGCGAACCTCTGTTCCGAAGCCAAACCAGGTGGTAAACTATAACCTCCGCGAGCGCCACCACGAGGGCTACCACCAAGTCCACCACGAAAACCACCGCGAGCGTGATGGTCCATGGGTGAAGAAGTTCGCCTATCCCGGTGTTTCAAATCTGCCTTGGATATGATTTCGGATTCATGGACCTGGTCTCCTTCCAGCGCGACAAATGAGCAGTGTCGACCTGGGACCTGGAATTTGAGTCCGAGGCGCTGGCATTCAAGGATGGCGAGGGCTGATTTGGTTGAGGGTTCGAACGAAGAATGCGTGAGCCAGCCGTGCCCCTCCTCAAGCTCCACGATGGCTTTCCGGGCCGCGAGCTGGTGGATGGTTTCGCCGGAGCCGATGTCTTCGATGGGGACTTGTAGCTCGAGTGGACCGTGGTTGGAGGTGGCGTGTACGGAGAGGGATTGTGGGGTGCGGGTTGAGTTGAGAAGAAGGTAGACGGTGCTTCGGATGAAGGGGTATAGAATTGGGAATTTGTGAGGGGCCTGGATTATATTGGGAGGTGTGATGGATGGGGGGGTAGGGGGTTGCGTTCCGGGGCTTCGTTGAGCTCCTGGAAGGAGGGATCGAACAGGAGGATAGGCTTTTGGGGCAGCTTCTGGTCATCACTGGGCGTCGTAATTTCCCCATGGAGCGTTTCCGTCTCTGTCTCCTCTGGGTCGTGGTCCACCATGTTGAAGTCTCCCTCCGCGTCGTCATACTGTATCTTCAGGGTGTAATCGTAAATGTGTGGACCAAGGGCACCTTTCAGTATGCGCACTACCATGCGATCGAGCTCTTCATATGCAAGCACTGACTGGCCAATCCCATTCCCAGCCCGGGCAACACCCTGAATTAATGCATGTGAGACGGCTTCGCCAATGCCTAAGGTAAAGAAACGGGCGGTATGATCGGCGGACGTGGCCCGGACAAAGTGGAAGAGCTCTTCTTGGCGGGTGATCTCACCATCGGTGAGAATGAGTACCGCCAGGTCCTGGTTCTTGAGACGACTCTTCACGACTGCCTCAACGGCATCGAGCATATTGGTTCCTCCCATATCAGAGCTCATTGTCTCGACGAGAGCCAGTGCTCTGTGTAAGCTCACGGAGTTGTAGACTTGACTCCGCGACCAGAGGAGAGAGTGTCTACTACCGAACGAGCAGATATTGAACGAAATCCCGACAGGTAGAGACTTTAGAAAGACCTGCAAAGCGGATCGTAGGGTAGAGATCTTGTCTGACATGCTAGCACTTCGATCGACGACGAAGATCACTTCTGGACGCGCCGGGGGCAGGTGGAACTTGGGAACCAGTGTGGCCATTAGGGCTCGCTGGCTTAGGATGGTGGGATGCGACTCCAGAAGAGCGCGTGGCGAGTCCGTGTTGTCCGCTTTGACAATCAGCACAAATTCTTGATCCAGAAGTGGGTGTTCCTGCTCCAGGCGTAGCGATGCAGATGCATGATGGGGTGCGAAGTCGGCGGATGTCTCTGAGGAGGAAATGCGACCGAGGGAGACGTGGACGGGATGGCTGGGGGATTGAACTTCGCGAATAGCGGATCCTTTCTCCATCTTGACGTCTACTGTGATGGCGAGACCTTTCTGCTCGATGGACCGATCATATGAGAATGGGATGTCGTCAGATGCCGTAACCCCGTATCTGGGTGCAATAGCATTCGGTAAAGTGTAGCGGATGCCATCGGTTTGGCTATCTGTTTGGAGTTCGTGGACGAAGGTTATGTCGACCGTGATCAGGGCATGGGGCGTAACGTTTCCGATTCGCAACAGGAAGATATCCGACTCCTGGCCAGACTGATCGAGGACGGCTGCCGACTGGCCCTGGCTGGCTGCATTCTGATAGTCCTGGTTGGCCTGGTATTTGGTCCGGACCTCACTGCGTAGGATTCGGTCGCCCACACGGCACTGAAATCTCACGATACTGACGCCTTCATAGAGGGGAAAGCGATAAGCGACCTCGCTGATGGCCTCGGAGGTGCGGTTGGTGAATATCTGGGTGAGGGTGGTGCGTGAGGTGGTGGACAAGATGGTGGCATGAACCTGGAGGGCCACTTGGGGCAGATACCTCCAGCTCCCAGAGCTGGGGTGATGGTAGTAGCATCCCCAGTATACCATTGCTGCTCGCAGTTTGTGATGATTGTTTTTGTTTGAAGGGAGTTGAGCGAAAAGACACCGATCCACTCTTTATGCCCCTCATTCTCTGGGTCTGTCGTCAGAGTGTCGTGGTTGTGTACCAGTCTGACCCAGGCAAGCCCTGTCAAAGCTTATTCGACTTGGCTTCCACTCTGGGCAATTTGCCTCCGGGACTATCCGCCCGCTCACAACTGGCTATTCGCGGCCTCTCTCGGAGTGGTTTGTTGACACTCTTCTGAAGGTCAGAACAAGATATTGTGGATGGCGGTGGAAAGAATCAACACCTCAAGCTTGTCAGGGCATGCGCTATCTCAACTGGCGCTACCTACTAGGGTACTAGCGCCCATTTCTCGGTAGAGCCGCGATGAGTGGGCTGACACCTGGTGCTGGTGACTCGGGGGCGATAACGATGACAGTTCTCGAGGAGGGGCAGGGTCCATGCGTAAGCCCCGTGGTTCTGAGATCAGGGCAAGGGGTCTACCCGATCCACTGCAGTGGGGCGGATCCATGAGAACAAGTTGCTTAAGGAAAGAGCAACTGGGAGGTTGGGACGCGCGGAGTAGAGAGGACCTTTTGGACAAGATCACTCCACTCTTTTCGACGTTATGGGCTTTTTCGAATATCCAATGCTCATTCACTGATATTCTGCCCGAGTAACAACCATGGACGATGATTTCTATCAAACACGACCATGTTGGCCCCTGTCTATAGATCCACGATCAAACAAGTCTTAATCGTGCCCATTCTCGAATGCAACCCCCGTCTCTGATTGTCAGACATACGGGCTGGCTCTTGCCTCGGAAAATTGACTTATAACACCGATCGAAGCGACCGAAGCGCCTTTCGCACGCCATAGAGATAGTCCATTGCATTAAATAATGGCCTTGAATATCTAGAAATCCCGCCCGAGGATCTCCGGACTCGGCAGGATCGATCTATCTATCAGCCCTATCTGCAGTATTCCGTGCCCTAACGGATTACCCTCCCTGCCTCCCTGTGACTCATCGCCCGAGCAATGTCACTATATCATCCCTATGACTGCACTTAACCCCTGTCATCACAACTTATTTAGTAAAAGAGTTTCTGATATTCCTCATACAACGTGATCCATTCATTGCGCACTGTTCGTCTATCGACCGGAAGAGTTGCTCGTCGAAAGATGTCCCCAGCCAACACACTAAGTCCCGGGGCGGGCGCGAGCCCTAACAGCGACAGCAAATCCGCCGTCAAGGCAAAACGAGAGGGTAAGTCTGATCGAGATACCTCAACGCAAGACACCCTCACAATTAACCCACCAACAAACAGCGGAAAAGGAGCGCCAGAAGGCCGAAAAGGCGAAGCGACTTGCCGAGAAAGAAGCAAGAAAGAAACAAGTAGTCGTTCCCAAACCCCCGTCGACCAAGCGTCAACACTGGTCCAGGGCCGCGCTGAACGGGCCACTGCCGGAATATGTGGAGGAAACTCCCAAAAGAGAGAAGAAGAGTAAGAAGCCCACTATACAATTCCTGGGATTTTGGGTTTACAAAGTTACTCACGATCGGGAATTATAGTCCTCAAGCCCTTTGACAACCCCTTCAACGATGCATATATCCCAAAAGTGGTCGAATCGGCCTGGAATGACTGGTGGGAGGCGGAGGGATTTTTCCAGCCCCAGTTCGACGGCGTCGACCAAAAGCCAAAGCCTGCCGGCACGTATGTCATCCCGATTCCGCCTCCCAATGTGACAGGCGCGCTACACTGTGGACATGCGCTGGGTACGGCGTTGCAGGATTGCTTGGTTCGATGGCATCGGATGAGGGGGTTTACTACGCTCTATCTTCCGGGATGTGATCATGCCAGTATATCCACCCAGAGTGTGATTGAGAATATGCTGTGGAGGAGGGAGAAGAAGACAAGACATGATCTTGGACGAGAACAGTTTCTTCATAGGGCGTTGGAGTGGAAAGAAGAGTTGGTTTTATCCCGATCACTATTAGTGGCTACCGTGTTCCAAAAAGCTATCATACTGACCGCTTGATTTCCCTTACAGATACCATTCGAAGATTACCAACGTGCTCAAAAGACTAGGAGGCTCATTCGACTGGACCCGCGAAGCGTTCACCATGGATGAGAACCTCTCCACCGCGGTGGCAGAGTGTTTCGTCCGGTTCCACGAAGAAGGATACATCTACCGATCGAGTCGGTTAGTGAACTGGTGCGTGCACTTCAACACCGCCATCTCAAATCTGGAGGTGGACACCAAAGAGCTGAAAGGACGGACATTGCTCGATGTCCCGGGGTACGAACGACCCGTGGAATTCGGAGTCCTGGTTTATTTCCGGTACCAGGTCCAAGGATCCGAGGAGACAATTGAGATTGCTACCACACGCCCGGAAACTATAATGGGAGATACCGCGGTTGCTGTACATCCGGACGATGCGCGGTATAAACATCTCATTGGTCGGAAGATTCAACACCCCTTCGTTGGTCATCTGCTCACCATCATTGCGGATGACTATGTGGATCCGGGGTATGGGACGGGAGCGGTGAAAATCACACCGGCGCATGATGCCAATGATTATGAGATTGGGAAGCGGCATAACCTCCCCTTTATCAGCATTTTGAACGATGATGGGACCCTGAATGCTAACGGGGGGAAGTATGCGGGCCAAAGACGGTTCGACGTTCGGTATGCCGTGGTCGAGGATTTGAAGGAGTTGGGTCTCTTCGTCAAGAAAGAGAGCAATCCCATGAAAGTGCCACTGTGCGTCAAATCAAAAGATGTCATAGAACCTCTGATGAAGCCGCAGTGGTGGATGCGTACCCGCGAACTGGCGGACGAAGCCATGCGAGTGGTTCGGGACGGTGAGATCAAGATCCAGCCGGATGTCGCGCGCATAAATTACTTTCGCTGGCTGGAGAACATCAATGACTGGTGTCTCTCGCGCCAGCTCTGGTGGGGACACCAGATACCTGCGTACCTCGTTGATCTGGAGGGTCGGTCAAGCGACGAAACTGAAAATACGCTGTGGGTTGCGGGTCGGACAGAAGAAGAGGCCCGCAAAAAGGCCGAATCCAAGTACCCTGGTCAAGCATTCACCCTCCGAAGGGATCCAGATGTTTTAGATACGTGGTTCTCCGCAGGTCTTTGGCCATTTTCCACTCTTGGCTGGCCACGGCAGACTCACGACCTGGAACATCTCTTCCCAACGTCCTTGCTGGAGACGGGGTGGGATATTTTGTTCTTCTGGGTTGCGCGGATGATCATGCTAAGTTTGAAACTGACGGGCAAAGTGCCTTTCAAGGAGGTCTATTGCCACTCACTGATCCGCGACTCGGAAGGCCGGAAGATGTCCAAATCCTTGGGGAATGTCATCGATCCCGTTGATGTGATGGAGGGGATCGAACTGCAACAACTGCACGACAAACTTCTCTTGGGCAATTTAGATCCCCGGGAGCTAAAGGTGGCCACGAAGTATCAAAAGTCCGCGTTCGCAGAAGGCATTCCAGAATGTGGAGCGGATGCCTTGCGATTCTCGCTCATCCAGTACACCACCGGAGGTAAGTAAGCATCCAAAAACCAGCCCGATACCGTTCAACTTCCCACTGACTCACCACTCGCGAGAATAGGCCCCTCTGACATATCCTTCGACGTGAAAGTTATATCCGGGTACCGCAGATTCTGCAACAAGATCTACCAGGCCGCCAAATTCGTTGTCAAGAACATTGGAGACGAATTCACCCCATCCCGAGCTCTAACCAGAACGGGCGATGAATCTCTGGCCGAGCGATGGATGCTGCATAAACTCAATACCGCAACACAAAATGTCAATCACGCTCTGAGCGAGAAGGAATTCTCTCGCGCTGCTCAGATTGTTTACCAATATTGGTGGGATCATCTGTGTCAAGTTTTTATTGTGAGCTTTTGCCCTTGTCCGGAAGATATCCCATGACTAACTGATAGCGTAGGAGCACTCTAAATTCTTCATCCAGAATGGATCAGACAAAGAGAGGGCATCCGTGCGGAATACCCTATATAATGCCTTAGATGGCGGACTCAGAATGGCTCACCCTTTTACTCCATTCATCTCCGAGGAATTGTGGCAGCGCTTGCCTCGACGACCGGATGATTCCACGCCGTCGATCGTCATAGCGCCGTATCCAGAATATTCTGAAGCTTTGATCGATGATGCTGCCGAAGCGGAGTATGAGACCGTGACTAAATGTGTCAAGGGCATCCGGTCGCTGATGGCGGGGTATGGCGTGCAGGATGATGCTAAAGGTAAGCCCATACCATCAAGACTGTTTATACATACACTGAAAAAAATAATTACAGTCTACATCCATGCAGACGACAGTCAAGCATACACTCTCATCCAACAAGAGTCCGGTAGCATAAAATCCCTCTCCGGGAAAGCCCTAGGCTCCCTGCACGTCCTCGAACCCACAGACAACCCTCCAGCTGGATGTGCCGTCCACGTGAGCTCTGCATCTACGTCGGTATTCTTGGAGATCAACGGCCGAATTGATACCAGCGAAGCTGTGGATAAAGCCAAGAAGCAGCTAGAGAAAATTAGTGAGGCCTTGTCGCGACAGCGCCGGACCATTGATGGGGAGGGGTGGGCGGAAAGAGTGGATGCGAATGTTAAGGCGGTTGAGTTGAGGAAGCTGAGCGATTTGGAGGCCGAGTATAAGAATGTGGTTGCGACGATTGAGCAGTTGGGGATTTCGTGATTGGAGATTAGCTTGGTAGGGGGTGATGGTTGGTGGTGGGTAGTGGGTAGATGTGCTTTCCAGGTGGGGTTCATGGGATAGATTTCGGTATGCATAATTACATTGTATGAGAGGCATAATAATAATAATAATTGCATGGCTCTTTCGAGGCAGATAATAGAGACATGAAGAATAGATTCCTGAGCTATCTTACTATTGAGTCATGGAGACTTGCCAGTTGTCTCTGGTCGCGTTGGAAAGTCGAAGGAGACACCGAGATCAAGTCCGTTAGCCTTTGGGTAAAAGTATTGATTAACGCTGCAGGGAACCAAAAAAAAGGAATTGCTCTCCGCAACTGAAGGGTTTCATTTAACGTTTTTATCTGATCTCGAGCGTAGGGAGCAGCAAATGACCTTAGAGAGTGGGAAGAGAGAAATCGATGATAAGATATCAATTATCGTTCAATCTGCACTTTGACATAGCAGAGAACTCGACTAAGACTGGGAAAGATATCTCCAAATTTCCCAGATCCACTCGTTTCATTATCTCCGCCATGAACCAGAAAGGCATTACTACATCCCTCTCCATATATCACCTGCGACCAGGGCAATGAATCCCATCATTTTCTCCTTGACACCCTTTTCCATCACCGCCTCCACTCTGTACAGTGCACTATGAGAGACGAAACTGTTAGCAAGGCTTCTCCTGGAATTTAGAGATCCATACACTTCCGAAATCACAAGCACTAGATAAATTCATGTGTTAGCACATATCTGTGTCCAGAGTCCAAATGGCTCCATACTGGTTAAAGATTCCTATCTTGCAACTGGTTCCATTGCACACCTGTGAATAAGCAAGAGCAATCAGCATACGTGCTGTTCGAATATATTCTGCTTCAGCTGGTGTCCTCTGCGGAGCAACGCCTCTTATGGGGCTGTGATAGAATCAAGAGAGATAGAGCATGAAATATACCCCATAATCTGTGCGCTTCTGCAATTTCTGCTTGGATTCGGTGGGCGCAGAAACTGCAAGACCCGCCAATAGAGCAAAGACGAAGGGGGTAAATCTCATTTTGGCAACGAAGATTCTTAAAACGAATACAATCGAGGTTGACTTGATCTTGATGCTGATCTTGATGGAGATGAGCTGAGTTGTTGATTTAGATGAACTAGCCCTGTCGACGCTGTTCTTATAGACGAATTTTCTCTCATCGTCGGCTTAGCATTGACCCCGTCAACTGGGTCAATCTGCTTATCTTCATCCATCATACATACACCTTGGGACCCATTTTACATCTTGTGACACAAGAATATCAAGGCATAGCAGCTGCATTGGAAATTGTGCGTGCAGTTCCTGAGGAAGCTCGACTCATGGCACGAGGGGCGTGGCATACGTGTTCAGCGGCAATGGGTGGATGATAGCAAGATAGTTGTGATTGACAAGTCCGCTGGCAATCCGCTACGTCGCCAAACGCAAGCAAGTATGCTTGGCTGTTCACTAAGTTGGGGTGGAAGACAAGAAAGTCCGGAGCAAATAAGCCGGAGCAGGTAGGCCTACGAGCAATGGACATTAGCGCCAAGAACTATACTCCCAGGTCCCCAAAAATAACGTACTGTCATACTATCCCCTGTTGGAATATTGCGCGTCCCTTGCATGCAGCCTTACACCTCTTGCACCTGAGCCCTTGAAACACCAGTATGACATTTTGTCGCCATCTTTACTGACGGCCTTGGCAGGTGACACAAACTACAGATGTTGCTTGGCCTCATCATAAGCGGCTGAGTTCTTTGTCCTCCTTCCCCTGAAGCCCGAACCTACCTACCCAACTTCCCCCAGCTCTTTTCTTTTTCTCTAATTGCCTTCTCACCACCGCCGACCGAGTTTATCATCTTGTTTTCACACTCAAAACGCTGCAATTAATCCTTTGCCTCTCACCTTTGCAACATGCGGCTTCAATCCCTCCTCGTCGCATTGGCTCTCGCTGCCTCCGTCCAGGCCTACACAATCACAGGCTATAATGAAATTAACTGCCTGGGCTCAGAAGCAGGCACCACCACAGGCACGCAAAAAACAGCCTGCGCATCCTTGGGAACGAACAAGTGGAAATCAATTAGGGCTGATCCCGGTGATTTTGTCTTGACTGCTTTCGGCAAGCACAAGGAGACGAGCAGTGACGACAAGGATAAATGCCAGGGAAATGGGTACGCTCTGCAGCCGGGGCATTGCGTCAACCTCCAAAAGAACGACGAATTTCAAGAATACTCGGTGCGTCGGCCCCTTGACATGACGGATCCCAAATTTACTGGAACGCACTAACGCGGGGAATCACAGGTCCAATTCATCGCGATCAAGGGCCAGGATCCTCATCCGCAAGATCATGTCCATGATCCTGACGGATCCAAATCCAAATCTCAATCTAAAAATCAAAATCAATAAAAGTCGCCGACAGAATCCACCAGGAGGACGAGTGCTTGGAGGACTATAAGAGCGGGTCCGATACATCTTTGTGAGGAGTTTTTGCCATTGGAAATAATGGTCGCGTGTGGTTCAAGAATTCGAGGTTGGGATGTCATTTTTTTCTGCGAGGGGTTCGCATCAAATGCATTTCCAGGCAGGGAATGATATGTCATTGCTTTCGCTGTTGTCTTTTTTTTTTTTTTTTTTGCGGGCGTCTGCTCGGATTTTTTGTTGACATTTCGGTACATATTTGTATAAATAAATCTTTGAACAGGCTTAATAGATTGTCAGGCTTTCTCATTGCTGTCGCTCTAGGACCACGAGGATTCATTTTCATATCAGCGAGTTTGTATTGGCCAAAGGTGAAATAAGACCTCGGTAGCCTTTAAGGCTTATGTGTTAATCCTGGGGAAGCGAGTGTGCCTTGAACCTTGCGTTTTCCACGTCGGGTTATCTGGTGGGTTGCTGACTTGCTAACTTGTGGGGAGATTCTGGACACGATTTTCTACTATAGTGGCTCTGGAGGATTGGAAATGATGAATAGTGTACGAAGATTAAAGTTGTGTCTGCCGGGGGTGTGGAAAGAAAAGACAGAAGAATAATATGAGGGTTTCTCTTTCTGGGGGTGTCGAGTTACGGTAGAATTACCCAAAGCAGGTGAATGATGTAATTTATCTCACCTAGCCCTAACGGCTCTGTAAGGGGGCGCATTCACCCTTTTTCTTTCTATACTTTATATTACCTGATATTCTTTCTGCTGTATTATCATTCATCCACAGAAGACATCTGATCCATATTCATAATATAATCTCAACATCATTAGAAAGGATACTGGCAAAAGTCGTTCTACACCACAATCTGAGTGGATATATTTCAAAATGTGCGTTAAAACTTGTCAAACAACATAGAAGTATAATTTAATCCAGATACGACACTCCGTTCAGCATACAGTACGCAGACCAACACCAGAGTCATCTGTCATAGATCCGACGATGATGCCTCCATTCGCAAGACATCATCGACATTCCGCAGAGTCAAATTGAGCATATTCTTACCTAAGGCGGCTCCACCCGACGCCACATGGCCAACGAACAGCACGCATTGCCGGCCACACACTTGGGATACAACGGTACATGCGATCCCCATCCACCATCCGTGAGCGGATTATTACCAAGCAGGCAGTCCGTTGGGCTCCTTCAAATATCAGGCGTCTCCCTCTGGGCCGGCCAAGCATTGGCGATGCTTGTTCATCTGGCAGTGAGTGACAGCGGCGGTTCCAGAAGATGGATATGGACAGCGGGTCCATGCCCTCGTCGGGCCCCTTGACCGATGTCGGCGTTGACTTCTCCAACTATACCCAGGCCTTCGACTTTCTGCAGGACATCCTCGATGACACCACGCTGCAGATCACCGGCAATCAAGCCGCCAGACGCTTTTGGTATGGAATCGCAGCGGTCGTCGGCATGGCCACATTATGCAACATCATCCACCAGGCCACGGAACGATTCCGGTATGTCCTTTGTCAAAAGATGCCGGAGAAAGCATACTAACAACAAGGTGTCCAGACTCCGTGCTAGCGAGAAAGGGCAAGAACAGCCAGCTCGACCATCGATGTGGGCAATGCAATACATCGCAACCGCCACGGCCATGGTACGCGAAGTGTCCTACATCCAACTCACACCCACCCGGACCGCCTGGGCCCGGATCCCCAGCTTCGGATCTATCATCCTGGTCGCCGCATATCTAGCCTTCATTCTCATCCTCGAGTTCGTCGACAACAACATCCCCGGAGCCCAGCATTACCAAGCCCTCAGCGTGCAAGCAGCGTGGCTCGCAGTGGCTCAGATCCCACTGATCGTGCTCCTGGCGGGCAAAAACAGCCTGATCGGCGTCCTCTCTGGCACATCATACCAACGACTCAACCTCCTGCATCGCTGGGTCGCGCGCGGGCTTCTCCTCCTCTCAACCTTCCACTTCGGCTTCGAAAGCTACGGTTGGAACGAATACGGTCTGATGCAGATGGAATGGACCACCGACTCGTGTCCCCCGACCGGCATAGCCGCCTACGCCATCCTCCTCTGGATGAACCTGACCACCCTCGCCCCGATCCGCTTTTACGCCTACAACCTCTTCGTCGCCCAGCATATCCTCACCTACTTCGGTCTCATCATCGCCATCATGATGCACCTCCCCTCCACGGCCCTCTACTCCCGCGTTTACGTCTACATCGCCATCGCATTCTATCTCCTAGAACGACTGGTCCGCACCGCCCGCTACATCGTCACCAACATCTCCCCCGGCCGTGCAACCCTCGAATCCCTCGGCCCCCGCGCCACTAAAATTCACCTCACCAACCCCCGTCTCCGCCACTGGACACCAGGCTCGCACGTCCTCATCTCCATCCCCAAATTCGGTCTCGCCCAATCCCACCCCGCCACCATCATCTCCACCCCCAAATCCCACGGCGGAGAGCTCCTCCTCATCCTTAAGACCTGCCGCGGCTTCACCCACCGCCTCGCCCGCGCAGCCGCAGCCACAGTCACCACTACCCCCAACACAACAACCCAAAAGCCCGACCCCGAATCTCCCCACCCCCAGAAATCATACCTCGCTCTCATCGAGGGCCCCTACCCCCCCGCATCACAGACAGACCTCGCCTGCTACGACACCCTCTTTCTCCTTGCCGGCGGCACAGGAATAACATACACCCTATCGATCCTCCTCGACATCGCAATGCGCTCCACCACCCGAAAACTCCCGCTACGAACCATCCACTTCACCTGGATAATCAAGGACCGCACATCTCTCCCCTGGATCGACCAGGACCTCACAGACGCATTATCCGATCTCGCGCGCGCCGGGATAACCTGTTCCACGCACGCATTCCTCACCTGCGATAGCAACAACAAGAACAAGACAGAGAGTGATGGCAACACGCCCCCCGGATGCAAATGCCCAGATGGCTGTCGCTGCTGCGTCACAAACAAAGTGGATGACGAAGTAGACAAAATCACACCGGTTTACAGCACCCCTGGGACAGAATCAATGTCAGAAAAAGACCTGACGATGCCGCCGTGGAACGGGGTTTGGTTTGAGCGGCCAGTTATCGATAGTTTGTTGTGGCCGGGTTTGTGTGCTGCAGAGGGAGAGACTGCGATTGCGGTTAGTGGGCCGCTGAGGCTGTGCGCTGCGGTCAGGACGACGGTCGCGAGGATTAGTGATGAGCGTGCTGTGCATAAGGGGTCGGGCGCGCAGGGTATTTATCTTCATGTGGAGAATTGTGAGTAGATTTTGTATGAGGTTGAGTTTATAATTATCTAGATACCCTTTTTATTTGGAACTTGTGAAGTTGGTTGTTTATTTCTTCCCAAGGGTGGTATTCATTACTTCCACCCACACAGGAGCGAAGTTCTACTACTTGCGGAATATTCTTCGTGCCTGGCCCGACCACGAATGTCGGGAGATCTTGAAGAACATCATCGACGCCATGGCACCGGACTCTTACATCCTGATCGATGACATTGTCCTCCCCGATATCGGCGTTCACTGGCAGCAGGCGCAACTGGATATGCTGATGATGGTGGTCCTGGGGAAGCGAGAACGCACTCAGGAACAGTGGGATCAGTTGGTCAAGAGTGCAGGGCTGAAGATCAGCAAGGTGCATACTTATAGTGAGAGCTTGCAGGACAGTATTATCGAAGCGGTTGCTGCCTAAGATGAGAACCAGTAGTACCCACGATAATACAATAGATAGAAAGCAGAAACAACTTTGTACAGTAGTGCTCTCAGTTCTTAGTTCTAAAACTACTAGTTTGCATCGCTGCTCCTGGATGTGGGGTCGATTCCGACGATCCTTGCGGGCAAATCGCCCGCTCCGAGATGCCGTTCTCTGGATGGGTACTGGATAGCAAGGCGGATGTGCTCGCCGGGGCGGGACACCTCATCCTCAACTCATCCTCGCCCTCGCTGTTGCGGTCTTTGAGACAAATGATCCATTCACACAGGCCTCGAGTTGATGACTCCTTTGGAGAGGTATACACTGACTCCGTCGTTGGATCCGACAGCTCATGCATTCTACAATGCCTGATGACGAGAGAATGCAAGGAATGGTTGATTTTTGGAGGAATGCCTGCGACCGCGATCGGGCCCTTGTAGGGAGGAGATGCGGGCACAGGATGGGAGCGGCCAGTGGCCACTACCGGAGGCGAGAGACATAGCGGGGAGTTGTGAGGGAGGAGGGGGGGGGTTTATACTTCTTTGAAGACGCACGCCTGAGGCCCGAAGCGGGTATGACAAAGTGGCTGGCGGCCATCAGCGCTCTTTCTACTTTGGGGTTATTGGTTGTCAACTCAGCGGTATCGAACGGCTCAGAGTAGACCCGTGTATTTTCTTCAGCTTCCAGTTAGTGACAATGGCTCGCCCAGCCTTCAAGAATACCCAACATTGTAACTTCCGGTCGGAGTGCATGCAGCCTCATACATCTCTCTTCCAACCAAAGCACTAGTCTGGTCAAGTTCAATACCCACGACTTGGTAGATGAGATCAGCTAGGGCCCTTGATGAAATGAAGTATATAACATCGAGGGGGCCCGAACACCAATTTTTTTCATGTGTAACGACAGGGAATTCCAATGGATGGGGCTGTATAGTATGCTTTCTGCGTGACATCGGTTGTTCAAGATGTATATCTCTGGCTGACAATTTTGATCAATAACTTTGACACTTCCAATAAATTCGTTGTTTTCAAGATTACTAAAGATCGACCCAGAACTCACATTTGTACCAACCACCATCAACAGAGATTCAAGTTATCTCAACACTGGGCAGCGCTACAAGTCCGAGTCAAAACCTATACAAAGCACAGCCACTTAGGGCTCTCCAAATCGAGTAATCTTCATGCAAACAACGCCAACAGCATAAACAGACCAAACCGCACAAACACCACAAATAGACACCCCAGCCTCGGCCCTCCGATCTTTAGTCCTTCCTTATCGCCACCCGCTGATACGACCGGTCCAGACCAGCCCCGCTAACCCCTCCGCAGCCTAGTGAGGGACAAACAACGAAAAAAAAAAAAAAAAAAAAAAAACCACTCGTTATAAGCCCGATCTTTTCCCCCTGAAAATTTCCCCGCATCACCACAACATTCGCTCTGACAGATTTGACTGACTCTGCTCTGACTCGACTCTGCAAACCAACACAACCACCACTTCAAGCAACCTCACTCACTCACTCACCATGGGAAACGTAAGCCATTTACTGATTTAACAGCGAAATCCGTCTTACTCGATGCGATGCAGTGCGGGTGAGACGGACTAGCTCTCTCAATATCATTCTCATTCTTGATTGCTACCCAATCTTGCAATCTATGCTGGGATTTACACGAACATGAACTAAACACATACGGGGATTACAGGGAGCCAAGGCCGCTACTAAGCGCGAGCGCAACGCCAAGGATGCTGCTAAGTCGGGCGGCAAGTCGCAGTTGAAGACTGTATGTATTACACTATCCGTGTGTTGAGGGGAGGGAGAGAAGGCGGCCAACCAGCCTACTTGGATACTCGTGGTGTGGATCTGGCGAAGGGGAGGAAGAGAAGGGACCCTCCGATGATGAAGATAAGGATGAGGATGGGAAATAATGATGATATGGCCAGTACTTACACACTCCCTCCTAGAACGAAACTGCCAAGGACATCATGTGCGTCATCTGCAGATCGACTTTCCTCAAGACCGCCCGCGCGCCGGCCCTCACGGAGCACGCCTCGAATAAGCACAGCAAGACCCTGCAGGACTGCTTCCCGAACTTTGTCGAGGTCGCGAAGAAATAGAGAGCCCGAGATGGACGGACAATCGATCGATCGATCGATTAGGGAGAAATGAGTGAGGAGAGCCTGGAAGGATTGATATGATATACATGGCGATGCATACAGCGAGTTTTTCTCAAGGGAAGGGGTTTCAGTAACAATGACGATGATGATGATTTCTTTTTGTTTCGTCTGTTTGTTTCCAATTGGAGTTGAGAGAAATACCAACATTATGAGCAAACAAGCACCGGTTTCTGGATAAAGAAATAGATTGATATCGACGGGTATAAACCGACAGAATAATAACGCGCGGATTCGAACCAGCTATCTACAACGGAACTTGATGTAATATGGATATATATCCTCACCACTCATAAACACCCCCTCTATGCACAAAACAACCCACATCCCCATCCCTCTCCCCCTCAAAATCCCCAACACCATCTCCCCAACAACCACCGGATCCCCGGCTCTCCCCCACCCGCCCATCGCCTCCTCACTCTCCCCCCTCAACTTACTCCTCATAAATCCAGGCGCCAAAACAAAGACCTTTAACCCCAGCTCCCCATAATCCCTCGCCTCCATAATGGCCAACATATTCAACGCCGTCTTACTGATCTGATACGCGTCCCCGGACTTGAAATGCGCCGCGTGCGGGACCTTCTGCGTCATCGCGTTCCGTGTGAGCGTCTTATCCCCGCTCCCGATGAAGATGGAGTACGGGTTGGACGATTTCAGCAGTAGCGGGCGAAAGGCTTCAGAGACGAGGGCGGGCCCGGTGACATTGGTTTCGAGACACGCTTGGAACCGGGATTGGGTGTCGGAGATGCCCATGCCGCTGACGCCGGCGTTGTTGATTAGCACGTCGAGATGACCGTATGTGACTTCGATGTGGGTGGCGGCGGCGGTGATGGATTGTGGGTCTGTTACGTCTATGGTCACGGTGGAAAGGGTTCCATCGTAGGGTCCTTCGGCGGAGATTTCTGAGACGGCCTGCTGGGCTTTTTCGTCGCTTCGGCTGGCGAGGATGACGTGCGTTGTTGTGGATGAGCGCACGAGCACTTTGGTTATCGCGAGGCCGATGCCGGAGTTGGCGCCTGGGGCTTTGTTAGTGCTTGCACATTTTCATGAAGTTTACGGAATTTCAAGGGGGGGGGGGGGGTTACCAGTTATAAGGATGATTGTAGAAGCCATAGTACAGGAAATGTTGGCTCTTGTTGCACTGAATGTCAAGATAGGGTTGAAGGTCTAACCACACCGTTATATACCACCCCAGGGGCGGCGATAAGAGATAGTGTCCAAACAATCCCGACAGGACACCGGAGATAACGGGTAAAAGCGGATCCGCTGGGGAAGGACAGATCCAGGTTTCCATTCTAAGGTGTAAAAATCTTGAGACGGTAGCTGGGGATGGTAAAAGTGGTAGGTGTTGATTAGGGCGACTAAATTACAGGATGCCTTAGAGTTACAAAAGCAAGTGGAAGTAAATGAAAGGGGGGGGAGGAAAGGAAAGGAAAGGAGGCACCCCCGGGCTCAAAGGAAGAGATGCAGCCTCCACATTTATTCACAACCAGCCTTCACTCTCACACGCCTCAAGAAGCTTAGATGTATAGGCTCGGAACCTCACATCCTCGGCAACAACCTTCTGGCAAAAATCCAACTCGGTCGGAAAACCCATTGGGAAAACAAGCGCTTCGTCAAAGCCAACGAAAAACACATCGTCATTGATAACCATTATATGCTGGGAAATGGGATTGGTGTGGACAACACCTGCAGCATGAATAGCTTTCAGACCTTTGTATGCCTCATCGGGAATCGACTCAAACATGGTATCTATTGTGAGAGGTTCTGCAGCATATAGCCATTCTATCAAGATGGCGCAGGGCTGCTCCTTGTCATTTTTAAATGTAAGGAGATGTTCACCATATGCGTCGGGGTCGAGATGTTCAAATCGCCCTTGGTACTCGGCAATCCAACCCCAGTTACTGACGTTCACGATTTTGAAGGCGCGGTATGCTTCGATCTCGTTTTTGTATCGGCTGACGCCGCGACTGTTCACAGAGAGTTGGGGGTCACCCATGTGGAACTGTTTGTTGTGTAAAATCACATGTCAGTAGTCAGTACATATCTGACAGATCTTTTGGATAGTAGTATTCACAAACCACTTTCAGACACCACTCAGCATCCTCATCTAATGGTATAGGATACTTTACATGGAATACCTCAGCGACTGCGGAGGTGTGTACCTTTTTAACAAACTCGAGACCCTCGTGTGATAGGATTTCGTGTGATGCAGTCATTGTCTTGGAGATGATTTGAGGTAAATAGAAAGAAAGCAGTAGTGAGTTTGGAACAGATAGTAGTTTTGACCAGATATAAGCAGGGAAGAGTAGTTGATGTGACCAGGTACAGGCGCGGGAGAAGAGGACAGAGATAAAGAAGAGCGTGGGGGAGAAAGAAAAAGATGATAGAAAGAAGAAGAATCAGAAATAAGAAGACCCTGTCTATATTCACCAGATTATATAATATATAGTGAATGGGTGGGGTACTAAAATAGATATAATTATTCACTTTAAGATATTTCCGAAATTTGTGCTCTAGTCTTAGACTCGGCGCACTGTTCCGAGTTTAAATCCTGTATCAGCATGATAGAAAGTAATAAATTATCTGGTTTAATATCAATAACATATAGTCTATCAACTCAAGGAGGAGATTAATAATAAACAACTAATATTAAATATATCAAAGCCTTTCTTGCCAGTGATTAAAGACTCCTGTGGCATGGGCTTTGTCTTATAGAAGTGCATCTATATTTTTCAAAATCACTTCTTGTTCTTCCGCAGTCGAAAAATGCCCTCCTCCAGATCCATCATCTCAATCCGCGAAATCATCATGCAATTGCGGCTCTGGCCTGAGAGAAATACACACCACTAAACTAGGACAATTTAACCAGCACCAGGGGAAGCCTGACCTTATCAATTCCCAATAGGCTAGATTCCCTATATTGGCTCCATGGGCAACTATACAGATGTGTGATTACCTCATGATTGGTACTGTACGTTGGAAGTGAATCCCTAATGGATCTGAAATACTTCCCTGATACTTTATTTGATACTCATGATGCCATGGAGGGACCTAAATAGCACAGGCTATCAGGAGCCCTGTCTGCAGATAGCGACCCAGAATGCATCCCACCGAGCTGGAGATCCAACATCCACCCTGACCTCCTCCAGCCACAGGTCCATTTTCTGTTGACGGCAAGCTTGCTGCCGATTGCCTCCAATCCATACCATTTGATGCCAGAAAGGGCACTCAATTTGTTGACGAGTTCCGCAAATTTGTTGAGTGGCAATCCACTCTCGATGTCTTGAAGAGTAAATTCTCTCTCCCCAGCCAAATACCATCCTCTGATCATTCACCTTAGACCCCCCATCGGAATACCTGTCTCCCGCTACCGATATCCTCGGTGGTCTGGATCAAACCCAGGCCCAGGCAGCACAGAGTAGCTATGACAGTCAAAGTTTGACATCGCCATCACATCACTGCTTAAATCTGCCAACAACAATCATCTGAGTGCCCAGCTTTGCTCTACATCCCTCTTCCTTTTTTCGATAGACCTGAGCCTGGTGTCTGTCTCGAAGGACGGACTTCAAGTCCCGCAAATATACGTCGTCGCAACGATGCCCAGCTGCTGAGTCAGGGTGTAGACAATGTCTCAGCCGTGGTCACTATCAACGATCGACTGGCAGTTGATGTGCTTGAAGAGTTTGCCAGCTCGCAGTCCTTCCAAGATCCCGATGCAAGGTAGCGCTTTCCACCAACACATCGTATACTTTTCTCCATTCTGACAAAATACAGATACCGCCAGCTCTTCTACTGTCCTGGTCGCGAAGTAACCGGCAATGATGCGAGGGGTGCCTTTGCTGCTCCCTCCCTGTGGCCTGAATGGACCCAGTACGAGATCCAGTTCGCAAACGGCACCAGCATCCAAACAGACATCGTGGCAAGCCTTGCTTCCACCTTCGGTGTGTTCGACTATACCACCGGCCGCTCCTTGCTAGAAGACAAGTGCCTTGTGAGCATGTCGCCCACCAATACCTCTTCTCCCACCCCCTCTCCCTCTCCATCCCCGTCCGCAACCGCAACCCCCTCCCCGCACCCTCCATGTACCCCGAGCCCGTGATGTGCGAAGACTACAACCTGCTGATATACCGAGAGTCTGAAAATAACTTAATTAACATATAGGACACAAATATCTGGGCAGCTTATTACTCTCTTTCAAGTAAAAATATCTTCCTCCCGGAGGGAGGGGGGGGATGAATTCCAGTATATCAGAAATATAATACTAATAAGATAAAGATATTATAACAGACTAGATACAGAAAATATTATCAAGATAATTTTTTTTTCTTAGCTCTTTATACTATTTATATTTATTCTCATCTTTAGAGATCTAATTTCTTTTTCTTATAGTACAGTTGCAATATAATTCTTTGATCAAATAAATATTATAAAAATAATATCAAAGATCTAATAAATTCTTACAGACTCTAATCTCGCAATATAAATAAGAGCAGTATATAAATTTCTTTTTATTAAATCCTGTTAATATAAGACACCAACCTAGGGGAGTTGTTGCCACTGAGCCAAAAGGCTAACATTACCCGCAGTTACCTGCGGACCCCTAGAATCCCATCATCTTGTCGATATAGTTGTTTGATATCAAATTATTTCAGACAAGCGAGCCCAGAAGCAAGTCTTCAGCTGCCAATGTTTAGAAATATACGGTATACGAATTGTTCAGCCCTCCCCCCCCCCCCCCCTCCCCCCCGGGTTCGAATCTTGGAGCGTTAGGGTTGCACGCATAGTAAATCTTACACGGTCAGATACAGGGATTCCTGATCCTTAGCCCTATGAATATACGAGAATTAATACTAATCATATCTTTTCAGCGCCCTTTAAGCTCCTCTATGGTAAGGGCGCTATGAGGTTACCCCTGTTCATAAATGTCACTGCTATCTTGATTGTTCGGGTTTTCTAAACATCATTCTAGAAGCTGGGGGCAACCATCTAGCTATGACAGCAGAAATACTCAATCACATACAGCTTTCTCAAGCACATTACTGCCGTCTCTAAGCACTATTCTATAAAGCTTTCCAATCTGGAGATATTGAATTCTCAACAGGGCAGCTCTATGGGCCCATGGCTATCTAGTTCGCTTGCTGCAGGCCCAGATGGAGTGACAGGCTTACCAACATCTACTGAGTCCGGCTTCATTGCCATTTCCTGCTGTTCTTTCGCGGCTGTATTCCTCTTCTTTCTCTTGCGAGATGAGACGCAATAATAGATAATACCCGCGATTAACAATGCACCCACCACACCACCTATAACAGCACCCACAATTGCACCTACAGATGTAGAATTGGATTTCGATGAAGCGGATGATGAGGACGCAGAGGTGGATGTTGGGATAGCCCGGGTGGGAGAGCGGGCGGGAGGGAGATATGTGCGCTGGAAGTAGGTCTGCAGATCAGGATTATCAAATCCATGCGACGGTGCTCTCACACTGGCACCCCCAGTGGCGCTAGGTGAAAAGTCAGTCATTGTGCTATCAAAACAGGGTCATATACATACGATCCTCCGATGGCTGATATTATGGCGGATGGCACTTGATAGGTCGTGATATTCGGCCTGAATATGAACCACTTGGCCTTCTGAGAGTTCTGCTGCCCTAGGTCCAGATTGTGCATTCCGTAGTTCGTTGGGATATCGCAGGCTGTGGAATTCGGGAATGTGCCACCCATGATGCTGCTTTGGGGTCAGGAGGTGAATTAAGAACAGCTTCCAAGAAAATTTTTTACGTACATCATTTGCGCCCCGTCGATTACGTTACAAGTCATTGAATGATGAGGGTAGTCAGCCCCGGGAGTAGTAGGATACCTGGTTGCATCAATAAGCTGTTTGCAAATGCTACAATGAAGTCTGAAATCTTACCACTTAATCCACGTAAACGATGGGAGGGACAAAATATAGACATCATCGAAGGCATTGCCAGCAGTCGCCGCAAGACCACCATATAGATATATGTTATAGGAAGACAGGTCCTGAGCCCAGGTAACGCCAGCACAAAATCTTCTTCTGTTCTCCGGGATCTGGCCGGTCGCCTTTTGGAAATACCACTTGTCATTCCCGATGTCATACAGCAGAATGTCCTGATGGAGGTCAGATTTAGGCACGTCACTTAGAGGACTGGATATCAGATACACACATCCATATCTTGGCCAATGATTGTGTTGTTAGTATATGGTGTCTGTACGCCACCAAAGTACACCAACATGCCTCGGTCGCTTGCCGGAATGTAAACCATCACCCCTTCGGCGCGGCCCGTCGAGTCTGGGCCTGACGAATTGGACCACGTGTTTTGCAGCATGTCATATTCGAGGAAGGAAGACAACGCCATGGGGCGGTTGGAGCCCCAGCCTGGAACAGACGCATTTGACAACCACCCACCGTAGTAGTAACCGGTTGCGCCATCCTGCACCGCGATACCACCCCCGTAACTCGCCCGCTGGATCTGTCCCTGCGACGGATCGGCTTTTATGATATTCCACCGGTTGTATATGGCATCGTAAGCCCACCCGGAAAAGGACTGTGGGGAGCCCTGAGTAAACTCGCCGCCGTAGAGGTAGAGCATCTTGTTCACCGTATCAGCCCACAGGACTCCTCCGCTCACGTCCGGCGCGTCCGCTGGTTTGGTGAGATTATCGTATTCCTGGGGCATGCCATTGTTATTAACGTCCAGGTCTGCGTACAGTAGGTTGGGGTCTACGCAAGGTAAGATCAGTTAGCGATGTTTATGGACATGTAACAGGATTGAAGGGTATACTTGAGTAGTTCCGAGGATTTTGAGTCAGAGGGTTATAATTCACAAGGCCACCGTCGATGTAGAGGCTGGGACGGTCAGTAAAGTGAAGTTGAAGGTCAGGAAGGAGGCCGCACTTTCTATCAATTACAGCAGTCTGTTGTCCAAATCGTCTGCAGAAGTCTTGCAGGGGGTCCTTCTGCTGTTGGATCGACAAATCGACCAGCAACGCCAGGGTGAGTAACACGATATTCTCGGTCGCCATCCGGACAGTGCTTCATACTAGACGACGACAGCATGACCCGTAAAGGATTTCTGTAGAAGCCAGGGAAATGATCGCGTCGCCACGAAAGATTCTCCGGCCTTCAACGCCGCCCCTCTGAGAGCGGGGCCATGATGTTTGTTGAGATGGGTCAATGTGACAGGGATCCACTGCATGCCGGTTTCACAGGTGGCTAAACAGCCACAGTTCGGAGGGTTTCAATTCGGCGACTGTTTCTTTTTCCTCTCGCGTATGCGCCACACCTAATATCTTCCGATCGTGGCCCTCTATTCGACGGCTGCCGTATAATGTGGGCGTTGAAGTAAAATGCAGAACTGAGGAAGAAAACGCGAATGGCAACCCTTTACCTAGCTAACGAGGTTGTGAGAGCTTCTCCAAGTTGCAGAGGGGGGGGGGTTCGCTTGGAAGCAAGAGTAGAGGAGGAAGTAAGGGGACAAGGGAAGACTGCAGTCAGCCGCAATCACCTGACAGTGGCTACACAGTAAGACATGCTGGCTCTTCACTCACCGATCGACTTCCACGTCCCAGTCCAGGCCCCAACGGCCCTATCCCATCCAAATCCTCATTAGGTATGTGATGCCAACTGCCGGGATAGACGTTCAGCGATTACGGAGCTGCAAACTGATCGCTTGAGAAGGGTAAAATGTGAACAATGTTATACCATTTGAATAAAGCGGCAACGTTGCATGCTCTTTTGGTGTGTGGTATTCTGGGCCATCGGGAGGTTGCATTATCTCCCCTCCTCGGGGAATATGTGAGTGGTGAGACAGATTTCAATAATTCTACCTATCCAGACCAAATGCATGGTTGCACATAGTATGCTCTTAGCCACTGAAATGCGATTCAAGGAACTATCCCTGCCATAGGTGCATACTCGCTATTATGCACAAGGATAATCCAATTTAAGTAGTGGTGGCGGCAAGCTATCATTGCGCGACATTTAGAGATATGGGCCATTCAAAATTCATCGTTTTTACCTGCTGAAACTACTGCCAGTTTATCTGTAAGTACAACTTGCCGCAGAGGACAAACAAGCGCTGTGATTAGACACGCGATATCTTACAGAGCTCCAGAAACTCAACAATCTGGACTTGGTAACTACCTCCTTCACCAAACCCTCAATATATCAAATATCTGAGTCTTCATAGTGTTAGCCGGTCTTACATCTGACGCTCCAACAACACACTACCTTGATATCAACTACACGAGCCTAGATAAGACAAGTCAGCACATCCTTTCATATGCTGTAGCCCCGACAAGAGGGCACAATAAACACTGCCACACTTTCTTGTATGTATGGCTCACTATATACTTATTCCATCTCTTCAGCCGACCAATGGTGCAGCTGAGAGGCTGGTATGATAATGAAAAATATCTGAAACGCTCGAGCCTGGGAAAAGCACCCAAACCGAGATGCTTGCTACGGACGGACAAATCTCGACAATCGTGTTTGACACAGTAAAATGTGGCATGTGTTCTGTCCACCATATAGCGAGCACTTTACAGCAATAAATCTTTTTTTTGAGGAACATGGCCGATATATCGATATTGTCTACCGCTTATCTCAATAATAAACGTATAGATGAATCAACGTGTTTGAGTGACTGGGATCGCTGGGATTGCATCGGATATTGATATGACCTATCTCACCACCTGCAGCCATCTCACCGCAACCGCCTCACCAAACGCCTTGCCAAAGACGGTCTGGCGCGGAGCTTTCCCTTGTTTTATTTTCTGCGTCGGTCCTTCCCGGTTCTATAGATATATAAACACCATCTAATCCCTGCAATATCACTTGTTATCCCATGATGTTCCTTACTCGCTTTGATAGATTGCTCGGGTTGTCATCGGTGATTGAGATGAACGATGCCAATGCGGATGTTAGCTACTATCTAGGGGTAAGGACACCATTATATGTGAGTGATTTTGTTTCACAAATCATAATACGGGAGGTGTCACACAGGATGCTTTTTGGTCAAGGACATCAAGGATCTAAAAGTTTAGAGACAGGGTGAAATGCGATTGACAGTCACCCCCTACACCTTGACCTGGCCCTTGAAGATTGTAGAAGAAAGCTCGAATATCACGTAAAATCGCAAATGATATTGAGGAAGACTGTGTCACCAGCAGGTTGTTTTAACCTATAGCTGTCAGCAGGCAATGCAAGGCGCTGGTAGGCCTCTCATACGGCGTATCAAAGTCAGCAAAGCCAAACTGTCCATTCAAGAAGAAGGTAAATCCTGCGAAGATCTGGATGGCAATGATATGTTAGAACATCCATCTTCATTCAACAGTGTTTGACTTTACTATCTCGTCTGTCCACTTTGGCGTGACTCGAACTAACTGCCTGTGATGTGCCAATAAAAATAGCGGGTATGGCGCTACCCCTGTACACTAATATCAACGGCTGTGTCGACCTAGGCGACAATGAGGGGTACTCCGCCGATGGAAATCCGTGCGCTAGGGAGGAGCAGCAGACGCCGCTGTAAATTCACATAAGTGCAATACTTAGAGAGAAACCGGGGTCGCTGCTATACCTCCTCGAAGTCATTTAGTTTCTCTTTTCCAAGCCCAGAAGGGTGGTTGTAAACAAATTTCAAACTCCAGAACGCAAGTCGCGCTTTATTTCCGTCACATGTTGCTTACATGGCTCTAATAAGAGACAGTGAAATTGTTTCCCCGGTGACCAGCGCTCTCAAGAAATTCGGTGAAAGGGTTATCAGTGATTACAAGCAGATCATCAAGCTATTCAAGGAATTCACACATGGTGGCAGGATTTTGCCTTTCCGGAATGGCAAAAACGATGCAGCGTACCAATGTCGAATTGACATGGGAGAAGAGATAAAGGACAAGCCAGGCTATCACAACGTATACCTCCAAGTGGATAGCCAAGCAAAGAGCGAAGGACTCAAAGACTGGCTGCGAAAAAGACCCGCATGGGAACCTCGCAACAGCTCAGATGAACAGAAATACCCCCGAAGAAGAGCAATCTGAGGAGGGCAGGCGAGTGCTGTCAGAGTTGATTGAGCAAGCGAAAAAGGAGCTCTAACTCATGGCTACAAGAGTCAAGTGCTTTCAGGGGGGAAGGGCCACTTCTTCAAAGCCTCATCAGATGAAAGCTCCTTGTTCATCGTGTTCATGTACATATCAAATAGATGCTTGTTCATCTTTCTTGTCTCTTCCCATCGATTAACTGGTACCCAACCAGTGTTGTCGGTACAGAGCTGAGTCGTCACAATATCCCAGAGATACAGCATATCTTGGTGCAGGACCAACTGCTCACTATGCATCTTTATTTCTTCTTCATTGAATTCGAAAGGACAGCTACCCGGGAGACCGAGAAGAGCCCAATCCTCGGATATTCGGATCAGAGAATTGCGTAGCGGGACAATGCTGCCATTCGAGAAAGGATGGCAAAGTGTGAAGGGCTCCCATAGTCTTTGGTCAAGACCCATTGCATTATAGACGCGTTTGTTATATGCAAGACAGGACATCTCATAGTATTTAGACTGGGATACCAATTTCTTTTCCTTTGCGGCTTGTTCCTTCTGTTCGGCATTCGGCTCATCAGAGACTGCTGACAGGCCAGGGACCTCAGTTCCTGAGACGTAGCTCTTTGGCGGCCTTAAAAATTCGGGAAATCGAGCTTGTAGGAAAAGCGGCGCAACTTGAGAAGACTGCCAATCAATGATCCCTTCAACGGTAGTTGGGCTATCTGGGGAAACAAATATATTCCCCAGGTGTAGGTCAGTATGCCAAATAACTGGATCTGCCCCTTCCACCACACGCGGATCACGCGAAATAATCGGAAGGACATCTTCAGCTTTTTCTAAAAGCTCACTATACTCCTCGACAGACTGCCTCTCATCGAATCGATTGAGACGATTTTGCACCTCGTTCTTCGAACACGCGACGAGCTCTGATTCCCTTTCTGGAACCGATAGCGCAAATTCCGGAAAGGATGTCCCTACGGATCATCAGTGATCGGAATATCGGGTTGATAAGGTAGCCACGTAACTCACATGGGCCGTTATTGCGTTTGGTTGTAGAAAGACCTCCATTCCACTTAGCTCGACTACAGAGCGGTCCGATGTAGAATAGCCCTTCGGGGTCCAAATCTGAGGGAAGTAAATAACGATTGGTTCGATGGACTGTGGATGCCCGCATGTAAAGGCTTCCATATGCCGGAAACTTCAATCCCTCAAGCTCTTTCTCCATCTTAATGATTTGGTCGATTATTTTGTAGCGGTCCAGGGTGTTCATTGCGTCCCATCTTTCGGAGAGTGCAATCCCCCGGATCCTCTCCATGAGGATGTATTCTGCGCCCACAGGGTTTGTCGGATCAGAGTTCCAAGCGAATACTTCTGGAACTTGAATCGAAGTGTATGACCGCACTAAAGGGGCTCAGTATGGTCTCCAAGGGAGTGAGATTGGCGTTGGCATGAATACATACAAAATTTCAGCGTAGCCACCTCAGATTCCGTTGTCAGCGACGTAGCACCCGCATTTGGACAAGGGATCTTTGCAACAACCTCCTTGCCATCATCCATCGTAATAAGAAAGGCTTTGTTAAAATTCCCCTCCATCTTCATAATATGAGCGCATTTCTTTGAGTTGCCAAACAGCGAGGCAGCCTGGCGACAAAGGTTATCAATGTTGAACTTGACATAATGTTGCTCCATCTGGTCTTGTTCATTGATTAGCCACCGACCTGATGTATATCTGTAAATCAATTATTCATCAACCACTCTGAAGAGATCTATGAAATATACATGTCAGTCACATATACCACTCTACCAAATGAATTTCACGAACTGGTTTCTTTCATAGTATGCTCTTTCGGTGGCATTGCCAGACTGAAGGCCCGTTTCAGCCTCAAAGTTACATCTCGAAAAGGATCGACCAACATGCTGCTTCCAAAGCGTTGACTCAGGGGACGAATAAACGTTTGTTTCCACATTATTTACTCAGAGGCAATCTCCAATGACGGTGACAATTGCCTGCTGATGGATCAACTCCCTCGTATGTGTTTGGAAAACATCAGCTGAAGGGGCGTCAATGACGCTAGAAAAAATCAATACGTAATCTTAGGTATTCATAGATATAATTTAAATGGCTATTGGTTCATGTCGGATGGAATCCAGTAATCGGGGTCCATACACTTGTGGTTGCACAACATTGAGTAAATGAAGACCGCGTCTCGGAGGAGAGGCTGGGATATGTCGGTCCGTGGAGGCGGTCAACTAGGCGGTATGTGTGCGCTCTTTCCTTGGCAAACACCCCGCGTTACCGCCAGCCAATGAAAAGCCCCGGCGTCTCGCACCTTTCCTGTTTTGGAGTAACATCGACGCGGCGGCCCCGGTATCAACAAAATCCAAAATGTAGAACCAACCTCTTGCCCATGTTCAACGTAGTAGGCCAAGTCTAATACACATCCAACATGCTCGATGTCATTTTCGTCACCGGAAATCAACACAAGGTATCCGAGGTAAACGCCATCCTAGGGGATACCGTCAATCTTCAACCCGTGCCTCTTGATTTGGATGAGATCCAAGGTACTCTGGAAGAGATTACTCGGGACAAATGCCGCCTAGCTGCTGAAAAGGTACGAAATCTTGAGTGCTTTATTAAGGAAAAAACATTCTAAATAGCTTTTTGCTATAGACCGGGGGCCCCGTTCTCGTTGAGGACTCTGCACTCGAGATGCACGCCCTGAATAGGCTCCCGGGACCATATGTGTATGTTCTCCTCCATCCTGTGTCTTGTGTATGATGAGGCAGATTCTCATCCTATCTTGCTTCACAGAAAGGCTTTTGTGGAATCGGTAGGAAATGAGGGTCTGTGTAAGATCCTTGATTCATTTGAGGATAAGACCGCGGAAGCGGTATGTACCTTGGGGTATTCGGCAGGGCCGGGAAAGGAGCCAGTTCTTTTTCAGGGGAGACTGGTGGTGAGCTGAAATATCCATGGCAAGCAATGATGGGGCTGTTCTAACTGAAGTAGGGTCAGATTGTTCCAGCCAGGGGTAACTCATCCTTTGGTAAGTCTGTAAAAAGAGCATGCTGGTTATCAATCGCTAATTGTGAAGGCTGGGAACCGATATTCGAAGTCGAAGGCGAAACGTTGGCCGAGATGAGTCACCCGAAGAAGGTAATTCCTCCATTCATCCCGCAGTTTATTCGAAGACTCTGCTGATGTAGTGTATAGAATGGACTCTCCCACCGTTTCAAAGCTGTGTCGAATTTCAGAGAATGGCTGCGTGAAACACAATTGCTTCTGTAGTATTTCCATCTCGATGCGCTGACATATACCCACAATGCTTTACGACGGCTTTCAGGAATAGAAACATAGATCTTAGAACATGGCATATAGGAGTCTAGAAAGTGTATAAGTTGCAGACTTTTAAATCATTTTTACTTTGGCTGTTCCAACCCTCAATGCCTGACATTTATTCTAAATTTGGATCTTAATTCAATGACTACTTTCGAATCCAGTCTCATTCAGTATCACGCCTACTTAGGTGTCTGGACACCTTTTTAGCCGAATGAACTCCAATTGGTTTTCGGCGCCGAAGATAACCGTCTGGGCCTAGTTCCGGCCGGCCTGAGTCACCACCATTCCCTATAATTAGAAGGGCCAAAAGCCCCGCCCTTCTTTGATGTCATCAACGACAACCCACAACATTATCCTAGTCATACATGCTCTATGCGATTATTTATGTCCTCTCAAGGTCACTAACTCCCGCCAATTTCTCCAAATACACAACCACCGCCAAAACATGTCCCTCCCTACAACCCCCCAAACCTGGACGCGGGGCCCCTTCCTCATCTCCACAGACTCCCAGCTCCTCTCTCTCGCATCCATAAACGATGCCTTCGATCAAGACTTCATGTACTGGACCAAGCCCTATCCAGAGGAAATTCTCCAAACCATAATCAACAACTCCTTTTGTTTCGGCCTGTACGAGGTCAACGAATCCAAGCCCCGCCAACAAATCGGATTCGCTCGCCTCATCACTGACAGAACGACATTCGCATATTTATCGGATCTTTACGTCTTGCCGAAGTATTGGGGCCTCGGACTGGGGGGGTGGGTTATTGATTGTGTGGATGAGGTGTTGGTTGATTTGCCACATCTGCGGTGGACTATGTTGAGGACGGGCACGGAAAGAAGTAAACAGGCTTATGAGAAGAGGATGGGGATGACTGTGCTTGGTATGAAGGATATTAGCGAGGGACCGATTATGATGGGGAGGAGGGGAAAGGGGGTGGGGGCTTGATGGGGTTCGCTTGGTTCTGTATAGGTATGGAAGAGGGGTTTGACAGAATATCCACTCCACTCATTCTTTGTTGGAATACTAATGCTTTGGATGAGGATTTTCTGCCAGTGCCACCCATCTATATCATCATCTTCAAATTTGTCCGATTTCCCCGATTTCCCCAATTTCCCCAATTTCCCCAACTTCTGACATTGGAGAATCTATTCAGTCCCAGCAAATCAACTATCAGCAGTAACACAGCAAGTTGTGGGGAAGGCGGGGAAAGATGGGGATCCGCAGGTTGGCGCGCCACCTTGTTTTGCATAGGCGAGCGCCCACCTATAAATCAACCTGCCAGTCTCAACTCCGACCATCTATAAATCCGCGAAACAACAAACCAAGCCACTCTCAAATATTCCCAAAGTCTGTCCACCCGAGGAACAGTATGTTGTCCCCCGCACTAGTTCTTTTCCTCACCTGTTACATCCTCGCAACCGCCTTCTACAACATCTTCCTCCACCCCCTCCGCACAATTCCCGGTCCACCCCTCGCAAAAGTCTCTCATCTATGGAGTCGGATTGGAAACCGCAATGGTCGCAAATCCGAGCGGATTCACCAGGCCCATCTTCGCTATGGGCCGGTTTTGCGGATCGGGCCGAATGAATTGTCATTTGCGGAACCGGCTGCTGTGCGAGATATTTACTGCTCGGATGCGTTTGTCAAGGATGGGTCTTTCTACGTATGAACTATGAGGACTTCATTGGCATCGCTTATTATGTATACACTAATGGCATCCGGGTCCAGCGATCAAAACTCATATTTCACGAGAATCATTTATTCTCTACTCGGTAGGACTTCGATTCTCTATCGCATTCGGTGACCAATTCTGACAGCAGCGTGTAGGGATGTGGAGGCACATCGACAACGACGAAAGCTGTTCGCTCGCGGATTCTCACAGGCGGCAATGCTGGACTTTGAGCCGATTATTTCTGCGAAAATCGATACCCTGTTGGAACAATGGAAGACTATGTCCGTCAATGGTCCGGTTGATGTCTATCCGTGGGTACATTGGCTCGGCTTTGACGTTGTGTGTAGGTGCACGTACTTTATTCTATGCAGTCATTGGTCTCTAATATACTTCAGACCAGCTCCTGTTTGACGAGGATCCCGGACAAGTCACTTCTGGTCGTAGCCATGAAGTAATGGCATATCTTGAGGCTTGGAAGCCGACTTACATATACGTGAGTACTTGTATTGTTTTTGTGCTTCATATTCTAACTCCACCAAGAAAGAACTCGTCCCCCACTTGGATAAATATTGGGTGTATGTCCCAGGATACATAGGAGGGTACTTCAGAAAAGTGCAAGCATGGAAGAAATATTCAGTCAATCTGATCCAGAAGTCTCGCGAGAGGGGCACCAAAACCCCTTTCCTTCGAACCGTCCTATATGGAGAAAACGATAATTTCCTCGGACGACCTCTGACAAATTCCGAGCTGGCGGAGGAGTGTATGGCTGGCATGTATGCTGAACTCCCGTCCTGGTCGAGGTTTGAACTCCTTCTAATATAGGTAATTGCTGCAGGTTCGCGGGAAGTGGAACCACTGCCAACTCATTTATCTTTCTCCTCTGGGCTTGTCTAAGGAAGCCAAATGTTGTGGCAAAATTGAAATCTGAATTGCGCGAAGCGTTCCCTGATTCTTCTGTTGTCCCGGACTATCGAGTGAGACACCATTACCTGATCAATTATGTATACCAGTCAGCTAAGACACAATTAGACATGTTCCGGCCTACCCTACCTCCAAGCTGTTATCTCCGAGTCCCTCCGCCGATACCCCGTCGCCATTGCCATACTCCCAAGGACGGCAATCAAGGACACCTTCGTCGCGGGTATTCCAGTTCAGAAGGGAGTGAGTCTCTTCTGCCCACTTTCTCTCCCACAACCCCGTTCTCACGTCAGCAGACCACAGTTGGAACCCAAAACTACACCATCCACTTCAACGAACAAGCGTTCCCCACCCCTGAAGAATTCCGACCCGAGCGCTGGTTTGATACGGAAAATGAGGCTCTCCGCAAAGAAGCCTGGGCGCCTTTTTCTATGGGCTCCAGGAAGTGTATCGGTATTAAGTAGGTTTCCACCTTTTATCTGTATCTGATGCCGCCTTTTTTCGTTTTCTTTTTCTTTTCTTTTTTTTTTTTTTTTTTTTTTTTTTTTTTTTTTTTTTTTTTTTTTTTTCTGCGAGAGTGCTAACAATTGTAGCCTGGCGCAGATGGAGCTGACAAAGTTGGTTGCAACGTTCTTTCGTCGCTTTGAGGGGACTGTTGATGACAGTATCACTGAGGCAGATATGAGGATGTATGATGCTTTCACGGCGGCGCCTGCGGCGCAGAAGCTGTTGGTTCAGTTGTGGGAGACGGCTGAGTAGTTGGGCCCGGCATAGTGGTAGATACATTACAACATGATCTGTCAGTGTTTAAAGACACTATGTATAGGATCGATTTGCCCTTCAACGAGGAAGCCGGTTGTAGACTAGATGAATCTTTCCAATCAGCGCTACCTATAACACCTCCCGGACAGAATCCTAGAAACAGAGGTGTCAGGAGCACCGTCATTCAAAAGCCCATTAGAAGCCACTCAGGTAGAGTGGTTTTTTTCATGCTAAATATCCAATTAATCGGCTGCCATTATGACAATATAAACTAGATCTGAACAATGTGGTTGATATGCTTCCGGGTATCTTCCCGAACCAAGAACATGTTGTAGCCGGGCCGCAAGTGGAGCTTTCCTAGCGCACAAAAAAGTGGCACCTCATATCAACTGGGTCCCATAGCTCAGTTGGTTAGAGCGTAACGCTAATAACGTTAAAGTCGAGGGTTCGACCCCCTCTGGGACCATCTCTTTTTTGTTTTTATTTCTTGATCTCCCTTCGGGTTCAGTCTGTTCCTCAGTATCACTTCTACACCACGGATTGCTAAGGGCCATATGGAGTGAGTGCTCTAGCGGCCAATACAGTCTTTCGCCCCATTTTTGGGGCAGTATTTCCTCTCTTTGGACATACCTGTACGAGGGCTCGGAGTCGCATGGGGGTCTAGCCTGTTGGGCTTTGGGGGACTAGCTTTTGCTCCTCTTCCGTGGGTGTTTTTATTATTCCGAGTCTCGGATCCGGATGAAGAGCAAGTATCATCGGATGATTATGGAGAGAGAGTAATCATTGGCATTCTGAAATAGGCCAAAATTTCAATGGCGAATATTCCCCACAAGACAGCGACTAGGTACTGATCATGCTATACAAAAAAATGAATGAGAGAAAGTCCAGTAACACCACACTCAATGTGGGTTTGAGCATGCTTTCAAGAAAAGGCGTTGTTTTGCAGTAAGAGTCAAGGAGGCAATGAGAAAAGGATCGGAGGTTTAGGCATTGGAAAGATATCTCCGCCATGTTTCAGAAATGATCAGCCATCCCCCGTAGAAAAATAGGCCGGAACTCATAGAGAAGAGGTATAATGGGAGATGAAACTGCAAAGAGGCTATTCATCGAAAGCAGGAGAAGCACATGACTCACGGTCACACCAGTGCGCCTAAGGCCATCACTTCTCGTTCTGCTCCTCGCATGGGCCCAACCGCACTTCTTACACCTCGCTTCACTCTTGTGATCACAGCAGCTCCTCTCTTCTTTTCTATGTTTACAACACAGTCACACTTCCTGTCATAGATGGCAGAAATTTCTCCCTTGCAGCTCCCAATCTGGTAAGTAGTCCCCTCCATGAAGCACTTGCTGAGGCTCCATTGCAGCACTAAAAGATTGTTTTGCCGATGCGCATGGGGGCTTGTGAGGTTTTCTTTTCTTTTTTTTTTCAATTATGCTTACAAGCCATTGGCCATTGAAAGAACATTGTGATAGCCTTCCGAGTCCCCTCCTGTGCGACGAAACAACCCAATCCCAGCCGCAGGACCAGTTTCGAGCAACGAGCAACTGCGGGCCCTCTTTGCAAGCTGGCATGCATGTTCAGCCACAAAAGGCTACAGTCGAGGGACGGGAGATGAGGTGGATATGTCCAGTCACAAACGAGCCGATCCATGACCCGCATGCATCCAGGGATCAGCATATATACAATGCTTGGTGTCCCAAAACACGAGCCCTTGGCGTCTGAGCTGCGCAATTGCATCTTTAGCGACGAGACGACGAGGGGGTTATATACCGAGAGGGCTGGCGGGCGGACATGCGAGCCTTGGGGTTATTCAGCCATTGCGGTAGTGTCAGTATCTCCTGGAGGACAGCTGAGATATATTTTGTGGCCAGAGACTATGTGATTTTTTTTAGATTTATCACTTTCTATGGGTCTACTGACCTCTATACGTTTTCACGTCAAAGGGCATACTTCCTGCTCTGTGTGGCCTCCAAGTATGGCGTCCCCACGTACTTCCGATGAGTACAATCCGGGACTATCACCCCACAATACTGATGTTCAAAATGGCGCAATTCTCACTCTGGGTACGAGGCTGTTCTGGTGAAGGCTCTTTTCGTATCGAGTCCTGGTCAGCTAAGTTAATTACAGAAGACGAGAACATACGGAATAGTCCGCCTACGCGTCCTCGACTCTTGAAACAAGAATATGTCCCTACAAGGCGGCTCTACCAATGGAATTCGACTAGGGCCAAGTCGGTTAAAAAGTTGCCCCTTCCACTTACTACATTAAAGGGGATTCATACAGCCGCAATCGCGGGCAGCTGCAGCGCTGCCATTGGTGCCGCTTGCCATCCGCCACCAGGTGGTCATGACGCCGGTCTGAAGCCGGTGATCTGGGGTGAAGTGCCAGACGAACCAGAGTCTATGTTGATATCGGAAGGAGAGAGAGAAACAGCACCAACCAGGACAGAGCAAGGATACATCCGCATTGCACCTTCACTTCATATGAAGTGATACCCCCGAGTATCGGACACTCTTATGGTTGAGAGTGGAGGTTATGTCCTAATGAACAGCCCAGTGCGTCTTTTTGCAGGACAATACTGGAGAGACTGAGGTGTTTTATGACAACCCTTGACATGTATCTATCCTCTTCATAGGTAGTAGATAGAAAGAACTACGGTACCATTCCGCGAAAGGATTTTTTATGATTTTCGGTTCGGGGTGGGCACCATGAACGTTAACAAGACGAGCCCTTTCTTGGCTGCCCAAAAACGCTTCGCAAAAGCAACAATGTACCGTTTTCTTTGCCCCCAGCATTCAAAAAAACACGGCAGGTTACAAAAAAGAAAAAGAAATGGTCCCAGAGGGGGTCGAACCCTCGACTTTAACGTTATTAGCGTTACGCTCTAACCAACTGAGCTATGGGACCCGATTGATATATTTTGCTCAATGTCTAGTGCTCTATCAGCAAATACACGTACTTTGTGCTAATTCCCTAGCGAGGACAGTGGGATTCAGATCTCGGACGCCTTTTTTCAATAAATGGATTTGGTAGCAGGGGAAATTTTCCTTGTAAGATTTTTGTATGTAAGTGGGGCCTGTAGATAGCTTTTCTATCTTTCCCGAAGAAAGATTGGTGGGAATCAGAAATCAAGGCGTCAGGAATGAATTAGTTATTATGGTGCGGAAACAAACCGTATATAAATCCAACAACTGCCAGGTATCCGGATATAGTACTTATAGTACATCCAAGGCCGTGGCAGGGAAGTCTGATACATCACAACACGAACACAAAGTTCATTCTCCACCCCCAAAAGAAACAGGGAAATAAAGTAAATTACATATTTACCACAGAACAAAATCTATTGAAGCCAACGTATCCACCAAAATCTTACAATGCGCCCTCCGATCATCCACCAAAGCCCGAAACCCCTTCTCGACAACCTCATCCAGCCTGATTCTCTGCGTGATCATCTTCTCGAGGTTCGATTGACCTGACACACCAAATACTGTTAGAACCAACTACTATCTCATACCGAGCCTCATTAGGAAAAGAAGCGTGGAGAAAAGCAAGACAGAAAGAACGACTCATCAGACTCCACCGCGCCCATCACCTCCACCTCCCGAAACGCACTCTTTATCATACAACGCCGACCCCACATACCTCACCTCCTCATACATAAGCTCATTAACCCTCGGTGCGGGATTTTTCTCTCAAACGGTAACATTCCTAATTGTGCCGTGGACACGACACGCACCGATCGCGCCGTTCAGGGTACTTTCCACGCCGGTGGTGTCGAAGACGATATCCGCGCCAACCCCGTTGGTTAGACTGCGCAAAGTGCTAGGGATGTCGACTTCGTGCGGATCCAGGATGTGTATTGCGCCGTAGTCCCGCGCGAGGGTTTTGCGCGAGGGGAGGAGCTCGGCGACTGCGATGGCGGTGGCGCCGTGGAGGGTCAGGATCTGCACCAGGCTGATGCCAACGGGGCCGCCACCGATTATGAGGGTGTCGGTGTTGGCGTTGCTGGTACGGTTGGGGTCGAAGGGGGAGGTGGTCACGGCGTGCCAGGCGACGGCGAGAGGTTCGATGAGCGCGGCGGATGAGAGGGAGATGGACGGGGGAAGCGGGTAGTTTTCTCGGGGATGAGAATTGGGCAGGGGCTACTGGTGCAATGAGGTATACCTTCACCTGGCCTTTGTCGCATACGGGCTCTTCAATCTCCTCCACTCTTATGTCGCCCCGACGAAAGCGCGCGGCTTTCATGACAGGCGTGGCTTTGAGAGTGGTTCGAAAGGTGTTGACGGTGTCAGTTGCAGTATTAAGCATTTTGGCTTTCGAGGTCTGTGGCCCCGATGATTCTCAAAGATAAATTGGGTGTGATTCATTCGGTAGCTGTGGCTGCTGTTGGATTTTACAATTGACGAGGGGGATGGCCAAGGGACTTGGCTACTTGTTTAAAGAGTTATTGCGACTGAAGCGAGTGCTATGCCGACCTGAAAGATATGGTGATGAGGTCCATTAGACGAGAATGCAATAGAAAAGTACAAAATCAAGGATACGAGCCGAAGATGTCAGGGCAGTGTGATTGATCGGTGTATGCGACTGTGGCCATAGCGAGCCCGATTAGATCAAGGACATCGTGTCTGTCCATCTGACAACCATTACACCACCGAGGTGTTGTATCGCCTGCGTTGGACAACCCCCATGTTGTCAGCCTCTCACATCACCGTATATCAGACCCCAGGAGCAGCCAGCTGAAGATTTGTCGGATTCGGGGCCCGACGACCAATCCGAATTCCAGGTAAAATTTGCACGATGGCGCGAGCTTCAAAGCAACCAAGTTTCCACAAGCGGCATGGCTTGGGATAGCATCAGGGGAGCGTTCCCATTTGCGGGGATCCACGCAGTGGCGTCATCCCCCGGAGTCCGAAACCTTGGCTGATATCAAGTTCCGCAGCTGTAACACGGGAGGGATCAACGATGATCTGTACTACCATTGGGTTAGCGCTTACCCGATCGAAGGGAACGGCTTCTGACTGACTTCTAGAAGGTTGTTAAGGCGATTTTGGATAGTAGCGCCAGTGATCTGGCCCCCAAACCATGTACTTTCTGTGATGTTGCGCCAGATCTGACTGAACAAATCTCATCCCTCGAATCAATCCTCCCCCTCACGTTGCTGTTCGATAAACGCCTTTAGGATGGATTCTAAGCCCTCGTTACGGCGAGCCAGCAGCATCACGTCGGCAACGGTGACCGTTGAACGACCGGCATGCCTAGATAGGAAATACCGAGCATATCAGTACAATTCAAGCCACCCCATCCACATTCAACAAAACTCGCCATAGAAATCAAGGCAGGCAACAGGCCCCCTGAGTCAGAACCCGGGGACTAAGACTAGGAAAATCGTGACCTACTTCGCAAAAGACTCCAGGTCTTGGCTGACGGTTTCTGTTCGATGAAGTCAGCCCGGGGAACGGGATGGATGGCAAAGCAAAAGTCCCGTCATCCACGCCATCGAAGGTACAGGGAGTAGCGAATTGTAGAGATGGAGGTGCGTATCGTTAAGAGTCAAGCACGCGTACGAGTCCGACATACCTATCTGAGCCCAGACCAGTTCCGTCAACGCCGCGATGAATTGGGGAGTGGCGTTGGATCCAAGCCTGATGGTTTCCTCGTCCACGATCTTGCCGATTGCCAGCCAAAGAGCAGACTTCAGGCGCTGTGGGGAGATCAGTATGTGAATGGATGTCTTGGGTACTGCACCCTGGTGTGATGAGCAACCAGGTACATACCTCCTCGAGACTAATTTCTTCAGTCTGGTCCATTTTCTGATATAGTAAAGTAACTAGACAAGAGCGCCACGGATATATGGAAAGCTAAGGAATTGTCTTGGTAGATGCAGCGACGAAAAATGATGAATCTCCGAGCTATCGAACAATAACAATCACTATCAAGCGGCCGCGCCCGCTCGTGTCGGAGACGCGTTAAGCATCAAGCCGACGACCCCAGCCCACGCTCTGATTGGCCGGCCGCTTTCCGCCCGGAGAAACACAGTCCCCGGCGCCCACCGACGCTAAGCCCAAACAAACCATTTCCACTTTCGGAAGGAATTCTTCTCTTCGGCCCGCTTCCTCAGCCATTCCACCAACCAACCAACCATCCATCCATCCATCCATCCAGTCTCGTGTCCACCTCAACTCGAGCTCACCAGTCCTCCCCGACACAGGTGGTGCGATTGCGAGTGCAATTCCTCCGCAACTACCTAGCGGACCATCCTCACCTCCTCACAACCCTCACAACCCATCCCACCAACCTCCGAAAAGCTATCCGGCGCCCTCCGCCCCAACCAAACCAAACCACCCAAAATGGCGACCCGCGACCCCGGCGAAATCGCCGCCGACGCACTCAACGACTTCTTCGGCCAGCTCTTCAGCTGGGTCGAAACAGCCTTCACACGGTTCTTCAGCAACCTGTACTCGTCCTTCGCGGACGTCAGCGTGAACCGCTGGACGAAGGTGATCTGCTCCGTCATCGGCTATATCCTGGTGCGGCCGTACATCGAGAAGTTCTTCAAGAAGATGCAGGACCGGGAGATCCGCAAGGAGAGGGAGAAGAAGGAGAAGGCGGAGGCGGAGCGCGCGGCGGGTGGAGGCAAGAAGAAGAAGGCGAAGGTGTCGGCGAATGCGCTGCGCGGGGGTGCGGGTGCGGGCAAGGTATTGGGCGAGGTGGAGAATACGGATGATGAGATTGAGGGGGAGGAGGGCGCTGACGGGGCCGCGGAGGAGGAGGAGGAGGTGGATTTCGCGACGGCGAGTGGTGTGCCTGAGTGGGGAAAGAATGCGCGCAAGAGGCAGAAGAAGTACTGGAAGAGTTTGGAGAAGGAGGCTGAGAGTCGTACGCAGCAGTTGTCGGAGGAGCAGATCAAGGAGTTGTTGGATTGGAGTGAGTCGGAGGATGAGAAGAAGAAATAAATAGTTGGTGGTGGTGTTTGTTTGATGGGCTGGTTTGGGCTATGCTACTGTGTGGCTTAGTCCTGATCTTTGTTGGGGTGCATAGTTTGGGGTTGATAATGCTTTGATGGGTTGGGTTTACGTGTGGGGTTTATGTACTATCATTGCCTGGGGCGATTTAATGTAGCTATAGATGTAATACAAATGATGGGATGATGTCTTCGAGGAAGAGTTCTAGGGAGAGAGGAATGCTGTCACGTCTGTCGGTTAGGCTTTGTTCTTACGGGGGTTGCGTAGATATCTATACCCTCTGTTGAAGTCGCATTACAGGTTATTATGGTTCTGCTGTTGCTTTGACGCCATGGGCAGGAGATCCCGCACATAAGGCTCATAGATGAGGTATCATACAAGACATGCGAGCCAAAAAGAGAAAGAAATGAGACTCAATGAACGCATGTGGAGGATCATATGCTACAGCCCGAAAAGGAAGAGAAGCAAAAGAGGGAAATGGCCGACTGAGAACCAAGAGAATAGAACCCATCGCCTGGTTCAAGGATGACAGGAACCATATGCACCGGTGAGCTGCCTGTGTGGCGACTTGAGTCTTTTGTTGCATTGACATCTGTTCCAAGTGACGGCTAACGGAACAATCACCACTAGCCCGCTAATGCGAATGGTCTTGCAGCCACTTGTATACCACAGAGAAGTCCTTCCCTCGATGCTCTTCCTCGACAGCATTGTACACCCCACGCGCCTTGTCTGCCAGCGCCAGATGAGTCTGCGACTCCTCTGCAGCCGTGATAGCCAACCGAAGGTCTTTGTTCATGAGACTAACCCCGAATCCACCCTCATACCCCCGAGACGCCGGCGCTGTCTCGACCACACCAGGGACAGGGTTATTAACCTCCATGGGCCAGCACCGACCAGTGGACGAGTTGACCAACTCGGCCAATGCCTTGGGATCCAAGCCCCAGCGAATCCCGAGGTTCATCGCCTCAGCCGTCGCAATGTTATTTATAGCCAGAATATAGTTATTGGCCAGTTTCCCCGAGACACCCGCTCCGGGGGCACCCATATGCCATGACTTCTTCCCCATGTGAGCCAGCACCGATCTCACGCGGTCGAGAAGTTGGCCGGTCTGGGAAGAGGCTCCAAACATGAAAGACAGCGTTCCGGCTCGAGCACCGACCACTCCTCCGGAAACCGGTGCATCCACGAATCGGCCTTGACCGGTTGTGTGTATTGCGTTCGCAATCTCCTTGGACGAGGCAGGGTCAATCGTGGATGTATCGATGAACAATCGTTCTTGTTCCAGGGCGGGTAGTTCGCCCTGCCGGAGCATGGAATGGTAGACATCCTTGGCGTGCTGCGGACCCGGGAGGCTGGTTATTATCACTGTCTGGATGGTACGTTATCAGAATTGGAACCAGAGACCCAATCTGTCCCCAGATACTGTAACAAGAATCCAAGCACGTAGAACCCCGGCCGGGGGACACAGACAATGTCCAGCCATAACCCACGAGGTCTCTATTATTGAGTAAAAACCAAACAAATACCTCAACTTACCGACCTTTCGGCAAGTTCTCTCGCCGTCTGAGCTATCACAACCTTGTCCCCTGCCCCACTACTCTTGGCTACCTCGCTAGTCTCGCTAACAAACCTAGCTGTACTCTCCTCATTCACATCCCGTATAATCAAGGTATCCTCCGCGGGGATCTTGGCGCGAAGGTTCTTCGCCATGAAGAAACCTATCGACGGACGAGACAGTTAGCAATAGCAACGGGTACGTACAGAGCCACGTGAATTCATTCCCCAATGTCCGCGACAGAGTACTCACCCATTTGCCCCAATCCTATAAACCCCCATGTAGCGTCCCGTCGCAAGGAGGACGAGAAGGCTCTTCTCAACAGGGGAGTATTCTGCGCGGGACGTACAGCCGAGCGGAGGGGAGCCATGCCCCTTCGCAATGGAAGGAAAATGGTACAAGTGCGCGAGAGACTCATGTTCCACAATGCCACGATGGAGTATGCTGTGCTCTGGAACTAATGTGATTTGCACGGTTGACACGAGGGTGTATGCCACGGCAGGTACCTGGCTGGGGCAAGGGGAAGGAGGGGGATGGTATTTGTAGTCGTCCACGAAGACACGGGCATGTGGAGCTAGGCAGGCGCTGTGGTGTCCAATGCCTGACGTGATGTGTCGGCCGTGCAGGCCTCGCGGACCGAGCGGAGTGGTGGAAAGGCTGATTTCCGATGCTATCCGGCTATTTCCATCCAGGCAGGGGGTGGGGGGTAATTGGGCATGGTACAGGTGTAGTGCAGGCGACAGGCGGGGATGACGCTGCCTTGCCTTGTTAGCCCGTCTTTTGGGTCGGTCGATCTCTTGGACTCGTTCTCCACCCCCTCCCAGTTCCCAATGCGGGGAAGCCCCGATCCGGTTAGCCGGCGGAGCGCGGAGAACCAGCCCCCGTCACGTTTGTCTTGGCCTGGGGCCGCGGGCATCAGTATTCTGATGCCTCAGGCAAATGTTATCTACTACGCAGCTTTGAAGACAGTTAATTATTTTAAAAAGGTTGTTCCGGTGGCTATCTAGGCGGGTTCATCCAGATCAGTAATTAATTTACAATTGATTGAATTGGGTACAGGTACAAAAATCTAGGTGGGCGAACCGCTGGAATAACACATCGCAGAGCAAAGCATTGACAAATGGGTATGTTAAACGCCACATCACACCATGTACCAAGATGGAAGGAAAAATCACGAGAGAAAAGAAACGAAATGAATCAAGCGAGCAACCAAGAGACGTGAGGTGACGTGAAAACAGAATGTTCACTGCTGTCCCGGGGAGTTGGGATTGCTAGCCAGAAATTCAACAGGGACTTTGGGAACGCGTGGTGAGCTGGCTGTCTGCGCTATTGTACGTTGTTGAGCACGGATAAGATCGCGTTGACGTTCTTTTTCCCGGTTTGTGGCAGCGCCGCCGGTGAGCCGTCGCATGCCGCTGCGGATCATGGATTCCAGTGATGAGGAGCCGTCAGTCACACTGCGCGTTTGGCTGATAGGGTGAGGCACTGCAGATGGCTTGTTGTCTGCAAGACCGTCTTCCAGTTCGTCATCCGACAGGAACGCTGACTCGAACCCGATAATTGGCGTGTTGAAAGACTGGTTGGCGGCCGTATGCGAGAACAGGTGGTTCACTGGAGAGGTGACGGAGCGGGTGTGAGACACGGGTCGCATGTTCTGACTAGGCGCTGGTGCTGGAGGTGTAAATGTCCCCGGGGATGGCGTGGGCGCGCCAGTTCCATCAAGACGCAGGTTCGACGGCCTGGACTCGGCAAGCCCATTGTGGAAAGATGACGTCGAAGCAGTCCGGGCGAGAGACTTGCGGAGGATCGGCGCGGTTTGCTGATCGTAGAGATTCGCATTAGTATCTGCATAAGTGCCGGTAAAGCCGCGCAAGGCCTGGTCCGAGATGGGGTCAAGTGTCGGGTGAATCGGATCGGCCTCGTCGAAAAAGTCATCCAAGCTGTCTAATTTTTGAACAATGTCTCCCATGTTGCCGTCTGTCTGTGTGTCGATGGATTTCATCGTGTCCGCACGCATGGGGAAGAACGTGTCGTTGTATTCATCCGCATGGAATTCCACCTCCGAGGGAGGTGTCTCTTGCGGGTCCATGCGGTCTACCTCAGCGCAGGTGTAGAACACCGCATGAACGTTATGTCGTGTGACGCTGGATTGGGTCGCAGGCATCGGTATAGACCACCCGGTTGGCTCTGGGATGCCGTACAGACTTTGAACGCGCTCATACTCTTTCCGTATAGCTCGAGATGAAGAAGACGAAGCCATGCTCATCCGGATATGATGTTTCTCATTGGGGTTGGCCGACACCGTCATGATGTGGTCCATCACTTGCAGTGCTTGAGGACAAAGATCCGTTTGCAATAGTCGCAGGAGAGGAGAGATCAAATCAGGCCCATGACACGTCACTTCTCCTCGGCGCATGTCCATCTCGGGGAGTAGCACGCAGAGTATTTTCATGATCTTGACACGGAACCAGTTTGTTGTGTTGGTCAGCAAGCCCATAAGAAATATGAGGCTCTGTACATCCTGACGAGGGAAGTAATAGGACCGGATCTCCGTGATGATGTGGCTCAAAAAGTCGTTCTCGGCTTTGTACTGCCCATTCGCAAATCCCAGCAGGGAGGCTGCCAGCCGTGGGCATCTCTCACTTTCAGCCATACGTGCCAGCAAAGTTGCGCGAGCCAAGGTCTTGGAATCGTCAACATCCGAGTCAAATTGATGAAGGAAGTGCGACAGATTCGCTAATATCATAAAAAGCAACCTGTGACTGTCGCCGATGAGCTCGTTGTTGGGTAGGCCACTGAGGCGGTGCAAGATGTCCAATGTTCGGTTGAGTGACTCAGAAGATTTCAACCCCTTGTAAATGAGGTTCTGAAGACCATCAAAGCCACCTTCCCACTTTGGCGGCTGTCCCTTGATAAGCTCTGATATCACCATCGGGTCGCTCATGTCGACACGGTCCAGAAACTTTTCCAGCATACCAATGCTTTCAATAAATTCCGTTTCATGGATGGTATTCAAGCAGGCGCACGTAGTCCAAAAGAGCTGGGGGTACCGCAGCAAGTCCGTAGGTGCCAGCGAGCTAATGATAATCTTGAGGGTCGTAAGAATTTCCATGGAAAACGTTCGGTAGTCCGACTCCTCATCCGCGATCGTATTCGACAAGCGCGCGAGCATGTCTGCCAGCATCCTAGAGTCCAGGGACATGGATATGCAACGGAAGACTTGGAATGATCGACAGGCAAGATGCCGTACTGGGCAGGATGTCGCCCAATTCAGTGCCTCTTTCGCCCACAGGTCATTGAGTCCTTCATATTCAACGCTGAAGACGCTCGCTACCTTGCGGGTGACGTGAGACATTGACGTAGGGACACGGCTGCCATCCTCCTCATCTTCTTTGTCACTGGTGTCTTCGTACTCCCATACAACCTTGGGGTCGCTCTTGCGGATCGATTCCACGAAGTCTTCAATCGATTGCCGCCGTTCGACAGGTGCATCGTCTTCAATCTTTGCGGCGATCAATTCGTGAATAAGATGAACTAACATTTCCCTGGCTTGTTCCTGCACACTTAGCGTGTAATGGTCCCAGAGGATCAAGACAACGTGGAGTAATTTGACCACATCATCCATCGCGAGTGTGACAGGTGCAACCATTAAGTCCACAAGGAAGATAAGCGCAACCTGGCCTAAAGAAAGACCGGCTTGTTTGTTCCCAACGGGAAGCACAGTTCCGAGATCAGCGACATAAGGAAGACTTTTGGTATCGGGTGGCGCCGGGGTGATGTCTTTCCTTTCCTGCACCATGTGCTTAGGCATGACTTGCAATAGGAAGAACTCGATGACCTTTGACCCAGCAGGCGTACCTGCTAGAAACACAACCACCTGTTTAGCATATTCCACGAAGTTTTGCTCTTTACGTTCCAAGCAGAGACTGATGATGAAGTCGAGCACCAATTGCACATTTCCGCCATGCGGGCCTGTTGCCAGAGCTTGCCAAAGCGCTTGGACTTCATTCGGGAGGATGGTGCTGCACCGAATGGTGATCTCGAAGAGGTTGGCCAGAAGCATGTAAGACTTCGCCGTAGGTCCCCCATTAGGGTCCACTTGGAGCTCCATTGTCTGAACCCAGGGAAGAATAGCAGCTACCATATTCCGCTGGCTGTCGGGTCGCAGATTTCTGAAGTGCAGGGAAAATTCGGAGAAAAGCGTGAAGGCCAAATCAGAGTGTAGTTTTGCCAAACGTTTGGAAGTCTCGAACTGAGCAACTTTATAGACTGCGGGAGTCTTGTCGGAGATGCTGATATCGAAGTCTTGTAGCCGCGAGCTCTTCTGTTGCCGCTCCTCCAAGATGCGAAGAAGCTTAGCGGACTTCATTCTAATCTCCCGCTTTGGACTACCAAGAGTGACGAGCACGGCGCCCAAAATTCTCCAAAAGCCAAGCGGATAATCAGTCTGCTCGATGAGTACTTCAGTCACCACCTCAAAGTAGCTTTCCAATGCTTTTGGTCGCTCTGCGACATAGCACATCTCGATTGACCGCTCTAATAAGTATGAATGCTCTTTGTTGTGAACAATCAAGTTCTTCAGAGCTCGTCGGCCAATTGCATGCCACTTGTCACTGATTGTGTTGAAAATAATATCAATCCAAGATAGCATACGGCCCACATCAAACTGTAATACCGAGCCACTCTCAGTTGTGATACTAATCGGCCCGGCCTGTAACAGTTAGTTGTTGGTTCTGAATAACAAGAAAGACGTTGACCTACGCATAAGGAAGCCATTGCACTGAGAGCAGCTGCACGCAGATTCTTCTTCTCGATTTCCATGGCTGCCGCAGTGTTTCGCAATTCACCGGATTCATGGTTTTGTGCAATGGCATTCCGTCGCATGGACTCCTCTCGTTGCGTAATTTGAGACTGGTTGGGCGAGTATCCACACCAATCCTCCATAAGAGAGAAGGCAGACTTCCTCGACTCAAAGGGTATCCACCGAGAGGGGTCTTTGGTGCGATTAATGCCTTCAAAAATTTCCTCCATCAGCCCGCAGTAATGAAAGCGTAGTCGCTGGAACTCCCAGTCGTTTTGTACTTCAGCATCGCTCAGGAATATTCGTAGATCTTTTGCGTAAGTGACCAGGTTGTTCACAATCCAGTCTTCGTTGTAGACCTCAGGTTCTTTCAAAAAATGCGACGTCAGCTTATACACATGAGTGACCTCCGTTCGCAGCCGATCTGTTCTACGATTCCGCCTAGGGCTGCTCGGCGATCGGTAATGAGTTCCAATTCGGACCTTGGCTTCCTCGTTGCATGTTGTTACGGCGTACTGCAAAGACTCAAGAAGAGTACGGTACAGGTTCTTGTTGATAGATCCCAGGGCGATCACTATGGCATGTCGGATAGAAGCTCGCTCAGCCGATAGTAACGGGATGACAAAAGCAAAAAGGCTTCTAGCGGAGCTGATCTTATTCTGAGATTGTTGTGCACCTTTCGAACCTTTCCGCGCGTGGTGCGCATTTGCAAGCTGGCTCTGCGATTGTGCGCCAACACTGTTCAGGGTGGTACAAGCCATGACCAGGTATAATTTCCACTGTTCCACGAGAATTTCCGCGGTCGTGTTGCTTCTGCCGAGCGAGCGAGCTTGGACGGTATCCATGGGGCCATACTGAGGATGCTGGGGGCTTTCAGCAAGTAGAGTAATGGTCTTATGCATGAGCACAAGCCTCGCACACACGATCTCACGTCCCAGAGTCACGGCAAAAGGACAAGTTTCAAAGCTGATTCGGATGATGTTCGGGAAAACTTTTGACCACAATGTAGAGTCGTACGAAACCTCACTGCTACAGAGTTCGATAAGAGTATTTTGAGAAGCACTCCTTCGCTTGCCCTTTTGGATCCGACTCCTTTCGGCCACAGTTAGCTGCTCATCGTTGACATCCAAAATTAGCTGCGAATCAGCTTCCAGGATCCGAATAATTCGCGTGTTTTCTTTGCCCAATGCACTATCAAACTCTGTGATAAGACGAAGCACTGTGATGGCGAAAGCGCGGACTCTTCGAGACTGCGAGCAAAGGAAAAACAGACCGTGAGATTCAACTTCCTCGACTTGAGCAAGAACACTCGAGAGATCTAGCTGCAGAGCCCGACTGCCAGAGCCAGTCTTATCCCCGGAATCTGCAGCCGCTCCCTTGGTCTTCTGCTTGATTTCTTCAATCCAGATTCTCAGCAACTCAACATACAACCGCAGAGTGGACTCAATGTGACCTGGTCCAAGCATGCCTTCGTCTGACATAGTAGAATACCTTGCATCAAAGTTAAAGATAAATCTCGCGAAGCCAATTGTGACCTGTTGCGCATGAGATTGCCGCGCAATCGCCTTTAAGGACTCAGCAGATGAAGACGCTATGTTTGTCTGAACATGAGCTGTCCCAGTACAGAGAAGATTGATGAGAGAATTGAATGGAATGCGGTCAGAGAGACAACGGGGGAGTGCTTGGACGGCGACATGAAGTAGATCGTAAAAGCCCTGTCTCTGATCTGGAGTGCTAGAATGATCATCTCGTCTCCCAAAGCTAAACGCCTCGGAGATCGGGGTTTTGGGGGTTGTGCCGCCAAACTTTTCATCCAGAGCCGCCTGGCCTCCAAATGTATTGTCGCACAGAAGTGTGATCTTACCCAGGATGTCACAAAAGCGGATATAGTACTCCTTAACGTTGTCACTTAGTCTCGAGGTATTGACAGGACGGGTGAAGGCATGCTCCTGGCTTCCCTTGAGGTTCGGCAGCCGCGGGTCCGCAAGATATTGAGGTCGGTGGGGATAAGCCGAGACAGAGATGTCGGTAAAGGGGTTAGGGATCGATGGCGTTGGGAAAGGTGGGCATAACTGATCGCAATTCTCAAGGTCTGTCATAATCGCGAGGAAAGATCTGATGCCAATTACCATCTTTTCCGGTTCCATTTGTTCGATCTTGAGTTCCTTTCCGGAGAGGAAAAGATCTGAATTGATGAGTGGAAAGACGATGTTGCGGAAACAGACGTCCGGGTGCTTGAACCCGATCATCCGGACGAGTTGGATCAGGGGGTCCGCAACCGCTGAATCAGTGCTGAGGTACGTTCTTTTCCCGGCAGGGAGTGCTATCCTGGAAACCTCATCAACTTTACGGAGAGTGGCCGTCGGCGATTCTGAGTAGCGGAAGAAGTACGTCCATAACAAGCGACACATCGCTTGAAGGGCCGGGCCTCTTGTAGGGCGGTCTTTCAGTCTCGGCGGTAGAGTCTGGATTAAGGAAAGCCACTGCGGAGAGAAACTATCCTTTGTTGAAACGCACAGGAGCAACACGTGAAGGGGGAAAGCCAAACCCCAATGGCGAGGCTTGGTTAGCATTGGTGTCAGACGTGACTGTACCAACTCCAAGAAATCCTTCCACTTGGGCAGGCTTAAATCGCAGTTGGAGCACGTAGCCACAGGCAGCAGCAACTTTTCAAAGAGGTAGCAATACGCCTGTTTAACGCGTTGCCCGTGAGCATTAGCGAATAAACGGGCCAGTGAACGCATAAAGTCACACGATTTGCTCCACGTGTCGGGGTGCGTTCTAACACGAATGTGCCTCATCCCCAGGATCAGGAGCTCGGCTTTGGCATCTCCATCCTTGGAAGGTCCTCGGAGTGTTTCGTCCTTTTGGACCTTCTCCAACTCGGCCAGGAACCGAGCTGTAACGCTTGTGAAGTTGTTCTCACTCATGATGCCCAGCACCTGAGAATATATCCTCCAATTCGCCATGCGCAGGGGAGAAGCCGAAATCTGCTCCGGGTCTACCGTCCTGAGCTGACCGAACACGATATCCTCCAAACGATCTGCCATATCCAGTGTGATGGACGCGAGACTACTCTGATTGAAGATCTCAATCAGGACTCTGCAAACAAGGTACACAGACACCGTCGCACGCCGCTCAGTCAGTATCACATCGTCGTGTCGGGAATACAGGGTAGTCGAAGTGGATGTAGAGTCGCCTGTTGTGGCTGACTCGGCGATGATTTGGGGCGGCTCCGTGTTGCGGCGTATGAGTTGTCCGTTCTCAGAGGTAAGAGGAGGCTTTGCCTAGAAGCGTACATTTCATTAGTTTGGAGACTCAAAGTGAACAGGAGCATCGTGTGGCATACTTGACCGGCTGCCTGCTTAGCCACGATGGCAGCATCGCCTTTCGCCTTTCGCCACAGCATTATGGTGTCGATCAAAGGCTTGGGCTTCTGGCGTGCGATATGGCCCAAAGCGGAGATCAATTGATCGAAATCGGAATCGACGCCCGGTCCGCATACCTCTTCGACGGGCGCTTCCGACTCGCCCAGCTTCATTATGGCTTGATTGATCTTGTTGTCCGCTTGACCAACAAACTTGTCCTACCGTCAATGACCGACTTGACTTCTGCGAATGGGGCATGGACTTACGGAATTGAAGAGATGATGTAAGGCGTACTCACCGACCGTCTTCGACTCCGATCCATAATGATGCCTCGAGTGCGAGCGGCTATGAGAGCGCTCCTGCCATGGCTTCCCGTTGGAGTTCATGCGTCGGTGGGCGGCATTCGCGGGGCTCCCATCAGCGACGTCGTCCATGTCCCGATCCTCTATTGTGCTCAGTGTTCCCTGCAAGCTGTGACTTGCGCCATTGGACCCTTGGCCCTGGAAGTTCGAATGCATATCGTGTTGCTCCATCCGCCCCGTCCCGGTGCCTTCCTGCTCAGCGGCCCCGCCACGACCGAGCGACGCGATCAATTCCGGACTTAGCGGGCTCGTAGAAGAGGTTGAGGCGGCGAAGCTGGGGTTTCGGGAGTGTTGGATTCCATGGACAATGGAGGTATTGCGATGGTGACCATACGAGTTGGAGGGCCTTCGTTCCAGTCCGACATCGTACCCAAGCCCCGGTCTTCCAGCAGGCGGTTCGGGGCTTTTGGAGTGAGAATTGCCGCGACGGTTATGCTGGTGGTGTTGTTGTTGTAAGGATGAAGGGGCTAAGGCGGATAGGTCGGCTCCTCCTCTGACAGTGGATGTCTCTCGGCTGTGCACGGTGGAAGAGGGGGTGCTTCTCGTCACAAGGCGTTCTGGTGGAGTGGAAAAGCTATGGTGCGACACAGGGCTCGAATCGTCAGGGATGAGGGGCATTGGCGTTGGCTGGATGGGACCAGCTTTAATCGACGGATGGGAGGCCACTACCGCAAACCGCAGGTCAGAGACACGCTATTCATCAACCAATCTCCGGAGGGTGAGGAGAACGATCAGGACTCGATGCAAGGATAAAGCCTCCGGTCCGAGCCAACGACGAAGGGGGTAGATAGTCAGTGTCAGTCAGGTCAGTCGGGCACGTACTGGTACTGGGTGTCCTGCGTCTTGCCGGGTCAAACGACGCTCATTGTTGGGCCGTGCTCTCGTCTGCTAGAACGAAAGAACCTGGACGCACTTGCAAGCAGTGCATGGTCATCCCTCGGGCGCCAGGAATTGAACGACGAGAAAGGGGAATGGAGGGTCGAGGGATGGGGATAGGGTGGTGGTGGTCGGAGTCCGAGTTCCTGTCACTGGGAGCTTTGTTGCTGGAGCAGCTCCCTTCAGCCTTTGCTCGCGACCGGAGAGGCTCTGGGCACGGGGACCATACAGGCACCACCAAACCACCAACTCATTCCAAGGAGGTTTCCACCTTTCGGAATCCTACACCAGACGGCGTACGCTCCTAATTGTATCTGTCTCTTCTGTCAACCTCTTTGGCAGGGGTTTATTTCTCGAGGGAATCAATTTTTCTACGCCCCCAGAGATACTATCTAGTCCTGCTCCTCAGGCTCTGCGGAACACCAATCTTATCTTCCGGTGATAAGGAAGCGAATACCCAGACGCCTGGCTCCTGGGTGGCAAAATGGAGGCAACATGCATGCCCGTTGTGCGATATGTTTCTTCACGAACACCCAACGAAGTCAGGTACTACCGGTGTCCGGTGTCCGGTGTTCCTGATATCCCTGGTCAGGTTTCTGGAACCCCCGACCCCCCTTCCTCAGCTGTACCAGGGAGACCAGTTCTCACGCGAATGAAACGGCACCTGTCACAGATGCAAAGGAAGATTTGTTGACGGACCGAATCCCGAACTTTCTTGACGATCTCGCAATTTTGTCTTCCCGATATACCCAGGGGGCTATATGTGCACTCTAATATAGAACGTCTTTGGCTTTGCACAGTATACAAGATTGCCTCAATGCCGCTCCTCGCAACTATCTGCCGAGTCTATCAAGTCAAGAGCGGGTTATTTAACTAGTTAGTTAACTATGGGCCATGACATAAAGAATGATCGGCACAATCCACCCAAAACTAGAAGCAGCACCAGCATCAGGGAGAAACGGGGGCTGAATACGTAATAGGGGCAGCACCATGGAGAATCGTTGTCGAAGGGGGGTTCACCCGTGACGAATGAACTAACAAAACCATAGACTACGAAGTAGATAGGTGACCATCACATGTGCTGACTTGCAGATTATCGCAGTTCGCCTAGGTTCGCTTGACTGCTCGCTTGGACGATCTTACGAGAGAAACCGCGTGTCGCGTCAGCAGGAATGGCCCCTGGCTTTGCGTATGCCTGTGCACTGTCCCTTGAGGGGGCTCGAACGGTCAATTAATTAACTGCGTCATTGCTGAATCATATATATATGGAAAAGTTGGCGGCAGAAAAGTGTACACTTTCAGTTTACAGGTTGCTGATTGGCCGGCTGGGCTCACCGTCTAATTGTACACTTTGTGTTTAATAATTTAATTTATAAGTCTTTGGAATACTAAGATTTTATTAATAATTATTTACACTTAAGAATTTTATATATGTCACGGCGCGGCGTCGGGTACGCATTCCGACGCTAAACCGCTGCACTATCAGCAAAAGGACTAGTATGTAAAGCCGGTAGCTTTACACTGCGTACGCTATATGAAGAGACTTCAGGACAGAACAGGCAGGTTCAGGATAGATGATAGTGGTAGTAGGTGTCACACCGTGACACAGTGAGGGCAGAGCATGTCCAAGGGCTTTGATGCTTTTATAGACATACCCATCTGACCTGTCACAAGCTTATCCAGAATCAAATTCCAAAGAAAAAGATCAAACCCTCCTATATGAGCTGTGAGACTGTATTGTGCGGAATTCATCCGCGAGTATACAGACACTCAGCCATGTGCACTGCATACGGACATAGTAGTGGCACAGCTCAAAAATAAGTGCGGAACGGATAGTCCGTACTCCGTTGCAAGAAGCGGAAGGCTTCTGCAGAGAGCTGGGTATACTAGGAAGTAGAATACAGGTAGGAGTATACTGGTGTAGGTGCAGTTCTTCTACCAAATTTTGTAATTAGATCCCCAAACAACAAAGTAGAAAATACACCGATGGGACATTCCATTTCGGGAACATATATGCCCGTACTCTGGAGGCCTGCGGAGGCCATGAGTAGTATCTATACGAGGCCGGAAGACGGGCCTGGAGGCATGGACAGCGTACTCTGTACTCAGATGAACCACAGTAACCCGGATTGACTCTTGCCACCTCCACGAGGGTTTCGTTCTAGCAGGATCTCGGGATGGCATGCGACCCCAACTGCCTTCCAGAAGACGGTGGCCAAGTATCCCAAGGCGGAACTCGGTTAGCAGGAAGACTCGGCAGCAGTGTTCGGAAGATTCCCCAGAGGAAAGGACGGCGCTCCCTGCAGTGTTTTTGGGTGACACCACCGCCACTGGTCGTCAGTCTGGTCAGGGCAATGAGAGCAGCGCCGAATTCCCCTTCCGAACCAAACTCCATCGACCGAGATGTTCGGCCCATGGCGGACCCCCACCCCGATCGGGGCGTTTATATAGGAGAGAGAGATCCTCCCCAATTTTTAACCTCAGATTAAGTTGGCCATCAAGTACCTACCTATCACCAGAACTCCTCACTGCCACCCTCACGTCCTAGGCTCGTACTGCCGGCGGTATCCCACTCCTACCACCTCGCACAAAGGATACTTGCTGGTGCCACGATCTCCCCGACTCGGGCCTCAGACACTCAACGGGATCGCGCTGCTTATCTCCCGTTGGACACCAGCAAATCGGAGGCGGTGCGGCGGAGTTCACCCCACCTCTTTTTACGGTGACCAAATTGCAGGCGTGCAAGAACCCCGAAAAGGCCACCATAGCCTCAGCCTCAGGCCACTCAATCCTCCTCCCGCCGAACCTGGTACTAAGCTTACCAGCCTGACTGCCACGGCCACCGCATCCTTCTCCTCAACAGCCTAGCAGCCTGTCCGATTCCCGGCCCAAATTATTATTATGCGGCCTGCTTAACATTGGGATCGGCTTCTCTTTCTTCCTGGATCACACCACGGCTTACTTCTTCGTTTCTCTCTCCCTCGTATTTGCTTTTCTGACCTCGTTCCTTCTTCCTTTCTCTACTCTACTTTTGGTTCTGGGAGGACGCCACTCTATCCGTCTCGGTCCCTACTTGCCTCGGTTCTGCTGATCGCAACTGGGATAGGTCACGCCTAGGGGTGTTTCCCTCCTTCTGTTTCTCCTCTCTTCTCCTCTCCCCTCTTCTCCCCTCCCCCTCCATTCCATCCTCATTCCCGGGAACTCGCTCTCTAACGGGCCCCGTTAAACCGACTTCGGGGCCATTTCCACGGTCGCATCGCTGAACTACTTCACCATGGCGCAACTCGACACTCTCGACCTGGTCGTCCTGGCGGTGCTCTTGGTGGGTAGCGTTGCCTACTTCACCAAGGGTACCTACTGGGCGGTCGCCAAGGACCCTTATGCCTCCTCTGGCCCAGCCATGAATGGCGGGGCTAAGGCCGGCAAGTCCAGGGACATCATTGAGAAAATGGACGAAACCGGCAAGAACTGTGTGATCTTCTACGGATCGCAAACCGGAACTGCGGAAGATTATGCCTCGAGACTTGCTAAGGAAGGGTCCCAGAGATTCGGCCTGAAGACTATGGTGGCCGATCTGGAGGACTACGACTATGAGAACTTGGACAAATTCCCCGAGGACAAGATTGCGTTTTTCGTTCTGGCCACCTACGGAGAGGGTGAGCCCACCGACAATGCCGTCGATTTCTACCAGTTTTTCACCGGTGAGGATGTCGCCTTTGATAGCGGCGCCGCTGCCGACGACAAGCCTCTGTCTTCCCTCAAGTATGTCACTTTCGGTCTCGGCAACAACACCTATGAACACTACAACGCCATGGTTCGTCAACTTGACACCGCTTTCCAGAAGCTCGGTGCACAGCGGATCGGATCTGCCGGTGAAGGCGATGACGGTGCTGGTACAATGGAAGAGGATTTCCTGGCCTGGAAGGAGCCCATGTGGACGGCGTTGTCCGAAGCCATGGATCTGCAGGAACGCGAAGCTGTATACGAGCCCGTTTTCTCCGTCACGGAAGATGAGTCCCTGAGCCCCGAGGACGACAAGGTCTACCTGGGAGAGCCTACCCAGAGCCATCTCCAAGGCTCCGGTAAGGGGCCTTACTCTGCGCACAACCCCTTTATCGCCCCCATCGTCGAGTCTCGTGAACTATTCACTGTCAAGGACCGCAACTGTCTGCACATGGAAATCAGCATCGCCGGAAGCAACCTGTCCTACCAGACCGGTGACCACATCGCTATTTGGCCGACCAACGCCGGTGCGGAGGTGGACCGGTTCCTCCAGGTTTTTGGTATTGAGAGTAAGCGTCACTCGGTCATCAGCATCAAGGGAATCGATGTGACGGCCAAGGTCCCCATTCCCGCGCCCACCACCTACGATGCCGCTGTTCGCTACTACCTGGAAGTCTGTGCCCCTGTGTCCCGTCAATTCGTTGCTACTCTGGCCGCTTTTGCTCCGGATGAGGAGAGCAAGGCAGAAATTGTGCGTCTGGGCAGCGACAAGGATTATTTCCACGAGAAGGTTACCAACCAGTGTTTCAACATCGCGCAAGCTCTTCAGAGCATCACCTCCAAGCCCTTCTCGGCCGTTCCGTTCTCTCTCCTCATTGAAGGCCTCACCAAGCTGCAGCCCCGTTACTATTCGATCTCGTCCTCTTCCCTTGTCCAGAAGGACAAGATCAGCATTACCGCTGTTGTGGAATCCGTTCGCCTGCCTGGTGCCTCTCACGTCGTGAAGGGTGTTACCACGAACTACCTTCTCGCGCTGAAGCAAAAGCAAAATGGCGATTCTTCTCCTGACCCTCACGGACTGACTTACGCGATCACTGGCCCCCGCAACAAATACGATGGAATCCACGTCCCTGTGCACGTTCGTCACTCGAACTTCAAGCTCCCCTCGGATCCCTCAAGGCCCGTCATCATGGTCGGACCTGGTACCGGTGTTGCTCCTTTCCGTGGCTTTATCCAGGAGCGTGCGGCCTTGGCCGCCAAGGGCGAGAAGGTCGGAACCACCGTTCTCTTCTTCGGCTGCCGCAAGAGCGACGAGGATTTCATGTACCAGGACGAATGGAAGGTCGGTCGTCCACTTAAACCTTTTATCGTATGACTAGAAAGCTAACGGAATTTGCACCTACAGACCTACCAGGAACAGCTTGGCGACTCCCTCAAGATCATCACCGCCTTTTCGCGTGAGACCTCCCAGAAGGTGTACGTTCAGCACCGACTGCGCGAACATGCCGAACTGGTCAGCGATCTCCTCAAGCAGAAGGCCACCTTCTACGTGTGCGGTGACGCCGCGAACATGGCTCGTGAGGTCAACCTCGTGCTCGGACAGATCATTGCTGCGCAGCGCGGTCTTCCCGCCGAAAAGGGCGAAGAGATGGTCAAGCACATGCGTAGCAGTGGCAGCTACCAGGAAGACGTGTGGTCATGATCTTCCACCCACTCCATGGAATTCACTTTCTTCTTCTTTCCCCCGTCTTCTCTTGCCACGACATTTTTTCCTTCCATCCCTTGTCACGCCTAGATGATCTCTGCATATATACTCCGCTGGTCTTTTTGCCCATTCATCTGTTTTTGGCGTGGTTCTTGTATGTCTAGTAGTGCTATTTTTCATGTCCCGTGTGGTCGGCCCCGCTAAGTCGTGGTGCGCTGATCGAGTTTCGGTGGCTATTGTGGAAAGAAAACTAGGATAGACGATGATGATAGTTGGGGAGGATATTATAGGGGAAACTACTTATGACCGAGCCTCTGTGGTTGCAGGAACCCGGAGAACAAACTAATATAGATTCATTTTCTGTTTCTATTAATTGCTCTGTTTGTATATTCTAGGAGTAATTGACCCTTAACTTTGCACATACTTAACTGATATGCAGTTACTGAGACTGCATATGGAGAAGGATTCGGGATATCCTCACCTATGCATTCGTCGTTGGATATGTCAAGAGGCCAGATTTTGGTCAATTCCGACCTTCCACGCTCCGTGATAAGGATATGGATTGGATACCGTAATAGCCCTTTCTATCCCCCATCACCACGAACAGCACACCCACTAGTAATTGTGTTCGTGGTATATAACCGGAATTTACCCAGTCCAACTTCTGGCATCCCAAACCGGCGACCACCCGTGTCGGCCCTAACGCGGAGTTAACCAGGCCCACCACCCGCGGCCAACCCATCCCGTCGTCATCCCGGTATCAGTAATCTTACCTGCCCTGGCAAGCAAAGCTCCGCTCCGCATCCCTCCACCACCACCACTACCCACCGCTACCACCCTCACTCACTTTCCCCTCTCTTTTCCCTCCACGATACCCAGAGCGCATCTCTCTGTCTAGAGATGCGCAGCGCAAATCCTCCCAAGCGCCACCTTTGATAATTCTTGTTGACTGTTCGCGGGGAAAGCTGCTCGAATTTCCATCGACCGGGCACGGCACGGCACCAAGGGGACAGACACCACCGACCGACCGGTCTACATCCCCGCAGTGATTAAACTGCAAGGAACATAAAGGTCAACGCCCTCGACTCATGATTCACCACCATTAGGTGTAGCGGGCCTAGACAACGAGAACAACGAAAGAAAAAAAAGAAAAGGAAAGGAAAGGGACATTGGCGAAATGTCTTACGTCGTGCCGATCCATCGGGCGAGTAGCATCCGGGATGCGCTGAAGCTCAATTTCATGGATCCGGAGAAGGAGGCGCTGGTTGTTGCGTGGGTGGATCCCTTTTTCCTTTGATTCGTTCTTTTTTTTCTTTTCGGGTCGGAGAAGCGGTTGCTAATTGGTGATTCTTGGTGGTGTGTGATATAGGAAGTCGAATCGACTCGAAATCTACTCTCTCACGCCCGAAGGCCTCAGTCTGGCTGCGTCGTGCTCCCTGAATGCGAGGGTGACTATGCTGGCTCGGCTTCCGGCGCCTGTGAACTCGCCTACGGATCATTTGTTTGTGGGGACGGATCGCTATACCTATTGCACGTTGTCGTGGGACAGTGAGACGAACCAGGTGCAGACGGAGAGGAATTATGTCGACATCGCGGATCCGTCGTCGCGGGAGGCGCAGACGAGCAATCGATGCCTGATTGATCCGAGTGGTCGGTTTATGACGTTGGAGGTCTATGAGGGCGTCATCTCCGTCGTGCCGATTGTGCAGCTGCCCAGTAAGAGGCGAGGGAGGCAGGTTGCTCTGCCGACAGGACCGGATGCGCCGCGCGTTGGGGAGCTGGGAGAGCCCACTACTGCCAGGATCGATGAGCTGTTTGTGCGCTCATCGGCGTTCCTTCATGTCCAGTCCGGGCCGCCGCGCATGGCGCTGCTGTATGAGGATAATCAGAAGAAAGTGAGACTGAAGGTTCGCGCGTTGACTTATAGTGGGGCGACGGCGAGTACCGGAGCGGATGCGGCGTTTGAGGATTCGCTGGATGGCTTCTCGCAAGAATTGGATCTGGGAGCGTCGCATCTCGTGCCCGTTCCGGCTCCGTTAGGTTGGTTTGCATCCTCTGGTGTGTTGCGCCGGGGCTTGGAGCTAATTGATTGGTTTAGGTGGTCTTCTTGTCCTGGGAGAAACATCCATCAAGTATGTCGATACGGATAGTAATGAGATCGTGTCGCGTCCGCTGGATGAAGCCACTATATTCGTGGCGTGGGAACAGGTCGATAGTCAACGGTGGCTTCTCGCCGATGATTATGGAAGGCTGTTTTTCCTGATGCTAGTCCTGGATTCTAACAACCAGGTTCAGTCCTGGAAGTTGGATCACCTAGGGGATACATCGAGGGCTTCGGTTCTGATATATCTCGGTGGAGGAATTGTCTTCGTGGGCTCCCACCAGGGCGATTCTCAGGTTATTCGGATTGGTACCGGCTCCTTGGACGTGATCCAGACCTTGTCCAATATTGCGCCAATTCTCGATTTTACGATAATGGATCTTGGGAACCGCATCAGTGAGAGTCAGACCCATGAGTTCTCATCGGGCCAAGCTCGGATCGTCACCGGCTCCGGAGCGTTTGATGATGGAACTCTTCGAAGTGTGCGCAGTGGTGTCGGAATGGAGGAGCTTGGTGTTCTCGGCGAGATGGAACACATCACTGACCTGTTCGGGCTGCAGATTGCGGCCAAAGGTGGATTCTTAGATACCCTTCTCGTCACGTTTGTGGACGAGACAAGAGTCTTCCACTTCAATTTCGACGGTGAGGTGGAAGAGTTAGACAACTTCCTCGGGCTAAGCCTTTCGGAAAGCACACTGCTCGCTGTGAATCTTCCGGGTGGAAGAATACTGCAAATCACCGAGCAGAGAGTGCTCATTGCGGATATTGAAGGCGGCATGGTCACGTACGAGTGGACTCCGCCGAACCAGTTGGTTATCACTGCCGCTTCAGCCAACAACGACTCGGTGGTCCTGGTCATCGGTGGCCAAATTGTGACCGTTCTAGACATTAAGAATGATCCTCAAGTCGTGTCGCAGAAGGACTTCGGTGCGGATAGCCAGGTGTCCGGTGTCACCGTACCCATGTCTTCGGCCGGTGTCTGTATCGTTGGATTTCCTCAATTAGCAAAGGTCTCGGTTTTGGATCTTCAAAACCTATCGGATCTCCATACCACGTCACTCGGGCCTCCTGGAGAGGCCTTCCCGCGATCCGTACTTGTTGCGGACGTCCTTGCGGATAGCCCGTCCACACTTTTCATCTCGATGGCCGATGGCAGCGTCATCACCTACTCTTTCGACTCAACAGACTTTTCTTTGACCGGTATGAACAAGCTTATTCTCGGGTCGGAGCAGCCCACTTTCAAGAAGCTACCTCGGTATGATGGATTGTACAATGTCTTTGCAACGTGCGAGAACCCTAGCTTGATCTACGGCTCAGAAGGACGCATTATCTACTCCGCGGTCAATTCAGAGGGCGCATCTCGCGTATGCCACTTCAATTCGGAGGTGTATCCCGGTTCGATCGCGGTAGCCACCAGCCACGAGCTGAAGATTGCTCTGGTGGACAAGCAGAGGACGACGCAGATCCAAACGCTTCCGATCGGCGCAACCGCGCGCAGAGTCGCGTACTCGCCATCCGAAAAGGCTTTCGGTATTGGTACCATAGAGCGGAAATTGAAAGATGGGGCAGAGATGGTGCACAGCCAGTTTGTGCTAGCGGACGAGATTCTCTTTCGCCGCCTTGACTGGTTCGACCTCCGACCCGAAGAGTTGGTTGAAAGTGTCATTCGTACCGAGTTCGCCGCAGGCAAGGACGAACACGGTCGGGAGACCACCAAAGATCGGTTTATAGTGGGAACAGCCTACCTGGATGATGAGACAGAAGCTTCGATCCGAGGCCGGATCCTGGTGTTCGAGATAGACAACGGTCGGAAACTGACCAAAGTGGCTGAGCTTCCGGTCAAAGGGGCGTGTCGCGCCCTGGCTATGCTGGGTGACAAGATTGTGGCCGCTCTGGTTAAGACGGTAAGTAGCCAACTTGTTATTTGCAGTATTTCCGTGCTCACGTATCCAGGTCGTTATCTATGGAGTAGTGAACAACAACTTCGGAGCGATGAAACTGGAGAAACTGGCCAGCTATCGGACCTCGACCGCTCCCGTGGACGTAACCGTGACAGGCGACGTAATCGCGGTCGCTGATCTGATGAAGAGTGTCTGTCTTGTGAAATACAACGAAGGTGAGAACGGGCTCCCGGATACCTTGACGGAGGTGGCTCGCCACTTTCAGACCGTCTGGACGACTGGCGTTGCTTGTATTGCCAAAGACACCTTCCTCGAGAGTGATGCCGAAGGCAACCTGCTTGTGCTGCGGCGCAATCTGACGGGTGTGGAGGAAGAAGACAAGCGTCGACTTGAGGTGACGGGGGAGATCTCTCTGGGAGAAATGGTCAATCGCATCCGACCTGTCAACATCCAACAATTAGCTAGTGTGATGGTCACCCCGAGGGCTTTCCTGGCTACGGTACGTGACTCACTCGCTTCCATCCAATGCCTTGATCATTACTGACCCAGACCCCCGAATTGAACAGGTCGAAGGATCCATCTATCTTTTTGCCATCATCAACCCGGAACACCAGGACTTCTTGATGCGTCTGCAAGCTACCATGGCCGGCAAGGTCGAATCGCTGGGGAACATCCCGTTCAACGAGTTCCGTGGTTTCCGCAGCATGGTGCGGGAGGTGAAAGAGCCGTACCGTTTTGTGGATGGGGAGCTGATCGAGCGGTTTTTGACCTTGGAGCCGAGTGTGCAGGAGGGGATTGCCGACTCTGTGGGGTTGATGCCTGTAGATGAAGTGAAGGTCATGATAGAAGCGTTACGACGACTGCACTAAGTGCAGCAGAAGAAGTCCCTAGGATTTTGGATCGAAATATGAATGATAATGGTCACACTAGCAGGTCAGAACTTCCACTGTCGTATTTGTATGTGTTGATGTTTGCTACCGACTTCACGCGATGCCAGGGACAAAGAGTGGACCTAGGTCCCAGAAAAACAGACACCGTGACCGGTCCTGGTCCTCTCGCACTGGGAGACCACCCAGGCAGGTTTGCTCCCTACTAAGACGTGCTGGGGGAAAATACTCTGGGTTCTCGCCCAATTCACCCACGGACTCTTCCGGACAGCGGGTCTCATATAGCTTCATGCTCTGGCCGTCACCCTCCACCGTCACGTCTCCGCCAGCAGGTAACGACGGCGACATCGTCTCGGCAGGATGATGGACCCGCATGTCTCTATATAAACCCCCTCTTCCCCCCCTCTCGTAGCCAACATGTAGACACGATTTCCCCTTGACTGACAGACAACATCCGCTCTAGATTTCCCTTCAGGGTAGAACTAGAGGTACCCGCAAGTCAATCACCCATCATCATCATCATGCTGTCGACCAAGTGGCGCCGTAACGAGGCCTGCCATGTCCCTGCCAACACCGGGCCGAGTGTTGCTGCCGCGTTGCCTGCCCTTTGGAGACGGGAAGGCGCTGCCCTCGAGGCTCCTGCTCAGCTCAAACCGACCGGGGGCTGCCACTCCTTCCTCGAGGGGAAGGCAGTTGCTGCGAGCGATGCTCTTGTCCCTCGCCAGCCTTTCCTTCGCTCTGCTCCTCCCCCTCCTCTTCTCCTCTCCTCTCCCACCCTCACATCCTCATCCGGCTCTCGTCGTTCGTTGCGTACCGGCCCAGACTCTTCCCTATCCACTGGCACTCTATTAACGTGTGAGTGATTGATGCTACCTCCATTCTGTTCGAAACACGTTTCTTCTGACCCTGAAGCTATAGATCCTACCTCCCCAGATCTAAACGACCTTCCTCATAGTCAGGGTAAGTATTCTTTTGTCCCACAGGTCTTCGCGTGCGTGTTTGCGTGGCATATGGATGACACTAACAACCGTGACAGAACTTGAATTATTTAGATCCGGCACCATGCACCCTGCTGTCCCCGATCCGGCGCAGAATCCCGATGCTCGTGGCCTGTCCACCCTCTTTGGAGGCTTGAATCTTCAGGCTCAGCGTCCGGGAGCTAAGTACACCGGTGTCAAGAACAACATGCCGATGCCAGTGCCTCCTTACAACCAGATGGTTCTTCTGCCCAACGGGACTCTTTTTGGCGGTCTCCCTTACGAGCAGAACCCCTACATGCCCGCCGCTGGTATCTATCCAGGCTTGGTTCCTCCTTGCCCCGTGGTTCCCAACCCTGCGGGTGACTTCTATCACGGTTCCGCTCCGAACATGGATCCTGCTGCACTGCCGAATTATGGCTTCGGTGGTTATCCTCAGCCAGGACCACCATGCCTCCCGTTCCAGATGATGAAGACCCCTACTGGCTATATCCTCCAGGACTTAGAGAGTCTTACTCAACAGGAACCTCCGATTCCACGTGCCGTGCCTGCTATGTGGACTAACCCTTCTGAGCTGACGCTTGCCAAGTGTCTCGAGAATCGAGAGGGCATCACTAACGTCTACATCCGAGGCTTCCTCCCAGAGACTACGGATGAGATCTTGTATGCCTATGCCTCTCGCTTTGGAAAGATCGACCGGTGCAAAGCGATCGTGGACTTGGACACTGGCATGTGCAAAGGGTTTGTTCCGTACCCGTCCCATTCTGTATGTTCCACACTGACTCGACAGATTTGGCTTTGTTCAATACTATAACTTTGAATCTTGCGAGAATTGCATTCGGGGATTTTTCTATCTTGGCTACCAGGCGAGCTTTGCCCAGGTATGAGCCCAGCACTGCCTGGTGACTTCCTATCAGGCTGACAATGATTAGAAATCGCGCAACTCTCGTCTGAAGGACCTCGAAGACAGAACCTCGACCAATATCTATTGCACCAACATCCCAATCGAGTGGACAGAGGCTGTAAGTATCCAGCAACATTTTTCGAGCCGGGCTAACCAGTGAACCTCCGGACAGGATCTCCGTCATCACTTTGAACCGTACCGCGTGATCTCCGAGAAAATCAGCCGCGACGAAAAGACTGGAGTGAGCAAAGAAGTTGGATTCGCACGGTCAGTGCCCAATCCCACAAACTAGCTATACCAATTCTGATCTACCACAGGTTCGAAACCCGTGAGATGGCTGAACAGGTGCTCGCGGAATACCACAATGTGACTGCCAAGGACGGCGTGAAGCTGCTTCTTCGCTTTGCAGACACCAAGGCTCAGAAGCTTCTTAAGCAACAGAGCAACGAGCGCCGCGCCTATCGTGCCGGCGAGTACAACTATTCGGTCGAGGTAGTTCAGGGATCCACTCCGTCGCCCTCCGTTAACCGTCTTCAGCAGACTGCCTCCCACCTCAGCCCCAACTCACAGGCCAGCTATGTGTCTCCTGCTGGAGTAGGCGCCGCCTGGACCCCCGCAACATCTATCTCTCCGTCGTATGTTCATGATGACCCGGACGAACGTGAGCCGTGCTGACAGGACAAGCAGGTTTCCCCTGGGGAAGGCCCAGGCCGGAAACATCCGTTTCAACTCGTGGTCTTCTAAGGCCGGGCCCGGAGGACCGGAAAATACTCCCTTGTACCGTGGACGACGCGGGGTTTGGTCTGACAACGTTGCCGGTGGCTCTTCCAAGATGGCCTTCCCGACCACGCCTTGTGTTGAAAGCCGCTCCGAACGGTCCAGTCCTCGCAAGGACATCAAGGCAGGATCCCTGTCCCCGATGTCTACTCGCAAGGAGATCATTGTGACTTCGCCCCGATCGGTCATCTGAGGTTTCTTCATCGGATGTCCCAATTACTTTCTGCTCTCTTTGAATCTTTCCCTCTCTCGTTTTGACCGACAAGCACCAAGAGCTGCTGCTCTCAGGAGCGATCCTTGGGATTTGCGTGGGTCGCCTTTTTGCTCAGTTTTACGCATACATCTGCAAAGGTTAGGCTTTCCGGCTACTAGTCGAAGCTTGTATGTCTTACACGGGAGTATGGGTTGTCACGATATGGTGTTGTTTGTTTTTGCTTTCTTCCGATGGTTTTGTGCTGGGCTTCTTGAGCTTGAGTGTTGTATGAGTGTTATCTGTTCTTGATTTCTTGACACCAGCGGCTCTATGGAAACAGAATGATGTCGATTTAAGAGTCTGTATCTGTTACGGCGGGATCCTGGCGGGCAGAAATTACGGCGGCGAAAAGGAGTTGGCAGGCACGCGTGGTTCTACATGGTGTAAAAGCATTGTTTATGCCCCCCCCCCCCCCCCATGTTATCAGCGCAGTCTACAGTTTGCGAATGAGATTTGTTATGCAACTGCGATATGCATTCGACGCAGACCTAAGAAATGAAGGTATGCAGCTGGTGTATGTCTATTGGTAGAATCAAAGTAAAGAAACGGCATAAAAGAAGACGGGGCTGGTGGGATCATCATCCATGCAAAAGAGGAACATCAGGGGAAGAGTACAGGCGGTCTGTCCAAGGATAGAATCTATATATACGATCAGACATGATCAGTGCCAATAACCCGAAACCAAAACCAAAACCGAAACCAGTCACGATCAATTCCGACCCAACCGCTCCTCCAAGTCCTCTGTCAGCTCATAAGCCGGACGATACTTCCCCTCCTGCCCTTCCTGCCCCTGTTCTTCGCCCTGCTCAACTCTCAACACCGGATTCGGCAACGTATCCGCCGTGCCCCCAAGACTAGTATACCCCCGATCATACAACTCGCAATATCTTAGCCCGAGCGCACGAATAAACGCCCAAATCTCGGCATAATGCCAATCGATGACGGGATGCACGCGCACGAAATCAGGCCACCCGCGATCCGTCCGATCGAAGTGCGAGAGCTTGGCGCCGTGCGGATCCGTGCGTCGCGTCCCAACGAATATGGCTTTCGTCTCGGGGTTGCTGGAGAGGTAGGAGGCGAAGGTGGAGCGGATGGTGCTGTGGGGCGGGTCGGTGGTGTATTTTTTGATGGAGAGGTGGTAGGCGCGCGAGGACCAGGTCACGAAGGTTTCGACGAGGGGGAAGGGGTCCGGGGGGAGGGCGTAGATTGCGGGAATTGTAGTTATGGTTTCGTTGGTGGTGGTGGTAGTGGTTGAGTTGGAAGAGGAGGATGGTTCGGGCAGAGGATGCAAGCTGGCGAGAAACAGGACCAGAAGCACCAGGCAGTCTTTCCCGCCGTTATATGACAGAGCCAATTCCGGGAGCGTGTAGCGGTGTAGAGCGGTCGCTAGGACGGCGAGCGAGAGTCGGGTTTGGTGTTGCACGGCCGAGAGGAGGGAGTCTGGTGGGTGGGATTCGGAGAGGAAGGTGTGCACTTTGGCGTGGCAGGCCGCGATTGTTGTTGAGAGGGTGGATGTTGTGGACATAGACAGGTCCGAGGGGGGGAAGACGCCGTTTGGGGGAGCGATGGTCTCATTGTCGGTGGTGGTAGTGCTGGTGGTGTTTGATTCTGGGGTTGTGGTGGAGGTGGATGCGGGTGTCATCGTGGCGGCGGTGATGGTGTCTCCATCTACATCTGGGGAGGGGGGGACAGGGTCGGTCATTTCTGTTCTTTGGGTCCGGGGATAAGATGGGTGTTTCTGTGGCATTGAGGGGTGGTGGGACTGGGGGTGGAATTGGGGGGAGAGAAAAAGGAGAGAGACTGAGGAGGGGTGGGTAGTGGGTGGTAGTTAGTGGTGGAGGTGGTGATGGTGGTGTATCTAGTCTATCGATAAGTGCCGTATATGCAAACTATCCGGTGATTCCAGCTGACAGGGTGTGTGGATGCCGATGATGAGTCACGGGGGGGGGGGGGCTGGATGGGCGGAACAGCAATTAATCTGTAAAATGAAGCATTTGTATTAATTGCGATCACTGCATTGTCTGGGCGAGATCTGAATTGACCTAAGGGTGCTGGAGGGCAGGGCAGGTAAACGAATAGCCGGGCTGGGAATAACTAATGGCACTGGAACTGGAATGTTCTTTCTGCCCCGCATCCCCCCCTGACCGCTTTCTTATCGTGTCGTATATCCTGCAGAATCAGAGGCACATGGTACAGACTATGGAGATATGTAGATGGATATTAGATTGATATAGATGAGGTGCGTGCTCGATCTACCTCCAATGGTCTGTGCTTTCGTGAAGTGCGCACGGGGCATGACAACACCACAGTGTTGACAGCGGATGTGCTATTGATCCTGCTATAGGGCTGGAAGGTCGCTAAATCACTAGCATAGAAATAACAGGCGACAATGACAATGAGAATGCAACATAATGAATCCACCAGGAGAGACCGATACCACCGCTCCAAAGACATCCTTCCAACGCCAGTTGACCAGGGTAGCCTGCAGGTAGCCTGCAGGTTGTAATGCCACCTTATACCTTCATCATCATCATCCCAAGACCTTCATCTTCTTTTTCTTCTTCTTGTCGTCGTCCTTCTTGTGGCCCTTTTGCCAGTCCCGCCAGCTGCCTATCCGCTCCTCCCGAGTGTCCTCCCAGGCCTTATCCTGATCCCGCTTCCGCTTGCGCGCCTCCAGCTCTTCCTCCTCCTTGCGCCGCTCGCGCCCTTCCTCCTGGAGCCGGGCCTTGGCCTGTCTCCGCCGCCGCGCCTCCTCGTCCAGGAGCACGTGGACCGTCTTCTTGCGCCACTCCTTCTTGAACTCGTCCGTCTGAAGCTCCGGCGAGTCAACCGTGTACTTGTGCTCGCGGATCAGCAGCCGTCGCGCATCCGCGATGCACTCGTCCAGGTACGTGCGCGCCTTCTCGTCCATCAGCGACGTGTGTGCTTTCTTGAGGCGATCGAAGGCATCGGGAGCCAAGGGGTTCTTCGTCTTGTCCGGGTGGATCAGGAGAGACTTTTTGCGGTATTGGACTTTGATGTCCGATTCGGGGACGCCGGGTTGTAGATCGAGGACCGCGTATCTAGGTGGAGGACCCCCCCGATTAGCTTGGATAGCCCGTACATATTAGGGCTAAGAGACGTAGGATAGATAATCCATGACTTACGCGTCTAGGGAGAACGCATTCCGAATGCGGTCAATTTCTGCATCCTGCAGTTTGGTTAGTCGGGAGAATTGCTATCGACAGAGTCAGGTGAGCGTACCTTGGTGAAGTCGGAGGCTTCTCTCTCCAGCGCGTCCAGCGCATCCAGCGAGTCTTGATCCTCGGATGCCATGATGAGCGTCGGGGTACGGCAATATTGGAGAAGAACTGTTCCTGCGGTATGCCGGCCTGCCAATAATGATAAGCATCGGCTTATCGCCGGCTGAGTCAGCCCGGAACGAGCGCTGGAGAAAAAAAGTTGCTTCACCGCCCGACGTTTGTCGAGATCTGCTTTTCCGCCCAGCAACAAAAGACCCTCTCTATCGTCGCAAAGCTCCTCGCAGTCTGTGGTCGATTTCTGGATTATCTCGACCGCTGAGACCCCGTTGAGCCCATTATGGCCCCCACTAATGGCCCTCGCCATGGCAAGCACTCGAAACAGCCCCAACGCGGCGCCAATCTGAAGCGCAAGCGCAACCAAGACGACCTGGCCACCCTCGTGAAGAAGGTGGAAGAGCTTGATGTCAAAGAATCCGTGAAATCGTTCTCCGATCTGCCTTTTTCCGAACCCACCGCTTCCGGACTGGCCGCATCCCACTTCAAGACGCTGACCGATATCCAATCTCGTGCAATCACCCACGCGCTCAAGGGCCGGGATATTCTGGGCGCCGCGAAGACGGGCAGCGGCAAGACGCTCGCTTTCCTGCTCCCGATCCTCGAAAACCTGTACCGCAAGCAATGGTCCGAGCACGATGGTCTGGGCGCGCTCGTCCTCTCGCCCACCCGCGAACTCGCGATTCAGATCTTCGAGGTGCTTCGCAAAGTCGGTCGCTATCATACATTCTCCGCGGGTCTGGTGATTGGTGGAAAGAGTCTGCGCGAGGAACAGGAGAGACTGAGTCGGATGAACATCCTGGTCTGCACGCCTGGTCGCATGCTTCAACACTTGGATCAGACCTCTTTCTTCGACACGTTCAACCTGCAGATGCTCGTGTTGGACGAGGCGGACCGTATCCTGGACATGGGTTTCCAGAAGAGTGTGGACGCCATCATCGGCCATCTTCCCAAGGAGCGCCAGACGCTGCTTTTCAGTGCCACCCAGACTAAGAAGGTGTCTGACCTGGCTCGCCTGAGCTTGAAGGACCCCGAGTACGTGGCGGTCCACGAGGCGGCCTCTTCCGCGACCCCCTCCAAGCTCCAACAACACTACGTCGTTACGCCTCTTGCGCAGAAACTCGATGTCCTGTGGAGTTTTATCCGAAGCAACCTGAAGTCAAAGACGATCGTTTTCCTGTCATCGGGGAAACAGGTGCGGTTCGTCTACGAAACCTTCCGACACATGCAGCCCGGTATCCCGTTGATGCACCTTCACGGTCGTCAGAAGCAGGGTGGACGACTCGACATCACAACCCGGTTCTCTTCCGCTCAGCATGCCGTTCTGTTTGCCACGGACGTGGCCGCGCGCGGTTTGGATTTCCCGGCCGTCGACTGGGTTATCCAGCTCGACTGCCCGGAAGATGCTGATACTTACATTCACCGTGTGGGTCGGACAGCCAGATACGAGCGCGATGGCCGTGCGGTGCTTTTCCTCGACCCCAGCGAGGAGAAGGGCATGCTCAAGGCGCTTGAGCAGAAGAAGGTTCAGGTGGAACGCATCAACGTGAAGGCCAACAAGCAGCAGAGTGTCAAGGATCAGCTGCAGAACATGTGTTTCAAGGACCCCGAGCTGAAGTATCTGGGGCAGAAGGCCTTCATTTCCTACGTCAAATCCATCTACGTCCAGAAGGACAAGGAGATTTTCAACATCAAGGAGCTGAAACTGGAGGACCTGGCGGCCAGTTTCGGCCTTCCCGGTGCGCCCCGCATTAAGTTCATCAAGGGAGACGATACCAAGGAGCGGAAGAACGCCGCACGGTCTACCGCCTACGCGTCTAGCGGCGACGAGGGATCGGATGACGAGGGTGAGAAGAAGGCCAAGGAGGAGCCTCAGGTGCGGACGAAGTACGACCGTATGTTCGAGCGACGGAACCAGGGTGTCCTGGCAGACCATTACCACAAACTCATCAATGACGACGGCACGATTGTCGAGACCAAGGCCGCGGACGACGAAGACGAAGACGACGACTTCCTGTCCGTCAAGCGCCGCTTCGCTGCCGGCGACAAGGATTTGGACGTGGCTGGATCAAGCTCGGAAGACGAGGGAGGCGAACCCAAGAAGCCAACCAAGGTGGTGCACCTCGATGGCAAGGACGCGCTGGTTATCGACTCCAAGCGCCGCGAGAAGCTCCTGAAGTCGAAGAAGAAGCTCCTCAAATTCAAGGGCTCCGGTACGAAACTGGTCTACGACGACGAGGGCAACGCCCACGAGCTGTACGAGATGGAGGACGAAGACTCATTCAAGGCCAAGGGCGATGCCAAGGACCAACAGGCTCGCTTCCTGGAGGAGGAAACCGCGCGCACCCGCCAGGCCGATCTGGAGGACAAGGAAGTCGACAAGCAGAAGCGCCGCGAGAAGAAGGAGAAGCGCAAGGCCCGCGAGCGCGAGCTCCTCCTCGCCGAAGAAGAAGGTGGCGATCTGGTCCAGCTTCCTCGCTACGCCGGCGACGACAACGACGGTGGCTTCTCGCAGTCCGAGGCGGAGGAAGCCCCTCGTCCCAGCAAGAAAGCCAGAGTCTCGTTCTCGGACCAGACCAGCGACGACGAGCGCGAGCGCCAGCCCAAGAAAGCCAAGAAGGCTGCCACAGCTCCGGGACAGATTCAAACCTTGGAGGATCTGGAGTCGCTGGCTGCGGGCTTGCTGGAGTGATTGTGATGGTGATGATTGGATTCGTGATTCTGTATTTGTCTTCTGGATATATCCCTTTCTCCTTCTTGTTCGTCTTCTTTCTTTGTTCATCAGCGGAGAGTGCCAAAAGTTCATGAGATTTCGGTAGGTAGCATAGCCTTGTAAATAGTGTAATCAATTGATACTGTCGCCAGGTTTCTGGATATCCAGCACCCCGTAGATGTACATACATATTTTAAAGGAAGAGCAACCGCGATAATTTCTCCGGAATCGCCAAGCCCGGCAGGCGAGCCGATCCGGCGGGGGCCCCAGGCTACCGTCGGCAATCCTTCATTGCGTTCCTCCAATCCTCCCTCGACCAGCCTTTCCCCGTACGTAATGCCTTTCGAGCACGCCATCCGCTAAACCAGCAAATTTTCAGCGTCAAGAAATGTGGTGGTATCTGGCTCAGCATTTGAAGGGAGGAACTTCTCCCTCCGATCACGACGTTTGAGTGAGACCGTCTCAGTTGACCGATGCCCAACGGTGAACACCCACTTTTTTTTCTTTTCCATCGCGTCTAAATCCCGGGGTTTGTCCGCCGCCAATCGCGTGGCGTGTGTCGAAAGTCCGCCGGTGCGCTTTCCTATTCGGGAAGTAGGGCTTAGTGTCACTTCCCTTTAGCCTTGCACTGGCATCTGTCATATCTAAGCAGTTGATATCTAGACAGACAGAAAGATATCCCATCATGGCTGCGCGGGATATCGAGAAACAACCTACTCCCAGCGCTGCTCCTCGCGAGCCCCTGGACCCCCACGCCAAAACCGCAGACGCATCGGCCGATTTTCTGGACCCTGGCGTCCAACATATCAATGCGGACCGACTTGCCCGCAAGCTCTCTGCCCGGCAGGTGCAGATGATTGCCATCGGTGGTACCATTGGCACCGGCCTGTTCCTGGGAACAGGGAAGTCTCTGGCGACGGGTGGACCCGCGTCGATGCTTATATCGTATCTGATTTGTGGTGCGATTGTGTTTGTCACGATGTTGTCGCTGGGCGAGATGGCGGCGTTTATCCCTGTTGCGGGCTCGTTTTGCACTTTTGCTGGGTGAGTAGTTCCTCTCTCGCCCTCCCTCCCTCTCTCTCTCTTTTACAGTTTGAGGACTGGGTGAATGAAAGGAATAAATGAACTAATGGAGTTGGTTGGTTGGGTAGTCGCTTTGTGGACGATGCGTTGGGGTTTGCGCTGACCTGGAATTACTGGTTTAATGATGCCGTGTCGACAGCGTCGGATATCATCGCGCTGCAGCTTCTGCTTGAGTATTGGACTGATAATTTCCCCGGGTGGGCGATCAGTCTGATCTTTTTGGTGGTGGTTATCTTTTTGAATGTTCTTTCTGTGAGGGTTTATGGAGAGGTGAGTTGGTTGACTCTGAAGTATGGTATGCTGGTATCTGTGACTGACCTGAGTTTGTTAGATCGAGTACTGGCTCAGTCTTCTCAAGGTGGTGACGATCGTCGTAAGTCGTTCTTTTAGTCATTTCTTCCAATAAATACTAATCATGACCGTCAGATCTTCATCATCCTGGGCATCGTGGTCAACTGTGGCGGAAACAAGGAACACAAGTACCTGGGCAATAAATATTTCTATACTGGAGAAGCCCCGTTTGTCGATGGCATCGGCGGCTTTGCATCCGTCTTCGTAACAGCGTCCTTCGCATAGTATGTCCTCGATCCCACCCGAGCCCACCATACACTTCAGGATCCCACTCACTAATACAACAACAACAGCGGCGGTACCGAATCCATCGCCATCACCGCCGGCGAAACCAAAGACCCATCGCGGACCCTCCCCCGCGTCGTCCGCAACGTCTTCTGGCGCATCGTCCTCTTCTACATCGTCTCCATCGTCATCATCGGCCTAGACGTCCCCTACAACTACCCGGACCTCTCATCCGAAAGCACCGCCACCAGCCCCTTTACCATCGTCTTCGTCGAGGCCGGCAGCGCCGTCGCGGGCAGCTTCATCAACGCGGTGATCATGACCAGCGTCATATCCGCCGCCAACCACGCCCTCTTCGCCGGATCGCGTCTTCTCTACACACTCGCCGTGGACGGCTACGCGCCCCGCTTCTTCGGCCACCTGAACCGCTTCCAGGTCCCCTGGGTTGCTGTCCTCGCCACCTCCGTGATCAGCGGTCTCTGCTTCGGGGCTAGCTATATCGGCGCTGGACAATTGTGGTCTTGGTTGCAGAAGTATGTCCCTCCCCCATCAATTCATCCATCCCCTATACCAAACCACCCGAATATACACTAACAAAACAAACCCAGCATCGTCGGCGTCTCCAACCAACTCTCCTGGACATTCATCGGCCTCGCCTCCCTGCGCTTCCGCGCTGGAATCCGTCGCCAGGGCCTCGAACACCTTCTCCCCTACAAGAACTGGACATATCCCTTTGGCCCCATCATCTCCATCTGTCTGAACATCGTCCTCATCCTCGTGCAGGGCTGGTCCTGCTTCAGCCCCACTTTCCAGGCCGTCGACTTCGTCTCGTACTATATCGAGATACCGATCATGCTGGTGATGTTTGTGGGCTGGAAGCTATTCAAGCGCACAAAGTTTGTCAGGCTCGATACGATGGACTTGTTGACCGATCGGTATAATTTGTTGCAGACGGAGGGGGTGGATGCTGATTCTGTTGGTGATGGGCAGAGCTATGGTTCGGGTGATGGGACGGATACCCGGGGAAGAGGGAAGATTTCCTCAGCGTGGAGGAGTGAGAAGGGGGTTCTTGGAAAGGTGAAGAAGTTTGGAATGTGGCTGTTTTTGTGATTTATTTGGGTTTGTTTGGATTGGATATTAGATACTGGGTTTGGTGTTTGAATGTTGGCTATTAATTATTAATTGATGGGTTATGGTGCACTCCGTGTTGGGTGGAATTAATGATCATGAAGATATGGCTACTTTCATCCTGGTATACAGTATCCAGTAGGGTTACCAACGAGAATCACATCGCAATGATCGTGAAAAAGATACTTATACTGCAGAACGCTCCTATTCCCGCTCATGAACCAAATATGATATATCAAAGAACCCTTCATAAGTACACTGGCAGCTAAGAATTCTAAGACCCTCTCTCCTCCACGACCTCCTCCACCACAACAACACCCTCCGCAGCAACACCTTTCTCCTCCCCATGTCCCTCTCCATTATCATGCTGATGCTGATTCCTTCTCCGTAGTCGCCCAGACGCATCATGATCCCGATCCCACTCCGCGATGCGATCTTTCGGCACCCGGACCAATTTGTGGGCTGTCGCGTCTCCGCCCACCGAAATGAGCGTCTGCCTGAGCTCGTAGTGGCCCCAGCGTGGGAGGATCTTGATCCAGAGGTAGTAGTATGCCCCGCAGGCGGCGATGCTATTGATTGTCATTTCATCAGTGTTGGTCTTTATGTGGGACTTGTTTCTAACGTAATTGGACGGCACTGGGGAATAGGGATGGGGGAGGGGGAGGGAGGGGAAACTCACATCGCAATACCCACAACGCAATACGTCGCATACCAGAAACTGACATCGCCACCGTCAGCACCCGTGGAAGGCGGGTACCATGGCGCGACGAGCATGTACAGACTCGATAAGATGGCGAAGTACACTGAGACTGTCCAAGCCTTGTATCCCGAGGGAGGGAAGTTGAGGCGTTGGCGCCGGTGGCGCGTGATCAGGATACCGGTTGCTAGGAGGAGGTTGAAGATGTTGGCGGGGTAGATGCTTAGGTCGACGACTGGGTTGGGGCGTTAGTCTTTGACGGGGGGGGTGGGGTTGAAGGTGAGACTCACTGAAGTTGAAGGCGTCACCGGCGGGAGGAGCCAGAATCATGACTACGGTGAGGGCCCATTTGACGAAGTAGGGGCCGAGAGGAGTTCCGAAAGGGCGGGTGGAGGTCCAGAATTCGGTGAAGGGGAGGACGCCTTGTCTTTTTGGTGGAGGGGTGTCAGTGGATTGGATTGGGTGTGGTGGGAGAGGAAGGAGGAGAAACGTACCGGCCACATTCGCGGAGCATGCGAGATTGGCCGATTAGTACGGCAAGGAGGTTTCCTAGTGCACTGAGACAGATGAGTACGTTCAGGGCGCGAGAGGCCCCCGACGTGCCGAAGACTTTCTCGAAGAAGAGACTCGCTGCGGTGACGTTCGAGTTGAGGATCTCTTCCTTGCTGGCGGCGGAGAAGTAGGCGATGTTGGCGAGGATGTACAACACGGCTGTGAGGAGAAGGGCGGCAGGGGCGCTCCAGCGGAGGGTTTTGACGGGGTTCTTTTTTAGACTCTGGTTAGAATGGACGTGTGTGGTGGTGTAGGGTGGGACGGCATACCCTAACTTCGTTGACCACATTGCAGGCATTCTCGTATCCGGCGTACGAGAACATCACCTTTACCAGGGCGTTGGTAGCCCCATAGACTGTTGCTCCTGAGGTTCCCGAGAAGGCATCGCGGAAGTTGACTAGGGGGTCTTTCACAGGGGTATGACCGCCCAAGACGACGAGGCCAGCGATGCCGATGCTGTTTCGTCAGGTTTTATATCAAGAGAAGGGAGGGCAGTCCATACAAGACCAACGTCACTAGCTTGACAACGCCGATAGCATTGGCAAGCCAGAGAGAGTACTTCGTATTGAAAGTCAACACTGGTTCAGTCAGTACACCGCATCATTCAGCCCAGCAAGATGAACAGTAACTCACAAAGTGTAGCAATAGTATAGGCCGCCACCGCAACTCCTTTTTCCTTCCAAGCGGTCGTATCCGCATCCGCAAGCTTGAAGAGATACTCCGCCAGCACTTCAAGTCAAAATCATTAGTCTCGTCTTTCCCAGTCTCTCCCAGAAACTCAAAAGTGCAGGGGACACATACCAACAGCATTACTACTGCTAAACGAAAACAGCACCGTCTGCATCGCAAACACCGTGGGGAAGAAATACTTCGGCCTCGGATAGGACTGTTCCAGATACACGACCTCCGACCCCGATCGACTTGGAAAGTATGACGTAAACTCCAGATATACAGAGAGCATGCTCGCAGCCATGAAGAACCCAATTACCCAGTAAAAGAGCGCCAGACCAACAGATCCAGCTCCATCAAGAACGGTAGATGCTGCACACACCCCATCAAGATCAGCAATTGCCCCAGCATCCCCCCCCAAGAACAAACTGGAAGCAAAAGCAAAAGAATGAGGAAGACATACGAGTCGAAAACACACCCGTCCCAATCATCTTACTCAAGTTCAAGAAAATAACCGTGACCGCCCCAACCGAGTATCCCAGCGGCGACTTGGATTCAATTGGTGCCCCGCTCGCTTCCTGGTAAGTAAGCTTTGCAGAATTCTTGCCTCCGCCAGCAGTATACTGCATATTGCCATCATCGATAACGCTCAAATTCTCACTCGAGGGCGTGAAGGTCCCCCCTGCCTCTGCCTCATCAGTTTTGGTGGTGAAGGGTAGGAAGCCCATCGTTTCACTCCGAACACAACAGGGGTGTATGTGTAAAAGACAGCGGATGGCTTGTCCAATTAATTGAGATTGATGAGAGTTTCTGTCCGCCTGTCATGTCGGGCACTTTCGTGAAGATATACGATTGACATCTTCGCTTGGTCGCACTATACTCTCATGCTATCGGAGGTTGATGTGGTACATGTACGATGCTCATTGTGGGAGGCAATGGCGTGATTCCGCGGTCCGCGATTATCTTGAAGATGACATGATGGGGTGGATGAGGTGCTTGCTAGGTTGGTCTAAGCGGTGCGGGGAAGCGAAGACGATAATGGGTCTGTATTTGGCTTCCGCAGTCGAAGTGCTTTAAAGGTCTTCAATATTACAGCAGTGATATCTGGGAGAAACGGAGGTCAGCACGGATTCGGAACCGTGGAGTGGACAAGGGTAGATTGAGGGACCGCACCGGTAGCTACCACAAATTTCCAACAGGTTTATTCCGGGAAAGAATCTCAGAAGAAGAAAGAAAGATCCATGGTTTTGCCGAGACGCGAGAGGGGTGATGGCGATGGCGACGGCGATGACACGATTGCAGGGGCCGATGGCAGAATCTAGCCCCAGGCCATTGAAGTCGCTTTATCTGGGCAGGTGTCGCCATCTCGACGGCCCCTTACCTGGTGGCGTCTATCATGGTGCATTAGTCTCTTGTGATCGGCGTTGATAACGACGGGCTCGTGAGTGTTTTGCGTAATGGATCTGGACGGATGAGAGTGAGAGGTGAGGGAGGGAGAGGGAGGGAGAAAAAAAGGGCGAGAGGAGGATGAAGGCGCGATGTATCACATGACGGGACAGGACACCGGGCTAGATACATTTGATTAAGTAGGTATCTACTACTCCTTGTTGAGGAGTAGAATTGAGGTATTAGGTAGAATCAACATATTCCGTCTCGGCACTGGTTGAAGTCTACTGTTGAAGGCAGTTGAATTCAAACCGTCAAAGTCATTATTATCTATAGGGCATTATCTAGGGTATATTAATGGCACAACAGCACCTCCTACACATTCTGCATGCCATCGATTCCATCTTCATCGACTACCTGGATTGCCCAGGGAGCCCTATTTAACCAAACAGTTGGGACACTTCACCGTATCTTGCTCCACATTCCGAATACATTCAACAGCCACCGTGTACAGCTCGCCCCGGCGAATAGCCTCGTACGCAATGCCGATAACGTCACCCATGGTCGGCATAGCGGGACCCGCTGTCTCACCGGGCTCAAGGGGGCGCCAGAGCGTCTCCTCCGTGATGAAGGGGATGTTCAAGTTCTGACGGACGTAGGCATACATCATGCGAGATGCCTGTCCCAAGTACGGGGTGGCATCTGGGTTCTTGCAGTACGCCTCGTGTGTGATGCGATAGGAATTGAGTGCCTGCGCGCCCAGAGTGTCGATCCAGGATTGGATGAGAGTCGGGGAGGCATCGCTTGGGGGCAGCGCGGTGACGAAGATGGGGAGAACGGCCCGAGCGGCTTGGTGGAATCGACTGCCTGAGTCGACGGACTGGAGTTGGCCTACTTGCTTTGAGAAGGCGCACCAGGCCTCTTTGGCGAGGACGGAAATGTTCTTGCTTGGCATGGCGTGCACTTTGAAGCTCGCGTCGAAGATCGCCATGAAGTCTTGCTCCAGAGCCTGCATGAACTGGGTGTTCATGACGCGGAGGTCAAGCGCCTGGCAGACGGCGACGAGATGGGCGGCTGCCATCTGTGATAGCACAGTGACAGCTTCAAGGGTGTAGCGGCTCGAAATAAGCGCGAGGGAGTTCAATGCTTGGTTGCCCATCTCGGCTGTCTGGACGTGGTTTCCAACCGGGTTTGCAAGGAACCCGAGCTCCGACTGGAGAGCGGCAATCATGATGTCAACGCCCTTAAAGGTGAAAGAAATGCTAGGCTCGTCGGCAGACAGGTTGGGAGGCAAGCCGTGGTTCTTGGATGGATCAATCAGCTCCGTACACTGTGAGAACAGCATACGACCCATAGATTGAAGAGCCTGTCGGGTCTTCTCCATGGCGCTGGTGACCGACTTCGCCTGGAAGTTACCACCGTGCATGATGCGCGCATTGGGACCAGAAGTGTCGATAAGAGGATTGTCAGTTACAGAGTTCAGCTCCGCTGAGATCTGCTGATATGCCAGCTCCAAGTCCTCCAGAAGCGGTCCCATCCATTGAGCGGACGTCCGAATCGAGTACCGATCCTGACGCAAGACTCCAGGCCCCATTTCATCGCCATCATTGAGCAGCTTCGACTTGTTCAGGAACTTGAACAGGTTGTTGGCAGCCGTGGTCTGTCCCGGGTGAGGGCGCACTTTTGCGAAAAAGGGATCAAAGCTCTCTCTCATACCGTGCAGAGCCTCGACACTCATTGCCGCCAGAATTTGGCTCATGGCAGCAAGGCCGAGAGTCTCATGCAGAGCGAGGCCTCCAACAGCGGCAGAGGTCGCTGTTCCATTAACGATGGCTAGACCCTCTTTCGCATGCAGCCGCACAGGCTGGATCGAGTTCTCGGAAAGAGCGACATCCGCTCCCTTCACCTGACAGTCGGAGTTGTGGTCACGCTTCCAGACGTGGATTGACGGGTGTCCCTGCATGGCTCCACCGACGTAAGACAAGGGGTTCAGATCCCCGGAGGCAGATATACTGCCTCTGAGTGGAACCCGTGGGGTGATATGGTCCTCAATCATCTGGAGCAAAACGTCAAGGACCGACTGTCTGATGCCTGATGCTCCCAGAGAAAGACAGTTGAGGCGAACGATCATGGTAGCCCTTGTCCATGCCTCTGGCATGATGGTAGCCGAGGTAGGGTCATCCAGAGGAAGGATGTTTCCGAATTGCTTGCTGACAGCGCTCGGGTTTGAACCGTCGACCTTGATACCGGCCTGCAGCATCTGCAGCAAGTTTTCTTGCAATTTGTGGACTGCATTGGTAGTCGTGTCGGCACTGCCACCAAATCCAGTGTTGACTCCTACAGCCATCCAATCAGTACCAATTGAAGCGTTTCCATCATACCGAAAGACCAACCGTAGATCAACTCCCCATCAGCCAGGTGCTTTTTCAGCGCCTTCTCAGACCGATATATCTGGTCTCGGGTGCGCTGGGACAACGACACACGCTTTCCATATCTGCCAAACAGTCAGAAACATGACTGAAAGATTCAGATGTTTTCAGATGAAAGTCTCGCATACCTTGCCCCCGCTACAACCGTAGCTAGATCAAGAGTTTTGCCATCAAGGTCCCGAGCATCATCGTGGTTCGCAAGGACGTTGTTGAGCGCGGCCCAGTGACGGATCAATACGCTGTTCATCTTCGTCTGGATATGTGTTGAACGTAAACTCTAGTGAAGAGGAAGGTGCCGTTGATTGAGCAATTGAGAGTCGGGTAGTTCCTCAAAGATATAGCATCGCACGATACAAGTACCAATGTATATCAAAGATATAGCTATCAAGGCAATCGACCCTTGCCTGACGGGCAGCTGAACAGCTTACACCGACACATTCCAGTCACTGTATGTTTTATCCCCTCACCCCGTGACAACAACCGAACCAGGTCGATCGATTGGCGGAACAGCAATTCCGCCCTGAAGTAACCAGAGCAATGATTGGCCTGCCATCTCAAAACGTCCTGGTAGATATGACTCCGTGATACGAGATAACCACACTGCAAGTGAGCCAAGCCATCATTGGTGAAAGGCCACCAGACAGGGATGCTCGGAGGCTCGGCACTTAGAAAACGACCCCCGTGCCTGTCAGCCTGCAGATAGGCCAGTGAGAGCCATGACTCGGGGGGCGGGGGGGGGCATAGCAGCCGAAATAATGGCTCGATCTAGCCCCTCCATAGCACGATCGGTCAAGCGTAGTGTGATGCCCGTAATTCCAGGGTCCTGTAGATCATGGCTCAGATCGGCCGATCCGACGGCTTCGGGAGCCGGTTTCCCGAGCTGGAGAGGGTTCTCGTTCCCACCTTGCATTTGCTTCGGTTAAGGGTATGGTATGGGTGCTGGTGAGTCTAGCACCGTTGGAGTATTACGTTATGTGCCGTGCAGTCGCCTGCAGGTTTCGAGGCAGGGCCACAGTGCCCCCTGTTCCGACCTGGGCATTCATCCCATCCATTGTAGCAACAGTGCAAACGAGCTAAATGTATGCCGAGCGACGGAAACCCGGTATTAACGTGGTGAGTGAAGTCCTCTCCAAAACGAGCCTCAGAAAGAATGCTCCCATTTCCCGAACTCGAAGCTGGGGTAGTCGACCAGAATGTCAGCCTCTCTCCGGGGAAGCCCCCTTCAAAATATCGCAGAGAGACTTCGCTTACCGTTCGGTCCTCTCTACGAGGTGGTAATCCGAGGGTATAAGAAAGGACATCACCAGGCAGCAAGTTTCACGATGGCGAGTATACTTGCCGAAGTCACTGCCGACCCAGAGCAGAGAAGCAGCAGGCAGAAGACTCCGGACGGCGGGCGATGACGACGGCGGAGTCCCGTGATGGCGGCCTGGTTTCCCCGGCATGCCATCTGTCCTTGCATCTCATCCCAGCCAGCCATCGTTTTCAAATCCGTGCTCAGTGAGACATTCCTACGACTCGGGTACCGCATCCACATGCCGAACAAATCAGCTCTCATCCGCTAAATCGCGCCTCCTTGCTTATCTGGTGAACTTTAGGCTGTGATACCCAAGAAGGTTAATAATTAAGATGGGGGAAAGAAAGGGGGGGGTCCTTTGGGGTGCGGAGAATATGTACTACAGTGCAACTACCGCCGATATACGATCTCGGGCTGGGAATATTGGCGACGTTCGAGATCACAACAAGCCAACCACGAATACCCATTCTCATCTGCAAATCGGAGAATACTATACCCCCCGACACCATGTCAAATCACACTTCACGATCCTAATTCCCCGCAGAGAGAGATTTGAGACATGACAAGACAGTCCGAGGCCGTGATCCAATCGGCTAGCCTCCATTTTAGACCCAATGATGCCACCCCGATTTTCCATAAGGGTCATGATGTCAGTCGGAAACATTGCAAGTAATAGGGGCTATAATAACAGGAAAGGTAATCTTGACCATTACAAAGCCATGACCAGTATTATGGTGACTGGACTCCACATGACCTGGCGTATATAGATTAAAGTACATAGAATAATGCTCTTCTTTCTCTCCTTCCCCACATATGCAGTGATGCAGTAATAAGCTGATGATGATAATAATGATGAGACAATTCCCGGACTCCACACAACGCCGTCTATGACATGAACCAAACATTCAAGACACCGGAGGTATATCTTAAGGAAAGACAGCGCGCTATGCAGCAATAAAAAAGAACAGAAGGGAAGAAACCAATGACCGGGAACTATGCAATATCGCAACATCTGACAAAGGAAAAGAATTGTAACTCGATGCGTCCCGTCCGTCGAGCGCTGGGGGAGGAAGGTTGTGCTGTGTTGAAGACAAAGGAAAAATGAGGTGGAAATGAGGTGACAATAAGATGACAATAAGATGAAAGTGATGTGTGATGTGTAGACGTGGAGATGAGGTGGAAATAAATCTGATGGGCGTGTTGAATGTCAGGGACTGTAGGAGAGCACCCACCGCACCACAAAGGAAAGTGTACATTAAGATCATTATAGTTGTAGATCCCGCTACAAGCCTTGAATCAATGGCTCAAGTGAAGAAAAAGAAAGAAGTGTGCTAACCTCGACCGGGATCTCGAGGTGAAGTGTGGATAAGTGGCTAATCATTCACCATGTCATCCAGGGCCATTTTGCGCCGTTTGGTCGGTCGAGAGTCTCCCGGATCCGCATCAGCGCCTGACGGTTCGTCGTGAGTGTGTACGGGTGACAGTTGCAGCGAGTGTCTATCCGTGGCGGCAGAGCCCATGTGTCCCAATTGTCGGTGAATTGGTTCCCCGTACCCATAGTCGGACATTCCTTGACGCATTTGACTGTTGGGAGATATCGGTTCGATCATACCGTGTGCCGGCATCGGGGGACGGTGCTCCTGCTGGAGAAGCTCCTCTCGCGTGCGCGGAGACCACGGGGCCGAATACGGATCGCTCAAGCGGTGCCCCTGTGGCGCAGATGCCGGTGTTCCCATCGTGGGTGGGTAAATGGGTGGAAGCCTCACCGGGGACTCCAAATAGCCTTCACGAGGATCTCGAGACATGGGGGATTCTCCCATCGGCATCCGCGTCTGCATGCGGGTACTCTCCGGGTACGGTGAAATCGGAACGTACGATTGCTGATACTGCGGGGGCGTCGTGGAAGGATTCATCCCCTGAGGCGCGTAAGACGAAAGTGGTCTTCCCACGCCCATAGGCATGCGACTTGCCGCCAGGGCTGGGTTGTATCCACCAGGCATCGGCATTGGAACATAGCTGGGTGGCGAAGCCGCAGTCAAGGACTGCACGGAGCCAGAAGAAGAAAATCGCCTATGACCCATGTTCCTTTGCATCGTAATCGCAGGATCGATCGCCTGGGGGTACATAGAAGCGGTCCATCTTTGTGGATGTCCGGCTGAGGCCCTCATAGCCATGGCCCCAGGTTGCCCGCCCGGAATCTGAAGGTCTGTCATGGGACGGATTTCTCGAGAAGATGTGGCTCTATGCAAGCTGCGTCTGGATTGGGATCCGTGTGGCTCTCCTGATGTCACTCGGTTGTCCATGTGAGCCGCATACGTTCTCAGAGATGCTTCCTCTGCTTTCAAGGGCGGTCGTCCTCGTTTCTTGTGCGTAACGTCGACACATGTTGCCTGGATTGGTCAGCCATTTCGTTCACATCCGTGCTAACCATGAGATATTACGGAATCCTGGAAGTACTCCATCTTCCTTCCTCATCCCCAGCATCCCATGCTCAAAGAAATATTGTCCACTTACTTCTTTCCCGGACAGAACGCATCTCCGACACGGGCGTGCGGGATCGCATCCCAGGTGCTTCTTTTTGCAGTTGACGCATGCCGATGCGACATGGGCCTTGGTGCGTCGCGTCGGCTTTTGCGGCAACGGCCGGGCAGTCGTCCCGGGCGGAGAGGTTCCAAAGGAGGGTTGCGCATACGCAGAGGCGGCAGGCTGTGATATGCCTTGGGCTGTCAGGGAGGGGGGAAGTCGCGACGAGGGAAACGAATCGCTGATGCCGAAGGTTTGGCGCAGGGTTTCATCGCCGGGCGCGGACACCATGCGCTGCACCACGGCGTCATGCGTTGCGGCGACCCCGGCCGATCCTGGAGGGAGGACTGGACCCGCCAGCCCAGCGGATACGGAAGTCGATGCTGTCGCGGCTGCCACGGTTGTCACTGGCTGGAGGATTTCGTGATGAGCGGAGCGCCTGGCGGTCCCAGCAGTGTCCAGCGGGTCCTCTCCTGGGACCGAGCCGGACATAGAGCGAGGGAGAGGTAAGTCCCGGGGGTATACCGACGAGCATTTGTCGACCGAGACAGATTCAACGGAGGCCGGTCCGGGCCCGGATTGAACCTGGGGTGTCCAAACTCAGTAGTGATGAAGGAGGAAGGAGGAAGGACTAATGATTGCATCTGGTACGATGTGGTCCCTTTGACGACGGAAGCACGGTTCACAGGAATGGGACACGGTCTGGTTCCGATCTGAAAGTAGGCAACATATCTGGCGCGGCGAGGCCTTTTGTTGTATACGGGGTTTGCGGTGTGTTGTTCAGTTGCCAGTCATCATTGAAACCTCACGCCTGCAGTCAGAGGACCACAGGAGCTTATAATCAGTCAGTCACGGATCACTATTGGAGGAGTCAGAAACTAGGATGCGTCGATCAGCAGAGGGAAGCCAGATCGTGACAGCAGTTTTCCATAGCTTCGATGGTCCCCATCCTGGGATGATTTATTGCAGCATGGTGGGCGATCAATGGAGCCCAGGGAAATGCACAGAATGACCATGGCAAAAGCAATAATAATAGAGCATAAGATTAAAATAAAATACACGAGTTGTACCTTACCTTTCAGTAACGATGGACTGTAGGGCTATTCTTTTTTTTTTCTCTTCTTTTTTTTTGTCTGTCCGTTCCCTTCCCTTCTCTCCCGCTGATTGCCCTGTAATTATTCCGGACCCTTGTATAGAGGCGTTGCTGCGAGCTGGAGATGAACTGGCTAAACCCTTTCTCTCTCTCGTCCCGCCAGCAGAGGCGGAAAACGGTGAACTATACCGGAAAGTGAGGCGTAAAAATCCGGTGGGATCAAACTGTCTTTTCCCAACGGAGCGTGATGCCAGGGAATATATATGGAGAAGGAATTAAATCCGAAAAAAAAAAGAAAAGAGAGTAAAAAATGGGTGAGGGGAAAGGATTCGCGAATAGGAGGTTTTTATCGAGGACGTCCAAGCTGAGCACAAGTCGTCAACGGCCAAGGAACTTTGCATCCACCCACGCAACGAGAGAGTCCGGCTGGGCGGTCTAGTACCCATGAGTAGGTAGTCGTAGCAAGTGCCCTGGCCGAGGCAAAGAAAGGCAATAAGGGAAGAGGAGGAGGGAAAATGCGATCCCCATCCACCCAACCATCCATCCATCCCCCCCCCGTCATGGCCCGCAGCTTGTGACAAGGCTTATACCTGTTCCAACATGGAGGGAGCCTGTTTGCTTGGTTGACTGGCAATAGATGGGACCAGAAAGTGGGTATCGGTGGCCAGTGCAACACCGACTAGCAGCCGATAGACTTGATCTCCGTCATGGTAGATCTTAATGGGGTATCTTTCGCTCCGTCGAGTCTGGAAATATGTGAGTCTGAAGGTTAGTGAGGTTCGGAGGAACGAGTAATATCAAATGCTCCGGAGAGGTCAGAGAGGGGGGTGTCTGGCTCCGTCGTGTCTTCAGACAATTTCCCCAAGACCGGTAGATGATTCTTTTTCGCCCTTGGCTGTGGATCAGGTGTCATTGGAGCTGAGCGGACGGTGGTTGCTGCTGGTGATGCTTGGATGGTGCTTTGTCGTCCCCTCCCCCTATTGTCTTGTGCGTGCAGGCTGGGGCTGTAAGTGATTGTGCTTGTTATTGTGATTGTTGGTACTTGGTATTTCCCTTCCATTATCGTCAAAGTTATTATTATTACTTGTGTTATTAATTAAATTCGGTTGGGGATGATCGATTTGGGCAGTCCAGCTCACTGGGTCCGAAGCAGCCGTGGCTTGCATGGGATGGGCCTCTGGGACTGGATGCCGCTGTCAGTGACACCGGCCGAAAAGGGTTAAAAAGGCAGGAGGGGAAAAAGATCCATCCACTGAAGGCCACCACTTTTTTCCCCTTTCTTTTTTTGGGTCCGTTTCTTTTCTTTTCTTTTCCTTCTTTTTTCTGATTTTCTCCCTCTTTTCTCTTTCCCGTTCTATTTTTTTTTGGATCCCTTTTCTCTCTTCTGTCTGATTCTCCCTTCCTTTCTTTTTTAGGGACATCCACCTTCTCTCAGCCCAATGCCAATCAGCACTGCCGGAAGCAAGGCGAGGAGAGGAGCGACGGATCGACATCGGCGCCCGCCCGCTGCGCCAATTGCCAATAGTCCGCTCGGTACAAATGGGGAGGGGACGGAGACGGAGGTCCCCCCCCCCCCCCCCCAGTTTGACACGCGCGACCAAATGAGAAGTCATGCTTGAGAACTCGCCGCCAGGATTTTAAGCTCGTCCGGCGATTGCATTGGGCGGATAAACCCAAATGGTGACGACGGCGTGCTGTGACTGCTGTCCCTGTGTTCCCTCCCCTCATGAGAAATTCTGGATAAGACCAAAGCCATCAGGTCCGCGGACTACCTCGGGCTCTCCCTGCACCACTCACTGACTGGCCCGGTTGTGACGAGGGAAACCAATTGTATCACGGTCCAGTGAGGACCGGAGGGTGGGTGAGGGAGGGAGTGAGTGAGAACGTGGCCATCTCGGAATCGCTCCCGTGATCTTACCTCGCTCTTCCCTTCTTCTCTCCCTCCCTCTTCCCTGGAACGGAACCTTGTGTTCATCCCCCCTCCCTCATATTTCCGTGCTTCTCGTCCCATAATTGGGCCTGGAGTTGCCAATGACAGGGACGAGTGCATTTATTTCGTGACTGATTATCTTACATGCACTTACATACTGTGTAGGTCCCGTTCCCTCTGGCCGTGGCTGTATATACTCCGTACCGGTATACGGAAATGGCACTTTTAAGGCAACCCTATTCCTTTTGACTGCCGGAGGAGAGTATAGACGCCCTGCAGGAAGAGGGGGTGGTCATAGGATGCCATGTTCCTTTTGTGATGACATCAACCCCCTTCAAACCGGACCATCGGTATCTAATCGGCCGACCATTCAGGTACGGGCTCTGACAAAAAGGCGTACCGTACGTACTGTGTACCTAGAGCGCTTAATAACCGTGCCTAGGTGAGGAAGTGCCTAGCAGGACCCGAATAATCGTCGTCGAGAGCCTCCCAGGGCTGTCTTGTCGCGAGTCGCGACTCCCAGGTCCCGAGTTACTCGGCCACCAACTGAATGGTCCGAATGACTGGAATGAAAGGCCACAATTCCCCGCGTGGGTTCTGCAAAAGGCTATCTATATGCTACTGAGGTCCCACACTAGCAATGTAAATTGATTAAACGGGTGCGCCAATCGAGAAAGTATGTGCCGGAGGGGGGAAATCGGCCGGTCGGCTCTTGGATCCATGCAGGCCAACCCTGGCGCCTATATTTGACCAAGATTGGATCCATCCTTGGACTGGGATATATTGGTTTTGGCCGTTAAAGGATGGCCATTATCGCGAAGTAAGGGCGTTCCCGTTACAGTTGCCATGCGATATCATCAGGCCACACTACAGACCAGGGCGAAGGGCATGGTCTAGACTACCGGCTAGTGACCTGGTGGTGAGAGACACGGCGATAGGCGGATCCGGGAGAGCCAAGAGTTGTCGAGCTGTCCTTCAACGAACCCTTATTGTCCGGCACCAGCGAACAATCCGCGGCGATGGTTACTTCCAAACAAGATGTGGCTGCAGCTCCTGCGCCCTGGCCAGTGGAACGAACAGGTCTTTAGCTCCATCAGCTGAGCGCCGGAAAATTTGCAGGGTCTCTCCAATGATGGCCATTGTGAATGGCTCTTGATCTTCTGATGAACGGAAAGATCCACCGGGTCTATCGAGCACAGAACACGGAACCGAGGCGCGTGGTAAAGTAAGAGGGACCACTCGAATCAACGGTTTCCTCATGGTATGGGTGTAGACATAGAGCAACCTTGGCCGCCGCGGACGACAGGTTCTCCAATTTTAAGACTACCTAAGTTACCCTTGTTTATTTCTTTCTTCTTTTTTTTTTTTTTTTTTTTGATATCCTCGTTTTACCCCTTTTGGGTGGGCTCAGTTGACCTAGCTGGAATGTTATCGGAGTGCTACCGGTGTGGACCGGATCACGATTATTGGAAACCGTCCGAGGGAGCCACTTGCGGGGAATTATTGCGGTTAACCTCTTGGGTCTACCATATGACAGCACCGTCCTCGCGCCTCATCCACTCCCGTTATGGGCTAATTCCAAGTCGCAGGCAAATTTAGGGCCGGAAATCATTCCAAGAGAGACGGTCCTCCCCGAGTGCTCCCCAGCAGAGGCATGACGCACACCCGTCGGGTCCGTGGTGGTTGGCAGTGGCAGTTGGCACATACCGCGCGAGATGCCAGCAAGGGACTGATTCAGCGTAAATCCCCCCCGAGTATGCGCTAGATAGTCTCTAGCACCGGACGGACAGTTTCTCGGTATCAGCGAAGCGCTCCTTTGAAGTGGAAGACGCCGGCACGATCTGTCTGTTAGGGGCCTAAAGGCTAACGAAGCCAATAGTTCAGGGGGCGGACCCCGGTCTTTCGACTGTTCAGGTCAAGTGCCAGAAGGATGGGGGGGGGGGGGGGGGATGGATGTGCCATGCAGGTTGCAGCAGGACGCGTACGGAGAGATAGCTTACTGGAGTAGTATAACCACGGCGCCCCCGCGTTCCAGACGGAGGTGGAAGTAGATAGGTGGTCTACTCCGTACTAGTGGTAGTAAGCAACTAAGCATGCCTCGGGTGCCACCCAAACACATGGAGTTGGGAGGGGCCTCTTTTTTTTCCCCCTTCCTTCTCACCCCAAAGCTGAAGAATGACCGATCGGGTGCATGGAAGGGAACCATTAGTGCCGAGGGAGTTCCATGAGGGCCCCTCTTGGGGGGGGAGGGGGGTTCTCAGGGGGAGGAGAGAGGGACAGAAAGAGGGGAGAGGGAAAAAGGGAAGGCGACGAACCGTCAACAGAAGGATGATCAGCCTTTTCCCCGGGCAGGTTTAGCGCCCCGCGGGAGCAGTTCCCGCCCGATTGGGAAACACGCAGAACCCGAGGGGGCAACGATTGGCAGGCATTATTTGTCACCCGCTCGAGGCTCAAACAGACTATCGCTGCGACTACCGACGCCGCACTGCTACTAACTCGCCTCCACCTGCTGGATAGACATCTCTCTCTATCTAGCTACATCTATCTATCTATCTATCCATCCCGAATCAACCCCCAACGCTTCCTGAATGCTGAAAGCTGAATGCTGACATGGAATGTTCTCCCCTTGACGCCGTACCTGTCGTTGGCTGTGTGCACAACCCATGGCTCCCTCGGCCCCGATCACAGACGGGCTGCGGGCACAGCAGAACCACCCGCTCTGGAACGTATCGGCTGGAATCGGCCGGGAAAAAAGACGGATCAATGGAAATTTAGAAAAAGGGGGAGCTAAAATCAAAAATCGCCGGCGTGGCTATGGCTCCATATGGAGATCTCGCTGGTCGTACATCCGTCATCCCACAGCAATTGCTAGTGCGTGTCCGGGCTACACAAGGAGGCCGTGAAATTTTCCGAGAAGGGTCCTCCCGGACAGGCACTCTAGCCATGCTTGATTTGCCCAGAGCAGCACGAGGGGCAATGGGCACAGCAGGCGTCTCGAGTTGTCCGTCTGCAGCGCTTCGGGTATAACTGCTTTTTCGCCATCCCGTCCCGAGTCATGAGACATCGTGGTACCGATTTTGTTTGCCCTTTGGCTCTGCCTCTCCACTCAACTACAACTACATCTCACACATGCTAGGCGTTGGGCTTCAAATCCCGACATGTGCAAATCCGATGACTTTGCTGCAACAGGCCTGGGACCGATGGCCCTCGCCGGATATCAATACCGGATTCTCGTGGTCCCACACCCATGTGGCTCGCGTTCTGGCTCTGGGCGTCAATATCGCTCCGCGTCGTGCATGGTGCATGTGGGAGGGTGAAATTCAAGGAAAGAAAGACGACACCAAAGGCCGACGGGCGAAGAGGTAAGGAAAAATACCATTATTCCATGTCGGATTCAACAAACCTTGGACGGTATTGACGAATCGCTGGAAGCCGCGTTCCACTTCACCATGATGCCCGATCTCTTGAGGTTGCTTTCCGCTTCACTTACCGACACATCGGTTGTCGGGATCGGGGGTCTCTATATGTCGGTGGCGCTTTGGGCGGATAAAGGGAAAGAAACATCGTAATGTGGACTTCGCAGAGATATGACCATTCAGACCCAGACGTGGTCCATATTGATCCTGACTTACGATGCTTCCGGAGAAAAGGGACCAATGACCCGGATCTTGTTGCTGGCATCATTATCTGACCTCAGACATGCCAACAAGCTAGGCCCGCATACGATACTTTCTATAGGCACCACACAATAGCGCAGGTGCGTTGTGTGTAGCTGCCTTTTGCGGCTGTACAATGGTATCTTATGTGCTCATTGTGGCTGTCGTGCAACCTGCTGTGGCTGCCACGCGCCTTGCGATGACCACATCCGCGGAAACGATGCCAACGTTGGGAGCCTGTCAGCAAGATACAAGCTGGCAACAATCAATAGATCACCGCTAACTTGTATGCTTGCGACTGCCGGCGAGTCAGTGGCGACGTGGACAAAGTTTATACCTTACCATTGCGTCGACTCTCATCCTTGGCAATGGTTCTTCACTGAGTCTGCAGGCGGAAAATGTGAGATGGCTGCATGCCGGACGTTCAGCCGGCAGTCTGCACCCTGCATCATAGCATGATCGGTCATCTGCATGGAGGTGTTGATATCCAGCAACTCCGAAAACGGTAATCACATTGTTAGAGTGTCGGTGAGGATATGACAAGTATTTCGGGAACGTTCAGCTCAGATGCTCCGAGTTCTTCCTTTTCTTGCTCTCTCTCTCTTTCTCTTGCTCTCTTTTTTTTTTTCAAATGACTCCCCAAACCCTATTTTAGCTGTGTGCTGTGTTGGGTCCATGGAAACCGATCCTTTTCGGGACGGACCGTGAAGAGCGAGCGCTATAATTCGCTCCACCCAACGATGGAAGGGGCAGTCAATTATTGAAAACGGAGAAGGGAGTATTAACACACTTGCATATCTACAGGCGGCAATTGAAAAGCTCCATACTTATTTTCCATGGCCCGTGCCCGGGTCTACGGGGCCGAGGGCGTTGAATTACTCCATTTGGGTTGTGATGGACAGGGTGGCAGAGCAATCGTCAGCAGATCATTGCTTTGGGGGCTCCTACCACAAGCCTATTATTAACACGGGTTGCAGGGAAGTCGGCCGTCGTCTTGAGGATACGGAGCTCATGCCAAGCCAGAACAAAGGTCTGGTATACGGTAAGAGCTGTCAGGCAATCAACCTGTCTTAGTTGGATCTCTCAAGGTCACTCACTCACTTGCCTCGAATGCCACCACTGGAACTGTCTACCGTACCGTAGGAAATCATATCAGGCCAATCAGAAGAATACGGTACTCCATTCTGTCTTCCGATGTGCCCCATGCAGCTTTTCCTTTTCTGTACATGATATCTCCTATTTACCGCCGTCTTTTTTCCTGACGATGCCCGTAGGGGGTATAGGTAGAGTACAGCACATTCTGTCCAAACCCTCTACCTGCCCAACGAGCATCATCAACCAGGCATCAATTGAAGCAGAAAAGCGGCACAACGACAAGGCTATGATACAACTACTAATGAACAGAGTGCTCCACTTGTATCCACTCAATGTCTACTTTTCCATGTTCAGTTATGGGCATCGGAAAGTACACAGAAGACAGTTGTTTCTTCATGGTACCTTAGACATGCATACATACATCGTATTCCATCCACGACGCCCTAGCACGAGCGTTGAGGTTGAGATGTGCCCAAAAACCAGTTTTCAGATCAATTCCATCTAATCACTTGAAAAGGCAAGAAAGAGAAGGCAGCGAGCGGAGATATGTACCTGGGAGAATCTCTGCACTTGATAGACATCTATGCTATGTATGCTATGCTATGCTACTGTGCGCCAGCTGAGTAATAATGACTAGTTAACCAACCACTTTCTTTGTAGTATTACTTCCCAAAGTAGGTACAGTAAGTACTAGGTAGGTATACCTGCGTGTCTCTAACGTTTTACTGTTCGTTCGTACCTTCAAATCAGTCATCCGTCATTCTAGTATCTTCATCAACTATCATCCTCAGCTTTCTCTATACAGATCATCGGCTCACAAAACTATAATTATTATGTGTGGAATGTCTGCATCTCACCCCAACTCCGCCTCCACTCTACTTGGGAGATGTTACGGCATAATGCGATGGCGGGTTTGCACGTTGTTGGTTTATATGTGGAAGGAAAGGGGTCTGTGGATTATTGCTTAAAGAATTGTATGGCTTCGTTTTGTGCCCGATTTGAGGGGGCGAAGGGGTGTCACAGCAGATTGATAAGGGCCATCTTTCTCTACATCATTTCCTAATAAATCTGTATATATCTGGTGTAACCCGTAGCTCCGATTTGCCAGCCTAGCATAGTATACTATGGGTATAAATCAAACCCCCAGCCTCTAACAAGCCATTCCAATAAACGCACACCCGCCAACCCCCTCCTCCTCATCAAATCTCACCCTCCCATCGCCAGCAGCCGTCGCTCTCTCCTCGCCCCTCCCCTCAAACGCAAGTCCAGATCCAGCTCCAGCCCCAATAAACGCACACCCTCCCACCCCCTCCCCGTCATCCCACCTCTCCTCTTCCTCTTCTTGCTTCTCCCCGCGCACAACCCCCTCCCTGACCTTTAACACCCTCCTCCACGCCTCCCTCCCCTCCATGCGTTCCTGCCATCTCTCCACCCACGGATAACTCTTCGCTTCCTCCGCCGTGTCCGGAACCAGCGTCTTCACCTGCGCGTTCCACGGTAAGAAGGCGAGATCAACGTATGTACATTTCTCGCCCACGAGCCAGTCGCGCTTCTCGAGGATGGTGTTCAACGCGCCCAGGGTGCGGTGGACTTCGGCTGTGTAGTGGGCTATAGCGCTGGGGAGGTGAGTGGGGTGGTGGATTGAAAACCTATCCATTGCCAAGGTATCATTGGTTAGTTTAAGACGTTTTTTACTCGTGGTGGTGGATGAGATTGTTGGATAGGGCTGAACTCACAATCCACAATTCTCAAAGTTCGGCCCTTGGGTACTGCCCTGGAAGTGAAGGTATTGGTTCAGGAGGTGTGTCTCGGGCAGGGTATCGTAGGTGAGGAGGTGGTGGGTGTCATAGGTTGTGATTAGGTATTGGATTATGGAGTTGGATTGCCAGAGGGTGAGGTTTGTGTTGGGGTCGTGGATTGCTGAGGTGTTTAGTTAGATGTGATGCTTGTATGTATGTATGTATGTATGCATGCATGGGGGTGGAGGTGTAGGTATGGAATGGGTGTTGGGGTAGGTGGTGTAGGTGTAGGGAGTTGGGAGGTGGTGTACCTGGGACGCTGCCGGTGGGGTTGATGATGGTGAAGGGGGCTTGTTTGACCTCGTTCAAGCTGAGCGGTTTGATCTTGTAGGGGACGGTGAGTTCTTCGAGGATGGTGATGACCTGGTTGTGGGTTAGTTAAAGGGCTTCGTCGTGTGGTGAGGTGGTGTTTCTGACCTTCCATGAGTCGGGGTCCGAGGCTGGGGGGAAGCGTTAGCTAGCTGTATACTGGTGGTGGAGGTGAGAGGTGGGAGGTGGTGTGGACTTACTGGTGAGCCAGACGGTGATGGGCTGGGACATTGTGATGATTGCAACTTGTAGTTATAAGTATAATTATGTCGTATGTCTGGTTGTGGTTGTGTATAGGATATGGCAGATGGAGAGAGAGAAAGATGTAAGATAGATTCAAAAGGATGGGCGAGATGTCGGCCGTTATATAGGTTCGCGGGCAGCAGGCATAAGCATGGCGCAGTCAATCTGCCTCAGGCTGATGTATGGGGACGAGGCTGTGAATGGACGGGCTGGCAGGCCCTAAGGCACCCTAAGGCTTAGCGTGGCAAGGATGGCCAGCAGCCGAAGCCACCCCGCTGCTCAGGCACCAATAAGCCCATGGGCTCGGATATCTTGGGGGTGATAAGAAGGCTGCCATGCTGTCGTCACCGTATGGCATGTTTCAATTACTGTTTGAACTACTACTATATCTAACATGCAGGAAAAGGAAAAATTGATTGGGAGGCAGGGAGAGTGGAGAAGAACCTCAATTATATACGAGGCTGCTCAGCCTCGCTCATATATAGCAAAGGAACAGTAGTAGGATCAAAGTGGGGCCGCCAGCTAAATAAAGTTGAACAATGTACATAGATATATAGCTGAACACAACTGAACTAAACATTTCACTTATCATCCTGCGACAAGCCCACCATCCCCAGTGAGTCCTTCCACAATCTGTCCTCATCTTCCGGCTTGTACGTATGGCTCGCATACGTGCTCACGGTATCATCGCCATCGTCTGGACCCAGCTCTGCCTCCGCACACTCGGAAAGGTATTTCCCTCCTCTCCCCTCCCACTCCCTCCCAACAGCTGCCCACAAGGTCGTCGCAGCTCCTTGTTCCGAACTTTTGAGGTACTTCATCAGCGCCTTGTTCTGCATCATGCCCTCGATCTGCTCTGCAGTAAGATACCTTCCCAGTCCTGTCGCTATCACACCAGGATGAAGACTTGTTGCATGCAGCCCGCGAGATCCATATCGACGCTCGATCTCGTTAGCCATATACACATTGGCTAGCTTGGATTGCGTATACGCCCTCCGAGGGTGGTATCCCCCCTTCTGAAAATGATAGTTATCGGACTCGTTGATTCCATGAGCCCGTTGCGCCGACGACGCGACCATGACAACCCGTGACTGGACCTCGGGGGTACTCCCAGCGAGTAATGCAGGCTTTAGAAGGTTGAAAAAGAGGAAATGTGAGAGATGGTTTGTCGCAAACTGCAGCTCGTACCCGTCGTCTGTGAGCTGGAGGTCCGGCACCGCCATGATCCCGGCGTTGTTGATGAGGAGGCTGATTCGGTCTGTCTTGGCCAGGATGGACTCGGCTGCCTGTCGCACGCTCGCCATGGATGTCTGGTCCATCTGGACGAGGGTCGTGGTTTCGGGTTGGAAGATGTCGCCGAGCGCTGCTTGCGCTTTCGATAGATCTCTGGCTGTCAGGAACAGGGTTGCTCCTGTGGCTGTAAGAGCACGGACGGTCTCGATCCCTATTCCAGATGATACTCCGGTCACAACGGCAGTCTTGCCGGCCAGCTTGCCTTCCATGTCATTGTCGCGGACGATTTGCAGGGCCGTGGGTCGAGCGTCGCCCGGGCCTTGGGGATTCGCGTGCGCTGCGGTGTAGGACATGCTGCGCGTGCGTTGAAATGGGTGGTGAGGGTCAGGAGAATCTAGTTGGAGCGAGACTTGAAGAATGCAAGAAGCCAATTTGATTAAGAGATCAACCCTTCTTTATAGACGTGTTGGGGTGATTGAAAAGCAGGAAGAGGATGGAAGGGCCAAGAGTATACTTCGGCACGACGGCTGACATTATTGCCTGTTCGAGCCTAGCGCCACACATGGGTCTCTGGGGCCTCGTGTTGCTTGCTGACCTGATTTCCCTTCCTCGACCTAGTCGGCTCAGCCTATATTATGGAGACCGGCGCCATGAGTGTTCTCGGAGGTATCTTTCCCCGGTTGACAAATTCCCTCACTGTCGATTGCGCATCCAATCCATCATGAGGCCGTCCGTGTCAGCCACCATACTCCAACCCGGCGGTGACGACAAGAGGCTGCGACGGAGGATCCAGAACCGGCTGAACCAGAGAGCGCGCAGTAAGCATTTGCCTGTTTAATAGGGTCGAGACTTCCAGAACCGTGACCTGACGGACACATTTTCAGGGTTCCGTGTGAAGAAAGACAAATGCCCGCCCGAGGAGTTCGAGCGCGTTCCGTACAAAGTCCACCGTTGGCGACTCGGGGACGGGGACTATGAGCCCGAGCAGGCACCGCCGCAGACCCGCGATATTGTACTATCATCTGCACCCAGCCATGAGGACGACAAACATGATGAAAACCACTCATCTGAGTTCGAGCGAGCTGCTAGCCCAGCCGCATCCGTATCCACATCAGAATCAACAGCCATCACCACCAGCAACCCTCCAACCCAACCCCGGCAACCCACCCCCACTCTCCCAGCCGACCACCTCCTCCACCTAATCTACAGCAACGTCTTCCGCGGGCTCTACCAAAACAAGCTCGTGCTCGAAGCGCTCAGCCTCTTCCTCCTCCCCGGTTCCTCACAAATCGCCATCCTCCACAGCGGCACCATCTACCCCACCGACTCCATCATGGTACCCGTAGAGCCCAACATCCCCGACTGTCTGACCCCAATCCCCTCGCAGTCCAGCCTCGCACACTCCTCTTGGATCGACCTGATCCCTTTCCCGCAGATGCGCGAGAACCTCATCACGTGGGAGTCCTGCTTCGACCACGCCGACTTCGTCAGGGATTTGGTTGGAGGCTATGGGAACTGGATGACATTTCGTCCGCCGTCGTGCGTGCTGGATCCGGCGGTGACGGGACGGATTGTCCTCCTGGAGGGAGATGATGATGAGGTGACGACCTCGCGGAGGGGATTCTTGGTGTGGGGAGAACCACATAGGGCCGAGAGTTGGGAGGTGACGCCGGGGTTTCTGAGGAAGTGGTCGTGGGCGGTGGAGGGGTGTGAGGGGTTGATTGAGTCGAGTAATCGGTGGAGGATGGCGAGGGGGGAGGAGCCGATGAGGGTTTCAAGAGTGGTTGTTTGATGGGATGTTTGGCGTTCATTGATTTGAGTCATGTATTTAGCGGCAGAGCGATACTATACGATATTGGACTATTACGAACATACCACGAAACATCAAGTCTAAGGGTTTACACTGGCCTAAAAAGGGCCATAGTAAGAAAGCACATCAATGGAAGCTGAAAATCAACAAGGGAATCATATTATGCAACATCCCAGCTTTTTAACCCAACCCAATGGTATATACAATCCATGCAATCCAACACACAACCCACGACACACAGACTCTCCACCCCGTCACCAACAAAGCCACTAACCCACTCAACGCTTCTTCCTCTGCGGCCTGGCATTCTTCTCCATTCGCTTCTGCTTCTCCTTCCTCGCCAAGCGAATATCATCTGTACCCTTAAGCTCACTCTTACCACCGTACGCGGCGCCGCCAAACTTCGACATCTGGCGCTCCTTGGCGGCATCATTCTTCTTCTTCATCTTATCGTAATCGCCACGCAGGGGATCGGCGCGCTTGGGCGCCTCGTCCTTGTTATGGCGGAAGCGCTTGTTGCCACCGAAGCGTGAGAAGTGCATATCGGCGCCCAGACCGGGGGTCTCGGCTTCGCCGACACGAGGCATGCGGGTGAGACGCTTGCCCTTCTTCCAGGCGTCGAAGCGGCCGCTGCGGAAGCTGGCGGCGATCTTGGCACCACTCTCTCCCTTGACGAGGCGCGTGCCCTTGGAGCCGTCCTCGTCGTTCTGGCGAGACACGTACTTCTTATGGCGCTTGTCCCAACGCATCATTGTGCGGGGCTCGCCGAAACCGCGGCTGCCTTCGTCGCCGAGGAGGTCCATGGCGGCGTCGCGCGAGGCCTGGGCGAAGTTGGCGTTCGTGCCGGTGTGCACGCCGTAGGCGCGGTCTTCGGCGAGATTGGTGTTGTTCGGGGTGTAGGACATGAAGTATTCGGGGTTCTGGAAGGAGGCGGCGGTGGAGTCTTTCTTGCCTTTGGTGGTGTTATTTGTGTTGTAGGAGCCGAAGGTGACTTCGAGGTCGGACTCGTCGGCGAGAGACATGTTGTCTGCCGGGCCGTCGCCCTCCTCGTCGGAGAAGGCCCCGTCCTCGGCGTTGTTAGCGTCGGCGTCGGGGGCTTCTTTGGCGGCCTCGTCGAGGAGCGCCGATTGGGCTGCTTCGGCCTGGGCGCGCTTCTTCTTGGAGTCGAGCGTGGTCCGGACGCGCTTGATCGTGTTGAGGGCCTCCTCGTTCTCCTGCTTGCCGCTGCGGCGGTTGTTCACCTCGAAGATCGTCTCCTGTGGCCGGTAGCCTCCGATACGGGCAAGCATGCTCTCCCGCTCGGCTTCCAGGGAAGTCGTCTCGTCGTTGAAAAGAGGGTGGATGGATGACCAGTTATCAGAAGAGACAACTTCCTTCGATCGCTTAGCACTCTCGAGAGAGGCAGCGTTACGCGTCCGCATGTAGAGCTTCTCTCCCTTGGAGGCGACCGAACGCTGCATCGCGATGTCCGTCTCGTCGTCCAGAACCTTGTTCACCCACTCGCAGTTGGAAGACAGACCCTCTCGGGGCAGACTTCCGACGACCACATCTTCGGCAAAGTTAACTTGGTCGCCATGCTCACGGCCCAGGACCAGACGTCTGCCGAGGAAGAGCTGTAGGTCCAGAAGATAGGGGGCGTCCGCATCGCGAACCAGACTGTAACTCCAACCCGTGCGTCCGGCACGTGCCGTACGACCGACACGGTGGACGAAGATCTTAGCCTGCGAGGGGAAATCGTAGTTGATGACGTTGGCGAGAATGGGGATATCAATACCTCTGGCCGCCACGTCCGTGACAACCAGGATGTTCGAGACACCGATTCTGAAGTTCTGAACTTGGAACTTACGGGCCGTCTGGTCGAGGGAACCGTAAGCGTAGGAGGTAGCGAATCCAGCCGCGCACAGCAGGGAGTACAAGTAGTCCACGTGGTGCTTGGTCGCTGCGAAGATGATGGTCGAATGTTTCGTGGGGGACTCCTTGAAGTTCACTTTGCCGAAATCCCGCTTGCGCTTCTTGGAAAAGCTCGAGCTCTTTGCCTTCTCCGCCTCCGCTCTCTGTGCAGCCTCCGTCTGGCCCGTGGGCATCTTGATCACATTGTGAAGAATGTGGAGAAGAGCCCCTTCCTTGTCGGCAGACTTGACCGAAAAGAAAGCATTCTGCAGATCTGGCGAAATCTTGCTCTCAGTATCCAGACGAATCAGGGTCGGCTCCTGCAGACCGGCACGCGCGAATTCCACCAGGGACTTGGGCAGGGTGGCCGAGAAGAGCAGGGTCTGACGGTTCTGGGGCAGGCCGTGGAGGATTTCAGTCAATTGGGCAGCGAAACCCATCTCGAAAAGGCGATCGGCTTCATCAAACACGACGTAGCGGATACTAGACAGATCCAGGTTCATCTCGACCTTCAAGTGCAGAAAACGACCGGGCGTCGCAATCACGATATCGGGGTTCCCGGTCATCATCGCGAACTGTTCCTCCAGACTGTCACCACCGACCAGAAGCACGGACTTCAAGTCAGTCCCCTTGCCCAGCTCCTTGACAACCTTCAATGTCTGCAGCGCCAATTCACGGGACGGCGACAGGATCAGCCCGCGGGCTCCGACCGTGGTGCTATGCGCCTTCAACTTCTGGATCATGGGGATGACGAAAGCAGCGGTCTTTCCCGAACCCGTGCGCGCCATACCCACGAGATCCTGGTCCTCCATGATCACCGGAATGGTCTTTCTCTGGATCGGCGTCGGCACCGAGAAACCCTTCCGCGTAATCGCCTTGAGCAGGTTCGCGTTCAATCCCATCGCCTGGAAACCACCGCCCTTCTTCACGGTCCGACCCTTCAGGTTCGATGACTTCCGGTTCGCCGAAGCCTGTGTCTGAGCGATAAACGCATCATCATCGTCGTCGTCGTTGTCGCTGCCGAGGAAATCGAGCTGCGCGGCCTGGGGTTTCGGCTGGGGCTTTTTGGTGACGGCGGGGGTGTCACTGTCGGAATCGTTGTCATTGTTCTGGAAAAGCGAGCTGGTAATGTCGAACTCGTTGTCCGACATGGCCGGAGAAGCGGCACGACGACCAGGCATTTTGACGGTATTTCCTGGTCTGGGGATGTGTTGGTTGTTTCCTTATCGCCTCGACTTTTTTTTGTCGGTGGAGACGAGAATCCCGCGGGCGGTGAGACCAGAAGGGATTTACGTTGCTCCGCAATCATGCAAACATGCAAACGTGCAAACCCTGCAAACATGGCAACTCCCCGCGACGCGTCGGACACGTCCCGAAGTGGTAAAATGAATCCAACAAGATTCACTTCCACTTCAATCAGTTGCCGGCCTCAGTGAATTGCACTCTTTGTCCTCGACACCCCACACCCACGCAAATCACCCCCCCCCCAAATATACAATATGGGTAAGCATATCCTCTCGTCTTTCCCTTCTCAACCGCCCCCCTCCGCTCACACGTCCCTCATCGCATCACAACGCTAATCCCTACCCAGATAGCGGCTACAACAACTACGGCGGCTCTTTCTCCGGCGGCGGCAGCGGCGGCGGCGGCGGAGGCTTCATGCCAGGCGAGATGAATAGTCCGGCTGGAGGCAAGGTAAATCACCCTCCCCCCAAACCCCCTTCCATCCCATCCCATCCTCCGACCCCCATCCTCCACCCATCCCCAACCCAAACTAACCCATCTCCCCAACCAGAACGACTACAACAACGCCACCCTCCGCCCCATAACGATCAAACAAGCCCTCGACGCAATCCAGCCATACCCAGAAGCACCCTACCAAATCGACTCCGCCGAAGCCGTGAGCATCACCTTCGTGGGGCAAGTGCGCAACATCAGCTCCCAAAGCACGAACGTGACATACAAGATCGACGACGGGACGGGGGAGATCGAAGCGAAGCAATGGATCGACTCGATGGCAGGCGACTCGATGGACACCGACGACCCCAACGCCAGCAAGCCCCCGGGCAAGAACCAAATCGAGCTGAACGGCTACGCGCGGGTGTTCGGGAAGCTCAAGTCGTTCGGGAACAAGCGGTTTGTGGGCGCGCATTGCGTGCGGCCCGTGACCGATATCAACGAGGTGAATTATCATCTGCTGGAGGCCGCCGCGGTGCATTTGTTTTTTACGCGCGGGCCGCCGGGGGAGAAGAGTGAGGGTGAGGGTGGGAATGTTAAGAGCGGGCTGGCTGGGGATGGGAAGGGGGGTGCGGATGCATCGATGGGTGGGACTGATGAGGCCAGTCGGGGATTGCCGGCTATGAGTCCCATCGCGAGACGCGTGTATAACCTGCTCAGGACGGAGCCGCAGAGTAATGAGGGCTTGCACGCGCAGTTGATTGCCGCCAAGCTGAGTCTACCTATGCCGGATGTGGCGCGGGCTGGAGATGAGTTGCTTACGGCGGGTGTGATCTTCTCGACGGTGGATGAGCAGACTTGGGCGATCTTGGAGTTTTAAATTAGGGGGAGTTATGTGTGTTAAAGGGTCTAGGGCATGGATGGATGAGTGGATGGTTAAAATCTTGCAATGGGATGGTGTTTGTTTGTTTGTTTCTACGATGCTACCGAAATGCAATCATGTTCGTCAATTTAAACTGGTATTCCGTGTCTGTCCACTGTGTGTCCTGTTCTCTTGATGGTAAGGTATGTAATCGCTTGAACAGGTAAGGGATATATATGCGTATCAAGTGAAAGTAATGCTTTTTTTGACAGTCCCCCACAGAGATATGAGGACCAAAGAATTCATTGCAGTGCAGGCAGGAAACATCATAATCATCATCACACATCATAATAGACAGACAGGGGGGGGGGGGTCATTATATCATAGCGTTCCGCTGGATGGCATCTTCCACAGAGCGATTCCAATTCGTATGGGTCAGGAAAAACGCCTCGATGATAGACACCAGCAACAGGGCCAGGGCCACACCGGACCACAGGCCAAACAGGCCCCAGTGCAGGCCAAAGGTAGTCCCGAAGCTGATGGGCATGGCGATGGCATAGTAACAGAAAAGCTGGACGTAGCCGCCGATCTCCTGGCGGCCGATTCCGCGCAGGATACCGTTGCAGTTGGCGGCGAGGGCGTCGAAGAGCTGGAAGGCGGCGCAGAGCGGGAGGACCTGGGCGACGAGCTCGATGACTTCGGCGTCGGAGGTGAACAACTGCGGGATGTAATAGCGCATGGAGGAGAGGAAGAGCATGTTGAGCAGACCAACGATCACGGCGCCGACCATGGACACCTTGGCGGAGGTCTTGGCTGCGTTGACTAAGGACGCGCCGATCAGGTTGGCCACGCGTGTGCTACCGGAGATGGAGACGGGAAAGGGGATCTGGAAGGTGATGCTCGAGATGGTGGACAGGACGGACTGAGCGGCGAGGGGGGTGGTGCCCAGGTACGAGGACGCCAGGGTCAGGACCTCGAAGGCGAGACACTCGGCCTCGACCATCAGCAGGCCCGGGAGGGCGAGCTTGATCATCGGGCCCCAGTTGCGCAGGGCGCGGGGGGTCACGCCGTTCCAGCACTCGGATCCGTCGACGAAGTACACATACAGGAAGAGCAGGACGGGCATCAGGTTGTCGGTGATGGCGACGGCGATGGGGGCCCCGATGAAGCCCCAGCCGAACTGCCACACGAACATGTAATTCATAAATGCATTGAGAGGCGCGCATATGAGCAGCACATAGAGCGAGGCCGAGAACAGCCCCTGCGCCTGCACGAAGCGCTTCCCACTCTCGAAGCAAGCGTATCCCGGCGCCCCCAAAGCCACCACCTTGAGGTACAGACCCGCCAGCTGCGCGACCTCCTCTTCCGGCACGATGCGGATCAGGATGCGGTCCGCAAAGAACCACAGCACCATGATCGGGATGGATATGACCCAGAGGAAGTACACCATCTTCTGCATCTGCAAACCCACCAGCTTCTTTCGCCCGGAGCCATACGCTTGCGCACACAGTGTGTCGAGACTAGTCGCCAACCCCTGGTAGACTACCGCAAACAAAATGCGTCAGCTCCGAGCATCTCCGCAGCAATCACACCACCACCAACAACAACAACAAGAACAATCACATACCTGCATAACCCGTGATACTCGCACTCATACTCGCCAAACTGACAGCACCCAGCTCCTTCTTACCCAGGTGACCCAGGGTGAAGATACTCGCGACGGTCAGGGAATACTGCAGCAGGAAGGTGACGACCAGAGGGGCGGCATTCTTGCCAATAACCTGGGCTTCGCGCTTCCAAGTCGTCTGAATCAGACCAGCAATGACAGCTTCCTCCCACTTGCGGTCGATCTCCTCGTCATCGTCAACAGCGTCATAGTGCTCGCCGCGGCGTCCCCCGCCCAGCAGCGAAGCGGTCTCGGTAGCCGCGCCCGACCCCAGTCGCATGCGACGGGCCTTCGGACTGGGCTCCATGAAATTATTATCCGTGAGAAGGTTCCGCTCGTCCTCGATGGCCTGTTCGCGCTCCCTGCGCGTCAAGCCTTCATGGTCGGGCCGATGCGGCACGACAGTCGCATGGGAGACGGTGGTGAAGAAGCTGGGGCGCTGATAGGAGCCGGCCAGGGAATGGGGCCTGGACCTGGTGTTTATGGCGCGGATGGTGGAGGTCTCGGAGGCTTCGTCATCGGAGGTGAGCATGGAGCCTTCGTCATCGGCGTAGTCCTCGAGGTCGCGGGCGATGGCTGTTCGGGCCAGTGGCGAGCTGGACCGATAGTGATGCTCGTCTGCCATTCGTGGCGTGCTATCGCGGCGGGCCATTTGTAGCGGAAATGGGTTCCACGGGAGGAGGGGATTGAGATTGGAGATTGCGAGATTGACTGGATTGTCGCAGTAGAGTAGGTCGGTCTGTGTGTGTGTGTGTGTGTGTGTGTAGGTAGGTAGTATCACTGGTGCATGGGGGGGAGGGGAGATTGTAACCTCTCAGACCTGCAGGGACGCAGCAGGAATAAGCAAGCAAGGAGGAGGAAGTTGGACGGAACGAGTCATAGCTCCCTATTAGTAGTATCATAATCCATGGCCGTAATCGCAGTACGCCGGGGCCCGCCGCAAATTCTGCCTGCTGCTCACGCAATAACGGAAACTTGCAAAAAAACTGATTAAAGTTGACGGGCGGATCCACTGTCGGCTATCGGATGTTGCAAAACCGCCCTGGATTGGCTCGGCCGTGACTCACAAACCTTTCTGGCGATGGTGATTATCAGATCGAAGCCGGCACGAAGTTGGATGGAACAGATCACAGTAGATAGATCACCGCAACCGCTGACAGCACCGACATGCTATGCCATCGGAGATCCGCGAGAATAATGCAAGGAACCCCCGCAAGTTAAGCCCCACGGCCGCAAGTCCGATGAAAGGAATGCGCCGTACGCCAAATACAGCGTTGTAAGATATCTGCCCGCATGGCCAATCACAGTGGCCCCATTCATACCCAAACAAGATGGTCCAGCCGACAGACAGTTCGAGTGGAGAGATCAGCATGAATGGATATCGCTTATCCACTCGATTCAGGGTTTTGGCGGAGGGGAGGGGGGTAGCTGGATGGCTTCAGCTGTAGCTAATACCTATCTACCTAGTTAGTTGACATAGAAATAACATTAATTGGAGTAGCACTGGCACTACACCTGCATGGGCCTGGCATTGAAAATGGTACCATATCAGCGACATCGGCAGGATGACATCACCAAATACATACTACTACTGCACTACTGCAGCAGACAGCATCACGTGGCTTGTCACTAATTGGCCTGGTCGCATACTTCACCGTATGCATTCAACTCAACTCCAACCTCGGGCTATACACTTCAGACTGGTAACTGGTAGAGGATCGACAGCACCCTCTCACCATGCCTGCGCCACAACACACCAGATAACAACATCACCACCATCATCATCACCAGCCACCATGACGACCACCATGACAACCACCAACACCAACGACCCCGAAAACAACAATAATGCCAACCCACACACCCTCCCCCGACCACCCTACAACCCGATCATCAACGCCGCCCACGCCCCTCCCATCCTAGCAGACAAGTACATTCATCCTTCCCCCCCCCCCCCCCCCTCCCGTCTCCAACACCTTGAACTGAACAAACCAAACCCAATACAGCCTCCCCTCACAAACAAAATCGCACCTCTTCCTAACCAAACCCCTCCTCTCCCCGCTCCTCTTCCAAAACACGACCTCGGACGCACGCGACCACTGCGCCAATGAACGCACCTTCCTCTCCTGGCTGCGCCTCTCAATGTACCTCGCGATCGTCTCCATCGCCATCATAATCTCGTTCCACTTCCAGACGCCGCCGACGGGGCTGGAGCGGCGCATGGCGCTGCCCCTGGGGTGCGTGTTCTGGGTGCTGAGTCTGGGGTGTTTGGGGTGCGGGTTCGCGAATTATGTGCGTACCGTGGTGAAGTATAGTCGCAAGGCGGCGTTGGTGCAGAGTGGGTGGAAGACGCAGGTGATGTTTACGGTTGTTGGGGTGGTTATTCTCGGGAGTTGTGTGTTGTTTTTGGCGACGGATGCGAGGACGAGATAACTTGCCAGTAGTGTCGGGGATTGCGCGTTATTGGGCGTTGGGATTTGAGGATATGAAGGGGTGTGGGGAATCTCAGGACGGTTACTGTTGAAGGTTGATCGTATACCACTACCTAACGACATACATGATATATGACATCAAGAATTCAAAACGAAAACTCAAGGGGAATAAATTATAGATAATAATAAATAATAGGAATGAGTCTAGGCGCGACTCGCTGCCACTGCCTTGCGCATGCAATGCAACGGACAAATTACGAATGGATATGCCATGCCAGCCATGCTACTAAATCGTTCACTCAGTTGTCTGCCCGGGTCCTTACATCCGCCGGATCTCCTGCTCGTTCTTGTAAGGCTCCAGCGACGGGGAACCCAGGTGGCCCCACCACTCGAACAGCATGGAGTTGCAGATGAGCTTGAACCACGGGGTGAATTTCAGACCGGGCTTCTCGAACATCTGCTTCAGCTCGGTGGCGGAGACGTAACATGTGTCGCGGGCTTCGTTGGGGTTGACATCCAGGTCGACGTCGGCTTGGATGAAGAGGATGTAGTCGACTGGAGAAAGCGTTAGTTCAGAGCCCGTTCAATTTATCTTTCCAGAGAAGATGAGTCCTTCTATTTTTTTGGGGCAGGATCCATCCGTTGAGAAGAAACATACTCTCATGTTCGCCCCACTTTCCATCACTCGGCGCCTTGTAGTGTATTCTGGTAAAGAACTCGAACTTATCAATCGGGACTTGCTCGGGCTTGATGCCCAGCTCCTGCTCAAGCTTGCGCTGGGCAGCACGCTTCACGCCCAGCACAGCGGCGTCGAGCTGCGCGCCCGTCTCGCCGGGGATGCCCAGCGGGTGGGAGCAGCAGGTGTTGGTCCACATGTCGGGGAAGGTGATCTTTTCGGAGGCGCGTTGTTGCAGCAGCAGACGGTTGTTGGAGTCGAAGAGGAAAACGGAGAAGGCGCGGTGGAGGAGGCCGCGATCAATGTTGGTCATGAGGTGGCCTGTCATTTATTCCAGTGACGGTTAGGATTCGGCATTATAATGGATGGATGGATGGATGGGTTAGAAGGCGGGGGCACGTACAGGTCTTCTTGCTAGCACTGCCAATGGGCTTGTCGTCGTCGTCAAGGACAATGCACACCTCCTCCATCAGACGGACCTGCTCCTCATCGTAGCCGGCCAGCTCGTCGGCCCCCTGGGTCGCGGAGGGGTTGGTCGCCGCAGTCGGGAGCACCTCGCGGGCGAGCGAGGTGTCGACGTCGGGGAAGAGGGTCGCGACATTTTCGGCCGTGATCCGGGGCGGCTCGGTGACGGTGACGGTGGCACTCATGATGGGCGACGGGGGGGTTGAGGAGACGACACGACGGAGGGGCGAGGAGGAGGAGGACAGGGGCGAGAGGGAGGGGGAGTATTTGACGAGACTGGCGGCGTAGCGAGGGACCGGCGCGGGGGCGACAAGGCGGATCCCCGGGCGGTGGCAGAAAAGGCGCAGCCTGGCCAGCATTTCTTTGGTTGCTTGTGTTGTTGTCGTTGTTGTCGCTGCTGCTGCTCTCCCCCTCCTTTCTTACACTGTCTTACCTGCCCGGAGTTCAGAAATCCCCCGAAGTCGTCCTGATTCGCTAGTCGGAGCATATATCCGCCTTTTGTATTGCAAAAACAACTCGAACTCAACAATGCCTTGCGTGGGTCAGGAATGTGCTCTTCTCTTCCCAGCCCATCGTCGCTGTCGCTGTCAACGCCCCTCACGTCTCATGTCGTCAGGTTCCCCCATGGGGTAATTCCGCTCATCGCGCAGCCTTGCGTCCTGGCGTAAACGGAGAGGTTGATCGAGTTTCATCCCACACAGTAAATGTACTTGCAGAGTACATGTGTCCGCCACCTTTGCCTTGAGGACTGCGTGCGGACGGTTGCGGCCATTCTGCAGCAGGTTAAGGCCGTCGACCTCATCATGGCCAAGGAGCCAACCATCCACAAATCCACCAACACACCCACAAGCTCCGGATTGCAGGTCGCACAGGAGACGAGACGTGGAAGTCTTCCGTCCGCGCTACAGGCGCAGCACAGCAGCTGTTGGGTCTTCCACTCTACTCCCAGTCACAGTCCCGGAGCAGATCGAATCCCGTCTGTTGTTAAGGTTCGCAACATGGCATGAGGCACTCATCTACAGTGTCGAAAACCAAAAGGTCTCTCGACAACCAACCGCCCAATCGAATTTCACTCACTCACTCACTCACTGTCAGAGCCAATCTTTGTCCAACATTACCTAACGCAACGGCAGGACTTCAACGTTCAACATATGCCAGTTGGTAGGCACGTAAGCAGATAAGTAGTATGCAGGCGCCGTCGAAGGCAACCAACCGTCCGGTCCGTGGTTTCAGCGCAGCGTCTGCAAGGCAGAGTAGGTATGCAATGCATAGTAGCCTACCTAGTACTTCCCTCCTATGTAGTATGCACATACATCGATCACAAATGCAGAGCCAGTTTGGCTAGGTAGGTAGGTAAGTAGACTGCTAGTGCCCGTGCCAGAGCCATCGTTTGATTTCTTTATTAAGTGACGACTCGGGACCGATTATCTATCTAGGAAGTAGTACGGAGTAGATAGTAGTAGCAGTAGCAGCCGACGGATCGCAATATCCCGTCCGGCAATCTACCAAACCAACCAGGCACCGACCGACCCGGCCGGTCGGCCAGTTAGTTAGTTAGTTAGTACTTACCAGTTAGTCAACCATTCATCCACCCTTCCGTCGGGGAAAAAACAGGATTAGTTCCTCAATCTCCTACTCATCGCGTCGGAACTTCCCAGCCGCATAATTTCCGATGATATATATCTACTAGGCACCGCTTGCTCTCTATATCATACTATTTATGCCGCGCTGCCTTGTGCTGTGTGTGTACTGAGAGCCTTTCTTCCGTCGTTCCCTCATTCTGACTCTTCCCACCCTCGAACAAACATCCAACGCAACAACGAGTGGTGTACCTCCATACTCCATACTAGATAGCTAGATGGATAGCTAGTACTTAGATAGCCGTCGGATGTGCACTTCCAGCCAGTCAAGACATTACTATTCGGTGCGCTAAGTTCCAACTCTAAGAATAAGATAGGTAGGTACCGTACCTGCCTCGCCTCAGCAAAAGCCACCGAGCAGCCAGTGCACACACAGCACACGACCGACAGTTGACAAGGCAATTATGGCAGCGGGCGGCCATCGCGTCAGGACGATCCAGGTTTCCAGCGGGCAGCCTAGGGCCGTATCCTCCCTGTCTATCTAATACACCATAATAGTGTGTGATCCAGTGCTTGTTGGCCGATGTTTGGGTCCCCAAGCTCAGCTCGTAGGAACAGCAGCAGCAGCAGCAGCAAAATAACCACGTCCAGCCCAGTTCCGACCAAGACCAAGTCCAGTGGAGCAGATCCCAATCCCTCTCCCATAGATAGTATAGTATAGTGCCGCTACCCGCCGGATCCTAATACTATCTAATATTAATTTCCACTTCGCGCTTACCACCCAACCCGGGCAGACAGCAAGCAAAATGGCACCATTATTATTATTACATTATAGTACCTTGCCGGGATCCCCCGGGGGCCCAAATGAAAGAAAGAAGGCTCTGGACCAGCGACTATGTACTACCAGTACCTGCAGTCCGTTAGAACAATTATCCCCTTTGGAATTCGGAATAATGCACCTACGATCGATCGATCGATAGAGAGACAGCAGTGCCACATAATAAGAATTAATGAATAATGAATAATGAATCAATAATGAATGACGGGCTAAAACGGCGCGCGCCGTTGCACGGATGGTGCTTGATTGACCCCAACCCCAACCGCCGACGTGAAAGGATCCGGCCGAAGCAATTGCAATTTTGGGAGGAAGCAAACAGTACCACTGCCATCATCTACAGCAGCTGCAGCAGTATGCCAGCAACATCCTCCTCGTTCTCGATTCCGTTCCGTGCGCTTGACGGAGTCCGTGTCGCGCTTGTCAGGGCCTAAAGGCTGATTAGGGGTCTGGATTCATCCTTCCGGGGGGCGTCAAACGCATCCATCCGCCATCGTTTGTCGCAGGAACCACCACGTATCCTGGTAGGCTATCTAGTGTAGGTAAGGATGTCGATCCACCCACTTCTAGAGCCGATAGTACGTGGATACTGGTACATAGTTCGGTCGAACCTGCGGGATCAGGGCGGAACTGGAACTGAAGAGGGAAGTGTCCTTAGCACTTATTTACGGAGGGTGCTCCGTGCTCCGTGCTCTCCGGTCCCATCCAGAATCCACATTATTCCAGCTCCACATAGTAGATACTTAGCCTTAGGCTCTTCGCAACTAGGAAGCTAGATACTATCTAGCTGCTAGCATTCGATGGGCCCGCTAGGGAACCTTTCCGACTTCCCCATAGTCCATCCAACCCATAACGGGATACTTGTGCACGTCGTGATAGGTGGTCTTAAACGAAAGTCCCGCGGCCGAACGGAGCAACAGCACTTTCGATTTAGGGAGCTTTGCCGGACGGACAGACCATGCCATATAGCAAGTCCCCCGTAATAGAGTAGGTGTCTATCTAGACACCGGCTTATTCTCGTATCCTTGCTGGTCTGCGTCCTGGCTGAGTTAGGCTCTCGTCACAAACTTGCCGGCCACCACGTCCACGGTATCGGGGTCCGGGTACGGTGCCAGTGCCTTGGTGTTGGCGTTGGTCTGGTCGACACTACTGGCCTCTGGCGGCGTTCTCCGTCGTCCAGTCCAGTAAATAGACTGTAGTCCACAGGATCCCGGGCCCCAGTGGAATATTAATATCTATTCCAGGATTCCTATGTAGGGGCCAGGGCAGTGTTTGGGTCTGGCCCTGCCCTGGTGTGCTTGTGCGTGTGCTTGTGCTTAGAGTTGACCGATATAAGCTTCCGTGCTGCACGTCGCATCCGGGCCGTGCAGGAGCAGGTACATCCCTCCCTTTGTCCCGACCAGTGGTACTTTTGTTCGGTCGTTCGTTCGTGCCTCGTCACCCACCCCCGCGTCTGAAGATCGAGGTCGCTTACAGCCTTGCACGCATATGCATGTACGTACGGAGCATCTCGCACGGTGTTTGTCGCCTGTCACTGTGTGCAAGCGATGCAGGCCTCGTCTGATGCTGATGCACGGGAGTAAAAGGAACTTCCCCGGGATCCTCCCGAAGGCCAGCTTAGTACGGAGTCGCGATGGAAGCTAGGAAAGGTTTCCGTCCTGGGAAAAGTGAGGCTGTCGTCCTGACTCGGTCGCGACTCATGATTGCATAGACTTATACAAGCCCATTGGGGTCCGGTGGACTAGTCGTCTTAGGGCAGACCGGCAGAGAGTGTAAGAGGTAAGCACGAGATCCCGTTGTCCAAAGTCCAAAAGCCGTAATCCAAAAAAAATTCAGGCATGGACCTGCCATGCTCCAACGCTTGATTTCTATCCGCCGTTGTCTTCGGCGATGCTGGCTCTAGCGCTATTCCAAGACTGTGCAACCGGAATTTCGAAGGAAAAGAAAAAAAAAAGAACAACAAAAAAATCAGGCATCCTCCCGTAGAAAAGTAGATCAAAGTGCAAATGCAAAATCAAAAAGCCTCCTGCCAAAAAAAATACGTGCGCGATGCGATAACGCTCCCAGTATTCAGCCGTAGCCTCCATGTAGCCATGTCAAATATACAGGCGTCACTCAATCGTGGCCATCGGTGCGATCAACGCAGACATCGACGACGTATAACGTATAAACGAAGTGGGGTTGCGAGCCAACTAATAATTTGTGGACGGAGACTGATGCTCCTTAGGGACATGAACGGGACGTTTGACTTTGGCCAGCCGTCTAGGCTTTGCGGGAGGCGTGGGGTTTCCGGGATCTTCGGCGGCAACCATCGGCTTTGTGCCTGAGTAATGATGATGTGAGCAATCTGGCATCAAAAGAATGGAGAAAAACCTAAGGTTGCCTGCCTACCTTGAAAGTGTGTCCTGCCGGGTGTACAGCTGCCCACACTGATCACAGCCGAAGTTCCGCACTCGGTAGTGGATCTGCCCGCAACCGCATCATCAGCAATTGTCTTGAATAGGAACAAACACCGACACTTACGCAGTCCACATGCCTCTTGAGGTCGGTTTTTCGCCCGCACACCTGCCCACAGATCGCACATGGGTAGGTCCGTCGGTAGCGGGGGTTGTGCCTCTTGACATGTTCCCGACAGTTGGAGCGTCGGGTAAAGCGAAGCCCACACACGGTGCACACAAGGCCGCTCGCAGACGGTATCTTGGGTGTTTCGGCATTTGGTGACTTGCCCACATCGTCAATCCATTTCGAAATTACCTCGGCCGGAACCACATCTGGCGCATCCCCCTGACTCGCGCCCGTCGCAGTCAAGGTGTCATTTCCTTTGTCATTCGATTGTGGTGGGGGAGCAAATGCGGTGCTGATCTGTAGCTGGGGCACCTGTGGCATTGTGCACATCACCATGTTGCTCGCGTTATCCGGGAGAGAGGTGTCCCACATATCCTCGGGCTCCCCTTTGACCTCGGTCTGACCTTCAGTCATGGCCATGGTCTCCGGGGGAGGACTCGGCCAGAAATGAGAGACCTCCTCGCGCATTGCTCCAAAGTCCAGCATTGGGTCATAGCTGGGCGATGCACTCAAAGCCTGCGAGCTGTAAAAGCTGAGGGGCGAGGCGGATACATCTGTGCGGCTACCGAAGGGCTCGTAGTATGTATTCGGGGCAAAGTTTGCGGCGTCCGGGGGGGTTTCGAGGAGATGTTGAGAACGCAATATCGGGTCCGACCAGTCGCTTGTCGATAGCACATATGGCTCGGGGGACGGGTAAAGTCTCAGGTGGTCAGCAGAGGCTTCCGTTTGGATGTGAGAGATCCCCAGCCCCGTGAACGACTGGAACTCGCATTCAAAGAGAGGCACTGCATGTCCAGGGGACGAGTGAGTCGGGGAAGTATCCATCATTGCTTGATCTTCGAGCGGGGAGCGGACGGTAGGAGAAGATGCGAACGATCCAGCCGGGCAATTCATGGCCACAATATGCGAAACTTCAAGTATTAAAAGAAAAAAAAAATTATAATCAAGAAGGCGACAGTCAGGGACAGGGACAGAAGAAGGGTAGATCAAGATAGGCCAAAGTCTGTTGGTAAGACGCGCACAAGAACAGTTAATTTGGAGGCCAGAAACGAGACAGGACAACGTGGGAAGGATATTTATCAGAAACCGACGAGGGAGGAGTGTATATAAGAGGCAATGACTCAACGATGATGGGAGATGTTGCTATAGGGAGGCAGAGGAGTGGCGAACCATGAACGGCGGCTGAAAAGATCTCGACGGAATCTCCCATATGACGATTGGAGTACAGTATCCGCTGCATGGGGGCACAGGCATAGGCAAGCACGGAGCAAGGTACCAGCCAGCAGTTTGACGCCTCAGTGGGCAAGGCAGACAGGACGGGACGTTACTGCATGGATGGGGAAGAATTCAAAGCGGATGGTGTGTGTGGGCTGGAGTGGACTGTGGAAGGTCTAGCTGGGCAGGCCCGGACCAAGTGGACTGCTGCAGCCTGAGTCTGCAGCCTTCAGATAGGCGCGACAATTAGATGTTATGCACAAAAAATTAGCGCCGGAAGAGTGTGATCAGGCCAAGGTGTCAGTCGGGGAGAAGGGAGGGAGGGGGGGAGAGAAAGTATGCATGGGTTGATTCATTCACACCGGATGACGCCGTGCTGGAAGGGCTAGCGGACATGACCGTGCCAGACATTGCATCAACCCTCAATAGGAATGGATAAACAGGCTGGATGGGATGGATGGCACGGCGGGGAGCAGGGGTATGGGGATGGGGATGGTTTCATTGGAGCGACAGGGGAAAAAAGGAAATAATCCAGCCCATCGGGGAGAGAAAGAGGAGAGGAATGGAGGGGAGGGGAGGGAAAGCGCCGTGCCTCAGGAACGGAAACGCATACTGGTGCTGCTTCCTGGTTCTGTCTGGTGTTGGTGCTGCTACTACTGTGCTGCTGCTGCTGCTGCTGCTGCTCCTCCTCCTCCTCCTCCTCCTGGAGAATAACGGGCAACAACAGCGCCTGCATGGCTAGCAGCATCCTGATCAACAGCAGCCGGGTCAACCAGCGCGCTTTTTTCCTCCTTCTGCTCCCGATGAAAGAGGATTAGCTGGTCCCGACACTCTGGTACCAGTAGCTTGGCGACGCAGCAGTGCGTGTCGCCAGGCAGGGTGGGCAACACTGCCCCCCGATGGGCACTCACTACTACCCAGTCCCGGCTGGCGGGGCAGAGCCCATCCCGAGAATCAGAGTTGGCAACCGCCGGGGCAGCCGCACCAAGTGAGGTTGGGGGGGTGTTGGGGAGGAAATAATGAGGTTTACGGAACAGGGAGGGAGCAAGCGAAGATGGGCAGTGTCCGGAGGAGGAGAAGCAGACGATGCAACAGGGCAGGAGGGGCATCCGGCCCTAATCCCGGCCGGGACCCAAACCCTGCAACTTCGACAACAAAGAAAGCCAAATTGGCAGGGGATGTCTCTCCCCCTCCCCCCTCCCCCCCGTCTTTGCGATTGTTGTTGATTGATTGACCCATTGATTGAGTATTGTCAGGCCTACAATTGGACCGCTGTTCTTCTCGGTACTCTCGGTTAATCTTGGACGCTCCAATTCCCCTGGGCGTATTTCCTTTGCAACGCCCGCCTTATCAGGATTGGAAGCCTGTCCCCTCACACCCCCTCTGAGGACATCACTGTTGGACTATGTACGATGTACTATGTAGTTAACATCCCTCACGCGGATCAGACCATCTATACATGACTGGCTGTGGTAACAGCGCTCTATAAAATACAGATAGCAAGAGATTCGGGATTGGCCCGCCGGGAAGACCTGCGACCAGGCACGGCACTCCCGCGGCGTGAAATCACCGGGGCCCGCAGAATATCAACCGTCCGAAATCCAGGCAAGGCAAGAGAGCTAAGCAAAGAATAGATAGAAAAGTGGTCGATGGATGACCAGCCCAAAAATCCCGCGAAGTGCTTGTTCTTCGCTGGCGCTGCAAGCATCTCCGGTTTCATTTTGGTCACTAGCCGGCGTCCGCGCTAAGTCTTTAGGCTATGGCACCGGCGATGCATCCAGTGCGTGCGTATACCGTCCCCAGCCGTGTCCCGTCCATCCCCTCTGGCCGGCTCGGGTGCCCAGGTGCTCGCATCCGTTGTCAGCACCCTGGTTATTATTGGTTTCGACGGTGAACGGCCATCGTAGAAGCCACTCGCTCCACTTGGGTGCGCAGCCGTTCCACTTCGTCGATCACATCCGCGATGTCAGCGCGCCCGGCCTGCCCCGAGCTTGGTCCGCGCGCTTCGGATTGCTGTGCCGGGTTAGACCGTTCCTTGAGCCTACCAGATCCCATTCCCACGGCGCGCCCATCAAATGCGGAGGCATGGAGCGGGGCATGGTGCGTGGAGAAAGGAAACCCCGTCGGGATCGAGGACGTCGGACGACTGCTCCCTCCGGTGGTGGCCGTGGGGGGAAATTGGCTATTGTGCCGGGATACATAGCGGCGGCTAGACTCGTAGGCCCAGATCAGTGCAACAAATGGGAGGTGTGTTGCCCGGAGCAGAATGATGCGCACCCGGCGGATGTGCTCTGCAGGGAGGAAGAGCCTCATGGGGCGGATACAAAGGAGGGGGATGAGATTCTGTCGCAGAGTCATACCAGCTGTCAGCCGCGCAGTCCGGTCATGCAGGGCCACTCACAGGGCCGCGGACCTCATGGGGTCGGGAGACTGACCAGGGGGGGCATGAAGTACGTTAGTCGTCTGGAATTACTACTCTCCAGGACGTAGATGGACAGCCTATTTTCGGCATCGGACCTCGTCAGCGGAAAGCCATAGGGCCGGAGAAGCGATAGCAGGGCACCCACTGGAAAAGATATTCTTCGCGGGCATGGGCCATAACCTGGAACGGGGGAAGGGTTGGGTCGACACATTAGCCTTAGCACGGCCGACGGACGTATCGGGACAGGACTGGGCCCCGCATTCTGGGACGGACGTACCCCTTCCAGACTCATGCTCATGAGACTGACCAACGATGAGATCAACAGAAGGTTGGTCATGGACACGAAAATCAACCTGTCAGCGAGAACCCATCAGCCACCATCGAGTATTCTCTAGTTGTTTTTGTTGCTGTTGCTGTTGCTGTTGCGCGACAGAACGATCGTCTGGACGCTCAAAACGAGCCCTACGCCGCGTCCGATTGGCGCCACGAGTCGCCGGCGTCAAAACGGGCTTTCAGCAGCACCGTCGTAGCTCCGACGCATTGCCCCTCCTTTCCATCCCCCGAATCAGGGAATGAAGCGATGAGGGGATGGCTCAACATGGATGGGATAGGGCAGCTGGGGCTGCCAACGTGATCGAAGCTGTATGCGACCGACACATCCCACGGGCCTGTGGCGCAGCATAGGGAGACTCACATCAAACCGTAGCCGAAGATCGGGGAAATCTAAGAATTAGCGCGTCAGTCAACTTCACTCGAGAGCCAACCGATCCTGCAAAACCCTTGGCAATTGGAATTTTGACTGCATGGCGGCCGCGGGTTGCATTAGACTTACTTCCTGAGCGATGTCCTATGCCAATCATTTCAGCCACCGTCAGTTTGAAGAACACATGCCACCAAAAACAGGAGCAACGCACGAAGCCCAGCACGTTCGATCTGCCTCGTCCGGTCAGTCCAAAGAGCGGTCGGTACCAGGGGATTTTCACCGCCATACCCGAAGAACACCTTCACCAAAAGCCACGACATTTGCCGGAGAGAGAGGCGGTCACGAGCGAGCATGGTGAATGTGGTCAGGAACCCTGCAGGGGCATGCCCACCGTCAGATTGCACTCCCCCCAATCGCATGCGTCATTGGGGTCACCCACCAAGATACAGCACTACCACCACGGGCATGAACCGGAAAAACGCCTTTGTCTAGACCACCTTATCAGCTCATCGCCACCTGCCACACTCGGGCTGAGCAGAGAGAACTGTACCATTTCCTTGAGGACAGGGATCTATGCGTGGAATCTGTCAGTTTGTATTCCAGAACAGGGTTCTTCCGCGGCGCGACTGCAGGGGCGGCATACCAGACTTCCGAAATAAGAGTTCAAGCTGACAAGGGAGAAGATCCTGTTCAGCTCTCGTGTCAGAATTTGAAACAAGTATCAGTGGTCTGATCGCAGGGATCTCTGTCACCTTGGAACCAGAAACAGCGCCTCAAGCGATAGTATATCGAAAGACAAGTCTGTTATTACATCACTGTGCCTCGCCAGACCGATGATCCCTGGATGTCCGTTAGTCAATGAGCGCTATCAATCCGACGCGACATATGGCGCATGCGCTCAGCTGCGCAGAGTCGGTCGAGCTGAATGGGCTGAACAGGGACGAGGCAGATTCGCGGAGACGGGGTGACTCACGGACGATAACAAAGGCAAGTCCCGTGCCAATAATGCCCATATTCCAAGCACTCCAGAAGTCCATCTGGTAAAAGAGCATCCCGGCATCAGCCATTCCACTAACTTCGTCATAGGCAAAGGCCGCAATCCAGATGTACATCAGGGTCTCAAATATCCCGATCCCAGTGGGTTTTCTCTCGACCAAGACTGCGTAATAGAGAAATAAAAAGGAGCCAAAGAAAGCGGCTTCAAAGGCCTTCCGATACACCGGTACTCTCAACCGGGAATAAGGATCTGCCGTTCTACATTGTGTAGAGATCAGCATCTGACAGAAGTCCAAATGGTGTACGGGACACGTTACCTCTTGTTGAAGAATTGGGGCCTCTTTTTTGATTTCACGCTAAGAGAGTCCCAGAACACGATTTCCCCCTTCCAAATGTTGTCAATCACCTTCTGAACCACCTTCTGGCTGAGGAATCTCTTCGCATGAGCAATAGCTGCAATTTCCAGAGCATTCAATCCAAAGAACATCGAGAGTCTCTCCAGCTCGTATGCATCACTTGCAGAAGCGTTTGATCCCGGATCATTGATATCGACGGAACTTCCGGCGCGCCTCTTGCCACCGAAGAAACGATACAAGGAGGACGACGAACTCACCAATAAAGGGGTTCTCTCTCCTTCCTCTTGGTAGGCATCGCCGGTTGAGACCCCAAACCCAGAGGTGCCTCTTTCCGCTTGGGCAATACTAATACCACCCTGTACGGGAACTTTGAGCTCCCCGAGGAGGAATTCGATAGTCTCCCGTTGATCAATATGGCAGAGAAACTGCCAGGCAACGTACTCACACGCATATCCTCGGCTCTCGTTCAGGCCCCAGTCGTTCTCTGCGGCATTGTTGAATTGCCACTTTAAGATCCTGCGGCAGGTTTAGTGAGACGAAGCGCCGAACCAGTGAGGTTTCACTCACATCAAAGCAACAATGACATATGGATTGTGCGAATTCTCAGCCAAGGAGAACAGGAGCTGTCGTAGAGTTTGGCCTTGAGGGGAAAACCTCAGTTCTTCAAAGGTGCATGCGACATCATTGATGGCGAGGACCATGTAACTAAGTGATGGCAGTCAGTCCACGTAGGCTAGCCGGTAGGAGGTTGCGCCCGCCGTACTTATGCAGCTTTCGAACCACGTCCACCAGGGGGTCATTGTCGTCTATGATGGGCACCTCAAATGGGGCCTGTTCAGCTGCAATCGAGGAGGTGGATGACTCCAACCTTAGGGAAGCCATGTGGCGACAAAGGCGTGAGAGCTGGTCAACCTGGTCAGGGGGGTTAACGAAACATGATTCTTGTAAGACGCGACCGGGAGGAGAGACCTCACAATAAAGGAGCCACTCGCGAGCTTGTTCCTGACGAACCTGCGAGATCTTCCGGGAAATTTTATGGTTGGGTTGAGGGTTGATGATTTGTCGGTGAGCAGCAGCGTTCCCCAGATGATACTAACTTGTTCCAGGGCTAGTAACGGGTACCCGCTAGGTAGAGAAAGTCAAGGTAGTACTCCGTACTTGGTAGATAGAGAGAGCAGGGAGACAGGCTTCAGGGGAACATGAGGATGGACAGGGGTTTATCGAGAGAGGGAAAGCATGGCGAGATTCGCACACCGGATTAAGTCAATGGGCCCCTCTTCGGCGCCGTCTCTACTAATCTCGAGCGTGATTGAGTAGGGAGGTCGCTGAATGGGCTGCGGGTAAACACCAGCTAGCTGTACAGCTGCGAGTGGGTAGAAGCAAGTACAAAGTGGGTGGGACTTATCGGGGCGATCCCCAAATCTTTCCTGTTCTGCCGGTCGGGGGGGCCTTGTCCGCTCACTGATTGGGCGCCGCCTTCGGGCATCCAGTACGGGAGGCGATTGCAGCCAGCAAGGCAGGCATTCATCGATCGCCAACACATCGCGAAAGCATCAGGCAGAGCAGAAGATGTGGGTCTACAACAGCTGTTGTCTCCGGGGAGAGGATTCGTAAACAAACTCCATCATCACTTGGGTAGACCATACATTCTCCACACAGGATAGCTACATGTTTGCAGTTTACACAGTATTCGCCTCCCAGGCAGCCATCCTCACCGCCCTGGAATTCATCATGTGACCGATAGCGGCCTTATCGGCCCCCTCCAGGAATCCCGACGCGTTGACGCACCTCGTTGTGCGACATCCACAACCATCGCTTTGCCAACATCGATTCCCGGTGGTTTCAACGTCGGCAAGCTGTTCGGCGCGTGGCTCATACCAGAGCCGATCCGTTCTGCGAAGTGCGACCTCCATCTGTGTCCATTTTATGAGATGAAGGCGCCTCGACACCATGGGCCAAGGCTATTCCCTCACCACCCTGTCCGCGGGCTCGGCTGGGATCGATGTTCCCGAGCTCTCGGATCTGGTGTATGAGAAGTCTATGGGGGGCGGCAGGTTCATGAAGAGCATTCGGGCAAGACAACACAATGGTCTCGTTTTCGTGAAGGTGATTATGAAGCCTTATCCCAGCATGAAGCTGGAGCCATATATCAAAGCTATCGTCCGTGAGTTCTGCCGTTCTCCTCGCGAGCTCAGGGGGGCGCTCTAACACCGCAGTCAGGGGAACGCAGGCTACTCTCCGAAGTCCCAAACGCGTTGAGCTACCAGAGGATCCTAGAAACCAGCACTGGTGGTTATCTTGTCCGTCAATGCCTCCACAGCTCTCTCTATGACCGAATGAGGTATGTACCGCAACCAGGGCCCCAGGAACACATTCCTAATCTGGTATAGCACCCGGCCGTTTCCTGAGGATATTGAGAAGAAATGGATCGCCTTTCAGCTGCTCTGTGCGCTGCGAGACTGTCACTCGCTGGACGTCTTCCACGGTGATATCAAGACCGAGAACGTCCTGGTCACCTCGTGGAACTGGCTCTATCTCTCCGATTTCTCGTCTTCGTTCAAGCCGACCTTCCTCCCGGAAGACAACCCCGCCGATTTCTCCTTCTACTTTGACACGTCGGGACGTCGAACCTGCTATCTAGCGCCGGAAAGGTTCCTGGTGGCGGGTGAAGAACCAGGGAGTAGGCACGTCAACTGGGCGATGGACATATTTAGCGCCGGCTGTGTGATTGCGGAGCTCTTTTTGGAGTCACCAATTTTCACTTTGAGCCAGATCTACAAGTACCGCAAGGGCGAATACAGTCCGGAACACAGCCAGCTTGCCAAGATCGAGGACCCGGAGATCCGTGCATTGATCCTTCATATGATTCAGCTGGAACCAGAGTCGAGATACTCAGCTGAAGAGTATTTGAACTTCTGGAAGAACAAGGCGTTCCCCGACTACTTCTACAGCTTTCTACACCAGTACATGTCTCTTATGACGGATCCGTCGTCCGGCAGGGCGCAGGTCGAAGCCGAATCAGCGAACAGAGGGGAGGCCGACGAGCGGATAGAACGGGTATTCTATGACTTCGATAAGATATCCTACTTTTTGGGTGCCTCCCCCCGGGTCTTGCGGGATGGCTCCAGTCGTACCTCCTGCAGGCTCACGGGCAACACGTTTCCTGTCCAACTGGATCTACCACAGTACGGACAGCCAACGCCGAAGGGACAGTCTGAGCCAGACGATGGCGTGCTGGTCTTTTTGACGCTAGTGGTTACCAATCTGCGCAACACTTCCAAGTCGTCTGCCAGAATCAAAGCTTGCGATATTCTTCTTGCCTTTGCCGAGAGGCTATCGGATGAGGCGAAGCTAGATCGCATTCTCCCATACATAATGATCCTTTTGAACGACCGTACAGACTCGGTCAAGGTTGCCGCTATACGTGCTCTTGCGCAGCTACTGGAAATGGTCCGCGTCGTCTCGCCGGTCAATGCATATCTGTTTTCCGAATACATCTTCCCGAGGTTGCAGCCGTTCATTCCCAACTCCAACTCAAATCCGAGCCCACTGGTCCGGGCTGCATATGCATCTTGCATCGCATCTTTGGCACAGTCTTCGCTCCGGTTCTTGGACATGATTCAGGCATTGCGCTCTGACACCCGTCTGCCCGCTCTAATACCAGCTGGATCCGAACCCCGGTGGACTGAGGATGCTACGTATCATAACCTTTATGATGTTGCGAGAGTTGACCTTCTGGAGTATTTTGAAAATCATACCAAGGCTCTGTTGACAGACAGCGACGCTTCTGTGCGTCGCGCGTTTCTGGGTTCTGTGTCCGACCTTTGTGTATTCTTTGGCAATCTCAAGACCAGTGAGGTAGTCCTGAGCCATCTGAACACGTATTTGAACGACCGGGACTGGATATTGAAATGTGCTTTCTTTGAGGCTGTCATTGGTGTTGCGACTTATGTCGGAAGCACAAGCTTGGAGCAGTACATTCTACCCTTGATGGTCCAGTCGATGACTGACCCGGAGGAGTTTGTTGTCGAAAGAGTCCTTCGATCACTGGCCGCGATGGCGGATCTTGGCCTTTTCCAGCGGTCGACTACCTGGGATCTCCTTCACATCGCCGTCCGCTTCCTCGTGCACCCGAACTCTTGGATCCGCGAGGCAGCTGTTCATTTTGTCGTCAACTCCACCAAATTCCTCTCCGTGGCTGATAAATACTCCATTCTCACACCTCTGGTCCAACCGTTTGTCATAGCTAATATATTTGATTTCTCGGAAGGAGAAATGCTCGATGCGCTTAAGAGGCCGCTTTCAAGGGGAGTATACGATCTGGCATTTGTTTGGATGTCCAAGGTAGAGAAAGGTGTTTTCTGGAAAGCAGCAAGTGGTGACGGAATCTTTAGTCTGAGTGGGACTGACAGCGCTCTCTCCAAAGTAGGACAGAAGGTCCCCAGTCAGAGCTTGCAGCCCAGGAATGAAGAGGACGAACAGTGGATCACCCGACTGAGGAATATGGGAATGAACTCTGAGGACGAGCTGAAACTTCTGGCCCTCCGGGAATATATTTGGAGAGTGGCGATGCGCCAGCCAAAGGAAATTGACGGCGGAGCATCCACGTTGAATAATGTGATTTCTCTGATGCAGCATGAAGTGACCCCTCAGACTGTATTCTTTGACAAGACTCAAAATATCAAGCCGAGCAGGAATTCTGTGGGTAAGCCTGAGAATGATCGGACGGATGAGCGGAAACCATCCACCATTACAGATGCCTTGCTTGATGCTTCCACTACAATCGATAACAGGCCTGAGTCTCGTCGAAAGCACATGCGCTCAAGAAGTCAGATGCAGAAAGAAATGGCGGCCGCAGGGCTGTCGATACCACGACCAAGTGCCCTAGACAACCTCCGAGCGGAACGATCACCTGTATCGTCACCAATCGCATCGTCCCCAAGTGCCGCTCCGGGCTCCCGGCCCTTGTCGCCGCCCGGTTCGGATACCGACCGTCGCGGTTTAGGTGGCACGGAGAGCCCTGGACAAGAGAGCTCTTCGACACCCACAGATGCGGAGAATCCAGCCCTGAAGAAGTTGGGCTCCGGGGTTCAGAGAAAATCCAGCGCTATGAGCCTACTCAACCGCAAGGATTCCGCCAAGGCGTATGCAGAGACTGGCACAAGCTCGGCCAACGCCTTCGGTAAGGTTGATGTCCCCTCGCAACGGACAGAGGGGTCATCGCCTCCTTCTCCTGGCTCGCGTGAGAGAAATGTCGTCGAGCCCGGACCGCATCAGTACCATGCCAATCACTCTTATGCAGGCCACGATCCTGTTGTCCTCAAGCTCCTCGATTCCGTGTTTGCAGAAAACTACCCCACTGACTTCTTCGATCTTGGGCCTTATGTCAAAGAGATAGACACCAGAAAGCCAATTCCGAAAGCCAGCGGGAACGAGCCAGACAAGGTCTGGAAGCCGACCGGGGGCCTTGTCGCCGCTTTTGGAGAGCATAGCGCTGCTGTCAACCGCGTGGTAGTGTCGCCAGACCATACATTTTTCGTCACGGCCTCGGACGACGGCACTGTCAAGGTCTGGGACACCACTCGTCTTGAGAAGAATCTGACCCCGAGGTGTCGTCAAAGCTACCGACACTCCACCGAAGCCAAAGTGAAGGCATTGACTTTCGTCGAAAACACCCACACGTTCGTCAGCGGCGCAAATGACGGCAGCATTCATGCCGTCAAGGTGGACTACGGCCCAGCTCGATACGGAAAGCTTCAGCTCGTGCGCGCATATCAACTGCCGACGGCTGAAGATGGAACGGTCGAGTACCCTGTCTGGATGGAGCATTTCCGGGTGGAAGCACAATCCACATTACTCATCGCTACCAACACCTGCCGCATAGTGGCACTGGATATGAAAACCATGCTCCCGGCGTATACTTTACAAAACCCCGTTCACCACGGGACACCGACCACTTTCTGCTGTGACCGAAAGCACAACTGGCTCCTGGTCGGGACTACCCACGGCATCCTTGATCTTTGGGACCTCCGCTTCCGCGTGCGACTGAAAGCCTGGGGTCTTTCCGGGTCGGGTGCCATCCATCGACTCCAAGTCCACCCGACCAAGGGGCGTGGGCGATGGGTGTGCGTCTCCTGCAGCGGCAGCCACGGCAACGAGATTACCGTCTGGGATATCGAGAAAGTCCGATGCCGCGAGGTATACCGGGCGGACTCCCCTGGCGTTGGCACCGTCTCGAACGGCGGACAGCCCAGCACCGGCATCGACAGTAACAAAACCAAGCCAACCTACATGAGTCTCAAGGACTACGAAGCTTGGCACGTCGAGGGCAGCCGACCAGAAGGAATGCTCAGCCGGTTCGCGATGGAAGGACTGGCGTCCGGGCCCGCCGATCACCCGTCCGGACCATCCCCGTCCGGCACTCCTGCAGGAATCTGCGCCTTCGCGGTTGGGTTCGACTCCCCGGACGACGGTCGGGACAACAGCACTCGCTGCGGATTCATCGTGTCGGGGGGTTGCGACCGCAAAGTCCGCTTCTGGGACCTGGCGCGACCGGAGCTATCGTCCATCGTCAGCGGGCTGGACGTCGTCACCGACGGCGGCCTCACCGGGAAGCCGCGGTACGAACTCGCTCAGCCCGGTCCGTCTCTCCTGGTCACCACTGAGCATCTCCCCGGCTCGTCATCCGCCCCCGTGCCGGCCAATAAGCGGGCTGCTTCCAAAAAGGGCCCCAGTGGCCGTCTCCCCCGGAGCACGGTCATCAGCCTCCAGCAGCAGCAGTTGCTGAAAAGCCACCTCGATTTCATCCAGGATGTCGCGTTGCTTCGAGCCCCGTACGGCATGGTCGTGAGTGTCGACCGAGCGGGCATGGTGTATGTTTTCCAATGAATGGCCAGAGTTGTGTGTATGATATGATAAGAAAGCGCCTACCCAATACCTACCTACCCACCTGCCTATTTACCTAGTACAATAGCATCGTCCAGTGAATGTGTCAGATAATAGATAATATGATCGACCTGACTCGCAACGTTCCTCGCCTTACCGTATATGACCTGTCCTATCGGGGATACTACCGAAGTAGACGTTTTCCGACCTACTAGACAGGTAGGTAAACTGGGTACTTCCGTCGTGTAGAGAAGAAGTAAAAACCTATACAGACACGGGACGCACAGCCCCGTTCGACCGAACAATAATATATTTCCCAGGCCGTAGACTGTGGACATGAGATATCGGCAACTGCCATTTTTTCTTCCAAGGCCCAGTCAGGAGTAGTAGCTACAGTCCCACAAATGATATACCTTGGGTATTATTCTCTGTGTGTGTCCTTACTGACTCACTGCATTCCGCTCCTCCCCTCCCAGAGTCAGAGACTTCCCAACTATATACAAAGAACTCCAAAGTACTAGCATCTCAACCCCACCATATCCGTACCAACCCACGCATCTATTGGGCGATTCGCACCTGGATATAAATCACTAACCAACTCCAGTAAGGAGTAATTGCCGTACAGTGTCCAGTCATAATATATACCCCCCCCCTCCCTCCACTCCCCGCTTCATATCCGCCCCGTCCTCTGGAATCCGAATCTGAAACCAACGCCGCCAAATTGACGGGAACAAAGGCTTAGCAAGATTTGATCTAACCAACTCAATCCAACCCAATTAAATCGAACCAAATTAGCTTAGCCAACGGAAGTGCAGCTAAAGGAACAGTGTGGCTGATTCACCGTTAGGCGAGGCTGGTTTAATTTCAGTTAGAGATGCTGTCAGGGTTTTCCTGCCTTACTATCCGGAAGGAATTCGAGCGGGGAGCAGGCAGGGGGGGGCTCTTTTGTCTCAGTCCCAGATCTCGGTTGTCTTCCGTTTGTCAGTCAGTTGGTTAGTTATATAGTACGGAGTACACATGAATATACCAAATTTTCTAAGCTTTCTTTCTAAACTAGATGGATAGACAGTTATCAGTTCCCACCTCCCACCATAAGATATCCATCCATCCATCATCTAGATAGCTACCTTGGCTACTTAGTTATCTACGTCCTAGCTACAAATCTAGCTACTGTGGACCCCCCTTTCCCCAAGCCCTGAACATCCTACCGTCAACGAACATGAAACACCCGGCCTGCAAACGATCGACACCGATTAATTGCCCAGAATATATTGATATTAGCAGTATATTAACGAATCTTGCGAACCTTCCAACTTAGAACAATTATATAGTGAGTGCAAGTCTTAAATACAGGGAGGGAACCGAGTCGGCGTCCACGGACCTCTTATCTATCCATCTGTTTATTTATTGAATACCTACCCAGCATTTGGGTGGTGCTAAATCTGATACCTGGACTAGCTGGATATAGATAATGAGTGGTTTGACGGGATGGGCTGCGGATGGGATTGCTTGGCGGTGTTGGGTTGGGTTGGGTGAGACTTCTGGTTTTTGAGGTTGGATTTGAGATCCCGGGATTAGTACTGTATATAGCTGGCTGGCTACACAGTAGATATATCGATACATGCCTACATAGGGGAGGGAGTCTAGATACATAGGTATGTAGGTAGGTAACACAGCAGCCGTAAACGAATAAATATCTCTCCGGTGATGTTGATGCAAGCAAATGAGTAAGGGAGGGGAGGCAAATACTCCGTACAGCACAGTACGCACGTTCAGCCGTCAATTTCCCCTCGGGGGCCAGGGTTTGGCGGAAATATGTACCGAGGGAGATACACAGTAAGTTAGTTTAGCTGGAGTGGGTTTGCTGTGCTTGTTGTGCGTTTGTTGTGTGTGTGTGTGTGCCGTGTTGACTGTGGGCTTTGCTTGCCGGAGCGGAGCGGAGCTTACCTGGGCTGGCTGGGCTGGGTATCTAGGACTAGGCTGAGCTGAAAGAGAAGAGGAGCCCGCGTCAACGATCTCCATATGTTGACTCCATTATACTTCATTCTACGGAGTACTCCGGGCTCCATAGTTAAGTGGCGGTGGACGGTGGTAGGTGGTTCGTTCTTATACCAGCTTGATTTGTGTTGGTCTCGGTGGTCGGTAAGGTGCGTGCTATGCATAAAGGCACACTCCACAGGTGCTGCTAGTATTGTAGTGAGTATAGTCCAAACTACAGACACAGTAGACTACTCCTACAACATTCAACATCACCGAAAGATGACCCAAACATGAGTACTTACCTAGACGACTACTAGTATGTTAAGTTGAAGACAGATTAACGCTCGGACAGTTTGATAGGTCACACGTCGCAAGTCAACTGAAAGTCTGAAAGAACCGCTGGAACGGTACCTGACGGTACCTGACGGTCCCTGAGGAGGACCCGGTGGTGTGCCGGTGGTGACCCGGTGCTTGACCCAGCGGTTTGGAAGCGCGGTACGGTCAGATCGGTACCAGGGCGAACCGTGGACGGGCAAACCGCGGTAGTTACAGATGGTGCTGACTCTCAAAGCTCCATCCGGCTCCAGCTGCAGGGCCACAAGCCAGTAGGGCACACAACTGGGGTCCCTTCGCCGTTCCATGTACAGTATCTAGTGGCAGTGGTGGTTTTGCTTTTGCTGCTGCGGTTCTTTGTTGAGGGTCTGTCCCCTCTCTCGCCACCTCGCTTCTTTTCGCTTCTCGAATTGTACGCAGCTCCGTGTAAGAACTTGCGGTGAGGGGTTTGCCTTCTGTCTGCCTCCGCGGATCTGGCAGTCTGCTCTCTGCTCTGCTCCATCAGAAGAGTACGATTTGCAGCGAACTATCCCATGGTCTACACGACAGTTACCAGATGGGGTTATGGACGTGTGCGCAGCAGATGGCCAGCGGACGGGTCGAATCCCGATCCCTTCAATCACGGGCGCGCATCAGGGCCGGAGATCTAGATCGGCTCCTGCATGATGGTGCATGCACTGTATCTGATTTTCCCGGACTGCCGAGGAGGGTTCTGGTTTGAGATGGACCGGTTGGACGAGTGTCAGGGACCTCAGGGCAAATGTCGGACTGACTCGATCGGTGGATCCGACCCAGTTGCGGGCGAGCGACAAACGCGTCGCTTGCCGGTCTGATGGGGCGTCTAACGATCTGGAGAGTGTCAACCGGAATTATAATCTGCAGCTGCGGAGGACTAGTAGATGCCAATGCTCTGCAGTCACAGTGAGCAGTCAACAGAGAAGGACCTCGTCGATTCGTTGGGGCCGGAGACACGGAAGAGGAAGAAGAAGAAGAAGAAGAGAAGAAGAACAAAATTCCAAAATGACACTAAGGGAAAATCCACAGCTGTATTCCGTACCAGCAAATTTCCTGAGGTGGTAACTACTCCGTACTGTGTACCTAGCCAGGTATGTAGCAGAAATCTGAGATCCGAGTTGAATGACCAGGCCAGGATGGTCTCATTGAGCTCTTCATGCGACTTGAGCCGCTCTAGGAGAATTTTCTGCTTGGGACGTGGTTAGCAATGCATGTCTCTTGTGTCGAGCGAGCCCCTCGCTGCCCGCCGCATCTCGACATACACCGGGCCACTCATGGCGGCGGGCTACAGCCGAAACGGTTACAGTTCCCCCAGGGTGAAGAGGCTTAATGCCCGATGTCTGAGTGTAATAAGATAATGATCTTCCTTGCGCAGGGAGGGATGGCTGATCTGGCGTTAACCCGAACAGTCGGAGTATCGAGTTTGTAGCGGTAGGGTTCAAACAGCGTAGAGCACTCGATAGTTGGTGTCTATCTACACTTTGCAGTACTCCGTCGATAGTACGTGGATTCGGCTAGGCGATGTTCGACTTGAGACATCCAGCAGTCGATACCTCCTCGATACTCGATACATGATCGCCTCGCGATAGTTCGCCGTTCGCCAGTGCCGGATGGAAGGAGGTACGGCAGAGAGACCGCAATCTCCCATCCCGGACGGTGTCTTAGTCCCGTAGACCCCTGGTATTGATAAGCGTAGTCCACAGGCGGACCGTTTCCTCCCCCTCCTGCTATAATTATCGAGCCGGAGATTATTACGACGCTCGAAAGGGGCAGCGCACAAAGCAAGCATAATAGTGTTGTCCGACGTGTCCGCATCAGCGGAGGGCCTTCGTACTACACCCGGTGCAGATAGCCCTGCAGGGGAACACGACCTGACAGCTGGGAACAAAGACGGGCAATCTCGTAGGAAATCGAAGGGAAGGAGGCGTGCATCTTAGCTCGGTTTTGAAGCCATGTCTGGTGGCTCGGTATCAGACAGGGCCGGGGTCCGACCGTCCTATACGGGGGATAGACTCTCCAGGACTCTTAAGAATAGGACCGATAGGACCAGGCACCGCCAGCACTAAGGCGCTCTAACTTTCGACTGAACCTTGCCCTTGCTGTCCTCGCCTCGGCCGGCTTTTGCTTTTGGGGACTCGATTTTAGGTTTGTTTTGCAGAGGCGCTGCGCCGTTCTCCCCCAGCCAGCGCGTTGTGAATCCGCCTCCTGAAAGATCCATTCTCGCGTGGTGGGAAGAAAGACTTCCGGGCCGTCCGTTTCTGCTAGCGATGGATGGGTAGATACGGTAGGCAGATAATAGTATTGAGTGTTATTATGGTCCAAAACAGGGATTTCCGGATGTCTTGGTGCTAGCCTGTTGCATGGTCAGACTCTTAGATTAACGGTGATGTTAGTGGTTAGTTGGCCAGTCCCCATTATTCTTTTCTCTCTCCCCCAGCCAGTGGTACCGTCCCGTCCTGGGTGGTTGTCGTACTACTTTGGTCGCAGAAGCTCGAAGCTTCTTCCCCGCACGGGCGCAAGGACTGGCAGGTTGCAGGAGGGCAGGAGGAAGTACTACGACAGTTGCAGGCTTGCAGCATTCCAGGCTGGGATGTGAACCTTGGACGTACATACAGTATCTAGTGCTGTAGAGAGTAGTAGAGACGGGAGGAGGGGAGGGGATTGGCAAAGCAGCAGCACGAGGCCAACCCGTCCCTGACTAGATTCACTAAGAACTTCTTAGCTTTCTTTTTCCCTCCCCACCCGCGCAGGAACAAGTTGCTTTTCCAACATCCTCCGCAAAGCCGGTACCCCGTATGGTAACGGGTGTGTTTTGTATTGTGTAATATTCAGTGTCAACTCCATGCAAACTGCTCCTCAACTGCCAGAAATTGAGTGAACCAATTCCATCATCTGGACGCCAGATGGATCCATGCACGCCGCCAGACCCAGAATACTAATTACGGGTACCAGAGCTCCCAAATGAGTCTAGTTACCACCGCCGAGTTTCTGAAGCTCCCTGACGGGTATAGTAGTGTAGGTATAGTTGGTCCCCACTGCCTGACCTGACTGCTGCTGTTCCCCCCCCCTTTAGTGGTCACTACTAACTAACTAACTCATACCTTACTCTTCACGGTCAAGATTGACTCCCTGCTGCTGCTGCTTTCTTTCCCTCTCCTCCTTCCTCCCTGCTGGTCTCTCTCCTCCTCTTTTTTTCTCCCTCTTCCCCTCTTCTTCTTCTTCTTCTCTCCTCTTCCTCCCCTCTTCCCTTCCTTTCCCGTCCCCTTCCTGATCCAACTCCTCCCTCCCCCCTCCCTGAGGATCAGGACCGTCCACCTCGACACCACCGCCGCTCAAGGGAAACACACCTCGTTGGATTCTTCCCGATCTGGCATGTGTTGTATAGCATAGACATGCTCCTCAATTGAGTTCGCGCGCAGTCGTTGTGATCGATCCCGTCCGATCCCATCTCCGCGGTGATTCCCTCCTTTGCCACTATCTTATCCCCCCTATTCCGACCACTCTCCTTCTTTTCGCCGCACGCCTTTTCGATTTCTTAGCAGCGCTATATTTCTGTTCCCGACTCCCAAAGCTATTCCTCTTCCTTGGACTTTGACCTCTCCCAGCTTTGTCTCGCTCCATCCAAATCGTCGGAACCAGGGTTCGGATACCGCCCGCGCCCAGAACCGAAAAAGGGAAATAATTACCGATTCGGACTGTACATATAAGATCCGCCCATCCCTCGAAATCCGAGACACCACCGTCACCATGGGCCCATCTCTGAGAGACCACGCCTCCTTCGCCCGTCCCTCCACCCGGGACCGCCCCTCAACTCGCGATCAAGGGGAGAACTCGCTGGTCGTCCCAAGTCGCACCTCCTCGCTTCACTCGCGCATCACGCAACCGATCCCTTCCCAGGCAAACCCTAAACCCGCCCAACGGACCCCCAAGACCCTCACTCATGCCTACATGGTATGCGGCGTGGGCCGGGAGCCCTCCCAGTGGGTTAGGGCTCCCGCCCCGGCGCAGGGAAAGATCGGCCACATGAAGGGAGCCGTGAGTCAGTTCTGGTTACCCGAGATCCTGGGGAGCAGTCCTCGGTTGGAGCAGGATAACGAGATCGCCAAGTCCTTGCACTCGGCCATGAGGGTATGTTTCCTCAACTCTTCCCCCCACGGAAGACCCGTGGAAGCTGACAGTCATAGGCCTGTTTCCCTCACGATGTAGAGATTTGCACCGGCAAGAACCAGCCTCACTGCGTTCACCATGCCTTCGTCCTCCAGCAGGATTCCTCCCACACACTGTACGGTATCGCTTTGCGCGTCTGGTCCCGGGCGGATGATAAGCGTGCGGAGACGATTCGCGAACTCAGAAAGAAGACGGAGCCGGATTTCTACGACAACCCCGAGGAGGTCTACTGGATTCCCTACTGCCTGAGCTTTCTGTCCCGCTACCCTCTCTACGACCTGCTGGGCGACTACCTCCGTGGCATGTGGATTCATTGGAACAAAGCGACCAACCTGTTTCACGCGGAAGAGGTTTCGCGGATCTTGAGTTTCCCTGCGCCTCGCCTGAATGACCTGGTTCGCATCGACATGAAGGACTACGCTCTCTGCTACCAGTTCCCGTCGTCTCCGACCGGCTTCCAGAACTTCCCCTTGTGGCCCCTGTTCACCTGCCTGTCGATTCCCAACGTCGTGGGTGTTGTTGAGGCGGCTGTGTCGCCCACCCGCCGCATTATCTTCGTCAGTCACTACCCGGCCATGCTCACAATGGCCGCCGAAACGATCCGGTACTGCGTGCGCGTCTACGAGTGGAGCGGTCTGTACGTTCCGATGGTGCACGCCCGTCACATCAAGGACCTGGTTCAGGAGCCTGGTCCGTACATTCTCGGTGTCACTGCTGAGTGCCGGACTCTGTTCAACGCCCCGTCGGATGCACTGGTTGTGGACCTGGATCGCAACTTCGTTCTTACGTCGAGCCCGCCGGATGTTCTGACTCCAGGCCAGCGGACCAAGTTCATCAACCGGTTGACCCAAGCCTTGAATGGCGATGTGTCGCCCTCCGGTGTTCCGAACCACCTCCGTTCTGCCTATGCGGGTGGCAAGCTCATCCCCGCCGGGCAGATCATTGTCATGCGCGGCGAAGTTGAGAGCGTCCAAGACCCGTCCTGGTGGAACCAGGATGCCGTGATGGGCGTCATGGACCATGTGTGCGAGAAGCTGGGACGCAACACCGGCATGAAGGCTATCTTTGGTGGCGCTGTGAAGAAGCCTCTCATGACCAAGGTGTCCATGCGCCATCTCAACGAAATTGTGCGTGAGAGGAACCAGTACTCTCGTGATGCCATGGAGGCGTGGCAGGACTTCATCAACCTCAAGGGCCGCATGGACACTGAGTTGAGCAAGGTTACGAAGCGCAACAACTTCTTGGTTGAGGAACTGGAGACCTGGAAGCAGCAGGTTTGTTTTCCCCCGTCACACCCATGTGGCTCCTTAAAGAAGCCAAAACTAACTTCACGCAGTTCCTTAAGTTCCAGGCGTTCGCGGAGCAGCTCACCAAGGAGACCTCCGAGCTCAAGGTCAAGATCGAGAACCACAAGCGCGAGAACCGTCGCCTTACCGGCCTCATCGACCAGCAGAAGGACGATGTGTCTCGCCTCACTCTGCGTCTGTCCGGCACGGAGAAGCAGCGCGATGATGCTCTGGAGGCGTTGGTCCTCCAGCAGGAAATCGCAGAAGAACTCGAGCGCGAGAGGAAGCGTAACCAGAAGGAGCTCTCGTCTATGAAGCATGCGAACTCGTCTCTTTCACGGCAACGAGACGAGGCTCAGCGCGTGGTCTTGCACCTCCGTAGCCTCATCAACGGCCAGACACACCACATGGAACACATTGTTCGCTCGATCGGCAGCTCCGCCGAACTCGCCGACCATGAGGTGGTTGGAGAGACTAAGGAAGTCGAGATCGAGGCAGAGACCCCGAGGAGGGAGTCTGTTCTCTCATCACGACGCTCAAGCGCCAATGTCTCGGGAAGGAGCGTCAGTCGGGATATTGGACCGGACTTGGAGCAGCATCTCATGAACATTGGTAATGGGCACAATCGTCTCGCGCGTCTAAGCATAACTGATGTTGCAGACCGCTATCTGCGTGACAAGACGGATGCGATTTCGGACATCATCCGCAGCATCAGCGATCAGTGCGCCGCCGCGGTGGAGGGCCTTCAGCTCGCTCAGGACGCGGAGGACGATGACCTCGAGAGCACTGGCAAAAGGACTCCCAACGGGCGCCGCCTGACGTCGGGCCATCTGACGCCCGCGGGTAGCGAGATGGGAGACGACAGCCACTCGCTGCATGTCGACCACCGCCACTCCAGTGTGCCTCCCACCCCGGACTTGGTGCACAACCGGTCCAGCACCTCGATGTCGATGGTCAGCAGCTCGACCTTCCCGGAGAGGTCGAGTTTACAGTACGGGCCCGGCGAGTTCCCGACCCGGATTGTCGAGGATCACGACGAGCGTGCCCACGAGACCGATAGTCTTGACGGCCACAGCGAGACGGGCACTCTTTCCAAGCAGGCCAGCGAGGACCTCATGCGGCCCCGATCCTCCCGACTGATGGCGTAATAACCACGATGCAACGCTTGCCTTGCGACGACTTTTTCACGCGACGTCTGCTCCTCCATCATCTTGTCAGAATTCGAGCGAGTTGTGGCCAACCTTCTTGGCATTGGTTTTGGGCTTTGATTTCCGTCCCCCTTCACTCTGTTATTTCTTCTTTTTTTTTTGGAGATTCCCATTTTTGGTCCCCCTTGGGGATTCTACCCGGTGTTTATTTTTCATTCTCGTTTCCATCTTTCGTTTCTCGGGGGCGAACTTTTTTATACGGGACGGCCATGTTGATTGCATCGGTTTCTCTTCTTTCCGTCACACCCCGTCGTTTATACCAACTTCTCCTTCTTGGGGGCCCCTTGGGAGCTTCCTCCGCCTTGTAGTAGACTATTTTTGGCATCCATATCCTGGGCCGACCCCTCATTCACTGGACTTTCCTATCCTGTCACCCACCCTGTTTCCTTTTGTCCATAGCTTCACTCACCCTGTTGCCTCGGGCCGCTTTGAAAGCTGCCGTGCCGTGTTGGAGGCCGCGAGAATCTACCCACGTACCTAGATCGGCCCCCCATCTACCGTGGAGTGAACCCTGTACGGTTGTAAGAATCTAATCTTTTGGTTAAAAACTTCAATTTATGTGTCTTCCATTCCACCCGTAGATCACTAGATCATACATCACGGACAGACTGAGATCCAAGAGTATCTCCAGAACAAGAATAAGAATAAGCGGGGGCAGCATCCTGCGCGACAGGATTCGGTAGGTGTATATGTGGACGAGGAAAATAGACATAATGAGTGAGAATGATACTTGATGCCTGAGCAACTGCCTGCATATGGAACCGATTGCTAGCAACGGAATCACGGTTGTGGTAGATGCGCCCTCTCCTGGCCAGCGACGGCGTCGATATACGTACAGGCAATGCCTCAACTGTCAGGATCCTATCCATGGCGGGCACGTGGCCGGTATAAACCCCCCCCCTCTCCTTCTCTTTCTCTTTCTCCCCGCTCAGCTTCCCCCCCTCGAGTGCAGCGACCCAATGCCCTCAGACCTCGCGCGCGCAACAGTAGTGACCGGAAGCAGACAACATCACTCATCTTCATAGGAATCGAGCCCCAATGAAAAGAGAAAAGCATTAAATCACGATGACCACCACCTGCCCGAGCGCGTGCCCACGCCCAGTCTTACGCTCATCAGCCTCCCCGCTATGCGCTATGCTAACTTGCCCGGCACGAAAGGGTGCCCCGCACTCAGTCCACCACAGACAACCCACGCCTGCCCATTGACATAACTACTCTCATCGCTGCCCAAGAACAGCGCCACGCGCGCGACTTCATCCGCCACGGCACCCCGCTGCAAGGGGTTCAGCTGCCCGATCTTCCGCTCCGTGCCCCGGGCCCGAGCCGCGTCATACATGGCCTGCGTCATCCCCGTCTCAATCACCCCGGGACAGATGGCATTGATGCGCACCCCCGTGCCCGCCATTTGGAACGCACACGACTGCGCGATGGACACCACCGCCGCCTTGGACGCCGAGTAATCCGTCGACCCGGCATTCGCGCGCAGCCCCGCCACCGACGCCGTCGCGATAATCGAGCCGGACGGGTACGGCTTCTCCTTCGAGGTCTGTTTCATTGCGGTCGCTGCGTACTTCGCGGCTAGAAATACACTGGAATCACCAACACACACACACATAATCTGTCCGTTAGCCATGTACACACATTCATTCATTCATCCATTCATTCATTCATTCATTCATTCATTCGTTCGTTCGTTCGTTTGTTCGTTCGTTCGCATTCAAGATATGATAACATCCAGAAAGAAAGAAAAGAGGGATTGGTATTGGGATATCTCTCTCACCTAACGGAATTCGTATTCAACGTCTTCAGGAACTCCGCCCCCGTGACATCGGTGAAGATCCGCGGCTGTCCGATCACCCCCGCGTTCGCGAAGAAGATGTCTAGCCGGCCGTATTTCTGGATCGCGTCCTCAACTACAGCCTTCACGGCTTCTTCGTCCGCCGCGTCGAATTCCCGTATGTGGATATCGACGCCCGGGTACAGGGATTCGATCTCCCGCTTGTGTGTGCCCAGGTGTGTGCCGTCGTAGTCGCAGATGTAGACTGCTTTCGCCCCGTTGTGGGCGTATTGGTGCGCTGTGGCGCGGCCGATGCCCGCGGGGGAGTTGGTTCCTGTATATCATATCCATGATTAATATGTTTGTTTTTTGTTTTTCGTGTTCTTCTTTATTGTTCTATATATATGTAGCTTGGGAATGTTGACGGGCTGGATTATGTTGGGTTCAGGGTTGGTTTGGTTTATGCTGCTTACCAGTCACGATCGCGACTTTGTCCTTGACTCGGCTAAAGTACGCTCATTGTAAGCCTCACTCCCGTAGTAAGCTTCTCTATTCCTCTCATTCATGCTCATGCTCATGCTCATGCTCATACTCATACTAAGCATGAGTTCGGTAATTAGGTCGCTCACTTACGGGCCAACTGAGTCCGGAGCCACATGACGAATGCGGGGAATGTCCTCAAACTTGCCCGCGTCCGGGATACCTTCTACCAGCTGTTGGCTGACGGCTTGGAGACGGCGTTTAGCTGTGCCAGACATGGTCGGTCGGGGTAGATCGAGAGAATGTATAAGTAGTATACTAGACTGTACTTCGTAGCCCGAATGAGAGGATATGTAGCAGAGAGGAGAGGAATGTTAATGTTAATGTAAATTAAGAAAAAGAGGCACTAATTGCAGATTTGCAGATTCGTAGAGATTTTACATTGGACCGAACCCCCTGAGAAAATGGACGAAGGCAGGGCAGAGAGGGAGGCAGCTCGTCTCCCCGCGTGCCAGGAGCTCAACCGCCTCGCGTCCCCTCCCCATGCGGAGAACCGAGACCAGCCGAGGCTGCATTGCCCCGGTCACATGACAGCACCACCGGATGACTCAGCGGCACGAAGATCGCTAGTCCGGTCCCGGCTAGCGCAGACACGGAGCTTACCTCAGCAAGGCGCCAAGTCACATGGGTGCAGCCACACGTCATGGGGGAAGAGCATTCGAGACCCAATTAATGCTCGCAGCCTCACACTGACGAGCACCGACTTCTTTGGTTTCCCTTGTTCGCTTTGTCTGCTTCGGGCTCAAACCTTGCAGCTGGCTAGGCTCGTGCGGGTTTCACTTTCCCAGTTAAAGTTTCAGAACCACTCGGCTTCTTCCGCACAAAACAAACTGTCGCAAAAGAAGCAAACGGCAGCCTTGAAGGGTAGCACGAGCCGACCAGACAGACCAAAGTCAGTCAGTCGGAGAGTCAGTCAGGCAGCCGAGCAGCTACCACCGCCACATACATAAATCCAGGCACGCTGGCCAGGTCCTTTATACTACTTGAAATACTCCCCCCCTCACCTGCCCCTCACCGAGAGCATAATAAGCATACATGAAGGCCGCAGTCCAGTTCTCCTCCAGCTCTGTTCACCGCCCCACGAGAGATGGCGGAGTGCGACACCACAACCACCACCACCACTCCGGATCAACCACCGCATCGGTCCTCTTCGCGGACGTCGTCTTCTTCCCGACGCAGTCAGCAGAAGGCTAAGGCCGCTGCTACTCGAGCCCGCTCCCAGAAACGCCATTCCGCCGCCTCCTCCAATGCCACCACCACCGACCTGACCTCCTTCCCCTCGCTCTCCCCGGACCGCTCTCCCGAAGGGTTTCTGGGCCAACCTGCCCTGAACCGCGCCCTGACAAACGCCCTGCTGGACGGCGAAGCCGGCGATACCACCATCACCACTACCATGGGGGAAGTCGGTCGAGACCGGAGATCCACCCTGGCCAAGCTGACGGGTGGTGGCTCGACGGCGAGTCCCGGTCGGGCGGCGCTGTTTGGGGACTCGGTGCCGATTCGCGATTTCCCGGGCGCATTGCACCTGGCAGACGATGCGCATATTGAGCGGTTGATTGCGAGTACCGGCGCCGCGAAACTCGTCAGGCAATTTGCTCGCGATCTGGCCCAGCGGGACGCGGAGATCTCGGCGCTGCGCCAGCGGGCGGATTCTAGGGAACGCGAGTTGAAGAGGATGCTTCGTGAGGTGTCGGTCTCGAATCAGGATATCGAGCGTCGGTTGTATCAGTTGGAGAATGTCGCGTTGGGTGATGATCCGGGTTTGGATACTGGTGCTGCGGGGAATGCAGAGACTGGGAGCTCTTCGTCTAGTGTGCATGGATTGATGCAGCAGGCTATGATCGACGGCGTGGGATCGCATACCCATGAGGAGGTCCCGGACCCTGCGGCGGCGACTAATGCGCAGGCGACTGTTCGTGGCCCTCAGCGTCTCGATAGTGATGCCCGGTCGGGCACGGATAGTGTTGGGTCTGGAACGAATCGCAAGAGGCATAGCTCGATTCGGAGCTGGCAGGAGTTTATCTTCGGGAATACTGTCGGGAGTCGGAAGACGAGCCGAGCGAGCAGCTTGATGGGTGATGTCGAGGAAGAAGAGACCCAGCGGCAGCGGAATCTCGGCAACCCTTCTGGTCGGAGGAGAGCGCTGGACGACCAGCTATTCCAGCCTCCGGATGGACAAGCTGGGCCTGCGGCGGGGGAGGTTGCTGGGAAGCGTCTTGCGGCGGCATCATCCGGTGGCGATGACGCCAGCACTCATTCGCGCAAGTCATCCAGGTCGTTATCCTCGTGGACGGTGAAGTTGTTTGCCGGGAATACGAAGGAAGACAGTAGCGATAATGACACGCGCGGTAGAGCCTCGTCCGCTAATCGAGGCAGTAGCAAGGGTGTCTCCCCGGCCCTTCCCCCTAACGCCAGAGGGGCTGTTTCAGCTGTGGCGGCTCTGAAACGCATCAATAGCAATGCTAGCATCCACGGCGCGCCGGGACGGCCAAATGGATCTGGCAATATGCCTAAGTCCGCCGGCCAGATCGGCCGCAGACAAGCATCGTCGAGCGTCTCGCAGGGAGCAGGCTCGGAGGCTACGGTTAAAAACGCGACCAACTTGGGACCCGTGGAGATGGATGCCATTCTTCCCCTCGAATCACGGCCCCCCAGCCTTTCGAACTTGTTTAACAACTACCGACCGGACGAGCTGCTGACCGACCGGTTCGGTTTCATTTACGACCAGCGTCGGAAGAAGCGGCAGAGGGAGGCCAAGAACAGTGGAGGCAACAACCGCCTGAGTATCGCGGAGACCCTGAGCAGCCTACGAAGTGAGACCTCGGACGGCGATGACGCCTTGGACTCCCCACGACAGCTACTCTCTGCCGCGGACTCGCAGAGCTCACCCGCATCTGCATCGCCTGAGAACCCCGAAGCGGGCACCGTCGCCCTTCGGAAGTGGCAAGACTATCTGAGGGTGCCTACTGGACCTACGGAGCTGCTGTCACACACGCCATCCGCCGGTCCCATTGTGTCTCTGACCACTGCAGGCGACAACCCTCCGCGTAGCACGGCCGTGGCGGTCGACAAGCGCGGATCCGTCTCCGTCAACTCCAACACCCAGCCATCGGCGTCCACATCGACCGTCGTTGCAGATCGCCCGGAGTTCGCTGGCTCGTCGTCCGACGAGCTCGCCGCGCTGAGCATGGCGGCGAACGAGAACGAGCCCGTCAAACTGCTGCTGGAGCAACTCACCGAGTTGCACGATTTGCTGCAGCGCGATCGCACCGTGCGATGGAACGAATTCCTGCGCAAAGTGCGCGCGGAGCGCCGGAAGGATGGCGAAGCGGCGGCGGCAGCGGCGGCGGCGTCGGACCGGCCGCTGCAATCCGTCGACATGCCCGAGGCGTCGCTGGCGGACGGCGAAGTCGTGGGCATCTCAGGGCTGGGGAACAAGGGCAAGGTCGGCCGCAACAAATGGCGCGAGCTCCGGTCTCTCGTGCTCGGGGGAATCCCCGTCGTGCTCCGGGCCAAGGTCTGGGCCGAATGCAGTGGCGCCTCGTCCATGCGAGTGCCCGGCTACTACGATGACCTGGTGAAGGGCACCGGGGGCGACGACCCCGATCCGTCCGTCGTGGCACAAATCGACATGGACATCAACCGTACCCTCACCGACAACGTCTTCTTCCGCAAGGGCCCCGGCGTCGACAAGCTCAAGGAGGTCCTGCTCGCGTACTCTCGGCGCAACCCGGAGGTGGGCTACTGCCAGGGCATGAACCTCATCGCGGGCTCTCTCCTCCTCATCACCCCGACCGCCGAGGACGCCTTTTGGCTCCTCACCTCCATGATTGAGGTCATCCTGCCCGAGCACTACTACGACCACGGTCTGCTCGCCTCGCGCGCCGACCAGGTCGTCCTCCGCCAGTACATCGGCCAGATCCTGCCCAAGCTGTCCGCCCACCTGGAAAGCCTCGGCGTTGAGCTGGAGGCCCTCACCTTCCAATGGTTCCTTTCCGTCTTCACCGACTGTCTGTCTGCCGAAGCCCTCTACCGCGTCTGGGACGTCGTCCTCTGCCTCAACGTCACCAGCGCCGTCAACACCCCTCCCACTGCTGGCCCCAATGCCCCCTCCTCCACTACTACCCCCGCAACAACCGACCCCAACGACGACCTCACCTCCACCAGCGTCGGCGGCAATGGCGGCGGCAGCACCTTCTTATTCCAGGTCGCCCTCGCCCTCCTCAAGCTCAACGAACAACAACTCCTCACCACCTGCTCCACCCCCGCGGAACTCTACACCTACATCAACCACCAGATGACCAACCATGCCATCAGCATCGACGGGCTGATCCAAGCTAGCGAAGCTCTGCGGAATGTCGTCCGTCGCGAAGATGTCGTCGCTCGTCGTGCTGATGCCCTCCGTGAGATGCAGGAGTTTTCCCGAGGCAGACCGACCTCTTCTGCTGATGACAACTGAGCGAGCGAGAAATAGATCTGGTCTAAGTTTTTATTTCCCTCATCTCATCATGTATTTTTTATCTCTTTTTTTTTTCAACCCTGGTTTCCAGTTCATGTCTTTCTCCCCGGCGCGCAAAATAAGATATGCAAGAATGCGTTTCAAGCAAGCAAGAAAGAACCGGTGTTATGTTTTAGTTTTTTTCTTTTTTCTTTTTTCTTTTTTTCTTTTTTTTCATCTTGATTGGTCGGTATTCCAAAGCGCCATCTGTTCACATTTTCAGAACCATCATTGTCATCATCATCATCACCATTGCCATTATCATCATTGTCATTGTCATTGTTATCATCATACCTATCATCATGATACCACTTATGTCTCTCCTTTACTCCAATTTGTCTTACCATACCATACCATCATACCATCTCATTCATCATACCTACATAGAAGGCAGACACGGGGTTTGCAAGCACCATCACATCACATCACGTCACATCTATCGCGAGCGGTCTTATCTTCCTTCTGATTTAGCTTTGCTTCCTTTCTTTTACTGTTATATAGACTGATGGAATATTTCTTGTGATTTCCTGGCATCATGCAGCATGTGGGATACCCCAATTCAGATTCAATTCTCATACCTACTCATAGCATACTCGTTTAGCTATCTGTTTGTTAACTACTTCTTTACCTACTTACCATACCACTCTTTTATGTTGTGCTTGTGTTTCTTGCTCGGTTGATTTGATTACGCGCTTGATTGATTCTTTGCTTGCGTTTTTGCGGCATATATGGCGAGGTTCCTTGCATAGCATCTATCTATCCATCCATCCATCCATACATGAGATTGAGATGGAGATTGACATACCCGGTGTACTTACTCTACTTACTTGCTTTACGTTTCTTGACTTATTTACTTCCTTCCTTCCTTCCTTCCTTAATTGCTCTTATGGTAAGCAAATGAGCGATTTGAGATACCCTGCCTACCCTGCCTGCTTGGATGTTTAGTTCTGTCTATCTATCTGTTTACTTTCTACTGTCTCCTTTCTAGTAATACTACGTGTTTACTTGAGCATATCTATGGAATTGAATAAGTGGGTGGTGGTGATCTTCATATATATGTGGAAGGTTCATTTCGTTGTTTGAGAAGATGGGATACTATAGACTAGATAGGTAGACTGGACTGGACAACTTGTATACCTTTTATGTAGGTGTATGTGTATGTGTATTTGTGTGTGTATGTGTGTATGTGTGTGTATGTGTGTGTATGTGTGTATGTGTGTGTGTGTGTATGTGATGTGTCTCTGCAATGTCAGTCAACACTACACACTACACAACACAACACAACACAACACAACACATCAATCAATCAATCACATGACCCTCAACCAAACCGACCAACCAATCAACCAAGTCAGTCAGACCAGGCCAAATCAGGCCATGTGAGACAACTACAACATACGAAAAATCCCTAAGCATCATAATATTTAGTAAGAAACCTTCATGGTAAATCACACGTAGCCGCCCATGCCATACGGAAGGAATCATCAACCTCTTGTTTGCTGAAATACATTCTTTGTGATGTGGTCCCGAGAACAGTAATTATATGTCCATATCCAGTGTCCAGTATCTTCGACGGGTGGTGGGAGAAAGAGGGGGGGGGGAGGATCTGTAGCGGGGTCATAAGTGAGAGGTAAAAGGGTAAAAAGAAATGGTAGATCGTGTCATTTCATGGGCACATAGATAGATATGCTGGTGTGAATCCATGAAATGGCAGGACCTAGAGATAGAGAGGAGGGCTGTGTTGGTGGTTGATGGTAACCAAAAGGCCCACCCGAGAGCATAAGCAGGGGCATGAGCAGAAAGATCCCCGGAAAAAAAAAGTAAAATCAACTCGTTGGTATTCGTCTCGGCGTCTCCTTGACAAAGTAATCATCAGCAGTCTTGGAGGGGTATCATTGCGATGTTCGATAAATATCAACAGGGAAAAGAGGGGGAACGCTTTTATGTGCGAACGATCGGTCCGGGAACGGAGGCGGACTGTGTGCTGCTGCTGCTGCTGCCGCTGCTCTACCGGATTGCAGAGAGAACGTCCGGCAGCAGCCAGAACCCCTTGTTGTCGAGGACGGTCGTAAGATCGATTTGGTCCATGTTGGGCCGGAGACCCAGGTCCATTACATCGCGGGCGACCGCCTTGATCTGTCGCATGATGCTCTGCGAGATGGCCCAGGTGCGGGCCAGGGTCTTGAACACGCCGATGGTCAGGGTGAGCCGGTCGCGACTGGGGTCTGGCATCTGTCCGGCCTTTACGGAGCATGCCGCCAGCTGCACCATGGAGCTGAGCACCAGGGAGCAGATGAAGAAGGGGGTGTGCTTGACGACGGGCATGCGGATGGACGCCAGATTGGAGATCTCGCTGGCCGCCTTGACCGCCTTCATGGCGTGGGCGTGGTGCGAGAAGGCCGGAATGCTCAACGGCCCGTGATGACCGCAGATGACCTCCGCGGCGACCGCCGGCGACGACAGCAGGTCGGATCGCGGGAAGTGTAGGTAGATGGACGAGCCGTTCACCATCATCGTCGCCTGGAACATCATCTCGTCCACCGTCCCATCAGGCCGCAACAACTCGGCCTTGGATTCCGGCAGATGGTGGAACCAGCTGGTGATCCGGGCGTCAATGGCCTCAACCTGGTCCTGTTGGCCCTCGATCATGTCCTGGATGGCCACCACCCGGCCCAGGATGCGGGCCGCCTCAATGCGATAGGTGAAGGAGGAGAAATCCCGCTCCTCGTCCGCGAACACCCGCTCGTCAAACTGGGCAATGGTCGGCGCAGGCGGTGGGGCCATTCCGTCCTGATAGATGCGCTCCTCGCACGGCAAAGGCACCTCCAGGGGCACGGAGTTGCAGCGGTAGGTCTGCTGAACCCCCAGGGCGGTCAGCATGCCTTCAATGATGAACAGCTCCCACCAGGTTCGTCTCAGGCTCTCTTCCCGCACGGGATCGCCCTCGCTCATGGAGCGCGCAAACCCCTGGGTGTGCAACCCTAATTCGAACGCGAGGTCCACCGCGGTGGACACACATACACCCGCCTCGGCTCTTTCGTTCCGGGAATGGAGGACAATGGCGAGGATGACCAACGCCTGCAGTTTCTCGATGGACCCTTCTTGGGCCATCACGGACGACATCACTGTTGGGCGGTAAGTTTCAGTGGGAGCCGACACGAAGTGTGTCCCGACAAACTTTATGACATGTTCCAAGAACGGAGGCACCTGGTTTCGGTACAGGATACGGATGGGAGGCAGGATTGGATGGGAGGGGTGGAAGTAGTTAAAGTAGATGTCAACCAGATAGCCGTCTCCGGCGATGGAGGATAACGAATCTGGTGTCAGGGGGCTATTGACGGGGAGAGGCTGCGAAGAGACGGATTCCGTCAAATCGGGGCTGCCGGACGGCACCGATGAGGGCAAGGAAGTTGTCAGCGAGGTGGTAGCCGGCATGGTATACGACGACACCGTCGATGGGAGAGGCCATTCGGCAGGGACCTCGAAAAACTGGGGCACGAAGGCAGCGGTCAAATCGGCTGCCACCTGGTCGGGAGACGACGGATTGGCCCGGCGCTTCTTCGAGGGGCCCTTGTAGCCGCGACGCGAGGGGGTGTATTGACACTCTGCGCCCGTGGCGGAGCAGCGACCGCAGACGGGCGTCGTGCCATCGCACTTGAGATGCTTGTGTCGACATAGCAAACAGGCGAGGAGGGATGGGCCCGAGTTCTTCGCGGCACCGGGGTTCTTCGCGGCGAGGAACTGGTCCTGGATGGCTTGGTCCATATTGGCGGTAATCTATCAATGAATGAGCCTATGGCGTTGTGTGTGAGTCTGGTCTAAGCCTAAAGAGAGTCTGACGGGGATTGAGCAGAGGCGGGTGGAGGTCGAAGGCTGTGTGGGCTGACAGCCAAAAATTGGGAGACGCGGGGGACGAGTTGATGGAGGGGCTGGGTGGACGGGGGTGTTTATCGAGGGAAGAGAGAGTGGGAGAGAGAGAGGAGTGGGGGGAGGAGAGGAGGAAGAGGAAGAGGAGGAAGAAGAGGAAGGAAAAGAAAGATAGATATATGATGGCAGGGAATTAATCAACAGGGAGGGCAGCACAAATCATAATGAGCATGCATTGGGGGGGGGGGGGGGCACGACGAGGCGTCCTTACTGTTGGTCTGGATGGGCGGATGGATGGATAGTTGGATGGATCAATATGAAGCCGCAGCAGCTAGTCGTGATCGCGGGCGGCAATTGGCCGGTGCGGACGATACCCACCCACAGCAGCACCGATCATGTCAATTTAACATAGAGCTGGAAGATGGCAGGAGGATGACTGATGATTATGGGATGAGGTGGTGACACTGTGTAGCTGTTTGGAGGGCTGGGAGGGGAAGAAGAAAGAGGGGAGAAATAGGAGGGGAAGTATCGGAAGTAGGAAGTAGGAAGTAGGAAGAAGTAGAAGTAGAAGTAGAAGTAGAAGCAGAAGCAGAAGCAGAAGTACCTCGAGCAGCGGGAAGTGCAAGGGGAAGTGCAAGTGGAAGTGAGCAAAAGTGGAAGTGTAAGTGGTTAACTGCAGCATGACTACGGAGTACGGTGCACTAGAAGCACTAGCCAGGAACTGCTCCCTCCATCCGTACAAGACGCGTACCTCCTCAGTATCATCCCCGAGTAGTAGTCAAACTGTCCTCTCCAAATCCTGTCTGTCTCTCCCTCCATCCAACTTTCCCCAGACCACCTCATCAACTAACTTTCCTCGAGTCCGGTTCAGTTCCCCTTCCCCCCCCCTTCCCCTTCCCCTTCCCAATCCCTCGATCCTAACCCACCCATCCTCTTCCTCTCCGCTCTCCGCTCTCCGCTAACATCAATCAACGTGGCTTCCCGAACAGCAACCAACTCCGTCATTACCTGTCGTCCTATTGCGCCCGCACAACCCCCCAACAACCAACTACTACTACTACTACTACCACCATATCCAATCCACTCCAGTCCTCGATTCAAACCCTCGAACCTACTACCGCCCTCTCCCTTCCTCCCTCCTATAACCTCCATCCCCGATACTGATCTCCGTCTCCATCCAAAATGATCACCGACAACGAACTTCACCGCCTAGCCGTCTTCCTCGGCAGCTGCGCCATGATGATGATCGTGCTGTACCACTTCCTCGACGTCAACGCCAAGGAGGATTCCGAGGAGGAGGAGAACGTCAAGGTTCCCAATACGGGAAATAAGCAGGCTGTGGAGAGTGCGGCGTCGTCATAGGGTTATTCGTTGGTTTCGCTGTGGTTTCGTATTCTGTTTATGTTTGTTTGTGTGTTATAATACTCCTGCTGCTACTACTGCTATTGTTTGTGTGTGTGTGTGTGTGTGCGTTCAATTGAGTTGAATTGATGCGAGCGATCGAGGAGGGTGGGGGGATAAAATTACAGGACCGACGAGAAGGTTCCCATGGGATGGATGGGATAGGTGGATAGGTGGATACCCCGGTGGTCGCTGTTAATGCCTGTCTATCTGTCCGTCTGTCCGCCGGGAGGAAATAAAGAAGGATAGAAATAAGAAGGATGGCCTAGACTTTTTGATGTGGGTGTAGATGTAGATGTGATGGGGACGTGTATGGTACATTGGGATAGTTTCCATCCATTATCCTCCCTCCCCATGCGAGGTAGCAGTAGGTAATTTACAAAGTCATGCTGGGAACGGGCTCGTCAATAAAAGAAAAAGAAACCTGCTCGAAATGAAATGCTGTCTCCTCTCTGCGACCGCTGTAAAAACATCCGGGGTGGCTAGAATATCCGAAACCATCCATGCGTTCCCCGACGAGAAAAAAAAATAAAGAGAGAGAATTGCAGGCCATGGTCCCTACCTATGCATGCACCGCTCCGTAGACCTCCTCGCATTCAACTCGTCCATCCCGCTTGGTTCTGGCGAGCCGGCTCCCTTCAAAGTCCGAACCGATCCCAGCCCGTCCCTTCAGTCGATTGATTCCCCTCACGACCTCGCGGGATCGATCATGCGCGGTATTATTCCTCCCGTGAGCGCGGATGAAGGCCCGCATGGAGCTGTAGCTCGCAGGGAAGATGAGTGCGTCCTCGCTGCCCGGTCGAGCAGTGTCGGGAATGCCCAAAGGCCCTGGGCTCCCCGGGATCTCAGTTCCCACTAGATAGCACACGTCAAGTTAAACATTAATCACGGATCCCAATAATCAAATGTGACGCAGGCTGAAAATGCACTCATCCAGATGCTTTCTCACCAGTTCCAGGTACCGACGGCCCATCGCCCAGCTTCCACGCCACAGCATCCAGGTGCTCCTTTTTCACGTGCTTGAACAACAGCGCCGCGGGCAGAGACTCCGGAAATGTACAGTCCTTCCACGAGCACGTGAGCTGCTGCGACACATGCACCTTGAAGACGTGTTTTTTCAGCATCTCCAGGTTGTGCAGCTGAGCCTGGCAGTTCGCCCACCCGCATGGGAAGACCTGGTACGGAACCGGCGCCTGTGCTGCGGCTGGCTGCTGCTGTAGCAGCGCCTGCTGTTGCTGCTGCCGTTTCCCACTCCCAGGGGGTCGACCGGGCGGTCTTTTGCCGGGCATGGCGCCCGCTTTCACGGTTGACCTGGGTGTACTGGGTGTGCGGGGTTTGGGCTGCGGCTGGGGCTGCGGGGGTGCTCGCGATGTGGGTGGAAGATGCGGCGGCGGTGGGCGCGGAGGCAAGCTCCCAAGCTGTACTTGCGGCTGCGACTGCGAGTGCGGGCGCACTTGCCAAGAAGGCGCTGGGGACGGATTTTGCAATTGAGACTTCTGCGAGGGCCCGGCTGTTTGCTGCACTCGTGGATGTTCGGGGCGTGGAGGTGGGGGGTGGTGAGGATGCGGTTGTGGAGACAGAAGGAAGGTGTTATTGACGGGAGTTGAAGATGCCGGGCGAGGCGCGGGACGCGGCGCCGCCGGCGCGGCCGCCCGCGGCTTGGGAAGTGACGGGCCCGGGTCACGTGGGTCCAGAGGGTCGACCAAGTCCCAGCGAAATGTCGACAAGTCCGCCCCGTAGTCCACATGAGAGAATGCGTCGCGCAGCCGGAAAAGATGGTGGTTCAATTTCTCCTCAGTTGGATGCCGTCCAGTGGCGATCAAGACGTCTCTAGCAATGGTAGCCGGGTTATAGACCATTTTCTCCGCAGCATCTTCCTCGCGTAGCGGTTCGATAATATCCATACGGTGTTTTAAATGCCCTTTATCTGACAGAGAGCCTGTCGCTGAGGGTGTAAAGTTATAGGCCGCCAATCCGCCGGCCGGCACCTTTGTCTGCTCGGGTGTGTCAACGCGACGTCTCTTTGTATCATGACCAGGCTCTCCTTCATTCCGAGGAGCGGTCGATTGCGGCATAGGAGGGCGGCCCGGCGCCGGAGCCGATGGAGGTGACATTTGAGCAGCTGACTTAGGAGCTTGAGGAGCCGGGACGGAGGAAGGGCGCGAGTTGTTTTTAGGTTGGCCACTGGTACTGTGAGGTGTGGGTGAGGGACCAGCGGTTGGCATCTGTGTAGAAGGTATGGTTGGCGGGGCCGAGCTCGACGACTGGATAGGAGGTACCGGTAGAGGAATCTGATTAAACAGCTGCGAGGGTTCCACAGTCAAAGGGAGAGGGCTTGGCGCCGGAGGCGGGCCCGATTGAGGTGGCTGCGAAGACGCTGGATGGGATGCTTGAGGTTGCTGCGCAGGCGCTGGCCGGGACGCTTGAGGTTGCTGCGAAGGCGCTGGACAGGATACTTGAGATTGCCGCGAAGAAGCTTGGTAGGAAGCTTGAGACGTAGGCGTCCGGTATGCTTGAGCAGGAGCCGGCTGCGAAGAGGCTGGATAGGGCACATTGGGCGAGGCTGGTCTGTACCCTGGAGGCGGGGGGGCCTTAGCCGGCTGAGGCACTGGACGAGGCAACTGAGGCCGACCCGCCTTATGTGTCTGCACTGGCTTGGGGAGCTGCGGGGCAGGCTGCTTGTATTCCTTCGCAGGCGGGGGCTTTGGCGACTGAGAAGGGAACGACTTATGTCCCTGAGGCGGAGCAAACCGGTACGCGCTCTCGGCGTGCGAACCTGGCGGCGGCCCCATGGTTGGGGTTGGCAGGAACGGCGCGGGTTGTCCTTGGTAGGGATGAGGGTAGGCAGGGGCCGAGTGAGACGAGTGTTCTGGGGCTGCTGTGCTGGAAGCAGGAGGCCTGGCATTCCTCTCGTTTGAGTATGATGGATGATATCGCGAGCCGAGCGGACCGTTGGGCGCGTGCGTGTAGGAGGACGAGGGGGGCAACGCGAAATACGGATTTGACTGGAAGTAGGCTGCAGATTCGTCTAAGCTTTGGGCTTCGGGGTCATAGCCATGGCGAAGATAGCTTTCTAGCCACTGCAGATCCTCACTGGACATTTTGTGTTCTGCGCGAGATAACACCGGGATCGTACGGTATTAGGGATTCGGGCGCCGGTTGTTTGGTGTTATTGGCATGGCGGCATTCACTGGCAGTGCGCGGGGCCAAACAGATCAGGAACACAGTTTAGACCGCTCACCGAGTCTGATCACAGCGGGGTGATAGTGGTGTGAAGTTGTCGGGAGTGGTCAGGTTGACGCGACCCAGAACGAACTGGCTGACTGACTGACTGACTGCCGACTGCCTGCCTGGCATCGGGGGGCACATCTTTCTATCTATCGCGCATGGCTGATCCGGCCTGTTCTTGCGGGCGGTGAGCCGCGCCTCTCCCCTGGAAGGCTGCACGCGCGCCGGCCAATCAGCGGCACAGCCGGTCCTAAGCGGAAGTCATGTGACGCACAGCCAGCACGACTATTTTACCGCCTCGAAGCGACATTTCCTTTTCCTCCCATCTTGAAGACTTTGAGGTTTGCAAGACGACTGCAAGTCTACTGTCTGCTTTGACTCTACGCGACTATGTCTGTGATAGGACTCGGTTCTCATCATGAGCAGATTGTCTACTTTGCCTTCTGATGGTTGACAACGTGGTAGTGGTCAGGATACTTAAATGAGAAAGTACCCTCCTACGACCTCGTTATCTTCCAATACTCAGACAGGCGGACGCAATGCTTCATTTCAGTTGACATGCAACTGCAACCCTTCCACACTCGACGGACACTCGACCATGCGACATCTCAGTCTCGCTCATCCCTCCCGAGTATTCATCGGAACAATCGTAGCCCCTCAAACGCGCCAGGTTTATCTCCTCATCAATCCCCTCCATTAGGACGGACCCTATGGTTGAAGAGGTATACGACTGGCGCAGAAGGAATTGCAGGAGCGGCTATATTCGGACAACGTTCGGAGGTCGCTTCTGCCTCGCTTGCAGACTCGCACTGATGCCCTGCTCGGCAAGGACGCTGTGAGTTTGATAGTGAGGTACATACTGCTAGCATTGTAGGGATTAGCATACTGGCATTCACCTTGGCTGGGTGGGTGCAATATAATGATTTTACATACTCTTAATCTTTCCTGGAGTGTAAATGCGTAGTGTCTGTTCTTTCTGGGTATCTAGGTTGGATGATTATCCACTCTATACTCCGTCTCTATTGTGTTCTGGGTTGGTCTTGAGACCGCGGATGATAGAGAGGTAGACTTCTGGATTTATGGACTCCGTAAGGTACTCCTGGTGTCCAAATGCCAATCGATCTTCCTTCTGCTGGCCATTCCTTGGCTGATATTGAACCCGCCAATATTAATACTCCCCCGTATATCACCTTCAACTGTATGATCCAAATCTCATGCCGCTGTTATCCACGTTCCCACCCCGAATATATACTCCCCATTCCATACCTTGACAATCCCATACTGAAGAAAATACTGAACATGATCACATTGAAATCATCTGGAAAGCTCAAGACAAAAGACAAGTAATCGTAATATCATACAAATAGCCATTCCCGCTCAATTGCCTGAAACGCATAGTAGGATGGAACGATATCAGTCAACCACCCAATCACCCGGAATCAAATCACTTCCACCGTGAGACATCATCAGCATCCATAAACCCCCAACCCCCAACCCCCAGCCCCATTTGCAACACAATTCACCCCCTCTCCCCTCCCTCACCCTAGAGATGTAAATCTCACTCCTTATGTCCAACACACGCCCCCCATCCCGGAAACCCACACCCCAACCCCACAAAGAAATACACCAAGAACGCGACAACAAACACCAACAACACCATCAACTTGACATTCTTCCACCACATCCTCCTCCTGAGCCCGCGACTCCTGACGCGAAAATCATGCGCAGACCCCCCTAACCGATCCGTCTTATCAACGAGCAAATCGATCCTCTCGCCCCTCTCCAGCACCCGCTCAATATTCTCCGTCATGATATCCCGTACGCTATCAATCTCGCGGCGCGCCGAGGCGAGCGAATCCGCCGGCGGCGCGGTGTTGTACGTCTGCAGCAGCGCGCGCAGGTCGGTGTTGAACGCGGCGCAGCCATAGGCCGGGAGGGCGGAGAAATCGGTGCTGTTGGGGTTGTAGGTGGAGAGGAACTTGCGTTTGGTCTCGAGGAGGAAGGCGAAGGGAATGCGCCGGCCTTGGGAGGCGGTCGCGACGATGACGTAGCTGAGGGGGGCGTGCGAGGTGGGTTCATTTTGGTCGCTGGGGGAGGACGAGGTGGGCGAGTCGGCAATGTAGTGCACGAAGAGCCGGTCGTGCGTGTAGGTGAGTTTTTGAGGCTGGTCGTGGCTGATTTTCGGGAGGATCACGGAGGCGAGTGAGGATGCGGCCGTCGAGGATGTGCCTGGCGCGGAGTGTTCGGCGAGGATGGTGGTGCGGTGCGCGATGCAGCAGCTGGGGTGGGTTAGTCGATGTGTTGTATTTGGTTTTGGGGGGTTGGGGAGGGTGATGATATTTGGGATTGGGATTGGGATTGGGATGGGCGTACTAGAGCAGGAAGCTCGAGGGCTTCGAGGAGGAGGCGGCCATGGTTGTTGATGGCGTCTGGTCGTGGAATTAGGTGGCCTCTAGTTCCGAGAGTAAGTCGCGTCCGCAAGTCACGCCCGACGCAGTGCCCTGAGCGATGGAGTGAAGGTGAGGGATTTGGAGATAAGATCACCGCTCCGTGACGTCGCCGCCAACCACCCCCGGATTCTGTCACGTGACAATAACCCGGAATGCCGTGGCCTGCGTCGCTACATATAGTATGTATGTCACTACTTATGCTATGTAATTCGATCCTATGGATGTCTATGCGAACAGTTGACTTCTAGCCTCGGTTCTACTCCCAAGTGTGGAGTTACCAGCATGATAGAAACCAGGAGCCACATCAGTCATTGAGATGTAAGGACCATCTAGATACCCCAAACCGACTAGTCGGAAACAGCCTCTACGTCCCCCAAATCAATACGCTCAAGGCCCGCAGCAACATCCTCGAGAGCATCAATTGCGCCCGAAGAATCCACCATCGCAGTGCCGCCGTCATCGTCGTCGCTATCGGTATCGAAATAGTCCTCTAGCTCATCGTCCGCGGATGAGTCCATGTTCACGCAGAACTCGTCCTCATCTGCCTGTTCAGGCTGCTTTCCAGATGAAGTAGATAACGTTCCAGCATCCTGGTCTACACAGGGGACGATGTTGTCCACCTGCTCAGACAGATCTTCAGAAAAGGCAGAGAAAGCTTCAGAGGCTACGGACATGACGTCTGTCAAATGGCTGGCGGTGGCCCTGTGCGAGGCGCCTTGGACGGTGCTTTCGTACATGGAAGTATCGGCACCGGGAAAAGATATTGACGAGGGAACAGTATGTCCCGTGGGTACTGCCGGTTGGAACATGGAGAACCCGCATGTGTCGAGTTCAGCCATGCCTTGGTCGGTGTACACGCCCCCTGTCCCATCCTCGTTGCCTCCGGCCCACAAAGGGAGGAACTGGATCTCGCTGTCCACGAGGCAAGTGAGGGTGTCCGTGATGGAGAAACTGGCGTCCGGTCTGATGGCCTGTATCATTTGCTCCGCAACGACGGCTATGTATGAGCGCGCCTGGTCAATGAAGTCCTGGGGATTGAAGATGCTCGCCAGATGCTGCCACGTCAGTGGGCCTAACACGCCCGTATTAGCTGTACGGTCCAATGACGTCAAAAGATATGTGTGATGTTATACATACTTCGTGCTTCGATAATGCACTCCATCGCGATCGTGCGGAAACCAAACCTGGGGCTCATAGGATCCACGTGCCTGTTGTACTGGTTGGCTCTGAGGAGCAAATCCGACAAATCGACATTCCCGATCTCTGCAGAGCCCTGGGCGAGGAAAGAAGCCAAGGGACTTCCTACGTCGGCCAGTGTGCGAATTCCGAGCTCTGGTCCTGGGTTGAACAAGCGGTGGCTGACGTCGTCGATCACCACGAGGCCTTTCCAAAAGCTGTAGGTCATTATACGCTCTGGCAGGCTCATACTGTTGCAGGCGTCTACGAAGTCTTGAGTCGGATAGGAGTCGTCGGCAACGACTTTCTTGCTCAGTTTGCCGGTCACCGCTGTACCTGCGTTGACGGCCAAGACCGTGAAGATGTGTCCCCTGATGTATTGTTTCAGGGTGTTCACCAGGTTTGCCGCATGTTCACAGTCATAGCATGTGTGGGTGTGTGCCTGAATACTGTGATACGCCGTTATTTGTGAGAACCAGAGCATATCAGCGCCCGCAAGCTCGAGGAACCGGTCGATCACACGATCCAAAAGGCTATGGCTTGCATATTCCACCCGCTGGCGATCTCCATCCTCCAACGGCTCGCGAGGCCGACCATGTATCGTCCGAGATGGCCACTGGAGTCTAGGCTCTTTGCCCGCATCGGCCAGACGGAGCAAAGCCTCCTCCCCGACAAGGATGCTGAATGCATCTTGGCACATCCGCTCACACTGAATGCCACAAGCGATGCGATATGCGACCTCAGGATGCAGTTCGATGAACTTCGTATTGTCCGGATCGTATACCCAAGTCAAGATGTGAACGTTGATCTCAGAGTGTGTAGCAATACCGAGCACTTTGGCCAACGCGAAGTACGTCCACATCTTGCAGGGAGTATCCAGGCAGGGGTTGATATAATGCAAAACCTTGAGTATATCCACAATACCCCTTCGATGACGGGAGCCCGAATACTCAGCCGGAAGGGCTGATTGACTGCCACCCTCCTCATTTTCATCTGTCCCACCGACGCAGTGCTCGGGCAGTCCCCACCGCTCCTTCGAACGAGCCCAGGTCCTGATACCCAGCGGACACGAAAGTTCTGTGGTAAAAGTCACGGCCTCATCACCTTCCGAGGGAGGAGTGAGGTCAACGACATATCTGATTCCGCTCGGGAGCACGCCCGCCAGCCCGCGACGCTTGATCGTGGGAGCTAGTTTCCTTGCCTCAAAAGGCCTGGTGAGGTCGAGGGACTCTGTTCTCAAGAGGTTCTGGCTGTTGACACGGTGGGGGATGCATGAGGGAGATTCAGGCTGCAAGTGCCCGGTGGACTTGAAGGACGGAGGGTCAATGTATACCAGCGTGTCAGCATTATCGGCAAGAAGGATGTCATGGCCTGGGTCACTCAACGCCGCAGCGATGAGAAGGTGGGGGGACGGGGGTGGAGCGGTGGTCTGTGCCGGGTCGTCCATTGCGAGGCTGCGACGGTGAGGCTATGAGGCGATTCAGAGGATCTAAAGCGGGTCACTTGTCACCAGTCTCACTGGTATGGATAAAGATGATGGGAAATCCAGGGGAATTTCAGGCGAGGAGAAGAAAGGAGAGGAGAAGAGAAGCGACAAGACAAGACTTTAAAACCCACCGCCGCCGCCATGTTTGCGGGATGGGAGGGCAGTGAATGTCCTCCATTCACTTTTCACTCTCACTGCCTCAGTCATCGGTCAGCCTGACCGTTTGGCGAAGGCGGCTGCCTACAGGTGGCTGGCCCGGCCAAGTGAAGTAGAGCAGCAGGATAGCTTCACATCTTGATAAGTCGGGCAACAACCAAACAAACAATGACACGATGAGTCTCATTGGTCCTTCGCAACCGGAGGGCAATGTCGTAATACGGGCAAACCCTCTCTCCAGTGAGCTTACTTTGGCAAATCTGCTACAGTATAGGTCACTGGAGAGAGTATGTAGTTGCGGAGCGTCGTGGAATTAGAAATCAGGCGAAGGATTCATGAAGGAACGCTAACTATGCTGACACTGGAAAAGCCGATCTAGGACTGGGTCCAACCGCATACTTTGCTTTTCACACCATCGAGACAAAAAAAAGAGAGAAAGAAGTAAGTAAGTAACATCAGGGTATCACGATATTGCAAACAATCCCAAATCTGCAACATTGTTGAAAAAAAAAAAAAGGTCTTGAGACAGCCAACCCAAAGATTCTACAACACAGAAACAACAGAGAAAATACACAAGCGTTCAAATGCAGCATTATTCATCGCTCATAAGCGTCCTCCCCAACCAACATGGGCTTTATCTCGCCTCGTCCCTGGGTCCGGTCCCTCCGCGCGATTCGTCAGATGACCATTGACCGTCGCTGCTTGCTCTGCTTTTTCGCGATTCCTTCTTCTCAGCGCGGCGCTTCTTTTTCTCTCGCGGTGCGTTGCGCTGTTCGTCAGGCCGGCTTTGGCTGCGGCTGGTGCCTCCGCGTCGGAGGTCTTTGACTTCTTTGATCACCTCACGGAAGCCTTCCTCGATGTTGTTCATCCGGGCCAGGACAAGCTTGCTGAGCATATCCTGGTTACCACCAGGGCTGTCAGGTCGTCTGATGTTGCCTGTCGCGTAAGCCATTTGAGTGGTCAGACTGGAGGGGACGCCGCCCAAGAAGCCGTTGGCAATTGCCTTGTTGTCTCCCAGGTCTGAGCCCAAGCCGTCTAGAATGGTCTCTTGTAGGCGTCTTCGGAAGTGTGAGTCGTGCACCGAGAAACCGCCCAGATCGGGCACAGACATGGGGTCGGATCGGGGCATCGTCACGGTTCGAAGCCTGCCCCCATCCGTGCTGTGTCTTCGCAGGGTCCATTGATCGGCAGAGGTCGAGACCATGGCATCGCCGGCACGGCCAGGAGTCTCCGCTCTTGACCTGACAGGTCTTGACGACGCCTTGTCTTCTTCATCATGGCTTTCCGAAGCGACGGGGTTGTATAGCATGGTGGCGCTCGAGTAGTTCCGCGTGTGGTACTTGATCCGCCGAATGGGACTAGCCTTGCGGGACTTGAGTCGTGCAGTTGACGGCCGGGAGCTGAAGAATTTGGGAGGCGTGTTGATAGGACTGCGCTTTACGATCTTCGGAGTATCGCTCTCGGACTGTCCTGGATCCAAGGCCTGTTCTCCAGCCCATTCTGCGTTGTCATCGCTCGTAAGCTCGTCGTCGCCCTCCATGCCCGTATGTCGCGAAAGCTGTCTTGTTCTAGCGGGAGTTAAGAAGCCCCTGCCATCACGGGGCGTCGCGGGAGAAGAGGCAACGTGCTGGACATACTCCGGGTTGGAGGTGGCAGAACGGTTCGATTCTGTGAAATCGCGCAAGCTCCTAGTCAGTCTCCGGTGAAGCCCAGACCGACCTCTCGGCATTCTCTCCAAGCGATCAACCTCATCTGAGTCCTGCTCATCAGGAGGGTTGACTCCCGAGCCCATAGTTTGCATCCACTTGTTGACCACATTGTGACTCTCTTGTCGATTGAGCCTTGCTGTGGGCCTAGTTGTTCCCTCATGGAAAGGCTGGCGAAACACCTCGTCCAGGGCACGATCCTTCTGAAATGTTGCCACCGATGGCTCTCGTACAAAGCGAGCAGCGTGTGAGCCGAACCTGAATCTGGGACGAGTCCGGAAGCGGCCTCCCGATTCAGATCGACTCGATTCTATGAGATCGGTAGATTCGATGACCCCGGAGCTCAAGATCATCTTTTCGTAGAAACAGATGGTAAACAGGATCGGAAGGTGAGTAGCCTTGATAGTGGTGCGGTTGATCCGAACAAATTCTCTGAAGGACATGAAGTAGCGCAGTGGAGCAATCAGCCATGCAAGAATGTTGAAAGGGGCAATGTAGGAAAAGAGAGCATCGGATTTAACCATGGAGATTGTATTCACGGCGAAAAGAAACTGATGTTCCTGGTTGGCGTTCTGCACAATACTCATGAAGGAATTGGTAAGGACCGTGATGAGAATGGTGACAACAACGAAATGACAAATGAAGAGGAAGACCGTCAGGATGATCTTCCCCAATATATTGTAGTCATTCCAAAGTGTCCATGCAGTCGGGGTAAATCCCATCAGCATCTGGAACAAGGCATATGCAACCGCCCCCGGGGAATGATCTTCGCCGTTGCCAAAGGCCAGCGTGAATGCGACGAAGAAACCGCTGCAAGCAATGATGATCAACACGAACACCGCAATGAGATCGGAAGCCATGATCCGGAACGCGATAAGCAGCTGGGAAAAGTAGCGGTAGTGGTCAAGGACAGAGAAAAGTCGTGGAAAGAGGAGAACTGCATTCGCGGCCAAAATGTCATATGCTTGGTCGGCAATGATATGGTTGCGAGTATAGGGCATGACGGCGCCATAAAGTCTCATACAATAATAGCAGAAGAGGAGAAACAAGATCCCGAGGTCGAAGATATTCCAGAAGCTCATGAGATACAAACTAAACCCCTGTTCGTTGAAGCCGACGATCTCATCAAGCATGAAACCAGCGCTCCAAAACCAAAACACAAGTTCTAGTGGAGTGATCTCAAGGCGACGTTGTTGCAAAACAGCCAGAAACAGCCCCAGCAGAACCGCAAATGACAAAGTCGACAGGAATTGTCTGTATCGAGGCACTCGTAGCCGGGAAAGCTTGAACAAGGAGGCATCTCTTGGATCGTAAATGGTGACTGAACGCCGAAGCCCAGAAACATTGGTCTGTATCTGATGAGGTGACACATCAGAGGCACCGGGATCAGGGACTGTGCCGTATAATGGTCTCCCACTGCGAGCAATTTGCGCCGGCGAGCGATGAAGATTGTCCGCTGCGGAATGGAAGACGATTGTCCCGGCCCAGATTGCTTCCAGCTGCTGTACCACGAGGGGATGTGACAAGAACCGTTTCGCCTGGGCGCGGATGGCCACCTCGAGGCAGGAAACACGAGCGATGCCCGGCCGCCTGCTTCCTGGTGCAGGATACCAGCCAGGGGCGGAGGTTGCAGTCGCCGACGGGGTTTGGCCGTTCAGGGGATAGAACTCATAGGACAGAGCGTCGATCAATTCTCGCGTGGAGTACTCTCTCAGCAGCTTAATGGCAAGAAGCTCGCTGACCATCGCTCTGGTCTGGCTCACGCCGCTGTTTCCCGGGTTCAGATGGACCTCCTTTGTGAATTGTAGGCAGTTCGTTATCAGCGCATACAACGTGGCTCGAGAAAAGTGCAACGCGCGTATTTTCTGCTGGATCGGCTTGACCAGGAACTGGGAGATCTGAGGCGACCGCAATTGGTCCCAAGTAAGGGTGGTTTCGCAGCGCGCAACAATCAGGGGGCGTATGGCATGGGTAATGTCGTAAACCGGAAGGGTGTCTGGTCATGAGGAGGGGTCCAGGTCAGTCAGGATGCATCGTTTTTGAGGCCTGCAGTCGAGACCAGGAACGCCGTACCCAGGTGTGAGGAAGAGAAGATGGGAAGTAAAGGAGTGGACTCAATAGGACCATCGTCTTCTTCATCAGCATCGTCCTCCCCGGATGCTGTGTCCGCCCCCTCAATGTCACCATTATGTATATTAATCTCTTCATAACCCGCGTCGGGACCTTCTTGTCGGCCGTTGTCCCGAAAAAAGGGCCATGGCGAGTCGCGAGTGGTGTACGGCGACGAGAATGGCGAACGCTCCGCGTAGACCCGGCGCTTCTTCGGACGAAGGAGTGAGGCCAGCATGTCGTGGGAGCGCTCAGCGCATGTCGGGTCGTGCAACGGAGAAGCAGGAACAACGCGTCGCTCGGAGGGCGGGAGGATAGACTGCTTAAGAGGAAGCCATGGGGCAGTTAGCGGACGGTTCGCGTGATTCCCGAGATAAGCAGGGAGGGAGAGCTACCAGGCCGTTGAAACGATTTGCCGGTGAAATTAACGCAGCTCACATGCGCCTGCAGTGCAGTGCAGCAGTGCAGTAGTAGTGGAGGGGAGGATCGCCGGGCAACGGGCCATCGCGAGATTTGCTGGAGAGCCTGGGCTGCGGGCTAGCGCAAGATAAGTAAAAGGGTCTGGTTCAGGCGAGCACTGACGCGAATCGCAAGATCATTACGTAGATAGCTGGAGGCAATGGGGGGGCTAATTAATAACAGTGGCTCGGTATACCTCCAAAGTACCACTCACTACCCAGGAGTACCTGGGGCCGCACCCACCCGGGCAACATCGCGTCCACCGCGGCAGGATTGGGGGAAGGGGGAGGGGCTATGGTCCTTGCAGGCTTGCAGATTCCATGACCTGCAGCTGAAGCCTCGACGGAACATAAAACAGGATCGCATATCAGATCATGGGTACCACGGGTTTTACGGGGGGAACCGTGGTGACCACGAGCAAAGAACCAGGCTAGAAGGAGGCAAGAAAGTCTGCGCAAATCCTCCGTCAACTCGCCGCGTATTTATTCTTCTCCTGTCATAGCACCATACTATGATTTCCGTTAGTACTCCCGGGGTACTTTAGTTATTATTACTCGATCAGGTAAGCAGGTGCAGCTGATATCGATCTGCTTGCCACATTCCAAACGACAGCTACCTGACCTGCTCAGGAGGAGCTGTCCTTGCTTGCCAGTGCTGTTCGTCGTGGGTTACACAGTCAGTCTGATGAGTGATGAGGCATTTTGGGGCCCTCAGGCTCAAAGCTGCCGACGACTCCAAGAGTGAGGTGGGATATCTGCCTACCACACAGAAGCCCACGCTCCGATAAAGTTACTTGTTAGCACCACCGCTGTACCCTCGGAGTCATCACCTGCCCTTAAAAAAGTATCTACGCCGACTTGTCCGATAACGGGTTGGCCTCGAGCCTCCATCGGCGATATGGCGAGTCTCGGATCCCATTGGAGAGAGCTTGCCAGCACCGGATCCAGACCCGATCCAAGGCAGAGAAGAAAAACCGGCCAGCGCTAAGAAAGACTAAGAAAGGCTAAGGAGGGCTAAAGGGGCGCTGACCGCCTGCAGTGGCACGGCTGCAAGCGCGGTCGATCCGTGTGGCGAACGCCCCCCTGCCAGCCAATCGCTGGCCACGGAGACGAAGCCAGTCGGCAGATTCTGGCTGCCCCTCCAACAAATTGAACTGAAAAGAGAGAGGAGCTCACCAATGACCTCATGCACCACTCACACACAGTGTCGCACACACCACACAAATTGTAAATTCGACCTCTTTCTCTACACAGTACACGGTATGCAACAGAAAGAAGGGGCAAAGGCGACAAACACTAGGTAATAAGTATGTAATCCTATGTAGTGGTTGGGATGTCCGGGGTGCCTCTCCACGGGAGCCATTGACTCATGGCTGCATCGCACACCGGAGAGAGGGGGGTTTTGTCTGGAGAAGAGAGGAGAGAGGATGGGAACCCTGCCGGACTCCGGCCAAGACAGAACGCTTAGACTCCAAAATTAGCAATGGGAAGCCGAAACCCCCCCAAACCGTCGCGAAAATTTTTCCTGCGGGCGGTGACGGGAAGCAGAATCGCCCATGATCCCCGGATCGGTCAAGCGGACAGTCCAATGAGAGAGCTCCATCAGCCCGCCGTACACAAAATTTTATCTCTGAGAATTCTGCTCCTCCTCCCTTCTCCTATATTCCTCCTCCCTGTGCAGAAGCAGCAGAATCACATTCCTCTCTCCCTCCCTCTTGCATCTCTCACAAAAGGGTCTTGGAGGCTGCTGATGCTACGGTAGAGTGAACACCCCTGTCATACAGTCCCCGAGAGGACCTTTTCCCCTCCCACCCACCCCCACAGTCACCACCGCAATGCCGCAATCTGCCGGTCACGAGGAGGTCTCCCTCCCTTCCAGCCCCCAGGCTGGAGGCGCTGTCGCCTATAACCAGATCAACAAGGAATTGCAACCGCTTCCTCCGATGGAGGCTCACAATGGTGCCGTCATCCCCCCCGCCTGCTTTCCCTTCCGCGGCAGCAACGGGCGGATGACCTCCCTCGAGCTTGAAGACGGCACCGTCTATCAAGGTTACAGCTTTGGTGCTGAGAAGAGTGTGGCGGGTGAATTGGTCTTCCAGACCGGCATGGTGGGATACCCAGAGTCCGTGACGGATCCCTCATACCGGGGCCAAATCCTCGTCGTCACCTTCCCCTTGGTCGGCAACTACGGTGTCCCCTCCCGGGAGACCATGGACGAGCTGCTGAAGGATCTGCCCAAGTACTTCGAATCTACCCAGATTCACATCACCGCTCTTGTTGTGGCCACTTATGCCGGAGAAGAGTACTCTCACTTCCTGGCTGAGTCCTCCCTTGGACAGTGGCTGAAGGAACACGACGTCCCCGCCGTGCACGGCGTGGACACTCGTGCTCTCACGAAGCGCATCCGTGAGAAGGGTAGCATGCTGGGACGTCTGCTACTCCAGAAGTCGGAGACTATCAGTGAATCCACCGTCATCCCGACGGAGAAGGATAGCTGGAGGCCTTTCTTTGAACAGACCGAATGGGTTGACCCCAACAAGAAGAACCTTGTGGCTGAGGGTGAGTAGTCTATATCTTGTTCGGGAAGACAAGTCGCTAACAGATCGCCAGTCTCCATCAAGGAACCGAAGCTTTACTCTCCCCCCGAAAATGTTGCCCTCAAACACCCCTCCGGCCGCCCAGTCCGTGTTCTTTGCTTGGACGTGGGATTGAAGTTCAACCAGCTGCGCTGTTTGCTCGCCCGTGGCGTCGAGGTCCTGGTCGTGCCCTGGGACTATGACTTCCCCACCCTTGCTGGAAAAGACTACGATGGTCTGTTCGTCTCGAACGGTCCCGGTGACCCGGCTATGATGTCTACCACCGTCAACAACTTGGCGAAGACCATGAAGGAGGGCAGGACCCCGGTGTTCGGTATCTGCTTGGGTCACCAGCTGATCGCCCGCTCCGTCGGTGCCCAGACATCAAAGATGAAGTTCGGTAACCGTGGTCACAACATTCCTTGCACCAGCATGGTCACTGGAAAGTGCCACATCACATCGCAGAATCACGGTTATGCCGTGGACGCTGGTACCCTTCCCGAAGGCTGGGAGGAGCTCTTCGTCAATGCCAATGACGGTAGTAACGAGGGTATCCGTCACGTCAGCAAGCCCTACTTCAGTGTCCAGTTCCACCCCGAGAGCACTCCGGGTCCCAGAGACACTGAGTACCTCTTCGACGTGTTCATCAACACCATCCAGGATACCATCGCCTCCCCGGAGGCTCTCAGCAAGGCTGTGGCTTTCCCCGGTGGTCAAAAGGAGGAGAACGCGAAGCTTGCTCCCCGTGTGTCCGTGAAGAAGGTTCTGATCCTGGGTTCCGGCGGTCTCAGCATTGGACAGGCCGGTGAATTTGATTACTCCGGAAGTCAAGCCATCAAGGCACTGAAGGAGGAAGGCATCTACACCATCCTGATCAACCCCAACATTGCCACGATTCAAACCTCCAAGGGTCTGGCTGACAAGGTTTACTTCCTCCCGGTGAACGCCGATTTCGTGCGCAAGGTGATCAAGCACGAACGCCCCGATGCCATTTACGTCACCTTCGGTGGTCAGACTGCGCTCCAGGTCGGTATTCAGCTCAAGGATGAGTTCGAGGCCCTTGGTGTCAAGGTTCTCGGTACTCCCATTGATACCATTATCACCACCGAGGACCGTGAGTTGTTCGCTCGCAGCATGGAGTCGATCAACGAGAAGTGTGCCAACTCGGCATCTGCGTCCAGCTTGGAGGAGGCCCTCCGGGTCGTCGAAGACATCGGCTTCCCCGTCATTGTCCGCGCTGCCTATGCCCTTGGAGGTCTGGGTAGTGGATTCGCAGACAACATGGATGAGTTGAAGGAGCTGTGTCTCAAGGCTTTCGCCGCCAGTCCCCAGGTTTTGATCGAAAAGTCGATGAAGGGCTGGAAGGAAATCGAATATGAGGTCGTTCGTGATGCCAGAGACAACTGCATCACTGTCTGTAATATGGAGAATTTCGACCCTCTCGGTATCCACACTGGTGATTCCATTGTCGTGGCTCCTTCCCAGACACTTTCTGACGAAGACTACAACATGCTGCGCACAACTGCTGTTAATGTTATCCGCCATCTCGGTGTTGTTGGTGAATGTAACATTCAGTATGCGCTGAACCCCTTCTCCAAGGAGTACTGCATTATCGAAGTCAACGCCCGTCTGTCTAGATCTTCTGCGCTTGCCTCGAAGGCCACCGGTTACCCCCTTGCCTTCATTGCTGCCAAGCTTGGTCTGGGTATCCCGTTGAACGAGATCAAGAACTCGGTCACCAAGGTCACTTGCGCCTGCTTCGAACCTTCCCTGGACTACTGCGTTGTGAAGATTCCCCGTTGGGATCTCAAGAAGTTCACTCGTGTCTCTACCCAGCTCGGATCTTCCATGAAGAGTGTCGGTGAAGTCATGAGCATTGGACGGACGTTCGAAGAAGCCATCCAGAAGGCTATTCGCTCGGTTGACTTCCACAACCTCGGTTTCAACGAGACCAACGCCCTCATGTCCATCAAGGGTGAACTGCAGACTCCTTCTGACCAGCGTCTGTTCGCCATCGCCAACGCCATGGCTGCCGGCTACACCGTTGATGACATCTGGAAGCTCACCCAGATCGACAAGTGGTTCCTGAGCAGACTGAAGGGTCTCAGCGATTTCAGCAAGCTTATGACCTCCTTCAACGCGACCACCGTGCCACGGCCCATCCTTCGCCAGGCTAAGCAGCTTGGTTTCTCGGATCGCCAGCTTGCCAAGTTCCTCAGCTCCAACGAACTTGCTGTCAGACGCCTGCGTGTTGAATCTGGCATCATCCCTATTGTCAAGCAGATCGATACAGTTGCTGCTGAATTCCCTTCGTTCACCAACTACCTGTACCTGACCTACAATGCCTCGGAGCACGACGTTACCTTTGATGACAATGGTATTATGGTCCTTGGTTCTGGTGTTTACCGTATCGGTTCTTCTGTTGAGTTCGATTGGTGTTCCGTGCGTACTATCCGCACCCTCCGCGAACAGGGCCACAAGACTGTCATGGTCAACTACAACCCGGAGACTGTCAGTACCGATTACGATGAGGCTGACCGCTTGTACTTCGAGAACATCAACCTGGAAACTGTTCTCGACATCTACCAGTTGGAATCTTCCAGCGGTGTTGTCATCTCCATGGGTGGTCAGACCCCCAATAACATCGCTCTGCCCCTCCACCGCCTGAACGTTAACATCCTCGGTACCTCCCCTGAGATGATCGATGGAGCCGAGAACCGTTACAAGTTCTCCCGCATGCTTGACCGTATCGGCGTGGACCAGCCTGCCTGGAAGGAGCTTACGAGCATTGAGGAGGCGACCAGCTTCTGTGACAAGGTCGGCTACCCTGTGCTTGTCCGTCCCTCTTACGTGCTGTCTGGAGCTGCCATGAACACTGTCTACTCCGAGCATGACCTTGCCAGCTACCTCAACCAGGCTGCCGATGTTTCGAGGGAGCACCCTGTGGTTATCACCAAGTACATTGAGAATGCCAAGGAAATTGAGATGGATGCCGTTGCCCGCAACGGTGTCATGGTTGGTCACTTCATCTCCGAGCACGTGGAGAACGCTGGTGTCCACTCCGGTGATGCTACCCTGATCCTGCCCCCCCAGGACTTGGACCCCGAGACTGTCCGCCGCATTGAGGAGGCTACCCGGAAGATCGGAAACGCCCTGAACGTTACTGGACCTTACAACATTCAGTTCATCGCCAAGGACAATGATATCAAGGTCATTGAATGTAACGTCAGAGCTTCTCGGTCTTTCCCCTTCGTTTCCAAGGTCATGGGTGTCGATCTCATTGAGATGGCGACCAAGGCTATGATCGGAGCTCCCTTCGCCGAGTACCCTCCCGTCTCCATCCCCAAGGACTATGTCGGTGTGAAGGTGCCCCAGTTCTCCTTCTCCCGTCTTTCCGGCGCCGATCCCGTGCTGGGTGTCGAGATGGCCTCCACCGGAGAAGTTGCTTCTTTCGGTCGTGACAAGTACGAGGCCTACCTCAAGGCCCTCATCTCCACCGGATTCCGCCTTCCCAAGCGCAACGTACTCTTCTCGATTGGTTCCTACAAGGAGAAGATGGAGATGCTGCCCTCGATCCGCAAGCTTCACCAGATCGGGTTCAACCTCTTCGCCACCGCTGGTACTGCGGACTTCTTGAAGGAGAACGGCATCCCCGTCAAGTTCCTTGAAATTCTTCCCGGCGAGGAGGAGGACATCAAGTCTGAGTACTCTCTCACTCAGCACTTGGCGAACAACCTCATTGATCTGTACATCAACCTGCCGTCTAACAACCGGTTCCGCCGTCCTGCCAACTACATGAGTAAGGGTTACCGCACTCGTCGTATGGCCGTCGACTACCAGACTCCTCTGGTCACCAACGTCAAGAACGCCAAGATCTTGATCGAAGCCATTGCCCGTCACTTTGCTCTCAACGTGCAGACCATTGACTACCAGACCAGCCACCGCACCATCATCCTTCCCGGATTGATCAACGTGGCTGCGTTCGTCCCCAACCTGATGACTCCTGGATCCAACGACTTCGAGCTTATGAGCAAGGCTTCCATCGCCGCCGGTTTCAGCATGGTGCGTGTGATGCCTGTTGGTGTTGAGGGCTCTGTCACGGACACCCGTGCCCTGAAGATTGCCCAGCAGAATGCCCAGAAGGCCTCTTTCTGTGACTTCAACTTCTCTGTTGTGGCGACCGCTACCAACGCCGACCAGATCGGACAGCTGACCGGAGATGTTGGCTCGCTCTTCATTCCCTTCAACCACCTGTCTGGCAACATCAGCAAGGTTGCCGCTGTCACCAGCCACTTTGCTTCTTGGCCCTCCAGCAAGCCCATCATCACCGACGCCAAGTCCACTGATCTGGCCTCCGTGCTCCTCTTGGCCAGCCTCCACAGCCGCAACATCCACGTTATGAGCGTCACTTCCAAGGAGGACATCAACCTCATCGCTCTCAGCAAGGAGAAGGGTCTCAAGGTCACCTGCGATGTTTCCATCTTCAGCCTGTTCCTTTCCAAGGATGACTTCCCCGAGTGTAGCTCTTTGCCCTCGGTCGAGGACCAGCAGGCCCTTTGGGAGCACCTGAAGACCATCGATGTCTTCTCCATCGGTAGCATCCCCTACCAGCTGGCTGGTGAGAAGGCTACTCCCGTGGTCGGTATCGCTGAGTCCTTGCCACTGCTGTTCACTGCGGTGTCGGAGGGTCGCTTGACCGTCGAGGACATCATTGCCCGTCTCTACGAGAACCCCAAGAAGATCTTCGAGCTGCATGACCAGGCCGACAGCTCCGTCGAAATCGAGGTCGATCGTCCTTACCTGTACCAGAGCACCAACGCTTGGTCTCCGTTCAGCGGCAAGAACGTCAGAGGCTCTGTGCAGCGCGTCACCTTCCAGGGAAAGACCTCTTGCCTTGACGGTGCCCTCACTGCTGATGCTGCCAAGGGATTCGACATGTCCGGACACCGCATCGTGCCCGCCTCCCCCTCCGTGAAGGCCATGTCTCCCCTGGTCCGCGCCCGCCCCGAGAGCTCCCTGGATAGAAGACTCTCCATCTCCGGAACCCCTCTGCGTCCCGCCCGCAAGCTTGGTGACCAGACCGCTGCTCCTGCCGTGGGTGAGCTTGGACCTCCCTTGTACACCCCCGTTCCTCAGCAGTCCTCTCCTCTGCTTGACATGCTCTCCCGGTCGCCTTTCAGACAGAAGCACGTGCTCTCCGTGAACCAGTTCACTCGCGCGGATCTGCACCTGCTGTTCTCTGTGGCCCAGGAGATGCGTCTCGGCGTGCAGCGCCAGGGTGTGCTCGACGTCCTCAAGGGTCGTGTGCTGTGCACTCTCTTCTACGAGCCCTCCACCAGAACCTCGGCTTCTTTCGATGCTGCCATGCAGCGCCTGGGTGGACGCACCATCGCAATCTCCACGGAGCACTCGTCGACGAAGAAGGGCGAGACCCTCCAGGACACCATCCGCACCCTGGGATGCTACGGAGATGCCGTTGTTCTGCGTCACCCCGACCCCAGCAGTGCCGAGACCGCCGCCAAGTTCTCTCCGGTCCCGATCCTCAACGGTGGCAACGGCAGCGTCGAGCACCCCACTCAGGCGTTCCTCGACCTCTTCACCATCCGTGAGGAGCTTGGAACCGTCACTGGCCTGACGATCACCTTCACCGGTGACCTGCGCTACGGCCGCACCGTGCACTCGCTGATCAAGCTGCTCCAGTTCTACGACGTCCGCGTGCAGCTGGTCGCGCCCAAGGATCTCTCTCTTCCCGAGGAGGTCCGCCAGCAGATCATCGCCTCCGGCCAGCTTGTCGTGGAATCCGAGGAGCTGACTCCCGAGATCGTTGCCCGGTCCGACGTGCTGTACTCGACCCGTGTGCAGAAGGAGCGGTTCGCCGACCTGCAGCAGTACGAGCGTCTGAAGAACAGCTTCGTCATCGACAACGCTCTCCTGAAGCACGCCAAGACCCACATGGTTGTGATGCACCCTCTGCCCCGCAACGCGGAGATCTCGGAGGAGGTTGACTTCGACCAGCGGGCGGCCTACTTCCGCCAGGTTAGTGTCCCCCCTTCCCCTTGCCTACACAGCATACTGACGTTTGACCCACAGATGAGGTACGGTCTCTACTGCCGTATGGCCCTGCTTGCCTTGATCCTGGCACCTTAGGTCATATCGGGAGTTGTGACGATGTGTACGAAACAAATTGAGGGAACTTGACGGATATCTGTGTGTTTTCCTCACAGCTCTCTGGATGGCGACCTCGCGATCATGTTTGACGTGATTTCTTCCGTGTTTCCTTTTCAGCATTGGCTGGTGTTTTTCTCGTTCAAAAGTTGTGTGCAGTGTGATTTCCTTACATATACCGCGTAGGCTGCGAGGCGGATTAGAAACGCCGCCTCCGCATTAGATTAGATGAATTTTCTCTCCTATGAACATCGTGAACCCGTTATACGTGATGTATATGGTTGTACCGTGTTGTGTATTGTGTGTGGTGTGTGTTGTGTGTGTGTGTTACGTGTGTTGTGTGTTATGTGTGTGTTGTGTGTGTTATGCGTGTCGTGTGTTTTGCGTGTTTTGTGTGGCGTTTTCTGTGTTTTTTTTTTTTGTGTTTGGCGTGTCTTTTCTTTCTTTTCTTTTCTTTTCTTTTCTTTTCCTTTTCTTTTTGCTTTCATTTTTCACCTCTTTCCTACTAACCCTGGTGGTTTGGATATGGCTGGCTGGGTATTTGGGCTCCGGATTTGGATTTGGATTTGGATTGGCGTTGGATTTACTGGACGGACGGATGGGATGGACAGGCCCTACAAGATACCCCTACTTACTTACTACGAACGACTACGACTACAGGATATATACCATCGGCGCATCTTGATCATGATGGCAAGAATTGAATTGAGCTTTACTTTTATTATACTATCATTTTCCTATTTTCTTGTGTATGATGCTCTTACTTTTCTCTCTACAAGTGTGCTTGTTCTGAGTCAGCATGCGACAGAGGGGTGTATGTAAGTAGGACGTGTCTGGCTACCTTACCTTAGGCGTCGTCAGGTAGTTATGGTTTCGATGGAAGGGGACTTTTTGAGACTTGAGTTCCATTCGAAGTCTGTTCAACCACTGTCAGTCGGTGATAATCGCCCATGCCGAGGTGGGTCAGTGAGTAGTGAGCAGTGGGCTTCCTCCGTTCATTACCCAGTACTTTGTATTTCTGGGGCATTTTGATCGAGAATAAGATTCAGGTAGCTAAATACTGCCTTACTCGATTTGCGATTTTTCGGGTTTGGCATATACTATGTCTATTTACATGCAGGACTGAGGAGACGTTGTGCATACATACAGATGGGATAGTGCCTACTAGGTTGGTCTTTCCGGATACCTTGCTGTTGTAGCTTGCGCTGCACACATCATACCTATCCAATCTACCTATCTAGCTACCTATCGAAAGGCTTCTGATTTCAATCCCACGGGGTCATTGATTCCACGTGCTAGATAGTACTGTGTATTATGACTAGGTTAGCGAGGGTTGGTTCACGTGAAATTCGGCCGAGATGATGGATAATACGTGCCAGTGCCAGTGCCAGTTAGCGATCATAAATTGTGGATGAGTTGAGGGTGTAGAAAGTGGAGGGAGTACTTAAGTTATAGTTAGTCCGCCGACGCGAGAAGCCCGATGATGACACTCCGCCTGGTCCCTCCCACTCCGCCGACCGCCTCGATCCTCCTCGTCTCCTCCGCACCAGCTCCAGCTCCAACCTCATCTCCCCCCCCCCCCTCCTCTCCAACACCCCGCACATCTCTCCTCCCCTCCCTCCCTTCCTCCTCATCTTCAATCCGGCGGTGCCACACTCCATGCGTCTATCCCCCCTTTAAACCCAACCCGCCCCTCCAAAACTCGCCCCAATCGCGCCACGATGTCCAAAACCAAATACCTCCTCGTGTCGCTCCCGACATCCATCACGCCGTCCCACCACCGCGACGACGCCCTCGACGCCATCTCCGCGACCATCTCGCCCGAGAACGGGTCCGCCGCGCCGTTCCCCGTCCCCGAATTCAAGATCGGCACGCTCGATGCCCTGGTGCAGCAGGCCGACGAGCTGGCCAAGCTCGAGGCCTCGTGCCAGGGTGTGGTCGTCAAGGTGGGGGAGGCGTTGAAGAATATCCTGGAGGGCGATGAGGGGCAGATCTCGAAGATGAAGGCGGTTAATGATAGTATGTGTTATATCTTATCTGAATTCCGAGGGGTGGTTTGGGGATTTGAGGGGCTGGGTTAACGGTTGACGGGGGCAGAACCGGTGGATCAGTATCTACGGACGTTTTCGTGGAATAAGGTCAAGTATCGCGCGGATAAGCCGTTGGGGGAGTTGATTGATCTGTTGCAGAAGGTGGGTTTGTTGTTCTTTTTTGATTGGGGTTGGTTGGGTCTAGAGGGGAAATGCTAACGGTGAACAGGAGGCAGCGAGTATCGATAACGACATCCGCACGAAATATACCCAGTACAACCAGGTTAAGAATACGTTGGCGACGCTGCAACGGAAGCAGACGTAAGTGTCTTGGCTTACTCTTCTGAATTGTAGACAAGGAAGGTTGACGTATCAGTGGCAATCTCTCGACCAAATCCCTCGCCTCCGTCGTCGACCCTCGCACCCTCGTCCAAGACTCCGAGTACATCGAGACGCACCTCGTGGCCGTGCCCGCCCAGCAGGTCAAGGAGTTCCTGAAGCTGTACGAGACCGTCGCGCCCATGGTGGTGCCGCGGTCGGCGTCGCTGGTGGCCTCGGACGACGACTTCACGCTGTACGCCGTCACGACGTTCAAGAAGCACAGCGTCGAGTTCGTGCACAAGTGCCGCGAGAATAAGTGGATCCCGCGCGACTTCAAGTACGTGGCCGGGGGCAAGGAGGAGGAGCGCAAGGAGTTCGAGCGCGTGGGCGGCGACGAGCGCAAGCTCTGGGGCGAGACGCTGCGGCTGGGCCGGACCGCCTGGAGCGAGGCCGTCATGGTCTGGATCCATGTATACGTGCTGCGCGTGTTTGTCGAGACTGTGCTGCGGTATGGGCTGCCGTTGGACTTTGTGTGCACGTTGATCCGGGTGCGTTATCCCCCCAAATTATTCTTCCCAATACTTCCCAACCCTTGTCAATCCCCTTCCTCATATCCTTCTGCCCAATCTCCTGCCCGATGACAAGTCTAACAAAAGCAGACCCCCGGCTCCAAGCAGGCCGACAAGGCGAAGCACAACCTGGACGAGAAGTACTCTTACCTGGCGGGCAACGCCTTCGGGCGCGACAAGAAGGGGCGGGTCAAGCGCGACGACCCGGGCGAGATGCACGGCGAGGGGCCCGCGGAGTATACGGCCTACGTGTATTACGAGTTCGAGTTCAACTGATGTTGATTACTGGTGTTGTTACTTTTTATTGTGTTGCTGACTGTGACTGAGACTTGGTTATGGTTCCTGTTGATATGTTCTAGCGTACGTACATAGAGCTCAGCTCATTACCACCACCATCTACTAAACCATCTACTAAACCATCACCCTAACCTAAACCACGCCCTTCCCAAAGAAGAGAAATATGTACAACACATCGAATTCTATCTAGTAGTAGTAGTAGTAGTAATATCGTCTATAACCCCCCCCCCAAAAAAAACAAAGCAAAAAAAAAAAAAAAAAAATTTACTCCTTCTTAGCAGGAGCAGGAGGCAAATAACCCTGCTCATCCAAATAAGCAATAATCTGCCTCACCGCCTCCTGAACCGGCACCTCATGATTCTTAATATGCACCTCGGGCTTCTCCGGCGCCTCATACGGGGCACTGATGCCGGTAAACTCCTTAATGATCCCCTCGCGGGCCTTCTTGTAGAGCCCCTTGGGATCGCGCTGCTCGGCCACCTCAACCGGCACATCAACGTAGACCTCGACGAACGGCAGCCCGGTCTCCTCGCCCGGCGTGGGCACCTCGTGCAGCGCGCGCGCCGTGTCGCGGTCCTTGCGGTACGGCGAGATGAACGACGTGATGGCGATCGACGCGCTGTCCGCGAACAGCTTCGCCACCTCCGCAATCCGCCGGATGTTCTCGTTACGGTCGATCTCGCTGAATCCCAGGTCCTTGTTCAGCCCGAACCGGATGTTGTCGCCGTCCAGCCGGTAGGCGTGCACGCCCCGGTCGTGCAGCAGTTGGTGCTCGAGTTCCACGGCCACGGTGGACTTGCCGGATGCGGATAGTCCGGTCAGCCAGATTGTGAGGCCGCGTTGGGAGCGCAGGGTGGTGCGCTCGTTGCGTGTGAGTGCGCTGGCGTGGTAGGTGATGTTGCTGTTGAAAGGAGAAGGGGGGTTAGTTTGAGGGGTTTCTGGGGGGAGGGTAGTGGTTGGGGGGGAGGGGGGGGACGTACGTGGCCATTTTGAGGGTGTGTGTGTGTGGGATGTGGGAGGTGGAGAGTGGGGAGTGAGAGTTGAGGAGAGGATGGAGGAGGAGGATAGGATCAAGGATCAGGATCGGGATGAAGAAGAGGGCAGAAGTACTCCGTACAAGTAGTCAGTCACCGAAGCGATGGATGAAAAGGGTGAAACAGCGGGGCGCCGATCGCGGGGCACATTTCATTTGCCGCCACCTTTCCACGTACTCCCGCCCGGTCCATGGTTGCGTGCTGCAAAACCCCAACCCCTGCGTACTACTGCTGTACGTACGTACGTACTTCCGTTCCACTAACTACTTGTTCTATGTGCCAATGGCTTTTATGCGACTGCGACTGTAAGTAAATCTTAGACTCAGATAGATCTCTCCCCCAACTCAATCACCCGTTTCGCCGCCGCCTCGAAGCTGTCAAACGCCTCCAGCGGCAGCCCACTCTCCGCGATCTATCCGCGACGTTAGCACCCCCCTTCCCCCAAGCTCCAGCTTGTCTAGTGTGTGTGTCATTGCCTGATGGAAGGCTCCAGGGTGTACTCACCATTTCCTGTCCCCTCTCCTCGTTCGTCCCTCGCAGTCGCACCACCACCGGTACGCTCATTGCCAGATCCCGAAACGCCAGGATGATCCCTTCCGCGATCATATCGCACCGGGTCAAGCCCCCGAAGATGTTCACGAAGATCGCCTTCACTCGCCGGTCCGACGTGATGATCCGGAACGACGACTTGACTGTCTCCGACGTCGCCTTGCCGCCCGTATCCAGGAAGTTGGCGCAGTGTCCGCCGTGGAGGGTCAGCGCGTCCACCGTGTTCATTGCCAGGCCCGCCCCGTTGACTGCTGGGTCAGCGGGATGATGTCAGTGGGAGACGGGGGGAGGGCTTGCTTCTTACCTAGGGTTCCGATGGTTCCTTCGCCTTCTAGTCTGTTTCAGTTAACATCAGCCTCACTGTGCTAGGGTAGGGGACTTAAGGGACTTACTTGACGTAGACGATGCCGTCTTTTTCGGCCTCGACTTCCTCTGCGACCTCCTCCGCCGGATTTCTCAGTCGCTGCACCGCTTCCTGTCGGCCAGAGCTCCGGAAAGCGGCGTCGTCGAATCCGAACCGGGCTTCTCGTACTTCAAGTGCGGCTGTCGCGTTGGCTCGTACCTCTAGGAGATATGCTTCTTTTTCGGTGAAGATCCGCCATAGCCCTTGCACCAACTCTGCTAGGCTCTCGTGTGCGGTTGCAGGGAGCTGCAGGTGAGCGGCGACAGCTGCAACGAGTGGGTGTGCGCTGCTGAAATCCGTGCCTGCATATGCAAACGGGAACCGGCCCGTCTGCGCAGACTCGAAGCCAGCGGATGCAGATGCAAGGATACATGGCGACAGTGCGGCTCTGTCGACGGTGAGGGACAGGAAGAAGTCCGAGTCCGAGGTCGCAGCCTCGTTGACCCGGATGGACTTTTCTCTGAGCATATCCAGGGCCTGGAAGGGCTTGACGTAGAGACCCCGGGTCTGGTGAGAGACATTCCCCTTCCGAGTAGGATCAACACGCCTCACCGTATGCAGGCCTCTCCGCTGGCCTGCGCCGTGGATAGACTGCATGCACCCATTAGCCAGAACACTCCACGTTCCATACTGTAGACCAGAACCCACCTTCGTGCCACTACGCCCCTCCCTGCCCAGAAGGGTCTTCATCCCCTCTCCAAACTTCTCCGGATGGCTCACCATCACCGCCCCCGCACGCTCCAGGGCATTATACTTAGCTTTAGCATCCGGCTCCCCGGGCGCCGTCCAAGCGCCCGCATGGCCCATGACCCTCCCTGGCGGCGCATGCAGGCCCCCAACCAGCGCCATGATCGGTCTATCATCCACTCAGTCAGCACCACTCCCCAATGCACATTGCAGACAGACATACTTAGGATTCGCCTCCCTCTTGCGATACTCGGTAATCCACTCCGCGGCCTCCATCTCCGCCGTGCCCCCGATCTCACCCACCAGGATAATCCCCTCCGTATCCGGATCCTCCTCGAAGATCCTCAGCCCGTCCACGAAGTTCGTCCCCGCCAGAACATCCCCTCCCATACTGATACACAGCGACTGTCCCAGTCCCGCCCGCGTCGTCGACGCCACCGTCTCGTAACTCAGCGTCCCCGACTTGGCGACGATGCCGATCGAGCCCGGCGAGAAACAGGGGAGGGGCTGGAACCCGATGCGGCATTTTCCGATCGCGGAGATGATTCCGGGGCAGTTGGCTCCGACAAGACGGGTCTTTGATTGTGATTTCAGCATGGAGTGGATCTGGAGTCTGTTAGTAACTCCAGTCATGATTTCATTCAAGGTAGCTAGGCTTGGGTGAGGTTGGAAACGCATACGCGAAGAATATCATGAATGGGAACATGTTCCGCGACGGCCACAACGAGGGGTATCTCTGCCTCGATGGCCTCTTCGATGGCCTGCGCGGTTTGGTTGCCCGGGACGTAGATGGCTGAGGCGTCTGGTTTGGCTTTCTCGTGGGCCTGCATTCACATCAGCACCGGCATCAGCATCAACATTAATCTCAATCGTAGACAGAAATTGAGTAGATGGGTCATACCGCCCGAACAGACGGAAACACAGGAAGGCCCAAATGCTCGCCCTCGACGCCGGGCTTCACGCCGCCGACGATCTTCGTCCCCCACGCCAAAGACTCTTGGACGTTGGCGGTGGCCTGTCACGTTAGATCAATGGCCTTGCTTCGCTACTGGACTTGTCTCAATTCCACTGTACGCACCTGTCTCCCTATAATCAGTGTCAGTATGTATGCATTCATGTAGACATGTATATAGACATGTATCAAACAAGGAATGAATCTCACCCGTAAACCCCTGGAACAAAACCCGTGTATGCGCGCCAATCTTCAAATTCGGAAGTGTATCCGCATAGTCCTGTCTCCTTGATGAGGTGGAAAATCGGTGCTGCTGGTGCTGGTGTCGGGGAAGCGGTACTGGTAGAGCTAGAGAGTAGCCTCGCCTTAGGAGGGGAGTCCGCGCCGATGCGGGGAGGGGGTGGATGCGGGGCATTGTATTCTCTCTATATGTATACGTATATGTTTGTGAAATGTGTGTGTGTGTGTGTGGGTGTGTGTGTAGTGAGAGAAGGTGTTGTATACACCGAAAGAGGAGAAAAAGCAACCAGGCGGGGAATTGTTCAACTTGTTGTGGCGGTGATGTATGTATGGATGGTGGTGGATAGTGGATGGACCTCGGGAAGTGAGGGAGAGCCTTAAAACGGTGGCTGCGCCAGTCTCGGACTTTTTGCCGATACTTTCCGAGGGTCCGGGTGGGGGAGTAGGGAGGGACTGTGATTGGGTTTCTCGGAATAGGGAAGCGGAGAGGACCTCGGAAGGTATTGGATTGGGCTTTGGAGGGGCGAGGTGTCGCAACCCTAGGCGCCTGTGACCGTTTCTTTACACCGCAAAAAGTGCTTACGAATGGATCTTCCATTACTTTTGATGGTTACGAGATCAGGTTTTGAAAAGAATTGCTTTGTCAGAGCGCTGTATGAAATCAAGCTCGCGCTTTCTACTCTATTTCCGTTTTCGGGCATCCTTCAGGTACCAGTTGTAGAGATGACCCTTGCAGCCTGCAAAGTTCCCCACATTCCCATTAGTTGACTGATATGGGGTCTCTTAGGTAGGTAAATCTGCTAGCATATCTCAGTCATCCTCTCTGACGAGCAGAGGTGGCACAGCAGTGTTATATACCGCACTGGGCCGGCGGAATGCCTTTGTAACGATCTGCTTCGACAGCCCAACAAGCTGTGTCCTCCAGCGGTGGCTAGAGCGTACAAAATATGTGTACACAGCCCCTCTATTCCCCAACAAAACCCCACACCCCTGAAGCGCAGAAGTATCCATCCCTCTTATGCTGTATGCTGAATTGTCTATATAGGCGTGCACCAGTCACCACCCAATCCTAAAACCATAGGCTAATTACAACAGCTCAACTCAACACAGTATAACAGAAAACCTGAAGTTGCTAAATAATCTATTTCTGCTCAAAGATAAACTCCTTGAGCTCCTCGTACGCCTTCTCGAGATCATCATTGACGATGATGCGATCGTGGACACCGGTGTTGGCGTACTCGATCTCGTTCTTCGCTTGGGCCAGTCTCTTGGTCACGTCCTCATCCTTCTCGGTACCGCGACCGCGGAGGCGCTTCTCCAGGGCCTCGAAGTTCGGCGGCGCGATAAAGACGTAGCGGGCGTTGATGGTGGGGTTTTCCTTCATCTGCTTGACGCCGTACATCTCGATATCGAGCACGACGATGCGCCCCTTGGCGATCTGGTCCGCGATGGTCCGCTTGGACGTACCGTAGCTGTTCCCGCTGAAGGTCGCGTGTTCGACGAACGCCCCCTCCGCGATCAGCTCGCTGAATTGCGTCGGCGTCACGAAGTGGTAGTTGGTGCCGTCGACTTCGCCGGCGCGCGGCTGCCGGGTCGTGTGCGATACCGTGAACGCGAAGGTGTCCGGGTGGTCTTTGAAAAGCTTGTCGACGAGGGTGCCCTTGCCGACGCCCGAGGGGCCGGAGATGACGATCGGTCGGTCTTTCAGATCTGTGGGGGTTGGGGGGTTAGCCACTGTCTCAATCTCGAGATAGTTCTTCAATTGTGGGGGTGAGACATACTGGGCGACATGGTGCTGAAGCGATAATGATTCGGTGGGGTGAGGGGAGGGGTATGCAGAAGTGGTCTAGGCGTCGTGGTGGTTTTCGATGAATGCGAAAATTGGGGGGCAGTCACGTGGGAGTACATGTGACGACCCTGTATATTCCTCTTCCAGCCAAATGAACTTATTGATCTGCACCCCGAAGCCGCACGGGGCGAGGCACCCGAGGAAATAAAGGCGGCAGACAGGCGAGGGCAGATCATGGATGCCAGGCAACAGATGATGAGTATACTGAGCGGTGGGCTGGTGTAGATGCGTATGGAGACAATCTTCGATCCACGTGACCTGTCTACAGTACCAACGGTTTACCCCTTGTTAGGGCCTGACCGCCTGCTAGAAGTAGTAATCCGAGGGTTTGTATGTTCATCCAGAGCTACCTAAAACACCTGTATATAAGGGGTCATGAGATACTCTATTATTGCAGGAGATTGACAATGTCCTAGAAAAATATGCCTGCGTATCAAACTTGCTTCAAGACCAGATTGCCCCGACCAAGTGAGAACACATCCCATTGCAGCGATGTGGCACCATTGTCAGGCAACATGGCAATGCGTCTCTGGTGCGACGCAATGGTTTTATCATGGGTGTCTTCGTCCCCATCTCGGCTTTCCCCCCAATGGCATAGTCCCCTGTCACGGTGGCTACTCGTCGCCGGTCGTGGAGCCCCGTCATTTGCCTGCTGTGCCTGGCCGCTTGTCACGTTGGACAATCACATTGATCGATATATTGCTCTAGAGTATGATGTCGCCGAAGCAGTCGGTCAAGATCGGATAATTGAGAGATTTCCGTTCTTCATACGACCTTGGTTCATGGTCGAGGTCATCGATGTCGTGCCTATATTTAGCCAGCCGACCTAATTACTACCCCACACTCCAGCCTGCTTAGTCAGTTGGCTTCCTCAGAGTAACTAACTATACAGCCTGGATGTACGATGGGATCATCGCATGCAAAGGATGGTCTCTCGGTCAGGGAAAACCTACATATCTAGAGAAGTAGTATCACACGACAAAGGCTTCACATTGCCATTTTGAATTGATAGGAAACCCGGCCCTGCAACATCTCTTTCGGTCAATGATAGACCAGACATTGTAAGTAGATCCGCGGCGACACGAAGGAAGGTGGGAGGTGGGAAAATCAGCCGGCCCTCCCAGAATCGCCCACTCTCTCTTCTCCAGATTCGACCCCAACATTTTGCAGTTATGAAATATGATGGCCGCCGCAAACAACCGAACTTCTGGACACGCCTGGGCCGAGCCAATCAGACCGGCCGGCCAGCCCAAGGCGGGGTTGAATTCCCGGACTGACGCCATTCATGATTTCACCTTCCCTGCTTGAGGGCCTCGTACTTTGTTGCTTTGTACCACAGTCTGGTCGGGTCGCGCATGAGCCTGGCCGATCGATCCTCTTTTCTCGCATTTTCCCTTTCCTTACATTCATTTCATCAGGTAGACGAAGATGGCTGCGCAGGCTGGCCCAAATTCCAAGTCGAAGGACGGTCCGTCTTTATCTTCCCGTTCTTACTTCCCTCCCAATTGATTTGCTTGCTTTCATCCATCCATCCATCATCAACTTCACACTTGACATCCACCCTCCCAGTGCATCATCATTGCCACTACTACAACCACCCATGACCAAACCCAACTAACACCACCCCAATGTCCCTCTCATCAGCCACCTCGGAGCTCCAATCCTCCCTCGCCGACCTGGCCCTCGCCAACAAAAGCCCCGTAAAAGACGTCGTCCGCCCCCCTCTCACCTCCATCCCCTCCAAGCCCAAGAAACCCTCCGCCCCAATCGCCGACTCCTGGGAAGACGAAGCCGACGATGACTCTGCCTCTGCCTCCGCCTCCGAACTCGACCCCCCTGCAGCCGCCGAGAAACGCTCCACGGCGAGTAGCTCCCGCTTCGACTCGCCGGCGCTCTCCTCCACAGAAGACCCTTTAGATCCGCCGCCGACGCCCATCTCGCCGTCCGTGTCGCAGTCGTGGAGCCCCCGCGGCTACGGGAACGTGGGGTCGTCGACGCCCGTACCCCGCGAGGACTCGAGGTCGCCGGCCCGCAGGCCCGAGAAGCAGACCGCCGTGGCTGGGAGGATGATTGCCGGGGCGTTAGGGATCAGGGCGCCCAAGCGGACGGAGGAGCAGCGCGCGTATGACCGTGCCGTGAAGGAGCAGGAGATTAAGAGACGCAATAGGGAGAAGGAGGAGGCGGAGAAGGCGAGGGCCGATGAGGAGAAGGTGAAGGCGGCGGTTTGGGATGATTGAGTGTGTATGGAAGAGGGAGAGAAGGGGGGGGTTGGATTTGGTAAAGAAAGAGTGAGGGTGGTGTATACATACATTCCCTTGTTTTATATACGGTCGTGATGAGGGTGGGTTACATTTCTTTCCTTTGCTTGCTTGCTTGTTCTGAGGGCCGGTGTTGTCTGTCTGTCTGGCTTCCGCTTTCTTATACAAGCTTACCTACTACCTAAAACCTTGTCCAAAATATACGGGACTGTAATGCAGCAATACTATTACTCGTAGGTAGGTACCAGTAGGTACTCGAAACTACCAACAGCTGTAACAGATGACCGGGTTGTGGGTTGTTTATGGATCAGAATAATCGGACTTGGATTGCAAACCGCATCGCTTCGCTTCGCTTCAACAGACACTGTCTAGAGCAAGCCAGGAAAGTAAAACCTTCTAAGCAGCGAAACCACATACATGATCATTTTTTCTTCCCTTTTTTTCTTTTGCGTAGCTCGGCAAAACAACACATTTTCAAGCCCCTCCGGCTCAAAATCCCATCATACCACTCCAACCCGAGAGGCGTCTCGGACCGACCCAAAGCTAACACCATGCGCCTGTGTCTCCAGTTCGTGCGAAGCAAAGCGTAAAAAATAAAACAAAAAAAAAAAAAAAAAAAAAAGAAGAAAGGTGACAAGAAGTAGACGGGTTGGTAGGTAGGTTGGCGAGTAGGAAATGACTAGGAAACCAGGTAATCAACCAGCTAGATGTATTTGAGACATTATCATCATTCATCGACGAAGGTATCTATCTAGCCACCGATCTGCTCCTGGTGGACTTCCAGGGTATCGCCGTCTGCCATCTCGAGCTGCGAGCAAAGTGGTGAGTTAGTCTTGGGTGTCATCTTGATCCGGCGCGGAGATGGGTTTGGAGGGTGAGAACGTACAGTGTCGGGGGTGTCTTCCGGCCGCACACGGGTGCCGTCGAAGAGGAACCGGACGGTGGAGGCTTGCTTTCCCTGCCTGTCGCAGAACGCATCCATCAACTTCTTGAGTTGTGTCGTTCTCTTGATCTTGAAGAAGACTTCGTTGTTGTTATCGGTGACCTTGATGTTGAGGTGCTCGACGGCCGCGGGGGCGTCGCCGGCGGGAGCTCCGGAGTCGGCCATGGTGGGGAAGGATGCGAGAGCGACTGAGGCGGAGGGTGTCAGCATTTTCATCGTAGGAGCGAGGCCTTGTCGCATGATATTATGGGATCAAGCGGGATGATGGACGGAGGATGGAGCGGGGGGTGGGGGAGTAGGATGTTACCTTTTTTTGTTCTTGGGGAAGGACTTGCTGCGAGTGGCGACGAGCGGACAAGCCGGAGGAGACGATGCGATGGAGGAGGTGAAAGTGAGGAGGAGGAGAGAGGACGCTGCAGAGGGGAATGAATGGGAGTTAATATGAGCTGGAGGAGGCGCTGGAAGAAGATGGGCAACCCCCACCAGTAATGAGCCGCGGAGAATCTATTTTGCGGCGCAGGTCCAGTTGCCTCTGTCGTTGGTCTGCGGGCAATGGGCTGGGCAACATCTAAGTGAATCAAATCACATCGGAATCAATCTCGACTGGCTCAAGTGAAACCCATAAGTTCTGTTTTCTTTGTCCTGGAGCCTTGTGTAACAGGTCTTATTTATTCCCCTGCACCCCTGTGCTTCGCCTTGTGGCTTTTACTCGCTCTTGTCAACACCTCAGTTTTTATATATTGCGTCATGGTAGGAGTGATGGCTCCCTCTTTGCCGTCTGAGCCGGAGTTGACAACTGCAGGGTGGACTAAAAGAAGACATCGCATTCGATCCTCCCTGTCATCCACGAGCTGTAGGCCCTTCAACTTCGTACTTGTGTTTTGTACATTGCTGACACCAGACAGTGTGCCATCCAAGGTGACTGCTTCCCGCCATACATCAAAGCGTAAAACGTCACTGACTCCTGCAGCGTGTTTGACCCGGAGCTCATATCAGGAAGAGAAATGCCAGGCACAGATCAATGCTCTGTATGAATGTTGCAACGCCTTCTACGTGGAGCGAGGCGAGGAGGCCAAGACTCCCAGTTGTCCCAAGCCCAATCTGTTGCGGCTGAGGATGAAGCAACGAGGCCAAGAGGCCTAGCCGGCAGGGCAGGCCCTTCCTTCACTTGAGGTATCCTTAGGCATTACGGATCATGTACATACTTTACTACCCGTCGTACTTGTGTCGATAGAGATAGATCATAGAACCCGAGTCCCCCAGAAGGCAGAAGCAGAAGGCAGGCAGGCAAAGTGCCAGCGCCGTCCGATCAAAAACCCCCGGATAGTGTGAAGCTGAATGTGACAATTCCCTTGCAGTCTGAGCTCCCATACAAGTAAAGAGCTAGGCTAGTTGTGAAAATGGCCAGATTATTCTAAGACAATCTTGAGCACGCAAAGAGGCCGCTGAACGACCTGAACGAATATTGAAACCTCTCGTCCCGAGACTCTAATGATTGCCTAAAGACATTTGAAGAAGAAAAGAAAAGGAAAATGGGGATGCGCCGAACCGCGCGAGTTTTTATGTGCGGCGTGTTCGGCGCTAGCCCCGACCGGGCCTAGTGCACGACCGGGCCAAACAACGGCCAAAAAGAGTAGGAGGAAGAAGATGAGAAGTTGGAACTTCCGCTCCAGTTCTTCCCCAAACCCTCCTGGGAAGCTTCAGGCCGCCGGCCACCAGAATAGACCTCTCGCCTTCCCGCTTCTTCCCCAACACTTTCTCCCCCGACACGAGCCTCCGATTCTCCCTTGCGCTCATGGCTCCTCTCTCGAGGCCGACGGGCTCGGGCGCCCCGACCGGGTTCACCTCCGTCAATGTGAGTTACTTTGTTTTGGCCGGCCCGTAGGGCGGTGCGCTGACTGACCGGTGTGTTATTACAGCCTTCCCAACCACCCAACGATGCGGAAGTCATTGAGATTGAGGATGACGACGACGATGAACCGATGGATGATGAGGGCGATGAGCTGGAGCCGAATGATGATGAGGATATGGAAGATGACTACGTTGAGGACGACGGCGAGGAGGAATCGGAGAATGAGTCCGCTGAAGAACGGAATCGCAGCGAATCACCCCTCGACCTGGGTCTCGCTCCGAATGGGCACAGTATGCCGCTTACCACCCCTGACCGGACTGCAAAGGCTGACCGCAGGCCAGGTGTTCTAGATGTCACGACTCCGGACCTTTTTACTTCGGCGGGCGCGCAGGAAGCGTTGCACCCCCTTCGCCGCACCGCGGATCGAGTGACGCGTCAGATCGAGGCATTTGCGGAGAAATTGGATCGTTTCAAACAGCAGGGAAATCGCTCGGATGACTTCGGGAACTACCAAGCTGCCTACCAATTGGTGAAGAGCTACCAGACTCTCGCGCAAGACGCCATCAGCGACATCTCGAAGCAGAACACCTTGAAACGCGCCAAACTAGGATTCAATGCCTCTCGAAGCAACGGACCTGCGTCGTTCGATCCCAAGACCGAAGAGGAGCTCCAGCGACTGCAATTGGAGGCCGACACTTGGCGCCTTCTCCTCAACCTCATCAGCATCGACGACCCGCCCCACAAAGCCCATTGCAAGAAGGCGCAGGAGACGGTCTTCCAGAACCTACACCGGTACTCTTCCGACAGCGAAGTGTGGGAACAATTCTTATCAGCGGACCACTACGCGGCGGAATGCGTCATCATCCTCAAGTGGCTGGAACAGACGGCAAAGTCTGGCGGCAAGGACATGGACGCCCTGATCAATGAGTTGGAGACGCAGTCTGAGAGAGGTCAGGGGATGTGGACTCATGGCTGGCTGTATACCAAGGAGGCCATCAAAGGACAGAAACGACTGCGCGCTTGGCCTCAGCCGCTCGAGCCCAACGACCCCGGAATTACCGCTTCGCTGAGCTCCGACACGGATCCTCTAGTTACTCAGTTGGATCCCGATGCTGTGACGCGACAGAAGCGAACCCTACAGAAACAGGACCAATTTTACGAGCGCGCCACCTGGATGACCTGCTGGAAGATGCTTAGACACGGGGAGGATTGGTCCAAGATCCGGGAGTGGTGCACTGAGCGGCTGGAGAATTGGCGAGCGGTCAGCATCTGTGGCTCGAGTGTGGACGTCAAATCCCACACAGGCAAGACGCCCGTTGATGATGGACACACGCGCATGATGAACTGGCGTACCCAGGAATCCTGGCGAGCCGCCTGCGCGGCCCTGACGCACAACCCCCACACCGAAGATTTTGAGCGGGCTGTCTATTCATTGCTCTGCGGTGAGACTGAAGCGGCCTTCAAGGTCTGTCAGACCTGGGACGACTACCTCTATGTATACTTCAACAACGTCCTCATCACCCGCTACCAAGGCTTCTGCAAACAATTCCAGCGCAAGCTCAGCCATTCGCCTACGGCGCCCGTCGCCTTCGTGCCGGAACCAGCTGGATACGCTGACGTGAATAAGTTTGTGCAGTACACCAAGGGCAATGATCGCGTCGGGGGCGAGGCGCGGAACCCATACCGCACAATCCAGGCCACCATCATAGGCAAATCATACGACTCATTTTTCTGGGCTCTCGCCAAGGCGGTGTCTCAGGTCGCGAACAACAAGCCGGACACCTCAAATTTCGTACCCGATGTATCGCCTAGCACCCAGGTTGACGACAACCTTGTGATCGCGGCGGAAGATGGCGATGCGTTGAGAATTGCAACCCATCTCTACATCATTGCCTGCTCCACCGGATACGTCCGCTCCGATACCCAGTTCTACAATACCGCCTGTGTGAATGTGGTTGGATACATTGCCAACTTGGAGGAAGTCGGCGTTGTTGACATCGTCCCTCTTTACGCATCACTCCTCCCTGAAAACCTGGCGCACTCCGTCCTGGCCCAGGTGTTAATTGAGATCGTTGATTCCAGGGAAAGAAAGCTACTGATCAGGCTCATGGAGAAACATGAAATTGACGTTGAGGCTGTCCTGCAAGCCCAGTGGAATTGGGTGAGCGAGAATGTCTCCGCCATTGACACTTCGAGGACGATTAAACGGTACCCTAAGGTGGTGATCCGTGGGGATGGCAACCGAGAATTAATGCCAGTGAGGAAGGATTTCATTGGGACTGAAATATCCGGGGCCGACGAACATGTCATCCGTAGCCTGGAGTGGCTTCGTTATGTGGATGGGCAGTGGGGTCGCATCTGTCAACTCGGGACTTTGTTGTACCGAAAGTTCTATCGTATGTCTATCCCCTGGCGATGTTGGTGAGAAGATGTATGGCTGACGTTGTCACAGTTTCTGGTAAACTCTCCGCAGCGCGGGAGTTGAGTCGTCGCATGAGATTGGCCGACCTTTCGCAAGAGGCGTTCGGATTTGATATCTCAGAGTTCACACTCGACATTGAGGCTGTGCCGCCGGAGAACTACCCTTCCGAACCTGCCAGCCCCAGTAAAACGAAGTTGTTCAGCTCTCCACACAAACGGTCTCGGTCGAGGACAAGCGTCTCGTCGGCCCAGACGAACCTCTTGATCCTGCAATCGCAGACCATGCGCGACCTGGAAGTGTTGATCTTGGCGTTTGATTCGCTGGAAAACTTTGCCGTGCTGTTTGAGAAACTCGAAAAGTAGGTGATAACCTTTGATGCTGAACCAGCAATTTTACTCACCCGAGGCATAGGACTAAGCGCAGACGGGACTCTGGCACCATCAAGGATCTGAGGGTGGAATTACAGGGAGCGCTGGATGAGACTAGTCTTCATATCGATGCCATGCTCGACGAATGGCTAGTCAGCAGTGAGAATGGTAAGCAATGTTGCTGTGCAGGTCGAATCGCCGGCTGACTTGATGTTGCAGAAACCGAACGGGCCGAACTGGACGAGATTCGGAACACGTATCTTCCGGAGCTGTTCCTCGAGTACCATAGCGCGATGTACTTCTCTGCGCATGTGATCTCCAGCGAGCTCCTCGTGCAGTGCATGAACCTCGCGACACAGGTGTCCGAGGTCGAGCATCTCACAAGCAGCTTCGTTGCGTCGCGCCGCATGAGGGAGCTGATGGATGCGCTGGCCATCTCCAGCAAAGCCATGGTGAACACCCAAGCGAAGCCCGGCGTGCGGCTACTGGGGGGTGAGTCGCTGGGAATCTGGACCGTTCCAGCGCCCGACGAGGAGCAGGACGGAGATACCCCGGCGCAATGAGTGTATTCTGACGGTGGACCGGCGTGTATATTACCTTCGAATTTTCTCATACTATTTCCAACGAATCTCTCCGAGCCTGCAGGATGGTGGGTATTTTGTTTGCATGTTGGACAGGCTCGAGGGGTGGATCATTGCAGGCGCGGTTCTAGGATGATTGATTTGGCTCGATATGAAATGAGCTGGCCATATTATTGTGCAACAAGACGTACAGTATGTGCAGTACCTACTTGGCTACCTTAATACAGAGTAAAGGGAGTAGACCAACGAACCAAAGTCAAAAGCTAGATCCACCTATTCATGGTACCATCGTCCATCCATCCATACCAACAGACCTCCCCCCCTCCCTAAGTAAGTAGCCCATCAATCCACCTAACAACCCATCGGTCGTTTCCCCATCCGTCGGTGCACCGGGATCAACCCCGTCCTGCCCTGACTTGCCGACCCGACTCTTAAGGAATAGATCACTTGCACCATCGGATTGGGGCTGTGAAGCGTAAATCTTAAATCGCAGAGACCGTCAGCGGAGCGCCACGCAAACGCCCACATCTCACTGTATCACCGCCACTAGCAGGCTCCAGCTCCAGAACTAGCACTAGCACGAGCACGAGTATCAGTTGCCAAGGGTTCTGATTGTCGCCTGTCTTAGGTTCGGATAAGGTTCTTGGTGGGATTGTGTTTGGCTGTCTATTCACCTGGATATCTGGCATCTAGATATCTATTCCGTACCCCCCTGCTCGTATATTTCGGTGTGGTATGGGTGGATACGGGCATGTGTGGAGGATGGAGGATGGATTAGTGGGGTATCCATCTATCTGTAGTTTTTGAATCTTCAAAATCAATCTTTTCGCTTGAGTGGTGTAATCGATTTAATTACAGTATGTATAATATGTGGTCTCTGCAGTTGTGGAATTGATTCAAAACCTACTACTTACTCCTCTCCTCGAGTACTAGATCATGGTAGGGATGGCATTGCGCGAAAGAAACCAAGCTAGATACTATGTATGGTATCAGTCATCCTACTCAACCACACCTGTCACCCTTTTCACATAGCTTGCAAGCTATGTAAGACATTCTGGTCTATTGATTCTCACCGCAGAATCTATCTATACCAACCCGACCCCTCTTACGAAGATTTACACAGCGTATCTAGGTAGGTAGTGCGATTGTAGCAGCTGCTAACTATCCAATCCAGCTGCTAAAGACCTACATATGTACCTATCCTGTAGCTAGCTCGGCAAGCATCTTCCCACCAACTAGAACTAGAACTAGAACCAGATAGGTAGGTAGATAGCTAGATGGGGTAGTTAGTGGAGAGCAGTAGCTGACGACATCAGTACCACCCACCAACTATCTCTCTCACCATCTCACCATAGCACCGCACCGCACAGCATGGCATGGCATGGCATGGCATGGTGGCTATGCTACGCGCTTGTAACCTCGGCTGAGGTTAGCACAGATTAGTTACATGGTAACCAGTCTGGCGCGGCGCGTTTTGAGTTTTTGACGTTGGGGTAGATATGTAGGAACGCGCGCGCAATCAGTCAATTCCCGTCATACTACGGAGTACGGAGGTCTCCGTATCTATCAAGCTGCATGGATCGGGTCATCATTATGCTGGTGGGCGTGAAACTGGGTTATGTGTCATGTCAATGGGTTGGTTCGTGCTACTCGACATGTTACCTACCTGAGTACTTACCCACTTCTATGGATTCTGTAGGTACGGTATGGAGTATGGAGGACAGGACAGGACATCTCGGGGGTTATCTGATGCCATGGGTAAGGGTAGATGGCTAGGTATGAGTGAGTGACTGAGTGGGATTGGGATTATCGTGATGGAAATGCCAGCACTGCCAATAGTAAGTGTGTCATGAAGAGGAACAATTCTTCCCGACAGACAAGACAAGACCAGTAATCTAACCTAACCTTACTTCCTACTAGTCAGGTTCAGGTTCCCATACATGGAAAGCCAGATGGGTCTCTTTTTTTTTTTGCACCGCCCCCTTCCGCCAAGTCCTCCTTTTGCTGGTGTCCCTTGTCTGTCTCTCTTGGACCCCATGATCCGAAAGGTTGGCTTCCAGGGTCTAGACTGGAATTGATGCAATTCCCCAGCACGACAAACGGGCCCTGGCTCCGGAATAGAATAATGAGATGAGACTGGAGGACTGAGAAAGAAGTTAAAGAGTCAAAGACAGGTCTGCTCTCGCCCCTTCCAGAAGGTGGTGGGAAGGGAAAACCCGCGGCGGGAGGACAGATGGAGACCGTGCATTAGTTCACCTGTGGTACGGAGTAGTCCAAACATTAATGCATCGTCGTTAATTAATGCGGTCGCTTGACGACGCTTCCCCTGCTGTGTAGTGTGTGTACCCAGGTACGACCAGTATCTATCTATCTATCTATCTATCTATCTATTTGCACAATAAGTATCTACCGGTAGAGCACTTTGTACCGGTAGGTAGGTAGATGTCCAAGCGACTGAGTAATCCGCCCCAGTGGAGCCCCCTTTCCTGGTTCCGAAGATGTTCCATCGCCCATCTCCAATGGATTAGTCAATCGTGATGGAGCCCAGAGAGTGACAGGCAGCGGCAATGACGATTATAGTTATGGTTAGTGGTTAGTGGTTAGTGGTCCGACACTCCATATCTAGACGATGGATGATGCAGATGGCAAGGATGGCATGGACAAGACCCTCCCTCGGATAACGTAACTAGATAGCATCTGGCATGTGGCCCCCGTGGCCCCGTTGCCTCACTACTGCTGGGTATCTATCTCTATCTATCTATCTATCTAGACTCCGTATCTATCTAGTATCTATCCAGATCGCTCCCGGGAGATTGGTCGGCGATGCCCAAAGCAGGCATAGTGAGCAGGGAAGAATGGAGTCTGATTTGCCCCTTAATTCTGGCCTGACCGAACGACCGTTGAATTGTGCCGAGGTGGATGTGGATGTGGATGGACTCCCGTCCAGGTGTTTAAAGCTTTAAGCGCTGGCGGAGTCTTCGGGATTCGGGCTTCCCCATTCTTTTGCCTAAACAGGTTTTTGAGATCATGATATCGTCAAGGGCCGGGGACTGGGAGGTTAGGGAGAGGAGCAGGATCAAATTGTCGATAGTCAAGGCGGAGAATAAAGCCAAATAGGACAGACCATAATAATCAAAATGTTAAAACATGATAGTCTCGTAGTCATCAGTCAAAAAAAAGGAGAGGGGCAGAAACAAGAAACAGAGACAGAGACAAAGACCAAAAAAAGGAAAATGGAGAAAAAAAAAAAAGAAAAGAAAAAACAAAAAAAAAAAAAAAAGACTTCGATGACGGGGGGTCGAGATTGAGGCAGTGCAAAGGAAACGGACGAGTTACGTTACAGCGAGCAGTCCTGCAGCGGTCATTAGGTCAATTAACAGCAAGAAGCAACGACCCAAGCGCCCTGTTTTGGTGGCAAGAAGTTCGCAATCCCGTGGCTCCAGCCGAGGAGGAGTCCTTTTCCTCCCTGCCGTGGCCTCCCTTTATATGGAGGATGGATGGTTGGTAATTATCCGGTGCTTTGCAGGCGCCCTGACGAAGCATCTCAAACATGGGGTAAGGTGATATCTACTATTGATCTGGGAAAAAGGCAGTCGAAGTGATGAAGCAACATCTGCACAGCGCATTACATTACATTACTTCCCCAATACCGATTACCGACACCACCACTTGATCTGGACCAAAGCGGTGGATCCCGAGGGGTGGGGCTGACGGCTACCAAGTACGGATCAGCTAGCTCTGGGGCGCCGCTCATTGGCGCGCACTCGTCCAGGTGCAGGGTCTAGTGCTCCGACCGAATCAACGCTGGATCCTTCCCCCCCGTAACGTATTGGGGATACGCCCGCAGTAGGTAAAAAATGAATGCGCCTGCCAAAGCCCGTAAAGACGTAATGAATGCACACTCGCCGCGACCTCCTCCTTCTCTCCTCCATCATCATTTCCTCAACCCACCATGTCTGGCTGAACAGCTCCCCTCTATCTATCTCTCTTCCTCCCGGGCCTTCTTTCTCTTCGCCTCCTCTACTCCCCCGATTCCGCTCCTCGCCTCATTCCGTAATCTGCGTCCATTGGCCCCGCTGAAGTCGTCAAGGTCCGATCGCTTTGTTGTATTCGGTTCGTACGTGAAAGTCAAGGAGCCGACCAATTCCTGGTGTTCTTGACTGTATGACCCTCTTATAAGGTACATGATCACTGATGAGTCGTGTCTAGCACTAGAGGGGCTGTGCAGTCTACCGGATTGGTCCAGCAGCCCGGGCTTGGATAACTCGGTCTGAATGCGCTCTGGCACCTTCCGTGGTGTGATTCTCTCTTCGCAACGCCCATAATCTGCGACTCTCCTCGCTTGCCTCGCCAGTCGCCAGTTTCCCGTTCTTTACGCTCTTCCAACGGACAACTCTTCAATCGATGTGGACGCCCATTGTTCTCTAACGGCCAGTCTCGCGCATTCTTTGACTACATCGGGAAGATCGGTGATTCACTTAGTGGCCAGAACACATGGGATACCTCCTACGACCTCTCTGATTCGGCATTCGTTGCTAAGCTTAATCGTCTGATATTTGACTTGGAATGATACCCGCTTCTCACACGCCGGGCTTCGTGGTTATAAGATACGGCGGAATTCGATTGCTCTGCTCCTTCCGGAGCCGCATTCTTCAATAACATCTAGCATCCCTTTTTTCATCCTCCGGTTGCCATCGCGCCCAAGACCCACCCCTATACCGTCGTTTCATCCCTTCCAATACCATGTCGCAATCCGGACCCGATGCCCAGGATTCGAAGCAGCCAGGGACGACTCCCCTGCGACGGGAGCGGGCCCCTACTATAACCATCGACACATCGGCCGTAACATCCTCGACCGACCACCCGCCGCAGCAGATCCTCCCCATACCACCCCATCCCTCACTGCAGCTGTCTACCGAAAATGTCGATGCGAATGATATGAGCGCTCTGCTGAGCAGCGGAGCTGTCTCGCCATCGTCGGTCCGCTCTTTTGCGTCGTCTGAACTCCGGGACTACGAAAGCCGACCAACATCTCCACACAACATCTCATCCCCCGCGTCGAAAATGACGGAGCCCATGTCGAACTCGAATTATCTAGCGGTCCCCGGGACGAGATCTCGCGGAAACTCCCTGGAGTCAGAGGACTCGAACCACTCGTCTAACAGCTCATACGGGGGAGATACCTACGTGACAACGGCCTCCCACGGATCACGAACGGATTTGACCCAGAATACTATTGTCAATGACGAAGATGCCCTTAAGCCGGATCCCGGGCGGGAAGCCGAGTTCGAGGTGGAGGACAACAAATTCGCATTTTCCCCGGGCCAGCTGAACAAACTACTAAACCCCAAGAGTCTGGGTGCACTTCACGCCTTGGGTGGATTGCGTGGCATCGAAAAGGGGCTTCGCACCGACACACGGAGTGGCTTGAGCTTGGATGAAGGTGGCTTGGACGGTACAGTCAGCTTTGAGGACGTGACCACCTCGCAGGCGCCCGATTCCCTGCCAAAGTCGACTTCCCCGGCGCCATCGAGCCCTCCCAGGGCCGACACGAGCCCAGCGAAGCCGGTCGTCAGTGAAAACGCCTTTATGGATCGCGTTCGTGTCTACGGAAGGAACAGACTCCCCGAAAGAAAGGCCAAGAGCTTTTTCGAGCTGGCCTGGATCGCGTACAATGACAAGGTCTTGATTCTGCTGACAATAGCTGCGATTATCTCCCTTGCTCTCGGAATCTACCAATCAGTAACGGCAACGGGAAATGAGGCACGTGTGCAATGGGTTGAAGGTGTGGCCATCATTGTGGCTATTTTGATTGTGGTGATTGTGGGTGCGGCGAACGACTGGCAAAAGGAGCGTCAATTCGTCAAGCTGAACAAGAAGAAAGACGATCGAATGGTCAAGGTTGTGCGATCCGGAAAAACCGCGGAAATTTCCATCCACGATATCCTCGTCGGCGATGTTATGCATCTTGAACCCGGCGACCTCATTCCAGTCGACGGCATCTTCATCGACGGCCACAACGTCAAGTGCGACGAATCCTCTGCGACTGGTGAATCGGATGTGTTGCGCAAAATGCCTGCCAACGATGTCTACAATGCGATCGAGAAAAATGAGAGTACCCCAAAGCATGACCCATTCATCGTATCCGGTGCCAAGGTCTCGGAAGGAGTGGGCACTTTCCTCGTTACATCGGTTGGCGTTCATTCGACATTTGGAAAGACGATGATGTCTCTTCAGGATGAAGGCCAGACGACCCCGCTGCAGTCGAAGCTGAATGTACTCGCTGAATACATTGCGAAACTCGGCCTCGCCGCCGGATTGCTTTTGTTTGTCGTGCTTTTTATCAAGTTCCTCGCCCAGTTGAACAGCCTAGGCAATGCCTCCGAGAAAGGCCAGGCTTTCCTACAGATCTTCATTGTTGCTGTGACCGTCATTGTCGTGGCTGTGCCGGAAGGATTGCCTCTTGCTGTTACTCTGGCCCTCGCGTTTGCGACGACACGAATGCTCAAGGACAACAACCTCGTACGCCTGCTAAGAGCCTGTGAAACCATGGGAAACGCCACAACCATCTGTTCCGACAAAACTGGTACACTGACCGAGAATAAGATGACGGCCGTGGCAGCTACCCTTGGAAAGAACCTGCGGTTTGGAGACAAATCCCCCGGGGCTTCTGATCGTCCGGACGGTGACCGAGGCCGTGATCCTGCAACAACCCTGCCGCCCTCCGAATTCGCCTCCAGTCTTTCCGCTCCAGCCAAAGAGCTGTTGGTCGACTCCATTGTGCTGAACTCTACGGCATTCGAAGGAGAACAGGACGGTTCGACGACCTTCATTGGATCCAAGACCGAGACTGCTCTTCTGGGCTTTGCTCGGACGTATCTCGGTCTCGGATCCCTCAGCGAGGCACGGGACAATGCCACTGTCGCCCAGATGATGCCGTTCGACTCGGGACGCAAGTGCATGGCAGTGGTTATCAAGATGAACAATGGCAAGTACCGGATGTTGGTCAAGGGTGCATCGGAGATTCTGGTTGCAAGGTCCACGCGCATCGTTCTTAATGCGAAACAGGACATTACGGATGGGCCTATGTCGGAACAGGATCGGACGAACTTGGACAATGTCATCACCTACTATGCGTCTCATTCGTTGCGAACCATCGGCCTGGTGTACCGGGACTTCGACCAGTGGCCCCCTCGTGGAGCGCCCACGCAAGAGGAAGATCGGTCCCTCGCAGTATTCGATGCAATCTTTAAGGACATGGTCATCTTGGGCGTTTTCGGTATACAAGATCCCCTACGACCGGGTGTGACTGAGTCGGTCCACCAGTGCCAGCGCGCAGGCGTCTTTGTGCGCATGGTGACTGGTGATAACCTCATGACTGCTAAAGCCATTGCTCAAGAATGCGGCATCTTCACCCCCGGCGGTATCGCCATCGAGGGCCCCAAGTTCCGCCAGCTGAGCAGCCGCCAGATGACCCAGATTATTCCTCGACTGCAGGTATTGGCCCGCTCGAGCCCTGACGACAAGAAGTTGTTAGTCACTCAGCTCAAGAAGTTGGGCGAAACGGTTGCAGTCACGGGTGATGGTACCAATGATGCACAGGCTCTCAAGACCGCTGATGTTGGGTTTTCCATGGGAATTTCTGGCACAGAAGTGGCCAAGGAGGCATCTGATATTATCCTCATGGACGACAATTTCACCTCGATCATCAAGGCTATGGCTTGGGGCCGCACAGTCAATGATGCCGTCAAGAAATTCCTGCAGTTCCAGGTCACTGTCAACATTACAGCCGTCATCCTCACGTTCGTTTCTGCAGTTGCGAGCGGTGATGAGGAGTCTGTGCTGACAGCCGTCCAACTTCTCTGGGTCAATCTTATCATGGACACCTTCGCCGCCCTTGCCCTTGCGACCGACCCCCCCTCCCCTCATGCCCTCGACCGCCGGCCTGAACCGAAGTCCGCGCCGCTCATCAGTCTGACTATGTGGAAGATGATCATCGGGCAGAGTATCTATCAGCTGGTCGTCACGCTGGTCCTGAACTTTGCTGGCAAATCTATCTTCAACTACAAGACCGCAGACGAGCTGGATCAGCTCGAAACGGTGGTATTCAACACCTTCGTCTGGATGCAAATCTTCAACCAATGGAACTCCCGCCGGCTTGACAACAACTTCAATATCTTCGAAGGCATGTGGCGGAATGTGTGGTTCCTCGGAATCCAGTTGATCATCGTTGGCGGCCAGATCCTGATCATCTTCGTCGGTGGGCAGGCGTTTTCTGTTAGCCGGCTCAATGGACCGCAGTGGGGCGTCTCGCTGGTTCTGGGCGTGATCTCGCTTCCCATCGGCGTGATCATTCGACTGATTCCGGACGAATTCATCAACAGGCTCATTCCCCGGTTCTGGCAGCGCAAGAAGGGCCCCGAGCTTCTGGTCTCCGACGAGGACCGACGATTCGAGTGGAACCCTGCCCTGGAGGAAATCCGCGATCAATTGAAATTCATCAAGACGCTCCGTGGAGGCCGCTTGAGGCACATTCGACACAAACTCCAACACCCCGAGGAGCTCCTCCCGAGATCTCGAAGTGGTTCCCGATCCAGGGAAGCCTCGATCCCTGGGACCCCCATTGGCGAGAATAGTGAGAGCACACCGACCCAGCCTCCAACTCCCGAGTCGCGGCCCCGAATTCGCACTCGGTCTCGGTCAAACTCCGCCTTTGGGCCTGCTGCTGCTATGGCCGGGATTGTTGCCGGCAGCATTGCGGGCTGGTCTCCGATCGAACGGGCGCCCGAGAGTGGCGAAGCGTTCCGAATCCAGTCGGACAGTCCTCACGGCGGCCTGGATAAGCAGAAGGGCATCGAGATCCACCCCGACACCGCTTCTGATGACCGCATCCTGGGCGAGTATCAGGCCAGCTCCAAGACTCCGCCCAGCCAAAACCCCGACCTTCTCCCCTTCTTCGAACATGCGCCTCCGGAGCGAGCTCCATCCCACCGCAGCAAGAGATCCGTCTCTCGACTGTCGCGTTCTAGTCAAAGCCAGGCGTGATGCTATGCTATGGCCCTTTAAATCCCCTCAACCATGGCCATCTCTGCCTCCTCACCATCACCATGTATACTTACGAATTGCTCCCCCCCCCCGTCGCTATGTTTGTGAGTTCAAAACTCACTCACCTCCGTTGATTTCTGTCTGCTTGCTTGTTTTTCTCTGGGAGCCGTTTAGCCTCTACGTGGAATACCGTTGCTTCACTTCTAATATCCTGGGCTGGGATCGGCGTCGGTGATTTTTTTTTTAAAAGGTGTCTCGCTCGCGTTTTCTAGATTCTTTTTTTCTCTCTTTTCTCACGTCGGGACGGACCTACCTGGGCGAAAAATGGTCGGCGGTTTTGTTTTGTTTTGTTTTGTTTTGTTCTACTTTGCTTTAAGTCTTCATATACCACTCCGTACTTTGTGCTTGCGATTGGGGTAGGGGTAGGGGTAGCGGTAGACTTGCATATTATCAATGAAAGACGAGATTCTGGTTATCTTGGCTTACTGGTGTGGTGTGTAGGGGTGGAGCTGTAGATGTATGACCACATGGTTTCCTGAGAGTTGGGGATGATTCGTCCTAACTGTCCCTGCTGATCAAGATGACATGCTAGAAACTAGAAAAGATTGGGAGTAACGAGAGTGATGAATTTCTCCATCTTCGGTAGATTTCCCGTCCTCCTGCTGTACTGTTCTCCCACTTGCGCCGCCGCCGAACTACACAATAACGAGGCGACCCTATCTGCAGAGTAGAATAGTTAGTAGTACATGCATGGGTGGTCCGGGGGAAAGCAAGCCCGTCATCGTTGAAATAAATCTTCTTTTTACTGCTTAGCTTACTCTGTCTGGAGCACCTTTCCGAAGAAGGGGCAAAGGATAGACCCTAAATCTAAAGAATATCCGTACGGACCGACCCAGCAAGAAACTCGACTGGAAGAACGCGAAGTATACAGTCACAAGAATAATCAGTGCTCATGCTATACGACTAAACACGCCTACAGATATCTATCCAATCTTTTATATAGATCTTCTTCATCCTGCGTTATCAGACCTAAGTATTACCGTCACAAGAGTCGGACGACACACAATCACCAGGATTACTAATAATCAACGGCGAAGAAGAATTTATGATAGAAGAAATCCAAAATAAGAGATATATAAAAAAAAAAAAAAAAAAAAAGAGAGAAGAGAGAGAGAGTAAAAATATCTTTATTTCTCAAAACTTCTTTATCTAACTAACTATATAATCTTGATTTCTGCAGAAACAAGCCTAAAAGCTTTATGAAATTCCTCAGACTTCTTGCATATGGCTAGCTATATTGCCCAGATTCCAGCAAATATAAGCTCAATCATCTTCCAGCTCCTCAATAATAGCACGCGGGAGGGCGGCGATGCTGGCAGGCTGATACTTGATCTCTCCTTTACTGACATACATACATCTCGCGCCATGATCTTTCCATTTGCAAGACGCGCAGCATCCGTCCCAGAAACCAGGAAGTCGTACGTCCTCAAGATAAAACCGAACGAGTGTTGTTCGGGCAAGAGGCAGATTGGCGCACACCACTTGAAGCAATCAGAATGGCGTGTGGCCTCGAGGCAACCACCGCAGCAAAGAACCAGGCAACCCCTAGATACTTATTACTATAGTCATATTTGAATAAGTACTAGGTTTGACGAGAGCATCTTTTCTTTATAGGATAGGACCAGCATAATCCTCATACCCTGACCCCCCCCCCCTGGGGGTGACACTTCCGTGTCGCTGTGGGCTAAATGTCAGTTGGTATCCCGCTGAGGAGTTGGAATCGTTCACCGCGAGCATGAGGCTAGCTCGCCGCACTGAGGTATAGTAGGAGGTGACTCGGTTGACGAAGTCTGTTTCTTCGTATGTCTAGAGGTGCCTGGAGATTGATTAGCTGGAGGGGATCCATATGCGCGGCAGCAATCTGGATACTGGTGATATCTGTTGGGAAGGATATCCGTGAATGACAGGTACTACTATATCCCAGCGACGGCCTGGGTTGTGGTGATGATTGTGGAGGTACTGGCTTGCTGGTTTGTGGGAGTGCCATAGAATTATGGATCAACAGCCAAGGACAGACCATACTCTGTGGGCTGATTCGAATTGAAATCTCATGAGCACAATTTCAGCGCTTGGGAAGTATCTTGCCTTGGATTCTTTCTCTAACTTTTTTTTTGGGAAAGGAGCGCGAGGGGTCAACTCCATTTCCCATCAAGTATAGTATGTGCTGTTGAGCTACTGATGAAAGACAGCAGGCGCGCAAGAGAGACATGCTGTGTTGCCGTCGTGGGTAATCCGGTCGCTGTTCGAAGCGTAAGGGACCAGGACCAATTCAATTCAAGAATGTTCAAGGCAGTCATTTTGTCACTGGAAAATTGACCTGCAAACACTCCTGGATAGTTTTGTTTTGGCCTCGGTATTGTTATAATGAGAGTGGGGCTTGTACTTTTGTACCTGAACTGCCCGAGTAGCATCAACAGGATACTATAAATGTCCCATCAGCTTGTTGCGGACTTGGAAACCTGCATATGCGGGAAAGTATCACAGCAGATGTGATCATTGTCGCCGTATTTCTTCAGAAGGCCACCAAAATAAAGGTTAGCAGTCTCTGCGAACTGAAAACCACCGCCGCCCTTGAGCAGTAGATACATGACCGCGGTGCATTTCCATCCGCTGCATCCGGGAGCGTTCGGGGTCTGACGGGTGTGTAACAGCCCCTGGCTGGACCGTTTACGGTCTTGTACAACGAACGATGGTGTGTTTCTGCGTCCCACACGTTGTTGATATGAAGTTGCAGCATGCAACCATCATAAGAGAAATATAGTGGGGAGTCTAAACTTTCAGGTTCTGTCAGACACAGAAGAGTCTAGAAGTCGTCGGTCGGAGCTTATGAGCGGTGTTGATATCTGGAGCATGGCGAGGCCAGGAGTGCGAGGCTGCGGATGTACCATTTGGTTGGAACAACACAACAACCTCTCTCTCGAATGAAGTATGAACAAGTAAAGCGCTCAGTGTTGTACCAGGTGCAGACATCTGTACTGACCTGTAATTGTTTTGAGTCTTGATGTACGTACATAGTTACACATGGCAGCCTTAGGCCTTGCACATCTATGTGTCATGTCAGCTCGACAAAGTAGAGAGTAGAGCATGATTAAGCCCACTAACTGTGTGTAGTATTGCCCCAAATATAATTCCCAGAATTGTCTGGGATGTGTTCAGATCCATATATATACCAGGCATTCTGCAGCACAGCCACCTGGCATGAAACATCATGGCCTTGTCGTCACACGGAATTGGGCGAGCGAATGTAGCTTCAATCTCATTGAAGCACACCACACGCATATCAGAAGAAATCAGTAAGCATGGGGGAAATGGCGGACAGAACATGGTCCGCTGGCAGAAAAGACGAGAATAGATCCTTCTCCTTCGCACTCCGGATCCCATCTCTTCCGCCTAATCTCGGTGACATGATGTCAATGGTGAAACTTCTTCCAAAGGCAGACCCAAGCCCATGAAGGTTCCGCTGAAATTGTGAGAAGCGGGCAGTAGAATCAAACGAGTGGTACCGGGCATTCTTTGATCTTATAGGGCCTTTGGCCATCGCATTTTGAGGCCGGTTCTGAAACCCTCACCCGAGATATGTCCCGTGTTGGGGTGCCAGGAACATACCTTTCAAACCCCAGTTCCATGCTCCAGAATGTGGTGTAAACTGATCATGAACAACTTCTGTATCGGGCGGGGCTGATCGAAGTAGCCTTCGTTCAAACGAAGCTTCTATGGCCCGAATTAACTGGTGAGATTGTGGCATAAGACAGTCAGTCAGATACGCAGTCTGGGGTTCTGTTTAGTGTAGTGCAGTTCTCGACAAGTAAGTATGGCGGTATCTCTCGATCCCAAAACCCTTGAACACTGCGAGATCTATCTGGATGGGAATGATGAAATCTTGGGTGCATTTTCCTTGGGAAAGGTCCTCCCTTGGGGAGACGATATATATATATATATAGTAGTACATCGCGTTTTGAAGTTTGTCAGTTACTGCGACGGAAAAATGCACGTAATTCTTCAGGCTTAAAGATCGGATCGAATCGAGTTCGGTGTTCATGGGAGAACGACATGTCTTCCATGTGAAGTTTTTTATTATATTAAACCGAGTGGTTTTATTGAGCTTTGGTATATGCCATCAAATAGGAGATAGTTTCTTGTTCTATCACATGATGTCTTGAGATATTCAGACATAAAACTTGCTGGGTTAAGACCCAAAGGCTCAGTCCAGTACCTAGATGGGTGGGGATAATCGGGAAGATGGAGAGGAAAGAATGATATTGACGAACGAAAGAGATTTATAAGCAGGCAGGGCAGTGCAGGGAATAGAGAAAAGACTACGAATTATTAACTAATAATGACTGTATGTAGTCGCTCAATCAGCATCGGACAAGGGGTGGTTGTGAGTCCCACACCTAACTTATTCAATCATCCCAGTCACAGGTTTACTGTATGACTCGATCTACAGGCTGCTGCTGCTGCTGCTGGGATCTCTGATCACTGCTCATGACATTCACCCACGGTCGACGATCACCTCCCCACAATTACCCAGCTCAACTTGTTTCAATGTACTTCGTAGCATCAGCCTGGTAGTGACTATCCAGGAATGCCGGGCTTCGTTGCGGCTGCGTAAGCAAGCACCCTGGAAGGAACAGGAAGTAGGAACAGGTAGAGAAGGCTGATCAGTCACTGCAAGTCAACAAAAATATCACAAGGTCGGGCCATCATACTCTGTCCCCCGGCCCCTTCAATGCGATTTGCTCACGGGCCTGTCTGAGCAAGCCAGGAGTGGAGCCACAAAATCCATAAGGCAAGGCTCTGTCCAACAGTCCACTGTCCACGACTCCATCCATCCCAATCATGGCCATGCTCAACAATCGCACCCTCTGCCCCTCTCTCCACATGCAAGCAACATCGACTTAACCAGTTCGATCCAAGAACCATGATCGCCCTCGCCCTGAATAGCATTTCCTCTCCTTGCATGGTTGGTGCATACCAGAGGATGGTATCGCGGAGCTTAATACGGCAGTCTCGGCGTTTGGTATGTGATACACACCTCCACATGACTGTTGCGAAAGGTGTATTGGCCCATTCTAACAGGTGCAAAGCTGGAGACACAGGGAGATAATCTAACATGACGGTGTCAGTGAGTAAAAAAAAAAAGCCCCGATGAATCGGGTTCCTCCCCGGCCCTTGCTGTAACAGGTGCCAACGGCCAACAACCCCCTTCTCTTCCGGGGTTGTAAAGTTGGGGTCAGGGTCACCAGGCCTCGATCCACTGTGCGCATGGCATTTCAAAGCAGGTTGGGTTGGGTTCAGTAGGATCCCGACTTAGTGACCGGCCTTTGTGGAATGTCGATATTGGAGGAGGACGGGTGTTACGCTGAGGAAAACAAGGTGATGTCAGTGCAGTATCACAGAGTAACGGGTTTCCGCACGCTCGCTTCACTGGAATCCTCGCCTTATCCCATATTGCCTATATATACTAGCAGCGCGACTGGGTCCTCGGGCGCTCCCATTTTATAATAGGTTGAACATACTCGCCACGTTGTTTTCAGACGCAAAGGAACGCGCACGTGAAGCCTCCCCACAAACAGCACCGACTCTTCCAACATGGAAAATGACATCGAAAAGAGCCGACGATCCCCTTCTTTGCAGAGCGTCACGCAGGAAGAGTTGGAGGACCAGCCACTGCCTGCAACGCGCAAATCGAGATACGAACAGTGGACAAAGAGCATCAAAGGCCTAGAGACTCGCGGTATCGAGCCTGTGCCTCTGGAGGAGCGCTTGAAAAATACCAGCTCGACGTCATTCCGGATGTTCCTCACGTGGTTCAGTATGGGCATGGCAATCAACAATATTGTAACGGGATCCTTAGGGACGTTGGCCATGGACTTGAGCTTTACTGACGCTGCGCTGTGTGCGTTATTCGGAACCTTCCTTGGGGGGCTGGGGATTGGATATATGAGCACCTGGGGCCCTAGAAGTGGCAATCGCACGCTTGTATGTCTCGCCCTTTGCGCATTGTTCCGCTATCCAGCATTCGTATCTTGCTTGTCTTTCCCCAGAATCTGCATATCAATCTTTACAATGCTTCAAAGCAAACGACTTACCGCTCGTTTTTTTTGTTAGATCGTGGCTCGGTATTTTATGGGCTACTACCCTGGCAAAGTCTGCTGCATACTGAACGTCTTGACCAATTTTGGTACCGGCATGATGAGTGCGACGGTAGGAGGCCAGCTGCTCTCCAAGTTGTCAGAAGGGACCGTATCAGTCATTGTTGGCATAGTCATCGTCGCATTGTTGAGTTGGGCGATGGCTACATTCGGGATGCATATTTTCCAGTTCTATGAAAGGTATAATTCGTCTTTTCTGATCTCGAGCATCAAGATTGCACCACTGACACTGGTTTAGATATGCATGGTTTCCGCAACTGATGATTTTCTGCATCCTCACTGGGTCGGCTGGGCCGCAATTCGATTTCCGCAGTCCGTCAGTGGGATCACTGGAGCAGATCAATGCGAAGCGTCTGACATTCTTCTCACTCTGCCTGTCCATACCTTTATCTTGGGTCCCAGTAGCCGCAGATTACCATGTCTACTATTCACCGGAGATCAAGCGATGGAAGGTATGGACCGTGACCACGATTGGCATAAGCATGTCGATAAGTATCCCGGTTCTTCTCGGTGTCGGACTTGGCAGTGGAGTTGCACATACTCCAGTGTGGGCTGCATTGTATGATGGAACGCCAGGGAGTCTTCTGATGGCTGGGTATAACCGACTTGGACCTCTTGGGAAACTATGCGCCTGCATAAATGTTTTGACTATTGTTTCCAACAATGCACCCAGCTCCTACTCGACGGGATTGAACTTTCAGATGCTCGGAAACATGTGGCTTAGGGTTCCGCGTCCGATCTTCACAACCATCAGCACTCTGATTTACACTGCATGTGCGATTGGTGGCCGAAACTCTCTCTATGATGTCGCCAAGAATTTCCTACCGCTCATTGGATACTGGGTCATCATCTGGTTCACCATCGTGGTGGAACAAGACGTACTCTTCAACCGAGGAAAGGGGTACGACTGGACCTCGTGGAACGATTGGGTGAAGCTCCCGATGGGCATCGCAGCTAGTGTAGCGTTTCTGATCGGTTGGGCAGGAGCCATTGTTGGCATGGTACGCATCTCTGCCAAAACATGTCTGTCACACAAGCCTTGCTGACCCTTGCTTTTTTTCCCTCATAGGATCAAGCCTATTATATAGGCCCAATTGCGAGAGCGATTGCCGGCGGATGCGACCTGGGCATTTGGCTTGGGATGGGCTTTACAGCCCTTGCATTCCCGCCGCTCAGACTGCTTGAGATAAAGTTGTTTGGACGTTGAGCAATATATCTGAGTACCGGTTGGTTGTATCAGCCTGGGCAGGATGGACGTCGGTATTTCCAGCGTTTTTGATGACTGACTATGACTTTGAAGCCTCTTGGTGTCATTTATTACGCTGTCTTTCTGGATGTTGCTTTGTGTGAATAGAAGTCCTGAGCAAAGATCTGTTAGAAGTGCAGAGAAACCTGTATGTATGTGTTTCAGATTGGCCGATTTTCCAAGATTGTTCAGTGTATTCTGCCTCAGGCAGTATAGAGGGAAGAGAGGACTCTCATCTGTACCCCGTGGTTCCAGTGAAGGAGTTGGCTAAACTGGAGTCTGTAGATTGAGTAGACTAGGATAGTTGTAAAGGAAACAGAGTTGTTAGATAGTTGAAGGTAAGATGAAGCAAAGTACTAGGTGAAAATTAGGTGAGAATCAGGGTGGGTCAGCCAAAGTGCGCTAGTTACAACCAACAGTTCTTGAGTCCCTAGTTTCCCCCACATTTATACTGGTAGACCTTGCAGAGCTTCGCAATAATTTCATGAAGCACTAGTCATCTTGGTTGCCACAACGAATTAGTAATTGCTGCTAACTAGCATGGTCAAGTTGTGTGCTGAGCATGGACTGGACTTATCATAGGATCATCCACTTCTGCATCCCCTAAGAATCGGGGACAATCCCCGGGGCAAGTACGGCTCTGGAAGTAAGGATAGCGATTGAACATCATTGGGAGGGATCCGCAACGGTAGTACTTTAGTACTTTGGACATATGTAGCAGATACGCTGTCGAAAACGGAGAAGTGGGAAGGTGATGGACGAGGGGAACCGTGGTTTGTAAGGTTGAGGTGGGGGGAAAGCGGGGGGACCGAAAGAAGTCCCTTACAGGTTACAACGGGCGCACCCCGGACGCCTAGATGCTACCCCTAGTAGTACTCTTGGCTAGACCCTGTCTCTACTCTCTAGAATAGTAGAATCACTGTCAAAAAGGATTTTCTACTCCTGCCATTACTAATGACCGAATTTACTGAAGGCCCGCAATGCACCGCACCATCCCTGCCGTGTGATACGTGCCAGACACGACACGGACCCCTTCAGCTGCTGCATCGGCCATCCACTTGCACCTCCTCCTCCACCTCCGCTTCATCCATTAAGCTTCCATGGGCATGTGGCTGCTTACTCTCACCCCCAATATGCAAGAGCTAAGCAAGTAATACCCGGCCACCGATGGAGAACAATACCCAATACACCCCAGAAGGCCTGGGGCATGTCTCAGGCCAGATCCCTCGGGCCTTCTGGGGCGCATCGTCACAGCAGATTCTCACATCCGCCTGTCTGCTTATCCCCGTGTATTTGGCCCTCGCATCCCTGCTTCGGTTTCGCCGTGCACAGTGGCTGCATCGGAAATACAACTATCCCACCCGGGAGTCCTTCTCGCGTATGACCGACGATGACGCCTTTGAGATACAGAAAGTCCTGATTCAGCTGGAGTTCCCCTTCTTCTACCTCAAATCGCTCCAGTTTGCGCTCTTTAGGGTGTGACCCCCCCCCCCCCCCCCCCTCCCCCCTTAACGTATCTCTCCATCAGCCAACTGACAGCTGGGCAGACCTATGGCATACCGAGCATCGCGAAAGTCCTCATTAACACTGCCCAATTTTCCAGACCAGAGACCTCCCTGAAGCGCTATGCCGATACTGGCGCCCTCGTCCAGGAATTTGTAGGCCATGCTCCGTCCTCTAGACGTGCTTGCACGTCCATCGCCCGTACGCGCTGGATCCACAGCGGCTATCGCGCATCCGGCAAGATTCTAGAAGATGACATGCTGTACACACTGGGTCTGTTCGCAGTGCAACCAGTCAGATTCGTTGAGAGGTATGAGTGGCGGAGCCTGAGCGACCTGGAACGGTGTGCTATTGGCACCTTCTGGAAAAGCATGGGCGACAGCCTAAACATTAGCTACGATGCCCTCCCGTCAGGAAAGTCCGGGTTCCGTGACGGTCTTCAGTGGCTGGAGGAAATAATGGCCTGGAGTGATGAGTATGAGGCTCGTTGCATGGCCCCGGATATCGCGAATCACAAAATTGCCGAGCAGACTATCGCGGTATTGTTGTACATGGTTCCTCAGCAGCTGCAGTATCTCGGGATGCGATTTGTGTCGTTCATGATGGATGATCGTCTGCGAAAAGCCATGCTGTAAGTGACAGCCACAATGACTGTGGCATTGCGTCTTCCGTGTAACGATTTCGAGGCTGGACACTTGCTTACCAAAATTCTAGGTACGATCCTCCCCCTGCGTTTGATGCCAGTGTGTTCTCGTTTCTCTTGTCTGCTCGTCGATTCGCCATGCGGTACCTTGCGCTTCCCCGCCCCTACTTCCTGCGATATACTACGCACACCGATGAGCTGGACAAGAACGATCGGGTCTTTTCCACCAACTGGGATGCAGCCCCGTACTATGTCAAGCCCACTTTTAGGAATCGCTGGGGACCGGTCGCTTGGCTGACCTGGGTACTTGGGCGTCCTCTACCGGGAGACGATGGTAGCAAGTATTATCCACAAGGATACTATACTCCTGATGTGGGGCCTAAGTACTTCGAAGGCAAGGGTCGTCGGGATATGGAGGACACCATGAAGGAGTTGGAGGCCACGCGACGGGGCCAGTGTCCTTTTCTTTGAGGTAAGTAGCAGTCTATCTGACACCATTTTACTGTCATACGAAGCAGATTTAGGTCTTTCGGTTTTCAAATAAGCTGGGTCTATAGGACATGCCATAAATTGAGACTGAAGAAGCAACGAGACTATCCTCACTGGCTAGAGTCCTTTTATCCCTTCGTACTGCACAGGACATCATATGTCCTATCGGGTCACTCTACCCGGAAAGAGAGTAGAGGGATGGGTCCTTTGAGAAATGTGACTATCTTGTACTATGGTGTGAACTAAGTGATTCGAGTATTGGTGCAATCGGTGGCAAACCTGGTAAAAAGATGGGAAAAGTGATAGCTGTGGTGACAGAGAAAGAACCACCAGAGCATTTTGTACCGGATCAGAATCCTAGTGTTGGAACCGCCGAAGACCTGTAGACTAGAAACATGGTCATCAGCTAGACTCGCCCTACCTAGCCTTTTGAACGGTAACGTCATCGTGATCTTTCCTTTTGCGTGTATCGTAGACATATGATGAAAAGCAGCGGCTCATGAGGCTAGAGCCTAGTCGTATAAATGCCACGACACTATTTCTGGGAAGACCCATATTATTCACAAATTCCACCCAAGGCATAGCTTTCCCCGTCTCCCGATGGTGGTGTGGTGCAGTGGGATTAAGCAGCAGCCAGGCTTGAAGCTTCCGTGGAGCTTACATAAACCCGATCTCTCCCCGCAAACCCGCCTCCCAGGCTGATTTCTTTCGGTTTGGACGAACACACCTCGCCATACAGAATACACAGTCTACTTCCGATTCAATTGCCGTCGCGCCTCCCACCCATCTTCCGCTCGATCATGGCGTCGCCTATCCTCCAGGAGGGCGCCTCCAGATCCCCCCCGCCCGGCAGCTTCCCCCAGGATCCCTCGGAATTCGACAGCGACCCGCGCATCTCGTACTCGAAGCTCGACAGCAAATTCATCCTGGAGACGGAGGAAGGACAGGAATACGTCTATGACACGATTCTGAAGCGGTGGATTCCGACGGTGTGTTTTGCCAGCTGTAGAAGCTCTGCTTCTGCTTCTGCTCCTCCCTGGCTTTCTATCTTATCTTTCCTGTCGTCCTGTTGTTTCCTGGCAACCATGCACACCCACACCCATCCCTCTTCCGTGTTGCGTGAATGGATAGGATAGGCCGGAGCGCGTCTATTTTCTAGCGTCTGCGGGGATATTGAGTTGAGCTGGTTCGTGAAAACTGATTGCTTGGTTGGCGCCGCTCTTTGCGCGCCGGGGGTGTCTCTCCAGGTCGATGATGACTTGCTACAACAGCAGCAAGAAGCATATAAAGTCCACGGCGTGGATGAGAGTGAACTGGTGACTGCGGCGCATCTGAAGAAGAAGCGCAAGCAACAGGGGACGGGCGATGAGGTGAGTTTGTGGTTTTTCTCTCTGTTGCGGTGCGCCCGGGGACTCTATCGGGCTAAGCGATTTGGGCGACTACAGGGAAACGGACAGAAACCCAAGAAACAGCGCGTCAATACGGCGGTCTACGTCACGTCGATTCCTCTCGATGCGCGGCTCGACGAAATCCGGGATATGTTCTCCAAGTGCGGCGTTATCGCGGAAGAGATCGACAGCGGCCGGCCGCGCATCAAGATGTACAATGGTGATGACGGAAAATTCAAGGGTGAAGCCCTCGTCGTCTATTTCCGACCCGAGTCGGTCAACCTTGCCATACAGATGCTGGATGATTCGGACTTTAGGCTGGGCGTCACAGGACCGCAGGGGCCTATGCGGGTCCAACCGGCGGATTTCTCGTACAAGAGCCAACAGGAAGCACCGACTAAGACGAGTATGAGGGACAAGAAGAAGATCATGCGACGGACTCAGAAGTTGAATAGGTATGCGGCATCAGCGATCGGCTGGAGGCATAGGCGGGCTTTACTGACACGGCTTGGTAGCAAACTTGCGGACTGGGACGATGACGATCCGTCGGCCTTGCCGGAGACGAGCTCTCGTTTTGAGAAGGTCGTCATTCTGAAGCACATGTTCACGCTGAAGGAATTAGAAGTACGAGCTACTTTCGGACTACGGGTTGCTGTGGAGAAAGCTGACATGTCGTGCAGGAGGATCCCGCAGCCATTCTCGACATCAAAGAAGATATCCGCGACGAGTGCTCGAAGCTGGGCGAAGTGACGAATGTGGTGCTGTATGACAGAGAACCAGAAGGGGTGGTGAGCGTTCGCTTCCTCGATCCCGAAGCCGCCCGGGAATGTGTGAAGGTGAGTTTGGCGAACCCCCACTATCTTGGGAGAATGGACTGGTGCTGACGATGAGGATTCCTAGATGATGGATGGCCGCTACTTCGGTGGCACCCGCGTGGACGCATATATCGCAGATGGCAGTGAGAAATTTAAGAAGACCAATGAGAAGCGAGCCGCGCTGGAAGATCTGGCGGAGAAGGGATTCGACCATGTCTCGGACGAGGATGACGAGGAGGAGCAACGGTTGGATGAGTTTGGCACGTGGCTAGAGAGTTCTCACACGGTCGAGAACACCGCCAAGTGAAGTGCTGCTGCTTGCTGTATGTTGAATCGGGTGTGCATATCTGGACTGGTGCGATACATACGGTAGCTGCGACCAGCCCGTATCCTAGGTAGATGGCGGACCCCTTGTACTATAGCGTTCTGGGATGCGAGTGGTTGATTGGATATATGATCATAATTCTCATAATGCAAGAAAATCGGACAGTTTGTTTACCTGCTGTTTGTAGACGGTCCGGAGTACAGACGAGGAGTGATGAGTTTGGTTCGCGGCCAGACCCCAAACATGGTTCGTTCCTGATGCGGTGGTGGGCGGAGGACAGTCCCGTGACTGGCACCATACCGGATTGGGAGCAGCCCCTATTTGCCAACGCAAAAGCCAGCGCTGACTGGGCCAATTGGGCCAATGGGCCAACTGGACCAAAGTGACTGGCTGGGCTTTGTTGATCCCGACGACGCCCGCACAACGTTGGCCAACCCTCTCCCCCCCTTCACCGCTCGCCTTCTACCCAACTCTCCACTAGGCCAAACTAACTTCCCTCCCATTCCTCGTTTTCTCCCTCCTCCCCTTCTCCTCCCCCCCCCCCCCCGTCTGCTCCAGTCGACTGTCTACCCCAGTCTCCTCTCAACACCCTCTCGATCTCCATCCACTCCTCCCGGCTTTTGCCTTCATCAACCTTTTCTCCCGTCAACAACCCCTCAATCCTCCTTCACAATGCGTGAGATCGTATGTTTTCCTTCCCCCCTGGTCCTCTCGGGAGACGCGTCGCCGTTTGGCATTCCTCACCTGAGACCCCACCGGTTCTCTGACCAACTCAATTTTGCTAACTGAATGTCTTCCATAGGTTCACCTCCAAACCGGCCAGTGTGTAAGTGCGAACAGTGTCTTGGAATTGTTGTTGTCGTTGTTGTCTATGTGTCAGCTTGGTGTCCAGTCAACTAAACATATCGGGAGGAATAGGGTAACCAAATCGGTGCTGCTTTCTGGTATGTCAGCATGAGTGCATTGCACTTTCCACGGGGGTCCCATGAAGCTTTGGGAGCATAAATTCATGGTGTCTCGCGTTTGTTTTGGCTTGCGGATTATCTGACAACTCAACAGGCAGACCATCTCTGGTGAGCACGGCCTCGACGGCTCCGGTGTGTAAGTGCAACCCGCCTACGTCTATCGATCAACAACAAGAAAGGATGGGTTTCCTGACAAGGAAACAGTTACAATGGCTCCTCCGACCTCCAGCTGGAGCGCATGAACGTCTACTTCAACGAGGTGCGTGTCTGCCATTCGTGTTTTCCGCCATGTCTCAATTTCTGACCCCTTCATCAGGCTAGCGGCAACAAGTATGTTCCCCGTGCCGTCCTCGTCGACCTTGAGCCCGGTACCATGGACGCCGTCCGTGCCGGTCCTTTCGGCCAGCTCTTCCGTCCCGACAACTTCGTCTTCGGTCAGTCCGGTGCCGGTAACAACTGGGCCAAGGGTCACTACACTGAGGGTGCCGAGCTCGTTGACCAGGTTGTCGACGTTGTCCGTCGTGAGGCCGAAGCTTGCGACTGCCTCCAGGGTTTCCAGATCACCCACTCCCTCGGTGGTGGTACCGGTGCCGGTATGGGTACCCTCCTGATCTCCAAGATCCGTGAGGAGTTCCCCGACCGTATGATGGCCACCTTCTCCGTCGTTCCCTCCCCCAAGGTCTCGGACACCGTTGTTGAGCCCTACAACGCCACTCTGTCCGTCCACCAGCTCGTTGAGCACTCCGACGAGACCTTCTGTATCGACAACGAGGTATGTCCGGGAATGGTTTCCTAGAAGCTTGAGCATGGAACTAACGGATTGGGAACTAGGCTCTGTACGACATCTGCATGCGCACCCTCAAGCTCTCCAACCCCTCTTACGGTGACCTGAACCACCTGGTCTCCGCCGTCATGTCCGGTATCACCACCTGTCTGCGTTTCCCCGGTCAGCTCAACTCCGACCTCCGCAAGCTGGCTGTCAACATGGTTCCCTTCCCTCGTCTGCACTTCTTCATGGTCGGCTTCGCTCCTCTGACCAGCCGTGGCGCCTCCTCCTTCCGCGCCGTCTCCGTCCCCGAGTTGACCCAGCAGATGTTCGACCCCAAGAACATGATGGCTGCCTCTGACTTCCGTAACGGACGTTACCTGACCTGCTCTGCCATCTTGTGAGTTTCCCGGTGCCTTTGTAACTGCACACCAGCTAACGTATGACCAGCCGTGGCCGTGTCTCCATGAAGGAGGTTGAGGACCAGATGCGTAACATCCAGAGCAAGAACCAGACTTACTTCGTCGAGTGGATTCCCAACAACATCCAGACCGCCCTGTGCTCCATTCCCCCCCGTGGTCTCAAGATGTCCTCCACCTTCATCGGTAACTCCACCTCCATCCAGGAGCTCTTCAAGCGTATCGGCGACCAGTTCACTGCCATGTTCCGTCGTAAGGCTTTCTTGCATTGGTACACTGGTGAGGGTATGGACGAGATGGAGTTCACTGAGGCTGAGAGCAACATGAACGACCTGGTCTCCGAGTACCAGCAGTACCAGGACGCCTCGATCTCCGAGGGTGAGGAGGAATAGTAAGTGTCCCAGCTCTCCGTAAAGGTCGCGTGTTTGCGTGCGTGCCTGCTAACCATTTTACAGCGTCGAGGAGGAGGTCCTCGAGGGTGAGGAGTAAACTTCTCAAGCCGATCTCTTAACACACAAATTGAGACCTGCTCCGTAATACCCCGATAAGCCAACATTCTGTATGACTTGGGCCTTATTACCGGGTCGTTTGTCAGTGGATTATTTTCTTTGAGCGCTCTTAATTTTTCCCCTTCCTGTTTTTAATTACTTAGGCCAGTCAATGCCTGAACTTATTAAACCAATAGCACATAGTCTAAAAGCAGTTTATGGGTATTTTGCTTTGTACGCTGTATGCTGCTGTATACGGCGCTGTAAAAACCAGCAAACGCACGTCATGTCCCCTGTAACACGTAGCCACTTCATCCCCTACCAGGCCATACTCTATTCCCTGAGTCAAGAATTTCTTACTTCATACCTCATATATCACATAAACTGTCAGCGGGGACCTGAGGTTAGCGCCTGCCGTGATGCGCCTCTCTCCTCCCCTCCCCTCCCCTCCCCTCTCTTCTCCTCTCTTCTCCTCTCTTCTCCTCTCCAATACCAAAGTAGCCATCATCAGTCCCCTGGTTGGCATTGTGCCTCCATCATGAAGCATAGCCCGGGAAAGTCGGCAGACCCAGACTCCCTCGCAGTCTTTCAAAACCGAAGCAACATTGGCAAAACAGCAACAAACGCCAACCAGCCCGTATAAGAGACATACGCCCCCTTAATAGGCCTCTCATCCACGCCCCTACTACCACGCCACAAAAGCCAAGACGCATGCCCCCCAGGGCAACACAGAGAAACGCACAGCTCGGATGAGCCGGCGCCGCAACCGCGCCCAGAAGCACGCTCCACGCGGCGACGACCACGGAAGAAAAGACCGCCGTCTGTTTGACACCCAGAACAACGGGTAGGGTCTGGCGGTTGCGCGTCCGATCTCCCCCGACGTCAGGGAGATCCGAGACGTGGATTGTCGAGAAAATGACGCTCGCGAAGACAACGAGCCATGTCCATGCGGGACCGCTGATCAGGGTGGGGTCGAAGAGCTGGGGCATGGGCACGGGCACAGGCACAGGCACGGAGGGAGGATGTGGATGTGGATGTGGATGTGGATGTGTCGAGTCTAGGTATAGGGATCGGTGCCGGTATCGGTAGGTATTGATTGCCACCAGACTGCAGCCACTGCCAGCGAGGATGTAGCCGAACGCGCAGAGCATGTTCCGGCCGATGGGAGACCGGTGGAGCGGGGTGTCGTTGTAGAGGGATCCTGATATATGGATCAGGATGGAGGGGACGAGAGCACCGAAGCCCGAGGACAGGAGCAGTGCGCACACGCGCAGAATTGGAAATAAGCGCCTGGCGGCGGTGCTGGATATCCGGCCAGAGGGGATCGGTCTCCAGGGTTTGTTGGCCTTGTCCTCTGCGATGGAGGGGTCTTGCATTTGGTTTTGGATGTTGAAGACTAGGAGATGGGTCCAGATGAAGATGAAGGCTGTGAGAAGTGCTCCGGTCACTCGCACTCGCAAGAAGCATGGTGAGTCGAGTTGAATGTGGTCGAAGAGAGCGTTTGTGCAGCATAGCATGGCCGGGATGATCATGGTCTTGAAGTCGGACTTGGTGAAGAGGAACAAGGTCGTGAGTACATTGGGAGAGCGCGTTGAGCGTGTGCTTTTCATGGCTCCCACAGTGTCTTCCTTTTTTTTTTTTTTTTTTTTTTTTCAGAGGACCTGCGTTATGATTTTCAAGTGTCCGGAGCTATGAGTTGCAGGCTTTGCTTGATCTTTGATATGGCCATCTCCGGTTCCGCGTGCCAGGGTTCAAACCACGAGGATATACCCTTGGAATTGCAAACCACACGGGGGTTGTTGGTCACGAATATGAGCAAGGGATATTAAAGTAAGGCCGGATTCGGTCCTGTACTTGCCACGAATGGCATATGACCGTATCGTGCCTTATCAGCGATTGCTCTTACATGCTATAGTACGATTTGGGATGATCGTTTACAGACTGATCAGAATCGGTCATCCCGATATGCGAAGGGCTGGGTCGAGGTTACATGCTCCGTCGAAGGCTAACTGTAGGGAGACGTCACAAGATGCACTACCACTGTTGCAATATAGTTTGCAACAAACGGGATCAGTCGAGAGGCCCCCTTGGAAAGCCAAAGTGGTTCAAAGATCTACCACTACTACTCCTACTACTACTAACGTAGGGCTAACATCGCGAAGACATGATCAAAACCATCCCGCCCTTCTTTCGGTCCCAGGCCCTGAACCAACTCCCGTGCATGTTCAATGTACTGACATACCAGTCTCTCGCAGTATTCGAAGCTTCCGGTGGACTCCATGTAAGCAATGGCGTACTGTTTGACCGCCTCGTCCTTCGTCCGTTGCCTGAGAATGGCTAAGATACGGGTATCTTCCGGGTTTGACCTGAGGGAGTGAATGACCGGAAGGGAGAATTTCCCCTCCGTGAGGTCTTCACAAGGCCCCTTGGCTACGAAAGACTTGGGATTGCGAAGATTGCGATAGTCGTCGCCGATCTGAAAAGCGATACCCACCGAATCGGCTAAGGTTATGAAGTCACTAGATGGATGTTAGTTAGCTTGGCTTTACATTGTCTCTCTCTCGCAAGGTTGGCTAGAGAGATAGAGAGAAATACTCAGGTTTGTTTGTCTCCAACAGCATGAGCCTCACAGCTAAGCGTAAAAGGCCACCGGTCTTCTGACGGATCATTTCGAGATAATCCTCTTCGTCGGGACAGACCAGATTCTCTCTCCAGTACAGGTCCAGGCCTTGGCCGATGTGCAGATCCAACGGCTCCTCGTTGAAGATGTGCGAGGCATCTAGATGGGCTTTCAAGTTTGCGTGCTTCCTTGTGAGCCAGGAAATAGTAGGTGTAATTTGCCGAGTTGATTGTCTGGGCCACGCCGTATATACTACTATGAGCCACGGGAAGTCCGCGCCGCAGCTCTGAGGAATCCTCGATATCATCGATTCTGAGGAGCAAAATGGTGATCGGGTTAGTCAACCAGCAAGCCAGCCATGTCCTGTCTTGTTGGAATCGAAGATACTGACAGCAAAGATGATGTATGCAACAACTCCACGATCCTAGTAATGATCTCAACCTTGCGAGTCGGAATCTGCAGCCACTCATTGAATGCGCGAATCAACGTTCCACGGAAATCTTTCCCGGATTGTTCCAGAAGGTATCGGAGAGGGGGCTAAGATGATCTTCTTCACTACGATGTCAGTCATGTTGCACAACCGCTGACAATAGCGGGGACTTCTTCATACCGATTCCTGGCTTTTCGACGGGTAGATCTCGCTCGGGCTCTCCGGTGTTTCGCGGTTGTCATTTGATTCGCGCCTGTTCCTGCTCCTGTCGAAGCCCTCGTCCGGCATAGGTTGTGCGGAGTGATCCATGCGCGAAGACTCCATCCTGGAAGGCACTGGGGTGTCTGTCTGGATGAGGCAACTCGAAATGATGTCTTCCGATGGCTGGATCTACACATGAACAAATGAGGGTTTATATGCCATTGCCTATGCTTCAGTGAGTCTGCCATGTATAGGATATCTGGTGATGAGGCAAAAGACGGAATGCAGGAAATACGAAGAGGGTTCCTGGAAGTGGGTGCATTGTGACGAAACGTCCGGGGGGGAAGAGGAGGAGGAGAGGGGATTTGTCTGATACGCTGGCATTCCTTATGCATGTCGCTGAAAAGAGACGGCTGATGGCGAGAGAACTTGTCGAAACGGGATCAAAGGGGGTTTCCTGCAGCGTGAAATGGATCCAATTGCTTAAAGTGGGTGTATTGAATCATTCGTATTGCTCAACTGGAATGTGCATGTTAAACTACTTCTACTTTCTACTTATCTCCTACTACTACGTGAGTGCCCTCCTTGCATGACTGATCGCACCAATAAACTAAGGATATCATGTATAATCTTCAGGAAGTCTACCTCATCACATGGTTCATCTCGTCGCCTGACCCCAGATCTCTTGTTTCTTCCCTTTTTAAAGGGAAAGGGAGTTCTCTTGCAATTCACCGAGTCTGATGCCTGTCCCCTATCACCCTTCCAACAACACGGGCTAAACAGGACCAGCGAGGATCCATGGCGGCTTAGAGGACAACTTAGCCGTCCAGGAACTCTACTCGCAAGATTATCAAAATGCATCTCCCTGACCTGTTCAACTCGGCATCTTACATCGTTCTCTTTGCGCTGGCAGTGCAGATAGGGGTGGCCATATACCGGCTCACTCTGCATCCACTGGCCAAGTTCCCAGGGCCAAAGTTGGCCGCGGCGTCCGAACTATACGGCATCTACTATGACATATGGAAGAAAGGAAAATACGTGAAACGATACCCCGGACTTCACAAGAAATATGGTAGGAACCCGAGAGGGGGAAGCGAAAGGCATCCAGCTTCTTCTTCTTCTTCTTCTTCTTCTTCTTCTTCTTCTTCTTCTTCTTCTTCTTCTTCTTCTTCTTCTTCTTCTTCTTCTTCTTCTTCTTCTTCTTCTGACCTGACCGGGACACCCCCCACAGGCCCGATTGTGAGAACTCATCCCAATGAGATCCACGTCTTCGACACGGAAGCGTACAACACCGTCTTTCGAATCGGAACGCCGTTTGACAAGCAGCGTGAGTTCTACGATAATCCCTTCGGGGAAGGCTCCCATTTCAACATGAGCGGCTTGAAACCTGCCAAAGCCCGCCGCGACATGCTTGCACCGCATTTCTCAACCAGTGCCATCCGCGAGATTGAGCCCCTTCTCCGACAGTCAATCTCCAAGTTCGTGGGTATTCTCAGGGACTACGCACAGGGGAAGAGCCCGGTTGACCTTACCCTGGGCCTTCACTGCCTGACAACTGATATCACGATGGGGTACGTGTTTGGCAAGCCCTTTGAAGCCTTGGATGCTCCGGGATTCAAGTTCGAACCGGTGGTTGTCATGGACGATGCTCTTTTTTTCATTGTGATCCAGCGGACGTTTCACGCCATATGTCGTCCCATCATGTCTGCTTTCATGAGGATGCCGGTAGTGAGGGAGCTTCACCCTTTGCTGGCTGCTCCTGTCAGACTTCAAGATGTAAGTAAGAAAAAAGAAAGAAAGAAAAGAAAAAAAAAGCAAAAACAAAAGCCATTTCCTCGAATATGCGTGCGCATGTGGCATGGACATGGACTTACCTTTGAGGCAACTAGAGATGCCGCCAGCTGGTCCTCGACCTCATCAACCGGAGTGACGCAGGCGAATCTCGAACACCAACTGTTTTCGACACCATGTTGTCCCCGAGCAAGGAGAAAGGCCAAGAGACACCATCTGTCGCCGATCTCACTGCCGAAGCCATGGTGTTACTCATTGCCGGAGAGGAAACGACCGCAAATACCCTAATGCAAGGAATATTCCACGTTCTCCATGACCAGACGATCTTGGAAAGGCTTCAGAAGGAGCTGAGAGAAGCATTCCCAGATGACGACGACGTGATCACGCAGGAGACTCTCGAGAGCATGCCGTATCTGGTTAAGAGTCCCTGAACCCCTTGGTTATATCGATTGTAAAAAAATTACTAACAGACATCAGCGGGGCGTTGTGAAGGAATCTCTACGTTTTTCCCACGGCGCCCCTGGACGACTCCCCCGAGTTACGCCGGCCTGTGGTGCAAAGATTTGTGGCCAGTATATTCCACCCGGGGTGAGTTACGATTGCCTCTTTTGAGACCATTGACCAATCTGGTCCGTCGCAGGGCTAATCTACTTTTTTTTTTTTTTTTTTTTTTTTTTTTAACTGCAAACAGACACCGATTTCAATGTGCCACTTCGTTTACAACACGGATGAAACAATTTTCTCCGACCCCTTCGAGTTCAGGCCAGAACGATGGCTAGGCGACGACTTTCATCACCTGGATCGTCATTTGATTTCCTTTTCTCGTGGTTCTCGTGGTTGTATTGGTATTACGTGGGTCCAATTCTCCCTCTCTCTCTACCTCTACATGAGCACTAATAATAATAATAATAATAATAATAATAATAATAATGATAATGATAATGATACTAACATCCGTGAGCTCACCTCCCAGTCTCGGCTACGCGGAACTATATCTGATCCTCGGACACATCTTCCGCAAACTCAACCTCGATCTGTATAACACTACCAAAGCGGACATGGAATGGGATGACTTATATGCTGCAAAGACTCAGAAACATTTGGAGGTCATGGTGTCAAGTGCATGATGTGTACGTATTCTGGCCGCTTGTTGTGTTGGTAGAATGAATTCTCTCTCTCCTTTTCTTTTTCTTCTTCTTATTATTATTGGCTATATACTCTACTCTACACTGAGTAGTGTTTGCTCTTCGTCCTTTTTTTCACTTTTTCCATTGTCTGCGAGGTTATTGTCTACGGTAGGTGGTACGTAAGTTGGGTGTTGGGGTATCCAGCGCGTGCGCGGAGATAGGGAGAGAGGGAGAGAGTACCTATGTGTGTTTATGTATGCGTGTGTGCGTGTCTGTGTTGTCATAAGACAAGATCGGGGTCATACAAGTGTAAAGTCGTGATAAGTAAAAAAAAACGCGTAGGGCGCATATAGCAGTAAACTTTCAGTTCATTCGCCCCGAACCCCTATCCAGTTTTGGTTTCTTAAATGTCGACAGAACCAACCCAACCCACCAACCAAGATAGAAAATAGATCAATATATATAGATAGGTAGACGGATGGATATATATGAAAGAGAAAAATAGAAGAAATGAAAAAGAAAAGAATAATAGTTAGAGACAGACGAAGGGAAAGATATGTACAAAATTATGGTGAATCCAAAATCAAAATCAAAAGGGGTAGTCAGAAGCAAAGGTATCAATATCGGGCCCAATGAAAAAAAAATGGGACAGGAAAGGAAAGGAAGTATATTAGGTGGTTGTGGTGAGCACAGAAGGGATGATGAGTGAGTGAGTGAGTGAGTGATCATGTCCTTTTGTCACTTTAAAGTGTGTGAGGGTGGATGCTCAAGCTTTGGTTTCCAGGGTCTCTTCGTTGCCGTTGGGAGTCATGGTGCGCTTGGAGGCGCTCTCGGCGTGCTCGGGGCTCTGGCCGCCGATGACGTCGCGGGTGATTTCGACGTAGTCGTACTGTTGTTTTGTTAGAAATCGGATTTTCATGGGATGAGATGGGTGAGGTTTGGTAAGACTTACAGCAAATTCACCAATCTCGGCATCGTCGACACCCAGGATCTCGTCCTCCTCGGGGATACGCAGGTGGAGACCAGGGATCAGATTGATGAGGAACAGGATCAGACAGCTACCGAAGAAGGAGTAGGCCATGCCGGAGATAGAGTCGGCCAGCTGGTAGCCAAGCTGGATGTAGTGGTGGTTGATCCAACCGCCGTCGATGACGGTGGAGCCATCGAGGTGCGCAATGTAGTCACTGATGGGAGTAGATGTTAGCTGATGATCAGCTTGAGGGCAGAATGGGGTATCTTACGCAGCGAAAAGTCCAGTCAAGAGGTTACCAACAAGTCCTCCAATGGCGTGCACGGCAAAGATATCCAGGGCATCGTCGACGCGAAGGACATACTTGAGCTTGGTGGCGTAGTTGCAGGCGGCAGCACCAACGACTCCGAAAATGAAAGCGGCCCAGGGGGTCACGAAACCCGAGCCCGGGGTAATGGCAACGAGACCGGCGATGACACCAGAGCAGAAGCCGACGGTGGACCACTTCCTCTCCAGGCGGTAGTCCATGATACACCAGGTGACACCTCCCACAGACGCAGCCAAGTTGGTGACGACAGCGGCCATCACAGCGCGCAGGTTGGCGGCCAAGGCGGAGCCGGCGTTGAACCCGAACCATCCAACCCAGAGGAAGACGGTGCCGATGACCACATGCGTGACGTTGTGAGGACGGTAGTTCAGTTCGTGGGTGCCATGTCCGCGGCGCTTTCCGAGCATCAAGGAGTATGCCAGCGCAGCCGAGCCGGAGGCGATGTGGACGGGAGTACCACCCGCAAAGTCGAGACCTCCCAGCTTGTAAACCCAACCCGACGAGTTCCATGTCCAGCAAGCGATCGGATCGTAGATGATGGTCGTCCAGATGAAGCTAAAGACCATGCAGGGCAGCATGCGACCGCGTTCGGCAACGGCACCGACAGCAAGAGCCACACTATTTCCATTATCAGACACGCCACTTTGCAGGATGTTTTCCGGGGATCTACTCACGTAATGGCCGCGAACATGCCCTGGAAGACACAGAAGAGAATGTCCGGAACCGCAGTGCTGCCGACTGAGGGGGCTGCCAAAACATTCCTCAACCCGATGTTCTGAAGATCACCAATATAACTTCCGGCCGTGTGAGAGAAAGCGAGTGAGTATCCCCAAAAGAACCATTGAAATGACACCACCCCAACCGACATTATTGAAAGCCATATCAGCGACAGTGCAGACTTTCGACGAGCGAGACCCGAGTAGAAGAAGCTGTGGAGGTTAGCCATAGGCGTAATGGGGAGTGATTCGAGTCAGGGCATCATACCCAACACCGGGAATCATCAGCAACACCAGGGCAGTCGAGGTGATAACCCAAGCAATGTCTCCAGACTGAAGGCCAGTTAGTGGGGCCAGCTCCGCCATAGCATGTCGCGGGGAAGGGAGCATCATACGCTGTAGTAGATGTTGAGGTTCTCGGTCAGGGAGTTACCACCGGTCCCACTATCGGTGCCATTGTAGGCGACAGGGTATTCGGCCATGGCGGATCACACAGGAGCACGGAACTTCCTACCACAGCAAGGCGTTAAGCCGTCGACACCGGGATCAGAAGTCGTTCAGAGAGGGTTGCTGTGTGCGCGAGGAGGCGATGGTCGACGTGTAGGCTGAGAGACCCTTTAATGGGGTACGTAGTGTGGAAGACGGCAGCAAGTTGGGGGCCCCAGGCACTGGCGAGTGGGCACAGGAGATCAAGGGAAAAAGAAATGAAGATGATATAAAAAAAGAAAAATTCTACGACTAGGGGGGGGGGATGCAGGAGGGGATAAATAGTAGTAGTAATAGTCGGAGCAGGCATGATACCAGTCACAAAACGCCAGTGTCTCACTTGCTTTCGATCCATGGGCAGGCTCCACCATCGGACGCTAGGTGCAGCCCTGGGCCACGGTTAGTCGCATGCAATACGACTGATAGATATCTATCAGGCGCGGTGGAGAGTGGACACCAGCCATGGCGGCGGATAAGGGCGTGGAGGATGGCCGGGCGGGCCAATGCATTGCCTTCCCTGGGATCATCGTGGATGACTGCGAATCCCGCGCCGACCGGCAGATGAGATCCAACGTGGACGAGTCCTCGATGCATGTTGGCTGTCAGGCTTCCATGCACGCAAACACACCAGGGATGGGGTGTCACAGAGTACCTGTACGGAGTACGCCGTGGTACAGTCTGCCTATTGAGGAGGCTGACACAATGGCGGATCCAGCGAGAGGCACGCAGGCAGGCAGGCAGACCGGCCGGGCGCAGGAGAGAACGGAATGCAGATAGATAGAGAAGGACCCTGAGCCCGATTACACATTCAGTGACCGATCGGCGTAAATAATGGGAATTGTGCCTGGGCTGGATAAGGCACCGCGACGGCGGACTCATGCAAGGATAAGATGAAAGTCTATATTGCCTGGATTGCCTGGTGGGAGATAGGCCCTCCTCCGCCAATCAGGGGCCCGTCCCGGCCCATTAGCTGAGCTGCTGCGGCCGCGTTTATCAAGCATGACTTTTTCTGGTTCCTTATCTGTCCCGAAATCCCACGATGGTCCCTTCCCTTCGTGTTGTTGGCTTTGTGGCTCCCGGGCCATCCACCCGTTGCCGTGATTCTCGAACTTCCATGGCAAGTCCAGCTACCCCGGATGGCAGTCACCACGAGGAGTTGGCCAAGGTAAGTAGTCTACTGACTGTTGTTGGACATACTTACTGTATGACTGCACCCTCGCACTTGCTCTTCGAATCCGGTTCCCCCGAAGCCCCCCCCCCCTTATCTAATACCACTTCGGCCGCCAATCAGCAAGTGGGCCGAACGGCTTATCAGCCCTCGAATTCCCCCAGATCTCCCCGTGGTTCCTCTTACCTGATGATTAGTGATTACTTTGTACACCGTCCGACTACTACTTTCTCGTAGTACTCTTGCCCGCTTGCAAAGATTCTTTGACGAAGCCAAGACCTCCGTCTCGTCACCCTGGCCGGGCGGTTTGTGCCTGCGTTGTCCTACTTCTGTTCCGTACCTCCCCGGGAGCACAATAAACGACTCGGAATGGGTTCATCTCCGACTGTGATCCACCTCTCTCAGGGAAGCTGAGGGCATTCTGAACCGGACTGTCTTGCAACGGACTGGGTATCTAGTGGTTTTTCGACGGTGTACGGTGGCTTGGCCAGTCTGCAACAAAAGCACATGCTCCCGTTATTCAAGGGTCAAAGGACCGCCGACATCGAAATTGGTGGCGGAGTGGTAAGCGCTCGTGTTCTCAGCACGGTCCATAAGGCTGGTGTTTGACCAACAACTCTAAACCGGTCCACGAACAGTCTCCGCGAGTCCGTGGAGAAGCATCGCAGCAGCAATAGTAGTCCCTAAATAGGCCGGAGATATCTGCCCATATGAGGAGTGCTGTTCCGAAAGAGTTCCTCGCAACGGAGTCGTGACGTCGTCTCGGAAAGATAAGTCCTTCGGCCCCCATTGGCTAGGGCGCGGCATCTAGACGGCCTAGTGTGGCTTAGCGGACTTGGCGGTTAGTATACCGTTGCCTGCAGTGCTTTGTATGGAGTGAACGGAGGAACTCGGGCTGACAACAGAAAGGCCATGATCGTGTTTGTGCGTGGTTCTTGGGATCGGAAGATGGTGGTGTTTCCGTGCGGATCGCCGCCGCCGCCAGATGAGGCCTAGCGCGATATTGTACTCATGTGCTCCGAATTGAATAGCCAGAACTATAAGGAGTACACCACGACGCGTGTATAGGGGGTAGGAAGATATCAAGAACAGCTTGACTTAGATGGTACCCGAACGCTGAAACAGGTATGGCAGTCTAATCCACTAGATAGAATGAAATGTCCCCCCGGGAAGTTTGGCTTCTGAACAGCAACGCTACTGATATCCCTAATCTGAGGTGTCACGATTCCAATCCGGGTCAGACCAGCTATTGTCCTTGGGAATTTGACGAGATCGAAATCCGGCAGCCAGATATCATTCCACTTTTGCGGTTTTATCGTAACACACTCACGAAAACCCACGAAGAGACCAAAAAAACCGTAGGTTAGTCTAGTCACCAACAATTGGGGATTGACGCACATAGTCTTTCTCTCAGCAGACCAGACAACAATTCTTGGTCCGGCCGAGTCAGGGCAAATGCCCATCTTCGTAAATTGGCTAGCTGTGCTCTGGTTGGCTCACTAGCTAGAAGCAGATCGAGACACCATTTTGGTCTGGGGACAACTATCTTACACAAAGCTCTGTTGGAAGACCCGGCGGATCTCATCTCTTTCGGCCCTCTGTAGGCTCCAGAACAAAGTGGCGTTCCCTGAGTAGTCCCCCAGGGCTCTGCCTGGAACAAGCTCCCACGCCAGAGATGTGAGGAAACCCCCAGGGGCTAGACCTGAGGCATCCTGGCGTTTTTCTCTGTATCCGAGGAGGCGAGGAGTAAGTTCTCTGCCAGCTTTGGTCCGTTTGAATGTTTTAAAGGCATGCAATTCTTCAAGCTTAAAAGGTCGAGACCTCTTGGACGCGAACTTCGGGTTCGTCGAGCTCGGTGTTCATGTACGGGATTTGCATATAAACGCGACACCTAGCCTTGTGACCAGGTCTGTCTGATTCGGTACACAAGAACTTGATTGAGGCAAATGAGGAAGTGGCATCGTTCTTCACGTCATTGCCTTCCTTTTGGTGGTCGTGTTCGTTTGAAATCTGCTCAATCTTCCAAGTACTCCGCTCCGGATTATCAAAGGTCATGATCTTTCCAGGCGTCAAAGCGTGACGGATGGCTCACTGACCAAACCAGGATCGACGGGTAGAAATTCTGCGATTTGATTAGACGCGATGAGGTGGGATGGTATGTGAGACGATTTGACGCGAAGAAGTGAGGTTTACAATTGATTGTAGGAGTATAGTTGAAGGCAAGGCGCCTGATTGGCTTGGGCCAGAGACCAACCGGCCCGTCTTGCCCCGCCGCCAGGCAGAAACTAGAAACACGCACGGGATCCTTTAAGTACACGGTCGGTATTCCTGCCGACTCAATGAGCGAATCCTTCAGTGGTGTTTATTCATGACATCTGTCTCCTCAAGCCTCCCTCCCTACCTGAATGGCTGTCAGATATGGCTTGGAATGAGGATCTTGCATCTCCCAGCGGTGTTCGCTTAGTAATGTCGAAATTCGCGCTTCTGGAGGACATCGCCTCTCCCTCCCCCTTGCAGCAACCCTTCGACCAGGGGATGAGATCGCCTACTTACATTACTTACTTACCAGCACATAAGTTCTAATAATTTACTTAGAAGGAAGGTGCCCCATGAGTTGGATCCCAGGCTGATGTTAAAATAAGAATCATACAGGATAATAGGATCTGCCATGTCTTCTTAGCCACATTTCTCTTCCCCAGATATCCCAGAAGCGATCTCCTGAAGACCCGCAGCGCCAAGTCACTCAGTAAACAGGTCCCACTGATCAACAACGATCGTGATCCTCTGCATGCTGCTAGCCTGCCAACATCGCTGTATCCAGCGTCCAGCATCCACGTCTCCGGGGAGATCTTCGAGTGCATCCATCCGCCATCGATCTCTCTTGCGGCTATCCAGGAAGTGGACACGGGATCCAGCCGCGGCGTTGCACGGACATTTACTACTTCCTAAAGAAGAGAATGCTTATTTTCCGACAGCCTCCATGTGAGCTTGTTCTGGTCGCCGCTTCCTGACGATTTGCCTTCCATGATTTGGAAGACGTGTCAATGGTTAAGTTTTGCTTCTTTCTTCTCGATTGGGAGACTATGCATGGCTACAATTTGCGGTGGGGTGATCGGCTCGTCTATATATTGATTTACCGGTTTGGGTGTCTGAATCCGGAATGTCAATGATCAAAAAAGGGAAGGAAAAGGAAGTATCATCATTGTTGTCACGAACCAATCTTCAGAAGTCAGATCGTAGGTACCTACATCTGCAGATCTCATGGGTGGGAACCCCTGCAATGAGTAAGGAGTCGTCCATGTGAGGATTTCTGGAAAGTGCAGCTTTTGCATCTGTAATACCTGTAGATTACATCACCTTCACTAGTACTCCATAGAAGTTGGTAAATCTACACCTATCTATCTATCTGCTTGTGAGAATGCTCCCTCTAACCATGTCCTCTGTTGATGCCGTTGATGCCTGAGACGCCACTGTGGCTGTGGCTGTCAATGTGGCTGTGGTGTTGAGTCATCAGCAGGTCGGTCTTTCCTTTCCTGAGCCAAACTCCAGCTCCAGCGTCCTCAAGTCTTCTGAACGTTGGCTGGACGGTTCTCACCCCGGTATTTCTCGGAGCTGTTTATCCACAGATTCACCAGAAAATCCGATACCTCCTTGACCTTACCATCCCTCTCCACCCGCCACCCGTCTAGCGTGGCGTACAGCGACGCGACCGAGGTGCGATAAGTAGCTGGATGATGCACCGCCACAGCCCCTATCTATCCGCTTGAGGCTTCCCTTGCAATCCGCTCTCCAACCCCGGCCATGCGAGATGGAACCGCAGCAGGACCACGGCTTCCAGATCATGGAGCATCCCGACATGAACAACCATGATTCGGACGGCTCCGGGTCCTCCGACGAACTTCTGCAACAGCCGTACGCAGTGAGATCGAGCTCCAATTTCCCGGAGAATTTCGACAGCCAAGTCCAAACTCCAGCAACGACCATTTCCTCCTCTCCTCCTCCTACCATTCCTACCGGCCTTCCGCCATGGGCAACCGGCACACCTACACGCCCTCGAGGGGCCAGTGTCGGGGCATCTGCTTCTCTCGATAAGGCGTCGCCTTTGGACGGGCTGCAGCGTCCTTCTGGCCCCGCTCGGACACCCTCAAACACCTACGCCCCTCAACGACGCCCACCCCAGTACATCAGTTTCCAGAATGACCGTCAGCGGAGCTCTTCGGCGAAACGAACCCCAAGACGTGATCCCAATGCGCAGTATCGAGCACAGGAGAAGGCGTATGTCCAGCGCATTCGTGATGACCCACAAGCCTGGCACAGTCATTTCGCGGATGCCCAGAACATGGGCATGGTGGTCGGGGACTCCGATCTGGAAGAGCCGTCGCCGTCCTCAGAGGTTCCGTTCGAGGATGACGCGTACGACCCGGATATTCAGCTGTTTCTCACTGACGACAATCAACCGACGATGGAGGAATTGAAGAACCCGAGAAACCAAGAGAGACTGGAGTGGCACTCGATGCTTTCCTCCGTCTTAAAGGGAGATGTGGTGAAGCAGGAAAAGCAGCGACTGCTCGGATCCACCGAGTCGAAGAGGTCGTTGGCTCAGAATAATGCGATATGGCTGGGTGTCAGGGCTCGGACTTGCGGGAGAAGTGTTCCTTTGCAGCGCAAGCTCATTGACGAAGCAAGAGCTGGGCTTGCTCCCATAATTGAAGAAATTGTCAAGTTCGAGATCAAGGGCGAAACCGAGATCGGAAAATCACCCATCAAGCAAGTCGAGGACATCGTCGCGCAGATTGAAAGGTGCGAAAGCCTCTATTCTACTCACAAGGAGCTGGAAACCGCAAACCCACGAGTTGCGTCAGAGGAGTTTCGTTCGAGTCGCGATGCTGTTTTGGCCTGGCACAATACGACAATCCTAATCAACACCCAGCTCGCAATTCTGCAAAAATGGGTGGGAAACGATCTGCTGGATTTCAGCAAGCCCAGGACCAAGTCTATCAACAGTGATCTTTCCGATGAAACCACCTTCCTTGATCGCATTATGAAGGAAGATGGTCTCAGAACGCTCCAGGGAAAGCATAACATGCTCCATGGCATTGGAGAGGTCATTCAAAAAGCAAAGAACACATTGATCGAGAACGCAAACTCTTTTGCTAAGCGTCATTTGCCTCCCTATATTGAAGAACTCCTCACGTTGATCAACTTTCCCTCACGCCTCATACAGGAGATCATTCGAGTTCGACTATCTTATGCTAAGAACATGAAAGACCCGGCTCAACAGTCACCAATTTTAGTTGACCAAATGATCTCGCAGTTTCAGATTCTGATGAAAGTTGCGGTTGATATCAAACAACGCTACTTGGATATTGCCAGGCCCGAGCCAGGCTGGGACTTGCCTCCTTGCATCGATGAGAATTTCGATTCGGTCGTGTTGGATGCGATGAAGTATTACTTCCGGCTTCTCAATTGGAAGCTGAATGCAAACAAAAACACATTCAAGGAAGCTGAAATCCTCGAGCAAGATTGGGAGTTTTCAAATGAAGTCGGTCGTCAACTCGAAGGTGGAGATATCGAGGTAGCTGAACAGTTCAGGTGCGACGTCGCGCTTCCAAGCTGAACAATATAATTTGTTTGCTAACTGAGAGCAGTGCACTGACTGCAAAGTCAATCCAACGCTTGATGATTCACTTTGAACGTGAATTAACAATACGACCAAATGAGGACCCGGCCGACATGGATAAGCGCTACAAAAGTGTTCTGGACTCCACCCGGATCCGCCAACGGAAGCTCTACCGGTTCTCCCGATTTTTGCGACAGCTGTTCGAAAATGCTACAGAATATAACTTGCCGGCTGACATTGCATACGACTTCTTGGAGTCACTCCTTGTGTCCGACCATTTCATTGTAAAATCAAACACCTCCGTCGGCCAGAAAGGAGTGCATCTCTTTGCGCATCCCGCATTGTGGGATCGCCCTGCCGACATACAAGCGATTCTCGGCACCTCGTTTCGCGAAGAAGATACCAACAAAGATTCGCCACATGTGCCGTATATTCTAGTGGTTCGTCCAGAGAAGCCTCTCCACTGGGAGGGCAAGGAGTTGCAGCTCGATATCATGGAACTTCCCACGGATCTACGATTGGGAAAGCTACGTCTCGTCGTTGAAGGGACGCAGCAGCACCTATCCAATGCTAGACATGAACTGAACCAACTCACTGGTTTCAATCTTGACATGGCTATCGAGCAACGTGCTAACCTGGGCCGAGTTAATGTCGAGCTCAACAAGATCAAGAAAATCTCGTTCAAATTGTCGATGACTATCATGGATAGTGTCGCAATCATTAGAGATCAGCTGAAAGAGAAGGGCTTTGAGAATCACGATCTGATCCAAGCATGCTATGCCTTTGCAACGGAGTTTGGGAAGCGTTCTTCGAACGTCGATCCTAACAGACGCGCTATGAACAGTGCGAGACTGGTGGAGTTATCCCTTGATTGGGTGTCTTTCGTTAGTGATGACTGTGATGCTGCTGATCGGAAAACCTTCAAATGGGCCGTCGCTGCTCTTGAATTTGCAATGGCCATTACTTCCAGCAGACATCTGCTATCCATGGATGATTCGCAATTTGGTCACTTGAGGCAGAAGGTGGCTGGGTGTATGTCTCTCCTGATATCTCACTTCGACATCATGGGCGCCCGATCTTCTCGTGCAGCCCAGGCAGAGAAACAACGCTTGGAAGAGCGTGGCGGCTCGAGGAGAATGGGTTCAAGTCGTATCTTGACCGACAAAGAAGCGACAAAGCTCGTTCGGGAACAGCGCCTGGCTCACCTGAGTGGACTCGAGGACAGGCGTGTCGGAGAAGATGCGAAGCGCCAGGCTCTGGGACGAGTTCTAGAAGGGTCAAACGAGGCAGATAGATCTCTCACCGTCCTCTCATCCTCGGCCACAAATGTCACTCTACGGTGGCAGCAGGGTCAATTTATCGGAGGAGGAACATTCGGATCCGTGTATGCCGCGATCAACCTTGACAGCAACTACCTCATGGCCGTCAAGGAGATTCGTCTGCAGGACCCCCAACTCATCCCTAAGATTGCGCAGCAAATCCGCGATGAGATGGGTGTCCTGGAAGTGTTGGACCACCCTAACATCGTTTCTTATCATGGAATCGAGGTTCACCGTGACAAGGTTTACATTTTCATGGAATACTGTTCTGGTGGGTCTCTCGCCAGTCTGCTTGAGCACGGCCGAGTTGAGGATGAGACAGTCATCATGGTTTATGCTCTCCAGCTTCTGGAGGGTTTGGCGTACCTACATCAGTCTGGTATTATTCACCGTGATATCAAGCCAGAGAACATTCTGCTCGATCACAACGGCATCATCAAATATGTTGATTTCGGAGCGGCAAAGATCATTGCCCGTCAGGGTAAGACTGTCGCCCCCATGGATGCCTTCGGTAAGGAGGGTGCGAAGGACTCTACGGTCGCCCACAATGTTTGGGGCAAAAACCAGAAGACAATGACCGGAACCCCGATGTACATGTCGCCAGAGGTGATCCGTGGAGACGCCGCCAAGCTCATACACCGCCAGGGAGCCGTCGACATCTGGTCCCTGGGATGTGTCATCCTAGAAATGGCCACAGGTCGTCGTCCTTGGTCCGCCCTGGATAACGAGTGGGCTATCATGTACAACATTGCCCAAGGAAACCAGCCTACACTGCCACCCCGAGAACAGCTCAGCGACTTGGGCATCGACTTCCTCCGCCGGTGCTTCGAGTGCGATCCGCTCAAACGATCCACCGCGATCGAGCTCTTGCAACACGATTGGATCGTCTCAATCCGACAGCAAGTCGTCCTTGAACCCGCCACCCCTGGCAGTGACAATAGCGGTAGTAGCTCTACCTCAGGCAGTCGTCAAAACTCCACCTATCTATAAACCTGCTAGTACTAGCTGTCTTCTCATCTGATACCCCACAATGGGTACCCTTACTTACACCGCACACCGCACACCGCACTACCCCTATCCATCTACCCCCTTGCTTACCTTCCCCGCGCTAAAAAGCCTCATGATCATCTATCCATCTTTCCACTTGTCCTGCTTGCGATCAGCCAATTCCGTACACGATCAGATCGCATTTGATACCCCGCATACATTCTTTACGTTTGCTTTTTGTTTTTACAACAACATATAACACCTTTGACTTCGTTTTTTCGTGTCAGTCCTCCTCTGTATTGCTGTCATGTAGCCTTCCAACCCCCCCCCCCTTCCCTCTCCCTTTTGGCGGAGGTTCTCTTGTTAATAAATGTTATACTTGAGAATTGGGATGGCATGGTATTTGTTTTGTTTTCTTTTTTTTCTTGTCGTGCCGCTCAAGAATACGAAGGAGCTCTGTTCTCGTCACATCAGATCAGATCAGACCCGCACGTCACATACACATATTTCATCTATATTCGCGTTAAAAACTGCAGTCAGACATCATGTCATGTATTGTAGACGTATGGATTTTGTATGTATGTGAACAACACTGGACTCAATCAGATTGCCATCCCGAATTGGAGACACATACCTACCTACCCTTACAGCCAGCCAGCCAGCCAGCCTATCCTGTCTACTCCCCTTACAAGAATGATGATACAAACAACCCCCAAATATAACAACTAAATCCCGCAACCTAGACACAGAAACCACGACGAATGAATCGTAGATGAGAGGCCGAGAGAAAGAGAGAGAGAGAGAGAGAGAGAGAGAGAGAGAGAGAGAGAGAGAGAGAGAGAGAGAGAGAGAGAGAGAGAGAGAGAGAGAGAGAGAGAGGGAGAGAGATAAGTGAGAGAACCTCAATCAATATGAGATTTGCCTGCTTAACCTATTTCCCTGGACATAAAAGGGAAGGAAAAACGCTACCGCTACCGCTATCAGATAGGCCGATCATGATCATAATATGAGAGAAAACACAACAATAACAGCCCCTTAAAACATAAGCAAGCAAGCAAGCAAGCAAGCAGGCTTGAATCCAGGATAGATGGGAGACCGAGCTCGTTTCCTGCTAGCTGTAGTTGTGGTTTGTTGCTAGTATCGACAAATATTCCCAGTTCCCAGGCGAATGATGAAATAAGATGATAAATCAGAAAAGCATGACGTGATGAGTAGAGAAAAGCGTATCAAATAGAGCCCATATCACCAACCCTGCGCCAAGTTAAACGTGCAAAGAGAGGAAAAAGAAAAATCGTCGCAGCGGCATGGATAAACCGAGCGGGGTAACCAGACGGGGGGTGGTGATCTCATGATATGATATGGAAGCTCAGTGTGAAAGATTTCCATGGTTCGATGATCACCGTAACAAACATGCCATCGCGGCCAGGGAGGCGAGAAGTGAACGTAGTGGGGTAATAGCCATTAGAAAAGAATAGATCCAGTCGGGGAAAAAATGAAAAAAGCACGAGGCGCGGGATCGATAAACCTGATCTCCTGTTGCGGTCGACCACTGGCTTAAAACCGCCGAAAGATTGATTAACGGAATTCCATGGCCGGCGTACAGCCATGATCCTCGACGTGACGGAGCTCGAGCTGCTGGTATCTAGAGGGTGAATTTAGGGTTAGCGTCGGATACCATGGAGAACATGTTGAGACAATGCGGGGATATATACTTCTCGCTCTTTGCATGGAAATATATCCCATTTACAGTTCCCTCGACCTGATTAAAGCATATATAATAAAAGCCTTCGAAACTGGCGCCGGAGATCGATCTGACGCGGTGGTCCGGAACGAGGAAGTACTCCTTCCACCGCATGAACAGGTGTTCACGCTGGGCGAAATTCCGAAAGGTGAAATCGGGCCTTTTAGCCTGCTTGGCCTGCGTTCTCCAGGGAGGGAATCTCGCCCAATGGTGCATATCCGTTTTCTCTGTCGCGCCCCATGCTTCATTTCTGGTCTTAAAGGTATGTTTGGTCCCAATGATTTCTCCCTCGAAGAAGGTTGTCAAAGTCGGGTGATCCTCGGTGAGGCCTGCATGTCGCGCGCGTAATTAATACCGGCGTGTAATGCAAGTTGGATGAATGCGACCAACCTTGTATGCGGAGGTATCCGCAGAGATAGGACTCGAGCATATCAACGTGTTTGATCTCTACATCAACGCTGTATACCTGACGGTCCGACTGCTGGGTGCCGGTGAATTTGCTCCCCGGGCGCAGAAAGGACGATGTATAATTGGGAAGAAGCTACAAACGATCAGTCAAAACAACCATGTGGAGAGAGATATGCTCGATCCTACGTACCCGTATATTCGAAAATTCATAGCTGAGCAGCGAAGTGGCCGACGGAGAAGTGACGGGGGCCGACGGGGTGGACGAGCGCGAGGGCTCCGCAGCGGCCGCAGGGCTTAATCTCCCCGCAGCGGGTTCATCTTCAGGCCTTGCGACGCCTTTCATGGGAGCATCGGATACCGGCTCACCCCTCAAGGGATCTGCATTTGACGGAGCGACCGCATCGTCGGCAGGAGTCAGGACGGTGTGTGTCGATGCGACGGTCGGAGTGAAGGCGCTGTCGGGAGCATCACTCTCCGTTACTGTGGTCGACGATTCGCGCGAGTCTCTCCAGGAGGGCAATCTCTCGATCTCGGGAGGGCAAGTGGAGCGGGCGGAGATTTCTTCAGCGATCGAGGAAGCATTCAGGGGTGGTGTGTTGTCACTCGGAGTCGGCATTGGAGGCGAATTAAGCAAGGAATGATGACATCGGATCCGATTTGGGTTGCAGACTCTCACCGATAGGAAGAGAGGGAGGGACGGGGGCGAGACAATCGGACGGAAAAGCAAGCATTCAACCACACCAGGGGCGGTGGCTTTTTCGGGGGGGGGGGGGAAGGGAGGGAGAAGGAGACCGGGTGGCGTGGAAGGAGGTCGGTGGTAATGAGGGGCTAGGATGAAACGGGGGGGTTGACAGCGGGACAGGGTATGAGAGGAAGACAAATATCGGGAGAGGAGGAGCGGAATAGTTAGTAAGAAAGAGAGAGAGAAGTGGTGGTGAAGAAGGAGAGATGAGTCGAGTCGAGGCGAGTCGAGTCAAGGCGATAGTAGTCAGTCAGTCAGTCATCGGCCGAGTGATCATGCGAGCGCGGGGGAGGCGAACGGGGCCCAGCGGCGCCTCGGGCGGTTAATCTTCTGCGTTGCTTCTTCATCCCTCAGGCTCAGGGAACGGACGTGGCTCTCTCTGCTGTGGTCCTTAGTATTTATGGGTCATGCACTCCCTCAATGGCTGCAATCCCCATTGGCACGCTCCCGCACACTTCCAATTGACACAGTACAACTACTTTAAATGCGTTCGTCTCATTTTTGTGTGTTTGGCTCCCCCCCCCAAAAACACACGTCGTTGGGTATAAGTTTGATTCTTCGCTACGTTGGCCCTGGTGGCGACCACCCATTGCGTCATTGTCGCCCGGCCATTTGGCCTCCAGAAAATAGAATAAAAATAAAATAAAATAGGGCAGTCAACGTTGAAAGCATATCCGCCACTAGTCAATCATAGAGAACGCCTGTCATTCATCCCAACACAAAACCATTTCATTTCATTACCCCGGATATGATTTAGATAGGTTTGATCTAGGGTTGGGTTAGAACATGGCCGTTCAGGCGGGAGAAGAGCCAGAGTTACCTTGAAGTGGAGAGAAATCAGCGAGAAGATGAGGGCCTTCAGGTCCTGCACCAGATAGTAGAACACCCGGAGACCTTCCGGGTCCGCCGACTCGGTCACGTCCACCAGAGAGCCGATTTTCGCAGTCTGCACCATCGATTAGTCCCACGCCGCGCCCGTGGTGATGACCGAGCATCGTACGCACCTCGAAGGAGATATGTTCGTTTCCGATCCGAATCTCGAGTTCCTGACGTCCATCCTTGTTCTTCTGGGGCCACTTCGAGTCGTCCTCCCTGCTTCGTGTCAGTCCCGGAACCCCGCCAGTCGCCAGTCGCCAGTCGCCAGTCCAACCCGGTGCTTTGCTCACTTGATGATCTCGCTTTCCTTGATTATGCGCTTGACCTCCTGGATCATCGACGCGCTCACACACACTGTAGTACCATCCATGAGTATCGGGGTACCTCCGGGCCACCCGTCATGCCGAGCACTCACTTTCTTTGCGGATCAGGGAGTCATTGCGGTAGTTGGAGTTGTTCGCGTATCGCACGGCAGCGCTACGGCCGTCACCAAGGGTACGGAAATCGAACTCTGCGACCGGTTAGCTGGGAACTCGAGACGATCGATCAACGGCCGGAGACCAACCTAGGAACTCATGTCCAAACCGCCCAGAGTGACCTGAGCTGCGGGACTGTCAGCAGCTGAGGAAACCTGGGCACCATGCAGGTCATCCTTACTAGTATCGGAGGTAAAACGGTTCGCCTTGGGTCGACATGATCAAGGGGTATTCTTGACGCACGACGTAGAGAGATGTAGCAGCTGAAAACGCCCGCGTGGTGCCTGAAGGCACGGAATTGCCTGGTTTGCAGCGGGTGGCCCAGGCGGGGCTTAGTCATCCACACACTCCGGACAGCTTGCTCCGCCGCGCAAATGGCCAGGTTGATACTCATTGTTGTCCCCGGATTGTCAACATTCGCACTGATGAATGCTAGGCAGGTGAGGGGAGTTGAATTGCACTAGTATCTTATTCTGTTCTGTCCTTCCAGCTGACCGATTTGGGGAGAGTTGTTCCAGTGCGTGTTCTCATCGTTCCCCTGACCGGCCAAACAACCACCTGTACTGACTGGCCACTTTATAAGCTCTCCGCCCTCTTGACCTGAACCCTTCCCTATTACGTCCATTCGCCCTCACTGCCTGATCACCATGGCGTCCTTTCTCGAGAATACATACAGTTTGGTCCACCTGGACAACACTGCGGACCAGCCCTCCCAGCAGGAGCTGAAGCTGCAGTTGGAGAAGGGTACCGATGAGACCAAGATGGAGACAATGAGGCGGATCATCACGATCATGCTCAATGGAGACCCCATGCCTCAACTACTCATGCATATTATCCGCTTCGTCATGCCCTCCAAGAGCAAGCCGCTCAAGAAACTGCTCTACTTCTACTATGAGATCTGCCCCAAGCTCGACGCGAGCGGCAAACTCAAGCAAGAGATGATCCTGGTTTGGTAAGGAAGATGGCGCCCCTCGACACGGTATCCCGGTCGCTCTAACAGAAGATGTCCTGTACAGCAATGGTATCCGTAACGATCTCCAGCATCCCAACGAGTACATTCGAGGAAACACCCTGCGATTCTTGTGCAAGCTCCGCGAGCCGGAACTCATTGAGCCCCTCCTTTCCTCCGCCCGCTCCTGCTTGGACCACCGCCACGCATATGTGAGGAAGAATGCAGTCTGGGCTGTCGCTTCCATCTTCCAACACTCCGAGTCTCTCATCCCCGATGCCCCGGAACTTATCCAGACATTCCTCGACACGGAGACCGATGGCACCTGCAAGCGCAATGCATTCGCGGCTCTCATGTCCATCAGCCACCAGAAGGCTACGGAGTACCTGGGCTCTACCTTCGACAGCATCCCCAACACAGACGAACTACTCCAATTGGTTGAGCTCGAATTCATTAGGAAGGATGCGGTGCAGAACGCGCAGAACAAGGTGGGTTCATGAAAGGCAGGACAATTTGGCCCTCTGCTAACGATCACTAGGCGCGTTATCTACGGTTGATCTTCGATCTCCTTGATGCGTCCACGAGCACTGTCATCTACGAGGCTGCGACATCCCTGACGGCACTCACCAGCAACCCCGTGGCTGTGAAGGCTGCAGCCAGCAAGCTCATCGAACTCTGCATCCGCGAGGCCGACAACAATGTCAAGCTCATCGTCCTCGACCGAGTCGACCAGCTGCGCATTCGCAATGAGGGTGTTCTGGATGATCTCACTATGGAGATTCTGCGTGTTCTCTCTAGCCCCGACATTGATGTTCGTCGCAAGGCCCTTGGCATTGCCCTGGAAATGGTTTCAAGCAAGAACGTGGAAGAGATCGTCATGCTACTCAAGAAGGAGCTTGCGAAGACCGTTGATGAGCAGTATGAGAAGGTATGTTCGCCGCTAAGCCATTGTCAGACACAAATTGACAGCCATGCAGAACAGCGAATACCGTCAATTGTTGATCCAGTCGATACACAACTGCGCCATCAAGTTCTCTGAGATCGCCGCCAGCGTCGTTGACCTCCTTATGGACTTTATCGGTGACTTTAACAACAACTCGGCCGTCGATGTGATCTCATTTGTCAAGGAGGTCGTCGAAAAGTTCCCTGCGCTCAGAAGTTCCATTGTCGAGCGCTTGGTTTCTACTTTGAGTGAGGTCCGTGCCGGAAAGGTCTACCGTGGTGTCCTGTGGGTTGTCGGAGAATACTCTTTGGAAGAGCGGGATATTCGCGAGGCCTGGAAGAGAATTAGAGCCAGTCTCGGCGAGATCCCCATCCTTGCCTCCGAACAGCGACTCCTCGACGAAGTCCCAGAAGATGCCGCGCTCAAGGAGCAGGTGAACGGTCACTCCAAGCCCTCAGCCCCCACCGGATCACGAAAGGTGCTCGCCGACGGCACCTATGCGACTGAGAATGCTCTGACCAGCCAGTCTGCCGCCGCTGCCCGTCTCGAAGCTGTCAAGGCTGCCCAGAAGCCCCCTCTTCGTCAGCTGATCCTGGATGGCAACTACTACCTGGCTACTGTTCTGTCTTCCACTCTTACCAAGCTGGTGATGCGCCACTCGGAGGTGTCTCAGGATGTCGCTCGGACCAACGCCCTGCGTGCGGAGGCCATGTTGATCATGATCTCCATCATCCGTGTCGGTCAGTCCCACTTCGTGAAGGCTCCTATCGATGAGGATTCCGTGGATCGTGTCATGTGCTGTGTGCGGTCACTTGCGGAGTTCTCCCAGAAGAAGGAGCTGGAGACCACCTTCCTTGAAGACACTCGGACCGCGTTCCGCGCCATGGTCCAGGTCGAGGATAAGAAGAGGGCCGCCAAGGAGGCCGTCGAGAAGGCTAAGACCGCCGTGCAAGTCGACGATGTTATCCCCATCCGGCAATTCACGAAGAAGACGGCCATTGAGGGCGCTGAGGAGATTGAGTTGGATCTGGCCAAGGCCACCGGCGGCGATTCCACTGTGGAGACGGTGTCCTCGAAGCTGAGCCGGGTTGTCCAGCTTACCGGCTTCTCGGACCCCGTCTACGCGGAGGCCTATGTCACCGTCCACCAGTTCGACATTGTTCTCGATGTGCTCCTCGTCAACCAGACCCTGGAGACTCTCCAGAACCTCAGCGTCGAGTTCGCGACCCTCGGAGACCTGAAGGTTGTGGAGCGGCCGACCACGCATAACCTCGGACCTCGCGACTTCTTGAATGTGCAGGCTACAGTCAAGGTGTCATCGACGGACACGGGTGTGATCTTCGGTAACATTGTATACGACGGGGCCAGCTCGACGGAGTCGCACGTTGTGATCTTGAACGACATCCATGCCGACATCATGGACTACATCCAGCCTGCCCATTGCACGGAGACGCAGTTCCGGACGATGTGGACCGAGTTCGAGTGGGAGAACAAGGTCAACATTAACTCCAAGGCGAAGACCCTGCGCGAGTTCCTCAAGCAGCTGATGGACAGCACCAACATGGCATGCTTGACACCCGAGGCGTCCCTCAAGGGTGACTGTCGGTTCCTGAGTGCCAATCTATATGCCCGGAGCGTTTTTGGTAAGCCCTCCCCCCTGCTAATGTCTCTACGTCTTTGAACAGCTGCTGACTCGACATGGATACAGGCGAGGATGCGCTTGCAAACCTGAGCATCGAGAAAGAGGGAGACGACGGCCCGGTCACCGGCTTTGTGCGGATAAGAAGCCGCTCCCAGGGACTAGCGTTGAGCCTGGGGTCGCTGAAGGGCCTCAAGGCGACGGCCGCATGAATAGAGCAACCCGTTTGAACCGTATTTGAATAGCCACTACCCTTATTGTTACATGATCCTCCCGTTCTTCTTCGATCTGCGCTTCTTACCTCTTCTGTGTTCTTCTAATGGACGAATTTGTTGACTATATGCACCTCTTACTGTGTTGTTCTGGATGAGAAAAGACGCTATTTTCCCCAATGAAAGAATCAATTCGAAAGCCTTCTTCCTGTATGTATAGGTATGTATATGTATGTATGTATGTATTATCATGGCAATTCCACAGACGGCCACGGCACGATGCATGATCCAAGTAAGCTTTCTCGTGCTTCATTGTACGGAGTAAGTACTCAAGCATCCCCGCACCCCGCAGAGGATAGATAGTAGTCTGGCTGGTGACCCTCGATCCTCGATCGGGCGATGGAAATCGAATGCGGAGGGCGAACCGGATGCGGTGAGGACCTTCTGAAGAATGGCCTTAAGTTGTCATTTGCCTCGCCATCGTTTGACCCAAACTTGAAGTGGAGTCGGCGGGCGGTTCCCAAAATTTAGCTTCCATTTAATTCATTCATCTGCAACGAACTGTCCTGATTTCCCAAACCTTCCTTTTCCCCCCTCCAACATTCCTTTTCTTTTCAGTCTGGGGAACCCCCGTCGGATTTCTTCTCCCCCCCCCCCGACCATCCACCTGGCACCCCAACTATGGCCACCTCCAATGGCCCGCCGCGCCCGTCGTTCAACAACGCGGATCTCCCGGAAACGCGGGATCAACTGCTCGATCACGATGCCACTCTGATGCTGACCGACTCGGTCTCCCTCACCCTGAGCGCCGACTCCATCCTCATCGTTGGTAGGTCTTGACTTACACTGTCCGATCCCCGGGAAATAAAATGCTAATAGAACGCCCGCCCAGACGAACGTTCCATGCGCAAATCCGAGCGAGGATGTTGCGGCCTCTCCAACAAACCAGGTAATTTCCCGGACTGGGCTCCGAAACCGCGCTGCGACCACGACCTGACTGTGCACGGTTTGTTCTCATCCACAGCCAAGTCCACCCACTCCATTGCCCTCTACAACGTCCTGGACGCCGATCTCTCCCCGGAAGGCCTGACCATCACCTACGCCGACCACGCCTCCAAGCACGATGTCTCTGTCACGGCCGTGCGCTACCCCTTCGCCGCCGAAGACCGACCCGCCGTCGAGTCCTGGACCAACCTGCTCCTCGACGCCGCGTACGGCTCCGCGAAGCGCTACAAACGACTCAAGGTCCTGGTCAACCCGTTCGGCGGTCAGGGCCACGCCGTCAAATTGTACTCGACGTATGCGGCGCCGGTCTTCGCCGCCGCGCGCTGCCAGGTCGACGTGCAGGAAACGACGCACGGAGGCCACGCGACTGAGATTGTGGAGCAACTCGACATCAACGCCTACGATGCCATCGTGTGTTGCTCCGGCGACGGTCTGCCGTATGAAGTCTTCAACGGTCTCGCGAAGAAACCCAATGCCTCGGAGGCGTTGGCCAAGCTAGCCGTCGCCATGGTGCCATGCGGATCCGGGAACGCCATGGCGTGGAATCTCTGCGGGACAGGGAGCGTCTCGGTCTCGGCGCTGACCATCGTGAAGGGCGTCCGGACGCCCATGGACCTGGTCTCCATCACACAGGGGATGACCCGCACATTCTCCTTCCTCTCCCAGGCCTTCGGCATCATCGCCGAATCCGACCTCGGCACCGACGACATCCGCTGGATGGGTGCCCACCGGTTCACATACGGCTTCCTCAAGCGCATCATGCACGGCGCCGTCTACCCATGCGATCTAGCCGTCAAGGTCGTAATCGACGATAAACAAGCGATCAAGGACCACTTCAACGCCTACGCGCAGAGCGGACCTCCCATCGATAATCCCGCTGACCGCGTCGGCGGCCTACCCGAGCTCGCATACGGCACCGTCCTCGACGAGCTGCCCAAAGACTGGGAGGTCATCCCCGCCGAAACGCTCGGCAACTTCTACGCCGGCAAGATGGCCGTCGTCTCCAAGGACACGAACTTCTTTCCCGCCTCCCTTCCCAACGATGGTTTGATGGACATCGTCACCATCGACGGCACCCTCAGCCGTCTGACCACCCTCAAGATGATGACGGAGGTCCCCGAGGGCGGGTTCTTCGATATGCCCGACGTTAAGATCCGCAAGGCCCTCGCGTACCGTCTCGTCCCTCGGGAGAAGGAGGGATATATCAGTATCGATGGTGAACGCGTCCCCTTTGAGGCTTTCCAGGCGGAGGTCCATAAGGGGCTGGGCACGGTTCTTTCGAAATCGGGCCATCTCTATGAGGCGGATGGTCCGAGACCTTAAATCATTCATTGTTATAGATGCTGATGCTGGCAATCATCGAAAGGGGATAGATGGTCTGATGAGTTTTTTTTTTGGATGTTGCTGTTGTTTCCTTTTCCCATTCGCTCCGCTCCCTTCCAGTCTTCGCACTCTGTCATGATACCCTGGCGCAAGACTTTGGACTATAGTATACAGAATTGGCTTGGTTTGTTGTTGTTGCTGTTGCTGTTGCTTTCATTTCAGTGATTTTTTTTTCTTTCTTCCTTTCTTTTTTTCTGTCTTGTATAGTTGGTTTTTTGGTAGACCGGCTTGCATGCAAGCATGTACACACCCACATACACACACCTGGTGACTAGCCAGCCAGCGCATAGAGTCATAAGAATATACATTTGATTCATATAGTATAATATAATGTAGTGAACCGAAGCTTTTTCCCTTCCCATCACCTGCCCATTTATCAAAGAACAACAACAACAACAGTAATAAAAATGAATAACCACACCCCAATCAGACAGACAACAAACAGTCTAGTCTAGTCAAAACCACCCCACTCCTCCTCACTCTCCTCATCCTCACTCTCCACCTTCCTCTCCCTAAACCCCCACTCAAACAGCCGCTCATCCTCCAGGGTCTCCGCCGCCCGGGTGCGAACAGGCTTATACGGACTCTCAGCCTTCAACTTCTCAATGGGCCTAAGCAACAGCTCGATCGGCACCTCGCCCTTCGGCTTCCTCTCCCCTCCCTCTGTTTCCGTCTCATCAAACTCCAACACCTTCTCCACCTCATCCACCCAAATATCCAGAACATGGTACCGGAGCCCGTCCGGTCCGTGCGGCATGGGGACGTAATTCTCCGCCTCGTTGAGGGGCGGTTGATCCGGGTCGAAGTTCAGCGGGCAGAGGGGACCTTCCTCGAGGATGGTGATGTAGGATTCGAGCGCGGCCCATTTTTCACTTCCGGTTTCCGTCGTAGGGGCGGTATCTTCGGCTTCGGCTTCGGCTTCGGCTTCTTGCTGCTGCGTCTGCTTCTTGTTCTTCTTGTTGTTGTTGCGCTTCTTGCTGCTTTCGTCGCGCTTGCGCTTGCCTCCGTTCGCTGCGGTGGAGGTGGAGGTGGAGGTGGCAGGTTGGGGCTTGATGAAGATCGATAGCGCAACGCCCACGTAGCAGCGGATCAGGAAGAGGTATTTGTCGAGACGGAGACGGTCGAGGGAGTGGAAGTCCCGTCCGATGGTGATCCAGAAGGCCCGCAGGAAGCGGTGCAGTGTGGTGCGGGGGAGCGTGGGGACGAGACTGTAGCTGAGGGTGCGGGCGAGGGTTTGTTGCGTTAGGGGGCGGTCGGAGTGGTAGAAGCCTGTTTTTTTTTTGTTGGCGTTATGGTTAGGATGGTGCGGATTTTTGAGTAATGTGGGTATGGGTATCGGTATGGGAGACTGGGGATTTGGGCTGGGGCTGGGGCTGGTGCTGGTGCTGGGAGAGGGAGGGTGGGTGGAACGAACAGAAGAAGAGACCCTTCCACAGTTTGAGGAGTTCGATCAGCGTCAGGTCGGTTTTCGAGCGGAGGAAGAGGGCGAGTGAGTCCGTGGCTTTGTCGCGGATTTTTTTGTCTAGGCGGTTTTTGTTAGATTTGGGCTTCATTGATAGGCTGGGATCTTGGTGGGAGAGAGGTGTATGTACCGCTCGAGGCGAGGTCCCGTACAAAGGGAGTCTTGGTGATGTCGGACATGGTTGGTCGACTTGAGGGAGGTTGGCCCGAGTTATGGCTATGCGGGGGACGGATTGGCGAGGATGAGTCGGGGTGGATGGGTGAGATCAGTTCGCGGGGACGAGGCGATTGAGATGCCTGCCCTTTGTATGGTGGAGACTGTGAGGTGGGGGGAGAATGCGGTGTGATCGCGAGGTCTGCGCTGGGATTGATGAAGCTATCCATCGGACTTCTTTTTTTTTTTTAGGAAATTGTTTGGTGTTTGCACTGTTTGACTGGGGTGTTGTCTGATTGGCTGGTGGGTTGGCTGGTGCTGGGTGGGGCGATGTGGGGAAGTTAACAGCCTAAGCCTTGAAGGGCGATCGGGTAAAGCATCAATGCTAACGTCAGATGGCTCAGCATGGGGTCTTCTCTGCTGTGGACAATGAGTGAGAGTCATCTTAGTTGTTACATCTCAGGTCAGTGGGCTGGCACTGTTTTGCTTCTTCTAGATTAATCATGGCCCCTGTCTCTACCCGATTTCTGTACGAGCCTGCGGGCCTCCATCTGCAGTCTACTGTCCAGGCCGACTGGGTGTAAGTAGATAGCCAAGTCTGTTTCTGTCGCAGTCTCCTGGGGGAAGGGGTGCTCGAAGGTCTCCCCGGTTTGTGTAAGCTCAATAAACTCTCTCTTGGAGACCGGGGCTTTACTGTACAGATCACCTCGGAGAATATCATACATACGGCCACCTCCCCGAGACAGATGGGAAAGTCAAATCGAGATCCGCGATGCTTCACATGGATAGAGTAGAGCCATCCAGCAAATATCCGGAGCACAGAGTCCGATGCTCCATGAAATGAATGCATCACTGAATCGGCCCATCTGCTGACTAAGTGCTTCGGGGATCCCTCTGATCTGCCCTGCAGTCCCCTGAGATAAATCCCACGTCACAAAGTTCTAATAACCATTCAGAGTAGCCTTGAGTCTTTGTTGCACTATTCTGTGATCAGAGGCTATTTCTGCCCAATGGCGCGGACTATGTGCTGTTCTATACGGAGTTCTTTGTCTTGATCTGCACTCCCGCCCTCAGCCCTACTAGCTAGTCTGCAAGCTGCAAAAGAAAGATGGTGTCAACTACTGAACCTAAACACCCCCGTCTAACTTTCAGGCTGTATGTTGCTACCTGACACATCCCAATCCAGGTGCACGCATAGAACGGCAGGCGTAAATCCAATCTAGTGAGCGGAAACATAGACCCTGGATCTTCCGCATCCGGATGATCACCATCGGGCCGTGCAAGCATCCTTCCTTTCTCGTACGGGAACTCCTACGTCGCCTGTCAGAGTTTCCCCATGTTACACTTCGGGTGACCGTGACATCACCATTGCCAATGTGAGCGAATGGCAACCCCCAGAGTCCTGGATTCGCTTCTGCATCCACGGAACTCCTAGTGAATGATAGCAGGGGTAGAGCATTTTCCGATCAAGGCCAGAGCAGCTGGCTGGAGGGCCCTTGGCGTGCACTTTTTTCGGAAACGTCATCTGTCACTCCACAAGCTAGCACTTTTGGCGCGGCGCTGCTGCCTCTCAGCTACTCCCCTCGCTTCCACCTTCCTCTCATCCCTCGAATTGGCCAAAGGGCTGCCCCCTCCTCTCATTCCCAAGCTCTTTTGCTGGGTTCATCTTCAAAATGGCCTTGCACGAAAAGCACAGCGAGAGCTCGCAGTCCATCTCCGCCCATCAATACGATGAGATCAAGGCTGAATCGGCCAGTCCTCACAGGCCGTCAAAGATGGAGCGCGCGGACAGCACTTTCTTTGAAGAGATGGACCCCGAGCAAAGGGCTGAGTTAACCCGCTTAGCCTCGAATTTCCCCAGGCGTCAAAGCACCATCGATTCCGGCACGCACATCCAACGAAGAGACACCATCGACGAGCTAGAACTGGACGATCCCGTTCTTGATCCTACCAGCGATCAGTTCGACCAGCAAAAGTGGGTAAGGATGATACTGAAACTGTTGGACAGAGAAGGCATCCCCCGACCTCCCTCGACCGGCGTCGTTTTCCAGCATCTCAATGTCTCGGGATCGGGTTCCGCTTTGCAATACCAGAACAATGTGTCCTCAATCCTGTTGGCGCCTTTCAGACCGCAGGAGTACCTCCCTTGTGTGCAGCGCGCGCCAGAGAAGCACATCTTGCGGGACTTCGATGGTCTGCTCCGGAGTGGGGAGATGCTGATAGTCCTGGGACGTCCTGGGAGTGGCTGTTCGACATTTCTCAAGTCCATATGCGGTGAACTACATGGCTTGAAGCTCCGCAAGAGCTCCGAGATTCAGTTCAACGGAATCGCGATGGAGAAAATGCACAAGGAGTTCAAGGGCGAGGTGCTATACAACCAAGAGGTGGATAAGCACTTCCCGCATCTCACTGTTGGTCAGACTTTGGAGTTTGCAGCCGCAGCGAGAGCCCCGGAGGTTCGATTGATGGGTATTACTCGGCAGCAATATGCCAAGATTATCACCCAGGTCGTGATGACTATATTTGGACTGTCTCATACGTATAACACCAAGGGTACGTTTTTATTTGAACTAGCTGAAACTGTACTTGCATTCTTGAAGGCTAATCGTGTTCCCAGTCGGCGATGACTATGTTAGAGGTGTTTCAGGAGGTGAACGAAAGCGAGTCAGGTTTGTTCCTCGTTCCTCACGCTTGAATGCCCGCTCTAACTTTTGTATAGCATTGCTGAGATGGCGCGTAAGTTGTACCACTAAACGAGCATCATTAGGATCTAGACTGACCCTCCTCAGTCTCTGGAGCCCCCGTCGGAGCATGGGACAACAGCACAAGAGGCCTCGATTCGGCAAGTGCGCTAGATTTTGTTAAAGCATTACGAAACTCCGCCAACCTAAGCGGTACTTGTCATGCAGTCGCCATCTACCAAGCATCACAGGCGATCTACGATGTTTTTGACAAGGCAATCGTTCTGTACGAAGGACGAGAGATCTACTTCGGTCCGTGCAGCGAAGCGAAAGAGTACTTCATCAACATGGGCTGGCAATGTCCCCCGCGTCAGACGACCGGCGACTTCTTGACTTCAATCACCAACCCCCAGGAACGTCAGACTCGGGAAGGAATGGAAAACCAGGTCCCCCGGACCCCAGATGAGTTCGAGAAATATTGGAAAAATAGCCCCCACTATGCCAGGCTTCAGCAGGAGATCGAGGCCCACCTGAAGGAGTTTCCTTTGGGCGGAGAGTCGGGAAGGACGTTCGGCGAGATGAAGCGGATGAAGCAAGCAAACCATGTTTGGCAGAAAAGTCCCTATATCATTTCAGTTCCAATGCAAGTCAAACTTTGCACGGTCAGGGCTTATCAAAGGTATTCTTCTACTTTTCGCTAGTTTGATTTTGAGGCCAGACTGCTGACTGAAATAGGATCTGGAATGATAAATCTTCTACTTTGACTAATGTCATCGGTCGGATTTTTATGTCCCTCATTATTGGATCGATGTACTTTGGGTAGGGGGTTTTTTTTTTCTGGAAATTGATGCGTGTGCTGATACACCCAGGACACCTACTGCTACTGCGGGCTTTCAAAGTAAAGGAGCTGCTCTGTTCTTTGCCGTGCTGTACGTTTCTTCGACATTAGCAGGGATGATAACCATACTGAGTTCTATTTTAGGATGAATGCCCTCATTAGTATCACCGAGATCAACTCTCTATACGACCAACGACCCATCATTGAAAAGCAAGCGTCATATGCCTTCGTCCATCCTTTCGCTGAAGCCTTTGGTGGAATTGTCTCTGACATCCCCGTCAAGTTTGTCTGCGCCATAGTGTTTAACATCATCTTCTATTTTCTGGCAGGTCTAGTAAGTGTATGCACCCAGCCATCATATGCAGTTGAGTTAATAAAGATCAGCGATATGAACCATCTCAATTCTTCATCTTTTTTCTGTTCACATTTCTAAGCACACTCGCAATGTCTGGAATATTCCGCACTCTTGCAGCTTCAACGAAGACTCTCGCTCAAGCAATGGCCATGGCTGGGGTAATGGTGCTTGCTATCGTCATCTACACCGGCTTCGTCATTCCTACACCCCAGATGTCTTCTATCCCATGGTTCAGCTGGATTCGGTGGATAAACCCCGTTTACTATACGTTCGAGGCTTTGGTCGCCAACGAATTCCACGGTCGGCAGTTCGAGTGTTCGCAATTCATACCATCGTATCCCAGTTTGAGTGGGGACTCCTTCATCTGTTCTGTCCGGGGCAGTGTTGCCGGTCAAAGAACCGTGTCTGGAGATGCTTACATACAAACGCAGTACAGCTATACTTATGCCCACACGTGGAGAAATCTCGGCATTCTGATAGGGTTCTGGATCTTCTTCACTTTCATATATCTGGTTGCAACTGAAGTCAACTCTGCAACTTCGTCAAAGGCCGAGTTTCTAGTCTTTCGGCGAGGCCACGTGCCGCCACAAATGCGCAATCTCAACAAAAAGCCTCAAGGAGATGCTGGAAGCACGGACGTCGCCTTAGCTCACCAAAACGCTGAGACTGAAAAGGAGACTGAGACTTCTGCTCTTCCGGAACAACATAGCATATTTACATGGACAGATGTATGCTATGATATCCCGGTCAAGGGGGGTCAACGACGTCTTTTGGATAATGTTTCCGGATGGGTCAAACCTGGAACGCTCACGGCCTTGATGGGTGTCTCGGGTGCCGGCAAAACTACATTACTCGATGTCCTAGCCAAGCGTGTATCGATTGGGGTTGTTACTGGCGACATGCTAGTGGATGGGAAACCTCTTGACAGCAGCTTCCAGAGAAAGACTGGATATGTACAACAGCAAGACCTCCATCTCGCTACGTCTACTGTCAGAGAAGCCCTCCGGTTTAGTGCACTTCTGCGACAACCAAAGTCGGTTTCCAAAAGCGATAAGCACAAGCACGTCGAGGAGGTTATTGAAATGCTTAATATGCAAGATTTCGCCAGCGCAATTGTCGGAACACCAGGTGAAGGACTGAATGTCGAGCAGAGGAAACTACTGACTATTGGTGTTGAGCTTGCTGCTAAGCCTGCATTGCTCATATTTCTCGATGAACCGACAAGCGGACTAGACTCCCAGAGCTCCTGGGCTATCTGCTCCTTCTTGAGGAAACTTGCGGATCACGGTCAAGCAGTGCTATCCACAATTCATCAACCTAGCGCGCTCTTGTTCCAGGAGTTTGATCGCCTTCTGTTTCTAGCTAAAGGGGGTAGAACGGTTTATTTTGGCGATATCGGTCCTCAGTCTAGTACTTTGCTGGACTACTTTGAAGCGAATGGGGCAAGGGCTTGTGGACCATCCGAGAATGTGAGTGCACCGATTCTTTCTCGGGTATTGGATGCTAATACATGAAAAGCCTGCCGAATACATGCTTGAGATTATCGGAGCCGGTGCTTCTGGAAAGGCCACGAAGGACTGGCCCGCCGCCTGGCAAGCGAGTCAAGAGATCAAGGACGTCTATAAAGAAATCGAGCGGATCCAAAACGAAAGGAGCTCTACCCCTGATAGCGAAGATAATGTTTCCCAGAAAGGGGAATATGCTATGCCCTTTTCCAACCAGCTGTGGCACGTAACCCGGCGTGTCTTCCAACAATATTGGCGCGAGCCCGCCTATGTGTGGGCCAAGCTGGCTCTAGCTACTGCTGCGTCCTTGTTTATTGGATTCACATTCTTTAAACCCGATAGCACCTTGCAAGGGTTTCAGGATGTTCTCTTTAGTGCCTTTATGCTCACGTCGATTTTCTCGACCTTGGTGCAGCAGTAAGTAGCACTTTGCTTTCTATCAACAGAAATAGGGAACTTGGCTAGACGGTTTTCAGAACACCTTTGAGTCTACCGACCAGGTCCTATTTCAGGCACTTTCTGTCAATGCCGCGCTAATACATATCTAGGATAATGCCGAAATTCGTGGTGCAACGGTCTCTATATGAGGTTAGAGAAAGACCATCCAAGGCTTACTCGTGGGCAGCATTCCTTGTCTCCAACGTCCTTGTCGAGATCCCATACCAGATAGTCGCATCAGTTATTGCTTATGCATGCTACTACTATCCCATATATGGAGCCAATCAGGCCTCCCATCGACAGGGGCTCATGTTACTCTTCGTCATACAATTCTACGTGTTCACCTCCACATTCGCTGCTTTGGTGATCTCCGCACTGCCCGACGCCGAAACAGGCGGTTCCATTGCAACGCTAATGTTCATGATGGCTTTGACCTTCAACGGGGTTATGCAACCGCCTCAGGCCCTGCCAGGCTTCTGGATCTTCATGTACCGGGTGTCGCCACTGACCTACCTGATTGCGGGCATCACGGCAACAGGGTTACATGGACGGGCAATCCAATGTGCCACCGAGGAGATGAGCGTGTTCAACCCTCCCTCCGGCCAAACCTGTGGCGAATACATGTCCCAGTACCTTCAGACCGCAGCGGGCCAACTGTACAACCCCACCGCGACGCAGGGGTGCCAGTACTGCCAGTTGCAAAACGCAGACCAGTATCTCGCTTCCAGCGAAATTTGTAAGCCTCCCTCCCCTTATCCTCTCATCTCACCTCGCCTCACCTCTTTGTATCTATCTATTCCCGCTAACAGCGTTTCATCAAAGACTACGTTCAACGGTGGCGCAATTTCGGTATCGGCTGGGCTTACGTGGGATTCAATATCATGGGCACTGTCGCCTTGTACTACATGTTCCGCGTCAAGCATTACAACCCCACTAGTCTGGTTAGAAGCGTCGTGCAGAGCGCTAAGCTGGTCTGTCGGGTTTTTAAGAGGCGATCGGGAGAGACCCCGAAGGGGAGGGAGGCTGTTAATGGTAGGTTGCTGTAGATAGAGGGTTCGCGGGATATTGGGGCAGGTTTGTCACGGATCATGCCCTGCTTGCTTGCTTGCTCACTTTCGTGCTCGACATGGCTATTTGATGGCTATTATTGTTTATTTTATGAAAGATTTTTTTAACCTGTTAGCATCTTCTTCTTGTCAGCTATACTACGGTTGCATGTACACTAGACAGGATTGCTTTAGTAGCTACCTCGCTGCAATTGCAGATCGCAGATCACGATTGCGAATCCTTTGTGTTGAAGAAACCTACTTCTGATGTATAGACCCGACCCGTAATCTACCTTTGACAGTACAGAAAGGCAGAGAGAGGATGCTTCTCCGATCCATCGTAGAGATAGTAAAACAAACATGCAAACCCTTGGGTCTGTACGTACAGCAGTAAATTGAGAGAAAACCCGATAGAGTAAAGAAAACGGAAAGAAACAACCAACCCAGCATCACATACTACCACAGTGTATCTACACAGTACCTAGGCAGAATGACTTCCCTTCCACCTGCCTTACCCGATAGTTCAAACAAAGGAATAAGAAGACTATCCAGCGAATCAGAAATCGTTCTGCTCCGCACCTCCAGCATCATTGGTCTAGTGGTAGAATTCATCGTTGCCATCGATGAGGCCCGTGTTCGATTCACGGATGATGCAGTATATCTTTTCCTTTTTCTTTTTCTTTTTCGTTTTGCTGTTGGATGGATTGTTTGTTTATGTTGTTTTGTTAGGGATTGTTTTGTATGTAGGGTGGATAGGTAGATGGATAGATAGAAGGATGAAGAAGAAAGGAAGGAAGGAAGGACTCATATAGTTATAATGCCTCGTGCGCAAAGTCCATACATGTTTGCGCCTGGACTGGGGGTGGTTGTGTGGGTGGTTTCAGTTAAGTTACAGCTGAGTTCCTCTAACTATATTGTTAGTTATAATACTGGGTATAGTACAAGATACGCTTATCGTGAACACCGTCTGGGATCCATCCACAGAAGGAAATAATTTTTGTGATATTTTACGAAGTCCCAGTTTGGATGTCCTTTGGTAGGGATGAGTAGAGTAAATAAATAGGGTAGATAGATAGATCTAACTATCTCTTTGAGTCTGATGGATCTCGGGTGTACCTACCGTGTGGAGGCATTATTCTTGGATGAATGAAGGGTGGACGTTATGGATTGAATTTTGATACTATCTATCTATCTATCTATCTAGTACTGGTAGGGCGTGTGGTTTTTGGATACTGGATACTATACTGGACACTGGACTGACTGTCTTGGCAAGGCAGCTTGGCATGGAATAAAAATTGGAAATTAAGATTAGAACCAGAGTAATTGGGTGGGTGGGTCTACCATCGATCTATATTTTGAGGCTTATTTGTAACAAGAACTTAGATTTAAAAATATGGTTGTGGGTGGGGAAGTTTAATATTGTCTATAAAGTGCTATGCAATTCACCTGTGGGTTTGAGATAATATGCTGCGGGAGGCTATTACAGTCATTCATTTATTCATACTCATACTCATATCAATGCTAACTAACACGGTCACGCCTTGTCTGGGATACACCATAACTTAATGTTAATGCGAAGAGGGTGTGAGAGATATGTAGCTTCAAACATGACATGTGCATGTGCATAGACATGGATATTGGAAGATGTGAGGTTACAGACATCGACGGATGAGGTTACATGGGCATACAGGATGAGGATGAGGATGAGGATGAGGGCCGTTCGTAAATGAAAGACGAAATAGTCATTCAGAACAAGTAGAGATAGCTACCACACCTGCGATTAGATGAGATGGGAAGGGAAGGAAATGGAATGAAATGCATGGTCGTTATGTTATCAGATGGGAGAAGAGACACTTCACTTCATTCGTCAAGATTAAACAAAACACTAGCCGGGGTATTATGCAGACCAAATAGAAAAAAGAATAAAAAAAAGATAAGAAAGAAAGAAACATAAAGGCAGGAAGGAACAGTAATCGTATCTCCATAGGACTCGAGTGAGAGGACCATCGCTGTGCAGGGCAAAAATAGGACGAACCGGGGTAATGGAGGGTGGTTGAGGAACCGACAGCGCAGTGCAAGCCAGGAGAGAGAACTTGAGCAGGTTGGGTAGGGTAATAGAGTGCGACTGTGACTGCGACTCAGACCGTCTCCGTATTCGGCGGGCTATATGCAAGCTAACCGATCATCTGCATATGAGGTGTCGTGCCAAAGACAAACCACGTTTTGGGTTCATCGCACGGACTGTCATGGTTCGGATTGCCGGGGGACGACGAGAGCGTTTATTACATGGGCGGGATTCCATCCTTGGTCGGCCAAGGGCACATGCTCTTTGAGGATTCGGCCCAAGTAGGCGAATTTCACACGGTGGCTGCGCGGGATCTGTATGGCAATGTTTGTCAGTCAGGCGGCAAGTCCAAGAAGACGCAAACACGTGCAGGAGGAAGCATGATGACGCACCACCGCCTCTTGCTGCAACTTGCGGGCGATCAGGCCGACATTCACACTCTTCCCGACCGTCAAAACGATATCGGGGCCGTCTCGATCGCTGAGTCGTGCTTTCACCCGGATTAGGTCGCGCTCGCTGGTCTTGCCCTTCTCGTCCCGGCGCCTTTCCGCGTCGTCGGCGATTAGTTCGTCTCCAGATGCTTCGTCTGAGGACAGCTTGCCGTCGTCTGTCTCGAAGTCGTCTTGATCCCCATCCGACCGCACGATGTTCTCCGGATCGCTCACGACGCACTGTGGCAACCGGTACAGGACACCCTGCTCGTCGTAGCAGCCTTGGCAAAGATCGCCCGTGGGCACGGTGACACCGGCAGCGTCGACGATACTCTGGGCGGTTGCGAGATCACCGGCACGCACTAGAGTGATCGCTGCTGACAGGGCCGCCCAGACCTCTGAGCGACCCGTTACCCTCGTTTCGAAGAACTCCGTGCGCTCCTGGTCCAGCTGCGCGCGCGTCCACATGCGTCGCTTGCTATACCAGACATGTCGGCGGATGGGGGCGTTGTAATGCTGGTTGAGCGCGAAGTGCTGTGCTCTGATCCGGGGAGTGCGCGCGGTGGCAGAAGGGGTGTCGGAGGTGAGCGCGTTGCTGGTTGCGACAGCTCGGGGGTGGGATTCCTCGGGGCGGCGTTCTTCGGTGACTACCTGGGCGGCATAGGAAGGGCGGTCATTGGAGCGCGACAGAGACAAGCAGCAACCCTGTATTTCCAAGGAAGTTAGAATCCTGGGTCCCAAGGATGCGGTGTTCAGGCACTCTGTAGAAGGCGGGGAGGATCTGCAGGGATGGGACTAGTAATTTTGTTTGCGGGTGACGCATCACAGTATGCGACTTGGACGGGGAATACAAGGAGGGCGAGAAAGAAGCGATGGGGGTGCGAAGCAGATACAAGGACTCACCATGTTGAAAGAACCGGCTCCATCAGCCAAAGATAGCCGCAAGATCTGACGGAAGTACTGCGAACACCGCAGGGACGCAGTGGGAGAAGATGGAAGAGGGGAGAAGACTGATTCGGAGGGGACAGCGGGGGCTGAGCTTAAGAGGAAGAATAATATGCCGTTGTTGTTCTCAGTGACTGTCAGTCAATGAATGGGTCAATCATCGACCAAGAATCCATCCATTCAGTTATCGCAATTGGTCGTATGACCCGAAGCGGTGGGAACTAAGTCCTAGTGGTGGCTGGGGGGGTGGCTATTGACGTGGAGAGCTGCAGCGCAATGGCATGACGGGGCAGAGAAAGGCACGAGGGCAGATCCTTGAGAGATGGATGGAGGCAGAAGAGAAGACGAAGGAGGAGAAGAGAGAAGGAGAGAGGAGAGAGAGAGAGAGAGAGCACGCGAGGGGAAAGAAAAGGAGGCCGGGCTGGAGAGGAGAGGGGAAGAGGAGGCCAGTGACGTGAGGGGAGATCAGCCCAAGGATGGATGGAGGAGTCGCCGTACCTTAACCCCGTCCAGCAATAATCGAGCGCGATTGGCAATTGACCGCGGGCTTTTGCACCGTCCCCTGTTGTGTGACCAGGCCAGACCGTTCTTTGTGTGTCTGGGCCTGGGAGTGAAGGAGACGAGGGAGATAGACAGACACGTAGGAGGAAGAGGAGAAAGACAGAAAACCCACCACCATTCACTATTTGCGATCTATCTACTACTTATACTCCTGCACTTCCATGCAGCCGGATCAGGTGGATCTCTACAGCAGGAGAAAAAAAAAATAATAGTACAGAAAAACCTTAAAAGTTAGGCGGTCGGGTACGTGGAAAGAAGTGGGACAGTGGGACATCCCAGGCGATCATTACGTATCAGGGCCAATATTGAACTTTAGTCTTTATATAACCACACGGCCCATATGTAGTAGGTATGGTAAAGGTATGTATGTCAGACTCCCCACATATACAACAATCAGCTCATCTCTTCATCATCGTCATCCTCATCGTCACTGCCAAAAATCGCCTTGAACACCGCCTCGCCCGGCCGCTCCGCCTCCAATGCTTCGTTGCGCTCCGGCTCAACCACCACGGGCGCGCGACTGCCAACGTCCGCTGCTTGCGCCGGTGATGCCGAGTCTGCAGCTGCAAGTGAGCCACCGCCAGCTTGGAGCAGGAGTTGGTCCATGATGTCCCGTGAGACCAATTCCTTGGGCCCCGAAGCGGTCTGGTACCCGGCGGACTGGAAGCGCCCCCCGGATGACGAGGCCTCGGCGCGTCCCGATGACTCCCCAGGATCTGCTTGGACGTGGTCTGGAGGCCGGACATTGAACCGTTTGCATAAGAGGCGCGTCGGGTAGAACGAAATACTACTCCGAGTCATCGGGCCGAACATGCCCATCTTGGCGGCTTCCACTGCAGGGTCGTCAGGCTTTGCGGTGGGTTTGCTAAGAAGGGGATCCGTCGACGTGGACGCCTCGTCGGATGACTCTTTGGGCCCGGAAGAGGCAGACGTGAACCGAGACGCCATGACCCCGGACATCGGCTTGAAGACCTCCGCCGCTCGGCTGAATTCGTGCAATTCCGCGACCCATTCATCTGTAGTGGCCCCGGGGACGCGATCTGGCAGGCTGTCGCGGAGTCCAGCTCGTAGCTCGAGGAACGTCCGATAGCGTTGTCGTTTGCCCTGGTCTTCCGAGTACGGCATCCACCCACTGGCCGCTCGTGTCAGGGCCTGCACAGCCACCTGTTTGTCCAGTTTAGGCACCAGATCCCACAAGTCCCTGCGCTTCTGCGTCTCCGAAAGTTCCTGGCCCTTGGGGGCTTTCTCGCTTAGAGCCGGCGGTAGATCGCTTTTGCCCGTCAGTTTCGCGATCCTCGCCCGACCTTCGGGAGTGAGCCAATCGAATATGGACTTTCCAGGAAGTTGTGCTTCCCCCAAAAGCGCAGCTCTAGCCGTCGGGTCCAGGGAAGAGGCTTTCGCTGCTTCTGCCGTAGAGACATAATTTGAGGCGTCTCTCTCGTTGACCGACGTCTTGCTGGAAACCCACCCTTTCGGAATCTCTGGCGGCGCATACTTCTTCTCTTGTGAGGAAATCGAGAGGCTCGCAATTCCCTCGGCCAGCAAAAACCCTTCCAGGGGCAACCGGCCATCGTGACACTTTCGAAACCCGGCAGCACCCTTGGCAGCGATCAATCGCTTGGGTATATAGACCGGTTTGTTGCTTATAAGAGGATTCGACGACCCGGATATTGATTTCGCATCCTCGACCGCTTTCGTCTTCTTTTTCTTCTTCTTGTCCCCTCCGATAGTTCGATTGTACGAGATCTGCGGGCCCATGGAGTATGGATCCTCGTCGTCCGAGCCGGTATCGTTCAATATGCCCACGCCAAACCCTCCCCGACGGGGCTCTTTCGCCTTTGGCTGCTTCGGCTTTCCCGGGGCCATTAACCGCCCGCCAAAAAAGGAATCGATGTCTTCTTCATCAGATGGATTCCCTTTTGTGTGCTGGGCGTCTAGACGGGCCTCCCCTTCGAACCCGATTCCCTTGTGGTCGGTCTTATGAATGAACGCCACCATTGGCGGGTTTTCCGGTGCGAAGAGATACGTTTTGTCCGCTTCTCCGTCGCGTTGTGCCGTGTCGCCGAGGTCAGCTTTTCGTCGTACCTTGGGCCCGATGCCCTGGCCCTCTCTCCACCCCATCTTCTTCAGAAGCTTCACGCCCATTGTCTCCCCGCTGGTTTTGAGAAGGTCCATCCATCCTCCACGGTCGGCATTCGTCGAGCCGAAACCGGAAAACTCGTCGGTCGTTTGGAGTCTCTTGGCCTCTTCCGCCTCGCGAATGTCGTCCTCGTCCATGAAATCCTCTGCTCGTTGTTGCCGGGTGTCCTTGGCGCGGTTCTGCCGCGAGGACACAAAGGTCGCTGGGGTCCATCCTTCCTTCGACCCGACGGTGTTGAAGTACCTGAAGACGGGCCACCTTTAGTGTGCTGTCCAACGCTATCCATGAATCGTGAGCTCACCCGGCACTGAACCCACCGGTGAAGGCGCCATGTAAGCGTTTCCTTCCCCGGTCATCGGTGACCTCCTGCTTCCAAACGGGCGCGTAGGATCCATCGTCCCGGACGCTGTCGTCCAGCGGCGGCAGGGGAGTTCCGTAGAGGGCGTAGGGAGACTGGCGCGCCTGCAGGTCCGCCTCGAAGGCGGCACGGTTCCTTTTGCTCGTCATCGCAGATACGGAGGGGGGCAGCTCAAGCGCGCAGCATGGCTATCGCTGGGGATGACATTGGTCAGTATCTGCATGCAGGGCACGCGGGAGTATTGGTTTGGCGATAGAGGACATACCGTTGTAGCACAAGGGCCCGTATCCGGAGCTAAAAGAGAAAGGAAGTCTGGTGGATGGAACCCAGTGACAAATGTAGGCCTATGGGGTAAGATGGTCCGGACTAGTAACTAGTCAGGCGGACCCTGGACATGTGACGAGGCGGGCTTGGGTTGCGCCCGCACCGCCACGTCTGCGTGTGTGGCTGGAAAATAAGACTTGGTGGTTGAGTTTTTGGTTCAGAGCAGCAGAGAGATTATCAATTCCTCACAATAATATATCTATATCATTGATCGTTCTAGTATCAGACAGATCAGACAGATCTCAGATTCCCAGAGATGACAGGCTGGCTCGCCTCATCCAGATCATCACGTATCTACCTACCGAAATATATATTGATTCCACTCCTCGGTACTTCACAGTCCCATCCGCATCCGCAAAAAACCCACCCCAATCAGCCACGGGGCGGATGACAGGTCCAACAGACAACCCGCAAACGAGGATGGCATCTGATGCGCACCTTGCGACCGAACGTGCTTGGCGGATAATCTGGACTGGTCCGATCAACTTAATTTGGACCGTTCAGCAGGAAATCCGCAGGAAATCCGCAGCGTCAGTAAGATTAATGAGTGAGGACGGCCCTTCGGCCAGCTGATCATGCCCATCCGTGCCCAAAACACCGAAAGTCCGACGTATCAACGGCGGTCGCACTCCACCGTAACGCCCGAAGAGAGAGAGAGGGAAAGGCGGAAGAAGGGAAGGGAAGGCAGCCGGGCAAACTGCAAAGAAACAAGAAAAGCGGGGAGAGGGAATAATGAATCAGTGAGGAGAGAGGGTCAGCCAGTGAGTCAGGTAAAATAATGTTCTTATTATTATTATTATTATGGCTACTGTACTATTGACCCCAGATGAGGGCAGGTGTATTGTTCCTTCCCCTGCGTAACTCAATGCAGCAATACGAGAGGAGGTCGCATGGGCACAATTTCAATTCTGCTCCCACAACAGACTGTAATGGTATAAGAGAAGCAAGCCAAGACTGTTCATTTCCTTTCCCATTTCTTCTTGCTTCCTATCTATCTATCTATACCCAAGACCCAAGACCCAAGCCCCAGAACATAACTAATAACTATACCGTCCCGAACCACCGAACCAAACTTGCCTGCCCCTCTCCTTCCTGTGCCCGTCCCACCGTGTCTCTGGCGGGTGCTATTCCTGGCCAGTCCCCATCCACCGGCCATTGCTGTCTTGTCCGGTCCTGGCCTGGTCTGCCTGCCTTTCTCCGCAGCCGCCATCCCAGCGTCAATTCAGCTCCTCTCCGTCCTCTCCGACTCTTTCCCTCCTGTTCCACTTCCCACCATTTCTCTCGGGATCGCGGATTCCTCCTTCGGCTCTCTCTCGCCCTCCCTCCCTCTATTACACACACACACACACACACATCCCCTCTTCCCCTTCTCCACCCCTTTCACTCTTTTGGCTGTTTGTTTCTCCTATCTAGCCCCCCCCCCCTTTCTGCCTGTTTTCTTCCCGTACATGCGGGTTTCTCGAGCCGTCTGTTGGACCTACTATCCACGTTGGCTGTCGCTTCCCTCGAGCGCTCCGTCAGCCAACGCCATCCCCTCCCCCCCACCCACTCACTCCCCCCCGACCGGCCCTTTGGAGTTAGGACTCCCCTTGGGCTGCCGTCCGCCCTCACGCGAACCGCCCCTCGATTAACAAGCGGTCTTAGGGTGAATGAGGCGCCCTGAATTGTGGTTGGCCCGGAACTCTCCATCAATTTTGTGCCCATCGTGATGTCCACTACTGCTCCCTCCACTGCGTCACCCTCCGTCGTCCGCAGCCAGTCCACATCCTCCCGGCCTCCCTCCCATCGTCCCCCTTCATCTGATCTTCCTCACCGAACCCGAAGTGTTGCGGTCCGTCCCGCGACTGCCTCCCAGCCCTCTCCGCAGCATCACCATCACAGCCAGCCGCAGAATCGCTACTCCCACTCCTACTCCAAGTCCCAGTCCTATGACCGCCGGCCTCCGTCGAATCAAGCCGTGTTCGACAATATCGCCCGTCGGGACTTCGAAGCTGCCAGAGGTGCCCAACCCGTGTCCTCCCGTCGCAGTACCTCGAGAGAGCGTTCCCAGGAGCGCCCCTCCACCTCCTACCGCCCCGACTCATCTTCAGCCCACCACCATCGCACCCTATCGATAAAAGGGCATCAACGAGACAGCATAGACATGGCTACCGCCGGGCCCGTCATGGCGGAAGGTGCGGGACATTCGCAGGCCGCTCCCACCCATCTGCATCCCACCAACTCCAACACCGCCGTCCCATCGAAGCGTCGCACAATGATCACAACCCCGTCGGGTCAGTGGGCCCTGGGCAAAACACTGGGTGCTGGGAGCATGGGAAAAGTCAAGGTGGGGAAAAACATGGATACCGGAGAGCAGGTGAGTGGTCCGTCGTCCCTTGGGGTCTGAAGCAAGTACTGAGTGCGTTTAGGTCGCCGTGAAAATCGTACCCCGGCAGTCAACAGAGGAACACCGCAGCTCGCGCGAGGCCGAGAGAGCAGATCGCTCCAAAGAAATCCGGACCGCCCGCGAAGCAGCCATTGTCAGCCTCGTGAACCATCCTTACATTTGTGGCATGCGGGACGTGGTGCGCACCAACTATCATTGGTATATGCTGTTTGAACTTGTCAATGGGGGGCAGATGCTGGACTACATCATCTCCCACGGCAAGTTAAAAGAGAAGCAAGCCCGTAAGTTCGCTCGTCAAATCGCGAGCGCCCTGGATTATTGCCACCGCAACAGCATCGTGCATCGAGATCTGAAGATCGAAAACATCCTCATTAGTAAGACGGGAGACATCAAGATCATCGACTTTGGCCTGAGCAACCTTTTCTCGCCGAGGAGCCTTCTTAAGACGTTCTGTGGCAGTCTGTATTTCGCCGCCCCGGAATTGCTACAGGCCAGGCAGTATACCGGACCGGAAGTGGACGTGTGGAGTTTTGGGATCGTTCTATATGTGTTGGTCTGCGGGAAAGTACCATTTGACGATCAAAGCATGCCAAAGCTTCACGCGAAGATCAAGCAAGGTTCATTCGAGTACCCTCCAGGACTCACCACAGGTTGGCACTCATTCTTACCTCCTTTCTTGCGATAGTGATACTGATATAGCTTCGTCAGAGTGCCGTCATATAATTTCGAGGATGCTGGTGACCGATCCTAAGCAGCGTGCCACTTTGTCCGAGATCATGAACCATCCATGGATGAACAAAGGCTTCGGTGGGATTCCGGATAACTATCTTCCATACCGTGAACCACTACAGCTCCCCCTCGACCCGGAGGTCATCGAAAAAATGACAGGATTCGACTTTGGCCCAGCGGACTACATTACAACACAACTGACCAAAATAGTCGAATCCGAGGACTATCAACATGCCGTGAAAGCCATGGCTCGCGAACAGCCCGCTCCTAGCCATACCGAGAAGAAGCGCGGTGTGTTCGACTTCTACAAGCGACGAAATTCTGCGAGCAGAGATACGCTGTCCACTCCGTCCGCGGAGGCAGTCCAACTCGGCAATGACCCTATAAACGCCTACAGCCCGCTGCTATCCGTCTACTACCTCGTCAAGGAGAAGCTTGAGAGAGAAAGGGTTGAGTCCAACCCGGGCGCGCTTGGCGTTCCACAGTCGGCCGGGGACTCGATGCTCCAGATGCCGGATCTTCCCGCGCCAGAAGCGGCCCACACCAATCAATACAGTGTGCCGGGTGAGAAGGATACTGGGAGAAGATCTCGCCCGAGAGCAAGGACTCATGGTGATGACGATCTTCAAGACGGCCTCAAAAACCTCCATTTGGGCACGCAAACAGGGCATTCTCCTGCGCCCCCTGCGTCACAGCCGGAGACTCCTGTGAAGAAAGAGAGCACCGCGGCAGGCATTCTGAGGCGGTTCAGCACACGCAGGACCAAAGAACGTAGCCGTGACCCAGAACGTGGGAGAATTGCGAGCCCGCATACGCCGTCACTGAATGTCCAGGCGCCTGCCGATTCAGCCTCGCCTCTGTCTAGAGGATTCAGTGTCAAGAGAACCAGGCGTGCGGACCCATCGCCAACGGCCATCCACACTGGTAGCCAGCCGCAGCAGGATCTCCTCAAGGCCCCAGGATCGGCTGAGCCGGCCTCGCGGTCCAACAAGTTCTTGGAGAGGTCAACAAGTGTGAACTCGGCTGACTATCGGCCTCGTCGCTCCCGCAGAAATGATGCGGATGCAGCGGCCCAGCCACCTCCGACTAGCGGCTCCGATTATGCGAACGTGCAGAAGGAGACTGCTCTTAAAGACCCCAAGTTGAATCGCACTCATACAGCTCGGACAATGTCACTCGGTCATGCTCGCCGTGAAAGCATACAAGCCCGGAGAGCTAGACGGGATGCTACGCGAGAGGCCAACGTCCCTGAGGAGACCGATGCAGATATTTCTGGCGCAGGCACAGCGCTAGAGAGTGCAAACGAAGGAGAGGATCTTTCCAAGCCGGTATACCTCAAGGGTCTCTTCAGTGTTTCGACGACTAGCAGCAAACCCCTTCCCGTCATCCGTTCCGATATCATCCGAGTTCTCAAACAGCTTTCTGTCGAGTACGTCGAAATCAAGGGAGGTTTCAGCTGTCGTCATGCGCCGAGCATCGACTTGGACAAAGTGGTGGATGTCGGGCCTCCAAGCCCGGATCGTCAGGGGCATGTTTCCGGCCATCGTCGCCGCATCAGCTTTGGAGGGTTGTTGAGCCACGAAGAGAGGGAGGAATCACGTCATGCGCCCCGGTCACAGCGCCGAACCAGGGCGCCACCGGATCACAGTTTCGTGACCAACTCGGAAGGATCCGATGAAGACGATGGCTCCCGTGACCACCGCGATAATTTGGTGGTAGGCGAACGGGTCATGGGAGAGACCACGACTCGGGTGCAGAGCGACACGGGAGAGAATATGGTGCTTCGATTTGAGATTCTCATCGTCAAGGTGCCGCTGTTTTCGCTGCATGGCATCCAATTCAAGAAGGTCGCCGGTGGCATGTGGCAATACCGGGAGATGGCCAAGAAAATCCTGGACGCTCTAAGACTCTGAGTGTATTTCGACGGATGGGATCCCAGCATGAGGGTCCAGTATATTTACTCGCGCCGACTAGGTCGGTTCGACCCATGAGCATTTGCATGAGCATCACGTGTTTCTTTTGTCCATTTCTTATGTCAACTTTTCGGTCTGCATTACCACTGAGCTGGCTCATCACTCCAGGTACTGGTTTGTCATGGTGTACATTAGAACCGAGCAAGGACGCATCATGGATTTCAGTCAATTCTTTCCGATTCACATGACTATTGTCCTGTTGTATATTTCTACAGAGTTGTTGTTTCCTATGTCATACCTCGCAAGCCCCATTCCATGGGGCGTGGTGAGTTTACTGCGTAAGGTTATGCCAGGTCGCTGGAAGTTTATATAGGTTGTTGATTGATTGTTCTGATGGTAGTCACTAATCATTACCATCGGCTCATTGGTTATGAACTAATATTACCTTGAACCACCGACGGATACCTAGATGTATAGTAGTCTGAAGTCAAGTAGCTGGGTGCAGCCGTTGATCTGCGTTTCTCGCCATGGGAGTGTTGGCAGGTGCGGTATACATAATCAGGCACCTCGATGTTTACCTTTCATATTGCTACTCCACCACCACCTTACCTTCCTGTATCTCTACCTAGTTATCTACCTCATTCATTCAATAGTAAAAAGAGTTCCATCATCAAGTCAAACCCTTGCATTCGAGGGTCCATTCCAATCCACCAGGGGGTCAGCTCAAAAACTAATCTTATCCATTAATACTTAGATACCTAAATCTGTGTACTATATACTGATGTACTATATCTGGGAGGAGGTGGGAGATATATAATATAATCTGTTCAACTTAGAGTCAAAGACTAGTACTTACTATTATAATTTACTTCACCCTTTGATAATTGATAAGAAGCATAGCACACTGTAGAGTGTTGAGAATAGGTGTTGACTACAAGGTGTTACTGTTGAGTACAGATTCAGAGTGCGATCTAAAGCAATGCCTCTCTGTCCTCTACTGTGTAGGAAGTCAAAGTGTTATACACACATGATCCATCATATATGGACTACTACAGATACACAGACTTTGAATTGACCATTCTGCATATCTAATAAGAGTATATAGTAACCAGATTTCAGAATATAGTCTGTCTGTAGGCTACGTGTAATGCGCATGGATTTAGTCATTTTGTCTGCATGTCTCGGAGACTCTGCCTGTCGCGGGTAGGCTGTAGGCTGTATATGTAAATGTTTGAGGGAAGTGCCGCTCGCACGCGTCTGGACTGCTAGGGACATATCAGGATTTATATACACTTACTATTATTTGTTATCTCTGTGTTTATCTTGGGAAGTTGATATAGGTTATAGCAGATTACAATTTACGCGTCAAATATGAGATAATGAGATAGCCTATAGATACCTGCACAGGCAAATCATATCTATACAGTGGTTCCAGACTCCCATGCAGGTTGCCAGGTACTCTGTAGGCAGATCACATTCACAGGTTGAGGACTTGAGGTGTACCTGGTCTATGCGCAGGCAGGCAGGCAGGCAGGAAGTAAAGAGATTCCATTTGTGACCTTGCCTATAATCTATTTAAGCACCCTGATTAGGAAGACCAAAGACAGAAGAGTCAAAATCATAAATTGTATACGGCAATTGTGACATGTGTGTAGCCATCCAGGTGTGTCTGCAGCAGTCTGAGTCTGTGGGTAGCATGTCTGTCTCTGTAACTTTATGTGTAAGGTACCCCTGAGTCCTGTCGCAAATTGCAATCTAAAAGAACTCAGACTTTTACGACAACATTGATTTAATTTAGATTTGAGGAAAGGCCTTTATATAGAGTCCATAGGACCATCATCTTTAAGCCACAGTAGCAAAGAGCATGTTACATGCATCAAGTACTTCGTCCAGAGTAACATGACGGCTGGCTAGCCAGTTGACTGACCATCGGCGGCGGGGCGACAGGGCAAGCCGGGGGTTGATAGCGCCCGGAGGTTGGAACACCAAGGCCGCGGGGGGGGGGGCCCAGGGGCCTGAAGATGATAACTATCCTGCAGGTAGAACAATAGTAAGCATGGTCCCGCCTCCTGTCTCAGGTTCATGCTCCCTGGCCTTTATATAGAGCATGAGGTCACACAGGGACCAAACTTACTTGAAGTCAGCCTTTTTCTTAAACGGCCTTGCTGTCAATAAGTTGTTTCAGCTCTCAACTCTCAATGGCAGCACAAAAGTCAGAATGAATGCGCGATCACCCTGCAGAACCGATTAGTCATCACCTAAATGCCAAGAAATATCACCTCTCAGGACAGAGAAATACAGAGCAACTTTGAGGCGCTCCCACACCACAACCATGCTAGCTATTTAGAAAATAACTGTTGTATTATAACCACAAGGTCTGAAACTACCCAGAAATCAACTTTCAAGGCCTAAATTGACAAAAGTTCGATTAGTCGCCTGATAAATGCCCCCCAGGCGATTCTGGTGTTTTGACACCTCCTAAAACACCTCGCGGGAGCGAAAGCCAAACAGTTTCCCCGCTAGGTGTCAACAATATGGGCAGACTGGCCAGTTGGCTGCCTAAGGCTCGCCAGTTCGCTGCCTAAGGCTCACCAGTTTGTGGTCTCAGGCCAGTTGGCTGTCTTAGATTATTAGTTGGCAGACTGATAATTCCGAGTTCTGTCTATCCCGCAGCGAAGCAAGAGATCTTACTTTTATTAATTATTCTAGTCTCTATTTAATCACTGGTTCTATTATTCTCGGCCCTGTTCTATTTATATGATTTTTATATGTGTGATAGGATCTACTTGTCAGGGTAGAAAGCCTGTCGACTAGGTAAGGAATCAACCATGAAACACCGTGTATTCGTTTGACAATGACAAAGGTAGCCTATATCCACGAGGTAGACTGATCCTTGAAGGATCAGTAGCTCCTTACAGAGGGATCGGCACCTTATAGGTGCCGGAGAGGTGTAGAACCACTATCGATGACCTCACGACTCTCACAACCACTATAACACGTCATCCCGATGACACGACTCTCACAACCACTATAATACGTCATCCCGATGACCTTTATCCCGATAGCTGGGTTATTCTATCACATCGCGAGAAGTAGAAATAATTTTATAATTATAAAAAATAAATAAAAAGCTTTATATTAGAGAAGATAATCTGACTATTTATAAAATATTTTTTATAAAAACAGACTAGTAAAAAACTAGACCTGCAAAATAAAGAATTTTATTATATTATTAAATAAATAGACTTGCAAGTCTATAAACTAAAGTTATTTATAAAATTATAAGTATATAATATATTTTATATATCACTACTTTATAAATATTATAAAATAGACAAAATAGACTTGTAAGAGTATTTTTTTATAAAAAAAAATAATTATAAATATTATCCAGAGATTTTATTAATCTTGCGGAGTTAAAATAGATTTTTAGAGATTTTAATTAAATAAAAGAATTATTCTAGTAAGAATAATATCTAGAAACCGGCTGTAAATCTATATTATTTATAATTTTATAAAAAGTTTATTCGCGAGTACAGTCTTTATTTAAAAAATAAAAAAAAAAAATAAAATAATAAAATAATAAAAAAAATTATCTGCAAGAATCTCTATCTAATAGCAGCTTGAAATATAAGATATAATAAATATTTATAAAAATAGAGATAGATAGATTAATTACTTAGTTTATAAAAAACAGATCTTATATTTAATTTAAATATAATTATTATATCTCTGTTTATAATTATTATTAATATATATTATAAATATTCTTGAGCCTGAGAGATTATAATATATATTATATATTTAATCAAAGAAAAAAAGCCGATTAGCTCTAGTTATAAAAAAAATTTTATAAAGCTAGGCCCGGATCTTCAGCTGGCAGTAACTACTAAATTTAATAAAAAAAATAGATTATATTATTAACTATATAATCTAATATCTTTTTTAATCAGACAGAGATTGTAATCCTGTTCAGGGAAGAAGATCTGGCAGAATTATTAATATATTCGCGGAGATACTAATAAACTAGTTTACTATAAGTAGATTCATAAACTAAGCCGAAGCCCAGTTCGCGATCCCGGCATCCTGCGGGGCAGATTGATCCCAAACAGACCTGAGTGTGCCCTCGGGAGGAGGGGGTGGCCCATCTACCCGCCGCCCGCGGGTCGCGGGGGGCCGCAGAGATTGGGGGGGGGGGGAGGGGGCCAGAGAGTAGAGAGAGTTGAGAGAGGAAGAAAGAGAAGAGAAAGAGAATTTGAGAAAGATATTCTCTCTCAGAACCCTGAGCCCTGAGCCCCGAGCCCTGATTTATATCTGAATTAGAAATATTATACTATATTTATTACTTAATTATAATTACAGAGATACTTGCAGTATTTACTATCTAATTATAACTACAGAGATCTAAAATATAGTAAATAATAATATAATTACAGCTGTATAGAACAGCCGCGGTGAGTTTATATAAAGTAAATCTTATAAGAAAAAAAAAGAACTATTTTTTTTTTAACTAATTTTTTTACAAAGAAGATTTTATAGCAGAGATTTTAATAATATCTAATTTCTCGCGAATAATAATCTTGGGGGTCAAGATTCTAAGAAGAGAGATAATTATAAGAATAGTAATTCTTATAATTCTTATAATATAATATATCGCGAGAAATACTCACGCTGCGGAGACAGTCTCTCGCGAAGTAATTATACTAGTATAATATATAACTTATAGAATTCTCGCAAATATATCTATCTGCGAGAGAAGCTAGATAGAAGACTAGCGACAATACTTTAAATAATACAGACACTATCTTGACTTCGCGATAGATATACTTTCTTCACACTATCTCAACACGCACTCTTATACAATTGGCTATCAAAAGCACATGAAAACACATGAAATCATATGAAAATCATATGAAAATCATATAAATAGAACAGGGCCGAGAACAATAGAACCAGTGATTGAATAGGGACTAGAATAATTAATAAAAATAAGATCTCTTGCTCCGCTGCGGGATAGGCGGAACTCAGAATTATCAGTCTGCCAACTGATAATCTAAGACAGCCAACTGGCCTGAGGCCGCAAACTGGTGAGCCTTAGGCAGCGAACTGGCGAGCCTTAGGCAGCCAACTGGCGAGCCTTAGGCAGCGAACTGGCCAGTCTGCCCATATTGTTGACAATTTCATATGAGATTTTATTAACCTTGACATGAATCTCTGAAATTAGACTTTAAATACTGTACAAATTCACTATAAATAATCAGTATATCCCAAACATGAAACAACCCAGCCATAAAAACCCCAGTTATTATTATAGATTATAGACTTTAGCGACGCGCTGACTAAGAGAAAACAAAAATTCTCTAAAGAAGTTTAGTGCCTTATTCCTTTTCTGGACAAGTCACAAGCTCCAAATCCCACTTCCAACCTATCACTCTTTGTTCCACTTTTTTCCCCCTACCACCTTCCTACAGTACTTGCCTACCTAGAGGCTAGTTAGAGGCTACTTTACTTTAACCTACGTCTTACCTACTTTACCTACATCACCTTCTTAATTCCGATTTCCTAATTCCTTCCTTCTAGTCTCCCTTTTATCATGATGATGTCTCCATAACACGTCCCGATTTCTAACTGCGCGTGTCATTCTTGCTTTCCCCCTCGTCACGGGCACATCCTATACACAGTCAGCTCTTCTTTTTTTCTTTTTAATTTTTTTTTCTCTTAATTTTTTTGTTCTTTCTACATGCCTGCGGCTGACTGTGTGGATGTCTATTAATTTCAGCGCCATGGTTATTGATCTTACCCTGGACTCGGAGTCCGAGGAACAGGGCCAGAGCCCGGTATGTTAAGTGACTTTTATTTTTGTGGTTTGCGGTTGTTGGGCTTTCTTTGGGGGGTGCCGCGGCGCGGGCATGGCGGTGGTGATGCTTATCTTTACCGCCCTTGCTGGCCTAAATGCCTTTTTGTTTGGGGGTGTTAGTTGCTTGCTATATACTATTTATTGGGCTGCAGAGGGGGGTGTTTTTGTATTTTTTTTTTCAACCGCTATTGGTGGGGTTTACAGTTATGTACTTTTTTCTATTTCTTTGTTTCTTCTAAGTGAGGTCTTAGCTTTCTGCAGTTTCCCTCATTTTCTGGTGGTGTTATTATTGCTGGGAACTTGATGGGTAGGCAGTCAGCTGACCACGCATCATCCAGCACGCGCCTGCGGCATCGGCATCGGCATCGGCCTCGCGCCTGGTATCACCACAACCCAAACTCGAGCCCGCGTCGACTCAGGATTCTTTCAAGTTACCTCCCAAGCCTTCATCTTCACATTCAGTTCAATCGCAGCAGAGTCGCCGACTCAGCAGCAGCTCCTCCGATGTTGTCTCACCTCTCCCCCACCGCCACCGCCCCGTCCCCTCCGTGCCCGCAAAGCGCAAAGCCGAAGATGCGGATTCACTGCTAGCAGCCTTTCGGCCGCATTATTCGCAGGAACCGGCGCGGGCTTCGTCTCATCCCATCCCCTCCAAGCCTGCAATCGCTCGCCCTTCATCCTCCTCCTCATCCAACAGCACCACCAACACCCTCGGCCAGAGAAACAATGTGCGACGAGGGTCGACCCCGCACCAAAAATTCATCGTCACCCGCCGTCGGTCCCTCCAGCTCAGCACCCCGAGTCCCGGCCCTGTTGGCGCCCTTACTCCCCCCAGCGTCGTGATCCCTTCCCCCTCTCGCCGGCAGAGACAAGAGATCGCATCGGCAGAGTACGTCCCTCCCCCCGATACCGTTCCCGACGGGATCTCCGAAAAATACTACCCCATCAACGTGCACCAAAAGCGCGCCAAGAGAGGAAGACACCCGACCCGTCGGACCGCCACTCGCGATGTGATCTCCTTTGCAGTCGAGAATGAAGACGATAATGTTACGGCGCCCAAGATCCTTCAGAAGAAGATCAATACCAAGCTCCACACCACCTTGCAGCGGAAGCTGAAGAAGATCTCCGGACCCGCGGTCACATTTGTCCCCGGTGACGAGCATCTCCTGGCGCAGTTCGCGGCGAATTTTGAGTTTGTCAACTCATATAAGACCCGTCAGGGAGTGACGCCCGTGAGTGAGGAATTCAATGCGGGCTGTGTGTGTGCCATCGCCTGCGATCCGTCGAGATGCCTGTGTCTGAGCAAGGAGGAGGACACGGACGAAATGGTGGTGGGGTATCGCAGAGCCCATGATAACATGCAGATGCTGGTTCTCACGGATGAGTTCCTGAAACGCAAGGCCATGATCTATGAGTGTAGTTCGCGGTGTGGGTGTGACGAGCGCTGCTGGAATCGCGTCGTCCAGAGTGGTCGTACCGTGCGGTTGGAGATCTTCAATACTGGGAATAGAGGATTCGGTATGCCTCCCCCCTCTCTGACCCCTACATCACGTCAGCGTGAAATAAAATTACTGCGATGCTAATTAACCCGCTCAGGCCTCCGATCCCTGGACCTCATCCGCGCAGGCCAATTCATCGACTGCTACCTGGGCGAAGTGATCACAAAGGAAATGGCCGACGTGCGCGAAGAGATCGCCACGTTGCAGAACGGCTCCTCCTACCTCTTCAGCCTGGACTTCCTCATCTCCGAAGACGAGAGCAAGTACGTCGTGGACGGAAACAAGTACGGCGGCCCCACCCGCTTCATGAACCACTCCTGCAACCCGAACTGTCGCATGTTCCCGGTCTCGAGAAACCACGCCGACGAGTACCTGTACGACCTGGCCTTCTTCGCGCTCAAGGACGTGCCCCCCATGACCGAGATGACCTTCGACTACAACCCCGGCTTCGATGAGGCGTCTAAGACGGTCGATCCGAATGCCGTGCAGTGTCTCTGCGGCGAGGCGAATTGTCGTGGTCAGCTGTGGCCGAATCAGCGGAAGGCGAAGGGGATGATCTGATCTGATTCTCATTATGAGTCGGATCATCCGTCTGTCCTCCTTTACTTACCCTACCTACCTTTGACAACATGTCAGTTCTGGTACGGATGCTCTGACTTCATTTCATTCCATTATGATCGCCTGCTTGCATTGCATGGAGTTTGGGGAGTTGAGTTGAGTCCACAAGACTAGCATTGCATTGTCATTGTCGTTGTCATAATTTCAGTTTCAGTTCCAGTGTCACTTTCACCAATTCCTCACATGATATGAGAGAAATAAGAAAGACAAGAGAAAGAGAAAGAGAAGAGGAGGGCGAGGTTCAATCCAATTCCATCCCACAACACAGCGCTATCGCACGTGACTGTGTCATCTTCACTGCTCAATCCTACCTTACATGTATCTATTCCATTCGTTCTTGCACAGCTGGACTCTGTTCCTTTCTTCCTTTCCGTCTTTCTGCTTCACTGACTTTACTTCACTTCACTGCACATGCTACACTACAATAATACCCCGGCGGTGTGTTGATCTGGTCCGGTCATCCGGTCATATCTCTTTCTTTCTTTCTTATTTCCATCTTTTGTTTCATTTGATTTGTTTCAGGCCTGACTCCTGTACTACACTACCTATCTACCTATCTACCTACATACCTACATACCTACATACATACATACACACATACATACATGCAATTAGTTACCCTACCTACGGTACGTGACACGCGACACTCAGGCGGATGATCTTGTTTCTTTTTTTCTGTTGTTGTGCTGTGCTGTGCTGTGCTGTGTGTGTGGTTGGATGGATAGTACGGAGTAGATCTGATCTGGTCTCTGTAATTTCTCTGTCGGTACTCTGTACTGTTTGTTACCTTATAGTATTATTATATCTTAAGATATCTAACTATCATGTAGCCAAGGTATGTAAGTAGGTATATACTATATGTACTGCAGGTAGGTAGGTACGTAGGTAGCCAGCCTAATCCGGACCTACCTGCCTACCTACCTGAAACAAATACAATATGACAGATCGATCGGATCAGATCATACATCCAAGATTGTACTTAGGTAGTCCGTACCTACCTACTAGGTACAGTACTATAAGTAAGTGCCGCAGATGCAGGATGGTGTTCATTTCCCCGATCAACCAATCAAGTAACTACTCCGTAGATTGAATCCAATCGCCATAAACCCAGTACAGCAGCAACATACCATACCATACCTATCTAACAAGGGGCGAAAGGGGAGAAAAAAAAAAGGAAAGAAGGAAAGAAAGAAAGAAAAAAAGAAAAAAAAGGCAAACACTCTAGATAAGTAGATAGGACTAGCTATCTGACGCTAAGATAGAACTTAGAACTCCTAAGGACATAGGTAACCGACCGACCGAGTGACCCAGAACCAACCGAACAGAAACCGAACACCAGATCGAACCCAAGAGTAAAGTAGAAAAAGGCAAACCGAAGTTCAGCCTGACGCGCTCATGAAATAGACATATATCTAGCTGCTGTCCGAGCATCGCATAGCATGGCAGGGCATGGCATGGCATCGCATGCTGGGTATTTGGTAAGTAGATGCGATGGTAAAATAACACTCGACACTGCGATAAATCATCACCATCATCCTCATCCACAACATCAGCCCAGAGAAAGCGAGGGAAGAACAAAAGAAAAAAAAAAACACACAAACAACCGGCTCAACCAGATGACGAACAAAAAAGTAAAAAGCAGAGCGAGCGAGCGAAAGAAAAAAAAAAAAGGGACCACCCTCAAGATAGATAGATCAACCACTCAATCAATGACACCTCGACAACCACAGGCAGAAACGATCGACACCTGAATCTATTCCCAACGCGGCTCAACTCTACCCCCTCCCCTCCATGACCTCAAAGATCCCCCCCATGACAAAGCGCGGCTGCGCAAGCCGGACGAGACCAGAGGAGCGATCCGCCAGGACGTCAATCTCGTCGAGACCCAGCGAGGGCGAGGCGTCCTCAAAAACACTCGCGTCCATACTATCCATGGAAAGGGCGAGTGGGTCCACGGGGCGGGGCTCCATGAGATCTAGGCCCTGGCGTTCGATGGCGTCCTCGCCGCAGCGGGAGCGTTCCTCGCAGAGGGCCATGTCGACCTTTGAGGGGCGACGACGGAGGAGCATGAGGGAGGGGCGGCGGAGGAGCGACGAGTAGGAGTAGGAGGAGAGGCGGCGGAAGGGGCTTTGGCTGCGGCTGGAGGGGGAGGAGGATGTGGTGGTGTTGTAGGTGTTGTGGTGGTGGCTGTGGGTGTTGGTGAGGCTGATGGGGTCGCGGGTAAGACTGAGGCGGCGGTGAAAGTGGTGGTGGCGGGAATTGGGAAATGGTGACGATGTGGGCGACGAGGTGGGACTCGCGGTGGTGGAGCTGAGCGGAGTCGCGGTCGTCGATGTGCTGGATGATGGACCGGGCGGGTGTGAGGAGACGGGCATGGGCATGGCGTAGCAGTCTGTTACGCTGGTGATGGTGGTGTTGTTGCGATCGGGTGAGAAAGAGGTGTGGAGGGAGAGACCGCGCGAGGTGGCCTGGTTGGTGCGCATGGTCGGGGGAGGATTGATGATGGTGGTGATGATGATGATGATGATGATGGTGGTGTTGTTGGATTGAAGATCGGGGACCGGCCCAGTTAGCTTGGTGGTTATGGGTATGGGGACGGAGTCCGAGCGAAAGTGGGATTGAGTGATGGAAAAATGGGTAGATGGATTGGATTGGATTGGATTGGATTGGGTGGGAGTCAAAGGAAGAGGAAGAATCCGGAGTCGAGGCGTCGAGGGTATAGAAGGGTAGATATAGTCTCCGTCTCAGCGGGTGGTGAGACGCCGCCTCAGCAAAGCAAAGCAACGCAAAGCAATGAACGGACAGGTCAAAGGCCGCGGGTAGACAGGTAAGGTTCGCGAGTGGAGAGAGAGAGGCGACGAAAGAGAAGATGATCCGATGGCTCCGATGAAGGGGACAGGATCAGGATCAGGCACAGGCACCGTGACCACCGGAACCAGGAGTTTGACAGGGAGAGAAGAGATAAAAGAGAGAGAGAGAGTTGGTGACGGTGACGATGACGATGACGATGAGAGTGGATTAAAAGCCAGTTGAGTTCTGTTCCGCTGCAAACGGCGCTGGCCACTCGCTCGCTTTTCCCCGTTTCCGATCAACAAAGCAACGCATGCATCGTCGGCTTCTCTTTCTCTCTCTCTCCTTGCTGCCTTGCCTGCCCACCACCTCATCCTTCCTCATCCTCTTTCCCCTTCCCTTTCCCTTTCCCGCCTGAACCATCCGGACCAAGACAGTTAGTTATTTGGTCGTCCCTCACGGTTGCCTGTTCCGGCAATGCCAAGCACCCTCCCCTTCCCCCTCTGCGCCAGGGAGTGACACTACGAGTACGCATGGAAGTAGGAGTTGGCACAGCGAGGTAGTAGTAGTTACTTGATTCCGTCTCTCATTATAACCCTCCCCCGGCCAAACTGTACATCCTGTGTCTGTACACCGGTAACGCATGCCTCCCTCGCTCCGGAATCAATCAAGCAATCAACGCAAATGACTTCTCCCACGCGCCACCGCTATGCAAACAGCATGTCTCTAGCGATCAATCGCATCTAACATCTCATCTAGGTGGCTCTCCCCATCTGGATGGGGAGAGTAAGTATTCGACTTGGTGCCAACCACCAAGGAACAAACAGACAGACAACAACAATAGAAACAGCTAAAAAAAAAGAAGAAAAAAAAAAAAAAAGGGAAAAAGACACTGCGTTTAGATATAGGAGCGTGACCTGGAAAACAACAAGACCATCGCAATGAAGCAGCCAAGGCACGCCAAAAACAGGAGCAAAAAACAAAAAAAAAATGCTACATCCCGAGAATCACTTTTCATCCGGGGACATCATGGCAACATCGCTCGTAGATCAACTTCGCTTGTCATCACCGACTTACTATAGCTCTAGTCTACTCCCCCGATCGACGGCGTTGCGTGAAGCTGCGCCGGATACTCTCACCCCAGGCCGACTCGCCCAGCGACTGCATCACATCGTTGACGTTCATGGCGCTGTTCTCGCGGGAATGTTGCGCCGAGCTGCTCTCGATCACGTCGTGCAGGTCCGGCCCGCTTCCGTACGACGACGTCGTGTTGGCGCGCTCCCGATGAGGAGACAGGGACGGGCTGATGCTCGACCATTCCGTCGAGGGCGAGTGCAGGGCCGAGATGCGGCCCATGGGACTGGTGTCGATGGGCGGCAGTTGGAATCGTGACCCGGGGGCTCCCGTGGGGGAGATCGGGGACAGCATCGGCTGCTGCTGCTGCTGCGGCTGCGGCTGCTGCTGCGAGGACGGGTCTCCTGGTCCGACCAGTGTATCCGCTCTGACTCGCAACCCTTCCGCAGTCGCGGGCTCGTCCTGCGATCCGTCGTCCACGAAGATCTCCGGGACCGAGAACTGAGGCACGCCGCTCATCCGCGCCGACTTCTTATGCTCGATGCGGCGCCGGAACTCGCGAGACCAGTACAGGGTGTCGAAGAAGCCGATCACGGTGTGGCGGCGGATGGTTTCCTCGACCCGCTGGAGTCGCGCCCGTCGTCGGAGGAATTCTTCCAGCCGCAGGCTCTTGCTGTCGCTGATCACGTTGTAATGGGCCAGGATCATGAGGCATGAGTGGAAGGAGATGCCGCGCACAGGGTCCGCGGAGACCAGGACTTCCTCGTAGAACGAATTCAATCGTTGCCGGCGAGTGCGCACGGCCTTGACCGGGATCCGCCGGAGGATTTTGGCCATCTTGTCCAGGTCCAGCCCATCCATCACTCTGCGATGCGCGATCAGCGAGTCTCGCTGGTCGACCCGGCACTCCTCCATGATTTGCCCAATCGTGAACTCGCCATCGTAGATTCGCATCGAGAACACCCCCGAGAGCTCTCCAAGCAGCCGCGGGAATTGTTCTTTGGTGATAAAGCCGGTTCCGTCGGGGTCGTATGTAGCCCACGCATGCTTGAAGCGACGAACATCCTCGCGACTGACCGCGTAGAGCCCGCTGCTTTTCTGATACACGTACGAGAAACTCTCGAAGATCAAGGACGTGAACAGAGACACAAAGAGATACATACTGATGATGTTCCAGGCAATGAATAGACACCGGGCCCAGGGTGCACTACCACAGTCATCGCCGAAGTAATCGCCGTTGTACGTGCAGTATGGTGGTAGCATCGTAGCGTAGTCTTCCATGATCTGGTTCCATCCCTCCCCAGCGCTCATCCGGAAGAGCAGGATGAGCGACCTAGGAATGTCCCGGAAATTGAGGTTGTTGGTCTCTTGGGACCCGAATTTCGTGAGCCCGAACGCTTGGTTCATGGCAATAGCGAACACGAGGAAGAGGACAAACCAGGTCGCGAGGAGGTTCCCGATCGAGGTCAGACTAGCAGCGGCTGTTTTGAACAGTTGATCAAGCTGGTTGTTTCGTGGGATGATGAGCAGGGTGATGGACACAAGGAAGAGCTTGTTCAATTCGTTGATCACTTGGCTCGTCGATGAAAACCTCAAGACCGTGGTGATCAACGTTCCAGTGACCGAGAGAAGCGAATAAATGTCCCACGAGCTGCGGCTGAACCGATGCCAGCCTAACCCGAGAATCCGGATGGCCACATTGGCAATGTAGACGAAGTTGAACACAAAGAACAATATCTCTGCAAAGAGCGAAACCGAGTTAGCAAAGACAACAAAACTGCCGAGCCCTGGAGTTTGACAAACCTCTGACGTGATCCCATTTACCCGGCTCGGGATAGTATTCCAAGACCAGCAGCAAAAGATGGAGCGAGAGAATGAAGGTCACAAATCTTGCCCAATAACCGTGCTTCTTGACGGCGATTCGATAGCACCGCATCCTCCACTCCTGACTCTTCTTATCGAACGACCGTTTCGAAGGAGATATCTGTCGGAGAAGCTTCCTCAATTCTAGCCAGGATCGCTGTTCGGCGGTAAGGTAGGCGACACCAGTCTGCTCCGTGTAGTTGCGCATGAAGACAGACACGAACAGCGTCAAGACGAAGACGGCACCGAGCAAGTTGAAGACGATGAAGAAAATCCCATTGGCCGGCGCCACGTAGTCTTGCGGCTGCATGAAAAGCCCGGTGATAGCCATGGCGCTTTCCTGTACGTCGATCCAACCTTCCTGAGACACGATCTGGAACAATATGAAGAGAGAGTCCCCGAAATTGTCAAAGTCATAGTAGGAATTTTGCGCGGTTCGCGGAGCGAGAACATCCCAATCGTAGGGCGAGCTCTTATACTCGTTGATGCACGCATCCAAGCTTCCCGAGATATCGCCGTCGTTGCACGACATCATTCGACCATTGAAGAGGGTAACTCCGTAGATAGCGAAAGGGATCAGAAAGCTCATCGAAACCGCGGCAGCCTGCCTTGTGGATCAGTTTCTGTATGTGCAGAATATGCATAAGACAACGGACTTACCGAAATGACCTTCCATCCGCCGACAATGATGACCGCATGGAACGTATTCTTTGCACTGTCGCTGACGTTCAAAAGTCGGAGAGCTCTCAGGGCCTTGAAGGCCCCAATCGCCCGGGTGATGCCCCAGTCTGCGTACAAGGATCCACCAACACTGATCCAAAGCGTAATTAAGACAACCCCATCCAGAAAACCCCAAGAGCCACGGAAATATGCATTAGGTGTCCAAAAGAAACCATCCGCAATAACCTTAATGAGCGCTTCGATGGAGAACAAAACCGCGAAGCCCATATCAGTGTATGTGAACCAGTCCCTATTATTCTGGAAGTGGTCTCTCTGATAGATTGGCGTGGTTATACATGCCAGCAGGACCATCGCAACGATGGCCGCATAGATAAAGGCGGAGAACGTGTACCAAACAGGCTTGTAGGGGTCTACACCCTCGACTCGCTGGACTCCGCGCCCAGGCCCCACAATGCGCTGACATAGCTTCCGAACGGGGTGTGCTGGCGGGAACATGAAAAGTGACTTGTTATAGTTTGGGTGTCGCATGAGATACTCGCGCTGAGCTTTTTTCCTTTGCTCCGCAGCAGACACAAACTCCTGAGCCATAGTTCTCGGGTCCAGCTCTTCGAACGCCCGCGAGATCTCCAGCTTGGAATAGAAAGGGTTCTGTTCTTTCCGCATGATTAAAGAGGACAGCTTCGTCCACGTGCGCGAGAAGAAGCCGGGCTGGGCTGTGTCCGCCGTAGCAGTTGTCTCTAGATGCGTGCTGTCTCTCGGCCGGTTCTCCGATATCTCATTCTCGTCGAGGAACTCGTGGACAACAGCATCCTTGAGCAGCATTTCCAACGCCGCTGGGCCATGGTCCAGAGGGTCCTTGTAGCGACTGGAATCCCGTCCCAATTGGAGAATTTTGGAAAGAGACAAATTGCCCTGGGAAGACATGTTGACCTGCTTCTGTTCCAAAAAGGCTTTGACCTGTTGGAGTCGCTTTTCATCTTCTGAGACATCGAAACTTTCCTGGATGACAGCAATGAACATGTTCAGGACAATGAAGCATGAAAAGATGAACCAGATTATCAAGAAAGTTGCCGATATCCAAGCCGTATCGTAGGAATACGTGTAGGTGGTGGCATTGTAGAGAATGGTTGTCCAATTCTCACTCGATAGAAGTTGATACATCCCGAGAAACGAGTTGTAGATATCAGAGAACGTGACGATAATGGTGTCACCGTCGTTGTCCTCCTGGGGTATTTGACCGCGAAAGAGCTGCGTAGCAAAGATAGACGCCAGGAACGTAACAAGGAACACGAAAACGATAAGGTTCAAAAGACCAACTGCATTGCGGAAGACAATCATAATAAGATCCCTGGTCATCTTGAACGCAAGCACGACTCGGTATACTCGCAGAACCTGGAAGAGCGTGAGGACATCGTATGTACGCTCATGCGCCTTGATCGCCGGGATCTGGATGATGCAAGTGCTAACGACAAGCCCCAGATCGACCCAGTTTCGATACTTCCTGTGGAATGAACGCCAGTCAGAGGCAAACCGCAGGACTATCTCAAAAAGGAAGACGAGGGTGACGATTGTTTCAGTGTTGTCAATTAGCTTCTTTCGAGCAAGTCCCATGGAAGAGCTCCTCAGAGCCTGGATGGTAAGGTCGAAGATGATGATGCACACCCAGAACCACTCAGTCTTATCGTAGAGACGTTTAATCGTACTGATCTTGCGAGATGACACGTCCTCCTTGTCAGTTTTGTCGATCTTCTGCGAAGCAAAGGCACTGCGCTGGCTCTCCTCTCGAATGACTTGGAAGGAGTGGGTGATAACCGCAACCAGCAAGTTAACCATCCACAAACTCAGGATAATAAGTCCGCATACGAAGAAAAGAGAGGCCGCGAGGTAGTCACTGTCAGTAGTGTAATACAGAAGGTCAGTGAAGGTGTTCGAGCTCATGAGCACGAACACAAGCTCCAGTGAGTTCAAGATATTATCAAAGCTCACGGTCCCGTTATACGGGTTGGTTCCTTCAACACAGAGAGACCCTACAGGGCAGAGGTACCCCTTCGGACTGGACGAAGTCGGGACGTTGTTTGACTGAATCCACGGCATGCTTTGCCCGGTGCTCGCATTGACATAACCCCCGCAAAATTGTAAGCTGCCATTAGGATCGTTTTGAGTGTAGTTACTTTGACCATCAACGCCAATCCAAACACAGGTTCTTCGAAGACTGGATTTGAAGCTTTGTATGCCAACAATAGCAAACAGAAGCCAAAAGAACCCGATAAGAAACGCCACATGTGTAAGAAGCGGTGCCGCCTTTTTGAGACTCCGGAGGATAACCTGTTTCCATGTTAGTGAACAATGTTGCTTGCAGATAGCACGTTTCCCCTACTTACAGAAGTACCGTTGGTCAGCGCAAGAAGACGAAGAATTCGAAGACAGCTGAGCATGCTAAACACGTAGAGCTGCTGGCGTGTCTCGACTCCATATATAGAGAGAAAAAAGGAGATCCAGTACGAGACTAGAGCGACAAAGTCGAGACGGTTGAAAGAGTGACGGAGAAATGCACGGTGGGCAAGTCTCACACGGCTCTTCTGACGCGGATCATCGGCCAGCTGGCGTTCCAGCTGACGTTCCATCTGATTCAGTCCGCCTGTAAAGGTGCGTAATATGGAGGCTTGGGGTTGTTCCGGAACGACAGAAGGCCTTTTCGTAGAGAATTGCCGCTGCGGTATGATGAGATTCTTTCCTTTCTCGGTTATTGCTTTCCTGAACCCAAGTGATCGGTCTATAGTACTGTACTCAGCAGGATTGATAATGAGCCCGGACACGATGATCTTCGCGATGATTTCAAGTGTATAGAAGATAAAGATAGCAAAATAAGGGTAGTCCATGGGATTGGATCCCCATGTCACCGCTCTTGGATGAGTCCAAACCGAGCGTGAGCCCTCGATAGTCAACAGAATGGTCTGTACAACAATCACGACCAAGATAAACGGCTCCGTAAATGGATGGACCAGGAGATCACACAACCACATCCGTAGAGCGTTTTCCGGACCCAGGAAGCCCAAGGATTTCCCCTTGAGGGGGTTGCTAATGCCGCGCCATGCTTTATTGTCCGATGGCAGTTTCTCTCCGGGAGCGAAACTGTTCAACGAACTGCTCGACGGCGCATCATGCGCGTAATCCGGCAAGGACGGGAGAGACGGCGGCTCCTCCATCCGCGCATTTCGTTGTGATTCCTCCCTCAGGATCGACTGTTCCACCACTTCGGGTTCGTTACTGAGGTTAACGATACGCTGGGACATGGATTTCATCATCGAGCTGGCCCGCAACAAGGCAGATCCAGAAGCCGAGGGCGACAGCGAACGAGACCTGTCCCCCGCATTGCTTGATCCACGGGACCTGCTAATGAAGCCGCCCTCCAGATCATCGCCCAGTCGTGACCCCGGGAGACTGACAGCGGGGAATTGAACGTCATGGGCACCGGTTCCGTCACCATATTGTCTATTGTCCGAGCCCAACGCTCCACTTATCGGCTGAACGTGTCGGATATCCGTCAACGGCGCGGTGTCGGTGTAGCTTTCGGCGTGGGAGGGGCAGCGTTCGGCTCCATCTAGAGGCACGTTGTCGAGGTCGATGCTGGAGGCTGCCCGGCTATGCGTCGGGGAGAGGGCGGCACTGGAGGATGGCTGGAAGCTGAGTCCGACCGAGGACATTGCCTGGGCAAATGCCCCCGGATCTTCGACGGCAGCATCGCCGTGCTCGTTGAGGACCCCACGATGCGGGTGCGCATTGCCCGCCGCATTGGCGGGTTCGACAGGAGAGTCCTCCGCTATCCGTTCATATGTCCGTCCTGTCCGGCCTCTGCCGGTCAAAGATCGTCCCAACCTCGTTGCAACACCGGGGGTGGCGTCGCGTTCATGCTCTGGTATCGACGGACCGGAGAGATCCTGCAAGGGGATAGAGTGTTCGGTCGAGTAGGTATCGTCGTTAATGCCGCGGTCATGGCCATTCGAAGCCATCGTGGGCAGTCTCAGAGGGCTAACCGAATGCAGACATCGCAGACTGTCGAGGAAGGAAGATCAGGAGGGCCGTGAAGCGTCGGGGAGGGCGGAGAAGCAAAGCGCGCTTGGGATAAGAGAGTACCGAGGACGGAGAAACTAAAAAGGGCTTAAGGACTTTGGGTAAGTTTAGCGGTGGCGCGGCGAGCGGAAACGTGGGCAGTGGGAGGTTGGAAGCAGATCCAATCAAGCCAAGCGGCCGTGGAAGGCAGCGGGCATCGATGGGGAAGGGAAAGGAAGCCAAACGTGTCGTCTCCCCGTCGCGGGATCGCAAACGATGGCTATTAATTGCACGAACTTGCGCGGCGGAGCTTTGCCTGGATGCCTGGACTGCGCCAGAGCGGCCAAAAACCGGGGCGGATCCAGCGCCGGCGGCTTCTGTGTGGTCGATTCCAAGCCTTACGGACGGTGTGTCATTCATTCCCTTGCAGTGCCAGTCCCTGACAGGATCCCCCTCTAAATCACTGCACTGCAAGTGCTGTGGTCATTATTGATGTCCTACTCCGTACATCCTGCTGGAACGTCAACAGCTTTCGGAAAGTTTCTCGCTTGCCGTCTGGCGTTCGAAATTAATGCCGACGACGCAGTGCGCCACACCAGAAACACAATCAATCAATCAATCAATCAATCGTGCTGCCTACCAATGCAGGTCCCCACCCACCGCATCCAAAAATAACCCATGACAGTCTCGGTCGCCCAGGAGGGACGAGACATCCACGCCAGGCCGCTAATGGATTTCTAAATCATGGGTGGATAGTTACACAGTACGCAAGTGTTGGCTGACAAAAACTAGGTATAGAGGATAAAGAGAAAAAACAAAATAGAAAAAAAAAAGATTCAAAAAAGAACTGCTAATTTGGCCCAATCAATCGGTCTCCATACGGTTTCCTTGAGCTGAATCCTTGACATGATCCCGAACGCCCTGGAGGAATGCCTCGACAGCATCCCCACCACCCAGTGGAACCCCCCCTCTACGCATAAATCCTCCATTTGCAACCGGAATTCTAAGGGCTTCGCTAATGCTCGGTAATCCGCCATCCCGAATGGCCACCGTCAAACTTGCCAGACTCTGCGCGAATTGAGGCGAATGGAGAACCTTACGAAGGATGTCTTTCTTCTGCGTGAGATCGAGTGACCCCAAGGCCGCTTGAGCGATGTCAGGGTCTTGATCGGCCGCCGCCGCCTCGTCGATGTCGTTGTCCTGCGCCAAGAGGAGCAGCGACGGCGGCAGAAAGTTCAGGAGATTGTCAACGGTCTGGTCGTCCGCAGATTCCAAGAAGGGTAGTGTAGTCGAAGGTAAAAGAAGATCTTGCAGAGTGGTGAAAGGCCTCTCGGGGTCTTGGGACTGCCTCGAGCCTCCTTGCAGGGACTGCAGGAAGCTGCTCACGACAGATGAGGGATCCGAGTCAGCAGCTGCCCTATGAGCCAATGCTAGTTAGCCCGCGTTCACGAGGAATTAAGGTCTCATCATGGCCAAAGCACCCGAGGAAGCAAGTAACCGGGCCAGTATTGTTCAAGACTAGAGACAAAAAAAAAAAACTGTTGAGATATGTACCTACGCTCTTCCACCATCAGCACCACCTTCCCTCGATCCCTGGCCCTCCTCCCGGATATCACCGCCAGTTGCGTCCGGACCTGCGCCTCCGCTGTTGCCTCCATGGTTATGGCTCGGATCATGATCCACACCTTCGACGTCTTCCATTGTTTCGTCGTCATCACCACCGGACGGACCGCCCCGGGGAAGGTTGGCAATCTCATGCTCCACGTCAACCTCTTCGCCCATAAGCAGAGTGTTGACGATCTCTCCCAGCTTGAGATCCCTGGGGCTGAAGTAGCTCAGCTTGCCTCTCTCATGTTGCGTCTTGGACTGCAACCAGAAGAGATACCGCTGGGAGCTGGAGGAGAACTTCAAGACATAGATCCGACCATTGGTAGGAGCCTCTTTCCCGGCGGGCTGGTAGGGGATGAAGGTTCCGTCGGCAGGGACCATTACCAGGTCGAGCTCGGGTTCAGTGTGAGGAGCCGTTCTGGGGCGCCAGCAAAAGTGTACCAGCTCATCTTCGGAGTAGAGGTAGATGTAACCGGGGGTGGAGTTGGGCTTTACGACGGGGGGTTCGCCGGTCTACCATAGCGCCAAAGCAAAGTTAGTGGTGTGATGCACAGACAGACGGGGTGAACAAGGCAATACTGGCTTGACCAAATAGGGTGCCAGCGACCAGGCCATAACTTGGGCATCCGACTCACCTCCAGGTCACAGATACCCGCTTTGAAGGTAATGATCGGAGTTATAGACATGATGAAGGGATGTGATTATGAACAAGATGAATGAGATCCTCGAGAGTATAGACGTCTCCTTCTGGGTTAGATACGATGTGAATCCGCACCGACGTCGGAGGCGGGGAATGGGAGTGTGGGTGGAAGTGGGAGTGGTTGACGACAGAAGCTGATGGAGAGCAGCGATGTACGTCAGTTGCTAGCCGCAATAATGGCCGTGAGCTCGGCTGCGCAGGCGGTGTCTCCGGAGCGCCGAAGGGTTGTCTTGGCGGGCCGGAGTTCCTGCCTGAAGCTGCCTTAGGCCGGCACCACCGCTATCGGGCTATCGCTATCAGTCACCCTCCGAATCGGCACTAGCGTGATTCGGCTAGGGCTCGCGTCCACACAAACTCACACTTTCCCATGCTGGGGCGCAAGTAGCAAGTCACACATCAACTCCAACAACCACCCGCCGTCGACAACCACCACCCTCCCCCTACATTCTTTTCGACCTTCTTCGTCCCCAGCAGCCAATATGTCGGACTCTACTGTTGGCCAGACGAAGCAGTTTGGAAAGGGCCAGAGGACTGTGCCGCACCCGGCTCAGAAGGCCCAGAAATGGTACCCCGTTGATGACGAGACGCAGCCCAAGAAAGTCAGTACCACACACACACACCCCTCGCAAAAGCGGGAAATATACGGAGGAAGGAGATGCGGTTTCACTATGAACAAATGCGACGGTTTGCGCTGGTCATGGGAATTGGGGGAGATCCCCTTTCCCGCCGGAAGTGGGAAACCCACGACCAAGTGTTCGAAGAACCATATATGAAGTTGAAGAGGTTGATAAGGGAATCGCATCTCTTCGCCTTTGTGTCTTCCGAAATTACGAAACTCATTCCCGGTCAGGGAATTGAATTGGAAAACAGACAGTTCTGACAGTCATTGTTTTTTATGCATATAGGTCCGCAAGACTCTGCGTCCCGCCAAGCTCCGTGAGAGCCTCAAGCCCGGTACTGTCCTGATCCTCCTCGCCGGTCGCTTCCGTGGCAAGCGTGTCGTTCTCCTCAAGCACCTCGAGCAGGGTGTTCTGCTCGTGACCGGACCCTTCAAGATCAACGGTGTTCCCCTCCGCCGTGTCAACGCCCGCTACGTGATCGCCACCAGCACCCAGGTTGACATCACCGGTGTTGACGCCCAGACCATCGAGAAGGTCTCCGCTGCCGACTACTTCACCAAGGAGAAGAAGGCTGAGAAGAAGACCGAGGAGGCTTTCTTCAAGCAGGGAGAGAAGCCCGAGGTATGTACACCTATCGTCGGGACTCTCGGGTTGAGAGTTCCCGCAACGTGCGACATGACCGGATACTGATATGGAATCTTCCCCCCCAACAGAAGAAGAAGGTTGCCAGCGCTCGTGCCAGCGACCAGAAGGCCATTGACCAGTCCATCCTGGCCTCCGTCAAGAAGGAGAACTTCCTTGGCAGCTACCTCGCCACCACCTTCAGCCTCCGGAACGGTGACAAGCCCCACGAGATGAAGTGGTAGATGTGTGACGCGGCGGCCGCGGGTTCGGTAATTATTGTGGAGGAATCCTGCGAGGGGCGGCTTAGATTGCAAGGTCGGCATTCCCACTGTGGGAAGCGGTTTGCAGCGCAGGGGGAGCAGCTCATGAAATCTATGTAACTCGATTCTTGGCCTCATGTTTGCTTAGGAATTGCGGTTTTTAATGCGGAAAAAAAGAAGACCGGATGTTATCTTATTTCACGAACAGTTCCCTCCAGCGTGTGGCCGTCTTGCTTTGATAACTGAGCCGAAATGAAAAGAAAAAAAGAAGAATACCTTTCCAGCTGCTGCTCTGTCCCTCTCGGGTGAGGCTGGGAGTCTTTCTCATTCATGTTCACTACGATATCTCTCCAATTTCCAGGTTTGGGCGGAAATCTAAAAATTTGGGAATTCAAGTTTTTTTCTTTTTTTTATAAAAAAACAAACAAACAGCTTTTCCTTTAGGTCCACCATTCCACACGTGCACACACACACACCATGTGCACCTTTCGTATATGAATTGCCTTGTGTTTGTTTTTTCTCGTTGGTAGTTCTATTGACATCCGGACTCTTCGTTGCAACTGCGACTCCGACTGCGACTGCGACTGCGACTGCCCCGGGAACGCCGGTTCCCCACCCCACAAATCACAAATCACATAACAAATTGACCACAGGCCCAGCGCATCCATATCTATTACGCAATACTACTACTAGTCTCCAGAGTCCAGAGTCCAGTCTCCAATCAATCAATCTCCAATTTCCAGTCTCATCTCCAGATCCCCCAACCCCAGAACCACCCAACATGCATCATAAAACATAACCAGCGCGTAACATCATAACCTGACATGACATGACATAACATAACATTACAGCATAGCATCGCATCCATCATCCATCATCCATCATCCCATCATCCACCATGATCTCATACGCATACCAATCAATCAAGATCAATCCGACTGCACCGTCCTCCTCAACCGATGCTGTCTCTGCCTCTTCCTGGCATGCTTCTCAATGGCGTGTTCAACCTTCTCCTCGAACCGTTCGCTCTCCCTCTCCGATTCAGGCAACGGCACCCGAGCCGCCGCCGCCGCCGTCGTACTAGGACTACTACTGGGCCAACTACCAGTAGCACCACCCGGACCTTCATCAAGGGCAATCACCTCCTGGTCAATGGCCTCTTCCTCATCCTCTCCCACCCCAGTCCGAAACATCCAATCCATGACACCCCAGGGACCGAAATTCCCTTCGCCGCGTCTATGCAGATGCATCTCGGTACGGCGCGCAATCCTCCCGAGGAAGAAATCCGTCGGCATCACGGAGTAGCCGGAGAACGCGAAAGTCTCTTCCAGGGAAACAAGCAGCAGGTAGATGGCGTAGGTGACCATGTGGAGGCGGAAGACCGCAGCGGGGATCAGCGTGGGAAAGACGTTGCCGATCAGGTAGGATATAGGGTGGTCGTAGTGGGCTGTAAGGGGGTACGGGGCGCGGAGGGAGTGGTACCAGGATTCGTGGTACTGGGCGACGTGACGTCGGAGGAAGTCTTTCTTGGAGTGGAGCACGTGCCGGTGGATAGTGTATGAGAGGGCCTGTTTGAGTTGATTACACGGTTAGATGCATGGGTCTTGGTTTGTTGTTCATCGCGGTGCGCACGCGCAGCTGTATAGACTCACCTCCCTCGCGGCAAAGACAATGATCAGGTCAATCACGGTGTCCCAAGGCATGGGCACCCTGAATGTGACTCTCAGTGCACTCCGCGTCCTGAAGTAGGCTATCCGGATGGTCTCAATGGTGGCTTGCACTGCAATGCCCAATGCGAGATTGAACAGCGACCATCCTGCAACTTTGAAGTCCTGGAGTCGGATCTTGCTCCGCTTACTTCCTGCCGGGAGGCCGAACTCGCCCTGCGCCTTAAGCACCACGGCTGCTGAAGGCGTGAAGATGTCGAAGAGGAAGAACAGCAGGGACGGGAGGACATAAAACACCAGTCGCACGGCTATAGTGCCGATCAGCTCGACCTTGAAGGGGGAGTGCGACAGAATAAGGGTCGTCCAGGTCATGTAGAAGAAGATCACATTGAGGGTAGTGCTGTAGGACGCGATGGACGGGAGCACAAACAACGCGAGAAACGGGACAGCAAAGACGGAAGTCATGGCGTAGTATAGGCTCTGCCAATGGGTGATACTATATGTCATTGCATTGCATGTGCTTCCAGCCGCACTTTATACATTGGAAGGGACGATAGGCTCAAAGGACTCGCAAAGGTCGAAAGAATAATGGGCCGTGCAATAATAATGCGACGGGCGGCGGCCGCGCGACGTCACGACCCACCCACCTGCCCTAAATCGGATTCTTCTTTGATGGCCCGGCGCCTGTCTCTTTGTTGCATCCAAGCGGATGCTGATGTTGACTCCTCGGATAAAGGAATGAAACAGACGAGTGCCCAAGGGAGCGATGGCTTGGTGGAGGCTCTAGAATGCCGGAATCAAAGAACTGTCGGGTGCCTGCCAAGGGTCGCGTTCTGCCAAGGCGCGTCCTTGTCTGGTACATATTTACTTCAACCCCGCGCTCAGAGCTTACACGTGGGGAGTAGGTAGTAGACATTGGAACAGGGAAGCAATCTAATTAATAAAGCTTTCGTACACGTACATGAGGCTGAAGGACAAACATAAGAATGGCCATAAGAATGAACAAGGGACGCTCAGGGTATCTAAGCCATGCACCAGACAAGACACAAAGCATAACAAGACCACATTTACTTCGACTTCTGGATCGGGCGGGATGGGATGCCGTTCTTCACCCCCCAGTACCAGGCCTGCCTTCGAAGATCAGGGCTCACATGGATGAAGGCCAAGTTACTGAACCAACCGAGGAAGGTATCGCGGATGAAGGAATTCCGTTGGCTGGGGCCAAGGGCTGCCCCCTTCATCACGTCGCCGACGAACATGGTAGTGATCATGTACTCACCCCTCTCAAGAGCCTTGATCGCAATGTTTGCAACCTCTCTCGGGGCCTGGGGCTTGTCGGCAGCCTCCAGCTTCTTGGTGAGCTCGGGCTTCATCTTCTGTTCGTTGTCGAAACCCGGACTGAGGATGCCCATCGGGAAGACCGTGTGCACCTTGACATTGGCAGCTGGAGTCTCGTGTCGATTCTTGGACGAGCGAGAGCCATTGTACATCTCAAGCTCCTGGCTGAGTGTATCAGACAACGAACGGATCGCAGCCTTGGCAGGTGAGTAAGGTGCATAGCCGGCAATAGGCACAAATGCGAGGGTGGAACAAGTGAAAATGAGGTGCCTCGTTGGCGTCGGCCTCTGTTGGCTGGGGCTGATAGGTGCAAGCCACCGCTTCAAGATCGCGTGGGCTGTGTTGGCAGCTGTCCAGTAGACCGTGTCCATCTGGTCTCGCATCGTCTGCACGGATGTTTCGGCGAAGAAGCCAGGATGACAGTATCCTGCACAGCACCACACAATATCGGGAGAATTTCCGTCGTTCCACTCAGTGGCTTCTGCCATGACACGCTCACACTCGGCAGCCTCGGTCAGGTCTGCACTAATGTAGTGGAATCGTTGTCTGTCGACATAGTTTGCCGATCCCTAAGAAATTGTTGGCTGTTGTTGACACAAGAGCATGGCTAGATGCTGTACATACCTTGACGGCCTCGACGGCCTCTTGGAGTCTCGAGGTAGTACGTGCAACGAGCACAATGTTGGCACCCTTCTCGGCGAGTTGGCATGCAACAGACTTGCCCAAGCCCTCAGAGCCTCCCGTAACGACGATGGTCTACAGAACGAACAGGTGTCAGCTCGTGGTCATTGCACAGAAAGAAGGGGGTGAGCTTTACCCTGCCCTCAACGACGAAGCGGTTGCGCGAGAAGCCGAACATCTTGCTAGCTGTGTATAGGAATAGTCCGCAAAGAATGGTATAAATTCCCAATGTCGTGGGAGACGAGTCGTAAAAGACAGTGGGTAACGGTGGATGCATGGAGGAAGAGAGAAGAGGAGAACCGGGAGGAGGAAATCGGTAGTTTATGAGAGGGTCGGGGGTTTCCTGTCCGGGGCAATTGCTCGTTTGGAAGGCGGGTTGCTGGCGGCGCTGGATGGAGAAGGAACGATTGAAGCACCTCGGCCGACCTGCGCGCCCGCATACCATACTTACTTTAGTACTTAGCACTACTGCGATCATAATTCAAACGGTGCAAACCCCGCCTGCCCCGTGCGGTTTAGCGCCATCGGGGCGGTGAGCGACCCGCCCAAAATTTTATTGCGAGACTTTATCGATCCGGTCCGAAAGGATAGCATTCTCTGCCCATTATTCCCATTTCAAGTTCAATCAACAGCCTGTCATGGCTAAGAAAAGAAAGGCCGGCGGTCGCCCTGCGGGCCCCAAGTCAGACAACCACGGTCCCTCCAAGTTCGCCGTCGAGGAGAGATTCGACGATTCCGGGGATGAGTTCCAGGCCGGTCGCGACCAAATCCTGTTGGAAGAGGCGCCAGAGGCAAAGAGACGCCGGAGAGTAATTGAGGAAGGTTGGTTGTACAATAGCATAGACATGTTCCCGATCAGTGTGTCTCTAACTGCAGTTTTACTACAGAGGAAATGTTCCAGCCGTCAGACGAGGAGATTTTGGGCTACGATTCCGCCGAAGACGACGACGATGATCTTGACGAGGACAATATTGAGGAGGACGATGATGACGAGGACGACATGGGACTGAAATCGAAATCCAAGCGCGGTGCCAACCAGGACTCTGATGCATCTGGCGACGAAGAGGACGGTATCGCTGCTTGGGGTTCCTCGAAAAAGGACCTCTACAACGCCGATCAGATCGAGACAGAAGCGGATGCCCTCGAGGAAGAGGAGGAAGCTAAGCGGCTCCAGCAGAAGCATCTGCAGGCAATGAACGAGGAGGATTTCGGCTTCGATGAAACGGAATGGGTCGAATCCGGCAAGGCACAGGATGAGGAGGACAACGGAGTGGTGACCGAAGTGCTTCCCCAGATGGAGATTACGGACGATATGAGCGATGAGGAAAAGATGAAGATCTTGAGGTCAAGATATCCCGAATTCGAGCCGCTATCGAAAGCTTTCACCGATCTTCAGGCTACGCATCAGACCCTCGCCAAGGCCGCTCAGGATTTCAACGCCGACGACGACTCAGACGACGCCCCAGAGTTCGCGCCTGTTGCCGTCATCAAGTTCCGCGCGCTTTCCGCCTACCTTGGCTCCATCAGCATGTACTTCATGCTCTTGACATCCGGCACCGACGCCTCCGGGAAGCCCGCTCCGCTATCACCGGCCGAGTTACGAGCTCATCCAGTCATGGGAACCATAGTCAAGTTCAGAAAACTCTGGGACAATGTCAAAGATATCAGCGAAGCCGAACCGGAGGAGATCTCCCAGGATTCGGATGCTGACTCCGAGGACATTGACGAGATTATGTCGGACGCATCTGAGCCCAAGCAGAAGGCCAAGAAGGGCAAGCAGACGCCAGCCTCCAAGAAGGAGAAGAAGGTCTCGAAAGCGCAGCGCGCAGCCGAGGCCGCCCAAGCCGAGGCGGAAGAACGCAGGGCTGAGAGACTTCGCCAGACTGAAGCCAACCTGGCGGATCTTTCGAAGCTTGTTGCCGCACCAGGCAAGAAGCGCACACAGAAGACTAAGACCGTGGCCAAGGATCTGGACGACTCCGATTTCGGTGATGAGGATGCTCTCACCGCAAAGGAGGCCGAAGAAAAGGCCAACCAGAAGCGGTCTCTCCGTTTCTACACCTCACAGCTTGCACAGAAGGCCAATAAGCGCAGTGCGGCTGGTCGGGACGCTGGTGGTGACGCAGATCTTCCTTACCGGGAGCGCCTGAGGGACCGTCAAGCTCGCTTGAACGCGGAAGCCGAGAAGCGTGGTAAACAGAGGCTGAAGGAGTCGGAGCAACTGGGTGGCGACAGTGACGAAGAGGATCACCGGGTCGCGAATCAACTCAGGGGCGAAGAGAAGTCCGATGACGACGATTACTACGACATGGTCGCGGCTCGTGGCAAGCAGCGCAAGGATGACAAGAAGGCGCGTGCCGATGCTTACGCGGAGGCTGCTCGCGAAGGCGGCCAGGTGGCGATCCACGAAGAGGTCGGACCAGACGGCAAGCGTGCCATCACCTACCAGATCGAGAAGAACAAGGGTCTCGCACCCAAGCGCAGCAAGGACTCCCGCAACCCCCGTGTCAAGAAGAGGAAGAAGTTCGAGGAGAAGAAGAAGAAGCTGGGCAGCATTCGCCAGGTCTACAAGGGCGGTGAAAGCCGTGGTGGATATGGTGGTGAACTTACCGGTATCAAGAAAAACCTGGTCAAGAGTGTCAAGCTCTAGCCTCGGTCTTGCTTCTTACTTTTCCTTTCTTGCCTCGCCTACCGCACTGGAGACATACATTACTGGCGTTCGATGTGTGCAAAAATGGGTCTTTGTGTGTACATATATAATTCTTCTGATGATGATACAAACTTTTGTTTGACTGTGTCCTTCCTACATTTGCGTTCAAAGTAAAAAAAAAAAAAAAACCCTTCTTTTCTTTTTTTTAGTAGTTTATGGATTCAGCTTTCATGAGCTGGTGTTTTTGAAGCGCAGAAAGGAAAACTCGGCAAGTGAACTTCTTCACAACTAACTTAAAGTGCTACCTCCGCGTAGAGATATATAGTGCCCACCCACCACCCGTCATCACCCTGACACATCGAAAAGTTTCATTTCAAGCTCATCCCTCACAGAACTTGAACTCAAGTCAGTCTTTGAGAGATCCCAAGACAGGAATAGTCTTGCCAACTTGTCCTAAAGCGTAGAAAATAGTTAGCCTCTACTCCCGTGCAGGTCATCGGGATTGACCATACAGCTTCCTCCAGCGCCTGTGTCTCTTCGGTAGAAAGCAGGGCACAAGCGGCAATCAGATTCTCGCCACGAGCCGAAAGAGAGGCGATCTCGTCTGCCCGGTCAACAATTGCCTGGCTAATACCATTCATGGCGGCGCAACTATATCGAGTAAGTGTGCGACATACAGCAAGGATGTCTGGTTCTGTGGCAAGACAGGACGTACATTGTTCCATAGCTCCGATTGCTTCGACCTAGACGGAAGCTAAAGTAATGTATATGGCTTAGTGTAAACAAACCCAATAGAAGCATTGTTTCAAAAAGAAAGGAGCGCTGTACTTATAGAGATACGTGATTTGGTCTTCAGCATCGCGCGGGTTGTCGCACACCCGGATCTCCATATGGCCGAGTTGTAACTGTGGACTGGGTTTGAGGAACCCGTTCTCGAGTATCTCGTGGAAGTGTGTTGCGGCGATGACTTTGGGCGCATTCTCCAAACCTAGTAGGTGCTTGAGAACTCCACATGCTAGGCCGATGCCATCTGCGAAGCCAGTTGACTATTAGATTTGTTTGGCTTTTAGAATTGCCAATCCACAAACCGTTTTCGTTGGTTCCTTTCCCGAATTCATCGATCAACAGCAGACTCCGACTGGTCATCTGTTTCAGGTCAAATGATATCTGCTGAAGATCATTCATGAAGGTGCTCTGGATCTAAGGCCGGGGGTGATAGCTTAGAGATTTTGCATAATGAGTCGGTTGTATGTTTTACCTACCTGGGAGACGCTGTCTTGAGTATTCGACTTCACCAAAATCTTGTCGATGATCCCGATCTCTGCGCTTTTAGCTGGAACGAAACTACTAATATTAGTTTTGCGTTCATCGACATATGAAAAGGTTTGACTGGGAATGTACCTTCCGACCTGTGCCAGATAGGCGATCAGTGCGACCTGCAGTACTCATTACTGATGATCCCTGCAACGGAGGAGATACTTACTTGTTTCATGTAGACACTCTTTCCAGAATAGTTTGGTCCTGTCAACAGCAACATACTCGGACCAGATTCCGTATTGGTCTGAGCCAGGATAGCCCCTGACGTCTGACCGAGGGGTTCTGATGGCACTCCCTGCACCTTTCCACTTACAAGAAAGGCATCATTAGGAACATATGATGAGACGGTAAGTTCTTGCAACATGTGTCTTGTTTCACATTAGCTTGACAGGAAGTATTATCTCCCAATGAGCTTACCGGCCACCCTTGATTTTTATGATACCTTCTTGCACCATATTGGGGCGCACCAGATTGTATGAACTTGCAGTTTGGGCCATTGCTAAAAGGCTGATACCATCGATGTAAGATGGATTCAATGGTGTAAGATGGATCATACCTGTCAAGTTGCCCACATATGTCCGACGCTTCTAGAAGCACCTTCTCGTATTGAAGCACTCTTTGAGCGAGATCGTAAACAATCTCAATCTCTTTTTCTAATAGCATGCGTTCAGTCAGAGTTGAACCTCATACGATATGCCAAGGATAGAGGACAAACCGCATATAAGACCGTATATATCGCCTAGCTTGTCATCCATCTCCCTCATCCTGAAATCCTTGAAGTACGCTCTGTTTTCCGTAAGGAACATAAGCTCCCAGTCGTCTTCTGCGCCCCTGTAAGCAGCATCACCCGCCTCGTTCAGCGGAATTGCTATGTTGAATCCGAGTTGAGGAAAATAGATAACATTCACATCTATCTCGGAACTTTCTGGAATGGTCGTGGCAATTTCGATTGCGACCTGCTTCAATAGGCTATTCAGACCGTCATACCTATCTTTCATACGATCGAGTTCCCTATCGATTCCTGGCTTGACGACTGTTCTTCCCTGCTCCTCAGAGCTATCGATGTCGACCTGTAATTTTGAATGCAATGTTCTGCAGATGCGTGAGAAGACTTACTATTTCCTGTATCATCCTTCCAACTCTGAACAATTGAGCTGCTTCAAAGATACGGAGAGCCTGTATCGTGGTCAGTATACATCATGCAGCGATCTCGTCAAAGCTTACTTTGCCATGTAAAGCCAGATTGCTTCCACCGGATGTCTCCCTTAGGGCATCATGGATGTCGATACCGTAAAAAGCAAACTTATAGCACATTAGTGACTGCCATTTGATCGCGCTTCACTCACGACGACATACAGCCAGTAAAGTAGCCCAAACAGTTGTCTTGAAACCCATAATTTTCCCGCTCCCAGTGCTGATTCCTTTCCGAAGATTGACCATCACCTGGCGGAGATTCTTGATATGCTTTAAACCTTTGATCATTTTGTCCAAAGGATTGTAATTGTCTGTTCGAAGATATGTACCAACAAAGGCATGTCGCTCCTTGATGACATCAAGATCCACGCTGGGACGGAGAAACATCTGTTTGAGTCGGTTTCTTCCCTGAGGTGTATATGCGAAGCGTTGGAATAGACCATAAATCGAAAGGCCTTCTTTCGACGAGGATGACCTCCTCCCTGGGCCTTGATTGACCATACTAGGATGAGACTCGGACTCCATTATCTGAAGCGCTAGTAAAGTTCTTCCATTGACGAACCTATTTCATTGTAAGGTCTTTTCCCGGTTAAACTAGAGGAGTAGGCGATTACTCACATAGTCCCAGTCAAACAGAACATTTCAACGAATGACACTCGAAATACGCTATCACTGGACGCTGCGATCGAGGTTTTACGTCTCTGCAGATACGCGAGAAGGGCACCAGCACAGCCGATCGTCACCGTGTTCTCCATCTCAATCGAGGCGGACATATGCAGAAGTTTGCCTTCCTGCAATGTGAGATCCATGCTCTCCGCATCCATTTGTTCATTATCAACCAGCCCATTGTGTGGTACCAAGAACCTGATGCGTTGTTCGTGTCGCGACGATATCTCCAAAGCCACTAGCTTGTTTTTTGCGTTTGCGTAGTTGAATTCTTGGGATGGGCGTACATCGAGTTGGTAGGGAAGATAGGAATGAGTATCTGTAGAGAGGACAAACTCAGCAAACTTCATTTATGAAACTATCATTACATTGTTTCACATACCACTGTCTTGCTCAGTTGCTCGTCTTTCCTGGAGGCTGTTGTGGTCAACACGGGGTGAGATCAAGAGCACGGTAGGCTTAGTTTGAAGAATCACTTCGAGATTGTCAGCTCATTTGACAGGAGTATAACGAGGTAAACCAACAGCTTTCGATAGTCTCCGCCCTGGAGTACCGCAGATCGCCTAGGAGATATAGCTTCTCCTCCTGGGCAGAGTAGTAAGAACATCCCACTGTACCCGATTCTTTCATGTCGATTGCCACCACGACTTGTTCAAGCTCATCATCGATGGATCGTTCATAGAGACTATTCCCAGTCCAAAAATTTCCAGCACTGCTTGAAGCAGGTGGAATTGCTGTCCGAGTGCCTTGGGAACTGAGAAGGCTGTGTGATGTCGGTCGTGGGCAATTGTCGTTGATGAACCGGGCATTAACAGATTGTGGAGTCATGTGTGGGAGATGTGCCGCTCGTTTTCTCTTCCCAGACGACTCCATGGTACATGCAAGAGTGCTCTAGAGGCTTGCATACAGGGAAAGGGGTGCCATGCACTGAGAAAGGTGGTGTCTGAGAAGCTTGCCAGAGCGGCACAGCCCAACCCGGTCAAGTGACATCCAGGATTTACAGAGGTTTGACATTGATCGCCTTAAATCATGGATTATTCTGCAAGTATTATATATATACATATACAAACAGTTGATTTAAAGCATATGGTACATCAGAGATCATGCTATGATACAAACAAAAGTGGAGAGTACAAGTCATAAGGTCATCGTCTTTTTAACGCCCCTGCAAGAATCCAACCAACCGTAGCACCAGATACCCAACAATCCCAAGACAGTCATTCAAGAAGTTTCAGCCTCGGTCGCCTCTGCTGGTCCTGCTACGACGGCAAGGCCACTCTTGTCGGCATTGAAGGTGACGCGAGCAGTTTGTCCAGACGTGACTTCACCACGGATGATCTTGTCGGCCAGCTTGTTGCCAATTTCTTTAGAAATCAAACGATTGAGAGGACGAGCGCCGTACTTGGGATCGTAACCCTTTTCACAGAGCCACTCCTTAATCTCGTTATCAACCTGCAGGGTCATACGTCGATCGTCGAGTCGTGATTGGAGTTCCTTAACTCGAATATCGACGATATCCCTAAGAGCGTCGCGAGACAATCTCTTGAAGATAATAAATTCATCCAGACGATTGAGGAATTCCGGGGCATAGGCAGACTGGACAACATCCATGACAGATTTCTTGATCTCGGGTGAAATTTCATCACTGCCGTTGTCTTTGGAGTGTAGGGAATCGGCGCCTACGAGGATGTCGGCACCCAGGTTCGACGTCAGAACAATTAGAGTATTCCTGAAGTCGACTTTGTGGCCTTGGGAGTCTGTCAGGAATCCTTCGTCGAGCACCTGCAGCAGCAGAGCAGAGATATCGCGATGTGCTTTCTCGAACTCGTCAAAAAGCAGCACTGCGTATGGCTTCCGCCTGACTGCTTCTGTAAGTTGGCCTGCATCATCATAACCGACGTAGCCAGCCGGTGAGCCGATCAGGCGACTGATAGTGTGCTTCTCTTGGAATTCGCTCATATCAAACCGGACGACAGCCGACTCGGTGGAGAACAAGAACTCGGCCATTTTCTTGCAAAGCTCTGTTTTTCCAACACCAGTAGGACCCAGGAACATGAACGAGGCTAGTGGCCGGTTTTCTCCGCTAAGCCCTGCCCGTTGCATGCGAACTGCATCGGCGACCGCGGAGAGTGCCTCATCCTGTCCACGAACAGATTTGCGCAACGTGTCTTCCATTTTGATAAGTTTTTCAACCTCCCCGGCCATGAGTTTGTTGACAGGGATGCCAGTGGTCCGAGATACCACATTTCCTATGTCGTCGGCAGTTACTGAGTCGTGAATCAAATTGTTCTGGCCACTTGTAGCTTGCTCCTCGCCCTCCTTGGGCAGCTTGGCTTCCAGAACCGGGATGGTCGAGTATCTCAGCTCACCGGCTTTCGCGAAATTGCCTTCTCTCTGGGCCTGTTCCAGTTCGAAACGAACACGCTCCAGCTCCTCCTTCGTGCGTTTAAGCTCATCGATTTCAGCCTTTTCCTTTTCCCATGCCTCGGTCAGTTTGGCCGCTTCTTCCTTCTTGGCCTTCAGGTCATCCTGCAGCTTTTCGCGTCTCTCGCGACTACTAACGTCGGTTTCCTTGCGAAGAGACTCCAGTTCAATCTGTATAGTGGTGATGTCACGGTCGAGCTCTCTGATCACGTCAGGCTTCGATTCTTGCTGCAAGCGTAGGGCCGATGCCGCCTCATCAACGAGATCGATCGCCTTGTCCGGAAGGAAACGGTCGGTAATGTAACGGTTGCTGTAAGTTGCCGCAGCTACCAGGGCGCTGTCCGTAATCCGAACACCATGGTGGACTTCGTATTTGTTCTTAATACCACGCAGAATAGAGATCGTAGCAGCTACCGAGGGCTCGCCGACTTGAATGGGCTGGAATCGTCTCGCCAAAGCGACATCCTTTTCAATCAACCTGTACTCGTTCAAAGTTGTAGCGCCGCAGCATTGAAGTTCACCGCGGGACAATGCCGGCTTGAGAAGATTGCTGGCATCGATACTGCCCTCTGCTTTTCCCAACCCAAGCAAGGTGTGGAGCTCATCAACGAAGAGGATCACGCCCCCTTGCGCATCCTCGACTTCTTTGAGAACATTTTTCAAGCGTTCTTCGAAGTCACCCCTGAACTTTGCTCCGGCAATAAGAGAGCCCAGGTCCAAGGAAATGACACGTTTCTCCTTGATGCTTTCGGGGACATCACCCTGAACGATTCTCTGTGCCAGACCATCCATGACAGCTGTTTTACCAGTACCTGCAGCTCCTATGAGAACTGGGTTGTTTTTCGTCCGCCTCGACAACACCTGGATCGTACGATGGATTTCGGCATCTCGTCCGATGACGGGGTCCAGTTTGCCTGCTTTAGCCTTGGCTGTGAGGTCGACACCGTATTGTTCCAACGCTGACTTTTCGGGCTCGCCGCCTAGGTTCATGCGATGCGTGCCTCCGGGAGGATGGGGACGTCCATTGGCATAATTGCGAGCAGGCAGGATCGAGGGACTATGTGTGATATTGCCGTACAAGGATGGCAGCAACCGAGCGCGTGGAAGGGAACGCAGTCCCAGGGACGGTTGAAGGATCCGGTTCGATGACGACAGGGTGGATGGTCGGAGAAGCCGACCCCGAGCGAGTTGCAACCTTGACGACATGGTCGCAGAGGGCAAGAAGAAGATCAATCAATCAAGTCGTACGCTATAGGGCGATTCGCGAGCTCCAGACGCACCTCGACAGGGCCTATATATCCTCTATCTCCGGCTGGCCGTCCGAGTGCCTCGAAGCGTCGCGATGCTTCTCGAAGGCTCCACCGCGCGCGCGACGATAAGTGGCGGAAGCTCCCCCAAAGGCCCAGCAGCTCCGTCACCTTCGGGTCACGTGTTGCGCCGAAAGGAGGGGCGCTGTTAAAATTTGAAAAAATACTTCAGAACACCTTTCCCCCCCTCCTATTTATTCTTCCTCTTCTTCCTCTTTCCTTCCACTCACCACACATCTCTTCACACAATCTTCACAATGGGTTTCACTGATCTTGTTTCCGAGGCCGGCCTCACCGGTATGTCTATTTCCCTTTTTTTCTTCTTCCCCTCTTCCCCTGTCCTATCTGCTCTCAGCAGTAACTAATGGTGCCCCTCAGTTGCCAACAACTACTTGGCCACCAGGAGCTACATTGTTGGGTAAGGCCTACCTTTCGATGATACCCCTCTCTCCCCCTCCTTCCCCCAGCATTCATGTTCCTTGCTTGTATGATGAAAATAAATTGGTCCGTGTTTATGAGGCGGCTTAAGACCCCGCTGCAAGATTACACAACAATTGCGAGCAATCGCGTTTCTGATCACTTGGAAAATCCTTGATGCTTTCTGTCTCTCTTCATTGTGTCTGCACATGCACTCAAGCGATTTTGAACGCACCTAGCTAACATGGTGTACAGCGATGCTCCTTCCCAGGCCGATGCTGTGACCTTCAAGGCCTTCTCCGGTGTCCCCGACGCCGAGAAGTTCCCCCACGCCGCTCGCTGGTACAAGCACATTGCTTCCCTCGAGTCCGAGTTCTCCACCCTCCCCGGTGATGCCTCCAAGGCCTACACTGCTTACGGCCCCGAGTCCGCTGAGCTCCCCACCAACCCCAAGGACAAGCCCGAGGATGATGAGGACGACATGTCCCTCTTCGGCTCCGACGAGGAGGAGGAGGACCCCGAGGTCGTCAAGGAGCGTGAGGCCCGCCTTGCTGAGTACAAGAAGAAGAAGGAGGGCAAGGCCAAGCCCGCCGCCAAGTCCATGGTGACTCTCGATGTTAAGCCTTGGGGTATGTTTTGACCAATCTCTCCTGGTACTTCCACGATACTAACTGTCTGTAGATGATGAGACCAACCTTGAGGAGATGGAGGCCAACGTCCGTGCCATCGAGAAGGACGGTCTCGTCTGGGGTGCTTCCAAGTTCGTTGTCGTTGGCTTCGGTATCAAGAAGCTCCAGATCAACCTTGTCGTTGAGGATGAGAAGGTCTCCCTCGATGAGCTCCAGCAGAACATCGAGGAGGACGAGGACCACGTCCAGTCCACCGATGTTGTAAGTCAAGACTTGATTCTACCTAGCGTCCGTAACGTCACTAACAGATTCCCTCTAGGCCGCTATGATGAAGCTGTAAATGGATTGCTGTTGTTTAATGAAGAGCCACGGTGTGATGGATTATTTTATGTTTTCTCACGGAAATATACTTTCATGAACTTGAATAACCAAAGTCGGCAGGGACTCCCTGTCGCGATGATGAATACCAAAATAAAAATCAAATACCCATTTAATACACTATCTGGAGCACATGTAGCGTTCCCCTCGTAGGATTCGATAAGAAAACCGCGCGAAGTGGCATGAATGGGTCCAATGCGTCTAATGCTGCCCAATCCAAGATCCATCGTTGGGCCAGCGGCGGGGTCGAGGAGGGAAGATCCAGCTAGCATTTGCCAGTACCTAAGCTGTGGCAGGCGGCTCACTGATCTACCACCGTAGAGGTGGCGCATTTTATCTTCGGTGACGACGCAGGAGCCAAGAATAATAATGGATGGATGCAAAGACGTCTCATTCTCTAAAGAACGATGTCAATAAAAGATCTGGCTCTGGCTGTTTTAATACAGTACTATTCAGCCCATGACCCTCCAGTTCCGGCAGAACTCGTGAGCGAGCCTTAGTCCCTTCTCACTCACTCCTCCTCCCCCTCCCCCTCCGTGTCTAGATGACCGATCAAGTAACTGACCTGCTTATGTCTCTCTTTCTCCAAATACCTTTGCCGGGTCATGGAGCTTCCGAGTCCTTCTCACTTATGGGTCCTTTTTGAAACTGCATCCTTTGGATAGCAACCGTACTAGGCGTATAGGACCTTGCTTTGGTCACCTTAGACATGCGGGGTATCCTGGATTATTGGTCCAGACCGACTTTATCTCGACTTCCAATCTCAACATGTTGTTGCCGCTGGCCCTCAGCTGTAAGTTACCGCGATGGCGTGGTCATGTGATGGGAAGTAGTAGTTATGTGATTACAACACGGTGAACTTCACTTCTTCCACAAAATGTACGCACGCAGGGCTTATGGTATATTTCAACCAAAACTTTGCATACCCCCCTTAGTAGTCCGACAACCTGGCTCCTGCAACATCAATGCTATTTACTGGAATTTATCTAATATGAACTGGTTTCGCAGGTGGAGCTCACGACAGGCCCATACAACATCTGTGCCGCCTCAGTTGCACACTAGCCTTGCAACAAATCGTGGATTATCTACAGCAGACTGTGACGAAGATAGCTTGTATTGCTATACAGCTGGTCGATGGATATGGAATGAGAAAGATCAGTTTTCCCGTCGTTATGTCAAATTTGATCTAGCGGAACTCGTCAGGGTCGCAATCCAAGTGACACAGTCCAAGTCCTGTGTCCAAGTGAAGAAACTCCCAGAGGGGAATTTCAGCAAAGTTTTCCTTATGACAATGGATGATAATAAAGAAGTCATTGCAAAACTCCCAAATCCAAATGCCGGTCGTCCACATTTTACCACAGCTAGCGAGGTGGCGACAATGGACTATGTGATAATTGTTCTGTCCTGTATGTCTTGGTGTTACCTTATCTGATATGACCCTAGGTTCGGAATGTACTCAATATCCCCGCCCCAAAAGTGTACGCTTGGAGCTCCTCCGCTGAAACGCCAGCTGGAGCTGAATACATCATCATGGAGCGAAGCCGCGGGGTTGAATTAAGCAAGCTTTGGGATGACATGCCAGGTCCTGACAAACTTCAGATTGTCAAGCAGCTCGTTGGGTTTGAAAAAGCCCTTGTATCCACTCAGTTTCCCATGTATGGAAGCCTGTATTACGCAAAGGATCTTCCAGACGTTCAGCCAAGCCAACTCGTTTATTCTAAGCCCAAGGACAACGGCGTGGATTTTGTCTTTGCGGTTGGTCCTACTACGAACCGAGCATTCTTCGACGATAATAGAGATGCTGTTGATATAAACAGAGGGCCCTGTAAGTGTTTCCCTTCGTTGGCTGGTATACTGGTCTAATGAACACTCGGCGATAGGGACATCGCCCGAAGATTATGTGATTTCTCGGGCTCACCGCGAGTTAATGTGCTTACAATCCTTCTCAAAATTCCCACGCCCACAGGGACTGTTTTACGGACCTGGCCAGTACCAGCCAACCGCTCAATACAAGCAAGAAACACTGCAGGATTACCTCAAAGTTGCCAAAGTTATTATTACCGAAAGACAAAACTCTCTCTAAACCCGTTCTTTGGCATCCCGATCTACACGCGGACAATATCTTTGTGAATCCGGATCAACCAACAGAGATTATTTCTATCATTGACTGGCAGGCTGTGAACTTGTCGCCTCTGTTTCTTCAAGCTCGCCATCCAGCTCTCATTGAATTTGAGGGTCCTATTCCCGAGGGATTGCAATCAATCAGTCTTCCCGATAATTTCGATGAATTAAGCCCAGAGAAACAACTTGAAGCAAAGAAACTTCGCGCTGCGCAGTCCCTTTACAAACTCTACGATATCCAGCTGATTCGAAACTGCCCCGACGTTGCCCACGCGTTGCAATTCAGAGACTCTCTCGCCGGCCAAATCACCGGGTTATCTAGCTCTCTTTTTAGTGACGGGGAGCCAATCGTGCAGGGCATGCTCATGAGACTTCAGGATGAATGGTCGAGCTACATTGGATCATCCATCCCCTGTCCTCTTTCTTTTACGGTAGAGGAGAAAGAACGCCAACGGCAGAACGAGATAAAGTGGTCCAGGGGCGTGGAACTGATGGAGGAGTTTCTTGGGCAAGTTGGTGCATATCGAGGATGGGATGGGTGGGTTAACCATGATAACTACGAATTTTTCAAAGACCGATTCGAACGAGCAAAAGAAGAGTTTTTGGATCGACACTCGGCTACAGAGGAGGAGAGAAGCCAGTGGACGGCAGTGTGGCCGTTCACAAACGGATAATTCTTCTCGTAGTCGTGCTAGCTGTCGTTCTGGAGCTGCTGGTGGATTGGTCCAGTTCTCGACTGAAATATACAACGTCTCAACTCAGCAATAATAAGGCAGCTTTATCCTGCATATAGATGGTTATTCGGCTGCTTTAAAGTGTAAGTCATTAGACACATTAATATGCCACTACTATTCAAGATGTTTGAGAGTACGAAGTATATAGATCAGAGATCAAAGCAAGACAAACATCATCTTTCTACAAATTGCCAGGACCCCATCAACTCCCCTCACGTGACACAGCCACCGCCCCACATGGCAGCCAGCCAGACACTCCGACCGACAGACGTATGGCGCATCCAACAAGCTCCGAGTTGAACCAGCTGCGCAGATCCAACCCCAAGGTCCAGATCTCGTCTCCCGCACCGTCCAGCTAGACCGGAAACCCTCACAATGGGCGTCCTCTCCCGCCTAGTGACGTTCTTCGGCCTCATCCTGCTGGCTCATGCGTACGTTCTAACCAAATCCAAACCCATACCCAGACCCAAACCCACCTCCACCTCCACCACCTCCACATCACCATCACCATCACCATCACCATCATCCAAGCAAAAGAACCCCCCCCTCCAGCTAACAAACCCCTTTTTACAAAATGTACAGAGGCTACTCCGCCCACGAACACACCATCCTCTACAGCAACGCGCGCCTCTCATCCACGACCGCCCTGCCGCTGGACATCGTCATCGAAGCCCTGGTCTCCCTCGTGCTCGTGTCCACGGGCCTCGTCCTGGGCGCGGAGAAGCTGAAGCCGATTAGCTGGAGTGAGTGGGCGGGGCAGATTGAGAGGGAGGGCGGGATGAGGAATCCGTATCGGAGGTTGGAGGAGAGGTACAGTTTCTGGGATGTGAGGGTGAGTTGTTTCCCCCCCTCTCCCCTGTTTTAAGGTGGTGTGGTTTGGGGTGTTGGGTTGGTTTGGTTGGAGGGGTGGGTTCGATGTGGAGGGGAGGGGAGGGGAGGGGATAGGATGGGATATGATGTGGATGGATGCGTGGATGAGTGAGCAAGAATTTGGCTAACTGGGTGATTTGTCTAGGCCAAGCGGAAGGAATTCGCGGATTGGATTCGCGGGGATGATCTGGTGAAGGAGTGATTGTTTCCTTGTCTTTGGGTCTGGGGCTGAGGTTGGGGGTAGTGGGTATAGCATGGCATAGCGTGGCATAGCATGCTAGGGCGGATGGTGGAATGCGCCGGTGTATATTATCTGAGTATGAATGAATGGATATGTTGGTTGATTATACTGGTCCTGGTTGTGGTTGTGGTTGTGGTGTTGGATGCTTGCGCTGTTTCTTCGCTGGGGGTTTATGAGGGGAGTCAAGCCTGGTGCAGGGAACAGTCGAGAGCGTTTAAGCATGGTGGACGGTTCAAGAGACTCACTCGTCTTGGGCGGATTTGTTGACTTGCTCTGCGTACCAGGGCTACATCAGGCGTGAGCTCCTTGTCAGGTGGTTAGTATGGCTTTTCCGGACTGAGAAGTGTTCATCATGCCGCGTTGGATGCGAAAGGGAACAGAGCGAGAGCGACAAAAGGAGGGAGATGTCGGTTATACCGATGCTTCGGCCACGCGGAGTGCTGATTTGCAGACCACCTTTACAAAACACATGCGCCTGCCTCGCCTCCGATATGTCAACCATGATCAGATAGTTACCCTTCAACTCCAAGCCTATGGAATCGATAAGGTAACCCCTCATAAAACACTTTCATCAAAACCGACTCCATCAATCTACAACTACTCTTTCAATCCGCGTCATTCCCATCGGACATCAGATCAGCGATGACGCCGCGAAGCCCATCTTACCAATATAACCAGGACAGCGGTAGCCCGTCCACGCATACAAGGTAGACATTCGCGGCCACCGCGCATATCATTACGCAGGACAATAAACGCATAACATAACCCGGATAAACGCGATCCCATCCCTAACCAACCAACCAACCAACCTCCAAACACCGCAATTCGCAATTCGCAATTCGCAATTCGCAATCAAGTGGACCCCAACCCAAGTAGGAACCATCCGAACCATCTACCAAGTACTCCGTAGATATCTAGTTCTGGAGCCACACACTCGATTCTCCAGGGAGTAGGACGGATCCATTATCCAATGACCGAGGAGCACCGCCACTCTCTATCTATCCGTAGAGAGCAATAATACCTAAGAAGTCGGTTCTTCGACCAGACACAACAATCTTCAAATTTTCAACATTCGCACGAGATGACGCGCGGCTGGCGATTGTTTATCCGGGCCGGGTGGTGAGGTGATATTGCCTGGTACGCTAGTGTAGGGCTTCCCAGACCCAAGAGGAATAACTAATAGATAGACTGAAGTTGAAGGTTGGCAACTGGGCGCGGGTGCGAGGGGCGGTGTAGGTTGGGTAAGTATGTAAGTGCATGGGAATGGTCAATGGTCAATGACCAATGGTTAGTGGTTGGCTCTATACACAGCCTTCGCAGCCTTTCTTTCTCTTTCGTGTTTCCCGAGCTGGACGAACTGGGTTGGATTGTCAGTTGTCAGTCAAGTCAAAATATAGCACTAGCACTTGCTGAGCCTCAATCCTCGTGGTCTTTGAATGACTGATATCTTTGCATGAAGATACGGAGTACTGGGCTCCAGATAAAGGGATATGACTGTTCTTCTTTAACTAAGATAAGTTCTTCATAGTCATACTAGTTATTAGTACAGAGTAGATAGTAGACGCTAGACTCCAGCTTTCCCGCCCCCTCAAATGGCTGGCAAGCCGCAAAGCAAAGCAGAAAGCAGCCCCATAGGGGTCATCAGGACACACCTCAACGCAGAGTCTCAGACACTCACTGACACACTGATACACACAAGCCGGTGGCTCAATTTTGAGTCTCCCCCGTTCTATTTAAGGCGGGCCGTCGAAAACCTTGTGCCGCATTTGCTCGTATCCCCCATGGACGGGACGAAGGAACATGTCCAATAAGGTCGGTAGGTAAGCCTTTTGGTTGGCCCGGGTGGGGGGGCAGGGACTTGATTGATTGGGACAGGCAGACAGACAGACCAGACCAGACGAACAGATGGACAGGACACGACACGACAGGAGAGGAGAGGAGAGGAGAGGAGAGGAGAGAGCCAGCTGGGCGGAAAGGTCAGGCTGGCCAGTCAGCCAGGCGGCGCTGCTCGCGCGCGCCCCGGCTAAGACATATCACGATGACATGACATGATCTGGACGGAGGAGTCTCGCGAGTCACGACTCAGGGACTCCAAGTCGTACGGAATACTCCATAGTTCATTCTGATTTGGGGAATGAAGAGCAAAAGTGTTGATTGGACGGGGGACTACAGAGTAGATATCAGATGGCATGAAAGGATGATGATGATGATGATGATGATGCCCTAAGTGGGTAACGACTACGAAAATCGACCAAGTGCCCTCATTCTCTCTGCCTTTCAGTCTGGCCCCGGTGGGATCGGTGGGCAATAATCGACAATAATGAAGGGGAGAAAAAGCAACCACATCTCTCATAGAGAACTCCGGAGTAGGTACTCCGTACTGTTAGCGAACGACCCCAGTAAACACTCCGCGCAATGTTCCCTTTTGTGGAATTGGACGGAGTACAGAGAAGGTCTCTGCTCCGTATGACTACTTAGTACCTATGTATGTAAGTGAGCCGTATGGGACTGGTGGTGAACCCATATCGATTGGAGATGGATGGGGCGCGCCCATCGTTCATTCCAGTGGTAGTTGCCCAATTTGGTGGCGCTCCACCAGCGTGTGCTACAGGGTCTCAGTATCAATCAACGGGAGATGGAGACTTGAGACAACAAGGGCGGGCGGGATGGGAATGGGGATATGGCTTTGGCTTTGGCACTTGGCAGGGTCGCTTAGCTTAGCCATCGGGCGTCTTTAGCCTGTACCAAGAAATCAACACCGCCCTTGCCCTTGTGCCCGTTTCATTCATGGGGGTGAGGACGAGGTTGCTGGGATGAATGACTACCACAGCTGCGATCAATGATCATTACGATACGGAGGGAGAGACTTTTCCCTTGCATCGAGTGGTGGCAATAAAAAGGCCCGGCTCCGACCTGCCTGCCGACGCTGTAGTTAGTGGTACTAGGGCAGGGCTCTTCGGAGATTTCAATACCCCTGATACACCGCGTACCTTACGGCAGACTGGTCTGGCCGTAGCGCACTGTCTTGCAAGAACATTTTGAATGGTGGAGGGGAAAGTTGGATCGACGCTCTCGGTTTGCATACGTACGCTTCATGTCCTCTGTACCGTACCTACACAACCCACGCGCTTGGCAATTCCCTCCCGGGCTGTCGCGACCATTTTAAACTTTATCATTTATTTTCTTTTTGTTTAATTTTTTTAACCCTTTTCTTTCTGGCGCGCTTGTCTTATTATTGTGATGATGATGATGATGATAATTATTCGAAAGCGGCTATTGATAATGGACAGACCACACTGGTCACCGAGAGACAATCATGGGCGAAAACAGAATTGGACTACGAGTCCCCGCCCTCGTCCCCTCCCCCCTCCTCCCGTCTTTGACCCCATGCAGGGACCGATGGAATCACGTTCTATGGTTGGTGTGAAAACAACCCCGAAACCAGAAAAAAAAAAAAGAAAAAGAAAAAGAAAAAGGCTCGTACATAATGGTCTTACGTAGTCGGGATCAATAGGCAGTGAGATGGCTGGTTAGGATGATGCGTTTGGTTGGTTTGTTACGTGGACAACAGCACCCTAGCAGCAAAAGGTGGCAGGAAAAAGAGGCGTTGCCAATGGAGAGGAGAGGCAACGCGGTGGTTAAATACTTATAGTAGGTTAGTTACGGAGTCCTGTGGTTGGGAGGCACCACTAGACTACTTGACTACTGCGTAGATACAGCATCTCACCACCACAACCACCACCACCATGGCGTGGCCTCCATGGCGACTCCGTCGTCTCCGTCGGAGTATTCCGTACGGGTGGCTTGGATAGTCGACTGGCCATGGAGGGCTAGACTGAGTGGGAGATTCGGGCGATAAATGGCGTGGCTGGATCGAGGGCAGGGCAAGGCAAGGCAAGGCATTCGTTCATTCTGGGGAGAGGGTTGAAGGGCATGCCTGCCTCGTACTACTTTGATTACACAAGTACTGTGACTAGTTGAAGGCTTGAAGCCTTTTTGTGGGTCCCATGGTGCGCATGCCATTGCTATTGCCATTTGCCCATTTGCCCATTTGCCCATTTGCCCATTATTGCCCTACTGATGGGTGATGTGTTACGAGTCTGACGATTGCGATCTAAGTAGTGGTGTGTCACCAGACTGTCACCAAGGGTCGGGCACCGCAGGAAGCTTAACCCTCAACAGAAGTGGATAGAATTGAAAGAGTGAGGAGAGCCTGAGAGGACCCAGGGGCACTGGGTAGTATCTACTGGGATGTCAATGCTTGGTGTTGCTTTTCTGTTTCCCTTTTTGTTTTTTTTCCCCTCTTTTTCTCTTTGTTTTCTCTTCCCTGTCCCATCACAGTAGTATTCACCCGCCTTGGCCCTTTGTAGATCTATAGGCCCCGGCTGTTATTGGCGGGGAGGCCGCAGCCAGTGGATCGCGGCCGCTGACGCTGTGCCCCGATGGCCTGCCAAAAATAGCAGAGGCATACGCAAACCTCCCGCAAACCGCCTCCCAATTTCCTGCGGAGGAGACATCTGAATGCTGACTAACAGGCCTATTTCTGACTTTCTCCCGTCTCTGCGTGACTCGGGGAGAGGCTAGTACGACTTTAGGCGTTTTAGTCTCGCCATCTGGTGATGAGGGTTGCGAGCACGGTGAGACTCGCCGTCCCGCCTCTCTCTGAGCCACGGCCGGGCGACTGAAAATGGAGGAGGCCCTTGGGCCGGTGCAGGTGGATCCCTCCCTCCATTCACATTGATATTTGATTGCCACTAGGAGGGGGTGCAGACAGGGCTGATGGGGTCGGGGACGGGGAGGGATGGCACTGTGTGCGTGTGTGAGGGAGGGAGTGTCTGGCCTGGACGGACTCTATTTAAAGGATCGCCCTGCGCCTGTCAGCGCGGCGTCCCTTTTCCCTCCCCAAGTGATATAAAGTACTCCCCCACGGTCGTTCATCGAACTCCCAACTTTCGCTTCACCTCTACCTCTATCTCTACCTCCCAACCTCCCACCTTCACACTCGCTTGTGCTAGTCTACAGATCGCCTTCGCAGCCATCTACCCGATTATCCACATCTAGACTACCTCTGTCGCTACTATCAACATGCGTTCCTCCATCCTCCTCGTCGCTTTCTCGGCTCTCGTCGCCGCCCAGTCCTCCGTCGCGGTGGTAAGCACTCCCGACTCCAAGCCCATGGGTCGTCGGATCCCTCTGGAGGATAGCAAGCTAACATCGATGCAGCCCCAAGCTTCGGCTGCCGTCACCTCGGCCCCGGTCATCCCCACGGCGCCCACCCAGGGCTCTCTCCCCGCTGGCCCCTCCAGCTTCCTCGTCGGATCCAGCGGTGCCTCCTCCCTGGTGAAGTCCAAGAGCGCCTCCGCCACCTCGACCAAGACCTCGACCAAGACCTCCTCGGACTCGTCCACCTCCACTAGCGACTCCTCGTCCTCTACCAAGAGCTCCAGCTCCAGCACCTCCTCCGGCGCCGGTGTTCCCCTCGCCACCGTCGGCCCGGTCGGCCTGTCCGTCGTGGCTGGCGCTGCCCTGGCTGCTTTCCTGTAAATGGAGAGTGCCATCTTCCAACCCGTGCCGGAACGGCATCGAGTCTCGACCACCACAAACCCCCATGACGGGGGAACAGCAGATACCCCCTGGCGATCGATCGACCGTACCGTTCTGGACCGCGAAAGAGAAGCAGAGCTACGGCTATGAGGGATATGGACGTTCTGCAGTTCGCTTCTTCTGACTGAAATATGTAACATTGCTGGGAAGGCTTTTCTTTTTGCTCCCTCCTTTCAAGGTCACCGCTTGTTCACCAGATCCTTTTTAACTGCGGCGCACATATGAGCTTTCTTTTCTCTAGTAATTTTTAATCACTTAATGAGGACATGGTAAATATACAGGGACTTCCGGCATGTGAGAGCCCACTTCACTTTTTAAGCTTATCCAATTTCACCTATCACTTAAACAAATATCCCGTTGGGGTATGGTAGGATCGGTGATAAAGGGATCCATCGATCGTATCCCTTTCTTCAATGAACCCCTTTGGACCCAGCAAAACCTACGTAACTTGTAAGACGATAGATATTTCCAGAGTAACGAACTAGAACCCTGACAAGTGAAGTTCATTTAGGGAACAGACACAGACCCATTTCCCCCCTGTATACCCCAGGTTTAGGGGGCCATTACTGTCAAAGCATCGATAGTCACCACTAGCCTACCCCATCGCGCCCTTCCCAATCCGGAAGCCACTCATTACCTTTCCCAAAACGCGCGACGAGACGCGCCGATGCACGTGACCTACCCGCGCGTTGCTTGGTTCCGGACGGGGCCTAGTGCCGGCCACCTCACATCATCAAAACAAAGAGCGGGCAACAACGGCGTCGGGGGCAACGGAATTGGACCGAGCCATCTATCGAGTTTTGCGCGATCTATGCCCAGGCATCTGAACCGGAGTATCTCGATTCACTTGGCTGTTCCCCGCATTGGTTGCGTTTCAAGAACCACAAGACTCGGAATAGACAGACGAAGCACTGGATGCACCCCCAGAGATCACCGCTAGTCCTTCGAACACTTTCAGCCTCATCTTTGAGGTTCTCCTGACTCGGGAAACACAATCAGTATGGTGAGTAGCCCACTCAATTGAATCCGAGCCTTCCCTTCTGGTCTATAGTCATGCTAACCATCCGGACTTCAACCCGTAGGTGTCCTCTCTACGACGTCTGGCCGCGGACCACGCAGGGCTACACGAGGAACTCCCTCCCAACTACATCTTCCCCTCCGACGACGCAGACGACCTGACGCAGCTCACAACCCTCCTGGCTGGACCACAGGGTACACCATACTCGCAGGGATTATGGCGACTACATCTGAAAATGCCGGAGGACTACCCCAAGAGCCCACCGAAGGCAACGTTCAAGACTCGGATATGGCATCCTAATGTGGAGGAATCGACCGGGGCTGTTTGCGTGGACACGTTGAAGCGAGACTGGAAGTCCAATCTGACCCTGAAGGATGTTCTGGTCGTGAGTACCACCCTCCCCTCCCCTCCCCTCGCCCCAGACATGATCTGACAAAAGACGACCACCATTAGACAATCTCTTGCCTTCTCATCTACCCCAACCCCGACTCCGCACTGAATTCCGCCGCCGGCGCCCTTCTTCAAGAGAACTACGATGCCTTTGCCCGTCAAGCACGACTCATGACCTCCATCCACGCCGCAGTTCCACCAGAGCTCGCCTCCGCCGTGTCCGATGCAAAAACCAGAGGCGAAGACGCCGGGACGATCATCCCCGAAGAACGGGAGGACCCTCGCGCTCTGCGATCACAAAGGGGTGCCAGAATCGCCTCAGTGACGATGAAGAAGCGCACCACCCGGAGGAACAACAGCGAAGAGAGCTCAGGTTCACGATCCCAACAACCCGGCCCATCCATCCGACAACAACAACACCATCATCAACATCAACTCCCAGAAGAAACCCAATCTCAACCTCACCTCCACCCCCTCGACACAACCATCTCTGACGACGAATCCGAATCCGAAACCTCCACCAACGCAAGCAAAGAAAACGACCCTTCCCTCTCCCTCTCCCCCTCCCCAATCCGACTCACCGCGCCCAGCGTCCGCAAAAACGCCCACGGAAAACGCCCCCTCTCCGTCCTAACGATGCCCACGGGCTTCGACGACCCCTTCAAAATGGACACAGACGACATGATGATGACCGCCGCCGACGGCATGTCCGCCTCGGAGAAGAACATCGCCGCAAACTACCCGGACGATCGGGATCCTTCCCCGCAGCGCAAATCCCCCAAACTCTCCGTCCTCAACAAGGGCATCAACTCCTCCGGACGCACCCGCGACGACCTCCAGATCTTCGAAGACGAACCCGACCCGTCCCCCGATGGCGCCTTCGCCCGTCGCCGCAGCGGAGACGGCAAGGAGAACCCGCGTTCCCTGCCTGAGCTGAAAGACACAACGGATCCCGCCCTCCGCGCTTCCCACCCCAGCAACCCTCCTACCGTCCTCACTCCGTCCGCGTCGACCTCCGCCCCGTCACACTTGAGACAGACAAAGCTGGTCACGGGTCTGAGGAAAGTGACCGCGTCGAAAGCCAAGAAGGCAAAGCCTCGCATTGGTATTCGCAGACTGTGAATCATTTCCATGCACTTACTTACTTTACTCACTTACTCTCCTCCACCCTTTCGTTTCGCAGTATTTACTTACCTACTGCATCATCCACATTCTCACCTGTATCTTGTTCTTCTCCTCACCCTCACACTCTCCTCACCCCCCGTCTTCTCTTCCTTCCCCTCTACGATTTACCATATTAATACCCTCCCATGCCCATACCCATAGCCAAATCCATACCCGTACCCCCATTCCCCAAGAGAAACAGATACAAGGACAAAGAGAATGAAATACCCCCCCCCCCCCCCTCTCTAAACCCCCAAATTTCCCACAACAAGAGCGGCGTTCCCATGCAGAGAAAAAAAGGTTACTTTGATGGATGATGGATGGATACTTGAACAGAGGGACGGACGGAATTGGTCGTTTTTTTCACCAAGCATAGCGTCACGAAATGACTTACATTTAACATTTCAGGGTGTGCGTGCGTGCGTCTTCTGGGTTTGGGTTCTTGCATATTCCATATTCCATATTCCATGGCCATGGCGTACATACATATCTGCTTTTCCATGTTGATTTCAGGGAGCATGCGCGGTTGGACTGGTCGGTCAGTCACTGGATCTGGATTTGGAGTCGGGCTGGGTTGTTTGTTGATTGCATTACATGCCTACCACCTATCTACCAACATAGGCATGACTAGCAATTGATGAGAATTATTTCTCTAACGAACGTACTATTTTGAGAAAGTAACTAGTATGACCGTTCGGAAAGTAGTACATTGGGTCGCACACTTTGGTATAGGAGAGACAGCACAGTCAAGCTGGATTTCATCTATGCTACAAGCCTAGTCGTCATCCGGAACCATCTTAATAATGAGCTATGCAAATATCTAGAGTGAATAGACAAATTTTCCCCGAGGCAAACCCCGCAATTGACGTCCCATCACTAGTAACTATTGATAGAACCGCGTCTTCACGTCTCATCTGCTTTTATCCCCGGCTTCATCACCCGGGAATCTCTGGGTCTCAAAGTTCGAGTATCTCACGAAAGACCAGTACACTCCACTGTTTGCGCCAGGGACTTCTCCATGGTACTACATTGCAGAACCGATCTCGGAATAGCTCCGAACCAGCGATCCACCATTCTGATCTGGGAGGGATTCAACGATTATAAGGAAATAGAAAAACACGCTAAGCTGATTAAGCAATAATATCGCAAAGGAGAAGGGCTTCGTTGTTATGTGCGTGGACCAGTAGAGGGGATAACGGATAAATTCGAACTGCATGGTCACCATCATACAACCACCCTGATAATTCGCCAAGGAAAGACCAAAATTCATATTGTAAACATGTAGAACACATCCGAAGAAGTGAATTTCCTTCTGGTCCCTTTACAGCGCATAGGGATTGACCGAGCGAATAGTGAGGCACCTGCAAGCGCATGTTAGCTGCTGGAACGGACAAACACAGGCGAGAAAATGATGATCGAAAGGATACTTACGGAGGGCTCTTGCTCAAATCGGTCTTCAAGATGATAGGGACACGGGTCATCTCGGTGACGTCCTGGATATACTCGCCATCCTCTTCCCGGAGCTTGAACAGCCGCAGGTACTTCTCCTTGTTCGTCAACTTGGCCTCGGGAGCGTCGCCGCTGATCGTCGCAATCTTCGGATCAGAGCGCGTGCGGTGGGGCGCTTGCTGGAGATGACCGTTGCGAGTGGGCGACGGGGGCATGCTCTGGGTCGAGCGGTCGGCAGACGAGTTCAAAGACACGCCCGCAGCCATCTCGGTAACTTCGGAGACATCGTCATCGTCGTCAAACAGGGCATCCACATCATCAGCAGACATGGTGCCAGTCTCAGTCTGTCTGCGCATGGCCTCCTCGCGCTCGCGGGCACGTTCTCTGGCAGCTTCTGCTTCGCGCGCAGCCGCGGCAGCCTGGGCAGCACGGGAGTTCCCGGGCTTCGGCCGCTCGTCTTCAGGAATGTAAGCGGACGACGGCACACCCTTCTCCCAGTAAAGCTCCAGCACACGTGAGTCCTTGCGGTACTCAGCCTTCTTCAAGGGCAGCTGATCGCAGTGGACACGCTTCTCGAAGCCGTACTCCGGGATGAGAACGTCGAAAGCGGACTCGTAGACGCAGATCACGATACCCTCGCTGATGAGGTCACCACCAAGCTCCTGTCGCTCCTTGTCCATATTCCTGCATGCTTCGATATGGACGCTTTGCTCCTGAGCATTGTGCGCGGAATCCTTCTTGTTGTTGCACAAATCTGCGGTCTTGTTCAGAGACTCCAGGTCGTCTGAGAATTCGATCGCGCCGTTCGACAGAACAGCTTCCAACTGGCGATGAACCATGATGTCCGCATACCGGCGAGAGGGGTTCGTGAAATGAGTATACACGGGCAGGTTGAGGGTGTAATGCACACGCTCGTCTTGCACGCTGCTAGCGACAAAGTACTTCGCACGCTGCATAGCTTTCATAAGAATCGTTTCCATTCCCTGCAATAGCTGTTAGCTGGGGGATGACCGTAAATACGGGCTTCTGACTTGAAACTGACCTTACGCAGCTCGTCATCCTGGACATTGCAGAGGCTGCTCTGCAGAGTTCCACTGCTAGCGGGGTCCAGCTCAAAGCCAAGTCTGTTCATACGCTCAACAAGGAGGTGAAGGCGACGCGAGCTTGGCGGCAACTGGCGGCGCAGGAAGGCCTTCTCAGGCAAAGCAGTGACCAGTTTACGGGCAACCAAGAAGTTAGCCTTGTAGCTCAACTCCTCCACGAGTTCCCGAACAGGGGAAGAGTCGAAAATGTTGTTCTCAACCGGCACATTCTCGTCATCCAGCTGATGCAACAGGCGAAGAGGGGGGATGTTGGAAGCCCGGTTACCCAGCCTTGCCTCTCTGAACTTGGACGAAATAGCCTGAAGATTACCCATGTTAGCATGTACAGGCCAGATGTGCTGCCACACCTAATGCTGAGAATGACTTACGTAGAGAGCTCTGACAAGATCGGTGGGGACTCCAGGAGCGGCGAGATTGGAGGTACCCTGAATCGCGGCATCAACCTCTTCATAGCTGAGTTTGCCGGAGCTCTTGATGATGGCCTTACCGATCCAGACGTCATCATCAATGGCACCGGTCTCAGGGTTGGCCTTGAAAACAACACTGACGGTAAAACGATCCTCTCCCGGAAGGAGGGCGCACAGCTCAGTGGAGACACGGGGGGGCAGCATGTTCACGAGGCGGTCCACGAGATAAACAGCAGTGCCCCGCTTCTTGGCTTCGCGGTCAACCAGAGAGTTGCCCTTGACAAAGTGGGCAATGTCGGTAACGTGGATGCCGACTTCGACCTTTCCATCGTCGAGAGGCTTGAAGTGGAACGCATTGTCGAGCTCCTTGGTAGCGCCCGGGTTAATGGTGAACGTAGTCTCTTGGCGGTAATCACGGCGAGAAGTCAAAACGGCGTCGCCCTCGCTGGAAACGGACCAGTCCTCCCAGCCAATGCTCTTGAGGACAGCATCAGAGAACTCGTCGGAGCCAAAGTTGTTATCACGCAGAAGAGCTTCGGTTTCCACCCTCAGGTCACCCATTTCACCGAGCTGCTCAACAAGGGTACCGAATGGGTGGAGGGAGGTAATGGGCCACCGCTTGATGCACGCAACAAAAATGCGGTTCGCGTAATCCTGGTGCTTCTCAACGAAGTCCCGAGGAGCCTGTTCTGTGGGAATAGCAATCAAAGGAACACGCTTGTCGGTAGGCTTGAACCAGACAATCTTGGGTTTATCCTGCTGGCGGTCCTGCTGCTGACGGCCGCCGTGGCCACCATCTCTGGCCAGCCGCTCGGCCTCCTGCTTCTCCTTCGTCGCCTGGCTACTGGGACGGAGGAGACCAAGTGTTCCCGAGAACATCTGGCCAGCAATGCGCTCGATAACAGCCACGACGTGGCCGGCGTAGAGGGGCTTCTGGTCGTCGCTGATTTCATCTTCTTCGACCAAGAGAAGGCTCTGGCCCTCAACCTCGACGTCATCATTCTTCTTCTGGGTCGGGCGCTGGCGGAGACTGCCACGGCGACGGATGCTCCCGTCAGGTCCGACCTCCTGGCGGTCCCCGTTGGGGCCGGAGTCAGACCGAGACAGCTTGTCAGTTCCAGCATTGCTGCCAGCACGGGCCTCCGTGATGTCCTTGCGCTTTTTCTTTTCCTCTTTTTCTTTCTTCTGCGACCACACTTCGTCAACATCCAGAAGTTCGATGGCAACATAGTCACCCTCAAGGGCACGGTTTCTATCTTTGCTTCCGCAAATGAAGATATCGGCGTCCAAATCCGGAGTCGTGACGTAGGCGTCGGAACGATTCTTCTTGTTCACGCGAAGGATACCAGCAACCAACTGACCGTTGCTCAGTAGAGCAGGCAGGTTGGCCTGGGGCAAGTAAGGAGTAAAGAGAGTTTTTCGTTGCTGCTGCTGCTGTTGCTGCTGCTGTTGAGCAGACAGCTGGGGCGGAGCATGCTGGCTAGCCTGTAGACCGAGGCTTTGGCCGTTCAACTGACCGTTCTGCTGCAGAGCTTGAAGCTGGGCGAGCTGCAGGGGGTTGAGCTGTTGACCACCGCCAAACATCTGAGGCGGGGCCATGACCACCTGGCCTTGAGGCAGTTGAATGAGCTGGGGCTGACCGGGGTATTGGAAAGATCCAATGGAGCCGATGGACTGGTTCATCGAAGCACGGGTACGGTGGCCTGGCTGGAAACCACCACTCTGTTGTCCAAAGCCCTTCTGCTGATCCTGGCCTTGAGGTTGGTTGTTCGGTTGGCGCCAATTGCCGTCAAAGTTTCTGGAAGAAGACCGGGCGTGACCTTGCTGACTGCCACGGCGTTGGTTTTCTCCATCACCAGATTGAGGGAACTGGAAGCCACCGGCACCACGACCAGACAAAGAACCTCGGTTTCCGCCCACAGCCATTGATTGACTGCGACCATGGCCGCCCGCCCGGATGTTGCCTGCGCGGTGAAGACCCAGTCCCTGGGGGGGCTGCAGTCCGGTGGGGGTCAATTTCTCATCAGACCCTTGAGGGCTCTCAGAGTCACCAGGGGTGCTACTGGGGGGAGGGAACTGGAAGCCGGAGGCCGTCCTCTTCTGTTGGGCAAGCTCCGCAGCCTTCTTGGCTTCGGGAAGCGCAAGCGAATGGCGTCGCTGGTGGCCACCGCCAGGGGGACCTCCTCGCCCACGGCCATGGCCTCCGTTCTCGTTCTTGGGTTGGTGACCCTGTTGCTGCTGACCGTAATCAGAATAACCCGAGGCCCCCGATGAGGGGGCAGGAGGGGGGCCCATGCCGAGTCCTGGGAGGGCCGACTGATTGCGTCTGTGCGAGTGTTGGGTCGAGGGGTTCATGGGTACACCGAGCTGCTGCTGTTGGGCGAGCTGCGGAAATTGGAAGGCGTTAAGCTGAGGCGAAACTCCTCCCATGGAAGCACCGCCCTGCATGGAGGGAGGGAATCCCGACACCTGGCCCAGCTGTTGTGGTTGTAACAATCCCATGTTAACATACTGCTGATGCGTGGCTGCGATCTGCTGCTGTTGCTGCTGAAGGAGCTCGATCTGCTGCTGGATTGCCAGTTGTTCCACTGTTCCGGCGACCATTAGCATCTGGTCACAAGGCAACGGCATACGGAATTGGATTGGACTGGACTTGACATACTCATCAGAGGGGTCAGTTCAGACGGGCTTCTTCTGTGGGCAATATGGAGCTTGCGCCCCGCGGGGCCGGGAACCCCGGATTGTCCCTGTTGATCCATCTTCTCAGGCGAAGAAACCGACAGGTTATATGGTTATAGAGTGAATTGTCTGCAAGTAAACGGTCCGCTGCGGAGATGAGGGAATGTTGGAAATGACGGAGGTCACACTCGTCGTGGGTTGCCGTTGAGGAAGGCCGATCGGAGGCAGTCTGAAACAACGAGGGGGTGATTGTGCAGTATACTAGCAGAGGCGAACGATAGGTCAGTAAGTGTGTGCGGATGACAACTAAGAGCAAGCAGAGCAATTCTCAACAAAAAGAAAGATGGCGACGAGTGTCAAAACAGAAAGGGCTTGTTGGGAAGGAAGCAGGAGCAGAGCTGCTCGTGGGCGAACGGGAAGCTGCGATTACCCCATACAAAAATGACATCAACCAGGGTACACCTGGAAGGGAAGCGAGGGAAATGGAGCGGGAGGCAAGAGGACCAACCGGGTTTGGGGAAGGCAGGGAAGAGTGACGGATTGGAAGGCCAACCACGGCAATTGATCTTACCTGTTAAACGATCGTCCAACTCGGAAGGGATTTTGCAACCTGATGTGATTTTCGCACTTCTCCTTTTGCACGGGGGGGTGTGGGGAGGAGGGATGTGGGCGGGAAATTCCCGATTATACGGCGAACGTAGCGGTGACCGACAAATGTCTCACAGAAATGGGGAATCAGGGAGGCCCAGATCCAAAGAAGCAAAGCAATATATGCAAACAGAAAGCAAGATTGAAGGGGGGGGGATAAATAGACACCAGGCGTGGGTCGAAGGACAAGCCTCTGGGAGACGGCAGAGACCGAAAGAGAGGGTGGATGAAGCTCGACGAATCGGGGGAAGCTGGGATTAGGAGGAAGAAGAGGAGGAGGAGGAGGGGGAAAACACCGAGTAAGCGGATGGGAGCTGTCGTCGGTCGACCCCAACTGCCATTCAAGCGACCCCAAAGCTTCCAACCAGTCAAAGGAGGGACCTTTTTCCCTTCCGATTTTTTTGAGGGGGGTTGTAGTAATTTCCCTAGGGACGGGGAAGGATAACGATGCTAATTTTTTTGAGGGGGGTTTTTTTTTATTTGGTGTGGAAATGGAAAAAAATCCAGTGATGAGTGAGGGGGGGCGTTTCGACCGAAGTGGGATTGATTGCACGGAAGAGAACGGAGGCTCCTCAGTAGTAGCAGAAAAGGGGGGGCAACTCGAGGCCAGAAATAAAAGGCGATCGATCGAGTTGGGTTGGCGCTTAAACCGTTGGAGGGCGGAGGAAACCAACAGGAACGGTTCCTCCTGCCGGAGACGATCGATAGGATTGATCTTCTTGTAGATAGACAGATAGATAGATGGAGGGATGGATAGATGGTAGTAGATCCAAAAGCACAAGGCAGCGAGGTATCCGACAGAGAGAGAATGACAGATAAGCCAAGTGATGATATCAACAACAGGGAGGTTTGATCGCTGACCCGAAGGAATGATCAGGGGCGATGGGTAGGAAAGAGGGAGGTAGAAAGCCAAAGGAGAGGGATAATGAAGAAAGAAGAAGAGGAGAAGAGGGAGGGGGGAGATGAGGGAAGAAGAGAAGACGGGGAGGATGAGGTAAAGGTGAAGGAAGAGAGGGAGGGAGAGGGAAAAGGCAGAGGTTTAAGTTAAGTTGGTCTAATATTTAGCAGCACCAATGCACTGCACTGCTGCTGCAGCGGTGGTGGTTGTATTCATCCAAGGCCCTACCAGGAGGTGCAGCAGCAGGTAATAATACTACGGATACCCAATAGAATACTGTACTCCCAGATAATAGGCCCCGGGCGAAGAAGAATAAGGTATTCTGCGACCAATACGCAGCATAATACAAATCATATAAGCAGCAATAGCAGCAACCTAGAGATGTGGGGGAAGGCAGACCACCAAGGGAAACCCACCCTAGGCCCAATATCGTCTCAAAGAGAGTTTGGCTCCTTCACCAATTATCCGTTTCGATGTGTTTCTGATGTTACCTAGATTCCCTTATTCACCTTGTCCTCCTTCAGTCGGCAGGCTGACACCCTGACACCCTGACACCCACCTTCAAAGAGTGATGGATGGTTTTAACTTGTCACTAAACCAAAGTTACCATACTTGGAGGCCAGCAGGGTCTGGTTCGGGGGAGGGTCGCTGCAGCTGGGTTCTCGGCCTGTCATCTGAGTCGTTTCCTCTAGCTAATGGGGAGGTCCCGTTCATTCTCAAGATTCACCATCCAGCAGCAAGTGATTGAGCTAGGCCTGATGATGTTCGTGATGTGAAGATGAGGGAGATAGTTATCTACCCCTCAACTCCTCAGGGTTGGGGGTGACGAACTGCATGGCCAACGCCAACGGCCGGGCCATTTGAAGATCAACTCCGGAGAAGGTCCTGTGGGAAGGCGGTCAGTATCAAGGGAGCTCCGGAGTACTATATCTGGTACCGTCATGGTATCGCAACCTCCATCCTGCTGGCAGTCACTTCCAGAGTGGACGGAGTGCAGAGTCGGGAGACTACGACATGCAACTTGCAAAGCGGTGATCAGCATCTTGCAGTCTAAGAGAAGATCCAGTCAATCAGCTTGGCATCATCCCCTCCCCTGGATGTTGGATACTGGCTGTACTGTTGATGGACGATAGCAGGTGTCGCTGCTGTTGGTTGGCGGAGGCGTGATAGCACGTATCGCATGGTATTGATACCCTCCCTGATGATGAGACCGATCCAATAGTGACCCGCCATTTGATCCACCGGCGGCGGTTGGCGGGGCTTCGGACAAGACCATGTATCAAGGGTGGCACTGGCGACTGGCAAGGTGGCTGTTGGGGTGTGAGAGACAGATTAATATGGAGTCATTGAGACCATGGCGTACTATGTAGGTACACCTAGCCACTCCGTAGCTTACCTAGTCGACAGAGACCGCAAAGTTACTTACATAGTACGTCTCGGATAGCCTGCCTCCCTTGTTTTGGGCCACACCTCGTGATGCTCCGGGTAATGATGATCATGATGATGATGATGCAAATGATGCAAGAAGGGACCCTCCCGTCTCCAGGCTCCCCCTCCGACCGAGGAACGGGTGACCGAGCGATCCATGTTTAGCAGGTGTCGGTACTCCGTATTTGTCGTGCAGTAGGCTGCTGCCACCGCCCCATCGTACCGTAAATGTGGTAACCGGCACGGCGGTGCTTCGCTCCGGGCCATCCCTACTTGGGCAACTGTTTGTCCGGTTTGGCCTGTTTGGGCTCGGTCGGCCTACGGCAGCCCACAGCGACCAAGGGAGCTTCCCGCCTGGCTGTCCGGATGACTCAGCGCCGGAGCTGCGTTCTTCCCGCAAAACGCCCGAGACTCGTTAGATAGAAGATCGCGCTTCGGCTGGCATCACATTGCATACACTGCGCTTCTTAGCCCAATCCTTCGCTTGCTCTTCCGATGCTCGCCTTTCCCCTTTGACCTCGATTTAGACGACCCTCTTCGCCGGCTCAGGCCGTTTTTTTCGAGCTTAGGGACCAGATCACGTGGCTGCCCTTCCCTCCAACTCCCTTGAGCCGTAAGTTTAACCGTTGATGCACTTTTTTTTTGGCCTTGTATTCCCCACATACGCACATCGGCTGACTGAATGGTACCGTCTGATCTAGAGCACAGGAAACTCGACGCTTTCTCGGCGTGGCCCACTCCTTTATCACGCTCCCTTCGCTCCCCGCAAAGTGCAGCCTTACCCTGTCGGCAGCTGCCCGTCCCCGACCAACCCTTCAGTCACGATTGCACAAGTGTGACAGACTGTTTGCGTCTACCGAGACATTTCTACTGCTTTTCAATCCCACCTGATTCCCATAATAGCTTCACTACACTACAATCGACCCTGATTCGTCCGATGCAAGCTATGGTCCGTACTCAAGCTTGATTCACTGTTGAGCAAACACCCGCGCAAGACCAACTCTTTCGTCCCCGAGAATCCACTGTCTTTTATCCCTGCTCCATCAGTACTCGCAGGCATTCGTTTGCAAATCATCACCTCGTCGGCAATTTCCGCAACAAAGAGCGTTTGTTTACAAAATGGGACGATTGAGCTATCCCGCCCAGATGGACAGCCCGTCGAGGCAACTCGTCTTGGACTTGGCTCGGGACCTCGAACAGCTTCGTGTCCACAACACCGAACTGAAGAAGGTCAAAGCCTACGAACGCCGCTCATTTTACGAGAGCCTTGACCGCATCGACAGCGAACTCGAAGCTCAGCACCATGCAGCCCTGGATAAGGTCGCTGCCCTACATGATCAGGTTTTGGAGGAGGCAGAGGAGACCTTGCGCGAGCATCAGCGAGCGGTGGAAGAGGAGAACCGTATGAGAGAGGAGGAGGCTCGGAAAGAAGCGCAGCGCATAGAGCGTGAAAAGGCAGAAAAGTTGCGACGAGAGCAGGAGGAGGCTGCGCGACGAGAGGCCGAGCGAAAGGCAGCGGAAGAAGCAAAGAAGAAGGCGGAAGAAGAGGCAGAAAGAAAGAGAAAGGCAGCACAGGAGGAACAGCAGAGGAAGGAGCGAGAAAGATTAGAGGAGGAGAATCGAAAGCGCCAAGCAGAGGCACAAAGAGCGGAAAAAGAGGCATCGCAACGCCAAGCAGAAGCCGCAGAAAAGGCACAGGCCCAGCGACAGCGACAAATTGGCGGCGGCCGTCTGACGCAAGAGGAGATCAAGGTGCAAGCACGCTATGTCGAATTGCACCAGCACCTGAAAAAGTTCCGGCAGTATTTGAAGGACCAGGGGAAAACCAACGCCCTGGTGAAGCAGAACATGGGGGACATGCGGCGGTCGATCAAGAAGAGTGTTGGTCAGCTACGTGAAGGCAAGGGTGCCAACAAAGTTCAGGTAGGTGTCACGCTTATCATTCGCTAATCTCTCAGAACTAACCTCTCACCCATCACTATATAGCTTCAAGAAATCCGAACGACGCTCGAGAAGGCAGCCTCTATTCCGGAACCGTCGGTGGACATCCGCCAATTCCTTGCATTCCCTCCGGAGGACATCGCCAATTCCGATGACAACAAGGTTCCAGCCCTGCTGATCTATGCTCTCAACATCTTCTCTAAATGCATGATCTCGTCTCTGATCACGGAGGCCTCGATCAACTTGGGCCATGCGGAGCCGGTCGGTATCGTTGCGGCACAGATATTCTCCGCGGACGCCTTTATCTACAAGGGGCACCACATGGTGGACATCTTACTGGCGAAGTACCGTGTCGTTTGCCCGGCCCTGTGGGGATTCTACGGCAATGAAAAGACAGAAGCGGGCCGGCGTGCCGTAGGTTGGTGGCGGGAGGGCCCAGATGGGCCTTACATTAGTGAACAGGGCCATGCAGACCGTATGACAGCTCTCGGGGCCGGCTATGCTGCCCTGACACTGCGCAATTTCGGCAAAACCACGCGCAAGAACCCGTTCCCGAACACCATGTTTTGGTTTACCATGCACAAAATCTTGTCGATTCCTCCTGGGGAGATCCAAGACACCCATATCACCCTCCTTTCCTCCATGTTGAAATCCTCGGCGGAGAGAATAGTCGGATTCTTCGGGCATGTCGGGCTTGCACTGATGAGGAAGGCTATAGTCGATTTACCGAACAGCCTGCCCCGTCAAAGCATGAGCGTCAACCAGCTAAAACTTCTGAGGGACTTGTACAAACGCGAGAAGAACATCATCCTCTGAGGGTCGGTCGCACGAGCATTTGTTTGTTGCACCAAGTCCCTTCTTTGCCGCTGGTCTCATCACTCGAGACCCAGGTGGCTCCACATGAGCTGTCGTCATGTTTCTAGACCGTCGGATCCGTTGCCGCGCATCCTATGATCCCTGCATGGTGTGACAGCCTGTCAAGCCGACCGAGTTTCTCCCGGAGTTGCACCACGACCGACTGGGCTGATATCCAGCCCTGATAAAGATGAAGTTGGGCAGCGCTGGCACCGATGAGACGGTCGCCGTCAACAAACCAGGGTGATAGACTCGATTTCTCTACACCACTTCGCTGGCCTTGGCTCTACCCGCCTTGTTGAAACGCTATTGTATGTTTATCTGCGCCATGCCTTGGCACGAGGGCAATTTAGGTATCGAAAGCAATCTAGCGGAAGTTATTTCTTGTCTCACGGGCGCCGACACCAGTTTTCGCCTTGAAGGTTAAATGCGAGCGTGCAACTTTGATGGATTCGTGCCACCCATTGTGGCTGTAGGAACGGCCACCGCCGAAAATCATCCGATGAAAGGCCGTGCGACTCCGTACCGTGCGCTTGCATCACGCCACTAAGCAAGGCAGCCCGCCGTTCTCGGGCGATTAAGGTTGATCAGGAGCAAGATTCCCAATTCAGTCTCGGTTGCTAACATCCGGCCGGCCCGTGTCAGCCTGCTGATGGGCCTGTTGCCGAGTCGATCATTGGCCTTATGTTCTTTGCCAAGTTTGGTATACACCCTTACTTAGCACGGTGACGAAGATGACGCGACACTCAGCCCCAGCTATCGCCAAACCTGTTGATCGGCTTACCTGTTTGGCTTGCCAACATGACACAAATACCTCCCTGCTGTCATATCTGTGGCGTCGGTTCATATTACTTGACATGGACTGTCCTGTTACATGGAAGCCTTTGCTGCCGTTCTTTCCATATAAGACCAAGCGCCTTCCATCCTCACACCCTACGCAGCCCTTCCTGTTGTTCACCCACCGTCCTTGCCCTGTGGATATGTGATGTCCCATACAATGGCTGCAAATCTTCCCATCGAACTTATCCATTGCGTCCTTGAACATGTCGACTTAGAGACTTACGTCGCTGCACGGTCGTCATGTCGCCCCTGGCGGAGTGCAGCATCGATCTCCTCCATACTTCGAAGAGCTCTGAAAGAAGCTCCCTTATCAATACCTCCACGAGTAGAGCTCCTCACCAATGAGGAATGGAATGTCTACTTCTATCAAATTACTCATTTGAACCTCCTGGGCCACCGGACACAAGTCGAGAAATCGGAGCTTCGACGTGTGTTGCCTGACGACTGCTCCCCTACTAGTGTGCTAGCATCCTCCCATGACGGCCAAACGCTGGTGACCCTAAAAGGGACACGAGCAACGATGTACAGTCATCCGGACAAGCGCAGCCCATGGGAGTTCTCCTTGGCTTCATCACTCTACCCGCTCTGGACTTCCGTATGCCGCGCCATGATGGAGGGAGGCAGTTCAGGAAGCATGGTTCTCGACCAGCGGTACGCAAAACATCGTATCGCCATCTCTTCCCAAGGCCACCTTCTCGCCGTTGCTCTGGGCACGACGATTCAAATCTACAACCTCGGGGACGAAGACGGCATCGCTTCCCCAGCCGAATACGTGCTCGGCGAAAACAGCGGCATATTCAGCAGCCCTCCCATCGCCGGCTACGAAGAAACCAATGGAGTCGTCGAGTCTCTCGAATTCAGCAACGACGACACCCTCCTCCGCGTCGTCATCGGCAAGGAAACCACCACCTTCCAACCAAGCCGCGTCCGCTACCTGGGCAACCCGTGCAACACCCCCCAGCACCACCCCAACATCCAATACTGGCGTGACAATCTCAACCATATCTTCCTCGACTCGGTCTCCATGGCCGTCAGCCTCGGTGCAGGGGAAGGAAAAGTGATCCTGCGCGGCCTCCGCCTCCTCTCCCCATCCTACTACGACCCCAAACTCCAAGACCTCCCCGTCGACCCATCCTCCACCTCGCACTACTTCACCGCACTCCTCCACTCCGAACACACAAACAGCTACTGCATCGGCCTGGTCACGACCTCTCCATCCTCCCCACAGACCATCACCATTACCCGCCTCCTCCCCTCCCGTCAGCACCACTCCATCCCCACGCACGAATCCTCCTCCCCCTCCACCCCCGCCAACCCAGTCACCATCTCCAAAGACCCCCAATCCATCTCCGCCTCCCTCCAAAGCGCCTCCCACAGATGGAACCCCACCAACCTCCCTGCCGCATCCACCACAAACCCCCTCCTCGCTCTCTCCGACGACGCTAATCTCCTCGTCGTCTACGAACCCGCCGCCGGCCCCTGCTGCTTCGTCGACGGCGGCGCCCTCTACGTCTACTGCATCAAGAACTGCATCCCCGTGTATACCTCCCAACCATCCGCGGAGACCAACAACATCACCAACAATAACCCCCCACTCGACCTGCAGAGTCTCACCTCATCGAAAGGGAAATATCCCCCGCTGGACGTGATCCCCTCGTGGTCTTTCCTGCTGGATGTCTCCAACGTCGATGTGGATGACCTGCAAATCACCAGGGCTGATGATGGTGGATCCGGGTACGTGGTTAGTGCGGCCGCGGGGAAGGATATCATCGAGTGGAGGATTCGTTGATAACATAACGGGATGATTCTCTTTCACCTTTTCATTTTCTTCCTCCTCCTCTTCTTTCTTCTTCTTCTTTCTCCTTCACCCTCAGAAGACTATCTTTTTTTTATATTTCTATCTCCATTGGCGTGGCGTGGTTATCATTTTGCTTGTTTGGGTAGGGTAGAGTATAAAAGAAACCATAGATTGGACTTCATTGTTATGTTATGTTATGTTCAGTAGCATTGATCAAAAAAGTCATTCTGGCTGGCTGGCTGGTTGGTTGTTATAGAGCTTATCATCATGAATATCATCATCATCATCATAATGATTGTTTTACAATTTCGGGACACTATTACCAATAAAACATTTACAACATACCAAAACAACACCAATTATCTCTCTACAGTATAAATAGTACTGAATTTTGAAAACGAAAATGAATATTAAATTAATGGGTATGTCCAATGAAAAAAAAAAAGGGAAATAAATAAAAAGAAGAAGAAGAAAAGAAGAAGAAGGGTATCTACATGATCCACCATCGGCTCCAACGGCCAACAGCAAGGGGGGTAGGTAGGTAGGTAGGTAGGTAGGTAGGTATGAAAAACAAAAAGAGGCAAAAAATCAAAAGCAACAAAGCAAGAAGACACAAAAGCACACAAAAGTAAGGTAAGGTAATCAATAGCAAACGACACGATAGTAGGTAAAGTAAAGTAAGGCAAGGTAAGGTAGTAAGTAAGTAGAAAAAAGAATGGTTGTGAAACGCGAATAAACGAGTGACACACATTCACATTGAGCATTGAGTCAATAAATTAATTGTTGAGCAATAAAAAGAAAAACAGCAACGGCAGAAAAAAAAAACCTTGTGTACAAATTTTTGCGGCAAAAATACATGAGCAAGAGGTGGTATCCAGGTCGGTGGGACGCAAGAAAACAGCGAGAGATAGAAAGAGAGGTAAAGGGCAGTTATTTGGGCAAACAGAAAAAGAGGGTATGGTATGGTATAGTGAAACGAAGGGAAGAAGATCGTGAATCAACTGTCATTGAGAACACAAGCAGATAGCAGAGAGAGGAGGGGGGAAAAGGAGGAATATGCTCAAGCCAAATAAACAACATCGCAGATATCGACTGGTACTAATTATGCAGATCAAATGAATGAGAGATGGGGCAGGAGGGGGTAGATAGAAAGGCATCATAATGTAACAATAACCACTTGTCCATATTGGGTTGGTTGAACAACGGCGGTTTTGAGGCGTCTATTAACATAGAAGAGGAAGAGGTGCAGAGACGGTCTATAGTTGTATTTGTGGTCCAAAAGGTCCGTCTGTCGCATCTCTGGGTGATGCCGACACTAGGCCGTCAGCCGTGCTTTCGGTGTCCTCCCCGAAGGAGTCGTGTGCGTAATCGGCGGGCTCGGCGTCGTGGTCATAGCTTGACCTGCGAAGCAGTGGCGGAGTACTCGGCGGCTCTCGCATTCTGCTTGCACGCGCAGGCGCCTGCCTCGGGGTATTGTAGCTCCTTAAGGGTCGACTCTCAGATGGACGTCTGGAACCCCCTGGAGCAGAAGGACCGGTGTGGGGGGAAGCCTGTCGGAAGCCAGAAGCAGGCGGTGTCAACAGTCCCGACAAAAATGAAGTGGCGTTGCCTGGTTTCGACGGTGTCTGCTCAGAAAGATTGGAGTGGGAAGTATCTTTCCCCTTGCGCCAGTTGCCCCATGCCGCCGCGGCTGCTAACGGAAAAGATCGTGGCGATGCAGTCAACTCCGCTAGGGAAGGGAGACTCGGGAAACTTTGCCCGGAATGCGTTCTTTCCCGCTCCTGTTGCTGCATCTGCAAGTTGGCCTTCAAACGAATGGCGGCGTCGCGAACGGCATGATGGTCAAAGGAAGGCTGTGACACGGTTCTGATGATGTCCTGGAGGTCATCGATACGGACACCGAGAAGCTCACGCAACCAGGTGATTTCCGTATCCTTCTCCTTGATCTTGTTGGGTGCATCCTTGTCAATGGCGGAGACTTCTTGCTCAAGTTCTTCAATGCGAGTTTCACGCTGTTGCAGTTGGTCTTGGAGTACCAAAATCGATTCCCTCAAAGCTTGAGGCGAAATCTTTTCGGGCACCATCGAACCCTGGCGATATGAGATCGAGGGCGAGTCCGAGTGGGAAGGCACAGATGCACCAGGTGCCGCCTTGGCTAACTGAGCCGCTTCAGCAGCAGCGCGGGCGGCAGACTGTGCGATTTCAAGCCTCTCTTCAAGGAGCTGGACGCGTTCCTGGTAATGCTGAGCCTTTTCATCAGACAGAGCCAGCCGATCCAGCAGATGCGTTTCTGCGCGTTGTCTATCTTCAGTTGTGTTGTGCAGCGCGCGGGCGTGGCGCTCTTGAAGGTCATTGAGAACACGTTCGTGCGTCCTGTGTTGCTCCTCTATAGCCAATTCTTTAGCGTCGGCAGCAGCAGCCAGGGTGCTGATCTTCGTCTCGTTCGCTTCTTCCAACAACATCTCGTAGCGCTCCCGGGCCGTGTCACTGTCGAGTCTGATGTTGTCCAATTGACTTTGAAGGCGGAGGTTCTGGGCCTCCAGCTCAGCACGAACAATATTGACTTGGCTGTTAGCAACCTCGAGGTCTGACTCAAGCGAATTCCTGGTGCGTTGGATCTCAACCCGACTGCTCTCACGGGCCTCGTTGAACTCGCGCTCAAAGCGAGCGGCCTTGGCTTCCATGTCGTGATTCTCAAGTCGCAGATGTGCCACCAGCTCTTCGAGTCTTGCATTCTCCTGTTGAGATTGTCCGAAGATGAACTTCAGTTTAGCCGCCTCACGTTCTTTTTCTTCAAGCTCGCCAAGATCCAGCTCGAGCTTCTCACGCAGCTTCGTCTCGCGGACATATGCTGCGTGCAACTCGTTGTATTTGGCGTGCAACTTTTCTTCGCGTCGTCGCCAAGAAGCCTGGTCGTGGGTTACGTCTCGTGTAACGGTCGCCATTTCATCTTGTAGACGGTCGAGCTTCTCGCCCAGATTGTGTCGGATACTCATGCCGTCTTCCAGACGCGTCTTGAGTTGGGCAACAGTACCACGTAGGACCTTCTTATCCGCGGCGGCTTGTTCCAGTTCAACCTGAGACTTCTCATACTCCCGCTTCCAGTTGTCGCCAGAAACACGGTACTCGTCCAAGGTACCTTGAAGCGTGATGTTCTTTGACGACAGCTCAGCAAGAGTAAATTTGAGCGTCTCTTGCTCTTGTTCCAGAGTGTCGGCCTTGTGCTGGATATTCTCGAAGTAGGGTATCTTCTCTGCCTTGAAGTGGAGCAGGCGAGTCTCGGCAGACTCCGCGGCCTCAATATGGCGCGCGGCATCATCTTCAACGACCTTCAGAAGCCGCTGGAGTTCTGAAACAGAGTCCTGGGCTTCTCTCCGGAGCTTGTATTCCTGCTCAGCACGCTCATCAGACATTTTAAGCATTTCCTTCAGACCATCAATCTGGAGCATGAGGCTTTCCGCGCCGATTTCCTCCGCTTCGGAAGGACGCGGGGGCTGCTGGTTGTTGAGTTGGGTTGAGGCGAATTCTTGCATCATCTCTCTCAACTCCGAGACAGGGTCCTGGGACATTTTCTGTATGGTCAAAACCTGGAGAGCAGAGACGCTTTCACGTAGTTGCGCGAGTTCAGAAGCTGCGACCTGATCCTTTCCTTGCTCGCTGTCACGAGATGCCAGTACCTCCACAAAGACATTCTTCAGCTTATCCATCTTTTCCTTTTGGCGGAGATAGGACCGTGTACTGTATGACGCATTTTCGTATGCATCCTCCTCATCATCGGCGTCGCTGTGATCGCCGTCAACGGATGCACTCCATTCCAGTTTCGTGCGAGGACCCGGTGTCAGTGCGATGACAGATTCTTGGATGACGCCCAGAGCACGCTCCAGCGGCGTCAACCTCTCATCGATGGCGGAGCCGACGAGATCGTTGATCCGACGATCAAAGAACCTGCTTCGATTCGCCAGCTTCTCGTCTTCACCAGATGAGATAACATCGTCCCAATCGCTGATGTGATCATCCCGGTTAGCCAACTGCCGCACGGGAGACTGGATGCCGGAGGCAAACTTAGAAGGCGAGACAGAGAACTGGGACTGGGCATCGAAATCGAGCTTGGGTACATCCAGCGTATGAGCCATCGGGCCCCGTCCGGGACTTGGGCTCGGAGCTTCGCTTCTGATATCGGCAGGGATGTGGCGTTTCTCTTTGGACGGATGCAAAACGGAGTCGGGCAAACCACGAGGGTGGGGAGTACTCAGCCGCTCAATGCCAACATCCGAATCATCGTTTAGCTGTTCCATGATAGCGTTGAGCTCCTCATCATCGGGTGAGTCTTCTGCCGTTTCGGACAGTATGAGGTCACGCTTCGAAGAAGCCGGAGATTTCGAAGCAGTAATGTCGCTCTTTCCGTTATCCATATTGGGAGCAGGTGTTGGCTCTCCAGCGGCAGCAGGTGCGTGTTCAGGCACGGAGGGTTTGAATTGGAATGCCTTCGCAGTCGGTGACAGGAATGTAAGCTTTGGACTAGCATTGGGCTGCTCCTGCTCTTTGACGTCGATAGACGAAGGAATTTCTTTTGCGGCAGGGCGCGTTTCGGATTCGGATATTTTGATGTTGGCTGACTCTGTGCTATCGTTCTTCTTCTCAAATGGTGTCCAGGTAGACGCTTCGCTGATCGGTGTTTCTTTCCTTTCGGCAAACTTGTCATCCTGAATATGGATAGGCTTCTGAAGCGTTGCGTTGTTCTGTCCTTCCTCGGGGGCCTCGTTTTCTTTGCCTTCGGCAGGCACGTAAGGTCCACTGGGCACTTGCGATGCCTGGAGGTTGCTGGTCTCTGACAGAGCATGAGACATGCTGATCTGAGCTTCTCCATCCGTGGTCTCATCACCACGGCGGGCACGCTTGTGACGGTCAGTGCGGGTTGGCCGGTTGTTCTCAATCTCGCCATCCTCTTTACTGCTCTTTTCTTCCTTGGTCTCATCTGGTCGAACGATGGGAATGGCCTTGGATTTCTTCTTCGACGCTTCTGACGCATCGGTATCGTCGAAGATCTTTGTCTTGGCAGCTGCTGGCCGCTCAGGCTTTGCGACCCAAGTACTGCCGGTAGGATTGAAGGCAGGCGCCGCGACATTGAAGGAGGCGGTAGAAAATTTGAAGTCGCCAGACCCCCGAGCGGTATGGCTTTTCGGGGCGCTGGGGGTGAATGAAGGGGCGGAGAGATTGAAGGCACTGGCGGAAGGGTTGAAACTCGATACCGGGCCACCAAATGTAAACATAGGATTTTGAACAGCTGCGGGCTGAAAGGGGTTCTCTTGGAATTGGAACCCTTGTGAAGACCCGGAACCAGACGGGTTGAACTCTTTCGCGTCAACATTCAGAGTAGATGATGAAAGCTTCGAGCGGTGTCCACCAGTGTATGAGCCGCCACTTGGTTTTGACTCATGCCACGGCATGTTATTTGCGAGAGGCCCATGTCGCTGAGGCGTTCCAGAAAGACTTGGGTTCGTATCAATATCGGAGCCTTCGTGGACATTCTCTCCAACGTAGTTTCCACCATAAAATTGATGCATGTGTTGAGGAAACTGATGCGCCCCGAGACTTTCATTCCCTGGTAAAGCCCACCGAGACTGCAGCAGTGCGGAGCCATCGAAGTTGTGGAGAGCTGGCTCGCGATCGCCTTCGTCAAGTTGTCGATCTATAGACTCCTCCAGGTGATAACTTGGGGCGATCCTGTCCAGGCCCTTCTGGAGTGTTTCGCTCAGATTATGGCCGCGGCTGTGACCACGGGGTGTGGGCTGGGCAATTTCAACGGTCGAGGCGTGGAAATGATCGGGGTTCTCTGTAGGTGTGTGAACCGGACGCAGCAGTTGGCCTTCAATAGCATTGTCCCGCATATCATGGTCACCGTAAACTTCCTTTGGTGGCCCTTGTTGGTCGTTCAAACCAGGGTGGAAGGCGTTATGCTCGTTCAGCGGAGAAACAGGAGACAAGATCGAGCCCAGGTGGGGGAGTGTGCCAGGAATTGAAGCTGCGCCTGCTTGACGCGCATTGAAGAAGCTTTGAGGAGTGAGAGAGCCCTGGGCAGGGGGGGTAGGTTGAAACGGAAGAGAATAGCCCGGCAAAAGGTTTTGCTCGACACCCAGGAATGGCGTCTGCATGCCGAACTGTGAAGCGGGGGAGGCCAGCGTTCCCAGACCGGCAGGGTTTACATGCTGACCCAATTGAGGGGAGAAATGATGCGACAGAGACATCGGATTGCTGGCTGCCGACGCTGTCGGGATCGGTGGGGACGAAACAAGGCCAGGGAAGGGGCCCATCTGGCTCATAGCGCCAGACGCAGGCGATATTGATGGATTTGGCTCAATCTCGCCCAGGGACACGCCCAAGGCGCGCAATTTTTCTTCCTGCAGATAAGCGACATATGAATCCCAGTCTGCTTTGTTCGGGATACTGACGCCATATCTCCCTGTGTCCCATTCTTCCTGGACGTCTGCTGGGTCGGGGTAAAGCGGACGACTTAAGCCACCCAACTCGACATCCGATAGGTCTTCCTGTCCGCAGATACTGAATCCACGGGTATCATAGCCTTGCTCCTCCCAATTCCTCAATCGCTCGTCGACATCTTCCACGGTCAAAAGGGGATGGGCGGCCTCCTCGGTGCCTCTCTTATCTTCCGGCGGAAGCGCGATGAAGCATGCCTTCCCACGCCAAACAATCTTCTTTCTGGTTCTCTGTATCGGCGTCTGTCCGTTCCTCTCGAGCCCCAGGCTTTTCACGGCCTTGGAATCGGTAGGAATCTCCGATCGTCCCAGCAAGGAGGGGGCATCCCTCGACTCGTCGGCGGGGGTTGGCGGGAGGGGTTTCTCTATCGTCGGAAATGCCGGAGTCAACCCCTGTTCCACGAGGGACTGTGCCTCCTTCGAGTCCATTGCGATTGGCTGGGGATCTTTGTCGTATGCGAACCCCCAAAAGTCCTCTTGTCGGAGGGTGTCGGCTCGCCTGTGAAGGGATTCCTTGGTCCTTTGGCGAGGAACACTACCTTCCCGACGAGGTGCGGTGGCCCTTCGGGTGACGAAGTCGGCGAGGGTGGGCGTCTTCAAGAGGTCTTCGTCGCGGGTGTCCTGTTCCAGGCCGAGCCAATCGTCCGAGGTGTCCTCTGCGAAATTGTTCTGTGCCGTAAAGAACGATGGGGCCTCGCTGCCCGAATCGTCGCTTAGCCAATTACCACGTTCTGTTCTTGGCTGACCGGAGAGGTATTGATTGATCCAGTCCTGTGTAAAATCCTTGATGGACTTCCCTCCTTTCCTACCAAAAAAGTCTCTGCCTGGAGACCGGCTAAGGATGCCGCTGTACAGTTGTCTAGCTGAGCTGTCTCGGGCGTCTGACGGTCTCAAGAGTTCGGGGTTATTCGATTCGGACCCGTGGTTGATGCCACTGCGCATCGAGGCCGGAGAGCTATTTCCGGACACACGGTCGACAACACCGGTTTGACTCAATGACGGCGAAAGTCTCCGAGGGCTGGGTGCGGCATACGGTGAGCCCCAGGCGGTGGTGTAGTAGATACTGCTGGCAGCCCTCCTATTTTCCGGCGACGTCGAGGAATCCCAGGCGGCACGGTACTTCGAGAGGACGGGGAGGGTGTTGGGGGGTTCGGGGTGACGCTGCGGCCCCGGGGGGAGTTGGACCGGCCAGGTGATCCAGCGGCCGAGAGACTCGACGCTCCTGGCAGAGAGGGATATGTAGTCAATGGCACCGTCAGCAGCGAATCGTCACGGAGGCTGGACGGGTGTGTAGTGTGCTGCGGCGGCGGAGAAAGCGCCGGGTTGGCGGGAGATGCGGACGGGCCTAGATCTGGAAGGACAAAAACATCGAGCGGTTAGTTCATGGGCCATGCCGGAGGTGGAACAGGAGCGAGGGCGACACGGAGGAGACACCGCCATAGGGATGGGTAATTGGGGGGGGGGGGGGGTTTGGGATGTGGAATTGACGCAGCCAAGAGAGCATTTCGACACGCAGACACACCCACAGACACACACGCACCTTCCGTTTCGACTCCTGCAGCAAGCACTTGCTTGCTGCTCCCCTTATCGTCCAGAATGTTGAAGCATGGAAATCAAAGCGCTGAGACCAAATCCACCTCGCAGATGAGCTGTGATCGACACGCAGAAGGAGGGGAGGGGGGGACGAGGAGACAAATCACACGCGTGGACAGGTTGCGCGACTGATTGGGGGTTGCGTCCAAAGGTGGTGCCTATAACAGGGTGCGGTGGTTTGGAATGATGGGGGGGGGAAGTAACGAGGAATAATCTTCAGGGGCGGTGGGTTCCGAAAGAAGGTCCCAAAACAGACATCCGTGGGAGCGGCGGCGGGTTGGAGTACTGGAGACTAGAGAGCGATGAACAACAGATCACAGATACTACTACTCATGGCGCATACACAGAGGACAGCTGGGTTGATGTTAGATGACAAGGAATGACCGTCAAATCTATTGGTAAGGCAGAGATGTTAGAAAGAGGGCGGACCTCCTGCTCTCTCTCTCTCTTTTTTTTTTTTTTTTTTTTTTTCCAACGACCTACTTGGATCGAATCCGACTTGGGCCATGTCACGATCGGCCAGCAACATCGAGGAAGAACCGTACGCAGCCAAGCAGCGCTGCGCCTATCAGCGGCGAACAGCTTCAAAAGCGACCGTTGGGGGAAGGTATCGTACGGTAATCAAGCTACGGACGGATTGGGCTCTGGCCCTGGCCTCACGATGACTACGGCAGACTAGTGGGCCAAGTTGACCAGGTTAACGATTGATCGGGGTTAGTTTTGGCCTTTAGTACTTTAGCACAGGATGGTATTCCCAGCTGGGCCAACTCATCCGGGCTGCTTGGTTGACCGCCATCTACGTAGCACGTAGCACGTATCTAGCTCACATCGTGGTGGCCTAGCAGCAGCAGCGGCGGCAGCAGCTTCTGTATGTAGGTACCGGGTAGTCCTACCCAAACCCAAACCCAAACCCAAACATGCGTGGGTAAGGCGGGGACAGTAAAGTATGGAGTCCGGAGTGGCTGCAAGTACCAGTTCCAGTCGCAACTGCAGCATCTCCCTCAGCCTCTGTTCAGACTTCTGTCCCGTCAGTCTCCCCCAGCAGATATTGTAAATCCCCCCCCCCCCAAATATCCAGATGGATAGATAACTGGAGTGGTGCTTCAACCCCATAAACAACCCAAACAACAACTCGGTGACGCGCCGGTTCCTTTGGTTCGTGTCTTCATTCAGGGGTAAACCAGCCAGCACTACCGCGGAGGAACCACGGTTCCCTCGGCTGCCCGTGAGGGCCGTGACCTCCCCGGCGCGGAAGCCTTCAAATCCGGGCCAGCCTCTCCAGGCAATGTCATCATCCGCCTGTGGAGGGCCTCATGTGCAGCTCCAATTCTTCCAGGTCTGAGCAGGTAACGATACTATTGTGCGGCTGTAATTCGTGTCCGTCTCGTTTCACACCATTGGCCTCATCAAAGTATTTGGATTAATTCGATAACTATGCGCATCATCCGCGGAGAAAATTAATGTGAACGGGTGTTCTAACAGCCCAGTATGGTACAGCTCCTGATCGCAGCCCTGATCATAGACGAGTGCCTGACACCCGATGGCTCAAATCATCCCCATACAAATCCCGCAAAGGCGCTTCTGTTATGTCTGACATATAATACAGAAATATGTAAAAGAAAGCAAAGCTAATGTGCGGCAGAATTCTCCGAAAGCAAACAACGCCTCAGTTTGGGCAGGTCATGTTGAACTTGGGCTGGCGGTCGGCGGTAAACAGACCCCAGTGCTTCTCGTCCATCGCCTGGCCGTTGTCGCCGGTGCTGTCGGGCTTCCAGGACTCGTCGAAAGCCTCGAAATAGAAGACGTCGATGCCCCAAGCCAGCATGCCACAGACACCGGACTGGTAGAACTTCTCGGCGTTCTTGGTACCGGCCTTGGCAGCACCATAATCAGATCCACCATCTATAAACCGTCAGTGGGCTATCCTGGGAACCGCTATTGTCGACCAATTGCAACTTACCGGTAGGCCAGCCGGTTTCACCGTTTCCAAACCGAATCTTGTTTGCATTGGCACCAGCGATTTGTTCGATATGGCGCTTAGCTTGCGACATGTCAGCGAAGTATGTCGCAGAAGCATTGCCGATCTCCTGATCTTGCCAGTAGGCGAAACCGTTGGCCAGGCTATATGGAGGTTAACCGTCGCTCTATACATGCATATATCAGAGAAGCCAGGGCGACGACTTACAAGTAGGTGACACCTCCCTGGATGATGGGATCAGCAGTGCCATCTGCAAATTTGTTCCAGCTGTCAACGGTACCAACAGTCACCGTTGGAAACTGCTGCTGGACTTGCTGGATTCTGCTCAGGAGCTTCTGAGCAGTGAGGCCCTTGCGGTAGAGAACCTCCGAGCCGACAGTGATAGCAGTAACAACATCTTCGTTTCCAGGAACATACTGCTTCAGAGCGTTGAAGTCCTGGTCGAACGACTGATCGTAATCGGGCCTAAACAGCACCAAACATGAGCACCGAGCCAACACAGACGCCTTGTGATCCGTTCAGACAAGCACCTACCAGACACCCAGCACGACCTTGAATCCCTTCGCCTTCGCAGCGGGAACGATGTTTTGGGCAGTATTGCAATCGCTTGCGGAGTAAGTGCGAACCAGTGTAGTCACGCCCTTGAGAGCATCGAAGTCGGCTTCGTAATCGCTCGTCGCTTTGCAGCTCTGGTCCGCGTTCTTGTTGCCCAGGGCCAGTCCCAGGTTACCCCTGCTCGCGGACACGGCGGGGATGGCAGCCAGCAAGGCCGGAAGCAAGTGGGTGACACGCATCTTCGAATGTGGGCTGCTGCTTCGTGGGAAAGCTCTAGACGGAGCAAGGAAACGAGAGGCCAAGTGAAAGATTGAGAGGCTGGGGACTGGTTGGGGAAGAAAGGAAGAGAGGGGAGCGCTTTTCGATGCCTTTTCTATGGCTCAGTGGAGGGGAAAGGAGAAGGCTATAAAAAGAATGGCCCGCCTGTAAAGCGCAAGTGACTTGAAAGGAAGGAGCGAAGAGGGAAAGATTGACCGGCTTTGAGCCCGAGTTGAAAGAAGGCAAAACCGTACGTCACTGAGGGTGGGTATAGCACAGTACTCCGTACCGTATAGTACCTCAGCGGGGGTTACCGACAGTAGAATTCGCCTCCATGCGCCTTTGATCAATTGGCTGTATGTACTACGTACTTTCCGTACTCCGTACCTTGAACCATAACCATTGACTGGCAAATACTGGGGCGACTAGCAGCCATTGTGGCACAGTGGCTGTTCGATGGCAGATCGGCGAGACCCTGGGAAGGGGGGCCTGGGGCCTGGGGGCCTGGGGCCCGCTTGCTGTGCCTGGGACAGCCACCTTACTGGAAGGCGCCAAGGGCCCTCGGATGATCCCTAGCAGCCCACTGCTCAGGGTCTGGACTCGGGACCCTGTCCGGTTCATCCATCCATGATGGCTGCTGCTGCTGCTGCCGCACTGCCGCACTGCCCCAGGTCCTGTACTTTGTTTGCTGTGTCACTGCAGCAATTACGGATGCCGGTTTCAGGACCTCTTCTGCACTGGCAGCCAGAAATGAACTCCAGGACTGTTGTACGCCCAACTCGCCATGCTAGTGTGGTCAGAGAAAAAAAAAAAGAAAAAGAAAAGAAACGCCCCTCCGCCGGACTTCTGCAGGCGATCTGGTTAGCCTGAGAAGTAAGGCATCGCGGACTTCCCCAATCCTAGCCAGACTTGTTCGTCTTCTCGAACTTCCTGGAACTTCGCACTTCCGAAAATAGTTGGACTCCGAAGAATTGGGTTATTGTCTCCTGGGCAGGAGTTGATCAATCATCAGGCCGTTCCAACGGCGGATGATGTCACAAAGCGCCTCTCCAACGCGTACACCTCACATTCGAGCCTTGGGAACGCTATCCACGGATTGCGGAGGAGACGCCCACCGGGAAAAGACAGCAGCAGCTTGGCCAGGAAAAATCACGCAGCGAATTCCTTGTCCCCCACGCCCGAGACACACTTTCTACCACACTGGATCATGCCCAGCAAAGAAAGCCCTCCCTTACTCATCGTGTGTGGCGTGGCCAGTGATCGAGGACTTCGAACGGCTCTCACTTCCATGCATCATCCTCGATCTAGACCGCTTACTTATCACCAAGGACCCGACTTTGCTTTCTCCGGAGGAATGGAACGTTCCGTTGTTTTACTCTATTTGATCCTGGCAAGCTGACGGTATCCATTCGAGAGTCTAGGGGGCACCATGTACTCTTGTCAATGCAATCCACGTTTCCAATCTTTCGGGGCTACGATCACCTTTCTCCGGCGACACTAGATTGCGAAAAGTAACAGGCAAAGGATATATAAAGGCGAAGGAAATGTCTAAACCTTATCTCGACACTCTAAAGCACATGGTACTTCATGGGACTGTGGCGGAAAAGACAGCCTATTTGCCACTGGTCTTCCTGGGCTTCCCTTCGTTCGCTGCTCTGGAGGTAATTGTCGTATGGCGATTCTGACTTTAGGTGGGTTGGTTATCCAGATACATTCACAGGCCCACATCATGTACAGAGTTTCTAAAGAGCTATGCTTGGTGAATCGGGTAGATATTACTCGAATACTGTTGCAGGGTTTGAACTTGGACCTGTTACAAGTCGATCCCAGGTCACAGAGGCAGTCTAGCACGGTCCAACCTAGTTACTACTGCTTGACAAGAGTCAATCCCGGCTCTCCAGACCATCGGCAGCAGTGATCCATCCCGTAACTAGTCACCCCATCGCATGGGGTCAACACCACACCAAGCTTTCCCAGGAGAGCGACCAATATCTTCGACTTGAGGTGACCCTTATCGGCGATTATCCTACGATGGTGATATCCTTTTTGAGATACTCTGCGGGAGACGGTCCTGGTCTGGTCAGGGAATATAATGTAGCAGCTTAATATCAAACCTTTTGTGGGGGAAGGTTCGATCATTCATTATTCAACTAGGCTGCCTCTTTACTCAAACATTAAAATAATTCTTCTGTGCAGCGCCAAAACATTTCTCTGCTCAGTTATAGATGCTTTCATTCATAACCGAAACAAACCCCGACTTTTTAGTTTCTACAATACTATCTCCAAAGTATTTCCAATATCAACTAATGAGCTTGATCCATTCAGATCAACTGCCTCTCTTGTCACGGTAAGAAAAAGAAATAATTCATCGCCAGAAGCAAAAGCAAAAGCAAAAGCAAGCACCCCCAATCCCAGTCCCAACCTTATATAGACCTCCCGGGACTAGCGCGCCGGACGGCTAGGCGGTGGTGGTCCGAGCGTCACGAATTCCCAGCGCAGCACCGAGTGAGAGACCACCTTGCGCGTCTTGGGACGGAAGTGCACCTATCAGGCCGACCTCTCCACCACCTCCACCCTCACCTTCTCGAAGGCCTCTCTGACACCGACACCCCGTCGACATCTCGAATTGCAGCCGGAACGAGGAACAATAAACAACAACCGCCCACCATGCGCTTCTCCGCAACGACCGTCCTGATCACGGCGCTGGCGTGGATCACCACCGTGACCGCACACAACATCCAGCTCCGCGCTCACTCCCGGGAATGCTTCCACGAGTCCCTGCACAAGGATGATACCATGACTGTCACCTTCCAGGTCGGTGACCGGGAGTTCGGAGGCAGCGGAAACCTCGAGATCGACTTTTGGGTACGCCTTCCCTCTTCTCTCTTCCCCCTATCGCTCCGACCGGGCTAGCTCCGGAGATCGGTTGGCCAGCCAGCCAGCCAGCCTGAAGCTCTCCTAAAGCGAATCGAGCTCTCGAAAAGTATTCCTCGAGCAGAACACTCACTAATATTCATCTCCAATCACGCAGGTCGAGGACCCCAACACCAACCGCCAGTACTACAAGCACGCCATCTCGTCGGAGGACTACTCGTTCCACGCCCACGCGGACGGCAAATACGTCTACTGCTTCAGCAACGAGGGATGGTCGTCGAACTCCAAGGAGGTGTCCTTCAACGTTCACGGAATCGTCTACGTCCCGGAATCGGAACTGGATCAGGACCCGTTGGAGACTGAAGGTAGGATACCCGGGATACCCAGCAACAACCCCACAACAACCACCCCATTTTGTGGTATGAAGTCCGAAGCTAACCGCCGTTATTCGCACCAGTTCGCAAACTCTCGGAAGCTCTGGCCCAGGTCAAGGATGAACAGTCGTACATTGTTGTGAGAGAGCGGGTGCACCGGAACACGGCCGAGAGCACCAACGCGCGGGTGAAGTGGTGGAGTATCTTCCAGCTGGCTGTGCTGATCGGAGAGGGTATTTTCCAGGTGTGGTGGCTGAAGAGATTCTTCGAGGTGAGTTTTGCCGGTGTGGTGCTGTATTGTCTTCGTTCGAGAAATCACTAACATTGATGCAGGTCAAGCGGGTTGTCTAGAGTGATGGATGGATGGATGGATGGGTGGGTGTATTTATGAGCGTGATATTATAAGGGGTGTTTTATCTTGACATTCTTATAATCGAATGGTGGAATCTCTTTCCTTCTCTCTATCTCTATCTCTATCTCTATCTTCACGATTAAGATCATCTGGATGATACTTAGTACCCTGGTATGGGATACAATCCAAAATAAACGATTGATGTATACACTATACAGCTTCAAAAAGTGACCGATATAAATTCGGCTAAAAAAAAAACAGATCCAACACCCTACAAATACTGTAGATTCCACTGAATCTTAAACAGCTACTATCTCCCTAGATAATCCTTGTCACCACCCCTACGCTCTATGCAGCTAAAACCGGCACTAATCCTAGGCACTAGATAAGTACTAGCAGTAGCACAAAATCTCATAGATAAGTAACGTACTATCTATCTAGGCACCAGAGCCCCAAGCAGCACAATCACAAGCGCAAGCACAAGCTAGATAAGCTAAGCTAACCAAAGCATGACATGACATGACATCTACCGGAGACCCCGCACGACAACGACCCCAAAGAAAATAAACAACAATCCTACCACCACCACCACCACTACCGCAACAATCTCCACAACCCCACGCCTATGCGATTCCAAATCGCCCCGCGACCAGACCAAAATGGATCTATCAACAAAGAATACCTCCTACCCCTCGTTCTCCTCCTCCGCACTCGCAGCATCCGACCCCCTCTTCTACCTCTGCTGGCGCAGACAATCATGCGGATATTGTCTCGAGGGCGATATCCCGTGTAGCTGGTGTGCGGTGGTATGTTCTGTCTTTTCTTAATAAACTACTTAATCAGTGAAATCAAGCCAAGCCAAAATAAGCCAAGCCTTTGTTTTCATTCGTTGTATTCTCATTCTCTTTATCTGTAACCCCCCCCCCCCCTCCCCCCTCCGGCACTATTCCATTACTCACCCACCACCCATGCTTTGTCTTTGTCCCTCCCACTCCCACTCACTTCCCCTCCCCGCACCCCATGACAACCAACAACCAACCAACTAACGTAACACTATCCATCCAAACAGACCTCAACCTGTGTCCCCAATCCATCCCACCTCCCTATCCTCGCGCCACTCACATCCTCGCAAATCTGCCCGCTCGGGGCCGCAGAGAGATGGGAGCTCCGGGCCGTGCCGTTCGGGTGTCAGGTCAGTACGATCACGTTTCTGACGGGGGTGGGGTCCGTGGCGGGGACGTTGGCGGCGCTGGGACTACTGGTTCTGGGGGTGTGGATGGCGAGGGTGCTGGGGAGGAGGTGGCGGGGGAAGGGAGGTGGTGATGATGCAGCTACTCGTGGTTGGGGGGTTCGTTCAGAGGGTTGGGGTTGGGGTTGTGGGGTGGGAGGGGGGAGGATGAGGAGGGAGGTGTGGAGAGGGGGAGGATGAGAGGAGACCGTTGTTGGGGGGGATGACTGGATGATGGCTCTTGTTGTATGGTCTGGTCTGGTCGGGTCTGGTCTACTGGGAGTACTTGGGGTTATCTATGGGGTGTTTGTGGGGGGGGTGTATGTGTTATATTTTACCGGAAAATTGGAGAGGGGGGATTGTTGTCGTTGTCGTTGCTGTGATTACTTCGTACATGCGTGAGACATGCGGACATTTTATTGTACGGGTATGGTAGGCATTCCAATGTCCTCAACCTTGGACGACCTGGCTGACGCGGTACTCGACCACGGTGGGCTTGCCTTTCTCGACGTTGAAGCGTCCCTGGGCGACGAAGACCCGGCTTTCCAGGTCCTTGTAGCGCTCGCTGCCGGTCTGTTGTCGTTAGCTTGGCTTTCGCTGTATCGATCGATGCTGTTACCTCGAAGGTGATGTGGGTGACTGGATAACGTTAGTCTAGTGTCCTGCTTGACTTGGCTTGGCTTGACTCGACTCTACTTACAGACACTGTTGAACGGGGTCGAGCCATCGGGAGCGGTCCCGGCGAAAACGGCCTGCACTTCAGGGAGCAGCGTGCCAACGCCGGTGTAGTTCAGGTAGATGAGCTGGATACCCGTTATTTGCCGTCACTCAAAGGGAGATTGGATGTCTCAATCGCATACGTCCTCGCTATCCTTAGGCCTATTGCAGAATTAGAAGACTGTTCGGTCAGACGGGATGAATGCCACAAACTTGATCACTCCGTGGGCATCCAGACGCAGGTGCTTGCCATCAGCATCCGCATGGATGTAGTCGTTGCCCACCCCGACAAACTCGGCATCCAGGGCCGGGGAGAATCCGGGAGCACTCTTGACGGATCCGCCGGTCATGGGCTTTGGCCAGGCGAGCTTGTTAGTGGACTCGCTCTTATAATAAAGGGTTCGACGATGCTTACCACGACCTGCAGGTTGTTTTTCCTGGAGGCACTGCCTTCTCTGGGTTAGCATCGTAGGATAGATAAATCCAGCTGTTATAAGCTAGACCTACCGACGCCGAGCGGGGCATCGATCGTGACCTATCGCGGACACGAAGTTAGTCAGGTCAAGTATCGAGAGGGACGAATGTGGTTCGCTTACCTGTAAGGTAAAGGCCGGCTGAAGGGTAGGGAATCCAGACATGATGGAGTTGGTTTTTGTTGATCTGGATGATCCGTCTTGATCAGTCTGTTGGAGGAGAGAAGGTTGTCGGACAGCTTGGTGAGTGGATTAAGCCGGTGTTAAGCCCCGCACTGGATGAGAGGTCTCTCTGCTTTCTGTCCCACACGCTAGTTACTGCCAGCCTATGGCGGCCAGAGATCAGTGATTCAATGCTCGTCATATCGGTGCATTCTTTCCTTTTCTCTCCCCAATGGGCTCATGACGCAAGCTTGGCTGTCTACTTGAGTCTATACAGTGTCTGTTCATGACAGGCAGGTGCTCGAGAGCAGCTTCACCCGCTTCACCCCCCCCCTATCTACCCATGCTGTCTAGCTTGCGACTGTTTGCAGTCACCCACTAGTCCATCCACCATCGAGTAGCCATCACAGGCGAGCCTATCCAGGCCCCGAGTGCCCTCGATCTTGTCAGCTGTCCGATCACCGCATCAATCTCGGGGTTGAAGATCCCCATCGATGCAAAATAATAATAAACCGCGAGGAGGACCAGCTGGCCGCGGCTGACTAAGGCCGTCCTACAATCCAATTGGCCGGTAATTGTCGGAGAAAGAACCCGGGCACTTCCGGCGGCCAGGAAGGCGGTGGGGAACTGCCGGCATCTTGGCTGTTGCGATCGCAATCAACTCACAATTCCATCGGTCATCACTCTCCCCATCTTCAAAGTCCTGCTGTCCTTTCATGATTGCATCATGAAGCCACTGATATCATCATTATCATCACCATCATCATCTCCTCATCAGACGTAACCAGGCTCTGTGGCTCTGTGGCTGACCTCACAGCCCCAAGTAATACGCAACTGGTTCATCGGGTGCCACGCTGGCAGTCTGGCCGTGGCAGAGCTGTCAGCAATCAGCATGCGTCGGGGCAAGTCTATCTCTGCCGCCATCCCCAGGCTAAGAAGCGCGCGGACGCTGAGCTTCCACGCTTGCAGTTAGTCGGGCGACCCGTCCCCCTGGCGCGCTCGCTCAGGCACCGCCCATGATTTGGTCCGCTCTGGTCGCCCCCTTCGGTCTGCAACACTGCTCGCGGCCATGTGTGACTCTGTTCGCTGCCGACGCCGCGACGGACAGAGGCTGGCGACAGGCGATCCACCGTGCTATGCCTATCTCATCCCTCCGGCTGGATCAGAAGCTGCAGGCCAGGGAAGTTCAGCAGTTGGGCTCTGACACGTATCGGACTAACTGATGCGCTGTCCTCCGCCTAAATCCCCAGGCCTGCGAGACGGGACCAACCAACAGGCCACCTTGCCCTTCGTAATTCCTTTTTCCTCGCCGCGCTGCGTCCCATGGCCATGACGTTACGGACAAGTGCTGCAATTGGTGCCCGACCTTGGATGTCTTGGAAGACGTCCGGGAAAGAGAGGGGAGTAGATGAGATGATGGGCTTCTCAAATCTAATGATTGTATCCCAGGGATCCAGTCGCCTTATATGTATAGTGGGGATTTGCCGCCCTTCGGCCAGACCACTCGCGATTAGCACGGCCTTACTCCGGACTGCAGTGGCCATCCATACGGAAATCGATTCGGGCAGGTAATTTGCCCTTGCATCATTGCTCCGCACGGTCGTTCATTACGAACATTACTTATTTCCCAGGCCTCGCGCAGCAGCGACCGGAGATCCGCGCCTCAATTGGAACGGACGTTGGACTGGACTTGCTCTCCTGACCGGTCAAGCCATCAGCTGCCTCATTGTGAGATAGCACCGGGACTTGATATCCCATTGTCAGCTTGTCTGGCAAGAAGTTCAGACCGACGCCTTACCGCTCCTAGTTGCACACGATGCGTCGAGACTGGTTCCCACTCCATAACCACGAGCTCCTTGCCCTTCGTCCCTCTGATAGCTCCTTTCTCCGTACCTTGCGTTTCTAATTTCCTCCTTTTTCTTTCACCTCTGCAGAACACCTGGAGTTAATTGACCGTCTCACATAATCTTGTGTGCAGCCCAATTGACAGGACAGGCCGGGCGGTTTCAGTTAACTAGAGACGCACTGGCTCTGATGGTCTTCGCTTCGGTTTAACTTGTGCTTTCCAGAACAATCCACTGTACATCCGCTTATCATCTGGCCCTCGTCTTTTCGCTCGGTGTACTTATTGCTGACATATGTAACATACCCGTTTTCCGGTTGGGTTGGTGGCTTTCTGTTTTCAAACGCTGTGAATCTTCGGGTTGCACAACTGATCGGCTATCCGGGCCTATTGAAAAGCGACATCGATAGGTACGAGCGGGAAGTACAGAGACCGGCACAGCGAACCCGATCCGCGGATCGCACTCGCCCATTGCCCTTTGCCATTGAGTCTGCCAATTGGGTAGCTGGCAACCTAAACGGGGATATTGGCTGAAGCCAAACACGAGCATGGGAAGCGCCGGCGTTTGCGACAGCTGAGCTTGTTCTATACACTGTGCGCGCGGGTCCGAGGTAAGACTCCAGGTCCTTGGCGCTTTGCTGTTTCACTCGCGCTCCATTCCTTTTGATATTTATATTGGCGTGATGGGCAATCCCTGGCCACTGGCCGCCCATCTGACTACTCCTGGATGGCCCAGTGCTGTGAGAGGGTCATTGTCCGCCTGGAAGTTATACGGGTTACACTTGACCGATAACCTCCATCCTGTTATGTCAATGTACCATGAATATGGCTAATCTGGCTGGCAATCCCCGTCCGACAGAAACCGCCTCCCTGTCCTTGTGGATGGCTTCCTCCGAGGTCGACCAGAAGGCCCTGGCCAACTTCGCGGCCATCACGAGCCTCGAGAACCCGTTCCTGTCGGCCATGCTCTATAAGATCCTCGGGCTGTCGGTCATGCTCTCCAAGAAACTTGTCCGCGCACGACGATTGCGGCGTCTGGACCCTACCCGAGAGACCAAGTCGCTCCAACTGTACTATCATATCATCTGGCTCTCCCGAGAGGGCCTCCTCATTCTGGAGGAATTGATCCTGCCCTTGGTGGAGGGCTACGTGGAACTGAAGATTCTCGGTTATAAGCTGCGAGCTTCGTTCTACCACATATTTGTCCTGTTCCATAACCAGCCTGCCGTCCACCTACCAGGCGTTGTTGGCCTCCCGAGCAGCACATCCGTGTCGAATGGCGTTCCCGCCGCAGAGTCCCCGTCTAAGGAATCGGAATCGAGATTTTCATTCCACCCGAACGCCGACGTGATCACAGTCTCCGGGAAACCAGGTTCGGCTTCGGGCGGTGCGCCGCGAGGCAAGGTTACACAAGCACCTCCAGGCTTTGCGCCCGTTCAACCTCCCCCGTCGGTTTCTGCCTTTATCTTGCCTGCGCTGGACTACACTCCGACCGCGACGGCATGCTTCAACCATGCATCTCTCTTGGCTGAACGGTTTCTCCCGGGATCCCACCCCCTGCGACTGTCCATCAAGCTCGAATTTGCCGCCTACCTCTACGATTGCCTCCATGACCCCCACGCCTGCCGACGACTAGCCAAGCAGGCCATCGCCGATGTGTACAACGCGCAGGAGGGGATGGACGACGAGAGCTTTGAAGATGCGGCGGAGATCGTGGGGATCCTGGGCAAGATGGTGAAACGGGGAGCGAAAGGAAGCAGTGCGGCCGGGAGCACTACGGCTGTGGGGACGCCCCGGGATGAAAAGTCGCGGAGCGAAGGTAGTCGAACGCCGTCATCTCGGACGACCGTGACCGTGAAAAATGTCGCCCCGCGGGCGAAAAGCACCGCCTCGCCGGCATCAGCGGCGGGGAAAGCGACCAGCGAGGGCTTGGCGCCTGCCGTGCCCGATCCGAGCATGCTGAACCCTATTTGATGTCTCCTTGGGCATGTTGACGGCCTACTCACGACCTGTATATGCTTACTCCGGTGTCCTTAGAGGTCTAATATGGGGACGACCTGGGCCATTGTACTGTGGGAGGGCTTGTGTTTGCTGTATTATCCTTGGACGGCGTTCTGGTGACTGATTGGCTTTACCTGTGGATAGCATGAGCGTGAGGAGGTCAAGCCCCACGATACAGTGACGACGATGTTAATAGAGAGGAACGATTAGAACGATTAGTTATGTGCTGATGTCATGGTACCCCGCGGGTGACTCGTAGAAGACCTGGTTCTGGTGTTGGTGTTGCATCTGGGCGTCGCCAGCCCGGGACCGCGGTCGTCGCCTGAGGCAACACCCCACCGAGGAATAAAATACGGCGGCAGCTCATACGGGGCGGGACGGGATAAAATACGGCGAGGGCAGCACGGGCCGGCACAGGCAGCAGTTCCCTTCGACCCCAATCTTAATCAAGACGCGATCCTCCTGAACCAGCAATCAATCAATCAATCAGGAGGCGGTTGTGCGCCCGAGAATTGACGGGCGCCTGCCTGTTCTGGACGGTCAGGGGAGGCCCAGGGGGCCATCAAATCTCCAATATCTATCTGGTATCTGGTAAATAACTATCCAGTGTTCGCCGGCCCCAACTCGTAACGATACGACGACCCCGATCTCCAGCAGCGTTGCGACCCTGCCTGTCTTTTACGTCATTGCGGTGATCGACTGCTGCATCTTCTTCTTTTTCTTCTTCTCTTCTTCTCTGCCATCAACTTATCTCCTGCTGACCCTCGCAACGCCCCTCCTCCTGCCTCATCCCCCCCACCATCCGGTGTTGTCTGCTCTCGTTGCCGGGGGCTCGATCCCAGAACGCGCCTGCTCAACACACCCCCCTCTCCCCGTCCGTGCCAACCCGTCCGTCCAACCCGACCGACCGCTCGAGGTGGTGATCGACATTACCTGCCCAGAAACCGACGCCGACGATCTCCAGCGCAAGACCCTGAAAAAACCGAGCCCGGCGCAAAGAAATCCAAGGCTCCACGCGCAGACCACCACACCACTGCGCTCCGTCCGTCCCAAGTCCCAACACCTCCTCCACCTCCCACCAACCCACCACACCGACCGGCGAACCAAACTCAACGAGACCGCACCTTGCATCTTGCATAAACCCTCCGAGAAACCCTCGCTGAATCGACGTTTCGAATTCTTTTCTTCCCTCCCCCGCTGCTGGCAATGAAGCTGCCTGGTCTTCCCGTCTCACAAGCACGCGGGATCCTCATCGGGTGGTAGATAGGTAGAAATCGTTCCTGTCCCTTTCGTCGCACCCAGTCCCAGTCGATTCGAGTCCGGGCACACACGCCGCAAGGATCGTGGGACCATGCGGTCGGGGCTTCAGAAACCAGGGGCAATTCCGTTTCTGGCCCTCTTGATCTTCTCGCTGATCAGCTTGGTGCCGTCGTTGGCGAAGGAGTGGGATCTGTATAACTTGCAGCTGGGGTATATTGGTTATTCCCGCGGCGAGGTCCGACGTGCGTTTTTGCCCCTCTTTTTTTTACTCTGGCTGGTTCAAACGGGTTCAAATGAGCTGACAATTCTGGCCGTATAGAGGCGTCTCGAGTCAAAGATAGTTGGGCTGATGTGCGATCGAGGCTACGAGTGCCTGGGGGCCCGTGGAAGCCATGGCTGTTGGATGGATACTACCAAACATATTACGATCGCCCCGCTCGACCGCGGCGTTGCGCCGTGGACGCTCCCTCTCGGAGCACATTCGAGGCGGCCACTGTCTTCGACACCGAGTCTCTGTTTCCGGCCCGGGAGTCGTCCGCGTTTACGAGAGGGGTTCGCGCCTTCAAAGCGATGGTCGTCAAGCGATCGGAAAGTCCGGTGCTCCAGTCATTACCAGCGGAAGGCCATGCCGTTGAGAAATCTCCTACGCGACTTCCTCCCCCTCTCATCAACTCCTCCCTTACCCCTGAACCTCCGTCCGACGGGATTCTCCCCGAGGTACCGCCCAGTAGCAGTCGCACGATACCGCCCCCCAGCAGCATAGTCGAGACCTCTCGATGGTTGATGACTTTTTCCCGTGCATCGTGGCAGCAGGTCTGCCGCGCCGGGGGCGAATACTGGGACAACGTGTCGGTCTGGTCTGGTGCCAGTCCGTCGAGCTCGAGACCCGACAACGGCTCCTCGCATGTCGAAATCCCACGCCGGGACATTCCGCGCGAACAGAGGGTTTCGCCGAAAGCGTTAGCGGCCAATAGCACCGATATGTCGCTAGTCCCCCATGCAATGGCTACAGCGGTTCCCTCGCAGAACACCACAGGCACGGCTGCAGGGCAGTCGAAAGTCGCGGGATTCCAGCAGGAATCCGAGCCGATGCGTCGGGGGAGCTGCATGGCCATTGTAATTGGCTTGGTTGTGGGTGTGATGTGGTTTTAACGCCTGCCTGCCTGTGGACATGACCCATCACTGCCGTCTCATCTCGCTATAGGACTGTCGCAATTTGACATTGCGCTCCTCTCCTCCCACACCAGGGACATTTCTCCCCGTCCCACAAACGGGGCTGGCTTATGATTCTGTGCAGAAATTCTGACGTTTGTGTATTTGTTTCGTGTATATCACTTGCTGGTTGGGGTCTGGTGTTGGACGCCCTTCACTGCTTGATTGCTTCATTGCTTTTTTTCTTCTTCATGCCTTTACGACATTGGATGGTTGGATATCGGATTAGGAACTGGGTGGGCTTCATATGGCCTTACACGGTATCTGCTATGGCTGGCTGGTTGGTTCGTGGCTGTGACCGTAGCTGTGGCCAAGATGGCCCTGGGCATGGACAGTACCATGCTCTCAATATAAATACTTAATGTTTTTTTTTCTTGAGTACGTTTGCAAGTTGTAAATGGTGGGTGGTACTCGATAGGTATGGACGGGGGCGTGGTGTAATTGAGATGATCGACTACAGAAGATACTACAATACAATGTACCAGTAGTAAAAACGTACATAAAACCCAGCAGAAAAGGTAAGGTAGGAATCGGATGTGAATCCGCATCTCCCCCTCCATCTATCTAATATCTATATATAAGTATCTATCTAGACTTTTAGGAAACACCATGCCACTCTACCAATATGGGAACAAAAATGAAAATGAAAATAAAACCAGTAAATAGCGAGGGTATTTGGAAAGGGAGTAGACTAAGCAAGAGTATTCCTTTCTCTCTTTCTGTACAATATAGCAAAAAAAAAAAAGAGAAAAAAAAGAAAAGGGTTAGGGGAAAGAACCAAAAATATTGACAAGAGTGGGATTCGAACCCACGCATCTTACGATACTGCAATACATTCACTTTTTGTTGAAGCGAACAAGGTCATATGATCTCTTGAGTGCAGCTCCTTAGACCGCTCGGACATCTTGCCTGATTGATGGCTGTTGATCCAGACATGGAATTGTTGAGGGGTTGACATGTGGTTGGTTTTGCTGCGACCGCACACACCCTCACACCCCGCGTCCGACGGACAAGCAGATATCAGTAAGTGAGTGAGTGAGTGGCATATGGATGAATGAAAGTAAGGTACTAATTAGTATGAAGGCGGATTCTCATCTGGTTTTGATGTTCTTGGGTGTTTGGTGTCTGATTTGGGGTATCTGGATTTTAAGACGTGTTGTGCCTGGGACTCCTGGTGGTGTATATATGTAAGTATGTGTGTGATGCGGTTTGGTTGCTGTTAGTATCTGGCAGATACAGCTGAGAAACGATTGGAACAATATGAGACTTTTAATTAATATGCTAAATTAATCAAATGTTGTCCATCAGTCTATATATAATCCTGAAAAGACTGTTATAATTTAAGTTATGAATTCCTTTTCCAAAACAAAACAAAACAAACCCAACCTAACCTACTATAATCTACCCTAAACCTCACCCCCCCCTCCATCCTCGCCCTCCCCGCAAACCTACTCCCAGCCCTAATCCTGGCGCCAAACCGAATAAACAAAAACGGAATCCCAGCCATGGCAACCGAAAAGAACCCCAACAGGGAGCTGGCCCAATCGATGCCCAGGGTGCCATACATGGCGGTGGTGGCGAGGGGCAAGCAGACCGCGAAGACGGAGCGACAGGTGCTGGCGGCGGCGGACGCGGAGGCCGAGAACTGCTTGTAGGCGTCGGTGAGGTAGTTCAGCAGCGCGATGAAGATCAGCAGGTAGCCGAAGCCGAAGAACACGCCGGACATCATGGGCATGATGGGGCTGAGGGACGGGTTGGCGGACCAGCCGAGCCAGAAGAGCGCGATGGGGATGGCGGGCGCGCCGATGCAGGCGAGTGGGAGGCGGCGGTATTCTTCGACTCGGGCCCAGGGGTGGCCGGCTTGGAGGGCCTTGGTGTGGTGGGAGCTGTAGAGGAAGAAGACGATGAAGGCGAGGATGGAACCGGGGAGGACTGGGGGGGAAGAGGAGGAGGAGGAGGAGGGTTAGTTGGGTTGGAGGGTGAAAAAGAGGGGGGACTTACTGGGGAGAAAGGCGAGACCGCCTATTCCTGGGGTCATTCCGTAGAGGTCTGTGGGTTGGTTAGAGTGTGAGTGAGTGAATGGTTGGTTTTGGTTTGGTCGGACGGTGAAAGAGGTATATACTAGTATATATATTGACGTACCTTGAAAGACGATGGGGTATGCTTGGAAGTAGAGATACAGCGTGGAATACACCAGGGCAAGATACATTGAGCAGCAGAAGACGATCGACTCCTGGAAGAACATGGCGAAGGGGCGGCCAAGGATCGAGAGCATGGAGGGTTGTGTCTGTGCCTTGGAAGAATCATCACTCGATTCCCCCCCCCGCCGCAGCAAAACAGGCGTGTATGTCTCGGGCATGGTGAGAAGGAAAGGCAAGCCCGGACTCGCGATGATGAGACCGGCCCAGAACGCCCACCGCCACGAGACAGTCGACACGAAGCCCGAGATGATCGGGCCCAGGAGGGGGGGAAACGTGGTTGCGAACATGAACCACGACATCGCCAGCCCCCGTTGGTGAGGGTCGTTGTAGATGTCGGAGAACAACCCGCCCAGGACAGCATTGGGCGCCGAGCCGCCCAGCCCACAGAAGAACCGGAAGACGAGGAGCTGGGCGAAGGTCGATGCGAGGGCACACCCCATGGTGAAGAGGAGGTAGATGGAGTACGTGGCGACGAGCACGGGCTTGCGGCCAACGTGTTCGCTCAGGGGGCCGAAGAGGAGCGGCCCAACGGCGAATCCGGCCATGTAGAGCGAGGTTGGGAGCACCATCTTGAGGCCATCGCGCGGGATGGCGAACTGGCGGGCGATTTCATCGTCGGCCCCGGAGGAGAGTGACGAGCCCAGGGAGCTGTTGAAGACGAAGTAGACCCCGGCGACGACGACGTGGAGTTTGCGGTTCTGTCGTCGAGGTTAGTGTCTCTGTCAGACTATTGAAAGCTCCAGGCTCGTCTCACTCAGCCAGAGCAGGAGAGAGATATTGCCTTGCCATACATACCCTGGAAAAATTGCATGGATTCTCCCGACTTTCTTCAAACGAGGCCGGATTGCGATAATCCGCAGGCAGGGAGATTGTCGTTTTTTCCGACATTTTCTTTCATTAAAAACACAATCAGGTACATTGTCCAAAACATGGAGAATAAAAATTTCCCCACTGCTTGGAAATCAATCAAGATAGTCGAGATCGGCATTGCCTCCGAGGCCAGTTTTCTTCACGATGGGACATTCGGGCTGCTCGCCGACATAGGAGCAGACTGCGCAGAGACTGGATCCGGTATCATGTCGATACAGATCGGCAGTCTGGCCAATGGTGACTGATTTTGTCCTGAATACGGATGTAATCCCCACTGGGTGGAGGTGTGCATCCGTTAGCAGTTAGTAACTGGTTAACTACTCAAGGTTGGTGAGTCAGGGTTTGTTAGTAACAATTGCCGACCAGCCCTAATGAGATCCACCCGTTGGATATCGGACAAGAAAGCATAGCATATCTAGATATGGGGGAGAAATCAGACGTTGGTAAGATAAATTTCTCCTATTTCTCTTCTTTAATCACTCACTTCTCCAGACTGGTCGCAAGTGCCGGTCCTCCAGCCCCCCCCCATCCCCACTGAAACCTCAATCCTATTGGAAGTCTCGACCCCAGACTCCCTCGCAGAAGGAGAACCGAACCAGGTCCCCCGCAGCCGCCCTCGGATATTAATGTATTGATTGATAGTGGGTCGAAGCCACTGTACAAAGTAGGGATGTCAAATTTCAGAAAAAAAAAAAAAAACTTTCTCTTTTCTAAAAGTATCCTATATTATGAATATAGTCCTTATACAGGCGAAGCGTCCGGAAACCCCTACACCTAGGAATCGCCGTTTCAAAACAGAATCCAAGACCAGCCCCGCCAAATCCATGCCATTGCCCCTCACAGCTAGAAATATCTTCCAAGTCTTGAAATTGTGAGTGAATAGGATGGAGACAGTTGTAGATTCTCAAAAGAAGACCATTTTAGGTTCTTGGCCCATTCTTCCTCAACTGGGAGAAGTTCATCGTGTATCACCTCAACTTCAGTCATTGGAATCCGCCGCCATCGTATATACTTGTTCCAACATGGGCTTGTTATAAGTAATTAAACTTCTTCAAATAATTTTACTTCAAGGAGTATCTGAGTTAAGTCCCATACTTTTGTGTGTTCTTTTGACACTTTTAATAATTAACAGAGAGACTTTTCTTTCTATATACAGGACAGCTTATTCCAGAAGTGATCTGGATATTTCTTGTATATAATAATAATAAACTTTTTAGTACTTTTCTTATAGTCGTTAGAAAAGGAGTTGCTCGACTGCCAAAGTAGTTTCTAGTATCTACCAAAACCACAATTCAAAGAACACTTCCTCTGATGATAGGAAATCTTCCTCTCATATAGGCGTCCAGCAAGCCTGGAAGAAAATTGCAGTGGGCGCTCATGTATCAAACCGAAAAGGAAACCTTCCGAACCTTTCCAGTCTATACCTCTATTTCTGACATTTCCCTATCAAAGATAGGACAACCATGCACGACGGGATTCGCCATTTCCGCCGAGTTGTGATAAACCGCTCTGTTACACTTAGGCATGCGCCCTACGCCCTACGCCCTAGGGACAAACGGGGTCCACCCGACCCGCGAGCCAGTGAGTGGTTGGTCAAATAACCCCATCTTCCCGCGTTCTCGGCAGTCAGCACCAGCGCATTCTACTCCAACAAACACATCATGTCCTCCGACCACCCCCCCACAAGCCAAAGTCACATCCACATCCACATCCTCGGCCTCGGCAGCATCGGCTGCTTCGTCGCGCACGCCCTGCGCTCCCTCCCCTCGCCCCCCAGAGTCACCCTCCTCCTCCACCGCGAGGGCCTGCACCAAGACCTCGCAGCCCGAGACGGGAAACTCTCCCTCCAGATCCGCGAAGATGGGCCCGTCCACGAGACATCCGGATACGACTGGGAGCTTCTCCCCCAGCAGCAGCAGCAGCAGCAGCAGAAAAGTCTGACCACCGACCCCCCAATCCACTGCCTAATCGTCACCGTCAAAGCCTCTGCCATGATCGCCGCCCTCCACCCCATCAAACACCGGCTGGGGAAAGCCTCCACGATCTGTCTATTTCAAAACGGCATGGGCCAGATCGAGGCCCTGGACGAGGAGATCTTCCCCGACCCCGCGACCCGTCCAGCGTACATGTTCGGCATCGTGCGTCACGGCGTGTATCTGGCTGCTCCTTTTCATGGGATCCTTGCCGGGTTGGATGGGACCATCACCATCGGAGAGGTCGAGCGATCGCTGCCCACCAACCCGAATCCCAATCCCAATCCCAACCCTGCTGCACCCTCCACTACACCTTCCCCATCAACCACCCACCTAAGCACCACCCTCCTCACTGCCTCCCTCCTCAACGGCACCCTCCTCCCCTGGTCCGCCCTCCTCCCGATCCAACTCCACAAACTCGCCGCCAACTGCGTGCTCAACCCGCTCACCGCCCTCCTGGACGTCCGCAACGGCGCGATCCTGCAAAACCCCTCGGTCTGGCCCCTCCAGCGACAGCTCGTGGAGGAGATCTCGGCGGTGTTTCTGCGGCTGCCGGAGTTGGCGCATCTGGGGGCGGAGGCGCGGACAGAGCTGTTCTCGGTGCGGGCGATTGAGGACGCGGTGAGGGGCACGGTGGAGAAGACGGCGGCGAATTCGAGTAGTATGCGTGAGGATGTGAGGAGGGGGAGGGAGACGGAGATTCGCTTTATTAATGGGTGGGTGGTTGGGCGGGGGAGGGAGGTCGGGGTGGGGTGTGTGGGGAATGAGATGGTGATGGGGTTGGTGTTGGCGAGGGGGTGGAGATGATGGTATTGTGTTGTTGTTGTTGTTGTTGGTGTGGAAAGGAGGATTTGTATCGAGGTCGAGGAATATGATGCTTTTCGAAAAGCGTGGATACAAGCATTATGATCGAGCGCTAAACTCTACTGGGACCCCGACAAATTTAATTTTATGGGGTAATCTGGAGCCGGGTTATACTATAGACAATGTTGATACCATTTACAAGACTACTTCCTATATCTTCCCCCACTACCATTATAACTACCACAACCACCACCTCAATCATTATTAACCCCCCCCCCCCCCCCAACACCCCCGAAGTTGGTCCGATATATGTACTTATATTTGATGTTCAGAAGTATAGCCTGCGTGGGTAGTCCGGTTCTACCTCAGTCTGGGCGTTGAGGATGTTTCTGTCCGGGTATCGAGTATACAAAGACAATTCATATTTAAGCTCATATATAGCTGGCATAATCAACACTCCACTCCACTCCCTCAGCTATTTACCATCTACCCCAGTGACGTCGACATACCAGCCCTGGCCGGCCGGCCATCTCGATCCAGGCACCCATACATACATACATACATACATACATACATACATACATACCACTTGACATTCCAGCTCCGCAAACCCTGATATCATCAAGAATGCATCCCAGCAGTAGAACCACCACGCACCTCGCCTCACCTCCCTTCACCTATAAAGCTAGCAAATCCCATCCATCCCCTACACTTTCCTCTCCTCTTCCTCCCTCCCTCCTTCCCCTCCCACAACTCCTCCAGCCCAACCATGAAAACAACCACCACCACCACCACTCTCCTCAGCCTCCTCTTCAGCCTCGCCCTCACCGGCCTCGGCCTCGCAGACAAAACCTGCACCCCGAGTTTCGACTACTGCTCGGACCAGCTTCTCAACTCAAAGGGTACGTCTTCCCCCCTTATCCCCATCATCCATCATCCATCATCCATCCCCCGTGATGGAGCCAGCCAGCGAGCCAGCCACCCCGCCAACAAGAAAGAAAGAAAGAAAGATAGATAGATGAAAGGAAAAGTAAAACAAAAAAAAACACACTAACAAATACCCCCTCTACTACGATCCGAGAACAGGCTTCACCACATCCGACCTTAACACCGCCCTGCAAGGCACGGGCTACGAGAACGAAGACCTGAAGAACATCCTCTTCCACTGCACGAATCCCGGCGCGGTGGGACACGCCAAGTTGTGTGCGAACGGATGCAAGGATTCGGCGCAGGAGGGGAGTCATGGGTGTGATGGGTAAAGGAATGGGTTACTTTTGATTTCGTGTTGGGGTGTGTGTAGGTTATTTTTATTTTATTTTTTATTTTTATTTTATTTTTTTCAATTATTGTTAGGGGTGGTGGTGGTGGTGGTGGTTTAGCTAGTTACTAGTATAAATGGTTGTTGGGTTTCCTGATTTGATTGGGATGGATAAGTCCTGGTAACCAGCTCCGTAGATGCTCTGTATATGTAAGTCGGTTCCTAGGAGTGGGAAAGCCTAAGAGGGGGTGGAGGAATGGGTTGCTGGTTGCTGGTTGCTGGTTGATGGTTGCTGTGGGGGCGGAACCATGAACGAGGCCGATGGCCAGGGAGGTTTGGGATGGTTGGATACTGTAAGTAACTAACTATGGAATCGCAGGGGTAATATTTCAATAGTAAGTAAAGGTAGTAATGAAAGTGAGACATTAGCGAACAAGATAGGTAGTTCCGACTGACAGTCTGTATCCAGACCAGGGGTTCATTTATGTGGTTCATAGTCATAATGAATGAGGATAGGATCCCATTGAATGGATGTGTCTTCCGGGTTAAGGTTAGGATCCTCCGGGCCCCGGCCCGTCTGGTGGGTTGTGGGTTCGGTGACGGTTGACGTCCGGCGCAGAGGCCACCGGAACGGCGACGGAGAGGAAATCAGGCAGTTAGACGAGGGTTATTTATAGGGCCAGACGGAGACCAGCTGTCACTGTCAGAAGATCAAAGAGAGAGACAGAGAGAGAGAGAGTCGGAGTCAGACACGGGCTGTGATTTCACCCGCCGAGCATCCCCGTCTTTCTTTCAGTCCCATTGGCCCCTGGACAATCAACCGAACAAGGGGCACCGACGCCCGCCAGCACCCACCAGCAACTGCCAGCAACTGCCAGCAAGCCACAGCCCCCCCTCAATAAAGCGGCGCCAGTTGACGCGCCCGCCGCAACACGAACGATCTCTCCCTCCTCTCTCCATTCTCTCTCTCTTTCCCCTCCGGTTCCTCCCCCTCGCCTTCCTGTCCTGACCTGCGGGTACCTCCATAGCTGGTCTATTCCCTCCCTTTCCTCCCCTCCACACCCCACGGAGCCTCTTCCCTTCTTCCCCCGATCCCGATTACCCGATTGAGATCGGGATACCATCACCCGTCATTCACCACATTCACCACATTCACCACCACCACCACCATCACCCGAAATCCCTCGCTGCCACTTTCAAGAAAGCTGCAGTCGGAAATGTCCGACCTGTTTCGTGACAACCGAACCCCCTGTTGCATGTGCCGCCTGAAGAAGCGGCGATGCGACAGGGGCAGACCTGGTATCCCCCCCCCCCTTCCCTCCCCCTTCCGGTCAGCCCGGCCACGCTGACCCCCCAGCCTGCGGAGAATGCAAGAAACGGCGCGTGTCCGGCCAGTGCTCCTACAAGCCTGAGGACATGCCTCCCCCCCGGTAGGTTTGGGTCTGTCCTTCCCGTGGCCGGTGGGCCCATACCCATACTGATGCGGTGATGCCCCCCCTCCCCCAGCTCGCACAAGCGGACCAAGATGGCCCACGCGCCGGACGACACCATGGAGGTGGTCGTCCCCCTCCCGTCGTCCGAGCTGCGGCCCCGAACCCGCGATTATCTTCCCAACGCCCTGGTCGGTCAGTCGCGCGAGAAGCGCGGGGCCGAGAACCGCCCTCGTCCTGCCCCCCCCCGCCGCGATCGCGACGACTCGGTCGAGATATACTCCGTCTCCTCGGACCAGAGCTACCAGACAGCCACTCACTCCCCGCCCTCCGGCATCAACGCGCACATCTCTCGCCTGCAGAATGCTGTCGACGACCGGACGGGCCGGTTCAAGGCCGAGGCCTCCGTCGAGCAGGACCTGTTTGCCCTGCGCCCCCCCGGCCTGGCCAACGGGCCGCGCTCCGACGCCCGCGACACCAGCATCGCCGAATCTCCCGCCCAGCTGCCCTCGGACCTGATGGAGAATCTGATCGCGACCTATCTGGGCCGGGAGTATGTGAACGGCCCCATCTTCGACCTGGCCGAGTTCCAGGCCGCCTGCGACGAGGTGGGCGACATCCACAACGTCGCCGCCGGGTCGAGTGGCTTCCATGCCATCCTCATGATGGTCCTCAGCCTGTCCGGGCTGCGATACAGCCGCATCGACGAGGGCTACCTGGAGTCGCTCTTCAAGCACGCCCAGCGACTGACCAGCGCGTCGGACTGGTCGGACAGCCCTTGGATGCGCGTCCAGTGCCTCTTCCTCCAGGGCCAGTATCTCTACGCGACCGGCAAGCCCAAGCAGGCATGGGCCCTGGTCGGGTACGCCCTCCGCTCCATGCAGCTCCTGGGACTCCAGTCCAAGGCCGGCGGGCCCAGCGGCCGGGAGCGGCAGCAGCGCGAACTGGGCCGGAGGCTGTGGCACAGCGCCGTCATCCTGGAGCGGATGCTGGCGCTGCAGATCGGCATCCCGCCGCAGATCGCCCACCCCCTGCAAGTCCCCTTGCCGACGCACTTGGATACTGACTACATTGATTCCGTCTCGGGCGGGTCGCCCAGCGCCGGCGGGGACCGGCCGTCCGTCATCGAGTTCCTGCTCGCGTGCGCCCGGCTGTACGGCCACGTGGAGGGCATCATGGCGTGGGAGACGGAAGCGCGCGTGCGCCACGATAGCTGCGCCGCGAAGAAACTCCTGGCGCTGGACGTCGCGCCGTTCCTCAAGGCGGACGCGCTCCTGTACGACTGGCAGGTCTCCTTGCCCTCGTTCCTGCAGGCCGACGGCGAGTTCGAGCCCTCGGACGACCCGATCGTCCGGCGACAGTGCGACATCCTCCGCGCCCGCTCCCTGTACATCCGCCTCCGCCTGTACCGGCCCCTGCTGGCGCTGGGCCTGGCCCTGCCGGCCAAGTGCAGCTGCCGCCCGGGGGGGCACCCGCACATGACGGGCACGGAGGCGGGATCGACGGACTCGCCGATGGTGTACAACATGGTGCGCGACACGTCGATCAAGTGCGCGGCGGTGGCGATGGAGCTGGTGGACGCGATCGAAGAGAACGAGGACGGGCTGCTGGACGGCGGGGACGACGATACGTGGCGCAGCTCGGGGACGCCGTACTGGGAGAACGTGGACTACCTGTACGCGTGCGGGACGGTGGTGCTGGCGGCGAAGCTGCTGACGCCGGAGTTCAACAACCCGCGGCTGATCAGCGCGCTGCGGCTGAAGAAGTGCTGGGCCAAGGTGCTCTCGCTGCTGCGGCAGTACCGCGACCTCCGGCCCACGGGCGGCCCCCTCGCCAAAGCCGCGCGGGTGTGCCAGAACACGCTGGAGAGCCTCGCGGAGGCGCTGGAGCGCAGCGCGGCGGGCAACGCGACGGCGGGGCTGGACGAGGAGACGCGCAGCCGACTGACGGAGCGCACGATGGACACGCCGGCGCGCAGTCGCGGGGGGCCGAAGAACCCGCCGGGCAGTCACCGGGTGTATCTGGGCTGGATTGAGAGCTTGCCGGTGGATTTGGATGGCGAGGTGGAGTGAGCGCGATCGTTTTGATACCCGGCGTTTGGCATGACTCAGCAGGGTAGATATTCCTACATCCTGGCTGTTGGTTTTTGGCATGAGATAGATTATCCACTTCAAATACTTATTCTCTCTATCTCCAACTGTATATCTAGTATTTACTTATATCGGACCGAGCTCCGAGCGACTCCTCGGGCCGTCCCCGTCCCCGTCCCCGTCTCCAACACCCCGCCAATCGTCCCGGGCCTCGGGCTCGGGCTCGGGGTCCGGGCTATTGTTGCCACGAGCCCCCACTTCTCATAATCACTACTAGCACTATACATACATCCATACTTGCATCGATCCATCCATCCACACATACATACATACATATAGAGTAACTAGTAAGATAGTAAGACACAGAGTAGACCCATCCATAAACATCAGCGATAGGATTCTCTCACACCAATCCGTTCTCTTTCTCGATTCATTTATCTTTCAAATTTTCTTTTATCCTCTTCTCTGATCCATCCATCCATCCACCCCCCTTCAGTCTTTATTCCAATCTAATCCGAGAGATCATATGCTTCATTATGATTATGATTTATCATGTCTGATATCCTATCAGACATCCCGTAAGAGTAACAAGTAGGAGTAACAACCAACAACTCAAGAATAACAAAACCTCCTGGTTTGCAAAATTGCAATTACCAACCAACCAACCAACCGGCCGCGTTCAAGGTCCTGATATATTTCACTGCATTTTTGTCTTTCTGGTTTCTGTTATTTATGTGGGATTTATCTGGTCTTGGTGGGGAGGGTGGAGGGTGTCGTTGGGAGATGACATGATATGATGGGGATGGGGATGGGGATGGGGGTGGGGATGGTATATATGTATAGAGTAAGAAGAGTGTGGATGTTCATGCTTTTGTATAATTTAATTTATATTATATTATGTCATATCATGTCATGTCATGTCATGTCATGATATTCATATTGTTGGTTTCTGGTGGGGGACTGTTGTTGTGGTTGTGGTTGTGGTTGTTGTTGTTTGGATGGGGGGTTGGACTTGATATATATGATTACGAGGAAGATACCTAAGGTACTATACGTAGGAGTAGAAGGGGATAACATGGGCTGGACTGGACTGGGTTAATTTAATTGATCCATCTATCTACGTAGAAATATTGGATACTCGATACTGGATACTCGATACCGCGTGTATTGTTTCGTCGCCCCCCCCTGCTTGCTCTACACGGCCGATGATGCTGACCCAGCGAAGATCAAGTTCCCGTCTGTTCGCGAAGGGTGAGACGGACGGGGGTTACCGGCGTGGAGTATAGTGTTTGCAGTAGCTAATGAGGCGCTATGGCCATGATGAAGATTGAGATGAGGGAGGCGTTGAGAATGTATTTCCAATCCCGGCCGATTCCTTGATGGCCTATTTATCGGACCTGGGGTACCGGGGGAAATAACGGGTGTCTGGTGCTCGACTCATCCAAGGATCTGGGCCGTGATCGAACGCATTCGCAGAATGCCGTGGTGAATGGAGAGGGCCGGTATTATGATCTATTGTGTTGGTGGCGAGGACGTGAGGGGTATATCGATTCTATATGGCGTGTTTTTCTCTGTTGTTGCTTTTGTTGGTGGGGAGGAGAGTGTGTGTGCGGTGGTGATGGCCGATGGATGGATGGGTAGACTCGGTGGTGCAAACGCGGTGGCTGTCAACGTTTCGGTCGAACGCGTTGGAGATGGCAAGAGCGCAAGAAAGCTGCAGCAGTTCCCTCGAACTAGCTCGTTTGACGGGTAATCGACCGTCTGTTGGGTGTTTATGATGGTATTGGACAGAAGTGTAGCTACTTCTCCGCCGCGTCGATGAGCGTCTCCATCTCCTGCTCCGTCCACCGATGGAACAGCTTCTTCGGGTCGGACAGGGCATCGCCCGCGACGGACTGCACGTGCAGGACAGGCACATCGAAGTCGTAGACGTCCTTCCAGGCCTTGTTGGCGGGCAGCTGGATGTCCATCTCGGCGTAGTCGAAGGGGCGGCGCTTGTGCAGCTGCGAGACGGTGAGTTTGGCGGTGTCGCAGAGGCCGCAGTTGGCGCGGGTGAAGAGGGTGACGCGGGCAGCCTGAAGACGAATGGCTGTGGGGAACATGATGCTGTTGCTGTTGCTGTCCGAATTGGCGGAGTTATGATGATGATGGTGATGGAAGGAGGAAGACCGACAATGGAACCTTCGAGCTGGCCCGCTCGGCCCGCTAGCCCGTTTGGGCGGCTCCATCCAGCGTTCGTTCTTCTGATCGTCTCTCGATGCGACGAGAGCATCTTCGTCCATCCGGATCTGCCTGCGGTCTGCCCGTCTGCTTTAACCTCCCTCTCTACATCTCCGCGTCTCCGCGTCTCCACGTCTTGCGTCTCGAGTCTCGACCCTCCAGGATGGCCTCCAAGTGTCTGCACAAGGGCTGCGGGAAGGAATTCACCGACGCCGACGAGCCCTGTGTCTACCACCCTGGCCCGCCGGTCTTCCACGAAGGCCAAAAGGGTAAGTGAATCTGTCAAGCAAGCAAAGACCGATCTTGGGGTTCTTGTCATGCATTGGATTCTCGCCTGATTTCTCCCTTTCATCCATGACTCATAATTAACCCACCGCCTCCCCACCAGGCTGGAAATGCTGCAAACCCCGCGTGCTCACCTTCGACGAATTCCTCGCCATCCCACCCTGCACGACGGGCACCCACTCCACCGTCGACGACACCCCCGTCGAGCCCCCGAAGCCCGTCGCCGAAGAGCCTGCGCCTGCGCCTGCGCCATCGCCGTCGCCTGCGACGCCCGTCCCGGACAGCGGGGTGCCCCGACCGGCCATCTCGCCGGCCATTGCCCCTCCGCCGGCGCCGTCGCCCGCCCCCGAGGAGCCCGACTCCGACGACCCCTCGCTGGAGATCGCCGCCAACGCGACCTGTCGCCGCCGCGGCTGCAACAAGGGCTACGATGCCAGCATCGCCCGCGAGGCCGAGAAGTGCCTGCACCACCCGGGCCACCCGATCTTCCACGAGGGTAGCAAGGGGTGGTCGTGCTGCAAGCGGCGGGTGCTGGAGTTTGACGAGTTCCTGAACCTGCCGGGGTGCGTCGAGAAGACGAAGCATCTGTTTATTGGGAAGGGGAAGCCGGCGGGCGAGGAGAAGGTGGAAACAGTCAGGTATGCCCTCTCTTTGTGCCCCCTCAAACCAAAACTACGCAAGCTATGCTACAATAAATGGCCGGAAGGAAAGTGACTCATGATTAATGATCATCTCTAGGAACGACTTCTACCAAACCTCCTCCTCCGTGAACGTCTCCCTCTACCTGAAAAAGATCGACAAGGCGCAGGCCAAGGTCGAGTTCTCTGCGACTGCGATCACGCTGGACCTGCCCACGACGGACAACAAGCGCTACACGGACACCTACCAGCTGTTCGCGCCCATCGACCCCGAGAAGTCGCAGTTCCGCGTGCTGGGGACCAAGCTGGAGCTGACCCTGGTCAAGGGCGACGGCACCAGCTGGCCGGTGCTGCGCAGCGATGACAAGTGGACGGGCGAGCGGATTCAGATTGGCAATGCGGGACGCGTGTGATAGATGATATGAATACCAGGATGATATAGATTGGAGTTCCGCAGCGTGACGAATGATTATACTTTGGTTTTGGATGGATATGACATCGAGGATGGCAGTAAACATGCACACCATGGCATGTTGGATGGGTGTATGGGAGAGTACGGTACGGGACAATAAGAGTACACCGTACCACTGACAGTGATTGGGATGGCATATGGCATGTACGGAGTACATGGATGCCAAATCCATCAGGCAAGCACAGTGACAGCCAGCCAACCATACATAGCAGACCGTCAGGCTGTACCACATGTCCACTAGAAAAAAGCTAGACAGACAACATAACTAGAATGCAACACATACCAACACCCGCATGCATAGCACACCAATCAATCAATCTACTACGCAAGTCGCAAGCAATACGAAAATCCAAACCATCAGACCCTGCGAAACTGACAATCGAAAATCCCACATCGCCCACACAAAAACCCTCAAGTATTTCTTTTTTCTTAAAAAAAAAAAATACACAAGGTATATAAGAAAAAAAAAAGAATGTAACACTCCCCCCCAAGACCAGACGCATGGGGATCCAACCTCTCGGAAAGAAACCCTAGCCAGGCCATAAACTGGGAAAGAACGCCTTAAAAACTCTGCTCTATGGAGCCGGGAACGGAGGAAAACCCATGGAGAAAACAATCCCATACAGAATAACCCTCAGCGAGCCGTACGGTGACGGAGCCCCAATCTTGTAAAGTAAGTTTACATTAACATTGAAGATAAGTAAACCACTACTGATGATGGAGAAGGAAAAGAAAAAAAGAAGACTTTAAAGGGAGGAAGGGGGGGTTGGGTTTTATAGGAAGGGTAAAGTGGAGACGCTAGGGGGGTTTGGGGCTAGGAGGGTTACCGAGGGGGGAGGGGAGAGGGTTAGGGTAGAGTTGGTCAGGTGGGATATTTGATTGGGGGGGGGGAGGGAGAGGGGAGGGGAGGGCAGGAGGGAGGAGGGAGGGATCACATGTAAATTTGTGATTTGGTTGGGGGGATGGATTAGGTTAGTGCAATTTGCGTATTGTATGGCTGGTATTGACGGGACGGAACGAGACGAAACGGGACGGGGCTGGTAAGGTAAGTAGGGTAGGGCCAGGATAGGAAGGTGTACTCGTGGAGGTTAAGGCATCCAATTGTGGGATTTGTTGGGATTATGAGGTGGGAGGAGGACATCTTCAACTGGACCATACAGCTAAAGGTTCCGCTATTGGAATTAGCCGGATGGTGACATTGGAGACTAGATACTTCTTACTTCTTTGTAGTACTAGATCGTGGCGAGACGGACTATATCTATCACGCCTTAGAGGAAGAAGGCAAGATAAGAGTGTCTGCTGCATAGGAAAAAGTCTTTATTTCGAGTCATCACTGCTGCTCACATCCAGCAAAGACAATAGGGGTCTGCAGCTGAAATGATTAATGCGCTTGCTGCCTGCATGTGGACGGTCTGGTGTAACCTGCTGTTTGACACTCGACGACGACAGCAGGTTTCCCCTTGCAAAGATGCCCTATTCATCAGACATTGTTTGACTCGATTATCTTATAGATGCAGCTCTCGCGTCAATTCTATCTATCCAGACTAGTTATACCATAGGCATGTGTAATGGCACGTACCTGATACGGTAATACCGACATGTATTGCCCCTGTCGCGCACGTGCAACCCCTGGCAATAGTAGTACTCTGTAGACAGCACACCAGGTACCTGAGGGAAGGATAAGGACAGTCCCTCGAAGTGTGCAGCTTACTACGGAGTAACTACTCCGTCAGTCTGCTGTACGGTACTGCTGTAACGCCGTCGGAAACAGACACGCTTGGCGGTGAAGCGGAAAAGGAGGGGCTTCAGGCCCGCCGCCGCCTCCAATCACCGCCCCGGGCACGAGACCAGCAACACCACTTCTTCTTCTCTTCTCTCGCCTCCTGTTCGCTTCCCCTTCATCTCCCCTTCTTCCCATCATTCCGCTGCCTGCCCAGAGTATCAATTGCCGGCCAATTCTGCTCTCCCAGCCTACCCACGGGCTCACCCACTGCAGACACCACTCTCCCCGGATCCTTTGTCTCTGGTATGTCCATGCGCTATATACTTCCTCCCCTTGACCCTTATCGGCCAACAATTCCCATCCCCTGTGGCTGACCTCTCCAGAGTCTAGAACCGACTGCCCTGCGTCTCCGATAAAGAAAGACCCGGTCGCCGCTCCTCCCTCCATCCCTCACTCCCTCCCTCCCTCCACCGTCACCATGCCCTCCGAAACCACCAAGCCCATCCGCTACATCCCCCTATCCTACAACCATGCCGACTCGCAGGCGTCCGCGCTGCGGCTCGTCCTGACCCTCAACCCGCACTGGGAGGGCCCCGACAACCAGATCGAATTCGTGCGCTTCACGGACGGCATCACCAACACTGTGTGTTCCACGCTGCAGCAGCTTGTCCGTAAGCCAGAACAAAACTGAGAAAAACTAACGCGGCCTAGCTCCTTAAAATCATCAACCGCAAGCCCGGCCTGTCGGAGGAGCAGATAGACAACGAATCTGTACTGATGAGAGCGTACGGTAACCACACAGAGATCCTCATAGACCGCGAAAGTATGCACCCGGTCCACTCGTCCCTTGCCCATTGCGACACCTGCTGAGTAGATGTTTCTATCTTATAGGGGAAACGAGCTCCCACGCTCTCCTCGCCAGCCATGGCTTAGCCCCCCCTCTGCTGGCGCGCTTCCACAACGGCCTGCTGTATCGCTTCCTGCGCGGCCGCCCCGCCAGCCACGAGGACCTGGTGACCGGCATCGTCTGGCGCGGCGTGGCCCGCCGCCTGGCGCAGTGGCACGCCGTGCTGCCCACCGAGGCGTCGGCCGCCCCGGCAGAGGCCGTGCCCATGACGCGCCCAGTAGACGTCGAGTCCCTGAAGCTGAAGAAGGACGATCTGACCCTGATCACGCCGCAGCAGCCGGGGCCGAACATGTGGACCGTGATGCAGAAGTGGATCCTGGCGCTCCCGACGGCCACCGACGAGCAGCGCCAGCGCCGCCTCAACCTGCAGAAGGAGCTCGAGTGGGTGGTCCGTGAGCTGGACGATGGAACCGGGCTGGGCGAAGGCGGAGTACGTAGCTCATTCTTCCAAGCAACCGCACGCTTTTCTTATTAACCCCTAACCCCCATTTCCCCCCCCATAGTTGGTCTTCTCGCACTGCGACCTGCTCTGCGCCAACGTCATCGTCCTGCCCGACGGGGTCACGACAGCCGACGGCGACGCCACGGCGACGGTCAACTTCATCGACTACGAGTACGCCACCCCGTCGCCGGCCGCCTTCGACATCGCCAACCACTTCGCCGAGTGGGGGGGCTACGACTGCGACTACAACATGATGCCGACGCGGACGGTGCGCCACCAGTTTCTGTCCGAGTACGTGCGGAGCTACAGCCACCACCGGGGGATCCCCGAGGAGTCGCAGCCGGAGATCGTCGAGCGACTGTACGAGGACGTGGATCGGTTCCGCGGGATTCCGGGGCTGTACTGGTAGGTCTTTCCTTCCTCCCCCCCCCCCCCCCTTGGATATCCGCTCCAATGCTAATCAGAGTAGGGGCGTGTGGTCTCTCATCCAGGCGCAGATCTCGCAGATCGACTTCGACTACGCGTCATACGCGGAGGTGCGGCTGGGCGAGTACTACGCGTGGCGGCGCGAGCTGGACGGGTCGCGGGCGCAGGCGGGCGAAGAGATGCCGTTGCGCGAGCGGCGATGGGCGCAGGAGGCGTGATGAGTTGCCGGATGCAGCTGATGAGGAAAAGTGTATATACAGGATTTTGCATGCCAGTAGGTTCAGCGAGCATGACGCGCCTTGTTAGACCGAGGGGGGTGATGTTGGAGACTTGGAGGAGTACCTAGGGTGGTGCTGCGCATTCTTGTGTATAGGTTAGTTATGATTGATTGATTGTTGATAGATAATGTAATCGATGGATATGGATATGGTATGACTTGCAGAAGTAAAGGTAACATGAACTTAACGAGCATTATCTCTATCCCACCCATCGTCTAGCTGTTCTACATAAGTACATAACCAACCATCATATATATACATCTATCAAACAGATTTATCTACAACCTCCCCTGCACCGGCGCATCAAACCTCCCCTCGCCCTCCTGGACCTCCTTCTCCGCCGGAACAAAATCCACGCCCGGCACAGGGCGCACCACACCAACCCTCCTAATCAACTCCTTCCAACTCTCCAACCCCCTCCTCGCATGCTCCCTGACGACGGCCTCGCCCTCGTCCGCCAACGTCCTGGAAAACAACTCCAACGACACCCAGCCCTCAAACCCGGTATCGAAGAAGGCCCTCGCGGTGTCCTCGATAGGCAGATACCCGCCCCTATCCTCCTCGAACGCAAACAGCCGGGCATTCCGGGACCAACTCATCCTGGCCGGCTGCCCGGGGACGAAAAACGGATGCTTCTCGTCCAACGGACCCCCCGGCACTCTCTCCCCATCCACCACCTGGATATAAAACACCTTCTTGACATCGACCTCCGTCCGCAGTCTCTCCAGCGAGACCCGCAGATCGGCCGCCGCGTTGGGCGTGCATCCGCTCTCGGCCGCCGGATCCGCATACACCCGGCCCGCGAGGTTGAACGTATCCAGACAGATGCCGAAATTGTCGCGGTCGACTCGGGTGACGATCTCGTAGGCGTCTTCCCAGAGCGAGACGACCGTCCCCCACGCCAAGGCCTCGTAGACGAATCGGAACGGGGGCGATTGCTGCGCGCCCAGGTCGGCGAGCTTCTGCAGGTCCGACACGATGACGTCCTTGTTGGACGTGACTTGGTCCGCCGGGAGGAAGTTCGACGGCACCTGGATCATGTCCGTGCCGAGGATGCGGGCCAGCGTGAACCATTGGGGGAGTTTGCTGGTCAGGAGCCGCGTGTGCTCGCTTCGGTCGACCAGGCCTTCGTAGAAGGAGAAGGGCTGGAGGCAGATGATGCTCAGGGAGAGCGTGTCGCAGAGCGCGCGGATGGAGTGCGCCGCCGCGATGTGGTCGCCGGAGTGGTGCGTCTGCGCGTGGTGCTCCAGGTCGTCGAAGAAGAGCTCAATCCCCGAGTATCCGTGTCGAGAGGCTTCGTGGAGTTTGGTCGTGAGCGCGTGGATGCCCGGTCGCCCGAGGGACATGGAGGCTATGCCGAGGCGGTTGGGCATTTTGGCCGTTGTGATGTGGTTGTAGTTATGGTTGTCGGTGATGTGAGAGGTGTGAGAGGTGAAAGGTGAGAGAGAATTGGAAATGGGGCTAGATCGGTAGTTATATAGCCGTGTCGTGTCGTGTCGTGTCGTGTTGTGTCGTATTGTTTGTTCGTGTAAAAAAAAAAAAAAAAAAAGCAAGCCCGATCAATAGTCCCGTCGAGACTATCAATGTGATATCGAAGTATACTATACTATCAACCTGACAGCCAGCAGCAGCCAACGCGATCACCAGAAATCCAAATAGGAGCAAGGTAAAATAAGCGCCGCCGATCGCCAATCAACTCAAAATGCAATCGGTGAAGAAAAGTGCAAGTGCAAGTGCTCGTGCGTCCTGCAGGATCATGCAGCGGAATTATGATGTATCTCTTTTTCTTTCAAAAATCAGGAACACTCGTACTCTTCCACTGATTGGTAACCCCCCCCCAGTCTTAAGTATATTCGGGAAGAACGTTCCTCGCTGGCCGGGCCGATTAGGGCTGCCAGTACCGGGGGGGGGGGCCGGGAAAGCGCTTTGCCCGGTGTGTTTAGCCGGGTTGGAGGGAGACGGAGACGGAGACGGAGACGAGACAGACACGGTCGGGTCGGACGGAGATGGATGGGTCGGCCATCCGTATGGGGACCGGGGTGGCGGCATCTACTATCTACTATCTATCTAGTGGTACGGTACTCCGCAGTCCGCGATCCGCTTTTTCGGAGATGCGTGGGCCGGCTGTGGGAGGCTTGGTAATAATATTAATGGTCGGGTCTGGGGATGGGATGGGATGGGATGGGATAGGTTACATCATTTGAATACCCAGATGATGGCAGTTGGTTGACTGTGAGGGTGATGGGCCGATGGTTGAGGGCTGAGGGCCGAGGGCTATAAAAGTGATGTTTCTCCTGTCCTGGACAGAGCAAAAGTACTGGCAACTCAATTGCCTTGCCTTGGCGATTGGCTGTGGCAAATAAATCTTCAAACCCTTCAATCCTTCCCCGTTAAACTCCAGGGGCGATGTCGACCACATGACCACTGATCCAGCAGAGCACAAGCCATCTCTCATCACTCCAGGTACTTCTGGTAATATCGGTTCTCTTATCCGAGTAAATATCTGGTATCCTAGATTGCTAAAAAAAAGATGTCATCGCCATCCATCCAACATCGTTCCTCAGTTCTCCAAGTACAGGGAAAACCAAACCACCGCATCAAACGAGTTGTGATAGATGACCAATTCAGCAAAAAACAAAAATGAAACAAAAAAAAAACAGAAAATACTACCCAGATTGTCTCAGAAATCCTGACCAGCCAATTAAGAGGACCTGAAATTCCACATCACCATCAATTCCAACTTATCAACTAGCCAGCCGGCAGCGCGTCTAACCCTCTCGACGTTGTCTCTTGCATCCCCCCCCTTCATCGGCGTCTCCCTGCCTCTTGTGATGTGGTGAGTTGTCTCTCACAAACAGACTGTCCCTATTACTTGCCATCAAGCATGTCAGCGCTGTCTCCCAAGTAAGTGAGGAGTCCCTTACGAATCATCATCAGGTCTAGGCGGGACGACACGCTCATCGGCGCCCGATTCTCCACCCAGAGACTGCGCGGGATCCGAAACCGGGGGTATAGTAGGAACAGTAGCAGGAGCTCTGGCAGGAGTGGTTACAGGAATAGTAGCAGGGATCGTAGCAGGGATCGTAGCAGGAATAGCAGCAGCAATCCCAGCATATGGGCACAGCTCAGCTTTCACAAAAGTGTCTACCGAGACGGGGCTCTGGGTAGTCTGCTTGCTGTCTACAGCGGGCACCGGAGCAGACAGAATTTCAGGATATTCATCGCAGTAAAAAGACGCCCTGACGAGAGCTTTGTCGTTGAAGATGGTTGGGGACGTCTCCACGCCTTCCATGTCTGTGGGAATCGCTTCTGTCACGGCTCCGGTGGTGTCAGCAGGCTTAGGTATAGCGCTTTCTGGTCTTCTCGGGCTACTCCCTTCTTCCATTTCAAAATCGCTATCCCCAGAGTCCATAGAGTCATCCCCACAGTCATCCATACGGTGCCCACTGTAATCCGGTCTTGCGAAAATCATCTACGAGCGTCAGTGGCGAAAGAAGCCCCAGATAGTGAACTTACCAGCCCAGTCTCCCTCTCAGTCTCCTTCTCAGTCTCCCTCTCAGACTCCCTCTCAGACTCCCTCTCAGTCTCCCTCTCAGTCTCCCTCTCAGTCTCCCTCTCAGTCTCCCTCTCAGACTCCCTCTCAGACTCCCTCTCAGTCTCCCTCTCAGTCTCCCTTTCAGTCTCCATCTCTTCCTCCAGCTCATTCTCATCTGTCGTGAAGTAGAGCTCTCGTACATTGGAGCCATCCTCCAAGCGCCAGCCCTCGATACCTAGCATCTTCCGTAGCTCTGCACTCGCTTTGGCCTTAATATACTTGCACTGTTCTTCCTTAATCTGCTCCGCCAGGCTCTCGTCGTCCATATTGTCTTGCCCCCTAGCCCCAAGCTCATCGACCTCCCTCTCGATGCGCGACCGGATATCTGCGGCAATCTGCGGCAATACCTTCTTCGCATTGTTGTATTCCAACCAGCGCCCGATGGTGTGCTGACCAAACAAAATCCACACCTTCTGAGGGTCTTTCTGACCGACACGATGCAGGCGCCCGATGGCCTGGAACAGCGCGCTGGTGTTGCGCGGCGGCTCCATCATCACGGCACGGGAACAGGCATTGTGAAGGTTGAGCCCCAGTGCTGCGCAGCTGTAAACAGTTAGAAGGACAGTACATTCCCTGGTAGGATCATTAAACCTGGCGGCTGCTGCTGCTCGCTGATCCAGACTCATTGAAGCTCTAATGACCGTGTAGGAGACACCCAAGGACTCCATGAACATCTCGGTCAACCAGAGCGTCAGCGGCCAGCTACAGAACACGATGAAGCGTGGCTTTGTGCCCATGGTCTCAAAGACGCCTTCGGCATGCAGAATACATGCCAGCATTTTCAGCTTGGGGCAATCCCCGGCAAGGTAGCTTGCCTGCAACGCTTGAGACAGTGGCGGGAAAGCAAGCCGGTCCTCTCTGGTGTTCAGGAAGAAGAATGAGAACCCCTTGTCAGGCCGTTGTACGAACTTTGGGATTGAATCAGCCAGAGTCTTCTTGTTACCGACCCGCCTCACAAAAACTTCGAGCCTGGGCGTGAAGCTCAGCAAGCAAAGTCGTCGGAGAATGGTCATGTTGATTCGCCCGCCACTCGCCTGTATAGAAGCGGCATCTGTCTGGCCCCTCTCCTCCCACTTAAGCCCCAAGCTTTTCAGATGGTGCTTGTAACGTGTATCGTGTACTTCTTGGAGTTTCGTGGGGAAAAACAGTTGAACGGTTCTGATCTGCATTAGCGGGATATCGTCCCCGATGGTAACGTACTGCCCGGCACCCATGTCTATAGTGTCACCCATCTGACGGCTAAGACAAAGGATGGTCATGAGAACGGGGAGAACATGGTATCCCATCCAGGTCAATACCTGATTACGATAACTTCTAGACACCACACGCGCGACCAGACGGGGAGACAGCAGGTGAAGAGGGGGGTCTGATGGGCTGATGGCTTCCTTGGATGCCGCGATATACGCATCTAAGGGGTCTCCTTCCGGCAAGTTGGCGACCTTTTCCGACTCACCGTTCCGGTTCCAGAGGAGAGACAGGTATCCACAGACATCCATGACTCGATTCCACACAGGTGTCGCAGTCAGAAACCAGATGATTGGTGCCTCTGTTCCCTTGACCGCGTGATGACAGCGTGTTCGAATGGTTTTGGTATAGTGGCCTTCATCGCAAATGATGCGCCCGAAGCGCAGCGGCACCAAAAATCTGTACTTTCCAGGCTTGAGCTTCCTTTTATTCTTCCCTTCCGCCTCACTCGCCTGAGCCTGAGCAAGGGTCTCCAGGGCTAGGTCGTCGTCCTATGTGGATAATGTCAGAAAACGCTTAGCCAATATGACTTGCAGTCAGGACTCACATCATCTTTAAACTCCAACCCCGTAGTCCGCCGCGCCCAGGTCGTGTACGATGAAATCACAACTGTCCGCAATGTTTTGGGGTCTCCCGTGTTCAGGGCTTCCATTGTTTCCTTGAGCTCCCCCAGGTTATCCAATGTCGTTTTGTTTAGGTATGGGTCGATGACTTGACTCCTGCTCCCGTAAAAAAGATGGACGTCCAGCGCATCGCCAAATCGGGATCGTATTTTATAGAGCCAAGTATCCAAAAGCATCGCAGGGCATAGAATAAGCGTTGGAAGGTAGGGTGTGGGGGCATTCACATCATGATATATGGCCGAATCCTGTGCCTGCTTGGCCCGGAGAGCGACCAGAGATAGCGCCATGAAGGTCTTACCTAGCCCACAGCCGTCCCCAAGAATTCCCCCTCTCACCAGGGAATTCTCCTGGCGCATCATCCAGGCTACTGCTGTTACCTGCCACGGCTTTAATGCCAACGGCTCTCCTGCCATTAGTGGAGGCACCGGATTTGCGGGGTCCAGGTTGAGCTCCGTGCAAGCCACTACATAGGTTGGGGCTGTTGCTGATGCCCTGCGGCATGCCTGGGCGTGCGCGGGAGTAGCGTCCTCGCCCAGGTCACTATCGTCGCTGTCCTCATCTGAGTCTTCTGCATCGCGCAGGGAGGCCATGGCGCCGGCGTGTGAGGCCAGACGTCTCAGTTGAGCGCTGAGGCCCACTGAATGTTGAGGGGCTTTAAACCCATCGGTTTCGAATTCGTCCAAGCGCTTGAAAGACTTTATAAGGGCTTCGCGGTCTCCGGCATCAATCATGGGCCGCTTGATATTCTCATACCGCTTATCTAGAGCTCTAGAAATTGACCAGCCAAGCTCTCGCACTTTGACCGGGACAGCATCTTCCGTGTCTGCTGATGGGATGTCCATATCGGACTGCAGTTGCTCCAACGAGGCACCGAAAAGTTCTTGAGGATCAGTTGATATAATGAGGCCGGTCTGCCCGGGCCCTGTCTGCTCCGCCGGCGGCTCCCACCACTCTTTGGGAATTGCCTTTTCCATCAAAGTTCTGCCTGTGAAATGGCCATGTATCGCCCGTTGACGCCCCCATACAAGCAACTTCCACAGGTGTAGGAGGTCGTAGGCGTCCAGTTCGGTGGGTGGTAATCTGGCCGACATTGGGAAGAGGGAGGGTTTCGCCTGGACAATCCTGTGGGAGTACCACAAGGCATTAAGGGGCAGGAGGGTGCGTTTATCAACTCCCGGGTCATCGATACGTGGCGGGTCTGGGGCCCGGATGATAGCATCATTTGTTCTGTCAGCGGCAATACTAAACAGAAGTTCGCCTCTGAGGGCCCCGACATTAGACTCATTCGCAGATTCCGAGTGGCCAAAATCATTTAATCTATAATCCAACCATCTATCAAGGATTGGCTTCAGCGAGGTGTCTTGAGTAAAGAGATTTACCACGTCGGATGACAGTGCGAGACCCAGGGCCCCGGCCAGCATTGCAGTGTTCGTAGCCAGTTTGTCAACATAGCGCGCTGTATACTCGATGCCGGGAAAGTTGCACTTTTTATGCAGTGGGTTATTGTCAAACGCATTGCCTAAGAAAGCATGATAAGTCAGCATTTTATCACTCCACGGTCTGATGAGGGGCAAGCTGAGGAGAGGAGGGATTCACTGTTGTTGATTTGCCTCTGTGCTCTTTTGATAGCCGGGGGGCAGGGACGCACTGGTACGGGGGCGACGGGCATTCTGGGGTGCACTGGATGGGCTGTGCTGACTGGGCCAGCCATGCTGTTCTAGTCAGCGTTTGCAAGATGGTTAATCAGCCATTGGTGTGACTCACCTCAGAGTGAATGGTAGTCTGATATCAGAAGAGTGGTCTGGTAGGAGCTGTTGGAGATTGCTGGCTTGAGAATAAGAGTGAGGATGACAGAGGGGGGGGGGGGGGGGGTGAAGTAGGAGAGGAGAGGGAATACAGGAAGAAGATGGAGAAGGGAGAAGTAAGAAGAGCAAGAGGAGAGATGAGAGAAGAGAGAAGGAGAGATGAGGAGTGAGGAGTAAGAAGTAAGAAGTAGGAAGTGAATTAAGAAGTAAGAAGTAAGAGGAAGAAAGAAAAGGAGGAGGAGGAGGAGAAGGAGAGGAGAGAATCTGGCGGCTGAACAGGCCGTGAATGCACGCCTCCCCCTCCCATAAGTGAGTAGTTACCGAAAGAGGCAAGTCCCAACCAGAAGCAACTCCCTTAGGCGTGCAGATGGACCAACTCTCTCTGAGATCAGCAGCCCGGACTAGACCCTGGGCAGAGAGTAGGACAGTGATCCTGATCCATTGCTTCCACGCAGACTCAACTAACCAGTGGGTATTGCTCAGGTGAGAGCTCTCCCTCTTCTAACCTCGCAGACATGCTCTCAGGAGTCAGGACAGCTAAAATCCACCCTACACCGTAGCCATGCCTGGAACCCCCCCCCAACTATGACTGAAATCCTATTCCAAAGAATTTTTCGCGGCTGTAAGTGGTCATGAGTGACACCCAAGGTTCGAACCCCTTCTTTGTACATCTTTATTACTTGATGCGAGGTTATTCTAACTGAAAAAAGGAATGAAAGAAAGAACAAACAAACAAACAAACAACGGAAGAAAGAAGAGATTAAAAATACGGATATCATCATTCAATCATAACCAAACCCAACCCCAAATCCACCGTGGTATCTACAGACCCAACCAAATATACAAAAACCCAATCCAACTCGACCCGACCCAATATATATATATCATATACCCCATTCATTCATCAAACCTTCGCCATATCCTCCACCTGCTCGACCCCACTCTTCTTAAACCCACTCTCCTCCAAGTCCCTCCTGAAGTGCTCCTCATCCTCATGCAACTGGGCCAGCACCTTGGCGTGGGCGCGCCATATGGGCTTGGTCTCGAACAGCGGGTCCATGTTCTCCAGCGGGATGCCCTTGGTCTCGGGGATGAGGAAGAACACGAACGGGATGGACAGCAGCATCAGCGACGCGAAGAAGAAGTACACGCCGTAGTCCATCGCGTCAAACATCTGCGGCGTGAAGCGCGAGATCAGGAAGTTCCAAAGCCAGTTGGAGCCGGCGGCGCAGGCTTGCGCGAGGGAGCGGACATTGGGGTCGAACATTTCCTGGTGGGTTTGTTAGCATGAGTTGTGGATGGATGGGCGTGTGGATGGTTGTGGATAGATGGGAGACTTACAGAGTTGATAACCCAAGGCGTACCGTTCCAAGAAGGGGTATAAAACGCGGTCCAGAGATAAAAGAAGAAGATGGCAGCGACACCACCGCCACTGAGATGATCAGTCGGGTTGTTCGTCGGGTCCGCGACCTTGATATAGGCACCCAGGATCCACATGCAGATCGACCCGCCGAGGGCGCCAAAGAGCAACAGATTCCGGCGACCAAGCCGGTCAATCAGATACAGGATCCAGAGGATAGTGACCACAGTCTTGACAACTCCAAATATACCCGTTGTCAGCAGACTAGCGCTCGTGCCGGTCAGGCCGATGCTCTTGAACACCGTGGGAGAGTAGTAGTTGATGGCGTTGATGCCTGACCCGTTCTGCCAGAAGAACAGCATACTGCCCAGGAACAGCCGGTAGAGGATCTTCTTGTTGGTCCAGACAGCCTTGAACGGCTTCCAGAAGCCGAGGCCGATGGTGGAACGTTGGTGCTCGAGGGTTTGGTCGATTGCCCCAATCTCCTCGATCATGTAGATATGGTCTTCGGGGATCTGGCGGATCCAGGTCAGGTTCTTGATCGCCTCTTCGCGGCGTCCGCGGAGGAACAGCCAGCGGGGAGACTCGCGGATCAGAAATATGCCGAAGATTAGGAGGCCGGACGGGATCAGTTGCACGGCAAAGGGGATGAGCCATTGCTTGTGGCTGGGGGCCATGGTTTGATCGACGCCGTACTGCGGGGGTTAGCTATTGACATGCTGAGAGAGAGAGAGAGGGAGAACGTACGTTGATCCAGAAGCCGACAAGACCCCCAATCTGCCAGCCCAGTTCGTAGACGCCGACGAGGCGACCACGGATGGCCGGGGGCGACAGCTCGGAGATGTAGATGGGGGTGATGTTGGAGCCGGCGCCGACTCCCAGGCCGGCCAGCACGCGCCCGGCGTAGATCAGCCCCAGGCCGCGCTGGCCGTTGGCGCCCAGCATCAGGCCGGCCCCGAGGATAAAGATCAGGGCGGAGGCCATCAGGCCCCAGCGGCGGCCCCAGAAGTGGCCGATCGGGTAGGCGAAGAAGGCGCCGAAGAAGGCGCCGGCCTGGTAGCACGAGACGATGTTGGCGCTGACGAGGCTCTGGGTGGCGCTGGACATGGAACTCCAGTGGAATTCGTCCTTGAAGGAGGTCAGGGAGAGGGTGGTGCCGATGAAGGCGCTGTCGTAGCCGATCATGCACGAGGTGCACGAGGCGACCGCAGCCAGCAGGTAGATGCGCCAGTTGTACACCTCCTTGGGTGTCGGGCGGTCCTCGACCATCGATAGGATCGACATGGTGAGGGGGTTCCAGGCGAACTGGATGAAGTGAGAGGCAGAGAGAAGAGAAGATGTCTGAGTTGGTGGTTGATGAGGAGGACAGGAAGGAAGAAGACGGGCCTTTATAGGGCTTTTCCTGGCGGGTCGATCTTGGGGGGGCGCAGGCCGGGGAAAGGGAGGCAAATCGAAACCCCCAGATATCGTGTCTGGGGTAAACGATGCGCGGGAAAACAATCTACGATTGTATAGAGGATAGGTGTAGAGTCGCGAGTAGAGTTTAAGGGTCGAGAATGATTTCCCAGGCTGATACTAGACTTCCCCGGACTGCGCAGAGACAGACGTCTGGCACGGGGCATGAGCATCAGGCCCATGGTGCGAGTTCGTGTGCACTGACCTTGCGGGGGGATTTCCAACCAAGGGGCAGGCTAGAGCACGTTGGGCAAGGGAGACGAGGCCCAGACGCGGGCTAGAATGGCATCCTCATGCCCAGGGAATGTACCATGGTCCATGGTCCGTGGATGGGAGGGCTGATAGGGACAGCCGAGAGAAGCCAATGGGCCACGGGGGGTTGTCAGTGGCGGGGACCCCACGGGGAAGGAGAAATCCTCCATCCTGGTGGGACTGCAGTGCTGCTCCTTTCCTTCTGCAGCCTAGCCCTCGTCGTCGTAGACTTTTCTATCAGGCTAGTCGAAGCGAGTCAATAGTGTCCTAAGTTAGGGTGCCACTATACTTGCCCTGTCTCTAACACGTTGTCTAACATTCCGTGTTTCAACATTCTGTATTTGTATCTGTATCTATCCGTATGCCCTGGTAACCCCCGTAACACCTGTACTAAGGTACTCGTACTCCCTCCCTGGCCATACTCAGTCGAGAAGCGGTCTGACTCGCAAGAGTAGCCACCGTCTCAGACTCGGCCTACTTACTTACACCCATTACCATCTAGGTATCTAGACCAGTCCTCAAGCACCACATGAGCAATCACAGCATCCATAGAATGAGTCAGACCAACCCCAACCCCAGCTCTGCAGAAACTTCTGCAGAACCCTTCTCCCCAGAAGAAAAGTAAAAGTAAAGTAAACGAAACCCAAATCCAAAGTCAAAAAAAAAAAACCCCCCCCCCAACCAAGAACCCACCCAGCCACAGCGCGGATCCCACCGCTCTTATACGGTGTGCGCCATCGGATCGGGAGAAATTGCCACTCGGGCAGTCGGCAAAGCGCTCAGCCCCGGGGAAGTGCTTAGCCTGGCAGCGCGCCCGCACCGCACCAACCAACCAGCGGCACCAATTAGCCCTGGCAGGAAGTGGACAGGCAGCTGCAGGCAATACTCTCCTCCGCACGAGCCAGCCCTCATCTCCATTCTTCTCCAACTCTTACTCAAGTTTCCGAATCCGATAGTTAATGTCATGGCCCAGTGGTTGCAGGTGCAGGTGCAGGTGTAGGTGTAGGTAAAACTCACAACCGACCCCCTCATGTAAATTATTATTTAGAACGTTGAGAGCCGAGGGGGTGCCTACTACTTACCCAGGATCCATTCTCCATAGAATAATATCTACCATCACCTCTACTTCTACTTCTACTTCGACTCCTTCCTTCTCCAGTACTTCTACAACTCTTCCTTCCTACTCCTTCCTACTCCTTCTACCACTTACTCTTCACTTAATCTCCTCCACTCAAACGAGCTACATCTACAACCCCCTCCCCCCCCCCCCCCACCCTACAAAATACAACCCACCAAAATGGCCAAATCCATCCTCCTCCTCAACGGCCCCAACCTCAACCTGCTCGGCACGCGTGAACCACACATCTACGGCTCAACCACACTGCCCGAAATCGAGTCCTCGTGCGCGACCCACGCTTCGACCTTCGGGGCTACGCTGGAATCATTCCAATCGAACCACGAGGGCGCGATCGTGGACCGCATCCACGCGGCGCGCGGGCACGTCGACGCCATCATCATCAACCCGGGGGCGTACACGCACACGTCGGTGGCAATCCGCGACGCATTGCTGGGGGTGGGGATCCCGTTCGTCGAGCTGCACGTGAGTAATGTGCATGCGCGGGAGGAGTGGAGACACAAGAGCTATTTCAGCGATAAGGCGAGTGGGATTATTGTTGGGCTGGGCGTGTATGGGTATCGGGCTGCGGTGGAGTATGTGGCGACGCAGTGGAAGGTTTTGGATAAGCCTGCTTTGTAGGCTGGTTGGCTGGTGGGTTATAGGGGGAAGGATGGATGGATGGTTGAAGGGGGGGGGGAGAGGGTGTGAGAAAGAAAGAGCGGAATAAATGGAGATTGATGGAGTGGTTTTGTATATAGTTCATGATCCGTATGGCAAACCAAAAATATCATATCATGTCGTATCGTATCATACTTCTGTGCACTTCTGTACGTGATAGCCTATGCTATATGCTTGCTTATTTACACTTCCCGAGGAGCATCTGCTGTGGCGTGGCCCTCACATACGCATCTTATATACACTGTCCGGCCCGTTCTGCTTTGATACATACAAAGCGCTATGTACAGGCCGGAGCGATCACGGCCGCATCATGTCCGTGTGGGGTGGATGACATGCGCATATCTTCGGCTGTTCATCAGTCACCTCGACTCATCGCGAGTCTCATGAGTCTGTCTTAAGTATCCCTTGGGTCTTTGGAACTTCCGAGCTATCCAAGTCATCTCTTCGAGCCCTCCGTCGTCTGGGACTCGCGCCGCACCTCGCACGGCACCTGCTGTTGCGTCTGCGCCAGCAGGAACGGCTCCACCTGGCTCGAGTACGAGTACAGCTCCGGCACCCCCGCTTCCGGCACAAACCCCAGGTTCTGCATGAACTCTGGCTGGTTGTCGGTTCTGCTGATGTCAGTATTGATCCAGATAAAGGGGGGCTGGGGGCTCACTTTTCTGTCCCGTCCAGTGACGCCAATTCATCAAACAGTGCGTCCAGGTCCGGGGCGATGCGCGGCCGTCGCGGCGGCCCGTATCCGTCGATATCGAATGCCCCGAGGTTCAGGCTCGGGTCGCTGTAGGGTGGGGGGTAGGGAGTGGTGTTGTGAAAGGGAGAGGTCAGGTCCGGCAAGAGGGGAGTGCCGTTAATCGGTTTTGAGATGGAGCGGGAGTGGTGGGAGAGGGAGGAGTCTTTCATCTGCGATGGCGGCTGCGTTTCCTGGTTGATGTTCAGCGACGGGGCTGGCGTGGGTATCGACAGAGCCACATTGTCCTCGACATTCGGCGTCCGCATCCATGTGTTCGAGAAGAACGGGTCGGGCGTCGCCAGCCCGCGGCCGTCGTCCAGCAGGCTCACCCGCCGGGCGGGTTCCTGCATGGGATGCGAGAACGCGTTGAGGGCCCCGGAGTCCCGGTTGGACAGGCTTCGCGGTCGGTTCGGGAGGTTCGAGGCCGCCAATTCCGGAGTCTTCTGAATCGGTCTTGGTTTCACCGTCCACACTGTCGCAAGATGCGCCGCGAACGACTGGAGCTTGCTCTTCAGGCCGAAATCCAGCTCGAACGGGAGCGTCGTCTCCCCCGGGGAGATGCCCAGGCCCACTGTCAGCGCCATCCCAAACGTCGGACACGTCGCAGACAGACTGTAGTTTTCCATGTAAGTTTGCAGCAGTAGTAGCAGCCGTTTTGAGCTTTCGGTAGCTCGCTTCTTCAGCGGCGTCTCCGGGAGGTTCCGGTCGCTCCGCTGCAACGCAAACTGCAGGCTCAGGTTCGCCACGACGCTCTCGTACATCATCTCCAGCCCGAAGATATGCGGGGACGCGACCTTTGACGGTGTCTGCAGGTCGACGCGGTAGCTCTTTGGCAGGGCCGACACCCAGAGCTGCAGCTGGCGCTCCAGCGCGTCCAGCTGCGCGCCCGGGCTCGGGGCCTGCCGCAGACAGCACAGCTCGTTCAGGATGCACATCAGCGAGGTCAGCCGGTTGAACGTGCTCAGCGCGTGCAGCGGCCCGCGGTGGAAGGTCCGCGACGGCTCAACTGGGCGCAGGCCCGTCTGGTCCTCCCACGGGTGCCACTCCTCCAGCCCGTCCTCGTTGATCGGGCCGATCGGCACCAGGTCGCCCTTACGCAGCGATGGCACCTGGCCCGTCTGCATGGCCACCAGGGTCTCGAGGACGAAGCAGCCCAGGAAGACATGCTTGGACCGGGCCGCAGTCTTCCCCTCTGCATCCTTGGGGCCGGGCGATCGGCCCAACCCCAGGCTCTGGGCGATGCGGACAGCCTGGCCGACCAGAAGCCACGCCGCGGTCCAGTCCTGCTGGCCCAGTTTGACGAGCGAGAGAATCAGCAGCGCCTGCACGTGGCCGAGCTCGTAGGGCCCGTCTTCATCTGGAACGAGGCTCTTGGCGGTGGCATACAGCTGGGCCGGGTCGGGGCGCTCGGAAAAGTCGGTCAACTGCCGAGTGGCGGATATCGACGCCTCCTGGATGGAGGCCAGCGTCAATACCGCCCACAGTGCCGCGTGGTCGCCCGAGCCCGCACACGACGCGGAGATCCGCGCGTCGTCCTCGTGGTGGCGAAACGCCGTCCGCAGGATGTCGTGTTTTTCGAGGATGGGGAACCAGCACTGCGTGTACGAGAAGTAGATGTCCAGCAAGGGCCAGGCATTCGGCGGAAGCTGCGGCATCGGAATGTCCTGTGCGGGCGGTCGCGTGGGGATCCGACCGAGCGAGACTTCGATATCTTTCGGGAAGGCGGTTTGGGTGGCACAGTCACGGGTAATTCGCACCGCCGTGCTGCTGCTGCTGCTGTTGCTGTTTTTCATGGCAGATGGCGTTTTGACGGGCGACACCACCGCCAACGATCCCTCCCGCCCATCGCCCAGCACATCGGCCACATTCCACTCCAGGGCCTCCGCGGACAGCACGCTCCCCTCGCCATCCGGCGGGGAGTCACTCTCCCCCGGCAGTCGGGGTTCGTCGTCCGGCTGCTCCAGGAAGGTCAACAGCCGCTCGATCTCCCGCAGCACGATGCTGTTCTTCCACGAGGAGAGCAGGGTGTCGGAGCCCTCGGCCTCCTTGCCCATAGTGGCCAGGTGGCTGGGGATGTTGGCGGCCCGCAGCAGGGCGCGCACAACCTCCTCACTCCCCTGAATCTTGGTGAAAATCAGCCCCCATAGCAACTCGAGAGTGCGAATGTATCCGGTCGGGAGGCCGCGTTTCTTGGGATTGGCCTTGTAGGTGCAGGGGCGCGAGAGCGAAGCGCAGGTCGAGCAGACGGGCTGGACGCCATCGCACTTGTCCTTCTTGGAGCGGCAGCTGTCGCAGGCACGCGAGACCCGTTGGCGCTTGGGGTTGGAGGCGAAGTCGTCGGCGACCGGGCTCTTGCCCGAGTTCTCGTCGAGGTCGGTGAGGCGTCGTTTGGCCTTGGAGGAGGAGGAGCCGGCCCCGGAGGCTTGGCGCGTCTCGTTGTTCATGATCGTCTATCCAACGGGCCAGTAGATTGATCCGGACGCATGTTCATCTTCAAAAGGGACAGCCGAGAGATGAATGCTTTGCCGGCGGCGGTAGTCGCTGCTCATAAATTGGGTTGGCCTACGCCCCACTGCAGGCTAATAGGCGAGGTGGTTAGCGCGGATGCAGGCAGTGATAGCAGGTCCGATCCTGGCTGGAGGGCGATAGGCCAAACCAGGATGGTTGGTGAGGGAGGAAGGAAGATAGATTGAAAGGAGGGGGGGGTGAGACGGAGATGGAAGGACGGGATTTGGAGAGACTGGGAGAGAAAGTGGAAGAGCAACAAGGCGGAGAAAGGAAAATGGGCGGGCATGACGGCTGGAGGAAAGTTGGGGAAAAACCGGCCCTAACTGCTTACCCGCGGTTGGCTGCTGGCGAGGCCGCCAGTGGGTGCGGCGCCCATGGATGGGGATGGGGATGGATGGGGGGCTCAATCAGCTCCCAGCAATCCGCTCCAGCCGATTGGAAACGCTAGTCCGGTGGGCAGGATGGAGTATGGTGGCCGAGGTAGTGGACTACTTACGGGGTTGAGCTGTAATTTCCTGCCAGCAGGTTTTGGGTAAGACGTGGTCAGAGTCAGACGGGGTATAGTGTTGTGGCGTGTCGTGGCGTGCTGTGGTATGCTGTAATATGCTGTGGTATTCTGTGGTTTGGCCTGTGGTTGCTGTGGTTGCTGTGTGCTATTGTTGCTGTGTGCCGCCTGCTGCACCCCACGATGGTACAGGGACTGGCAGTGGCAGCACAGCACCAACAGCAAGAACAGTCCCCGCGGGGTAAACAGGGTTGCCCTCCAGCCAATTTCCCCTTCCACTAATCACAGCCGTCGCAATCGCGCTTTTCGGCGTCTCCCCGGCTGGTATTGTTACCAGCCCCGTACCAAGGTTACCAAGGATACCGTCACGGCCACGGCTGAGCCTTTGTCCGCAGGCACACAAGTCCCCGTCACGAACCAGCAGAACAACGAAAGGTCGGCAGTCGATTCTTCCCCGCGCTTCCACTCCGTCGAGTCCGAGATCCGCGAGATCCTCTTCCCTTCACTAACCAACTAACTACCGTTAAACGACGTGAACCGCTCCACTCCACCCACCTCCCTCCCTCAGCCTCCCTCGCTTCCCTGCTCCTCCAGTCTCCAGTACATGCCATCATCCCAGGTTCGTTCCTCTGATCCGACTCTGCTATCCCCACCCCCTCATCTTCTAATCTCACCTCTGACAGCCCTCCCCTCCCCTCCCCCTCACCCTCACCGGCTTATCGCCCCCCCCCCCCGTCAGCCCAATTAATCTTGCGATCCTTCCTGGAATCCGCCGGTCGTCCTGCAGGAACTAATCCTCGGAGTTCGCGTCCTCAGCCATGCGTGGGTCGCTTTATCCCCCCCTCCTCAGCATCCCCAGTCGTCACGTATAACAGCCCGACATGTCCATCCTCGTCAAGCCCCCCAAACGCAAGTTGAGCGACCTCGGCGGCCCTGTCGACCAGACCCGCCGCCTGTCGCACAGCCCCTACACCTCCCAATCCTCACACTCCCACACCCCCCAGGTCGGAGAGCCTGCCTACGCGGCCGATGCCCCACGGCCCCGGAATTTCTCGACCCAGAGTGAGCATGCGGAGGCTTCACATTGGTTTGCGCCTGCCTTGCGCGACCTGACCTCCAGTCGCCAGTCGCCCGCTGCCTTTGACAGTCCTTTCCAGGCGCAGAGGAAGTTCCCGCCCAACGCGTCGATCGTGTTGACCGGTATCCGGGGCACGGGGAAGTCCAGTCTGGCCGTCATCCTCGCTGCGACCTCGGGGCGGCGCCTCATCGATGCGGACCGCTACTTCCAGCAGGTGACGGGTCGCTCGCGGGCGTCCTACAAGAAGGAGTTCGAACTGCCCGAGTACCGGCAGCAGGAGGCACGGGTGATGGAGTCCATGCTAGCAGAGCACCAGGAAGGCTGCGTCATCGCGTGCGGGCCCGGCTCCATGGAGCGCAGCGGGCAGACGCTGCTTCGCGAGTACGCCAAAACCCATCCCGTCATCTACATCATTCGCGATCCGCAGAGCATCCAGTCCTACCTGAAGGCGTGGAACACCGACAAGGTCCGCCGGTTCCTCGAGCTGTCAGGTCCGATCTACCGGGCGTGTTCCAATCTCGAATTCTTCAACGTGTCGGAGAAGGGCATGGCGGACCACGCGGCCCCCAAGGACGGCCATGACTCGCTGGAGCTAGAGCTGGACCAGCGTTTCCAGGCGATCACGCCCTTCCTCACCCTCAAGCGACTGCAGCGGGATTTCCTATGTTTCGTCGCTTTCGCGACGGGCGACGCCACGGATCTCAGCAACCACAATTCGTCGTTCCCCCTATCCATGCAGCCCGTCGAGTCGCGCACCTTCACCTATGCGGTGACTGTGCCGATTTCCTCTATCCTCGAACGGGATCTGGATATTGAAGAGCTCGAATCGATGGCGGACGCCTTCGAACTAAAGCTGGACGTGGCAGAACCCCCGTCCTCCCACCTCGGCCTGGACTCGGGGTTTGCCGACCGCATCAGCCAGGCCGTGGCCAACACGCGACGAAACACCGTCGTTCCGCTAATATTCCACGTGGAGAGCAATCTCCTGGTGGAACATAATGTCCTACGGCGTTCCGATGCCGAATATCTAAAACTGGTGCAGCATGGTCTGCGGCTGGCCCCAGAGTTTGTCACGGTGGACATGTCCTACGATGACAACGTGTTGTCGCAGGTCATCGCTGCGAAGGGATCGAGCCAAGTGATCGGGCATTTCGCCGCTTCCCGGGCGCCGTCGCGGGGCTGGGACGACCCTTTGTATCCGGAGATCTACGAGCGAGCCAAGCGGCTGGGATGCGACATGCTTCGGCTCAGCCAGCCCGCGATGACGATTGACGACAACTTCGCAGTGCAGCGGTTCCGCGATCACATCAAGTCTCTCCCCGCATCGCTGCCGGTCATCGCGTACAACTCGGGTCCGCTGGGGCGCCTGTCGTGCTGCTTTAACCCCATCCTGACTCCTGTCGTCCACCCGTCGCTGATCTCCGAAATACAAACGAAGGGGCTGCCGTGTATCACCTTGCGCGAGGCTCAGCAGGCGCTCTACTCCTCGTTCACGCTGGATCCTCTTCAGTTCTTTGTCTTTGGAGCCAACGTCACCTACAGTTTATCACCAGCCATGCACAATGCAGCGTATAAGCGGTGCGGCATGCCTCACGAATACAAATACCACCAATCGCCGTCTCTGCGAGGCCTCAACGAGCTGGTGGAGAACCCTCACTTTGGCGGGACCAGTGTCAGCCTGCCGTATAAAACCGAATCTATCCCCCTGCTCCATTCCATGTCGCCCCACGCGCAGGCCATCGGCGCCGTGAACACTCTCATCCCCATCCGGCGCCTCGAAGACAAGGCGCTCGTATCGGAGAACTCTTCCCTGTACATGGAGAAAAGCCGGGCGGGGCCGATCAAGGCTCTATACGGAGACAATACCGACTGGATCGGAATTGGCAATTGCTTCCGGAGGGGCTTGTCGCCTGCGAATGCGATCCGCCCCTCGTCCACCGGTCTGGTCATCGGCGCGGGCGGCATGGCCCGCGCGGCGGTGTACGCGATGATCCATCTGGGGCTGCAGAACATCTTTGTCTTCAACCGCACGACGGCCAACGCGGACAAGCTGGCCTACCACTACAACCGACAGAACCTGCCGTCGCCGGGGCGGGACGCGTCGGCCGCGCGCCCGCAAGTCCATGTGGTGCAGTCGCTGCACGACAGCTGGCCCGCCAACTACAAGCAGCCGACGGTGGTCTGCTCGTGCATTCCGACGCACAGTATCGGGGGGCAACCGGCCCCCAACTTCGAGATGCCGGGGCAGTGGCTAGAAAGTCCGACTGGAGGAGTAGTCGTTGAGGTAAGTCAACAAGAAACTCCCGAGACATCCTTAAATAGGAGACTGACCACTGCAGCTGGCGTACAAAACGCTGAACACGCCGCTGATCCAGCAGATGCGCGCGCTGTCACACCGCGGCTGGGTGGCGATGGACGGGCTGGACGTGCTGCCAGAGCAGGGGTTCGCGCAGTTCGAGCTGTTCACGGGACACCGGGCGCCGCGCCGGCTGATGCGGACGGTGGTGTTGAAGGAGTTCGAGGGTGAGGGGCAGCATACGGAGCAGCTGCAAAGTCGGCTGGAGAATCTGGAAGGACGGCCTACTTGAGATGCCAGCTGCCTTGCTGTGAGAAGCCTATTGAGCACAATTTGCCGGCATATTCGATGCGTATGGTGTCTCTGATACGCTGCCTGCACACGCTCTCTCGGCCTGAAGGCCTCAGGCAATGCCATTGCCATTGCCATACAATGACGCCCAGGCGTACCACGCGTCCTGTACATACTGGGTGACATCCGTTGATGACGGGATCTTGGCAACTCAGCAACTGGGTGGCATACACCGCAGTCATGGCAACCTCATCAAGAACCAACCACCTTTCCCATACGCATACGCACCTCTAGGGAGAGTTGACTGCAAGCCCCGGGACTCAGAGCCACCTACAACCCGGCCGACCATCTATCTACTTGAATCAAGTCAATAGGGCCTGAATTAATACAATCAAGTGTCATCACAAGAGCATTTACCATTGACGTATCTAGTAATTCACACTGACTCCCTATACCCCACCGTGATTCTCTTGTCCATCAAGAAGACACCCATAATCAACATCCCAGCCCCCCCCATACCCCCTCAATCCCTCCAATATCATCTGCCTCTAGCATAGAGACTGTACATACGACCATAGGGTGTGGAGAACAGGGCTTCCCGTCCGCTCAGCCGTACTTAAGCCACACGCCGGGAGGTTAGTAGTTGGGTGGGTGACCACCAGCGAATCCCTCCTGTCTGTATGTTTTGTTTTTGGTCGATCATTTTAATTTTAAGATCGGTGGGTGAACTACTAATTGTTGGGTTGATATATACGGTGGAGGTGTGGGGGGATATCACTTTTTGGGGTGTCATCCAGGCTCGTGATCCAGCGACATCCCTGCACCCTGCATGTATGCTCCTTCCGTTTGCTGACACTTTCTTTCCCCTCCTGAATCCTGCAACAGCAACTTAATGTCGTCAAACGCACCAATGTTTTAATGGGAGCCGACATCAATCCTTCTTCAGGCTATATCGTTACATCGTTTATAATGCGGAGCAGCTTCATCTCATTATCCATATTCCGTACCTGATTGCTATGTTATAACTGCAGCATATTTAACACTTTCACCAAATGGCAAAATGATGGCCTGATGGCCTCGTATGGGAGGGTACAAGCTGAATTTTTTCGATAGGACATCTGGATTGTTACGCCATTCGCTGAAACTTCCTCATTCCCGGGGCGCAGTCTCATTTTCCCCCGATAGTAACTTGCTGGCGTACAGCTCAAAAGGTGGTATCATGTTGTGGGACACAGCTACAGGTATACTACAACATACTCTGGAAAGCCGTTTCGATGAGGAGGAAGTGATATTTTCGCCTGACGGCACTCTGCTAGCCTCGCTGTATTCTATCTGGGATCTAGCGACAGGTTCACGACGCTTTTCCTTTGGAATTGGTGGTGAAAATTGTTCTCGCCTGATGGTACGCTGGTTGTCAGTACCAAAGCAGGCAGATTTACCGAGGTGATCAGCACCAAATCCGGAATCGCACAATTTTCATTTGACGGGGATCATTCTCTTGGAAAAGTTGTGCTTTCTCCTGATGGTAGGCTGATAGTATTGAGTTCCTGGGCTGGCCCCACAGTGTCACTGTGGGATGTTAGATGGGGAGTCAAACTATATACTTTTGAGGGTCCTGGAAGGGTTAACTGTATAGCATCATTCTCACCTGACAGTAACCTGATCGCTTCCGGCTCACACGACTGCACTGTCAGAATCTGGGATATATCAAAGCGCGATTGGCAGCATATTTTCACGGGCCATTCAAAGTCCATATTTTCTCAGTGATTTTCTCGCCAGATGGGAGGCTAGTAGCATCTCAAACAACGGAATCGGTCAGGATATGGGATATAACAACAGGTACTGTTGTGAAAACCATACTCGAAGCCTGACCGGGAGATGTATCGATGAGCTTTTTCACCTGACAGCAGGCTATTTGCCTTGGCCCACAAGAATACACTGAGGGCGTGGGACATGGCTCTAGAAGCCCCCGAGGAGGCCCATTTGAGTTGCGTGCAGTCCGTGACAATCTCACCAGATGGCACACTTGCAGCGTCTGGATCAGAAAATAGCGCAGTAAAAATGTGGGATATTGAAAAGAGAACAGAACTATGCACATTCGCTCATGGCTCTCGCCCTGTCTACAGGGTCGCATTCTCTCCAAACAGCAGAATGCTTGGTTCCATCTCATTAGAAGGGACCGTCAAATTGTGGGATATCGCCAAGGAATCCATCATCCATATGCTTGGAACCCCTCATTACGATCGTCATGTGCGCTTCGATCCACAATATGCCGACTCTCCTTATTTCCACATCGCATTCTCCCCGGACGGCAAAATGCTTTCCTCGGTCAGTCCTTCCTACGGGCAGTTCAGACGCAGACCGATCAAACTCTGGGACACGACCCGTGGCGTGCTATTATGTGATCTCCAAGGCCACACCTCTGACATCGGGCCGTACGGCGAATCCGACATCATCCGCTCGGTGGCATTATCCAATTATTTGTTGGGATAATGTCATGTCGGGAACGTGTTGGGACCGTGTTGGCTTGGTTTACTATTTATCTTACTTGGTCTTGGTTGTTGGGACGGTACTGCGTAGGAATGCGATGAGATGTTGTGAGGTATATGTCCTTTTGTCTGGGTAGGGGGACTAGGGAGGGGTGTTGGAGATGGGGGGCTATAGTAGTAAGGGATTGGGAGTGGGATTGTAGGAATAGGACTGTTGGATTGATCTGGTCTGATCTGATCTGATCTGATCAGTAATAAAGGTATTCCGGAATATAACAGCTGCTTCTTAACACCATCCCCATCAGCCGGGAAAAAGAAGGGGGGGGGGGGAAGGGCACTCCACAAGTCAGTCATCGATACTTATCCATAACATACACAAGAACAGAGAGAAGAAGCAGAAGCAGAATATCTGCCGCATTGTGCATCGAACTAACTGACTGACTGACTGACTGACTGACTGACTGACTGCTACTGCCCCTGCTCACATATAATCCCCCTCACAAAAATCCCCAAAGATCCAATTCTCTTCTATGCGTGCTCTCTCCTCTGCCGTCTCAGCCGCATCAAGAGCATGAGTCTTCAATGCCATTGCCCGCGTCATGGCCCCCTCATACTGATCCACCGGCACCCAGCCCTCGTTCCCGACTCCGATCAGATCCTGACAGGTTTTGAGTTGTTCGTCTGCTTCGCTTTGTGCGCGTGCTAGTTTTAGATATTCATTACTCTCGATATCGGAGAAGACAAGTGGACGAGGTGGTGTATTGCCGCCATTGATGTCTGCCCACTTTCGTGACAAAGTAATCAGGGTTGACTTTAGCGTTGCATTGTCGCCCTCCCAAGGATCACTCGCGCAGTGGAAAAGCCGCCGTCTCAGCGTGCTGAAGTCATATGCCAACGCATTGTAATGGTCGGGGTTTGTCTCTGAGGTGAACTTCACGTAGAGGTAGTGGAGCTGACGCTTACGAAAGAGTTCAGCTTGTTGGTATTGCTCTTCTGCTTCTAGCTTATTGAAATTGCTGGGAAGGGTGGGTTCCTGAAGAGATTCGGAGACGTCGTCGCCGTAGTTTTGCAGACTGTTGGGGATAGCGCATTGCAGAAAAAGGGGGAGAGCCGTGCTGTGCTGCCAATCAATTAACCCAGTGATTTCCAATTGATCAGAAACGAATATATTGTTTGGTTGAAGATCGGGATGCCGTAGTACTGGACGATGAAGGGCGGGGTTGCCGCGAGGGATGAGAGTGGGCGCAATTTGAAGGTATTGCTTGAGAGTCGCAATGTGATCGAGATGAGATTGCGGCTGGTAGTTGTATGTCTCTCTGCGGAGACGCTGGAAGGGTTGAAGGGGTTGTCCAAATTTGGAAAGGTATGCGATTTCCTTTTTTGCACCGGCAGTTAAAACTGCCAGACAGTCTTGGTCTGTAACACATTAAATACCGACGCCTTTGTTTATTTTACTACTTGACTTGGGAGACGATACTTACATGGTCCACGCTCTACCGGTAAGTTAAGTCTTCTTCCGTACCATAGTCCAAGTGACGTGTCGGGGCCAATGCAGAAGCGGCCTTCGTTGGTCGACAACGAACTCGAATTCGGAATGATGACTCTGTTGCTCTCCGGCAGGTCAGAGCAATAATAGAGACTCCCACTTGCCGGAAACCGCAGTGCGAACAACCGGGACTCTAGCTGCACTAGCTGTGCAATCAGTTTGTACCTCTGTCTTTCAGACAGATCGAACCAAATGTCACCCAGGTTTTGTCCCTGAATGAGTTCCATGAAGATGTATTCCGTTCCCGCAGGATTATCAGCACTAGCCGAATAGCCGTAGACCTTTGGGACTGGTATGCCATGCGAACGGAGAAAGTCCATAGTCGCCACTTCACTCGCGATGACCAATGGCTTTGGCTGGGTCACTGGATATGGGATTCGGGCAACGAATCGAAAATTATCGCGCATGGTGACCAAGAAGCTTCGATTGAAGCCTCCCTCGGCGAGCTTCTCGAACCCCAACACATCTTCCTCCTTTTGGCAAATTGATGAAGCCGCCAGACGCTTGAGCTCTGGAACGTTGAAGATCCGTCTCCTCTCCCGGTGCCGTAGGGTGTCATTGTAGCTACACTCGTGGGGTTAGTCAAAGCAGGCCATCGCGAACGGTCCGCGCGGAGTAACATACAGCCATCGCCCGGATGTGTAGTCGAATAAGTCGGAACATGAGGGCATGGTATGGCCGGTGGAGAAGAGACGGACTCCGATCCGACCTATAGAAGATGCAAAAGAGAGTGGTGTGATAATGACAGCGGCTAGGCGTAAACGCTTGGCCATGCTTGAATCTGGAGAGGAAGTCGCATCGACGCTTAAGCGCGCAGGTGTTGTCCCCTGTTTATATGGGTTGGTTCAGCTTCCGCCTCTTATGTAATACTGCATGAGGCCGTTACCCGATGGGAGTGGGGGGTTGGGGGAGGGGGATCACGTAGTTGGTTGAGGAGAGGGACATTGTTATGGTTGTGGTGGTGGTGGTGGTAAGGGTGATGGTGGGCTGGGAGGCAGCATTTATAACTACCCCTCGTTGTATCAATACCCCGAGATTCCATCCTGGATTGGATCAGACAGGACAGTTGGATATGCTCCGATGTGCCTCAATCGAGAGCGGACTGCATGGCTTCCGGGGCTGGCATGCCCCGGATCTTGGATTTCATCACTGCCAGTGTCATTTCAGGCATTAAAAATATATCTTCTCTCCCTCATTAGAATTAGATCAAGTTATAATAATACACCCCACTCTCCTCCTCCTCCTCCTCCCCCACTCCCCCAACAACCATCTATCACCTTAACCCATAACCCATAACCGCCCACCTGACAGAACCATCTAATGCCCCTCCCAAACCGCAAAATTCCCACACGCCAACCGCGTATTATCCGGCGCATGGACGACGAACGAGCGATTACCCAGGAACGCGGGATCATCGGCGAGACTGGACACGAACCAGTCGGTGTAGACGGTGGAGAAGGCCTCGTCGTCGGGGGCGAACGCGGGGCCATGTTTGCCGGACAGATCGCCGACCTGGCAGGTCTGCGGCGCGTGGATGTCACAGGGCGTGGCGTCGCCCCGGGCGTACGGGTCGAGGTGCGAGCCGGTGCTGTAGCAGTTTCCGTCTTCGGGGACGGGGAGGTTGTGGATGTGGTATGCTATTTGTTTTGTATTGTGGATTATGGGGTGTTGGTGTTAGTGGTGGTGGTGTTTTGCCAAAGAGGGGGGGGGGGTAAATGTTGAGATTCAAGGCAAGGGGGGGGGGGGGGGGGTGAAGGAAGAAGAAGAAGAAGAAGAAGAAGAAGAAGAAGAAGAAGAAGAAGAAGAAGAAGAAGAAGAAGAAGAAGAAGAAGAAGAAGAAGAAGAAGAAGAAGAAGAAGAAGAAGAAGAAGAAGAAGAGGAAGACATACACAAAGCCTCCCCATCCGGAATCCCCCACAGCTCAACGAAAAAGTTCAGTCCCACCTGACTGGGACCGGGATAGGTGGTGATATGGCCGGTCACGGTGGTGTTGTCTTTTGGTTGAAGCACGGCGCGATACTGCAGGCCAGTGTTGTCGGTGGTGACGGGGGCGTTGGTTGCGGTTGCGGTCGCTGTTGCTGTTGCTGCTGCTGCTAAGCCCAGAGAGACGAGGAGGGTTTTGGAAAACATTGTAATGACACAGATCAGGGATCAGGGGGTGAGGGTATGGTGAGGTGTCAAAGGTGGTGGGTGTTTGTCGGTGTCAGTGTTTAGGGATAGATATAGATAATAAAGATATAATAGTAGATGTAGTATCTATCTATTTATGGAGTGTAGGGCTGGCTGGGTAAACAATAAAGTAAAGTAAAGTAAACAAAGAATCCGTCGCTACCCCTGGCTTGGAGGAAGATGGATGGTTGGGTGCATTGTTACGGAAGGGGTGAAACATCTGCAGAGTGCAGCATCCCTTGAGTCCTGTTCTGTTCTGTCCTGTGCGGGTTGGAATTGGATGATGTGAATAATGCAGTAATGTAGGGTGGAATGCAGTGTTCATTTAGCAGTCGGAATTTCCGGGGTTGAGGGTGTATATTTACTCAGGTGGCTTCAGGTTCAATCGTGCTGGGGTAGTTACTGTAGGATGGTTTGGCTGAATAGAGGGGGTGCATGTTCAGCTACTGTGTATCAAGCTTGAATGAGTAGAAGCATAATTCAGTCAAAATAAACATTCTCGTAAAGTCTCAATCATGAAAAGGTAAATTAAGTCATTCGTCACCTTCATATACAAACAAATATACATCCTAACGCCATCATACAATCATAGTCATAACTACTTCCTCCCATCGTCAGAAGGAATCCTCCCCCTCTCCCCGTCGTCAATAATCATCTCCACATCCTTGATCGGGTGCAGCAGCATCGGGGGCAAACACATCCGCCCCTCGCCGGCAAGCTCGGCCTGCTCCCCTCCATCGTTATCGACCTTGTAGCCCAGCCACCGCTTCCACAGGTTGGGCGCAAACCCGGCCGAGTAGAACCATGTCGAGCCGCGGAAGTTGTGCTCGCGATCCCCGAACACGGACGTGCGCGCGCCGCCAGACGCCCCGTTCCGCCCGGCGTTGAACACCGTCTCGAGGTACTGCGTCGGCCACCGCCGGTCGACGTACACCGAATGGGGCACCGACACGGCCTTGAACCCATGCTGCAGCGCCGTCGACGCCGCCCACATCTCCGAGAACATCGTGTGCCGCCGGAGACTTGTCTCCTGGTGCATCGTGCGCAGCAGCTTGTGCGACATCCGCGATGCGGTGATGATGGCCGTCCGGCGCGGGGGCAGGCCATTCGCTCGCTCGTATCCGGTGACGTCGTCGCGCAGAGGCCAGGTCGTGCCTTCGGGGTCGAACAGCGGGTTGAACACGATCAGGTCGGCTTCCTCGCCCACGCCCCATTCGTACCGGTCCTTGTCCACCGTCGTCGGCGGGATGCCTTCGCCTTCCACCTCCAGGACGTCTGGCTCATTAGGCCGCTCTGGACCCCAGACCGGCTTGTCGCCTTGCTGGACGTTCTTCTCGCCGGGGGACCGGTCCTGCCCGGGCCTGGGCGCGCTCCACATGTTGTTCGGGCTGTTGGTGCCGATGTCCGTCTGCACGCGCACCATCTGGCGGAAATCCTCCCACGTCCCGTGCACGGACGGGATGTAGAAACGGGCATTCCGTTCCCAGAGACCCTTGCGCGGTTGCTCCCGCGCCCAGTTGATCACCTTGTCGAAGAGGTCGTACCAGTGGCCCGTGTACCGCGCATCCATCTCCCAGTTCCAGTAGTAGTCGTATTCCGGGTGTTGGTGTGCAAAGTACTGCATCGGCATGTAGGTGCTGCGGTAGACTCCGTGCACGGAGAGCCCGCGCGCCCAGGTCTCCTCCAGGCCGGGGTACACCAGGTTCATCTGCCGCTCAGACCACAGCGTGGCCATGCCGCGGAACTCTGCGGGCAAAGCCTCGGTGAGGACGCGCTCGTATGTTTCGTCGTCCGCCCAGATCTGGAGGTTCTCGTCCCGGACCTGGACCAGGAAGTGGATGATGTATTCCCCGCCCGTGAGCAAAGAGAGCTCCGTGATCAGGGAGCGCAGGTATAGAATGTCGTCAGGGCTGTAGTTGAGATCATGCCACGTACGAATGACAAACGCTGTCCGGGGCAAGTGCTCTTTCTCTTCATTTTGGTCTGGCTTGCCTTCGGCGTTCGTGTCCTCCATCTTCGGAGCGCCAACCGGCATGGAGAGGAAGCGGTTCAGCCGCGGTGCGGGCAGTTCCTTGAAGCGATGGCTGTTTGTAGCTACGCAGCGATTCTGCGCAGCAGCCCAGTCGACCCGGCGGAAGTCGACCGGGGGAAAGTCGTCCCAGACGCGCTCCGCACCCTCGCGGTCGCCTTCCAGACCCGCCCCTATACCGCCCTTTCGCACACTGTAGCCAAGACCGTACGGCCCGAGACGCCCAAACCGGTCAAAGCAGACGTCGTTTTGAATCCCAAGCATCTCGCTGGATCCCAGGGCTGCGTCAGGGAAGCCACGCGGGACACCAGGGTAGTGGTGAACCAAGGGGATCCGCATGGTCTCGTCTTCATCCAGGAAACAGTCGTGCTTCGCGCCATACTTCGCGACGTATTCCGGGGAAGCGTAGTCTGGGTATGGGTTGAACACCGCGCTTGAGAACGGCAGATCCCGGGCTTGGACGCCGGTCCCATTCGTGTCCTCGATGCCCAGAATCTCCAGGCTGTCATTGGGGTACTCCGGCACTAGTTCGCTGCGCGAGACCAAAGATCGAATCCCACCGTGGTACCGTTTCAGGAAGGGGAAGCTCTCCCATGCGGCGGGCTTGGCGGGGGGTTTGGGCAACGGAGCATTGACGTTGGTCACGCTCGAGAGGAAGGTAAAGCGGAAGAGCGAGCAGATGAAGAGTATCAGAAACGACAGCAGCGCCAGGCAGAGCCATTTCATTATCCGGTGGGGAACGCGATAGCCGAAGCTGCGGGGAGGCGCTCTGCGGCGGGGGCGCGGGGGCGTCTTCAGCATCGGACGATAGGAGGAGGCGGAGGACGAGCTGACGGAGTCATCGTCACTGTCGGAGGCGAAGGAACTGCTGCTGTACCGGCGGTAGAGGCGCCTGGGCCGTGAGGGTTGCTTCTCGATGTCGATGATGTCGGGGCCGTCGATCGCGTAGGGGGATGATGCACCGGAGGCTGAAAGCCTCTTGGGATGGGCGGGCATGGCTTAGATCAACATAGAAGATTGTAGATTTCCGGTATGCGAGACTATCAATGGAACGGATCAGGTCCGGAGAATGCTATCGGTTGGCTGGACCGCATCTATGTTAGCACGACACTCAATGTCGCAAATGTATGGCGCATACCGAATCGATCGATCGCAATCCTGGCCCGACAGGGCGTGCGACTGTTGCGCCGTCTGTATACCTGTGAGCGATGTGAGGATGACCAGCAAATGCTCACCGGCAAGAGAAGCCAGAAGTAACAAGGTAATGTCAGTGGATCCAGGAAGAGAGACAGATGGGAGGTCGATTCGACATCAACAAAACAAGTACTACAGTCGCATGCATGGCCGTGTTGGTCGATCGGCCGTTGCCCAAGAGACGGGCCGGTTCTAACAGACTAACAGGCTAACAGGCTGACAGGCCGACTCTTGGCAGGACTGCCCTAGGATGACTCTAGGCCCTAACTGACAGCAGATTGACGGCAGCATATCAATAAGCAGGGTCCTGTTACTTACTGCAGAGAATGATCTTGAAATAATCTTGAAGTGAGAGATCAACTCTGGTCGGCATTCTGGATCTGGTCAGTCATGTCCCAATGTGGATTAGCGTGTTCAGGGCACTAGTCCCTTTTGGACCAAACCACCATTCCGATCCGGGAAATGTGTAGCCTGAGGTATTGCTGCGACGGGCCCTGCCAAAGAAGGCACGAAGGCAGAAAGTCGCACAAAAGTCACCTCTCTTGCCAGACTGGAGAATGACCCTCTATCTATCTCCATACAACAACAACAACAACAACAACAACAACAACAACAACTCTCTACTCACCTCCCACCAGGATGGACATTCCCGACTGGACACTTGGGCCTGGGATATCTGAGCTCAGGACCACCCCCTCGCATCTATCCCCTACAGACCGCGATCCATCTGATCATACAATCCCAATGCAGCCAGTCACGTCTGCAAGACGACTGTCCCCAGCTGGACCCTTCGCAATCCTATCCAGCCCTCGTGACGACAACTCGTCAAGGCCGCGTCCACCCGGGCCCACAATTACCCCGGCTTCTCTCCACATCCACATCTAGACCGACACCCCCCCAGTCCAGGGCCGCCATCCACGACAGTCCAGCGTTACCCAACAGCACAGCTATCCAGTTGCGTTGCGCACGGGAATGGACAGATATACAAGGGGGTAGAGATAGAGACACGGTTAGAAACGGCCCTCCGCTGACTGGATCGGCATACCGCGCTGACTGCCCGGTTTATCCTCCGAGCCAAGTAGAGTTGCCTTAGTTCCCGAGCGGCCCTCCTACATCACTGTGACGATGCCAGACGCCATCCATATCCACCAGGGCTACACGGTGACTGACCTGGCTCGCGATGACAGCCTGACAGCTTTGGACGGCTATCGACACGCCGCAAACAGCACCGTAGTAATGGATACTACAGCCGGAGCGCTGGTAACTGGTAATTGCGGTGTGATATTCCCGGGGATGATTGGCCCACCTGGCCCATGCAGGCTGCATTCAAGCAGGTTGGTCCTCCGTCTCAAGGTACCTGGCACCGCAGCTCATTCATTGTTCTTCCGGCTGGGCACCATGCCATGTCCGCAGGGCGAGGCGAGCTGGAGCTGGAGGATGGCGATGACTAACCGTATAAAGTCAGGTATGCTAGCTACGCAATCCCTTTCTGAGACAGAAGAGAAGAGAAGACAGAGAAAGAGACAGAGACAGACAAACAAGTCAATTGAATCAGACTCTCCACCACCTACCTCCTCTCTATCTCTATATCTACCTCCGCCCCCAAACTACTACTATACACCGGACCCATCCTATCCCGAACACCTCCCTCCACAATGGTACGCCCCGCCTCCTCCCTCCTCCCTCCTCTACCACCCACCCACCAGCTAGCTTACCACCTTTTGTCAACACACCAGCAACCCCCCGACCCCCAAACCATCCCTCTCCCCATCGCCATCCCGCTCACCAACCCCCCCATCCTCCTGCTCCTAACCCTCCCCACCCTCCTCCTCACCCACCTAATCCTCAAAGACTACCACGCCTTCCTGGCCCTCGGCCCCGGCGGCACCCCGAGCACACCCCTAGGCTACCTGCGAATCTGCATGCTCCGACTCTTCACAATCCGCGACCCGTTCCACCCACCCTCCATCCCCTCCACCCTTCTCCCACAATCCGGCCTCCTATCAGCCCACACCCTTTCCCCTCGCCCAGGACCGCGCCCCACCGTCATAGGAATCGCTCCCCAGCGACAAATGTCCCAGAAAAGCGGTCTCAAGATGTACGAGCTCCTCAGCCGAGAGATCCAGGACCTGGTAGCCCGCCACCCCGGGGAACTGTACGAGGGAACCTCGTGTTTCGAGAAACATAGCACCGGCATATTCTGCACGGGGTCTTCCTCACCATCATCATCAGCATCAACAACATCAACAACATCATCATCATCATCAGCATCATCATCATCACCACCATCATCATCAACAACCCACCCAACAACCCAAGCAAAACCCATCCCCATCTCCATGAACAACAACAACCACACCAACACCGACATATCCCCCACAATCCTCTCGCAACACCAACACCGCCGAACCTGCAACGGCGAAGTCTGCCACGCGCACCCAAGCGACGGCAGCCTGCATCTAACGCTGCACCCGGCGGACGTGAAGCTGGTGATTGAGCGGGGGTGGGCGCAGCGGCACCCGCTGACGCGGGAGAGCTGGTGGTGGTGCTACATGCGGACGGTGCCGACGGGGTTCGTCATGGTGTATGCGCCGCGCAACGAGGCGGAGTTGGCTTGTGTGTTGGAGATTATCCGCGCCGCGGCGTGGTGGGTTAGTGGGGAGGAGTTGGAGAGGGGGGGAGGATGGGGATGGTGGGAAGAGGAAAGGGGGTGGGGATGAAAGGGAGGGGGAGGAAGGTAATTGTGTAGGGGTGGGGTGGGAAGGGGATTGGGATGGGGATGGTATTGATTGTGGTGGTGGTGGTGGTGGTGATGGAGACGGCATGGCATTGGTGATGGTGGTGATATTTGAAAAATTGCAAGATGCATCCGGGCGGGTAGGAACACTGGTGTCATGTTGCGCTGGGTAGTATGTCCTGAGGGTGAATGACCTTAGGCTGCCCTTAGGCCGAGGGCAGTGTTGAGCCAGCTGTTGGTCCTAAAGACGCATAGAGAGATATATATAATATCCCTTGGATAACCGTCCGTTGGACAACACAACCGCTGAAGACTGAAGAGTGAAGACTGAAAAAGAAGACGGACTGTTATAGTATAATGTTATCACTCACAATCGGCCACTACACAATCTACATTCTCATGACACATCAGAATCAATATCAATCAAAATACATCCGGCGTTTTTTTTCTGGCGTAACCCGTCTCTCCATGCATCGCATCGCATCGCATCGTCACGTCGCGTCCGTCTTGTCTGCAGAGAAGCAAAGTCGAGAGAGTAGGAAAAGGAAACAGCGTTTAAGAAGAAAAGGCACAAAGGAGCAGAGAGCAGAGCAGTCGTTTCAAATCGGCGCCAGGATGGTTTGTTAAAAAAAAAGAAAAAAAAAAGGTAAAAGCTAATAGCATAGAGGAATGAAGAGCCGTTAGAGAACATACAAGAACCACCAAAGTAGCGCATCCCTTTCCCTACACGGGGTGAACTTTGCCGGCCCCGGTTCCCCTTCCAGCTTCCGCAACACTCCCAGTCAAACTTCCAGGTATTCTTCTTCCACTCATTATATCCGTTTAGTCGCGGTTCGTTTTCCGGAGCGTCTCGGCGAGCCACTCCAGACCCTCGTACAGACCATCTCCGGTCGTGGCGCAGGTGGATTGGATGTACTGCGGCGGGGGTTAGTGGACTGTTGTAGTTGACACCTGAGGCATCAGGTGGGGGTGGGAGAAGGGGCTTACCCAGGGGCGGCGGGTGAGGCTCTGCAGACCAAGCTGCTGGGTGATCTCGGCCGGGCTCATGGCATTCTGCGATTACAATCAATATCATCCTCTTGGGGGCGAAATATATGCAGTTGATCATACCGGCAAATCTTGCTTGTTGGCGAAGACCAGGAGGAGAGCATCACGGAGTTCGTCTTCGTTCAGCATGCGCTGCAGCTCCTCGCGGGCCTCGACGATACGGTCACGATCGTTGCTGTCGACGACGAAAATGATACCCTGGGTGTTCTGGAAGTAGTGTCTCCAGAGAGGACGGATCTTGTCCTGACCACCGACGTCCCACACGGTGAACTGGATGTTCTTGTATTCGACGGTCTCGACGTTGAAACCTGTGCGGACCCGACAACCAACCTGTCAGCTGCATTGTTCCATGCGCGGTCGAACATTTGAGCGAGCCCGCCCCCGACGACCGTGGGCCGCGAGGAGGGATGATGATGGTGATGATTATGAGGACTGACCAATCGTGGGAATGGTGGTGACGATTTCACCGAGCTTCAGCTTGTACAGGATGGTGGTTTTACCGGCGGCGTCAAGACCAACCATCAGAATTCGCATCTCCTTCTTGCCCCATAGGCGATCGAACAACTTGGAGAAGGTGAGACCCATGATGGCGGTGGCGAGTGTTCAGGTCTGCGAGGATGGGAGGTTAGAGGCAATCCAGAGGATCAGGAGGCAAGAGAGCACGGTCGGGAGGTCCAGCAAGACAACACGACCAAGTGACGTTTGGCTGAGGGGGGTAATATATGAGGCGAGGAGGGCAGTGGGCAGTGTGGTATGACGGATGGAATGGAGTGGTGGACGAGGGGTGTTGAAGGTAATCGATCAGGTTAAGGTAGTCACGCCGGGGAAACACGGCGGGCAGGACAAATCAGGGGGAGGGGAGCGGTGGCCAGAGAATGGCCAGGAGAGCAGAGGGAGGGAGGGATCGGGTGACAGGCCAACAGGGCGACACGGGGAGGATGGGGAGAACAGTAGAGTAGACAGACAGGCGGACTTACCACGATGGATGAAGCTGGGGAGGGGGGGGGGGGTGAGGGAGAGAGGGAGTAGGAGAGGAGAGTGGGTGTAGTCGATTCGGTCGAGCGTGGATGGATACAACTGGACTGACTGACGAGACAGGCAGGCAGGCAGGCAGAACAGAACAGAACAGACAACAGGTCGCCTGTAAGACTAAGCGTACACAGTACGGATGTGGGATTTTTGGGTGCCAAAATGCCAGGTCGAGAAATTCAGCCGCCGGCGTAGCTTCCGTCACTAACGATCCCGGCCGCAAAACTTACCACCTGCGTAATGCTGGTACGGAGTAATAAATCGTGGCACTGGGCGATCTAGAACAAAGGGGAAATTCACAGAAGCAAATGAAACCGATCTCAAGAAGTGGGCTGTCTATCTTCCTAGTAGATACTTACACAGTATCTATCTACCGAATCCTACAATGATCGATCAGGCAGGTCTTCTCCTGTCTCGCAGTGAAGCCAACGAATGTCTCTGTCCGCCCGCGTCCAGCTGCCCACCCGAAAGGACACCGTGTTTCCCGTCAATGGACCAACGGCGACCGTTGATACAATCTTACGCCTCCAGATCGGCTTACCAACGCAACGAGGCTCGTACCGTTTCTACGCCGCGGATGATGCAAAGCCCTCCGTCGTTGGCGCGTTGCCTATCCTTATATCGCCCACAACTGACCTGACTGATGGATGGATAGCTAATAATATTAATAACCATGAGTTAAATAACATTAATTCCACGGAGGATCCTCCTGCTCGCCAATGTCAGCAGCCAGTCCCTCTGCCCCTCTGAGCCCTGACAATGGTCCAGACACCCGCATCATTTCCCCCCTCAACCCGACCCCTGATAGGTTCCCGACTGCGCAATTTGGATTCCCCGTTCCAGTGGATCACCGTCGGGGGCACTATGGGGGTCATCTCGAACGTCGTGCTCGTGCCTGTCTGAGATTGCGAAGAGCGTAGTCAGAACCATCCCGCTGCACTGCATACAGTCTATCCCATGCTCAATCCAATAACACGCAGTGCTATGAGTGACATCCGAACAAGCAATTAGGGTAGATAGGCCGTTGCGTTAAAACACAGGGTCGTCGAAGCCTCGGAACCCACAGGGACCACTTTGCTCGAACAACGCGTCATGCTGCTTTTCATTATTCATCCGGCTGGTTCCCGATAAGAGATTACCGGCAGGGCTACTCCGTACATACTGCGAAGGCGCTTCCAAGCCAATGCCATTATGTACAACTTTAGAACGTCCGCGCCTGGGCCTCGTTCTTGGTTAGGTCACAATCCCGCTGCCAGACTGCATCCATAAGCCATGTGGCACAATCTCGGATCAGAGATGGACCCTGGTTTGCATGGGGCAAATGCATCCGACAGGTAATATCAGCCTGAGCCACCTCACAGTCCACTGCAAGATCAAGCAGGCTAGCTGGTCATGTGACTCATTCGCGATCTATCATTCTTGGGGTTGTTTGGGAAATCCTGCATTGTGACTGATTTGCACAATAAGTTTCATGTCATATCTCATCATGGATGGTCATCAAGTTCGACGATTCGCGCTGCCTGGGCCTTCATTTTTATGGGACGAGACTCTGTCCCTTGACATCCGGAAGAAGCTCCGGGACAGCGATTGGTAAATGGTCTTCCCTTCCACGGTATCGCTGGCGTACCCGAAGACAAAGAGCGAGATCGCAGACAGGAACATGATCACCCCGAAGCTGATCCAGTATTGATTGATCGTATACTCTCCCTTGACGTTCTGGAGCTCGGTGGAGAAATACCCGGTCATCAGACTGACTGGCAGGAAAAGAATCGTCACTTTGGCTAAGAGGATGGTGATTCGGGTCAACTTCTCCACGGCCTGGGAGTCCTTGAGCGCAATCAAGTTGAAGTTCTATCACGGTTAGCAATGTCGCGCATCCTCGGATCGTGAGCTTACCAGAAATGTGAGGTTCTCCTTTTCTGTCAGACAAGCGTCGATCTCGGACAGACAGTATAGCTTGATTCGGTCCAGCAACCTTTCGAATCGAGCCACGGCAGCAGAACTCAGTTGCACCCCGACGGTGGCATCGGGGACGACCGGGAGATAGAAACTACTCTGTGTGGTGGAATATCGGCCATCTGCCACGTCGTGGTCCCCAAAGCTTTGCCCAATTGCTAGCGGAGGGCGGCTGGAGCGGGCCTCGTCGCGAAGGAAACGCTGTCTTTGCAGTATGCGCGTCATGATAAGCTCGTAGCTTTGGTAGACGCGCCTCAGGACAGCCAACCGTCGCCCCAGCCAGTGTAATTCATTGACGAGGTCGACGACGGGTCTCGATAACATATTTTGTCTCTGTCTAGGTGTCAGGTGGCTCCGCAGAATGCAGACGAGACGAAAACACTCACCAGCTGATCAAGTGATACTCCATACTTGTGTTCGCGCTTCGCAACAAGCGCGTACGACGAAACCCAGTCGTCAAATATGTAGTAGAACAGTAGACTTGGACCATCGTCCTGCTTGATGCTGACCTGCTCAGGACCACCCTCATAAAACGGTCGTACCCGGATCGTGACCAACGAGTCGCTTTCAGACGAAGCGAAGTGCTGCTTGGAAACTCCTGCGAAGATGAGTTGCATGTTTCTGCGAACAACACCGAGAACGCCCTTCAGCTCTTTCTCCGACGGCCCAGAAAGACCCGGGAATGGGTTCTCTTGCATACAGATGACGGTCCCTTGGTACGTCAGTATGGATTGCCCATTGAGCAACTAGCGACATACCATCATCACACAGAATCAACCAGGCCCATAGCCGTCTTCCCTCTGGCAATTCCTTTCCATTGGACATATCGAGATGCGGTATAACATATAGAGAGTTGTATCCGACGCAGGTATCTACCTCAAGGTTAGAATATGTATCGCGATCGACGTCGCAGACAGACATACATCTTGGGCCATAATCCACGGAGCAAAAGTGCCAGATCTGGTCAATCACATTGGCGAATGTGAGGCCTCTGAACGATGCAGCTGCGCGGATCTCCTCCGGCTCCAGATCATGCAGGGGGTTATCTTCAATGTCATCCGGGCGAGAGCGACGCAAGCGGTCCATCGGCCGGAAGTTGTTTTTGAGAGGCTCGGGGGGCACGGGGGCCTTCGACGGACGTTCCACGGGGTCTGTACACATCATTCCCTGTAAGCGCTCGGATACACCATAATGGCTGGCGAGGGCCTGAAAGGTCAGTACCAGCATTGATCGCTATTTAAACCGACAAGACTAACCTTGACGAGTTCCTTCTGTTGTTCCGGGGCCCAAATATTACTACAGACCATGTGAGCAGACGGTCACAGTAGACTCAGGACGACACTTACATCCACCGAGTACCAAAGCATTTTGGCTTCTAGAGCCTTGTCAGTCTCATGGCAGCAGACAACCTCCAACGGATACGTACTGGCTTGCGCAGGAGCAGCGCGAAATCCTCGTGGTTCAGATTCACCGCAGACCAAGCGTCGTCATTGCCGAAATCGAGCACGAAGTTGCGGGTCTGGGGGTCCTTCAACAGCGCCAGGTAGGACTTGAGATTGGCTGCATTGTCGATGTCGGCGAATTTGTCCTGCAGATGCGGCCTGGTCTTGAAGCTGGCGTAGTACTCCTGGGGGGTTTGGAAACTGTGCGATCGTACGAGCTCAGACATCGCTCTCTAGACTGGGAGCAGCGCGTCTAGTACTCAATGCGTAGATGTTGGAGATAGTGAAGTAAAACCGACAGTAGAATGGCAGGGGCACAGTCGATGCAGAAAGAAAGGCTGAAAGAGCGGGAAGTAACACGGCGCAGCGCTTCTAAATAGAGGACGCATCGCACAAGGAGTCACTCTGTTCCTGGTCAGCCTCGAACCAGCCAGGCAACTGACTGGCATCATTCGCGCCGGGGCCTGAGGCGTTGTCGGTTGGCGCTGGGCGGATAATTGCTTTCCTGGGCCTGCAGCTGACTTGCGCGCGACACGAGGGGTCGGCGATCCATCACACGCCCCTCCATTGGCCCCGCGTCAACGACTCAACTCCGACTACCCAGGACGGCGCTACAGATTCGTCCCATATTGGTTACACAATCATCACAGGTCCGACTCATGGGCTGGGTTGCAGGCACACTCGAGCATTCTTTCGTCATCATTGTCCCGGATGATACTGTTGATCCGGACGACAGGGGTGGCACTTGCTAGTACTTAGTAGTCCTACTGCTTAAGTACATATGCAGTGGTGCACCGCCACGAGAGGCGCTGCAATCACACCCATGGGGTGGGCTACCTTGCTGTTGCTTGAGTATTCAAAGAAAATCAACTGTCAAATACATATTTCTGATCATAACATCCCTGTACTCAAGAATGTTCCGGTTCAGCCTGCGATTTCGCTTCCATGGTGAGATCGGTTTAGTCAGGCTTACGAGGAGAAGCACGACATTGTTGAGAACACTACGATATCAGATGAAGAGATGATTTCTAGCAGGTGGTCTAGTACATGATGATAAATTTACGTGTTGCAGCCGTGTATCCAGATATATATCGAATCACTCTTGGTTCAAAGTGCAGCATGAGACAAATCATCAAAAACAAGTAGATACATTCACACTCAAGGTACCAGGTAAGAATTCAACAACAAAAACCGAAACAGCATCATTTGATGGCATCCTAAAAGGGAAACAGCGACTGGATCACGCTGCAACCAATAGAAATGGTGCTGGTTGTTTTCTCCGCAGCCAGGTCACATGACCCCACTACGGGGTCCTCTGGGTGGTCCGAGCTCCCGGGCCGGTTTCATTTCGATCAACTCAGATGGGGATACACTTGAAACTACTGTTCTCGCTTTTAGTTCCCTTTTTCTTTCCTGGTTGAGGCAAATTGAAATTTCTTCGCATAACATGAGCTGCTAGGGGAGATGTCTCGAATCATGCCGTGGATCATTTCCGGACTTCTTGACTAGCTGATTTTATTGGTGTTGTGTTGACAATGGCCGACCAGACCGATACCAAGAAGTCCGTCCGCCTGGCGACGGCATGCACCGAATGCCAGCGCCGGAAACAAAAGGCAAGCACCGACATCCAGCGATGGTGAATACCAGGGGGAAATCATTATCTAACACTCCCTCAACAGTGCAGTCGGGAATGGCCATGCAATCAATCACTGTCAAGGGAGGCGGATTGCTCACCTCTGTAAATTTACGCCCAAGAAAGTGCTCAAGGCGGCGAAGCCCGTCAGTAATGATCCAAGGTCTGATAATTGTAAACGGCCTCCTTCGGACAGTTTGTTGATTCCCTTCAGGACCCCGAATACTCCTGCAAGAAACAATGCAGATTCAAGCCCAGACTCCTTGAGTTCTAACAGCGTATCGGCCATCGCCAGTGGGGATGGCTTCCGGATGCTGGGATACCTCCCCGACAATGAAAATGTGCTCCAGGGAGGTACTGATCAATACGTGAGAACATCTACTGTGGCACATTATCATTATATAACTGATCTTGCTTCCCGATGTCTTCGTCCAGCAATCGGCAGCCATATCACCACTTCCTCGGGGGAACTTATCGCCTGAATTGGAGAAAGCAATCCGTACCATCCCCCCGAAGCCCTACACAGGTAAAAGCACAGCCATATTTATAGGGAGTACTCTGCTTACTTGGCTTAGATATTCTGGTGCAGCTCTTTCTCAGTGACATGAATGATCAGTATTACTGTCTTTATCCACCCACTTTCTCACTCGATTACTCCACTTGGTGGGTGGGAAAGGCAAGTGGTGAGACATTGACGCCAGAGTTTACATGTCTGCTTCTACACGTCTGTGCCTGCGGCGCCCTTTATCTGGACCCTGAAGCACGGCAAAAATTGGAGAGTGAACTGGGCGAAAGCTCCCAAAACCTTGCGGAGCAATATCACCATACTGCCAAACAACTTAGCAATACCATAGCCCCAGGCAAAGGAGGCCTAATACAGGTGCAACAGTTGTTTATAAACGCGGTATGGTATAAGACCGAAGCATTGTTCATCGAGTCGTGGCATGCCTTAGGTGCTGCTATCCACGAGGCTCAGGAGTTAGGTACGAAACTTTCTGGCCTACTGTCGGATACCCCATTAATACGTTAATAGGTATGCACAGAAGTTCCTCCAAGGCAAAGGTCTCTGAGTTTGAAGGGGAGATGAGAAGACGGCTTTGGTGTACACTCTACACCTGGGACTGGTAAGTCACCCAAGACTCGTGGTTTGACTCAATCTCATTCTATAGGCAAATGTCGCTACTATTGTCGCGTCCGTTTGTCATAAACAGCAACTATTGCTCCTTCGAGCTACCCAATGTACGCCTCGAGACAGGTGCAGATGCCCCATCGCCAATAACACATATAACCCTCCAGTGTCAACTAGGGCAAACGATCTCAACTATACCCGGAGTTATGGGGGGAATCCTGAATCCCACGCAGGCTGTCTCCATTCAACAAGAAACCGAGAGATGGTTTGACTCTTTTCCGCCTCCGTATCGACTTATTGACCCCGACACTCGTTGGGACCAATCTCATCCTTATGTAACCATGCAACGACATCAAGTACATGCTATCGGCTGGATGGTCATGCTTCTACCATTAAAGCAATGTCTTACAAAAGATCTAGACCAGGACAAGCCCAGTATTGAAAAGAGTCTCCGACCAAACGCTGTCGACTGTGCACTGAAGTTGATCGACTCAGCCCGGAAGCTCTAGTCACACATGCTTCCCGCAAATACAAAGTTCCATTCTGCACCTTTTCTGATGTTCGATACCGCTGCCTTTTTGTGTTCTGCAATCATACACGACAGCAGTCGAACTCTGCCACAACGAGACAAGGTCGTTGAAGCGATTGGCTTAGTCCTCAAGGCGTTAGCGCAAATATCTCAAAACACAAAGACTGGCGCCATCTGCTCTGCAGTTCTTACCAAACTTGCAAGTAGCACACCTTTGTCTCCGGAAGAGAAGGCTTTGATGTTTGCCAAGTCGCCGGAAGTATCGCTTGAGGAACCTCGAACACCGCCTGCTATCCGGCCAGGTCTGGATGCTCTTTGTGGTGATGATGCATATCTCGGAACCTCTCTTTCAACTTCGAACAATTTTGGGGACACGATGGAGATGTCGTTATCCCTAGGACTCAACCCTGCTGATAGCATGGGTGGTTACATGGGGCTGAGTGATATTCCCAATATGGATCTGGGCGTGTTGGGCCAGATATGGGACTGGGATAATCTTGATCTTGATTTGCCGGGTTCTCCGACCCTATAAATTATCGGACAACGAAGCAAGATATGAACAGCCATACACCGGACATTTGCTATACATAACTGCAATCATGATTGTTCTCTGAGCCAGTGTCTGTCTATACATCGATGTCCCTCAACCCGCAACCTGCCTCCGCACCCATAACACAATGTCATCTACGACCTTCGCGTCCACATTTCCCGACTTATCATACTCAGCTGGCACCGACAACCCTTCGCCAGCCACAAATAGGTGATTAAGGGACTCATAGACACGAAACTCGACAGAAACACACCCCCTGAACGTCTCATAATACCGCGCATAGTCATCTTTCATCGTGGCCTGATAATCCCTCCCGCCCTGCAGAACCAACAACGGCTTCCGAGAAAGATGCTCACTATAACCCAACGGATTGAACTCCCGCCCTTCCAACCAATACGCAGGCCCAATCCCAAAAGGAAGCTCACCCGCCGCCACAGACGAACCTGGCGAGAGCCCATCAGCCACCTCCGCCTGCCTCTCTAACTTCACCAACTCCTCCCCCATCGTGTTCGACGCTCGCGCCAAACCCCCATTGACAGCCATCAAATACCTCATCTGCCTCACCGCACACCTATAAATTTGCTCCGCCGGACACGCCATCAAAACACAACCCGCAACCGCCGAATCCAAGGCCGTGATCTTCGCAGCCGGCCACGCCCCCAGACTATGTCCGAGCAGAAACACCTCAGAGATCCCCGGGTGTTTGCGAACCTGCCTCACCGCGTCCAATACATGATAAACGTATTCGTCTGTCAGAGTCATACTGCGGTTCCGGCGGAGCAGTTTCAGCCATAGGCCGTGGGTATATGTCACCTTGTCGAAGCGGCAGACGGCGATTCCCGAACTGCTAAGTCCATAGGCTAGGTCTTTGAAAGGCTTGAGAGACCTGATCGTGGAGTCTCTGTCTGTGGGACCGGAGCCGGCGATGAGGATTACACAGGGGGTTTTGGGTTGTGGGTTAGTGGGGAGGGTCAGCGTGGCGCCAACTTTGTAGATACCTCGTCCTAGTGACAGTTTTGTTTCGGTAATGTCTTCACTGGTGGCGTAAGACGGTGGTTTCCAGCGATTTGAGGCAAGTGGGATAACGCGAAGACCAATGAGATGGCCTGTCACCGCCCATTGCAAGGACAAGGAGACACTACCCTGTTTGAAGCGCAGCGGTGCAGTTGCGGTGTGTAGGAGCCAGTAATTCGAGAAAGTCGCAGGCCCGATGTCTTCCAGGGGTCCGTAGATTGTGAGGACTGACTCCCATGCTTTTCGGAGGAGTATTTCTGTTAAGAGGAGTCGGAGGGGTAGAAGAAAGAGTGGTCGCAAGGCGGTCCAGTCCTCGTTCCTGAGCGCTGTGATTGCTTGTGTTGTATTGGCTTCTATCTTCTGGGTCTGGGCGGAATGGCGCGGGAAGAGTCTCCAAATGGCAAGAGAGCCATATATCTGTTGCAATGCTGCCCATATAGTGGTGAGGAACATGGTAATCGTGAAGTATAGTAAAATCTTTTATCAAGGATACACTAAGTGATTGACATAAGGTAGATATCTAGTTAGTTGTTGTAAGCAGAGCAAGCCAGCCCGATGTCAGCACCAAGTGTACATCGTGTCTCGCACGTGCAAGGCTGTATTGTTTCATGGTGAGTAGTCCGCCAACGTCCATAAGTCTTCAAGATTCCCATCCAATGTTCTTCAACCCATCCGTCGTTCTCTCTGTAAAGAAAACATCAACAAGAACGCAGAAGCGAAGACGCAATGACCAACAAAGAAAAGAAGCAGCCCCCAGCCACCAGACGTACCCGCTGACTCAGCGTCTTGAAGTATGCTGACTCAGCAACGCATTAGGGCAGCGCTAGACCCATCGCGGCTAGGGCGAGCGACGCACAAGCGGAGACGGGATTTTCTCTCGGCGGGCGGCGGGCCTCAAATTTTGCTCCTGTCCTCGACCCGATCCTCAGCGCAGAGCCACACCAAAGGAACCGATTCTTTTGGAAGACTGTCAGCAAGATGTCCAAGATCACAGTCGGTAGGTGCAAATTCCAATTTCGAATATGACATTCCATGATTCGACAATCCGACGTCGAAAGTCGGAAGACATGAACGATGGGCCTGTGTGGAAATACGGATTACTGACTTTGTCTGCGTGGGATAGCCGGAGTGCGTGAGAACGTCGAGCAGCTGCTCAACTACTCCCAGAATGAGAAGAAGCGTAACTTCCTCGAGACCGTCGAGCTCCAGATCGGTCTGAAGAACTACGACCCCCAGCGTGACAAGCGTTTCTCTGGTACCATCAAGCTGCCTACCGTTCCCCGCCCCAACATGGCTATCTGGTATGTCGATACGGAAACCAAACCGAACCAAACCAAATCACAAACTTCGCAAAGGAAGGGAAGGGAGAAGAGGCAATAACTAACGGTCTGATGACAGTGTTCTCGGTGACCAGCACGATCTCGACCGTGCCAAGCACCACGGCATCGACGCCATGTCCGCTGATGACCTGAAGAAGCTGAACAAGAACAAGAAGCTCATCAAGAAGCTTGCTCGCAAGTACGATGCTTTCCTGTCTTCCGACGCTCTCATCAAGCAGATCCCCCGTCTCTTGGGTCCCGGTCTTTCCAAGGGTATGTCCTGTTCCGTCCCATTGCCAACTACTCTACATCCGAATGATATTCTAACTGGACATTTAGCTGGTAAATTCCCCACCCCCGTCTCTCACTCTGAGGACATGGCCAACAAGGTCACCGATGTCAAGTCGACCATCAAGTTCCAGCTTAAGAAGGTTCTCTGCCTCGGTGTTGCCGTTGGCAACGTCGGCATGACCAACGAGGAGCTCGTCGCCAACACCATGCTGGCCATCAACTACCTCGTCTCCCTGCTCAAGAAGGGCTGGCAGAACGTCGGTAGCCTTGTCCTCAAGGCTACCATGTCTCCCCCCAAGCGTATCTACTAAGCGTGAAACCGCTTGGTAGTTGTGCTGGTGGGTCTTTTTAGGGGCTGAAGTTGTGGGTTCGTGTTGTGCTGTAGTTTAGCTATTACGGAAATGTGATCCATGATTTTTTTGTCTCTAATTGGTTGGTCGTGTTGATTTCGTAGGGTTGTAGATCGCTTTTATGTAACTGTAATCTAGATATAATACATGTTTTGAAGGGAATAGATGGACACTATTGCATTCCAGCCATCAGTTCCGTCTTGTCGAGAACCATCCCTCTGATCCCGATGAACTCTCGTAGCGTCTCCCACTCCTCGCCTTCCTCTTCACCCCGCATGTAGATATCCTTGAATCCCCACGCAAGGGCTACCTTGTCGAACGCGGCCCGCTCCTCTTCGCGGAGCCAGCGATGCCGCAGCGGCACTCCCGATTGCCATACAACACGCTCCATCTGGTCATTGGCCGTCGTGATGGCCAGCACACCCACCGACGATGTGCCCCCGACATACGCCAGCGTCGCAGCGAAGGCAATCCCCGTCGCTGTGCTAGCATCCATCGTATTCTGTAGCGACGCAGCCCACGTAGCAAGAACATAGCAGGCCGCCGGGGCCCCAGCCAGCGCACCGACCGGGAGAGCCGCTTTCTTGAAAATCTTCGCGCGGTGGAACGCCGGCGCACAGAACGTGGTATCGATGATGGACAGAACCAGCGACAGATTCCGCTGATCGATCGCAGCGTCTAGGGCCGTGTTGGCGAGATCCACCGGCACAGCGCTGTTGATGCTCTTGGGCTTCGCCTTGAGGTATTTGATCGGCGAGCTGTTCTCCTCGGGGATGGGCTTATTCGCATACAGGTGGAAGATCTCCGGGAAGTGGGCGGGGCGTTTGAGGACGGCGTGGATCTTGGTGTAGCTGGTCAGGGCTTCGGGGGAGATGAACACTTTTTCGTCGGTCAGGAGGTCGTGGACGGTTTGACAGAGGCGGTCGATGGTCTGTTCGGGCGTCGTTTGGCGCCGCGTGGGGGACTGCTGCGGTTTCCGTGTAGCGAGCGTCTTCCCCTCCTCGAGGTCCAGCAGCGAGGAGATCTCATCCGGTTGTTGTTTTGATCGTGACCGTGTCTTTCCGGTGTCCTGCTCCGGCTGCACGATGGCGTCGGCGATCTTCTCGCATCGTTGGAGCAGTTGTTCGATTTTGTCGCTGGGGGGGGCGGCGTCTGTCTTGAGAAGCTCCGAGCATTCGTGTGCGATCTGGGTCACCGCCTCGTCAATCTCCGCGGATGAGAGCTGTCGAGGCACAGTCGATTCGAGCCGTCTGGGGGTATATGTGGTCGAAGTCCAGGGGGTTCCAGGGGTTTTCTTCGGGCGCAATTGGCCCAGGCGCGCATTCCGAGTTAATAGGCTGGTTGATGCATAGGACCGCGCGAGGGGTCGGTGAACGGGGGCAGGGGTGGTGGATGGTTGGCAGATTTGGCAGACCAGGGCCTGTGACCGGGCGACCTTTTGGCCCCTCAGGGCAATTCCTCTGGTGGAAATCATGGACGGTGGTGGTAGTGGATGGCTGGTTGTCGGAGAGGAGAGGGCGGAAGTGGGAAGGCAGATATCGCAGCCCGGCCGACAAGGCCGACAAGGCGGCGAGCGTACTGCCGCCGCCACTGGCAGCGGGTCTCGTTCCAGGAACGCTCGTCGGTCGTCCCCGTCTGGTCTTCTTGTCTACCTAACGTCTTCCGCTTTCCACTCCCCTCCATCAGCAACGCCCCTTAGGCATCTGCTTTTCTTCGACCGCGCCCCATTCCCTTGCTTTCAGCAGGCCTCAAATGATCCATTTAACCCCAGAGGATTGATCCCCTGGTGATCGTCAACTCACTTATCCCTCCCTCTCCGCCGTGAGCGTCATATCTCGTCGTCTATAACCGTCACATCACATCATATCATGCCTCCCCCTCCGCCGCCCCCGCCGCCCCCGCCTGGAGGTATGGGGGGTCCTCCCCCTCCCCCTCCCCCCGGAGCTCTTCCTGGCAGACCATCAAACAAAGAAGCCAAGGGCCGGGTAAGTGATAGACTGTCAATGGTGGCCGCGTCAAGCTGCTAATGCCTCAGATAGGGCGCACTGCTCTCGGACATCCATAAAGGCGCAAAGCTGAAGAAGGCCGTCACCAATGACAGATCGGCCCCCGTTGTAGGTGGAGGAGTGAAGTCTTCTGGTCCCGCCATTGCTGGTGCTCCGCCTGTTCCGGGCATGGCGAAGCCTCCGGCTGGGTTGGCACCACCTGTCCCTCCGGCACAAGCGGCAAACCGACTACGAAGTGACAGTAATGCGAGCTCGGGAGGAGATAGTGGCGTCTCTGCGCCGCCTCAACTCGGGGGTCTCTTCGCAGGGGGCATGCCCAAGCTACGCAGTCGAGGGGGCGTTGACACGGGGGCTACTCGCAGCTCCTCGTATCTACCAGAGTCGGGAGGCGCTCCCCCGCCCCCTGCGGCATCCGCTCCGAAGCCTCCGGGTGCGCGACCCCCTCCACGACCGCCATCTACAGAGTCGCCGCCTGCTCCTCCAGTCAATCCTTTGGTCGCAAATCTTCGGAAGCCTCCTCCCAGACCGGCCTGCCGGCCGTCCTCCACAGCATCGAATGTGTCAAGCAAATCAGCCCCTGACGCTCCGCCGCGGGCGCCGCCACCGTTGCCGGGCTCCGTGAAAGGCCCGCCGCCGCCTCCCATCTCCATAAGGAAACCCTCAGCACCCCCTCCACCACCCTCGACGTCTAGTCCAGCTGCACCGCCGCCGCCTCCGCCCGCGTTTTCTGCTCCCCGTCCTCCGGCGCCGGCTCGATCCACCCCTCCCCCACCACCCCCTCCTGGCGCCTCGGCACCACAACCGCCGAATGGTGCTGCATCTATCGCAGTTCAAGCCGCTCGAAACGCCCTTGGACACGGTCACCCACCACCGCCTGCCTCCGCTCCATCAGCACCTCCTCCCCCGCCCCCACCCAGTGCTCCTCCTACCCTCCCCTCCAGTGAGCCGCCACCGCGCCCATCACCCCAGCCTCCTGCGGCAGCACCTCCTCGACCCTCCTCGTATGACTCGCCAGCGGGTTATCAACCAGATCGCTCGACTCTGGATCCGAGCGCTTACACCCTCAGCAACGGCGGGCCGTCACCGGGGTCAAGTCCTCTGGGACCAGGTGCGCACGGTCAGGTTCGGGTAGACGACCATCGGTTCAAGTTCCAGAGCGACGGCTTACTGCCCAAGCCCAGACCATTTGTGGGAGGCGCCCGACGGTACCGGGCTGGACGGGGTAGCAGTGTGCCATTAGACCTGAGCGCATTGAGTGGATGAAACATTGTTGCACCGATACATCTGGGAGGTTCCCAGTCTTCACGCTTGTAAATTTGCTTAGCAACGCGCTTATGGGTAGTGACAGCAGGGGTTAGAAATGAAGTCGAGTTTAGATCAAATGCCAAATGCCAAATGCCACCTTGTACTAGAACGTAGAATGGGCTTTGGATGATCTCCGACCGTGTATGCTGCTACAATTGGGTCTGTCTTCCACTCGCCACTGCGCACCTGGAGAGGAAGCCATAGCATTGGCAGGGGGACAGTGGAGCGGATCTGATAGACCGACGGGACAGCTCCCTCACGTGATCCGCGGCCGCCGCATCGAAGCTGCGAAGCTCCGGAGAAGCACGTCCAGATCAACATCTCTTGATAAACCTCCGCGCTGCCTCCTCCTGGCCTGATCACCCTTCTTTTCCGCCTGACGCTTTCCTCCCGCGACATTCACATCGGTCTACTCGGCAGACCAGCCAGCCCCGCCCCAGTCCCACCCAGCAACTCACCTCCGGAGATTGACGCGACGTCGAAAGTATTTTGCTTCGGGTCGAGCTACGAGCACAATCTAGAACACCATTGAAATCCGCCCTGCCAGGGTCTCTGAATATAATCGAACAATATTTTACATCATATTATTATCATATTACCCGGAAATAATCAGAGCGTGAAGCTCTCTCTCACCTTCTCTGCACCTCACGAGCTCAATTCCTCTTTCTCTCCCCGCCACAAACCTCGGTTTCTTAATATTATCCACCTACTGATCACCATGTCTCTACACTCCTACATCAACAGTAAGCCCTCTATTCCCTGTTCTCGGGATCCAATGTCCCCGCGATGGATTGGTCCAATCCCCTCTTCCCCCTCTACCCCGCAGAACACCGAATACCCAGCGCTAACGCACCGATTCCCCGGTATAGAGAAAGTATGCATCCTGACCGTGGACGGCCGGACACTTCTGGGGACACTACTATCGACAGACCAGCTGACGAACCTGGTCCTGGTGGACACGATCGAGCGAATCATCCGCACGCCCGATGATCCGGAACCCAGCTCGCAGATCGAACACGGGCTGTACCTGATCCGCGGCGACAACGTGGTTTTATGTGGCGAAGTGGACGAGGGGATTGACGGGGATATCGATTGGACGAAAGTACGGGGTGAGGTAGTCAAGGGCACGAAGAACGCTTGAGGGAGGTTGCCAGCAAACAGTCTATGATATCACACAAGACAAGATTTCTCGCGGTTTAAAAAAATATGGACGTGCAGTGCTGTTTGTACGGTTGGTTGGTTTGAGTGATGATTGATGGGGACGATCGAGGCGTGACTGTGACTGACTGTGCCTGTGACTGGCAGTGGCAGTGTCAGACAGGGGGGCTGGCGCGTAGGGTTGGATGGATCGGATCGCTTCCCTCTCTCTTTTTTCTGTCTCGCTCGTTTTCTCGTGGTCTCGTTCGGCGGGTAGAGGAGGGGAGGAGGGGCAGCGCGGTCCGTGCCTGGGGTACGTGTGCGAAGCTACGCGCGCGACTATGTGCAGGGGGGACCAACCAGCGGGGTCCGATCATGGGCGCAGCTACGACCGGGCGGTGTATGGACAGTCTGGAATCTGGGCACATCGACCGTTGGCGGTGCTACAGGATTGTTTCGGTTGGGATTTGGGGATTCAATTCAAGGGAAAAGAAACAAGGAAGAACGATGTGTACAGGCAAGGTAAGGCAAAGAAAGGCGGGGTGGTGCGTCAAATCCGGAGTACCCCTGCGCGCCGATCCCGTTGGACGATATTGATTGTTCGGCCGGAGTCGGCGATGGATGGAAAGAGTCGGACAGGAAGAGAGAACAATGCACGATGATGGGAGCTGCATGGCGATATTGCATTAGGCCTCACCTCACCTCACCTGATCCGAAACAGTTGATGCTGCCTGTTCTTTGATGGCGGTCTTTCGAGCGTGCTTCTATTCTTGTACCGTCCATGTCCCAATCAGATCAACCCTAAGTCCCAATATACTGCAGCCGAGTGCCTGCATAAGTGTGTCTGTCCGTCTGTCTGTACCCTAAAAAGTGACCAAATAATGGACCGAGTGAGATGTCCAGATATCTATCTAGCGGCAACGCGTCCCGGCGGCAGCGACTGCCACCATCGTATTTAGTATTCTTTAGTGAGGTAGCAGAATTAGGTGGACGATCTAACCCTGACCGTTTCCGGGAGCCAGGCCAGCGGTTCAGTGGTTCCTCGAGTGGTTCCAGGGGCCGTGCCGTGTTTGGGTGTTTGGGGTTTGGATGAGCCACAATCCCTCGTGAGAGCCAACCGACCCGACCGGCGCAGCTGCGTTGGCCTGCATGCCAGATCAGATCTTTGCCACAACACCTTAAGTTACCTGGTTACCTCCAACGAGGCTGTATATTATTTTCACCCTCAATTAATAACATCCTCATTTCCATGCCCTTCCCAACCTCCGGCCTCTGAATCTAAATGTGACAGCCGCCCCGTTTCTCTGCCGCCCGCCCCGCCCTTGCCAAGTGCGGCCCAACTTAAGTTGCTCACTAACTGGCCGTTCCTTGGGTTTTTGGTGGTTTGGGGGTTCTTTCCCCTGACGGACTGACTAGACTGGCTCTCCCCGTCTCAGTCTTTCTCTCCGACTCCGTCTTGTCCCTTTCTCCCTCTCCCTCTCCTCTCCCTCTCCTTCTCCCTTCCTCTCTCCTCCCCCTCCCCTCCCCTCCCCTCTCCCCTTCTCATCCTCTCTACAATCCTCATTCTCCTCCTCTTATCCTCAAACCACATTCTTCGACCTCGTCTCGTCCTGACCGCCACAATCCCCCCCCCGGGCCTGGATTCTCCCGTTTAATCCCGGTCGCTGGGCGACCGCCACTTCTGCCTGCTTACCACCACCGCTATCAACCCCCCCCCTCCTTCCCCCTCCGATACGAGCGCCCTTCATGTTGTTGCGACCGTGCCTACACACAACTGCAGACTCAACTAGTCTACACCCCCGGGTCAATTGGTCTTCGTGAGCGCTGGGATCTTCCTTCAACTGGTATCGCTGTCTAGTCGGTGTACCATCTCTCCTCCCCCTCCCCTCTTCCTCATACCTCCCTCTCTCCTTCCCAGCCTCCGTCGTCCGACCCTGGTGGTTAGGCCAGAATGTGGCTCTACCGTGGTGCCCAGTCCGCCGTTTTCTACTATGCCACCTGCACGCCCTGTGCCGGCTCCCTAGACCGCCACAAGCGCAAGAAGGAAGCCGCCCGGTCGAAACGTGAAAAGGCCAAGATCGAGGCCGTCGTCACCGACCAGCCAAAACCGTTACCGCAGCCGACTGCGTTCAGCACCAATCCAGGATGGGCGGAGGAGATTGCTCTAGGCCCGGGTCCGCCGACAAGAAGAGGTGGCCATCGGACCGCACACCGTCGGACGGACTCATGGAACACTGGCATTTCGGCAGAGTCCGTGCGGGATGCGAATCGCGCAGAGGGTTCGTCGCATAGGAAGGATAAACTGAAGCATCCGTTGGGCGATCGGTGGAACCGTATGCGGTATCAGCGCGAGGACGAGCCGCTATGGGGCCAGGATGCGGAGGTCAAGGGCTCTTCGGTTGGACTCTCGGGGAGCGGCAAAGCAGATGCTAGCTCCTCGAGCAAATACTATATCGCTCGCGTGCCCCCGGTTAACGATCTTCACCCCCCGATTGTGAGTGGGCCCAAGAGTCGGGCTGAGACCCGGTGGATGTTACAGCCCCCACCCAGCGCGCGGGTGATGGCCGGCAAGGATCGTGTTGGGGATGCTGCCCACAACGACGACAACGAATACAGCGGTCAGCGTGCAGACGGTGAGCACACCGACAAGACGCCCGTCCAGCCCAGCCAGCTGCTGCTGCCGCGGCTAGACACCCAGACTTCCGAAAAGACCGTCAGACCGTCTCCACCGCGAATGGCCCCCGATGGTTGGTTCGATCCGAGATCCGCAGGCTCGGAAACTAACGACCAGCGTCCTCATTCGCCCACGACCCCCCGGTTCATGTACGGATGTGATGAGTCCAACTTCGTAATATCCCCCTCTTTCCGCTCGCGCTCCGACTCCTGTTCCACCCTGTCGTCCCCCGGGGATTCCGAGGGCGAGTCCCCCCGCGTCTCCTTCCACTCGCCAGGGACCCCGACCTCCCGGCCTGTCTCCAAAGCAACACAAGATAGCGGTAAACACTTCCCTCCAACAATTTCTCAAACCCTATCTACGTTGCCACGTGACAACAACAAGGTGCAACTGTTGCATTTGGAAATCAATGACTCGCCTGACGATATCGGACTAGGTCAGCTTGAGCGTCTCCGGCCCTGGCGCTGGAGTATGGATATATGACCGTGACAGCCGTCCGTCCTTTTTTGCCGCATCCCCCTTTTTGTGCCTTGTTTATCATGGAAGCCTGCATTTGATTTTGCTCCTTGGGTAGGAGAATACCCCCTCTACTGTTGGAATTTAGTTGGCTTGTTTTGTGTTTTCGGCGTTGGCAGCAGCAAAAAGCGTTCTTTCCTCTGACGCCCTCTTGATCCATTCCCATGGCAAATACCCCCGATGCATCATGCCGAACAGCGCGGGAGTTCCGTTCGATAGAAGCACTTAATGTGTATGCATGGCTGGGCCAACAGACACAAACTCGTCGAACGACTTAGAGAGACTGACCGTTCATTTATCCCCAACTGAACCACTATCCTTCATTGACGGGCTCAGCAGCAGCCGCTCCAGCATTATCCTTATCATTGGATGTCCAGTTCCTCAGCGCAGATTACTATCCCTACTGATTCCAGTTTCCTATCCTTACCCTTATTTTTTTTTGCATTTTGCGTTTTGCATTTTGCATTCTGTGTTTTTTTTTCTTGGCTTTTTTGACTCTGCTTGTCTTGTTCGTACATAGTCTAGTCCAGTCTACTGCTTGCCCTCTCTCTCTCCCTGTGTGTCTCTCTCTGTCGCGCTCGCGCTCGCTCGCTCTTACTCTTGCACTCGCTCTCTCTCCGCGTCTCTCTCTTGTCGTACCCTACCTACCCTTCATGTACACTACTTGTTTTAATAATACATACCTGCCTTTCTTCATACTCTTCTCACTCTTCACATTCACACCCTTCACGACTGTCTTTCAATTGAAGCTTATTCATTGAGCACGCATGTAGGTAGACCCAATCCAACCCCACGCAGAATCAGAAACTATATACAGCGATTATGCCTTCTATAATATCTATCATTCACCATCATTCACCGGTTCTGTACTTGTCGATAATAAGCTAGAATTAAACTACATCAAGTGGATACCCAGCCACGGTAGACTACAGTAGGGCACAGTAGTCCGGCATGGGTCTGCTGATTATTTACTGTATTGAGAACTGAACTGGAGTATGCCGTTCTTAGCGTTGACGCACGTGTAGTCACTAGGCGCTAGGAGAAAAAGAAAAGAAACCCCAGGAATAAGAGAGAATCTAAAAAAAAAGAAAAACCCCCCAAAAAAGAGAAAAAGCAATATTTAAGTAATTGGGTATACTAAGTATCTAGATACTAGGGGTGGTTTAGACCAGGGGAATGGGGAGCCGGCCGAGAATACGGAGACTTGGACTATGTTTCGGAGAAGCGCAGGCCAGCCAGCCCCACAGCCTGTTGCAGATACTATTATTATTATTATCGATCCCCCTCCCCCGCCACAGACGCTGCATCTACACAATACTCAAACAGACAAGACAAGATGACCCAAAACACCACCACCACACCCATAACCCCTCCCCCTCCCCCTCCAATACGACCCCTCTCCCGAACAAAAACAGGCTGTCTCACCTGCCGCCGGCGCAAAAAGAAATGCGACGAGCGCCGTCCCTTCTGCACCGGCTGCCACCGCAACAACATCATATGCCAATGGTCGTCGCCCAGCGCCTCACAGTCACAGTCACAGTCACATCTAATCCCCCGCCCCCGCCGCCATCGCCGCCGCCAGGCCGACAAGCCTCTCCTCCCGGGCCAAGCCCAAGGCATGGTGAACGTCTTCTCCGTCCTCACCCCGGACATTGTGTCGCGGCTGCTGCGGCATTTCCTTGACGCCAGCCCGAGGTGGTTGTCGACGAGGACGGGGGCCCAGCGGACGGGGTATTTGAGGTGGCTGGCGCCCGCGCTGCAGGGGAGTTGTCTGGTGAGGGGGTGCGTGCTGGCGATTGCGTCGGCGGATCTGCTGAAGTATTGTCGCGGCGATGGTCAGGTTTATCGTGCTGCGGTGGAATTTTATGGGCAGGCGGTTGCGGGGATTAGGGGGGCGGTTGAGGGGGAGATGGAGGGGTCTGGTTCTGATTCTGGTTCTGGTGGGTTTCTTTCTGGTGTGGAATGGATATATCTGTTCGGTTTCTGGGAGAGGCGTTGCGCTGATGTGTTTGCATACTCATACTTACTCATAGATTATACCACCCTCTCGGTACTTTTGCTGTGTCTGCACGAGGTACGCGGACTTGAACTTCAATCCTACTCTCTGACAATCAGACAACAGGCTAACAGTCCCAGACTCAAAACTTCACCAACCGCGAGAGAATCCTCCCCCATCTCAACGCCGCGGCTTTCCTTCTCCAGAACCGCATCTCCAGTGGCAACGGCGACAGCATGGACCCCGCGCTGAGGGGCTTTCTATTCGAAATGTTCTGTTACTTCTTCCCCTTGGCTGCCTTCTCCCTCGGGCCCAAGTTATCCATTTCGCTTTCCTGGGCCGATCGCATCTTCGCCTCTCCGTCCGTCATGGCATATATCCGGAACGGCCACATCATGGGGACTTCGCAGCACCTGTTTATTGCGATTTACCGCATCGCTCTTCTGGGTCAGAAGTTGGTGTCTGGTCAACCTGACCAGGTTTCTGCAGCGAGGAGAGAGCTCATCTTGCTGGACCGGGAACTTATATCCCGTCAGACGGACTTCACCCCCACAGAGTATAGTATGGATCTTGACCAGCTCAGCGACGCCATCACATCAGCCCTATACAGCCTAGCCTGTCGCATCCACATCAAACGACTTCTCCTTCTTGCCCCATCCCAACCCGATACCGAGAACGAAAATGAAGATGCAGAAGAAGAAGAAGAAGAAGAAGAAGAAGAAGAAGACAGCCTCGCCGCAATCCAATCCCTAGTCACGGAATTCATCCACACCCTCCACCACCTCCCCCCCGATTCGCCCTCCCACAACATCATGAGCTGGCCACTCGTCGTGGCGGGCTTTTCTGCCAGCAGTGCCGCCCATCAGCGCATCATCGCCGCGAAACTGGATATCATATACACGGAGTGGCAGTCTGCTATATTCTCGAAAGGCGCGGCGTTTCTGCGCGAGAAGTGGAGGGGAGATAGGCGGTCAACAGTAGGTGTAGGTGGTGTGGATGGGCTTGGGTTGGTGGGGGAGTGTCCTGTTATTTTGGCTTGATCTATCCATCCCAATTCCCAATTCCCAATAAGGGGATAGCCAACGGGCTAAACGTGAAGCATCTGCGCCAGTTGCGAATCAAGAGCCTGTCACGTGCACGGGTCTATCCGCCCGCGATGATTCCATCGCCATTCGCCACTACCGACTAACGACCCGCATTTTAGAACCGGACCTGATCCACTGGCGCGGCTATTAATGTCTCAAATAGGCTTAGAACGCGCGAGCCTCCCTGTTATCTATCGCAACAGCATTGCCGATGGACCGACGGGGAGTGATTGATCAAAGACAGCTGCTTCCTGCGACATTGATCTCCTGCAACTCTCCCCATTTGCTCACCTCGTACCTTGCAAGACGCAACAAACACCACCATGATCCCGAACATCGACGAGAAAGAGAACCTCGCTCGCATGGAGCGCGGGGAGCTCTACTACGCATTCACCCCGGAGCTGGTGGCCGCGCGCAAACGATGCGCGCGCATTGTCGGCCAGCTGAACCGCGCCGGAGAGCTCTCGCGGCGAGAACTGGCAGAGTACTGGAAAGGGTACACCCTTTACTCCTCTCTTCAACTTCCCACCCATCAAATCAAATAAGTCAATCATGTCAGTTGGTTAATCCAAAACAGTATCACGAACAATCCGCACCCCCTCCCGCCCGCCCTCCCCAACGCAACGGAAGAAGACGAAGACGCCACCCTGCACGCCTACCCGTGGATCGAACGCCCCATCAACATCGACTACGGAACCAACATCCAGGTCGGGAGCAACGTGTTCATCAACTTCAACTGCACGTTCGTGGACACCTGCACCGTGTCAATTGGGGCGCGCACGCTGGTCGGTCCGAATGTGTGTTTCTATAGTGGCACGCACCCGCTGGACCCGGATTTGCGGAACGGGACCCATGGGCCCGAGATGGGGAGGCCGATTACCGTCGGTGAGGATTGCTGGATCGCGGGCAATGTGGTGATTTTGCCGGGCGTGGTTATCGGGGATGGGTGTACGGTTGGGGCGGGGAGTGTGGTTACTAAGGTATGTATTTTTTTTTGTTTTGTTTTGCATATGTTAGATAGAGGAAGGGGGGTTGATGGTGTATGGTGTGGCAGAGCTAACTTTGTGTCTACTTCATAGGACGTCCCACCCTGCCATGTTGTGGCTGGGAACCCTGCGAGGATCATTCGCAAGATTGAGCGGAGTGGGAGACCGCCGCCGCCGCCGCCGGCTGTATGCGATGCGCAGACTGATGGTCTGGAGAAGGCGAAGAACGGAGTGTCTCAGTCAAATGGAGTTTCAAACTCAAACGGTATTTCAGGCTCAAACTAGCGATACGTTGATATCAAATATAGAGTAGGTTGTTGAGCATTCTGGGTTTGTTTTGTCTGGTTATATACAGTAGCATACTGGCATCACTCAAGTAGAATAGAGAAAGACTGGATTATGCTTTACAATTAGAATTCTACAGATTTATGCGACAGTCAAGGACGACTGTGTAACCCGATCTCTATTTCTGTTGTGGAACAACAACAACAACAACAAGTCTATCGATCTATACCAGATACACCCGCCCCTCATACGGCCGCAGGAGACGCAAACTCTCGCCCTCCCCCGTATTGCTCAGCAACAACTTCCCCTTCCCCCCCAACATCGCCTCCAACCCAGCCTCCTGCTCGCTCTCCGTAAAATTCAGAACAACCAACAACTTCCGCCCTTCCCCTCTCTTCTCAAAGATAAACAGCTTCTCATCATCATCTTCCAGCCGGTCAACATTCGCAAAGACACCCTGGGCAAAAACATCCGGATACTCCTTCCGGACGGCCAGCATCCTCTTCCAGAACGACAGCACGGACTGTCCATCCAACGCCTGCCGCTTGACGTTCACATCCGGGTAATTATCATGAGCGCGCATCCACGGCGTCGCATCGGGGGCCGTGAAGCCGGCGTGCGGCGAGGCGTCCCACTGCATGGGGAGGCGGGCGTGGTCGCGCGCCAGATGCTGCAGGGCCGTCCTGGCCGCAGCCAACGCGACCGGATCGCCATTCGAGGTCTGCCTGACAAAGTCATAGTAATTCCTGCTCTCCACATCCTTATACTCCTCCACGCCCCACGACGCCGGCGCATTGACCATCCCGATCTCCTGGCCCTGGTACACAAACAGCGTCCCCGACAGACTGGCCACCATCATCGCCAACATCTTCGCGCTCTGCCCCCACAACTCCACATTCCGCTCACACCCCCACCTCGACACACAGCGCGCCTGATCATGGTTCTCCAAGAACGCGGTACTCCAGCCATCCGACTCCCCATCCATGAGTCGCTGCGTGGCGCGCACCCTCTCCTTCAACTGCGAGAGGGTCCAGCTCCTCGGCTCAACAGAATACCTCCTATCGGCCCCCGTTCCCAAGTCAACCACATCGAACTGAAACACCATATCCAGCTTCTCCTCCTTCGCCGAGACATACCCCAACACATCCTCGATATCCTTCGTCAGCGGCAACTCCCCCACCGTCATGGCATCATACTTCCTCAACACCCCAGCCATCTCCCTCAGATACTCATGAATGCGGGGCCCATTACAGAACAGATGCGACGCATACTGCCACTCCGTCCGCGGATCCGTCACCGGCACATCCGGGAACGACGTATCCTTGCTATACGTATTGGCCGTATCGACCCGGAACCCATCGATCCCCTTGCGCAGCCAGAACTCCATCGCGGACGCATAGATGGCCTCTCTCGTCTCCCGATTCTCCCAATTCAGGTCCGGCTGCTGCGTCGCAAACAAATGCAGGTAATACTCCCCCGTGGTCTCATCCCACGTCCACGCGCTGCCGCCGAAACAGCTCCGCCAGTTATTCGGCGCCCGTCGCTTGCCCTCGGCGTCGTACCGCGCAGGGCGCCAGATATACCAGTCCCGCTTGGCGGAGGAGAGCGACGATCGCGATTCCTGGAACCACGCGTGCTCGTCGGAGGTGTGGTTCACGACGAGATCGAGCAGGATGCGTAGCCCGCGGGCGTGGCACGCGCTGATCAGCTGCTCGATGTCTGACACGCTCCCGTACGGTGGGTATACGGCTTCGTAGTTCGAGATGTCGTAGCCCATGTCGTGTTGCGGGGAGTCGTACATCGGACATAGCCAGATCGCGTCCACGCCCAGACTCTGGATGTAGTCTAGTTGGCTGTGGATGCCCCCGATGTCTCCGATGCCGTCGCCGTTGCTGTCGCGGAAGCTGGCCGGGTAAATTTGGTAGATGGTTGCGTTTTTCCACCACATTTTGATGGACTTTTATCAGAGAGGAGAGAGCAGAAGAAAGATGGAGTAAGACGGATATGGAGATTAGAACGAGACAGGAAAGAAAGAGAAGACAGACCTCTTATCACCCCCCTCCCCCTCTCACCCATGATTCCCATTCACCCACCACACGTTGCCTCACCTCTCTCTTGCTTTTAGCGCCGACACTTGCATGCGGGACACACAGTCCAGTCCCTAGAGGGAAATGACCGTCATTCGTTACGTCAACTTTTACTACTACGGTGTATTCCAGCCTTGTTTGGTGTCTGCTGTCTGCACCTAGCACTGCAGTGCATGCATATGCTTGAGCCAGACATATGCGTGTCCGAGACATGATGGTGGGTGAGATAAGAGATAGAGATAGTGTATCATACCAAGCACAAGCAGGCCGCTTACTGTTATGGATCATGGATACTAACTAGATTGTCATCTGGCGTTCTCGCGTCTGTTGAGGTCTTCCTGCACCGAGTCCGGCTCTCTTGCAGGATCTCGTCGGCACCTTGCTACTATATATAGAGTATATAAAAGCTGTATCACAATCCGGTTACTCTGGACTGGACAGTGGATGGTGGACGGTGGATGGTGGATATATAACGGCCAGCGCGGGTATTAGTAGCAACTGGATATGGCTAGGGTAAACTTTATTGGGTGGGTAAACTACTTATACTCTAGTGCTGTAAGTACTGTGCTGCATCCAGTACTACCTTGGCAAGATAGGTAGTAGGTGATGATACTAGATAGATAAGTAATAAATAGGTGGTAGGGAATAGGTACGTAGGAGTAATACTACTAGGTACCTAGTATGCATGTGTATGGTCCTCCGCAGTAACAAGACAATTAATATTAAGCCTCCCAAAATAAAAACCTGGTTAGTGACGTGACGCAGATACATAACTAGGTAAGTAGTTAAATAAACAAGAGAAATAAAGAATCATAGAATCCAAATCCCAATTGCAATCCCAATCACTCCCAATTACTCATAATTCAACCACAAACACCGACCAACCCATATTTCTCCAAAGCCTAGCTTACTTTACCTGAGTAGCAGGCCTAATGCCATATCATACAAGTACAGAACAAAAAAAAAATAAAAGCAAAACCAAATCCCAGAAACATACATAGGGGCCCGGAGGCGTGCGTAGAGAGGGTCACAGCATAGTTCAGTAAAAGTCAAAGATGGTAGCTTACTATTATTTATATATATTTAATAGTTTGCCACACTCACTGACCATTTCATAATAGTTGTCAAACTGTACCTACAGTAACAGTTAGGTTGTAGCTAGGTTGTGTTACAGTTGCTTACAGTTGCAAAACAGTTATTTATTATTATTTACATATAATAATAATTACTAACGATACAACCTCACCCAAACCGGGTAATTACATACAAACGTTGTTAAAGTTGAATACGATTCAGAAAAACTATTATGTAATTATAATTTAACAAGAATAGTTCTGTAATAAAATAGATTAGATACGGAAGATATCTATTACTTATGAACAGAAACTGTATTTTATAGATATATAACAAATATTAATCATAATTTCTAGACATTATCTGGTATTTTATAGATATATAACAAATATTAATCATAATTTCTAGACATTATCTGGTATTTTATAGATATATAAACAAATATTAATCATAATTTCTAGAGATTATCTGGTTACACTCCTTAAATAATAGTAAGATTCTTATACAAAATATTCTCAGAAGTAATATATAATCATACGAAAGTAGTAAAAGACCAGAATATAATAATTTGTTATTTACATAAAATCAATATTCCATGAACAGTATACTAGATCTTGTCTAGTATTAATATCAACTGATACCTGTCTGTAAACATTATCTATATCGATCATAAATGC